GCAGAGTGGATTAGCGCGCCTCACTGGCGTGTAATGTAGAACAGGAGGCGCGAGTTCGAGACCCGCTGTTGTACACAAGTAGTACAATCAATCGACGTGCATTGCAAATGTGATCCGAAAGGGCGGCGGTTCTCGGGGCAGGAAATGTAGATTCCTGCCTCAGGCCTGGCTGGCAATTGTTTTTGGTTTGCTTTTCAGCACTGTACACGTCTACACGCATAGGCCCTCACAATACGCACCTGCCTTCAGAACACACTCAAAAACACACGCAATTTTCACAGACAAAACATAAACTCTCAACATTCTCATTGGGCTCTATCCAAATAACATTAGGTCAGGCATCGCCACTCTATTGGACAAACTCAGTCTCATGGGCTGCAACTGTTCATATTATTGCCAAAAGTTCATCCAAACTGTGCAAATAGAAAGCTGGCAGCGCTTTCTTATTCACCTGTTATTCCTTGCAGTCACAAACTGCTGACAGCTCATCTTTCTTCCAACTTTTGTCCGAAAGTTGATTGGTTTAGCCACAAAACAGCGCAAAACCACACTCAAAACTTATTGAATGAACTCTAATACTATGATATACAACAATAAATATAATATATACGAGGATGAATATCATATATACAAAGATAAACTGCCAAATAGACCCCGTTTTCCGGCGAAGCAGTTGAAAGCTGCTGCCACTACCGTAATGTATGATATGTCAGCACAAAGTTTCGGTTGTCAGCTTTCAGAATCCGTGAGGATTACGTTGCCAGGGCGAATGGTTCAAGAGTTACGGTAGTCAAAGTGCCCCTGTCATTATTTGTCGCTGCCGGCGACTGCATTCAAAGGGCTGAACCTCCCATCGTGGTGTATTCAAATCATACTGTGTGTCAGGCACATGCGCTGCTCTACGCACTCTTCACCCGGCCACAAATCGCCTTTTCGAACGGTGCCGGCCAATGGCAGAGTGGATTAGCGCGCCTCACTGGCGTGTAATGTAGAACAGGAGGCGCGAGTTCGAGACCCGCTGTTGTACACAACTAGTACAATCAATCGACGTGCATTGCAAATGTGATCCGAAAGGGCGGCGGTTCTCGGGGCAGGAAATGTAGATTCCTGCCTCAGGCCTGGCTGGCAATTGTTTTTGGTTTGCTTTTCAGCACTTTACACGTCTACACGCATAGGCCCTCACAATACGCACCTGCCTTCAGAACACACTCAAAACACACGCAATTTTCACAGACAAAACATAAACTCTCAACATTCTCATTGGGCTCTATCCAAATAACATTAGGTCAGGCATCGCCACTCTATTGGACAAACTCAGTCTCATGGGCTGGAACTGTTCATATTATTGCCAAAAGTTCATCCAAACTGTGCAAATAGAAAGCTGGCAGCGCTTTCTTATTCACCTGTTATTCCTTGCAGTCACAAACTGCTGACAGCTCATCTTTCTTCCAACTTTTGTCCGAAAGTTGATTGGTTTAGCCACAAAACAGCGCAAAACCACACTCAAAACTTATTGAATGAACTCTAATACTATGATATACAACAATAAATATAATATATACGAGGATGAATATCATATATACAAAGATAAACTGCCAAAAAGACCCCGTTTTCCGGCGAAGCAGTTGAAAGCTGCTGCCACTACCGTAATGTATGATATGTCAGCACAAAGTTTCGGTTGTCAGCTTTCAGAATCCGTGAGGATTACGTTGCCAGGGCGAATGGTTCAAGAGTTACGGTAGTCAAAGTGCCCCTGTCATTATTTGTCGCTGCCGGCGACTGCATTCAAAGGGCTGAACTTCCCATCGTGGTGTATTCAAATCATACAGCGTGTCAGGCACATGCACTGCTCTACGCACTCTTCACCCGGCCACAAATCGCCTTTTCGAACGGTGCCGGCCAATGGCAGAGTGGATTAGCGCGCCTCACTGGCGTGTAATGTAGAACAGGAGGCGCGAGTTCGAGACCCGCTGTTGTACACAAGTAGTACAATCAATCGACGTGCATTGCAAATATGATCCGAAAGGGCGGCGGTTCTCGGGGCAGGAAATGTAGATTCCTGCCTCAGGCCTGGCTGGCAATTGTTTTTGGTTTGCTTTCCAGCACTTTACACGTCTACATGCATAGGCCCTCACAATACGCACCTGCCTTCAGAACACACTCAAAACACACGCAATTTCCACAGACAAAACATAAACTCTCAACATTCTCATTGGGCTCTATCCAAATAACATTAGGTCAGGCATCGCCACTCTATTGGACAAACTCAGTCTCATGGGCTGGAACTGTTCATATTATTGCCAAAAGTTCATCCAAACTGTGCAAATAGAAAGCTGGCAGCGCTTTCTTATTCACCTGTTATTCCTTGCAGTCACAAACTGCTGACAGCTCATCTTTCTTCCAACTTTTGTCCGAAAGTTGATTGGTTTAGCCACAAAACAGCGCAAAACCACACTCAAAACTTATTGAATGAACTCTAATACTATGATATACAACAATAAATATAATATATACGAGGATGAATATCATATATACAAAGATAAACTGCCAAATAGACCCCGTTTTCCGGCGAAGCAGTTGAAAGCTGCTGCCACTACCGTAATGTATGATATGTCAGCACAAAGTTTCGGTTGTCAGCTTTCAGAATCCGTGAGGATTACGTTGCCAGGGCGAATGGTTCAAGAGTTACGGTAGTCAAAGTGCCCCTGTCATTATTTGTCGCTGCCGGCGACTGCATTCAAAGGGCTGAACTTCCCATCGTGGTGTATTCAAATCATACTGTGTGTCAGGCACATGCACTGCTCTACGCACTCTTCACCCGGCCACAAATCGCCTTTTCGAACGGTGCCGGCCAATGGCAGAGTGGATTAGCGCGCCTCACTGGCGTGTAATGTAGAACAGGAGGCGCGAGTTCGAGACCCGCTGTTGTACACAACTAGTACAATCAATCGACGTGCATTGCAAATGTGATCCGAAAGGGCGGCGGTTCTCGGGGCAGGAAATGTAGATTCCTGCCTCAGGCCTGGCTGGCAATTGTTTTTGGTTGGCTTTCCAGCACTTTACACGTCTACATGCATAGGCCCTCACAATACGCACCTGCCTTCAGAACACACTCAAAACACACGCAATTTTCACAGACAAAACATAAACTCTCAACATTCTCATTGGGCTCTATCCAAATAACATTAGGTCAGGCATCGCCACTCTATTGGACAAACTCAGTCTCATGGGCTGGAACTGTTCATATTATTGCCAAAAGTTCATCCAAACTGTGCAAATAGAAAGCTGGCAGCGCTTTCTTATTCACCTGTTATTCCTTGCAGTCACAAACTGCTGACAGCTCATCTTTCTTCCAACTTTTGTCCGAAAGTTGATTGGTTTAGCCACAAAACAGCGCAAAACCACACTCAAAACTTATTGAATGAACTCTAATACTATGATATACAACAATAAATATAATATATACGAGGATGAATATCATATATACAAAGATAAACTGCCAAAAAGACCCCGTTTTCCGGCGAAGCAGTTGAAAGCTGCTGCCACTACCGTAATGTGTGATATGTCAGCACAAAGTTTCGGTTGTCAGCTTTCAGAATCCGGGAGGATTACGCTGCCAGGGCGAATGGTTCAAGAGTTACGGTAGTCAAAGTGCCCCTGTCATTATTTGTCGCTGCCGGCGACTGCATTCAAAGGGCTGAACCTCCCATCGTGGTGTATTCAAATCACACTGCGTGTCAGGCACATGCACTGCTCTACGCACTCTTCAGCCGGCCACAAATCGCCTTTTCGAACGGTGCCGGCCAATGGCAGAGTGGATTAGCGCGCCTCACTGGCGTGTAATGTAGAACAGGAGGCGCGAGTTCGAGACCCGCTGTTGTACACAAGTAGTACAATCAATCGACGTGCATTGCAAATGTGATCCGAAAGGGCGGCGGTTCTCGGGGCCGGAAATGTAGATTCCTGCCTCAGGCCTGGCTGGCAATTGTTTTTGGTTTGCTTTTCAGCACTTTACACGTCTACATGCATAGGCCCTCACAATACGCACCTGCCTTCAGAACACACTCAAAACACACGCAATTTTCACAGACAAAACATAAACTCTCAACATTCTCATTGGGCTCTATCCAAATAACATTAGGTCAGGCATCGCCACTCTATTGGACAAACTCAGTCTCATGGGCTGGAACTGTTCATATTATTGCCAAAAGTTCATCCAAACTGTGCAAATAGAAAGCTGGCAGCGCTTTCTTATTCACCTGTTATTCCTTGCAGTCACAAACTGCTGACAGCTCATCTTTCTTCCAACTTTTGTCCGAAAGTTGATTAGTTTAGCCACAAAACAGCGCAAAACCACACTCAAAACTTATTGAATGAACTCTAATACTATGATATACAACAATAAATATAATATATACAAGGATGAATATCATATATACAAAGATAAACTGCCAAAAAGACCCCGTTTTCCGGCGAAGCAGTTGAAAGCTGCTGCCACTACCGTAATGTATGATATGTCAGCACAAAGTTTCGGTTGTCAGCTTTCAGAATCCGTGAGGATTACGTTGCCAGGGCGAATGGTTCAAGAGTTACGGTAGTCAAAGTGCCCCTGTCATTATTTGTCGCTGCCGGCGACTGCATTCAAAGGGCTGAACTTCCCATCGTGGTGTATTCAAATCATACTGTGTGTCAGGCACGCTGCTTTACGCACTCTTCACACGGCCACAAATCGCCTATTCGAACAGTTCTGGCTAATGGCAGACAGGACAGGAGGCGTGAGGTTCGGGACCCGCCGTTGTAGGCACAATCAACCCACCTGCACTGCAGATACCAGTCAAAAGGGTCAGACAATATCTTTATTGCTAACGGTAAGTGGCAAAAACACTAAACTTTAACTGTTATTTTCTCAGCAGCTGGTGAAGTGTTTGTCACTCATGTGCATCAAGAAACGTTTATGAATCAAAAGGAAAGCAAAGCATGGAGGCAGGCAGGATTCTAACTTTTGTTAGGACAAACCATTTCATATTAAATTTATTCATTTAGAAATCATTTAGCCAGGTTGTACCATAGTTTGAATCTACAAAGGTTTACTTTATCTACACTTATGGTCCTGTAATATCCGTATTTAGTCTCAGGGGTGAAATGCCCAACAGTTGCCTTAAACATGTGTCTCATCAACATTGATAACAAAATGAAAACATAAATACATTCAGTTTTTATGATCAGTGTGTTTTTAGGTCATCATTGTGTCATCTTGGTCAGGATAAGCAAAGGCATTGCAGTTATTTATTTTGTCCACAGGGGGCACCAAAGTCATCTCAAACAGAGTTTCTCTCGGCAGCTTCAATAGAAGGTCTGCATGCTGCTTCATAATTGAATAACAAAGTCAGGTCTCCTCTGCTGTTGATTTATATATTTGGTTTTCACGTTTAACACACATATAAAAGTAGAAGTGTGAACAGAGACAAGCATGACGGATCATTTTCAAAAACATTTCGGCACAAAACTCTGTGACGTGGTTCAATGAGGACAATAAATCAGTTTTAGATGTTTGTTTTTGTAAAGCATGTCATTTATTATAATATGAGCCATCGTTAAGAAATGTCAATGAAACAATGTCCTGTGCATCGGATCTGCTTCTTCCACGAGGACGTTTAAACCATAAAGACTTTCACAGCGTCTTATTTCTCTGGAGTTTACATGTTCACAGTAACACAGGTCCAGATCTGCATGGAGGAACACTGGAAACTGGTACTTAACATTTTTAAACATTTAAAAAACACCTTAAAAATAACAACCACCACCATGGAACAAGGCTATGCCGATTAAACTCTGAGTTTAGACCTTTTCTTAAGGATTCTGCAGATACTTCAGGGTTAACAATCAATAATTATACAAACATTTCCATGACTCTAACACAGGTCTTTCCTTCTTTATTCCACTATAAAACACTGACATGATATGCAACATGAAAATGTATAGGCAACATTAAAGTAAACATAAGTCAAAATATACTGAGTTAACAATAAAACTCAAAGAATAAAGCCAGGGGGTTGCATATTTTCAAAAAGTTCACAAAGAAAGGAGAGATGAGAAAAATAAGGGTCCAGTTCAGATATACACAAGGAGGAAAGAAAAGAGGGGCTGTGCTTCATGATGATGATGGTAATGATGATGAGGAAGAGGAGTAGGAAGATATTTCAGAAAAGATGAAAATTTGACTTCCCTGTTTTAGAGCTGTAATAGTGCAGTTGAAGTCCTAAAACTCCACACTGAGGAGCATGTTGATACACAATGACGCAGATGATGCCCTATGCTAACCCAATCATCCCTCTAAGCTCTGCTTTAGGACCACCCTCACCTGAATTCTGACTGGAAATTGAGACCACTTTAATGAAATCTTTAAGAAAAAAGAATCTTTGATGTGACCTGTATACTCTGTTGCTCTAGAATTGACCTTAAAAAGCAGCGTTGATGCAGGGACCTAACAGTAACACTATAAGTATCCCTTGTGTGTACTTTCCCCATCTGTAAATGCAATTTCATTGTGCACAGTTGCAATGACAATAAAAGACCATACCATACCATACCATACCAGCCCTAAGCTTTCACATTCTTTCCACATCTGCAGCATTAACAGGACTAAATTATTTGACCTCTCATCAGTCCTGTTACAGAGATGTTTGAAGCTTCGTATACTGCTCCCTAGTGGCCAAAAAAGAAATGATGAGCTTGGAAAATTCCACCTTGAAACTGATAAGCAGTATTACTCATGCTGGCTTCAGCCAAAGACTGTATAAAAGATGGACAACCTGACAGCTCCCTAAAAGTGAAACCAAGACGCTAAATCTCCTCCTGCTGTCTGTCTGTAAGTCATTAACTCCACCTCCTCCATGTAAACAGTCTGGATATGGGTCGAACTATAAAACCTGTTTCTCAAACATGTCAGTTCTTCTCACACTAATTTATGTCACAGTGTTCGTTTTTCAGACAAGATTATCTTAAACTGCTATAAAAATAGGGGGTGTGGCAACATGATTGACAGCTCTGTGGACCAGTAAAGTTTTTGCAGTGCTGTGTGGGCTGGATTATCAGAGTAGAGGCAGAACAGTGAGACTCTGAAACTTTGAGTCACAAGAGTCATTGAACTATCCATAATCGAGTGTCCGCTCCAAACTCACAAGAACCTGGTTTGCCGTAGAATGGACCCACCTAATGGAGCTTTGACCTGGACTGAACCCACCTGAGGGAGCTCAGATGTCTTATCAACAAGGTAAATGTGGGTGTGGTTCAGGGAAATAGGCACGATGTAAACACAACTGCACCACTAGCTGATCTTTTCTGCACAGTCTCCATATTTTGCATTACGCCAGCTTAGGTTCTGGGGTCTTTTGGCTTCACTTTTGTAAACAGAGGGAGCTGGACACGTCGTTTTACTGTACTTACAATCTGTGGCTTCAAGGCTGGTGGTATGTTTACGACTGGTTGCCTCATTTTAACATAACACATTGTCAAAAGCTGCATTCTTGCAATAATCTAACTATGCCCTCTAACTATCCACTTCTCTATATGACCTAAAAATGATGCACTTTATTTGACAGTATGAAAAAGCAGTAGGATAGGATTATAGTGGCAGACAACAGGTGATAAACGCAGCTCTTAACCTGGCACACAGAGGGTTAAATTTGGAATGAACCCCTGTGGAGGTGAATATAAAAGAAGCTCAGAAAACTCTGCAGTCTGAGGTCACACACCTTCAGATCCTCAGCTGCAGACAAAGAGCAGAAACAGTCTCCTCCCACATGAACAGTCATGGCTTCATAAACTCCACCTTCAACATGAGTAACACCACCTGTCCCCCCATTACCTCCTCCAGGACTCTAAATAAGGGTTGGGATGACAGAACATCACCACCCACTTGTGCAAGTAAGTCTGTCCATGGTTCCCTCCTGTCTAGGTGAGACCAGGCAGATCTGACTTCAGGTGTTTCAGGTCCTCAGACCCAGCAGGATCTGGTCTCAGGTGCTGGAGGTCCACATGTGCATCTGTTTGGCAAACTGCAGCACAAAGACGATGTCCGGGCGCTGGTCTGGATCCGGGCTGATGCACATGCTCACCAAGTCCCGCAGCTGTGGAGAGTGAGCTTCGTTAGCTCCGATACTGGTTCTTAAAAATTAAAGCACTGATCTACAAACCCTTTCTAAAAAATAAAAAAATAAAACACAAGACTTTCTACTGTGAAGACTGGAACTCAGCTGAATGCTCATTTTGTCCTCTTTTAAATGTAACTAACTATCAAAACTACATATCAATTAATTTTAATTTATATGCATTGCATTCAATTGCATTTTAATAGCATGTTCAATTCTATCATTTTGAGCATCTGTTAAAATCAGTAGCAAGTAAGATGCAATTTATGATCTTGACTTCAAAATTTATCACTAATAAATGCTGCTCTGCTCCAGCAGTGTGGTCTTAAACCATAACTCAGTGACAAGAGGTCGCTTCAGAGAGTCTATTTAGTCAAATACAGGGTTTATTTAGTCATTTTAAAGGAAAACACTGTTACACTGTGGAAAAAAATTAGCAGGAGTGCGTGTAGAAAATGACCAATCTATATGCAATTGGGTGTGCAATAACTTTGAGATCATTTTGATAACTTTTTGATATTCAGGGATCCCTGGTAAAAGCACCAGTGTTTGCACTTTTCAGGAGTTCCATATTAGCTGCTTTCTCTGTCTCAGTCTAGTCCTTTATGCATGAAACTATCACTTGATGACTTGCTGATAGTCAGGGATCCCTGGTTAAAGCATTAGTGTTTGCGCTTTTCAGGAGTTCCAGTCCAGTTTTACGAACTGTGATAAAAACATCTGATCAGTTTAAGTAAGATTGCATCCAACTTTGCTCTCGTCTATTCTTTCAGTTTTTAATCATAGTATACTTAATGATGAAATGGACTGAAATAGATGTCAGGAAGTTCATTTCCGACCCTTTGTTTACACCATACTGAGCTGGGCAAAACATGTAATTGCATATGTGAGATTTAATCCATACTATACCAGTATTGGATTTCCCTTGAGGGATTAATAAAGTTCTTTTTACTCTTATTCTTACTTGGCTGTTGGGTTGCTGGAGACCAGAGAGATCTCAGTATTGAATTTGGAGTAAGTTAGCCAGATGGTGGTGCTACAACATGCCATTTAACTTTGCACAAACTGTTCTCTCTATCATGCTGACCGATACAGCTTACAGTGAAACTGCAACAGCCTGATGCAAATATAGAGTTCGAGTTACAAGAAAACTAGGTATTTACCAGCACCAACATGCGGATACTTGATTACAGTGAGAAACAAAAAGCTACATCTGTTTCCTGTATTGAGCTGTGGGTCTTTTTAATGTGACGTATCTGCTCTTCAGACAGCTCATATCTTGTTTCTAGTGTTGATTCATGAGAAGTTATCTGTTAACAGAGGTAACCTTCTTAACGCAGGAGGCCAAACAGGGTTTCTTGTTGTGTTACCTTCTCAGAGTAATGGTCCGTAGGGAGGGGAGGATAATCACACTGCTCGATCTTATGACAGAGAGACAGCAAGTTCATCTTGTCCCCGTAAAACGGACTCTGCAGTGCCGCCATCTGGACAAACAAGCAGACAGCATGCATAAGGAAGTTTTAAAGGAAAACGCTGAGAGAAAAGAGAGAGAAGACGTCGGGGGAGTCTATATTTTGGTGACTTTCTGAACTTTTTTCTCCACCGGTGCCAGCTGATTATAACAAACACTAGTTCAACGCTTTTATAACTTCTCATCAGTTCTGCAGGCAGGAATAACCCTGATGCAGATCCTGATACAGCATCATGTGAGATCCATCTGAGCACTCGACAAGCTATGTTTGTTGAACAGAATAACTTACCAACAGTCTGATTTTGGCTTGTTTTTCCAGATATTAAGCATGTTGTTAATTTCCCCAACACTCTCTTGTTTAATATAAAAAGTCTGGTGAAACATACAGCTTCAGGAAGTCAGTGTGTTTTGCAGTCAGCTCTGGGAAAGGATGCTGACCACCAAGAAGGAAACATTATTCAGTTATAAATCAATTAGGCTCCTTATTAGATTTTCCTGCTTCTTCTACAAGTCAGTCATTATAAAATTACATCTTAATTTTTCAGCAGACTGCAAACAGAGTGAGGTAACATGCCTGTGTTCAGGAACAAGAAGCTTCGCACTTTATTAACAGAAAGAAGAAAAAAAATCTGTATTGAAAAGGGTGAGGATGTTGAAATACCAGGAAAGTAAATGATGCTGCAACATGATGCTGCTCAGAGTGTCTGTGTTGGCACAGAGGACTGTGAAACCTTTGTGTGAGTGTGAAGATGTCTTAACACTGACTCAGTGTTACAATAAAACAGAAACATGACAGGGAGTACAGGTTGTTATGTATGAAAGTCTTCATTTTCACAGTCTGTAAACTGAACCTGCATTTCCTCTGTCCTCTGCACCGTCTGTTCATGTCTGTGAGCTTCTCAAGAAAAATAGCAGTCTACCATTTCACTGTACAACCTGTTATTTAAGAAAAAGACTGTGTAAAATTCTGATTGAAAACAGATCGGATGGTTTTCAAGTCATTTAAATCCCATACAGAACAGAAAATAGTGCAAAGACAGCATATCAAATGTTGAAACTGAGAAATGTTTTTGTTTGAGGAAACGTATCTGATCATTTGAAATTAGATGCAGGAAAATTTTCCTAAAATGTAGATTCAGGATCATGTTTCTCATTGTGAGTCATCAGCTCTACTTTTCCCAGCACTCTGTAAACGTTAGTAAACCCAGGAGACCAGTCTCCGCAGTTTGGAAAGTGATAGAAGATTTCAGTTGCTCAATAGTTCAGGGTCTCCTTTGTCCTGATGCTCCAAATGTTTTCAATGGAGGACAAGTCAGCCAACTGCTCATCTAGCATTACTCAACTATTTACTCCTTTTAGAAACATGTCGCTTGACAGATTTAAAATGAGCATAAATTGGTGTTTTTAATACAATAACATTTTGAAGTTGGTTGTCTTTGCCACATTTTCAAATATCATGATTCTTTTGGCCTTTCTGAAAAGCATTAAACTGATCATTTGAATGAATAAAAACCTCAAATCCTTGAACCATCCATCATCATAATATTAACCTGTTTATTGTTCAGAGGGTGTTGATTAATAGACTTTCTGTTCCTGCTGTTACAACAGGGGTGGTCAAACCCTTATTGTTTGTTATCAGCAGGTCTCATCTCTGTTTTTGGTTTTTAAAAATCTAACAGAGAGGAAACAGGAGGGAGACGTGGGGGAGGAACATCCTGTGCGGCAGGAAGCAGAGAGCTTTCATTGTTTATTTTGTTTGTCTTTTTTTTTTTTTTAAACTAAAACCATAAGAAAGTCGAGGACCGCAACTTTAAAAATGTCAAACCATAAAACAGACGTATGTCCACAGTCTGAAGAAAAACAGGCGGTAAACACACCACATGATCTATTTACTACAACAGGTGAGTGAAGATGATGCAGAAAGCAGAACATTTTTTCTGCAACATTCAGCATCTATTCTTATCTTAGAAGCATTTCTTCTACTACTGGAAACAAGTAACTTTTTGGCAAATTATGAGAGACTTTTTAATTTAATCCAGATTAAGGAGAGATTCACTTTTAAAGCATGAAGTCTCTGAGAGAGCTTTGTCAAATCTTTGTCAAAGCTACATTATTTAAAACATCTTTAGTAGCACATATGGGTCAATTTGTCTGCATGATGATATTTGCTACACAAAAATAAAGATCTGAGAGACACCGGGCTGAAATCTTTCTCTTCTTGAATAGAAAAACTCAAACAAATGCTTCTTGGAGGGCAGATCTCACAGGCAAGAAATGGGAGTACATCATCATGCAACTCTCAGGGTATTATAACATGTTACCCCTGAGGATTTCTACTCCACTAGGGGGTCACTAACAAATATTTTTTATAAACCTGTATCAGTCACCTGTCAGGAGGTATGAAATAATGTGATCTCACCTCGTACAGCAGACATCCCAGAGACCAGATATCAGACTTAAAGTTGTATCCGTTCTCGTGGATCCTCTCTGGGGACATGTAGTACGGAGTCCCGACTAACAAACAGAGAAATAACGTTAAAAAATAAAATCATCATTTTTAAAAGGTGCACATTTTTTTTTTTTACATGACTTACCTAGAGAGTGAGCTGCTGTAGTTTTTGAGCTGAAGAAACGTCCCAATCCCAGATCACCCAGTTTAACCTCCCCCGTGGCTGTGATGAACACATTGGCTGGTTTGATATCTGTAAGGAAACACACAAAAAAAAAACATGTTTAAACCTTGAACTATATCCTTTTTTTAAAACCAAACTTTTACTTCTAGACAAAGACTTATGCATTGAAAATCTGCAGAATAAATGAAGCAAAGACAGCATCCACGACTTTCCTGAGAGTTTTGTATGAAAAATAACAGCAGGGAAAATATTTCAGCGGTGATAACAGAGGGCACAGTGTGTGCAAAGAGTGAGAGGAGTAAAAGTGTATGCTAACCACGGTGCATCACTCTGCGTGAGTGCATGTGCTCCAGAGCGCTGCAGAGCTGCACAAAATACTTCCAAATGGTCCTCTCAGGGATGAGCCGCCGCTTTTTCTTAAAGTACTGAACAGACACAGGAGAGGACAGTTAGTGCACAAAACGATGCCAAGATTAATTGTGCAACATGTGTCATATTCGCGTGAGGATGCTTTGAGAAACCGAGTCCTGACAATGAGATATTATGAATATGTCTTCTGACCTTTATCATCTGGGACAGATCTCCAGCGTCAGCGAGCTCCAGGACGATGTTGAGCTCGTTGTCTTCAATAAATGAGTCGAGGTATTTGATTACGTTGGGATGATTCAGCTGCTGCAGAGGACAGACAGGAAGAGGCAGCTGTTAACACACACCTGGGAGTTTAATAGTGAGGATACACTCATAAAATCATCTGAGTGATTCAGGTGCTGCTGGAAAATGACATCTCTTTACCTTGAGCAGGTCGATCTCTTTGATGCAGTCCTGGCGAGCCTTTGCATCCAACATCTCAAAGATCTGCAGCAACAAGGTGGAAACAAAATTAATTTCAGGCGCTGACTGGGGTACTATGACTGTGCTGCACTGATTAGCTGCCTGAATGTTGACTGAGGGGGTTGCAGACTGATGTGGACAGATGCAGAAAAACAGAAAGACAAACTTGACAAGCCCTCCAGGATAACCCACAACAACCAGTACACATATGATCCAAAATCTGACCCAAACAAGAAGAGAAAACTGCTAAAGAACTGCAGACACAGTCACAACCGCACATCCCCGAGCGGTACTTTAAAAATCTGAGTGTTGTCCCGAGTTTCTTGCCTTTAGTGTGTAACTTCATGTGATCGACCTTTTCTGTTGAAGCAGTCTGTTGCACGAACAAACAAATGAGCTCTAACTGCTTGTTGTTCAAAATAAAATCAGCTTATGTTTTGTTTTTTTTGGCTCTCTGGTGCTGGGACAGAGTTTGGGACATTTTTGTTGGTTTTTGCTACCAAAGATTGAGCTGTTGAAATTCTTGGCTCTGATCTTTGACATTTTGACTCTTGACACAAAAACACAATGGCATGGGAGGACACAGAATCACTTTTGAAGTGGCTGGAGGAAGACTACAGGATATACTGTATGTATCAGCTTGGGAAAACCCATCAGTCATTATATGGAACCTTTAAGAGTATAACTGTAAAATCAATCGACCCTACTGGCCAAAGCAAAGAATGACTCAGTTTTTTGTCTGCCCCTAAATGATATAAAGTTGGCGTACTGATCAGGAATTTATCACACTGAGTCATCTGTACCAAAATATCTTTGAGGAACTTAAATGTAGATGTGTCAATGTGAGACTTGTGATAACAGTCAGTCCTGTAATTGACTTTCAGTTGAAGCCAAAGAACTTAAGAGAAACTCCAAATTTATTAAAAAAGAGTCAGTCATACCTCAAATAAAAGAAACAGTCAAAATTAGCAAATTTCTGTCAAGCTGTTTGAAGTCACACATATGTGTCATTTGTGATTTCAAAGGTCACATTTGATGAAAGACAGGTTTTTCCTCACTTATATAGTCTAGCAACACTACGTACGTATGTGGAAGTGAAAAAACCTCTGCATCATTTGTTCACCTACAGGAAAAACAGCTTCTACAAGGAGATTGAAATTTGCTCCTGTGGTGACTTGGAGTGATTTGCATAGACGTGCATGCAAAAAAAAATTCCCACTCCCACTCAATCAGCATCCCACTCCCCCTTGTGCTATTGTGGTTTTGCTTCAGCGCTGCAGAGTCATAATGTCAAAGCTTAGAGAAAGACACGCCACCTGCTATTTTTGTCATCACTTTGTTAAAACACTGAAAATTCATGATCAGAAACATTTGGCTTGGTAGGTTCTCCTGGAGCACTCGCCAACACTGTTTTGGTAGTTCTTCCACCTCCAATCTGTATGCGCCAGTAGTCTAAGCCCCCCACTCCCCACCCCAGACAACCACAATTAGGCAGCTTATCAACATAATAGCAGATCACTGCATGGATGACTAGGCTAGAAAATGAGAGGCTGCAGATTTTCAGCAGAAACTGAATATGTTGTTATTTCACATCCTTATTCAAAACCTAAAGAACAACCAGGACATTTACAAAACTCAAACTAGAAACAGCATCGCGATGGACTTTTATATAGGAAAAGAAAACCAAAAAGAAGGTTACCGATAAAAATAGCATCAATACAGCTTGAGAAATAAAGACAGAAGTGAAAAACAAAGAGAGAGGAGCTTCAAAATTGGCATTGTAATCTAAATTAAGAAAGCAGATAATGTTGTAATAAAAAGCAGAACAAGACAGAGTCAATTTTCCGCTTTGTACCTGGACTTTCTTTAGAGCGACCAGCTGACCCTCCAGCAGGTACTTTGCCTTGTACACCTCACTGAACTGACCCCGACCAATCTTCTTCTCGATCTGGAAGTTTGCCATTGTGCAGCAGAACTTTCGGCCCGACATGTTTTTCTGCACAACAACAGCAACAACACAGAAAAGTTAAACACTCAGACAGTGTGGTACATTTGAAAAAGATGTGAAACTGGACTGTCAAGAGTTTGGAGAACAGGAAGAGGCTCATCATAAGAAGAAGCAGTGTCTACATGTACGTAGGAGAGAATTTATCTGTCCTATGTCGCCTGATAAAGCACACAGGTTATTGTCCCACCTGGTCGTCCTGAGCAGCGATCTTGTACAGGTTGTTCAGGTTGTCTAACGTTGGCTGGTTGTTGTTCTGCGCCTCCATGGTGGCATCACAACCTCCAACTTCTGCAACAGAAAAATACATAAATCTAGATTTATTTGGCTCTCAAATGCTAAACCCTTTCCTGAAGAGTGACAGCAGAGAGCTGAAGTCCGACAGCTCACCGACCTGCTGAAGGAAACAGGCGGCGTGTGGACCACATGTGTCTGAATCAGAGCAGGAAGCACGTGTGGCGAGCTGAGATGCCTCATGCGCTCACTGTGCCACCTGCCTGCTCACTGTGCTGCTTTGACTTTCAGAATGACTCTGAACGTGAACATGGAAACTGTGAACATAGAAACTCAGTGTGTGATGCCAAGAAAGGTAAAGGAAAATGCTTGAGCTATAAATTCACTACTGAAACCAATGAGGTCACCTGAATATTTCTGCCCGCCTACATCTGCCCTGTGCCCTGGATTTACTGTCAGGTGTTAAAATGTGTCTATGTCCTAAAGTGTGAGTAATCTGAGGCGTTAGACTCTATGTAGGTTAAGTAAATATCATGAAACATATGAGCACAAGAGCTCCTATAATATTACAAACTACACAGTCTCTTGTTTCCTTAGATTAACGTTCAAATACAACATTAAAGCCCCTCAGACTCTGGATCTTTGTTAAATGCACAGCAAGCAAGCACAAAAGCCCACTTCTTTCTGTAATAATATTAAATACGCAAATTAAGAATTAGCCTTGATAACAACAATGCTTTCATTAAGTTATTTTTAAAAGACCAAAGACAAAGTTAATGTGAAATTACATCAGAGGTTTGGAGTAAAATCCTAAAAATGAGAAAAGTAGTAAAAATTTAGAGAGGACATCAAAATCAAGGCTGACTCCCAATTATAAAGTTAGATTTAATGATGGGACAAACAGTCAAATTATGAATGAAAGCAGTACTTATGAAATAGAGATTCTCATAATGAGACAAAAGGTCATTTGTCTGACTTGAGAAGTTATTATTAGGAGAGAAAAGCCAAAGTTACGCAGTACTGTGTCACAACTTTAGTCACTGAAATGTCATGAAAAAGAAATCCCAAATTCTTGGACATGACAAACAAGTAATTAAAACGCATAGTCACAAGATAAAAGGTCAGTCTTATGAGATAAAATAATTAAATGTTATTATAGAATTAAACATCATGACCATGAAATCAAAGTCATCAATGAAATAAGAAGTCTGAACCATTTAATATAGTTTAATAAAGTAAAATGACAAGTTTTACAGTTTCTGAAAAGTCAAATAAAAAGTCATATTGTCAGATAAAAAGATAAAGATAATAAAGAAAAAAGTTTTATTTACCCAGTAAGTCACAATTACTGTTAAAAAAAGAAAAAAGTTGTAATTATGGATCATTAATAAATCACTATAAGAAGAAGTGGCATGACTTTGAGACAAAAAGTCGACTTTATAAAGCGGCAGCTGTACTCATGAAATGGGAATCTAATGGAAGTTAAAACTACAGGAGAGATTTTAGGGTAAAATGTCACTAAAATGAGATGTAGAGTCAGATACAAAGAGTGAAAGGCCAACTTATAATTTATAATACAGTCATTTTAAAAAAATCAACTGATGATAACGAAAAAAAGTAATGTTCTTGAATAAAAAGCCATAATCATAAATAAAAAGTCATGTTCCAGATAAATAAAAAGTCCAAATAATAAAGTAAAAAGTCGTGGTGGAATGGTAAAAAAAACAATGAAAAAGAAGCTCGATTACATTTTTGTTATTAAATAAATACAGACAGAAAAAAAAACATTTGGCTCATTAAAATCACCAAAATCAGTTTTATGAGATAAACAGAGGTAATTGTGAGACAGACGGTTTACTGGTTCATCTTTTTATCTTTTGAGGGATCATGTTAACACTTATCTGTCATTTTCTCAAATATTGAGGGGATTTATTTAATCATTAAGGATCAGTATTCCTTTTATTTGACTGAAATCCTCTTCCTCAAGGGGGACATTTGTCATTGTAAGATTAAACTTGCAGGAACTGTGTAAAAAAAAAAAAAAACAGGCTGTAATGATCAGAGTTTCTGTGAATGACCTGGAGCATCTGTGACATTCAGTCCTGACACTTCTGTATTTATGAGGCCTCCTGTCACCTCAGGCTCATGTTCACATGTGAGGAATGTGTTTAAAATCTGAACAGAGAATTAATGAGAGAAAACCCTGAGGAGAAACTGACATGTCTGTCCTAACTCAAAATATTAAACCTGGGCTGGAGTCTGAATGAAAATGAGGGATTTTCAAACTGTAAGGGGTGCACTCTCTGCTCAGAAGTACTTCTTATACTTCAGTCAAACCAAACTATTCCCTTTAAAACTCCTTATTGGCTTCAACAGGCTGTTTATTCTGATATTCTGAAGCGTTATAGATCAGATCTCTTTCACATAAAAAGTAATGGTTAAACTAAATGTGAGATAGCATTGTTGTATTACAGAGATTTACATTTTGGCCAATCACAAATACTCTGTTTAAAAATTTAGCTAACTCCATGTTGATAGCAAATGCTTAGCAATTCAAGATTTAGTGTATTCCCATCTGTCTGCTATGATTGGCTCAGCTGACAGGCTAGCTGGAGAAATCTTTACATTTCTTTATTTGCATCTCTACATTATATTCATGTTTGCATGAAGACAAAAACGTGTCTTTGCACCCTGGTGACGAATCACTGAGTAGAGCATGACACATTTTAATGGCAGGTCGTTGGTCACGGCACACACACCGTTGAACTACAGGCATATAGCGTGACACGCCACTGGGCACTTAACGATCTCACTGCTGCTCACTGACAAAGTTATGAGCAAGCAAAGCATCACACAGTGAGCAAAATTACTAACCCTTACACTTACCTGTTCATATTATTCAAGCATGGCAAGCAAACATAATTATGCAGCAGGCTGCATTCAAGTAGTTTTTACAAAGTTAACATTCGGGCTGAAATGTAGTGTTCTTGGCTGGTAAACAAAAAAGAAACTCAAATTTAGGTTATTGCTGTGAGACGTCAAAGAAAGTAATTGAAGTTAGAATCATCATGATGAGCTCTTCAAACTGCATGTAGAGAAGTGAATCTGTTCTACCAAAATTCATTAGTGCTAATTTTCTTTTATCTCACGTGTTCTGGACCTCAAAGCAGATCAAACATTACTTCACCCGTACTTCACTTGTGCTGTGTCATTTACGGTACAGTCTGCTGGAGGCCAGCATCATATCAACAGCTAACATGACTCACAGCAACTGGTTTCAAAACAGGGTCCCAGATTTTATCCAGTATGTAGCCCTAAAGAGATTCTCCCCTCTTCTTTTAAAAGTATTTTAGACAGGTATGTTGAAGAGGGTCGCGTCTAAAGGGTTCTCTCAAACACACCACATGACTAAAACAGCACTTAAACTAAAAAAACGGAATTAATTTGACAGGTTTTAGCAAAGACTGTTACACATCAACCCAACACGGGACACACCCCTCAGTTCTCACCAGCAGCATGTTGCACTCATCTTGCACAAAAAGACCAGTCCCAGTGAAATGCTCATAGGAATCCATCATCACACAAGCAGTAAATTACTGGCAAATAACGGCATTTGATGACAAATGAATCACTCTCTCTACTGAGTGCACACAGGTTATTTTCTCTCACAAGATAAATATAATCATCCTCGGGATCTCTGGAGCAAGTTATAGTAGGCGGTTTTGAGTGTGTTTGCAGCCTGCAATGTCTTCGCTTTACCAAACTACCTCCTTAAATATCTTTCTAGACAAGAGTGGCTGAAAATTGCTGTGTGCGGTCAGTGATGACTCATGCTGATAGAGACTTTCTCCAGTTTTAACTGGAAGTTTTAAAAAAAACACACACAGCTGGATCTGTGAAAGTCAGTACCCGTTAACTGGTGACCTTCTTGTGACTGAGTCATCTGAGCTCTGATCTTGTGCCTCCTCTCTCCCCCTCTCTGCAGAAACAGCCTCATTAACAGACAGACTCCCTGCAGATGTTCTGCTGAGATCTGATGACTTCTCGCCACATTCAGCCGCCCAAATATCTGAACTGGGGTCAAGTTGGCTCTCTGTCCCCATCCTCAAACATTACAGACACTGTTCTCCGACCACCCCCTGCCCCCGTCTCTCTGTGATGACTCAGCTCGGAGTGTTCATGCGTTCACCTTCACCTCCTCAGCTCCACTAACCAGTAAAATGTCAGAAACGCCAGCTGGGCCTCCTGCCAGGACTCTGGTTTCAGCACAGGATCAGCCGCTCTGAGCGTGGTAATGAACTCTGAGCTGCTGTTTGCATCCAGAGCAGTAAAATCTCTCAGCACAGACTAACCTGACCACCCCGCAGGTTCGTCGTCTGCTGCAGGACTCACAGACGTCTTCTGAAACTCAGAGCTCCTGCAGGGAAACAGCTCCCACAGAAAGGAGTCAAACTGAGAACAAACACCTCAGATTTATGAGTTTTTATAACCCTGTGATCCACGAGCGCCTATGTCCTCTTCTGCACAGAATCAGCCAGCACAATCAGGTATATATTTCAGCACAAAGCTGTGATTCAAGCTCCTCCAGACAGAGATCATAAGTTTTAAAGCGCAGCCTCATAAAAGTGCAGGGAAAGATCAACACTGGGGATCCTAAAGAAATACAGCCTGAGCGTGGATGCAGGGCAGGAGGAGGGTTTAATACTGAAAAACATGTAAATTACAAAAAATATTATCCTGTGATCGCTTCAAGCAAAATATCCAAGACGACTCCAGACTTTACTTGTGAGATTAAAACCACATCAAGGTCATGTCTCAGTCTGAAGAGAGAACAGACTGTTTTTGTAACTTCATGACTCTCTCATTTCTGTCTCATGTGATTGAACAAACTATGAAATCTTATTCATGTTAAATGAAACTTGTGTTTGGGTTTGATTTTTCTGAAACAAGCTTCACTTTCTCCTGTCTCAGTGTTTACTGTAAGGAAGAGGTGAAGCCTGTTCAGCAATTTGCCCACTGTTATTATTTTCTCACAGATGAGGGCTGAACATAACTAAACAAAACTGATATTAAAATGTAGGTTTATGTGTGTTTAAACCATTACAGTACTACAGTATTAACAACTTTGGGTGCCACTTTATTATATTCATCCTAGTAATGTTGATTCTCTATACAGTAGGGCTGCTCGATTATGGCAACAATCATAAACACATCAAACATTTTTATAGTTTCTGAATCTTTTTTTAAGTCTCGCCCTCTGATCCTGATTTTGATTACAGAGGAAGTAACAACTCACAAAAAAATTCACTTTCTGTGCTGAGGGTGTGGACACTAACAGTAAACAGTCTGTTAGCCAGTGTTTCTATGACTCAGCAGTGTGGTGTGCATGTTTTCATTTTACAGTCACGTTTATTGTTCATGCACGTTCTCCGTATTCTTCTCCTGCTCCAAACCTCACACAGCTAAACCAGCTGTTCCAACTGTTGCCAATACTCGATTTTTGCTACTAAATGCAGTAAGCTATTGTCTCTTCTTTTGGTGCAGTCAGCGAACAGCTTTTACGTCTACTACTGCCACCACCTGGCAGGAGTACCACATTGCAACCAGACAATAGTAAAAACAGAATTGCGATGTTCCTGTTCTCTTTGTATTAGTACAACAGATCACTGATGCCTGGCTGTTAATTCCTGCTACAATTTGTAACACCTGCAGAAAGTATTCATCATTTAAAACAAAATACTGAATAATTTTGAGTTGTCCTTTCAGCCTCACAAATTTTGCATTACTTTTCACCAGAATGCAAGAAATTGAGTGTATGCACTCAAATTTCTTTGAGTAGCTACAGTGATAGATATAAAACAAAAACCTGTAATAAATTATTGATCAAGATTCCAGAGAATAAGGCTGACGCATTTCAGACGTAAACAGTGTGAGGAGTCCAGCCCTGACTTCCTGTTGTCTTTCTTGAGGTTATCTGGTTCTTTACTAAATTTCCCCACCTTTACTTCCATGTTACAAAATTTCTTGTCAAGTGTTTGCATGACATTCTTGAACCACATGAGAACAAAAGCACCAATCAGTACTCATTCACAGGAAAACTTAATGTTGGGCTACAGCCTGCAGGTTCCATGAGCGTTTTAAGGATTATGCTTTTCTTAATGACTGTAATTTGTTAACTGATGTGTAAAGAATTTATTTGGAGTTTTCTGTCTGCAGGTTTTATCCTCTTTTTTTATCCTCTAGCTCCAGGCTCACTTTTCTTGTTTGACTTCCTTTACTTTATGTTTGAATTTCTAAAAAAGTGACTGAGTCTAGAACTGGAGAGGTTTTTTCCAAACTTACTAAATCCTAATTTTGTGCTGCTGAGCTCGGATTAAAACAAATGTAAAGTTTAGCCCACGCAGCAGTTTCCTCTTCAGTTCTGAAGGAAATTACAGACATTTCCAGAGAACCAGATGGAGGAGGTGACTTCACACTACAGCAAAAAATGTCACATTTCTGATTTCTTAGTCACCCGGAGGTGTGATATCAGGCACAGAAAGGTGTGGCAGACCCCGTGCCCGCAAAGCATGCTGGGATTTCAGCCCTTCGCAGAGGACAGCAGACACGTGACCTCTGTTTTTAGAAATAAGACTCACAAACTGCATTCCTGTGAGTCACAGCAACTGAAACAAGAAACTGGAAAATAAATGCAGCAAATGAACCAAGAGGATTAAATGCAGTCCAAACAAAGTGTCTTCAGATAAGAATTAGTGGTCTTAGAGCTTTATCTGGTTGATTGTTTAAATAACTGACAGAAAAGGACAATATGTGATTTACTGTTAGCAGTCACAACAGCAAGGTGACCTGCTATTATAGACACAAAAAACAGCTGTTCCAACCAGAGCTTGACACACAATTAGTAGCTCACCAACACTTTACACTGCAGGGCTACAACCCCGGACTATATTCTGCTTCATTCAGTCAGGTGTTGGATCAATAAAAAGCTACAAAATGTTCAACAAACATGAATGAGTGTTTCCTAAAGGCTAGCTTATCATCCATACAGGTCTTTTTTTTTGCCAGCAAACTCTAGTACTGCCATACGAGAAGAAGAAACATAAAAATAACAAGAATTAAAACATCCTGTATATGGAGCTTGTAAAAACGGGGATTAGAAAGAGTTCTGACAACCAAGAAAAAATTAACCAAACAACCCAAACACAAAAAACCACAGCCTAACCAATATGAAAAAAAGTTCAACAACTGAGAAATCTGTTACTGAAATCGAAACCAACAGATTTTACAACCACGGGAGAACCCAAACAACACAATCAACCTATAAAACATGAGAACCTAAGAGCAGAAGACGAAAACCAAGCAGCTAAAATATAGACAGAAATGATTTCAGAAATAGGATGAGATGGAACTAATAAAAACAGTTCAATCTCCTGTTTAATTTATGTAAATTGTGGCGCCCCCTGTAGACCCCTTTGCTAATCTCCCCTCTGACGTTTGACAATCAGATTTTGAATTTATTGTCAGTATTTGATGTGAAAATTATCAAACAGGCTGTTTCTTTAGCTGCTTGGCTGACATTTTGTTTGTATTTGGAGAGGCAACAAAATTAGTAATTTTTCTTATATAAAAACATCACAGAGTAGATTTGGTAAATTAACATCTCATTCATTTAACAAATGTTTTTACACAACCTTTATAACCACTTCCATTTATAACCACTCCTTTACATATTTGAACTGCAGACATCATCCTCTCATCTGACATGTACCTCTGTACATGGTTATTTATGTTCAATACATACACATAACTCACCTGTTATATAATGATATACTGTATGCATATATTTTTTAATCACTCAGCATTCCTCTGTGCCCCTCACCATTGCACAAAAGTCTGAAATATATTTATTTAGCGAGCCTTAAGTACTTTTGTAAGTGAGTCAAACTGTGTATTGCAAACTGAGTATTTTGATCAAAATGTTCACACATTTGTACAGGTCCATATGATATTAATATTAAAGCTGTATGATGGATATTTTTTGAGCTATGACATTAGTTCAACATCAGTAGCTACCGATCAAATGAATGGCACCCATCTGCCATCCAGATTTGCATGGGTGGCTTCAAACATCTCAAAAGAATAAAAGCCACATCTTAGATCCAATATAAATCAGGATTCATAGGCTTATATTAATTATGTTTGTGTAGCTTACAAACTGAATGACTCACAATGGTCAGAAAACTGGGTTAAAATGAGAAATTAACGACTTAAGCTAGGCTGTTTCCGCTGGCTGCTTAAACTGGCAACTCAACAAGTGGTCAACCATGTTTTCTGAGGAATTATAAATATACTTCTTATTGTTTGACTTTAACCCTTCAACTAAAATATGATTGTTAGGGTGTCTAGAAATGATATCTGGACAAAATTTTTTACCTCATCTTTTAAGCATACTTTTTGTCATATCTGAGGAGCTGCACGGCACCGACTCACTTCCGCTTTATCAGCGACTTTCAGATGATATTATTTTTGTGCAGCAGTACCACCCAGCGGATATAATTGGTATTACATCCGCAATTCATTGAGGTGAATGGGGATCAATTGCCAAAGATTAGCTTTTAAGGTCCTCACGTCTTTAAGAAAGGTAAATCTGAATGTCATCGGCATGTCACTGAAAGGAGTTGTTGTAGGGCAGCATTTTTGGCTAAGTGGCAGCATGTCAACAGAAAATAAATCAGGATCCAGAAGTGAACCTAGTGGAACACCACATGTAATGTGGTGTAAAGAGGTGGAAGATGAGCAGCTGGTGATCGATCTATGTACTTTGAATGTCATTTAATGAGTTAAACAGACATTAGTGCTATTCATAGTCAGACATCCCACAACTATCATCTCCTGTACACAAATATGTGTCCAAGCTATGTCAAAAAAGAATCACTGATTGTATTTTAACGGTATAGAAAACTGAACTTAACCTCTATAAACTAAAGCATGTAACTTTTACTCCTGCACCTCACCGTGAGTGAATCAGAAGGGAACTCAAACATCTCTGATAGAAAAAAGACAATAAATGTTTTTGTTAAATGACCAAAAATCAAAGTCTTTTAACAACTAGCTAGAGTTTATCAACAACAGGAAAGAAAGTAGAAACCTGTTTGAAGATTTTCTCCACCGAATTCCTGCTCCCACCAGCTCGTCCTGTGGCCTGGTGGTTATATTTTGTTAGTTTCTAACTGAATATTTGTCATTTTTTCTGCAGATCTCCTGGTATCAGGGGATTTTGTAACGCTCAGCAGAGAAACAAGTTAACAGTGATGTGTAGAGTCATCACACTGGCAAGCCTCCTCAATCTGCTCTTTGTATTCAGCTCTCACTCCCACAGAGTCCTCAGACCACTGTGTTTCTGCTGCCATGAATCACTCCACCTCTTATATCTTCATGAACTGTCTTAATGTCTCCTCTTCGGGCTGCATTGTTTTCTGTTAAAAGACAACCACAATGTCCTGATAACCACCGCAGCCACCCGCACAGGTAAAGGTGCAATGGCTTTCAGATTAATTGCTTTGACACTTACAGCTCTGGAGAAGGGATGCACTGATACAGAGACTCATTTCAGCTCAATACTGATTCAGAAAAACAAAACACATTAGGCTGAATTTAGTGTTTAACACTAACCGCTCCACATCTGCTGTATTACAAACAGAGCAAACAGAAAAACTGTACAGGTGTAAACTGTATCACATATGTTACCTGTTGCAGGGGTCAAATAAGGCCAGTCTGCACTTCCTAATTTTACTGAATGAGATTATTCTGATGGAAAAAACAAAAATGTCCCTGCTGCTCATAAAAAGAGACACTTTCTGCAAATAAATTCAACCAAAGCATTGAAAATAACCAGCTTTCTAACTTTTGAATCATATTTCTAAGGTCTGCTGTTAATAACATGATCAGCCTAAATGATGCAGCAAATCTACCGTTACAAATATTTTATTCCACTAAATCAATCATACTTATTTATCTAGCAGTCTCCTTACCATTGAAGCATCCAGTTATCCCCCTCAAGAGTCCAGTTCTCTTTATCTGCAGCACGGTCAAACACTGAGTTCCTTGTTCTCTGCACTAAAATATCTCTCTGGTTAGTCATCTCTCCACTTCCTCTCTGCAGCTTTCAGATCAGTTTAATCTTTCAACATCATCACGGGCCGTGCCGCCGCTGAATCATGGCGTTTATGGTCATTAGTCATCGTGTCAGGGCTGTGGATGATTTACTCTGCTTCTTATTGATAGTTTACTGTCTGTTATTCTCCTCAACGCACAAAGACACTGATTATCTCACAAAAACCTAAACTGTTTTACTATAGCATGACAGAATAATCAATTCATTTCTAAAAATTAAACCGTATTCTCTAAGACTTAAATATCTACATTTTTTTAATGCAATTATCTCCTGCCATCCTTACTCACATCCCTCTCATTCATGTTGAAATGTTTTAAATGTGCATGCTGCCTTCCCAGCTCTGCAAAGTGAGGCCAATAGGAAGGGGCCTTACTGCTGCATTCTCTCTAACAGCCACCAGGGGGCAACTACCACTATCCCTGAGGCCTACATCCCATTCTTAAAGACCAATCAGGTGAGCAGTTTGCATAGGCCACACTCTTTGAGGTGTCCATTCTCAAACAGCAGGACTATTCGTGATGTTAAATGTGGTTTTTTGCAGTGGAGCAACTTAAAACTGAGAAGTAAAAACACATATAAAAATATTGTAAAAGTGGGAAATTGTTCATTTCTGAGTACAGTTTAATAACTCCCCTTGGTTGTACATTAAAGGGGGGATGTCATGCATTTTTTCAGACTCTACATTTCTTTTCTGATACCTCTTTAATAGCTTAACATGATTTTCAGATTTAAAAAAAAAACTATCAGATTTGAACTAATTTATTAGATTCATCCACCTACAATCATTAATGCTGTCAGCCAATATCAGTGTGCTGCAACTCCCTCTAAACCTCAAAACCAGAGAAATCCTGCAGTTAGTGACCGCCGAACAGCATTTGCAGCCCCTCAGTGAGGATGAGTGAGAACATGTTGACCTGCTGGTGGAAACTGACCAGTCCTCCCAGTCCTCTCTGTCTTCCTAGTCCCACAGAACACTGCTGGCTGTCACAGCTGACACGTGACTAATTTTAGACCACTATGTGACCTTGTGTGCCCAGGAATCCTCATAACAGCCCCGCAACACGCCCACCGCCAGCCAAGCCCCCTGTGACACACACACACACACACACACACACACACACACACACACACACACACACACACACACACACACACACACACACACACAAACAAACACTGCCCCTAACAGGCTGACCCCTGCAGCCTGCTGCTGCTGTATTTGATGCATGACATTTTCACTTATACATACAAACACCTACATACCAGACATACACACACACACACGAACACACACACAGTTCTGCTTTCACACTACATAGGAATATGCATGTGATGTTTTTTGTTTTTTTATTATCATAGAGGCCACAGAGGAGGTTCTGTACCTCATTGTCTAACAGAAAGCCAAGTTGGATTACTCTGAACGATTTCTCACCATGTACTGAATTATTTTCAAAGTGTTTATGAGGCTGTTTGATCACTTTAAAGGCCAACAGTAATGCCCATGTCTTAACATGACTTGCAGAAAGAAACAGGACCATCTGAAGGAAGTCTGGTGATCTCTAAAGTTATTTCTCTGCCTGCAGTGTCAGTGTCAGATGAGGTAAGAAATGGGGCTCTGCAGGGACAGCCTTTTTGGAAAATTTCCACCTAAAACAGTCCCTGTGAGCTGCATGAAAAATATTTAAATATATAAGGATAAGAGTTGTAAGAAAACACCAGACTGAGTGCATTTTCAAGGACTTGAGTATTCCAGCTATGAGTCTTATTCCAGTTTTGAAAGTGTTCAGGGTTCAGCAGGATGAATACTGCAGTTTCTGATAACTACTAATGTTTCTTCAGGACTTCCTAAGGTGATAAGGGAATGTGCTCTAGACAAAATCTGGTTCCAACTCGACTAGCCTTAAATTAATTTGCCTTTATACTTAATAGTTTCCTTCTCATAGTTGTCTACTGAGTTGTTCCAAAGCCACAACATCACCTTAACCTTGATAAATTTTGATTTCCTTCAGGGAACTCCCAAATGGATAAATAAAGTTGTATCTAATCTTATCTTACAGTTAGTCCATCAGTTCTGTTCAAACAAGCAGAAGTTCACATAAACACTCAAACCTGAAAGTCAGGGCACTGATGGCATGATGGTCCCTGGTCACAATCACAGTACATCAAACAGGAGCTCCAGGTAATAGAGACCAGGGAGCAGAAAGTTTTTCTGATGGTGTTGAAGTTTGAAATAAAGTTGTTTGGTTATCTTCCATCTGTTATTTGCTCAAAAGAAGAAAAGAAAAATTTGGACAAAGTTAGGCACTAGATATTGTGTTTTTTTAAGAGGGTTAGGTGAATATAGTATATGCCATGGTACCCTTTTTTTCTTTCAGATATTTGATGATGTTTGGTCTGTTTTTATTATATTTATCAATTGATTGTTGTCGAATTTATTGCACATTTCTCACTCTTGTATCTGAAGATGTTACAGTCATATTTTGACACTGCAATTGTTATTTTTGTTTTCCTCTTTTTGTATTTGTTATATGTTGTTTCTCTGTGTCATGACTATAGTTTGTAAGTGCATTTAGCAATAGTAAGTAAAAAATAAATAAATAAAAAGAGAAAGAAAGAAAGGGGGAGGAATATTCGGGGCTGTGCAGAAGTCTGCAGGACTTTGCTGTTTTGAAACAGTATATCCCACTTAAAGCTCTTTAATGTTGTGTTAAAGTGCAGCATAACTCCATGTAAGCAGCAGAGCATTACACCGAGCTGGCAGAGACCTCATGTAAATGAAAACTGTGACCTAGTGAACAACTGGAGTAGAGTTTCAGCCTCCGTGCTGGGCTATGAATATACTTCTGACCAATGTGCTGGTCTGACTGAGAACTTCTACCATACAGCACAAACAGCGGGTAAAAACATGTTTTAAGAGGACAGGAGCAAAAGTCGGTGCAGCTTGGTTTCCGTCCGGGCTGCACTGAGTAAATATCATTTCCATATGTCGCTCAGACTGACCGTGGAGCTGAATGTATCTTTCACACAAACCGAGCTTCAGACTGAGTCCAAACTAACTCCCAGACAGATACATGACAACAAAGCTGAATCATGCCCAAACTTTGGAGGTCTTTGAACGCACCACAGAAAGCTCTGCGCAGTGAGCGCTTCATGTCTTACCTGCAGAGGAGTCAACGGCGTCCTGCAACTTTCTGACCGCTTTCCACAACTTTACATCGGCCTGTGTTGTTGAGCAATCCTCCCCCAGAGTCCCACCTTCTCTCTCTCTCTCTCTCTCTCTCTCTCTCTCTCTCTCTCTCTCTCTTTCACTCTCTCTCTTTCTCTCTCTGCGGTTTGCTGCCACGCAGGCTGAGGGAGAGAGAGAGGAGGGATACTTCAAAGAGTAAAACCTCTGCAGAGTAAAGTTGTGGTGAGGCTGACACAAGTGTTTGTAGAAAAGTAGGTCAAACGTCACCCCTCTCTCTCTCTCTCTCTCTCTCTCTCTCTCTCTCTCTCTCTCTCTCTCTTCCTTACATTTGGGAGGAGTCTATTGTTTAATGAAATGTGATAGGAGTGTGTACATATGTCGCACAAAGCATAAGACCAACATTTTCCTGTGTGTTGTTCATTAGATATGGAAAGTGTTGGAGCAGACTTTGAGCATGATTTGAGAAAAACTGCTCCATCGGCTCCTCCTGTTGGCAGAAAACACTCATGTTGTCCTTTTGTAGTTCTATTGTAGTTATTCTGTATGATCTGATGGATATTTATGGGTTTCTGTAAACTGAATTGTTTTGGCCCTGGTGGCTGCTAGGGGAACTGTAGTCGGTAGTTTCCCTCCTAAATATGCATTAAATCAATGTCATATACCAAGAATGCTGTGTTTTGTCACAGCTTAATGAAATAAAGAATATATCAAATTAAATCAAACACATGTGATCTGACTTTGACAGTTTTCTGGCTGATTAATAACTTAAATGTCCAAAATTAGGGAAATCACTTCTAAAAGACTGTTATTGTCAATACTGTGACATCTTTTGTCCCAACTTTAAGACAGGAAATTTTAACTGGTCACCCATTCTTGAGAGTCGGGACAAAACATGTCCTACATAGAAAAGTCTAATTTATTCAAAACAATTAAGAAATTCTAAATGTTTGACATACTCAAAAAGTTAAGTCTAATGGATTTGTGTATAACAATCCTATTTTTTAGCACAGATATTTACTTTTTTGGGGGATATTTGTTGAAATGAAACGTCTGTGGTTAGAAGGTCCATGTTATTGCTTGTGTCCTCAGCAAGAGGTCACAACATTGAACAGCCCCAAAAAACTTTAAAAAACTCTATAATTGTGAAAACATATACATCAAATAAAAATTCAGGGCTATAAATATATGAACAATGAATGGCCTGAACATCAAATAGCTTTTTGCCTAAAAATCTGCCTATCAAAGTTGTGTCCTCAGTTTCTGTCAACTCCATCAGATTATTCTATAAACCTCATTAAATCATGCTATATCATGGTCAGCTATATCCCTGAGGACCCCTTTCCATTTCCTGCTTCCGATGAATGCAACACCACCACACATGGTCTGGAAGGTTTTACAGTTTTTGATATTTTAGACAAACAATATCAATATTTGTATGGTCACAGCTGGACCATGTCAACACTGTCTCTCCATTATTATACTTTTTTTAAACCATAGTGAGTTCAATTAAAGTATTTTAGTGAGATTATCAGGACAGCTAGCAACTGCCAAAAAAGTAGCTAGCTGCACTGTACAATAAATGTTTTGGAGGGAAAATACATGCCCTTACGTCAACTCCGTCAGACATCAACTCCGTCAGATTTTGTGTCTGACGGAGTTGACATGTAAGCTGACAAATCCACCTATAACCTCTTAATGTGCTGACATTATGCTATTTTTGAACATGGTTAAGGATAACAATGTTATTCCAGGGTCTTATCTGCACATAAAAGTACATATATTGCATATATTACGTTATTTTACTATATACTTCTGACTTGTAGAGTAGACCATGGGCAGGCTGTCTGCTTAATTATAACTGTCAAACTTTCCCAACACACACACACACACACACACACACACACACACACACACCTAATCTCATTGATTGATTGATTAATGTACAATCCTAAAGGTGCAGTATGTAATTTTCACTACCTAAAATCTACACACTGGCTTCTTATAGAGTGCGCAAGAAGTTCTATGTTGCTCTTTTAAACCCCAGTGTAGGTGGGATACCAGATAGAAGAAAACGGTTATTATTTTTACATTGTTAACTTGGACCCTCAGACCTTGGGCTCTATTTTTGTGTCCACCGGCGACATGGCGGAGGGTGGCAGTGGCATTTTCGTCTGGCGGAGCTCAGCGTACAGACAGTTTGGTATTTTCGTGGACTGAGGTGCACCGAGGTCCGCCAAGCTGGGCGTGGATGTGTGGCAGGGTGAGGTGTCCACAGAATCAGCTGGTGCAGTGACATTTTCGTACTTGTTGCCGGTGTGTACAGTGCGCTGAAAGCTCGCAGATTCAAACCTGGTCAGCTTTCAGCGCAGGTGGATCCGGATGGGCTAGTGGTATTTTGGGAGACCTGCGGCATATCAGCCTCACCAGCAGGTTTCCACAGTGTCAGGAACATTTCCGTGCAATAAATAATCAATAACAACTAATAATCTGTGTCAGCACATACATTTAGATCTATATTGATACATTCTGATCTATATCTGATCTGATGAGCGCATTTGGCATGCGTTTGGACACTCAACCTGACCAAATTAACACAGCTGCTGAATCCGCATGAAATTGAATCAAATATCTAGTAAATAAACACACATGATGAAGTTAACAAGATATTTAATTTGTCTGCCCCCATTTCTAGCTTCCTCTTCCTCTTATTTCTCGAGCAGCTCAACCTGGACATGTCTCCGTGTCCTCTACCCGTCCTGCTGCAGCTGCTGCTGCGGCAGCTGAACAGATGATTTGTTTCAGTGCTCAGATGAGTTTTTTTACTTTAAGCCTACATACAAATATTATAATAATCAGTTTTGTGAGCCAAATTTATTTTATATGCCAACATCTATGAAAGAAAGAGCCAGGCCACGGAGCGCGATTTACACACAGATTGGTTCCGATTTGAATGCCATTATTGGAATTTATGTTGTGACCTTTGCGCACAACCCACCTTTGTCACGTGAGATTTAAATATATGCAATTTAATGTGATTGTCTTTATTTGTGGAAAAGGGTGTTTGTCTTACCAGTGGGTCCAACATTACACACACCAAATCCATCTGTGCTTATATGAGACAGTGCGGAGGACGCCCAATGCAGCGCTTACAGTGACAATTGTTGAGGAGCTGCCTTCTGTCGCCATCGTGTGGCATTGCTGTCTTCAGACATATCTTGATCTCTTTGACTACTTCACGAAAATGGTAATACGCCTCGCTAGTGGCGGATTCAAAGGCGAGAAGAGCTGATGTTATTGGTCAATACAGGTCTCGGCTGTGTTAAACACACTCAACACCCTCTCTCCTCCCTCCCTATGACCTACGCCGCTGGAAGGAGCTGAGTTAGGGGAGGGGGGATACTTATGCCGGGCTGCACAACTCACCAAAATACGAAAATGTGCTTGGAAACGCCTTGTCGGTGCGGTGGTTAATTGCATTAACGGTATGTTCAGTATGAAAACAAGGAGTTATTAGTTCTTAATCTATTTTCACCTATTGACCTATTGTCAATCGGTTTAAAAACACATTTGTTCAATAACATATGCAACGTCATCAACTCCGTCAGTTTCTCGTCAACTCCGTCAGGTGTTCGTCAACACCGTCAGATGTATGTTTTTCTTCAATTTTGGAGAAAAAAAAATTTGTTTCTTCAGTTTATATTGTTTAAGTAATAAAGGAGCATTAGCTCTACATCCTCTTGTGTCTTATTTACTTACAGAAATTGTTTTTATAATATAAAAATTAAAAACAAAGTTTGAAAATGCAACTATTTAGAAATCTTGGTTTTCAAAATAGTGTGAAATCACACATTAGGTTTATATATTATATTTCATGGCATATCAGAGTAACTAAACACTATTACAACATACATCAGAACTTTAGATTCTTGTTGGACTAGAATTATTAAAATTATATTCTTTTTTGTGTGTCTGATGGAGTTGACACAAATCCACTGTCTAAGGGAAACATGTTAATTTATAGAAAAAATGTTTTTATTTGGAGCCTGTTCCTTTACGGGGTTAAATAGCTAAGACCTTTCTCTACAGTAATAAATAACTCTAATCAATATAGTGTGCATTCTCAAAAAAAGTTTTTTAGGAAGTGTTTTGTCCCGACTCTCAAGAATCCCTGTGGTAACATAACAGACTGGAATCAATGCTATCGTCTTTCTGCAACCTTCAAAAGCAAACGAGACCATATGTATAATGAGTATATAGTTAATTTCAATGTCTCAAACCTCTGGCAGGGGTAGGTGTCAGTCAAAGTAACTGGGTTGTCAATAAAGATGAGCTCTAATGATCCAGAAAAACTGTCTAACCTATATACTTATTGACACTTGTTAACATAAGAAACACATAGATCAAAATATTAAGTTGGCAGAACTTTTCTTCTGATTAAAATATACAATTTGACTCAATCAATTTACTTCTCTGGAGTAAAGTTGCCCTTCATTTTCTTCAAGTTGAAATACTGAGTTACTTCAACCTCTAATATTTGTCGGATCAAGATAAAGCTCCTGTGAGCTGACTGTACACTTCAAGCCAGATGCATTTTGTGACTTTCTGGGGGAAAGAGACGCATCCCGGGGAAGACTTTTCCGGGGGAAAGTCCCCCCTATTTATAGCCAATAAGAGGCGAAGGAGGGCGGGACCTTCCCTTAACAACCTACAGTGTCCCGGGTGGAAGTGATAGGACAAAAATGGGGTCTACTTCAACTTCAAGTGATGGCAAATTCGTTCTTCTTTTGCTTTCTCAAAAGAAAAGGAAACATGGCACATGGGTGCATCCAATATTTAAAAAAAAGAAGAGAACTCGATGAGTCTCACTGCTTGGTTCAGGAGCTGAAACTGTACCACGGTCGCTTCAGAACCTATTTTTGGATGTCCGTTGGACAATTTGAAGTTCTGCTGAAACAATTAGCTCCAAGTTTGAAGAGGTAGAAGACTAGACACTAGACACTAGTGTTGAGATGGCTTTTTGTCATGAAAACATGCACTGAGTCGGGGCCAGTACCAGATAAGCACATGAAACTATGGTAACAACATAGACTGTATATACTACGCAATCTTCGTATGCCCATAGGTTGTATCAAGTGTCAATCATGGAAAACATGAATCCCCTAATAACTTTTAAAAGCCGAGCTTCACAGAAAAAAGAGGACTTGAGGACAAACCAGTCTTACTGTAACTACATGTCAACATCACAAGCAGGGGGGAGAAAAATCTATGCTCTGTGTAATAAATTTCTAAAGTTTGTTCACAGCTCCATAAGCTTTGCTGGGGGAGGCGGGATTTATGACCTATAATGCAGCACGTCAACAGAGGGTGCTGTTCTCGGGGTGGCTTCACCCAGCGAGAAGGCAGACTGCGTCCATTCTATTTACAGTCTATGGGTAACAACTGTTAGCTTACATTAGCACGGATGAAAGTTAAAACAAAGATGTTTACCAACCTGTTAAAGCACACAAACCATCATCATACGAGAAATCCAACGCTATGACTCTCTACAAGTTGTCCTTTAGGTCGTTACCTTTGTAATGTTTGTGTAAACGATTATAAACAATCAGCCGGTCGGCCATGTTGGATATACCGGTGAATCAGCCTTCCCAACAACACGCAATCTGATTGGTCAGAAGTGGACACACAGTATGCGAAACTATAGAAAAATTGTCCACGATCCAAAAAAATAAATGCTGCAATATTGCAGAACGGGAAAACATCGCTGGTGTGAACGCTTGTATTGACAGGATACGGGTTCGAAAAAAAAATATTGATGTCCGAATTAATTGCATGACAAAAACGGTCCCGGTGTGTAAGGACCTTTACCCATGTTGGTGAAAGATATGTAAAAAGTGTTTAGGTTATTTATTTATTTGTTTATTTGTTAATTTATTTATTGTCAAGACAGACACCTTTATTAGTAATTTCACTTTAGTTGAAAACCACTGCCAAAAAACCCAGAGAAATTGACAGCATCCATCTAAATAAAAAAATAAAAGTCATAAACCTTAAATTAAAACTTCCAAAACTCGGGTTTTATCTCTCAGGTAACTGTCACAAGTGAATAACGGTAACTTTATCGCACTCAAATCACAAGACTCGGTCGTCGACCCTGAAATGCATTATGGGGGCTGAAGTTTGGCTCATGACACGGACCTCCGCGATGGCGCGTTCCAGCTTTAAAAAAAACTACAAGTCCCAGGCATCATCGCAAGACAGAACGTGATCTTCGCGTGTAGACGGACCATGGCGCTGTGTAGCTCTGTGTGACAGGTTAGCATCCGATCAACACCTCCGGACTGACGCGTCTGCGCACTGAGATCCTCCGCAGACGGCCACGGCGGGGTGACACGCAGGGATGGGGTCCCGAATCAAGTAAGAGCGATTATCCGCTGCTTTCACTGAGCACGTTAGCCTCCTGCCGCTAAGCTAGCTGTGTTTATGTGAGTCATTGAGGAAGAAGCAGCTCAGTATGAGGCCCTGACTTGTTGCGACAGAGAGGCTAAAAACACTGAGCTGCTGATCTAAGTTAGTGCAGAGGACAAACAAAGCGTTTAAATAGACAGACTGATCAGATATGTTAGCAGGAAGCTAACAGGCTCAGACCGTGATAAACACAGAACAGTCAGGCTGTGTTCGAGCTTGAACAGCTGATGTAAACACGGTACTGAACCCGCTTTATTAAACAGAAGCTTGATGTCAGGCCAGAGGAACCGAACAGAGAGCTGAGGGTGTTTTCCTCCTCCGGTGTAATAATGTAAATATTGCATTAAGGATCTGACTCATCTGTCAGGAGGGTTTGGCACAGACACACGTTTCATTTGAGGGTTTTGCCTCTGGGTATTGGACTGTTCAAACTACAGGGAGATTCAGGAAAGTTACTGACATGTCTGCACATCCACACTAATATCAAAAGTAGTAGAGTGAAGATTTTTACTCTCAGCTGGAAGATGAGCCCTAAAAAGGTCACCACATCAGTCTGTAATGACCATTATCACAAAAAAATCAAACTCTGTCAAATGTAAAGGTAGATTTTCGCTCCTAATTGAAATTAACCATTAACTAGAGAAACATTTCACAATATATACTGTAAATATGAAACTGCTCTTGAAATGCCTGATGTGGCTCTAAATGTGTGGTTTGTGGTGCTGTAAACTGTGCCGTAAGAGTTAGTTGCTGCGAAGTCTCACTTATTTGCCAGGTTGAGTGTCTTCTTGTTGACAATACTCCTTCCTCTTCCCTTCCCTCTTCCTCTATTGTTGGGTGGCACCCCCCCCCCCCCCCCCCAACACACACACACACACACACTTATTTTTTTTCCACAGCTGCACAGTGTCCAAATAGGGAGAGGGCAAAATGTGTACTGTACTAAATTGTCCATACATTTACTGCATCACTGGCCCTAAATATCAATATCATTTTCAGTGCTTAGAGGAAGTTAAATAATGGATAAGTGAAAACGTTTTGCAGCTAAATGCAGACAAAACTAAATGGTACCGAGACAACATCTCGGTACCATTTAGGAGCAGCGCACGCCCCTTGTAATAACCCCTGTAAAAACTGTTGTTCAGGACTGCTTACTTCTGCTTCCTACCCATTCGGCCACTGTAATAACCGTTGTTCTAGCCTACACGCAACATTTTTGTTCTCACTCATGAAACGCTTAAATCGGGGACATTTTTGGGGACAGCTTTTGCCGGGGACAGGTCATCCAATTAGGGGACTGTCCTCAGAAATCAGGGATGTCTGGTCACCTTAGACAAAACGGAAACACTGGTTACTGCCCCTGATGACTCAATTCCAGGGATTAAACAGTACTTGGGTGACTTCGGCCAGTCAGCTAAACCTAGCCTAAGAAACCTGGGTGTCATCTTCAACAATGACATGTCCTTAGTGCAACACCTTAAACAGTTGATGAGAAACTGCTTCTATCAACTGAGGTAAATCTCTAAGATTAGGAAAATGGTGTCGCAAAATGACTTTGAGCTCATCATTCATGCCTTTGTCGTCACATTTAGACTACTGTATAGAAGCAGCTGAAGGTATTCTGAAGTGTTGGAAACAGACAGCAGAGGCATTACTAAATATCTTTATTTAACAAAAATACATCTCTATTTTAGGATCAGTTTAAAAATTCTGGTCCCAACATTTAGAGCCTTGCATGGTCAGGCTCCATCTTACATTTGTGATCTGATCCAGCCTTACACCCCCCCTCGGGCTCTGAGGTCCGTGGATCAGAATCTGCTGATAGTTCCATGCACTTGTTTTTGGACCAGAGGAGACCGATCCTTCCAGGCTGTTGCCCCCAGACTTTGGAATGATCTTCCTTTCTCAATGCACCTAATTGACTCTGTTGACTCCTTTAAAAGCCAACTCAAAACTTATTTATCTGCTCAGGCTTTTTTTTAATTGTTTTGGGGCTGCTATGACTGTTTAATGTTGTTGTCTTGGCCTTTAAATTTGTTTGTACATTTTTTATTTTTGTCTATGTGAAGCACTTTGTGACTCTTTTGTCTGTGAAAAGTGCTATACAAATAAAGTTTACTTACTTACTTACTACTTCCTAATATTTCAATTTAAAAACAGCTCTGTAAACAGATTTATTCAGTCAGTGTTGCACTGTCATGACTCCTCATAGTGCAGCTGCAACATAAATTCTGCGCTCGTGTTCATGAGACCCTGTTGCATCATTATTAATATCTCAGCAATATTCTCAGCATGATTTTGGAGTTGGCTGATAACACCTGAAAAAGTTGATAATTGTACCAGTAGATATAAAATTTCTGCAGACATAGTTATATTGCAAAAAGGTGATGCATTAATCATGTGCTTGTGATGGCAGCTCACACGTGTTGGCTGCATTGAAGTGTCTGAAGGTATTCTGAAACAGACAGCAGATGCATTACTAAATATCTTTATTTGACAAAAATACATCTCTATTTTATGATTGAAAGAAAAAAACTGCCACAGCCAGAGCGATAGGTAAGGAGAAACTTACAGTTAAGGAAAAGTTGTGTATATCTTGGTATCAATATCGGTATTGACCGAATGAGTTTGAGGACATTGGAATGTGAGATATTGGCAAAAATCCATTATTTTGCATCCCTCGATAATTGGTATATTGTTGTTATCGCTGTATTCACATGTAAGATCAGTATATTTCTGTCTTGTCATGCAGTTGTGGTACTTTTTAAATCTTAAGTAATACATAAAAAGTTTAGGATTGTGTGATCCTCTAATGTTAATATTCAAAGTGGATATGTTTAATGAGGATGAACATGCAGACAATCCCCTGAGTTTATCCAGACTGATCCAGATTCAGAATCTTTTTTTGTTCTCCCAGAGTTCAGCATGTATGTTTTCTTTCCAAAGCTGTGTTTGATTGGATCAGCCTGATCCAGATACAGACTTTCCAAGATTATCCACTTTATTTGGATTACCAGCACTTCAAATTGGACTACATATCCCAGTGTGCACCACTTTCTCTTAAAGAGTTTGAAAAGGATGTACACTTGCTGCCTGAGATTTTCAGTTTGTTCTTGAATGCTTTTTGTCCCGTCTTTCTCAGTATAAATTAATTTCACTTTGTAGTTTATTCATTATAAACCCCGGCTGTGTGTTGGCAGAGGTCTGTGGAACTGAAATGTGTCCTGATCCAGGGTGACAGTTCCCTCTACTGTGATATGAACTAACACAGAAACAGGACAACATGTTCTGATTCCTTCAAACCTCAGGGAAACAGTCACAGTATATAAAGCACACAGCTCAGTTATGAACTAGAGGTAAATAAATGATATTTTTAGTGAATCTGAGCAGAGGAATCCTCTTGTTTTTCTCTGAGTCTGGGTTACATCAGCTCTAGATTGTCACCTGGTACACACCATGTTTCAGCATCACAAACAGACAGTCTGTCCCCTCAGAGTGTCTGGCTGTATATTTTTGGCCTTGGGGAGTGAGTGTTTTTGTTAATTTCAAGACAACCTTTTCCCTGTGTTTTCACTCAGAGATGGATTATGTTATTGTGTATTCTCTCTCCTGATTGGTGTGTTCGCCTCACCTGACCATGTAAACTCTGATCTCTGCTGTTTTCATCACGCTGAAGACAGATTACTGCTGAAAAGCCTCTGGTTGTTTTGCCGACATTAAAACCGAATATAATCAAAGTTCTCTTTGGAAGTCAAACAAGTATATGCCAAGAAGGACAAACATGCAACTGAGCCAATCTGAGGTGTTCTCAAAGGTAGTGTGAGTTTCTGTCCACTCTGACTTTATTTGGTCTGTTTTCACCCTGCATCGAGCCTAAAGATCAGCCCTGTCTGTTGTGAAATGATGCTTGGATTTAGGAATATTAACACCGTCACAGAGCAGTTACTATGCTGTAACTGAGCGAGACAGCTGGAAAAAAAGATCCATCCTAATGGCTGGCACTTTTGGCTGTCCTACTATGAAAAATGAGAAGTAGTAATGAGCAGCTCTCCATCATGACTAGAGGTCAACACATTACAGTTTTTGAACAGCCAATGCTGACTCCAAAAAAGGGGTCAGGTTGTCCAATGGCCAAAATGACAGATTTCAGTGTTATTGTTTTGTTTGTTTGTTTTTGTTTATTGCGGCTTTCCTAGTACCTTTTAAAAAGTCGCTTGAGGCAGAGACTAGGTCCTGTATATTTGTGTGACATGCTGCTACTGTTCTAAAGAATTCACATTGTTCACATCAAATAAACTGCCTTGCTAGTAAAGGGTCTGTTTTGCACAAGTGCATAAGTGCATGCATGCACATCATGCAAAATGATGACATGCTTTATTGTGCACGTCAGTTATCTGTTGCACAATGATGAGATTAGTGTAGCTCTGATAATCTGGGTGGATGATCTCTTTGAGTCATTCTCTGCTGCACTGATGGTTTTCTTTTCAACGTTTCAAATAATTTGGTTTGAGGCAAAGAGAGAGCTATGACTCGAACACTGAATTTTGTCCTGAATGTTGTTGTATTCTGTCCACCAAGATTTTAGAAACATAAGTGCATAATGAACTCAAGTTCTGTTCAGGTGAACTAAAGGACAGAGCAGTAGAGACGCTGTGAGTAAATATTTGAAAAGAATCACAGAGCTTTGGTTGAAGACATTAGTACAAGACTCCTCTTCTTTGGTAAACACGCTCACCTCACTTTACTTCAGAGGGTAACAAAGGACATATTAATTGTACATTGTCCTTTCTGTGTTGTAGGGAGAGCCCTGAGTCCACGTTTGAGGTCTATCTGGAGGTGTCACAGCCAGGAATACACTCCTCAGGTGAGTCTGTGAAAGTTGTCCGAACATACATCGATCTTTTCTGTTTTTTTCTGGTGATAAAAACTCTTAAATATGTCTCCCAAGATCATATAATCTCCTAAAATTCTTTGTCAACTTCTTGAGTAATGAGTCAAAATTTTTCTCGTCACATCATAAGTCCAGTTTACAGACACCGACTGAACAGTTGAAATGCATCTCAGTTTCATACATGCACACATCACATCCTGGATCTTTATTTATGTTTGCCTAACAGGTTTTGTTATTGGACTTAAATACTCTAGAAGTACTCTATAGTAATTTGTGGTGTTTTTCTGCACTTAGATTAATTGAACAGTTATATTAATGCTCTCTATTTATTAGCACAGTTTCTGGATGCACAGCTCTTTATAAACAGGAGGCTTTTCTCAGAATTAAATAAGATTTGAAAGATTTATGTGACTATTTCCTGTCCTTAAGAGGTCAGATAAAATATTCCAGATTAGTTTTTTGTGGAGTTGCACTTTTCAAACAAACTGTAAAGGTTAGCAGACTCTGGTTTGTCTTAAAAAGTCCTGAATGAAACAGGTTTAGACCAGCTGTTTATGACTTCAAGATAAAATGATGGTTGGATTATATAAAGTCAATCTCTCTGTTGTCTCAGAGGTTTCTTCTTGCAATCTGTGGTTTGTGACTGATCAGACTTCCTGGGTACACAGGAATCGCTTTGTTTCTGAGAATCTCGTCCTGTTGGACTCTTTTTCCTCGCATCGCTTCCTGTTTAATCTTCAAGATACTCTGGCATGCAAAACCTGCACAATATACCTGCTCTGGAAAGTTTTAACATGCATTTTGTTCCAGTCTCAGTTGCAGACTAGCTTTACAAACATTTCATTACTTAAAGTCATGCTCAGGAGTGAACTTGTGATCTTTTTACATGCTCATAAATTTGCAATTTTTTGTTTATGCAGTCACATGCATGCATGTGTAAAAGCCTTACCTAAATACCCTTAAAAAAGTGTTTCAAATATTTTCGCTTTTTCAAACAATTATCTCACCAAGACCAAAGGTAAGACGCACACAGGGTCACCTGCAGGAGAAAGCACACACCTAAAACCAGCGAAACAGAGGATAAAAGGTTTTTGGTTTCTGTTTTATTCGACAAGTCCTCTACTGGAAAGAGACTTGTTGTTGGACTGAGATGCAAAACAAAAAGCACTCCAACTGCAAAGAAAGAGGTCTACACTTTGTTTGGCTCTGAAATAAGGAGTTTATTTCTATTTTTCCTGGCAACATTTGAACAAATCTGAGCTCAGTACAGCAGAGAAATAAACCACTTATTTTAATAGACCCAAGGTTTTTGTAACACCATGAAAATAATCTGCATCTATATGGGCCACAGAGAAAGAAAGCATAAAGTTTGTGGCTATCTCTTACAGTTTTTTTGCATCCACTTTTAAAAAAGCAGCACATGTTTGACATGCATATTAAAGAACATATAACATAATACCAGTGACTTACGAGGTCAAACACACGTGCCTCTTTATACTGTGGCTGTAAAACCTCAGTGTAGTCTGAGCATGGACTTTTTATTCATCTCTGGAGGGCGATCGGTTCAGCTGCAGCGGCAGTAAAAACAGAAACTCAGAGTGAGACAGAGAACATACCACACCACACACACATTAGCATGTGTCATAAAAGCCTACATAAACACAGAGGTTAAAGGTGAACACATGACACACGGTAGGAGAGGTGTTCATGCTCCACTCACTTCACACAGTTACAGTGTGAGATTGGACTTCTGTTGCAGCCTGTTTCACTCTGAGATGTTTGAGGTCTGTTCAAAAATGCATAAATCAAACTAATAGAGATATCTCGTTGAAAAGTGGTTAAAGGGGTGAAGAGCAAGTGATCAAAAATGGTGAAAAAATAATAAGATAATGTGGCAATGGTCTGTAAATTGCTCATTGGCTAACAGACCTGTCAATCATGTTGTTATACCCATTTATCTAATTCAAAACAAACTTGTCAGCAAGATGAACTCTGAGACATAAATCAGCATGATAAGAGACGACTATAATGACAGAAACTCTGCGTTGATTTGGGTTATGGAGGAGTGTACTTGTGACCAATACTGCCGACGGTCTGCAGGGGGCGCTCTACATGTCTTAGTTTCACTTTCATTGTGTTCATATTGCAGCAGTCGACATTTTACTGTGCAGAAATGTTCTTTTCCTGCTCACTGAAAAGAAAATATTTTGAAGCTGTCAGTAAAAATGAATCAGATACTGGGCTCTACAGAACTCCACTGATCAGTCAGTGTAGATTGTCTTGTTTGTTTAAACTTGCTCTGATGAGCTGAATTGACTCATTGCATGAGTTACAACAAGTTTTCCTCCAGAAGTTGTAAACTCCTCCTCCCTTTTTTTAACATGTGTGTTTGTGTGTTTCTCTCTAACAGGGCCGGAGGTGAGGAGACAGTATCCGCCAGATTATACAGACCAGGTCTGAAATACTTTATTATTCATATATAAACTGCATCTCATCCTCTGTCCTGAACATTTTTTTCTATCAGTGCATGTTATCATGAAATTAAATGCACTAGTTTATCTATTGATTTATCCTTTTGGACTTTTTTCCAGCAGAGTTATCAAACATTTGTGTGTTCATGCTACTAAATTATAAGACTGTATTGCTGGCAACACTTTAGTCAAATGTAATAATTTTCTTTTTTCCTAGTTTTTATACCAAATACATCAATAAAAAGTTCATAAACTAGACTTTGTATAATAACTGTGTGGTTCTGTTTTCTATGATCCTTTTCTTTCAGGAAACTCTGAACACGGTGCCCAAATTCTGCTTCCCCTTCAGCATGGACAGGTACAAGCAAACACTCCCTCACACTGTGTCATTGTAGCCAGGGTTAACTCTGCTGCATCATGTAGTTATTGCAAAAAGAAAGGGAAAAGAAAGACTAGTTTTGCATGTTGAAAGTGATTCATTACAGAAACTTTACAGCTGCAAACGGTCAGTTTTCTAACCCCACTGCATCTTTAGTTTTTCTGCACAGACTGAACTCATTAGAGCACTTCATAATAATGAGTTAATTACAGTCAGCAGAGATAAAAGAACATCCTCAGAGAGCTCAAAGCTGTCCTTCACACTCTGGGCTTATGAATGATCTAAACTCTGCCTCCTTCATCCTTACTACCTCCCTCCTCTTCCCCTCCCCCTCTCGTCCTCCCCGCTGCAGCCTGACAGTGAACCAGGTGGGGCAGAACTTCACCTTTGTGCTGACTGACATTGAGAGCAAACAGAGGTTTGGTTTCTGCCGTCTCTCCTCAGGGGCTCACACCTGCTACTGCATCCTCAGGTCAGTCTGTGCGTGTGTGTGCATGTGGTCAGCATTGCTTCAAATTTCAGTAAACTCAGCTGGTTGTCTCTAAGTTTTTATTGAATAGAGCTGGAAAAGATCACCTACTTACTTGAATAATGACCTTTTTCTTAGAGACTACTGATTTTATAACCAGAAGAGTTGCCCCAGCTGGACTTTAAAATACTACATACTGTGATTTTAATTTGTATACGAACAAATAATGTAATTCAAAACAACCCTGTCTGTCTCCTCAGCTACCTGCCGTGGTTTGAAGTCTTCTACAAGCTGCTAAATATTCTTGCAGATTACACCATCAAAGGACAGGTGAGTCACGTTTGAGGACGCTTCATTCATAAATCTGTCGCTCAGTTTTTTCTTTGTGTCTCAGCTCTCTGAACTAAATTTAAAAACTTCTCTATTTTAAGTTCCTTTTTGACAGATCTCTTTTAGCTTTGAAAATTGGAGAACCAGAAAACCGTGACCTTACTTAACATAGTTTCTGTTGAAACTGGTTTATATACATCCCTTTCTTGAAGACAGTCATGGCACAAGTTGTACTTTTGAAAATTACCAAACAACGATAACATGACATTTTTCTTTGAAATTTGAAGCATTTTTTTCTGTTTGTATTTTAGAAAGATCATCTTTTAATGAATTTGTTGAATGTTAAGTGTATTTCTTATTTATATTTCATGATATTTTGTGTTGTCTAAAGGCTTGTTGCATGTATTTTGTGTGTCCGTATACTCCAGGAGAGTAATTGGCACGAGCTGCTGGTGTCTTTGCACACTCTCCCCATCCCCGACCCCGGAGTCCCCGTCCATCTTGGCGTGGTGAGTCTGAGTTTAATTCACATCTCTGCAAACACACATCTGTGAACTGACAGTGAAAATACAGCAAATCCTTCTGTGTAACCAAACCTTGGTCTTTCTGATTCTGCACGGATAACCACAAAGACTTTATCAAACTCACGTCTCTTCTCTGCTGATGCATAAGGCAGAGTTCGTTAAGATTCTGGTTGTAGGTCGTCATCGCATAGAGGTTAATCATTCAGTTATTATTCTGCTCAAAACTCAGCGCTTAGTCTCATATTTCTTCTTTTTGATGACTTAGACGTCTCAGAAACCCTCTCAGATTTTCTTTATAAATCATACCCATGATGTACCATGTTTTCCTGTTGATTCTATGTCCACTGTCAAATTCTGTGATTCTGTTTGTGTATTCATACTGCAGAAGTTATGAACCCTAGATTATGAACTCCTGTACCAACATTGATTGTAGTCATTCCTGCAGAATAGGAGCAGACTGACATGCACATGAAGGCATATTGTATCTGAAGTGCGTTGGCCTTGAACTAAAATCCTGAATCTTCTCAAACAGATGATAGATGCTCATCTGCACCCAATACCAGCCATTAAATAAATCCACTGTGGATCTGCAGAGAGGCTGCCTCACCCTGTTAGGAGGAAAGATCTCTGGTTGTTTTGTCTTGTCCTGATCTTGTTGTTTTGTGTCTTTGCAGCATTCCTTCTTCACTGTGCCTGACACAGGGGAACTCCCCAGCATACCTGAGAATGTGAGTGCTGTCATTTCACTAATGCACAGAGATTTTTCGAAACAAAACACTCAGTCTGTGACATTTAACTGAGGAGAAAAGCTCTGCAGATTCAACTGACATGTTTCTATGAGAAGTCAGAAGTCAGGAAAAGATAAATTTCCTAAAAAGGGCTGATCAGTGAAAACAAACCAGGATGATCAGCATGTTAGAGGAGATGTTTTAATGCTTAAACCTGCAGGATTTTTACAGTAAGAAGTACAACATGCTTATTTTTACATGAAGCATCTCCTGGTTTGTCTGTTCAGGCCTCTACACACTATAAGAGATTGATGGATTTACATAGACAGATCCTGACAAAGAGGAAACACACTGACTCTCTCACTGTGTGTTCATGGCTGCCTGAGGTCATATGAATGTAATTCTTTGATCGTTCAGATTTGATTCATAGACATTATGACTTTTCATGTAGCTACAACTCTTTTTTTTTAATATAAGGACTTTATTTACATCACTGAATGTCGTCACTCTTGTGATATAATGGCTTTTTATCTTGAAATATGATGGCTTGAAAAAATACTGCTTCGTTTCTTACTACAAAATGACTTTGTTCGAAACACATCATTCAGATTCTCTTGATACATGATGACTTTTAAATGATGGCAGGACTTTTAGCCTTGGAATATAATGACTGTTTACGTTTTAACTCAAGAACTTTTTGACTCTTTTGAATTGTTAGATTATGATTTAGATTTATTACATATCGATCTTTTGATTGGAAACATGATGACTTTTTTCTTTGTTAGATAATGACTCTTCTAACCTGAACCATGATGACATTTTGACTCAAACCATGATGACTTTTTGAGTTTTAACAATGACTTTTGATAACATAATGAATATTTAACATCCAAAATTGAGATGTTTTAACCATCTATATGACTTTTTTATATACTGACTATTTCAATAGGAACATTATTCATTTTTGTCTTGTAACAAAATTACTTTTCCTAATTGAATTATAATGTCATTTTGACTTCTAACCTCATCACTTATGACATGTAACATTAAGATATCACAATTTTAGCAACTTTTATGTAATGATTATTTTAATTGGAACATAAAGACAATTTGACTGGAATATAACCGGTTCATTATTGTTACATGATAACTTTTTTCATTTGAAACATAATGACTCTTTGACAAACTTTATTCCTATGAAATTCTTTATTGTTGTACTATTCATATTCTCATTTTTTATGCATCCCCTACACTTGGTTGTGGAAAGCAAGTATGAAATGCTCAAAAAACATGTCAGGAATTTTACACAGTGTAATTTTTAATTGCAGCCTCTTCTCCGCTCAGACGATTGTGCAGATACAGTTTCCACCAGCTACTCTCTCTTATGATTCAGCCACAGTTTTTAGGACACTCCCATTTAGTCTGTTTTTCTCTTGTTTTCTTGCAGAGAAATCTAACAGAATATTTTGTAGCAGTAGATGTCAATAACATGCTTCACCTGTACGCCAGTATGCTTTATGAACGTCGAATCCTCATCTGCTGTAGCAAACTAAGCACTGTGAGTACATCCACCTCCTGTTTCCTGCAGACATCTCATCAATTACAGAGTTTAGCACGCTCATTCTGACTGTGATCCTGATGATTATATGTCACAGTTAACAGCGTGTGTCCACGGCTCTGCAGCCATGATGTACCCGATGCACTGGCAGCACGTTTACATTCCTGTCTTGCCTCAACATCTGTTAGACTACTGCTGGTGAGTACCATGCAGTCCTTTCAGACAACACTACTGTCAGCACCTCTGGACAATGACTGCAAAAACAGCTGTTATTCTTGTCATGATTTGTAGTAACTGAGAAACTGTGTCCTGTTTCAGTGCCCCCATGCCCTACCTCATCGGAGTGCATTCCAGCCTGATGGAGGTAGGTGTCTCTGACTGGGGCATGGAGTTGTTTTGAAGATTGAAATGAAGGATTTTAATGATTCTTGTTAGTGATGCTCTCTCTTAATCTCCCTCATAGAAAGTTCGGGGGATGGCTCTGGATGATGTGGTGGTCCTAAACGTGGACACAAACACTCTGGAAACTCCGTATGATGACCTCCAGAGTCTGCCAAATGATGTGGTGAGGAGCTGCAGCACTTTATACTCTCAGTCTTTAACACTGAAGTGTAGATTAGCAGCTAAATATGAGGTCATGTAACTACGACTTAATGTCCTTCAGGTTTCATCTTTAAAAAGTCGTCTGAAGAAGGTTTCGACGACCACAGGAGACGGGGTAGCTCGAGCTTTCCTGAAGAGTCAGGCGTCTCTGTTCGGCAGCTACAGGAGCGCCCTGCAGATTGAACCGGTCAGTAAATACTGTGGAGACTGAAGACATGAGACAGAGAGAGGGTTATGCACAATAAATTGTGATCTTAAAAACAAAATAGAAATTTATACTGGATAAATTAGTTCTTTTTAGACAATTAAAATGATACAAACACACTTTAACAAGAGCGCTCCAGGCCTGCAGGGGTCAGTAGTGACATCGCTCTATTATGATGTGATGATTGAATGTTGAAGCGCTTTTGAAAGAGTAGGCCTTGTTGGATTTTACAGGATTATACAATCTGCTATCAAAGTGTGCGAGTGTCGTTCTGACCATTGCTACGCCTTTGCAGTAACTTCTGTAAATGTAAACAGTAAATTGGAACATGACAACCTTTTCATGAACTCCTTGTGGTTCTGGGTTCAAATACTCCAGGATGAAAGAAGGTCTCATTTTCCAACAAAAAACATATCTCCGAAATGTTTCATGATATGAGGTATGCTACTGCAAATACAGAGTGCTGCTGTGGTCCTCTCAGTTTTTTGGACATGTGATAATAACCAGCTGTGTGGGTCCAGGATATAAACCAGGACGTCTGCGGCTCCTTGATAGTCGTTCTGTTTTCTGTGTGTTTTCAGGGAGAGCCGATAACGTTTAATGAAGATACGTTTATCAACCATCGTTCCAGTGCCATGAGACAGTTTCTGCTGAACGCCATCCAGCTGCAGCTCTTCAAACAGGTACACGCACGCACACACACACATGCACACGCCTTCAGTTTCCTGTAGCGTTCTAACGCGTCTCTGATATTTTCTCTCAGTTTATAGACGGCCGTTTGGACCTGCTGAACTCAGGAGAAGGTTTCAGTGACATCTTTGAGGATGAGATCAACATGGGGGAATATGCAGGTGAGACGACACACACAGGTGGTCTACTTCTATCATCACAGGGGCAATGAATGCACATTATATTTCCAATAATGCACTTGAAGGATTGAAAAATAAAAGAGGAACCATTAATCATGTGTTTGCTTCTCTTCTTATTTTGTCTTTAAACTCTTGTTGGATTAAAAATTACAGCTCAGCCGTTACCCAGCATGCACTCAACTCAAATGCTGCTAACCTTCTCCTGTTGTATCTCCTCATACAGGCAGTGACAAGACCTACCACCAGTGGCTGTTCACTGTGAAGGTGCGATGATGCAGACACCACTTGATTTATTTCACACAATGATAGAGTGTGGCTTTAGCTTAATTTTGATAGGGTGGCACAGCCTGATTCTGTGAGTCTGTGGCCATGTCTCATAGGTCATTTGGGGTTCCTGGGAAGTATGACCATATCTCATATTTTTTAATTTGCATCCAACATTGTATCTGCTTTTTAGCTGGTCATGAAACAGATGAAAAGCAAACTGGACTATCAGCTACAATATTGGCTGTGATTTTAAATATCTGAGACCTCTGTGAGGGGTAGGTGTCACAGCAGAAAAAACTGCCTTTTTATATCATAAACAACAGTTCTCATCTATCGATACAGCTGATTGATAAGATAATCAAGATTCAGCTCTTTGTCAGTAAAAATGACTGTGGATTATAAAAAACAAGGACAGAAGAGTGACCAGATGTTCATCTTTGTATATAGGGGGCGCCAAATTAAACACAAACCAAAAGTTCCTCACAGGAGCTTTAAGTACATATAAATATAACAGGTCTCCTTTAAAGTTTTTCTAGCTTAAAGCAGTTAAAATCGTTCATATGCTTATCCTGCTCATCTGAGATTTGTTTGCATATTTTTGACAGAAAGGGGGCGGGGCCATCTTTAACACAGTGAAGACCAAGGCAAACCCAGCCATGAAGAATGCCTACAAGTTTGTAAGTACAGGCTTGTTAACACCGTGTCATCAAACTCTGATCATTCAGTGATTGTTTTCTCTTTTCTTTGTTTTGTTGTTAATGACAAAGCTGCGAGGGGCACTTTAGACCAGGGTGTACTTGAATTTGAATTTAAACTTAATTTTTGTTTCATTTATTTAAACATAAAGACTATTTTAGAAGATTGTGAGGGAGAATTTCCTTGAAAGAAATAAAAAAAAACATAGAGAGAAATTTAAACATAGATACAGTTGTAGGGTGACACTCTCCAAGCAGCACATTAAAGTCAAAAGTCAGGCTTGCAGGTAAAATTTATTAGCTGGTTACCCTTTTTTCACTCTGCAAACATCTATGTCATGCAGAAAAGAGCCTCAGCTATGGTGAGCTGGTGCCATCTGTTGAAAGTTAGTGAATATGGGCCAGCACCAGGCTTCATGCAAAGACAGCTCCTGACTATAGACTTTGTCAGAAATCAGAAAGGGATGAGTAAAAAGGATCTGTATTTATTTGTCTTTGTTTTCAGGCTAAGGACCACGCGAAGATGCGAATCAAGGAGGTGAAGAGTCGACTAAAGCAGAAGGTAAGGAGCTCCATGCTGAGAACAGACTGTTTATTCACTTAATTTTTAAAGGGACTTTGTACAATATGAAACATGTTGGTAATATTTGGTTTTTGTTTCTGTTAAAAACTGTCAGATAAAGTCAGAGTTTTCATCTCCGGCAGTAAACACTGTTAAAGTTTTCGGTCTCTCCCTCACAAAAAAACACCTCAAACACTCCCCTGACTCACCTGACTCACCTTGACCACCTGTAGCCACGCCGTGCAGCCTCCCTACCCCTCTCCCTCCCCCTCCCCCTGCCCTTGCAGATCCACCTTTCCTCTCGCCTGTGTCAACCTCCTACCCCCTGTGTCCCCCCTCTGCAGGAGCAGGCGGAGAACGGCTTCTCAACGACAGGGTCGTCAGTCATCGATGATGACAGCACAGCAGAGTTCACCTCCTCCACAGGTGCTGTCAGGAGGGAGGGGCCTTTGAGAACCCTGGAGGACCGGCCAATCACTGTGCACTTTGGACAGGTGAGAACGAGAAGGGATGATGCAGGAAAGAGAAGGGAGATCAAACTAACAACTAGATGGGTAGAAGACATGTCCATCAGCTCCTCAGAGATTCTCTTAGTTGGTTACCTTGAATTTGGTCTATAAATTGTACTCAGATTTACATTTTTTGCATAAGCCAATTTGACTTAGTCCAACTCTTGAGATCTGGAAGTTTAACCTTTTTTTATAATGTGTAACAGTCAATTTTCAAGCATTATATCCCTCATTAATTGTGTGTCATAGCTTCAGTTTCTCCTCCGACTGACCATCCAGACTCAGATATTGAACCTCCTTATGTTTGCCCATGCATGCATGCCTCTTTTTCCTTCACCTGACACTCTCAAGAAGCAGACTCTCAAATATCAGATAGCATCACTCATTTTGAGTCTCTTCCCAAAGACAAATGCTTCAGAAAACAGTGGGGAGTTTGGATGTTTTCAGGACAACAACAGACACAACATTGCTGTGCATCAGTGCTGTATTGTCCTTCATGAAGCTCAGAACCACAACTGGAAGAAATGTTACCACAGCACAGAATGGGATTATAGCTGTGTAAAAAGTAACACGCAGAGCTGTGTCTAACTTTCTAACAGAGCAAAAGCAGCAAAATGAAAGTTTCAGTCAGAGTCTGAAAAGAGCTGAAATATGAGGGTTTTCATTGACGTCATTCTGAGATAAATAAGGATTGTTTAGAGCCGCTAATGATGTTTAGCTACTCGATGGGTGTCACAGACTGACAGAATGACAGTGTTAGTATAATGGGCCCCTTTAAAACTACATGTCTGTCTAAGCATTTCTACTGCCTAAAGATGTAGAAGGTACCAAAATAATGACATTGTTTTTTCAATCTCTTCACTATACCAGTGTACCTCTCACACCTTGTCAGCAAGTCCTTACACAACCAATATACACACCCTCTCTCTGTAAAAATGCCTCAGATATTGATTTGTGGATTTCTATTCCTCTCTGGGATTCTCTCTGGTTAGGAGGGAAGGCTAACCTGAATAATCTGGTTTTCCTCGGTTTTCACATTATTCCTGCTCTTCCTCAGGCTCGACCTCCAATGCTGCTGAAGAGGCCGAGCAGTAACGTGAGTCTGGAGAGCAGCCTGGACCAGTAAGCCTCCCCCACACAGAATAACACACTCTTCATTGGTCCACTGATGGATTCAAAAAGACAGCTTGAAAGCATTTGCAGATAAGAATAATATATATACAACCATTCAAAATGTCCAAATGCTATTAATCCTAGACCGCTTCTCACTTGCTTTAGGTTATAAAGTCACCCTCAGCACTTCTGCTCCCTATTAAATTCTCTGTATGTTTCATATTTGTATTCATTAATATTTTCAGCAGCTGTTAACAAAGAAAATATAGAAACAGTTGGTAGAAATGGTGTCAAAGTTTAGCAGCAGCTGGAAATTGTCCCGAAGAATCATGAGTGGTTATTTTCTAAATAGACAGGCCTTTAACGTTTCACCTCCTATTTTCTCTCTTTTCCTCTGAGATGCTTTTTAATAACATTTCTGTCAATCTTTCCTTGTTTCCTTTCCTCTTCTCTTCTCCTCTCTTGCTGTAGCTCTATCCGTCCCACTCGTCACTACACTGTCTTTCTTTCTGAGGATTCGTCCGGAGACGAGCTTCAGTACGACGATGAATCCATCTCTGCTTTTCCTGACAGCTTTCTCTTCTCCGTCCCGTTTGAGTGGTCTCCTCTGTACGCATTGCAGCGCTCTCTGTTTCTCTCTGCACTTTTTAACACATTATGACTCTCTTTTCTTTGTGATCTAATATCTTGAATATTTTAGTGAGTATTTTGGTCTGAGGGTTTAATAGTTTGAACTGATTTACTTAAAGCAAAATGGCACTGTGGCTGAAAAGCTGATCATTTATGTGCACCGCAAACAAAAATAATAAATGAATTGTTATTTACGCAGCACATAGCACATAATATAACATGTCAAACTCCGCCCCCTGCAGGCCTCAGCCGTATCGCTCTCTGAAGGAGGTGGAGCTACTCGAGGGGGATGATCCGGGTTTTGGCGCAGAGAGTCACACGGCTCCTCCCAGCCCTGTCACCGAGAAGTTCTCCAACATCAACCTGCTCGGGGACATCTTTGGCTGCCAGGACGAGCCGGACAGCCAGCACATGACCCTCGCCAAGAGTCTGGAGGACCTGAGGACCCCCAAAGACTCTGATGAGCTGCAGGCCAAGTTCACCTACCAGGTCAGAGATCAAACTCTTCCGCTGCAGACAGAAGTTTCTTTATTTTGATCGAGCTCTTTCTAAAAGGACAGAGGACCAGAGACAATTAATGATTCATTCAGATATATTTATGAGTTTGTTATAGGCATCTTAACACGAAAATATTTAACTGAACCAAAAAAACATCTTTTCCACATGAGTTTTATAAACGGAGGGCTCTGTATGTTCTTCATACACTCCCACAGGTAGGAAGATCATGGTGGCTTTGCTTACTTCAAACTGTTTCGCCACTTGTTTAGGGAAACATGCAACCCATTTTTAGTTTTTCACTTTCTAAGACTCTGAATGAAAACTCTTTTCTATAAAGACAATGTTAAATCAGACAATAGCAGAGAACTTCCACATCATGAGCTTTAGCTGTAACACTGTTTGCTTTGAATAAAAACTTTTTGGAACAGTCTGACATCCATTTTTGTATCAGTTCCCAAAAAGAGGATTCTATAACTAAATCCTGAAAAAGTAGAAAAGAACTGAATTGTGCTCAGTCATTGAAGTGGTCAGGTTGTAGAATCTGGGGTCTTTTAAAATCTGGATGTTTCTGTGTTTTCAGCGGATGGACCTGACCGCAGGCGAACACTCCCGGACCCTCCCAGGTCTCAAACTCTCTAACCAGTCCTACAACAAGCTGTGGAGCCTTGGCACAGAGGACTCCGCCCCACCTGTTCCTGTGCCTCCCTCCCTCAGCAGACCTCCTTCAGTCCAGCTTCCTGCTCGGAGTGAGGCCCCCTCCCCAAGCCGGGACACTTCAAGCCCCGCCCCTGATCACGCAGACCCCTCCGCCTCGGGGAGCATCACCATCCCCCGCCCGCACGGGAGAAGAACCCCAGAGCTGGGGAGCGTCCTGGCTCCTCCTGTGACTCAGCCTCGAGCTAAACCTGAGGGAGGGTCCACGTCGGGGAGACAGGAGTTCAGACAGGCCCTGACCCTGAGTTCTGACCAGGACCTGCTGAAGCCCTGCAGACCTGCAGAGGACAGCATGGACCTGATCAGCCTGCTGGACCCCCTGAAAAACTCTGCTCCAGCCAGCTCCACCTCACTAAATGAAAATGTAGGAGTGTCATCATCCACCTGCAAACCCCCTCTGCCCCCCCGGCCGTACCCTCAGGGCCTGCCCCCATTCCCTGTGCACCCCCATGTATCCCTGAATCCCTTTACCCCCTCCCCTCAGCTGCACTACGCCCCAACTGTCAGCGGGAACCCCTTCAGTTCAATCTACGGACCCCCACCCCCGTCATATCTACACACCCCCCCACAGTCCTTCTCCACACTACCTGGACTCTACAGACCGCACTCACCAGGCAGCTCCACCCTGCCCCCTACCTTTGGACTCATCCCCTCAGCCTTCCCCACCTCCCTGCCCTCCTCCTCCAGTAACCACGCCCTCTCCAGCCTGGTGGACTCCTCCTCCTCCTCCTCCTGTACGAAGCCCATCCGACCCGAGGAGGACTCTCAGAGCGCTCAGGATCTGTTTGGGGATCTGCTGACTTTAGCCAAGCCTGCAACGCCCCAGAAGAAGAAGGTGGAGGACCTGAGGAGAAGGTGGGAGACGTTTGACTGAGACTGTGAATATAAACAGACCCCTCCCCCCCAAGACCACACCTCCACCCACCTTTCTCACCACACTCACTAAACTCACAGCAAAACCAGGACCTTCTGTTGCAGTTGAAGAGAAACACCTGCTCTAAAGAGTAAAACTGATTCGCAGGTGAGTTTGGACCAAAGTCACATGACACAGCTTGAGTTTACTACAAGTTTCTGGGAGGGCCGAGCTTTAAGGTTTGACACTCAAACGAGAGCGAGTAAAACTTGCTCATCTTAAAACACCAGATGTTTTACAACTTTCTAACCGTTAATCTCAAAACTATGACTGATTTTGTTGAAATGAAGTTCAAAATCATGCGGAGAAATGAGAAATATCAGTATTAATGGACTCGGACAGTGTCTGACATTTCTGTAGCAGGTCAGACTCTGTCACGGTGTCAGATTAGGCGATCGTGGAGCCAGAAACTAGATGACACACAGAAATGCGTCTCCTATTTATCTCCATCATTTCTCTGCTTTTTAGTCTACTGTGGTCATTATCATATTATCATATCTTCAAAGTAGGGATGTTGATGTCAGAGCTTCATAAACGTTTCCTCGGTCACACATTAGGATTGCAATCAATTGAGCTTATTGATCAAGTTCTTTCTCGGTTCCTGTGGCTGTTCTCAGTGGAAAAAAAAGAGGTCTGTAAAGGGGTTTACCAAACAAGAATTTTTTGTGGGTTAGATGTTGGAGTGACTGAAATTTTAAAGAAATCTGGTGGCAAAAGAGACAGAAACGATTGATGCCTCAACATAGCGATCAGCAATGAAACGTATTGTTCCTCTGTTTTCCTTAATGCCTGTAAATGCTGTGAATAATGATTGACAGCAGGCGGAACAAACAGTCTTTTTCAACTCCTCCACATCAGATATTCACATGTAATGACATGTTTCACTGTTTGACCACAGGATGAGGTTTTGGGCTGAAAATACATTTCGTCCACAGAGGGCACCAAAATCTGTTCAAACCAAAAGTTTCTTACTGAAGCTTTAAAGTTTTGTTGTTATTTTTTTACATTTTTTACATGCAGACTATGCAGTAGTTCTGCAGATTGTCTGAAAATTACAATCAGAGTCCGAATATATTTGCATATCATTATAACCTCTGTAGAGAGAGCTTGTATTTATCTGCTGGTCCTCTGCAGGATTAATATTTCGTTGCCTAGGCATAACAGAATCACATGCATGAGGTCTGCAAACATGAAGCAAAGGTTAAAATCATTTCAATTTGTCATTAAGCATCAATTCACATGATTTCAATCTAAAACCTGTAAACTGCACTTACCAGGAGAAGCAAAGGAGTCTAAATAATCATGTTAAATCAATTTAAACTTTGTGTCTTTGACATACTACTGTCCTCATCGCTGTTTACGAGTATTGAGAAATGGATTTCTTTACAAAAGTAGGTGGTGATATTCCCCTCTAAAACTCATAAATACTTAACTATCTCCCAGTTAATCTATAACATCATGTACCAAAACAATTGACAAACATGGAGGCAAGATTCTAACAGGTTGTACACCAAACGATGAAAACACCAACAACTTCACAGCTCTGAACCTCGTAACTGCTTTGTCTTTTTTTACATCCCTTCTTTGTTGAGGTTTTGTTTACCATCCAGCTTTTTACAGTCCATTTATGCATCTGAGCATGCTCAGAAAATTACAGAGCCCTTTGGGTGCACATAGTTTCCAATTTATGTGCACAGGTTTGTAATCTGTGAGAACCAATTTGTGCTGAACAGTATGTGCAGTTAATAATCCTTGGAAATATATTTGTCATCCTTGAATTATCATTTCACATACACAGGATTTTAATCATGCACAGGTTTGCACGTGGCTCTCTCTTTTCTTAGCTTGGCACCTGAAGGGCTCTGTGTGAAGTGAATCCGTCAGCCGACAGGTTGTTTGGCTGCAGACAACAGTTTTCATGATAGGGTATCTGCACAATGTGTATCTGCTGCCCCTAGTGGTAAAATACCGTTATGACAAGGTAAAATTCAAAAGATCACAATTTTATAATAATAACAATAAGTGAGATTTTTCCAAACTAATGGAGAACAAAAATGTTATTGTTGAAGCTTTTAATACTGAACACAGTTTGTATGAAAAAAAAACATTTTATTGTTGTTATGAAGTGATTTTTTTGTGTTTCTGATTTTCGTGTGTAGTATAAGATGAAACATGATCACTGCAACAGAAGGTCCTGATTGAAACCCCTCTCTCTCTCTCTCTCTCTCTCACACACACACACACACACACACACACACACACACCATTCTCTAATTTGAGCTCTCCAGCTGACCAGTGGCAGACTCCGGAGCTCCTCTGAGCCTGAGGATCACATGACTCTGGGTTTTTTTGTGTTGCAGGCCTTGTTTTAAGATGATGTGATGCCAACAGCTAGTCTCTCTCTGACTGAATGCTAACCTGATTCTTTGCACAGCAGCCTCTCTGTCTTTAATGCACCATGTTAGCGTAGCATCAGTTTAGATCTGTGACTCTGAAAACATCATGCACTCTTTCTTCAAGACGACATGTTATAAACAGGATCCGTCTGGATGATGTCGACCTCTGAGATTAGTTTGTATTGTCGGTAGCTTTAGCTGATGAACTCCCTGTCAGTAGCTACAGTGTGGTGCGTCTCAGTCATGCAGTAAATTCACTTTTTAATCTTTGTTTCTGGCCTTCATGGTGAGATCCGCTCTGTTTCTCTCTGATCTGTGAAAAACTTTTGCCTCTTCTTGTTTGAATTATGAACAATTTTGTCACGTCTCTGAGATTATTTTCAGCTCCTGACTGATTTAGTTTTTTTGTTTTTGTTTTTTTTTTGGCACTTTGAAATCTTTGTCGTAAATTCTGTTGTTTTAAATCCTCTTTTGCCAATATCTGCACTATGATTCCCTTCTGTTGTCGTTGTTTATTATTTTGCCTTACTAACCTCTCTGTGATTGGCTGAAGACCCCCAGCTTCCTCTCAAACAGCAGACTCTCTCTCTCGCCTCTTTGGGTGTTTTCGAGGCGTTCATGTGTCTGATGCCAAAAAGTCCTTCAGGCTTTAAAAGCTGTACAGGTGTAGTTACTGTTGTGTGTGTTTGTGTACAGATGACACTATATTTGTTCAAAGACTGATTAAAGAGTGCTGACTGGTAATTCTCATGTACGATCTCATCCTCACACTGCACTTATTAAAAATCCACCTGAGTCAGTTCATCTGTGCAAGAAGTGCAGATAAGCTGTTATGTTTTTTAAAGATGAAGGTGATCCAGCTTATGTCTTCTTCACAAGATATCTCAATAAATAAGTTTGATTTAATACATTTGTGTTTAAAAATGCATGAATTTAATATCAATCTTATTAATCTTATATTTAGTGAGGAACATCACATTGAGATTTAAAATGTCCTCAAAGGGATATTCCGGTGTAAAATTAATTTAGGGTCAAACACCCCGTCAAGAGACGAATGTTGCCGACCGCTTGCTTTACTAGTTATACTAACTTTAGTAACAACCGCAGGACAGCTATACACAGCAGTCTGAGGAGCCATAGACAAACCTCAACCAAAAAGCCACTCTATAGCCACATATAATGCTCAGAGCAGCACCTAACTTCATCAACAGTACTTCCAGCCACAGCCACCAAACATCTTTTTAACTTTGCCTTATTTCTTTAGCAAAGAGACTAAACACAACTCACCTACTCTCTTCCAGCAGCCGCTTGTTTGTAGCGAGACCTCGGTCCAGTCCATTACGGACTGCGGTGGGGTGACGCAGCTCAAGGAAGAACATTTATGATCATTTCTTCATGGAAATGCAATCAGACCGAGACGCTAAGGCAGAAGAACTACCAAAATTATTAATATGGTGATTATTACTTCAAGGACATGATAAAGTAATGATCATAAATGTTCTTCCTTGAGGGTGAAGGGTCAGCCGAGCAGCCCTGTTTTACAATTTTCACTGAAAATATTCACAATAAATGAAAAAGTTGACTAAAGGTGAGATTTTTTTTTCATACTATTAAAGCGCGTAAAGGACAAGATAGCAAAGATTGCTCTGTCCACAAGAGGGCGCCAGCATAGACAACCCAGTGCAGGAACTTGAATCTCAATTTCTAGTTCCTCCTGAGGTTTGGCCGATGTACATTATAGAGTTTAGTCACTTCAGAGAGATTTTTTTTTATTGCAGGTTTCATTTTGAATAAAATATTTGGAATTATGTACAACAAAAACAAAAATAAAAACAGTGAAATGCCGTGCAGCAGAGACCTACATTCTTATTCAAGGATTACATTTAAAAAACAAACTAACACAGTGCGCCACATTGGTCACACCTCTCACATTTACAATCAAGGATAGAGTTTTCATTTCATTTCACATGTATTTCAAAGTGCCTTCTGTACAAACTTGATATCAGCAGATGTTTTCCCCTGTTTGAACAGATTTTCTTTAAATCACATAAACAGATTTAGTGAATCTGCTACTGAAGAGGAGAGGCCGACATCAGCAGAGACTCCCTTTATGAGACACTAACAGTAAAACTCACAGTCCTGCAAAATTAACTCACAAAATGAACATAAATATACAAACTGTACAAGATTTAATAAAGAGAGAGAGAGCTGCAGGTTAGAAAAATATACACAACAGGCTGCAGCATCCACAGCGAGGAAACTAAACTCTTGTAACTCATGAGGATACCAAATAGCTCTGTGCATTTAAAAAATGACACACAGAGAGAAACTGCGACATCTGCAGCTTCTGCTTTAAAACAGTATTTGATACTTACACTTATTTGTTTAGAATTTTAAAAAGTCTGAGTGATGCCATGATGGCCACGATTCATAGTAATTAACCCTGGGAACTTGCTCCATTAACACACAACAGTTGAGTAAACAGATATACCTTATCGATCCCAAACTGGGAAGCACCTGCTGCATAAAGATGTAAACTTGCACACTGCCATCTTTGCAACAGGTTATAATTATTTAATGCATCTACTCAAATGACATGCAGCTTATATTACTATTCTTTTCACATTTTTATTGTGCGCTTAATGCATATCAATAATAAGCCAATTTCAGTGAAAATGTGAATACAAATTACAAAAAGCAAATGCAAGGCTCAGGTATAGGATGCATTGCAGCAGAGGAGTTTCAGTCTCTTTGTGCGTGATAAAGCTGCAGTGCAAACAGACACACTCAGTACATTGCTGTACCACAGATAAAACTTTTGATTGACTTCCAAGTGTTTCTCCAGCTTTTCTGCCCAGATTATTTTGTGCATAAATTTAGAACTGCCCATGAAAACCAACATCCTTTTTATTTTTTCTGTTTTCTAGAAGAAAATCCTTTCATAGATGCATATGACATGGAAAGCAGAAAACTAAAATGTGTTGTGCTTGTGGAGCATTTTTCAAATCAGAGTCAGCCTCTAGTGGCTAAAGGAGGAACTGCCGCGTTTGCCTCCTGTGCCTCTGACACACCACGATGTTCTCCAGTGTAGGTTTTCAGCTGCAGCACAGAAGAAGCAACATCCTCTGAAACAGCATGAGATGTTACCCATGAACTGTCTGTGCAGAGTCTTGATATCAAGCTCCTAAATTGTCCTCTGAAGATGAGTCCAGGATGTCAGAACAGGTTAAAACCCTGTAAGAGACAAACTACAGCGTACAGACTTCTATAGCAAATCATCTTCGTTCCCTGTTGGAGAGCTTCTGCAAGCAACTGCAGGATTCTCAACACCTTCACAGCAGTCATGAGCCTGTACCGGCTCCCTACCAGCAGGGATGGGGGGCTCTATACTGCATCACACTCATCCTAATGCAGGTGTTCAGAAGATGTCAAAGTTTCTCAGTGAGTCTGGTGCAGCATGCTGCAGAGCTCATGTCCTCACTGTCGCTCCTCTATGCTTAAGTCTGAGGGGTGAGGGTGTTTCAGGGTGTCAGATCAGTCTCTCCTCAGGTGGCACCTTCAGCATGCTGTCCATCTCCAGCCGAGCCCCTGCCAGCTCCTGAGTACTAGGGCTGTACGCTCCTTCAGACTGACGCTTCTTCCTGGCCGTGAGCACCATGAAGACCAGGCCGATGATGAGGATGAGTACGCAGCAGCAGAGCAGAGGGATGGCCACCACCAGCCAGGGGACGCCCTGAGTGTGGGCCTGTTTCTGCACACACAGAGGTAGAAGTGGAGGAGGATGTTAGTGCGGGATGCTAAATAACTTTTGAATACAAAAAGTTAGAAAAGAAGAAGTGAAATATACTCACGTTTAACTCACAGGTTGGACCGCTGTAACCCGGTAAACATTCACACACAAACATGTTAAATCGATCCAAACAGGCGCCTCCATTTCTGCACGGGTTCGACTCACATTCATCAATCTCTTGCTCACACCTGCAGCACACAAAACAAAAGAGATGGAGGGATTAAATATAGTAACAAGTAATCAATTCATCAAATTAGTTGATTGCTTGTTTATGAATTTATATGAAGTGCATAAGGTGTTTAAAGTGCAAAGGTGAGCTTCACAGTGCTACAGTGCTGCTGTATCGCACATGATCATAATCATACAGCATGCATTGATATGTTGATAGATGCAATACTGCACTAGCTGCATTCATAGATGCATGAATGTATTTATGCACAACATGACTGATGAATCAGCTTTTTTGTAACTCAGAATTTTCCATTAACTCCTGGAATATTTATCACACACATCCCTCATATAATAGGAGAGAAACTTGGCACTATTATGAGAGAAGGACACTTCTACAGTCTGATCGTTCGTGCTCTTTGAATGTCTCTGCATGACTTCAGTACAGCTCTGTGTCGACTGAGCTTACCTTGTGCCTGTGAAACCTGGCATACAGGTACAGTTAGCCCCCCACAACCCATCAGAGCAGACCCCATCATTTGCACACTGAAGGTCTTTATCACACTGGATTGGAGGATAGATCCACCTGTTGAACAAAAAAAAAAAACACATTCATAAAAATATATTTTACTTTGAAGGAGATTGAAATGAATCTGATTTTAGCAGAAGCTACAGATGAATTCAGTTTTGGACCCTCAGTCTTCCTGTCTGTCTGTGTAAGCACTCACTGGCAGTGGGGGCCTCTGTAGTCCTGGGGGCAGATGCAGGTGAAGGTGTTGGCGCCGTCCACGCATGTCCCTCCGTGCTCGCAGGCGTCATGCTCACACTCGTCCACGTCCTTCTCACACAGAGTACCGTCGTATCCGGGGTCACACCTGCACTCAAACCCTGCCAGGTAGTCCTTACAGCTGCCGTGCACACAGGGCTGAGATGCACACTCGTCCACGTCCGTCTCACACAGCTCTCCCCCCCAGCCCAGGTCGCACGCACACCTGAACTTGTTGAACAGGTCCTCACAGGTAGCACCATTCAGACACGGATCTGACACGCACACAGGAGCACTGCTGCACCCTAGTTTGATCTGTGGTTTACCATGAAGGTGGAACTGAGACTTCTGAGGGGGTTGGTAGCTATCCACAAAGGGCAGGTAGACCCCGCCCACCCTGACCGCCCCTAGACACCCGGTGAAGCTCTCTGCGATCGCCACCATGGCCCCCTTCTCATTCAGAAACCGCAGACTTCCTGTCCTCTGCGGCAGGCTGCTGGCGTCTGTGATCCCATCCACAGTGATGACCCAAGAAGACGCTTTACGCCCCAGCTCAGCCTGCGCGATGTTCACACGGTGCCAGTTCCCGTCAGCCACTCGCCGCACCCCTGTGAAGGTCAGAGTCTCCACACTGTTCCCCGTGTGGATCTCCACCTGCACCGAGGAGTCCAGCAAACCCACCATGAGGAGGTCTGAGCCTGAGAACGCCCTCAGCAGGATGGCGTTCTCTGAGCTGGTCCTCAGCTCCATGTAGATGTTAGAAACAGGCTCAGACAGAGAACCTGCAGCACTGTAGTGAACCGGGTTGTTCTCAAAGGTGGCGTTGTACACACCTGAGGGTCAGACACAGGTTAGTTTATGAGAGGACCAGAAACTGCATCACTTTCAACTTTATAATCAAATGTAATATGTTAGCTTCCAACATCTGATCTGAAGTCTGAACACGTCCTTTTTGAGATCCATAGACAATAAACAAGAGGGGGGTGCTGCCACAGATAGATCAAGCACGTTTGTGGACTTCATTTCAGCGAGGACCATATTAGTCACATCATTTTAGCACAGTTAGTAAAGTCTTCATTATATGGTAGAAGGCTCTGTGCTGAGAACTCCCCTGCATCACCATTTAAATACATACAGTGCCCTGCATAAGTCAGTACACCCCCTATTAAAGTAATTTATCACTGTAGATGATGTAGATACTCTAGATGAGCAAAAGTACAATTTCCAAAGCTGAGTTTAACATAACATTTTATTTACCATAAGATAAAAATAAGGGTAATATGGTCACTAAAATTTAGCTTTGCTCCCAGGACTTTGATTAGGGTGTGCTCATTTTTGCATCCTGATATTATATTGAAAACAACAATTTTGTATGCCACAGTCTGCCCCAGGGCAGCTGTGACTACTAAGGTAGTTTACCACCACCAAAGTGTGACTGTGTGAGCGAATGAATGATGTATCCAATGTAAAGCGCTTTGAGGGTCTCTGATAAAGCGCTATATGAAATCTGATGCATTATTATTATTATTATTATTATTATTATTATTATTATTATTAAAAATCTTGTTTACAATAATTGGCCTACATTTGGGGGAGTATTTTGTAGTATAGTCTGACACAGAAAATGTTGATTTTGAAAGGAAACTAAAGGTTCTCTAAAAACTCTGAAGGGGTGTACTCATTTATGCTGAGCACTGTGCAAGGCCAAAGTATGAGGCCAGGAGAGCACATCTTTCCTCAGTCACGTGTGCATGAATGAAAAGCCTGAGGCAGGAAAAGCACACCTTATTGAGTTTAAAATTATGAAATGAAAATATTTTGTCCAAAACTACTGATAAATAAAAAATAGTATAATTGGCAGAATAATGTGCAGTGCTGAACATTTGCACATTTGAAAATTGCAAATGTGCAGAATGGTCAGTGTTAAGTTAAGCTAATAAGTGAAGAAGGGGAGTACCCACTACAAACACTGGTTAAGACAACATGCATGTAATAAAAACATAATTTTCCCCAGAGTGTCTCATGCCAGAAAACTTCCTGAATGTTCTTACACTCGTATCCGTCATGCAGGTCCACACAGTGTCCACCGTTCACACAGGGATCACTGACACACCACACGCGTGTTTCACAGATCTTTCCTCTGTACTCTTCCGGGCACGAACAGGTAAAATCGTTGAATGTGATGATGCACTCTCCTCCATTCAGACAGGGCTTCACCTACAGACAGACACAAGCATCATCAAATTAGAGGAAACTCTAGGTTTGTGTAGATTATGGCGACCCCTGCAGACAGAAATAGACGTTATGTTAATGCTGATGGTCTGGTTTAATCTTATACATCATAAAAGGGGAATCAGTTTTGATTCTGGTCCTTTTTGTAATGTTTAAATATTTTTTTTTTAATGCAAAGTCCTCCCAAGATACTTTTGCACAATAGGAAGAAGAGGAGATATGTTGTCAGTCTTTATAAAGAGATGAGTTGTCATGTGTCACTTTTCTTGCCATCAGCAGATTCACTGTAGTTCACTGTAACATCCTTTGGTATTGCACTCTGAATCAAGACCTGCAGAATCCCTCTTGACCAATCAGATGACTTGATGGAAATTAACAGTTGCATATTGACTCTATCTCTGTAGAGAGATAAGCCTGCAAGGTTTCCATCATCACTTTGTTTTACATCATAACAAAAAGCAGACCTGCAGGAGCGTTTAAAGAAACCCGCTGTCTCTGTCTGTCCTGTTAACTTCCTGTATGACTGACCAGCTAACATAGTAGCGGGGAACAAAGCAGAGTTCACTTCCCACCTTGCAGGTGTTGTCACTGATGCATCCTCTCTTCACGTTCTCGGCGTCATTCGGTAGATAGACTTCCACTTCCTCTGAGCTGTTCCAGCTGTCCACATCCAGGTGCACTGAGTCCAGGCGCATGTCCTGCAGGCAGCCTTTGTAATGTCCCCCCCAGGCATCAGAGTCCATGTCGTCTGGTAGTCCTCCCACGTAAACCTGGTCCTCGTCTTTCACTTCCACCTCGGGGATCTCACCGATGCCGTACCTGAGCCCTGCATGTTCAAAGATCACCTGTCTTTGTCTGACCTCCACCTGCAGCAGCATCTTCTCCCCACTGCTGACAAACACCGGTGCCGTAAGGGGCGAGCTGTTAGGGAGGGAGCTGACAAACACCCGGCCCATCCCTAAGTACACCGAGAAGTACACCTGTCCTCCCTCCTCTGAGGGTCTCCTCAGCTGGAACAGCAGCCCCTCTGTCTTTAACGTCCTCAGGAAGAAGGAGACATTGAAGCTGCTACCGTGACTCTTTGACACGTCATAGGAGCTGAAACTCTGCGAGTCTTCATGGCTGTACGTCCACGAGGGATACTCTGTTAGGGAGAGGAGGAAAGGTTCAAATTAATCACATAAAATTTAGTGTTTAAGTTGTCTCAAGACTTGTGTTGACATATGAAGGTTCAGTAAGAAGGGCCGATCAGTTCTGCAGCCTGACCAGTCTTAATCTATTGTTTCGCATCATGTTAATGCCCAATTCAATAAAATACGCACTTTTACTTCATGTCATTTCTGTTGAAAAGGCAAGAGGTTGTGTAGGCCATGTTTCTTGAGTTTTATAAAGTACTAAACATTTATAATTGTGTCATTAGATACATAAACTTCTCAACTTGGAATTCCCTTAAAATTCCCAAACATTAATCAAGAAAATCCTTTATTGTAGTCCAAACTCGCCAAGATTAACCGGTACAAGGCTAGAAAATAATGAGTGTTTTGGTCATTAACATTCGGTTCACAACTTCAGACTGATTTCATCGTTATGAGTGAGTCTTACCCTGTGAGCAGCTCTCACTGTGGAAGGGTCTGTTGCAGTCGCACCTGTAGCTGGTCCACAGGTCCACGCAGAGTCCATGTCCGCTGCAGGGATCCGGCTCACACCACTCTGTCTTGCTGCAGCCCAGCTCATGGCCCTGGTCCTCAGGGAGGGTCTGGGGCAGGATAGGCTTTGAGTCGATCATCAGGTCTTCCATGCACCCGATAAAACCTGAAGCGCTTGTAGAGATCTCTAAAAGGTCCTCTGGAGCTCCACCCACATACACCTGAGAGAACGCCCCAGAAGGCTCAAAGGGCGGTTCATCAGCACCTCCATCTATGACCCTGCAACCATCCCTGTCACAACCAGGACCCCTCAGGACCAGAACCAGACCTTCATCATCCACAAACACGTGAGCGTCTCTCCAGTCCCCGTCACTGACCAAACCAGGGAATATCACATCCAGCTCTGTGTCCTCAGACGACACTTTGGCATGGAGACCTCCGTGCAGGACCTCCAGCAGGAGGTGTGTATCCTCGTCTCCTCTGAACAGCAGCAGCATGTCAGGAATGGTCGTTCTGAACCGGAGCTGCACCCCGTAACCATGGTGATCCTGGTGATCCACCTCCCTACGGATCCGCTCCTCCAGCTTCACTTGGATGTGAATGAATCCAGGTGAGGAGAAAGAGAAGGTCGTCCTGGTAGAGCACTGGTCGTCATAGTAACCATGAGGACACAAACAGGTGTGGACGTGCTCTCCATCCTCCAGATGGGGAAGGCAGGTGGCGCCGTTCTGGCACTCGTGGTCCACACAGCCTTGGAGTTTGACCTCACAGTTATCACCACCCCAGGGGAGCTCACCTGGCGCCGCCCCCGGACAGTGACAGGTGTAGGACGCCCTACCGTCTTCACACCAGCCGCCGTTCTGACAGGGATGACTCTCACACTCGTCGATGTTCACCTCACACAGATCACCTGCAGAGACAGAAAGACATTAAAGGAACAAAGAAACGCTACTGTTTTTATTCAACGTCAACTCGGCCTCTTTTACCTTTTCATAAGATTTTGTCCAAATTCTTCCTCTTGCCCACTGACTCCATCTAAACACTAACATATCTGCTGTATGCATGGAAAGCTACAGGTATGTTGTGTGTGTATGAGTGAGAGAGAGGCCATAATGATCATGATGGGTGTTTACGAGCAGTATGTAAATGTGAACATTAAAAAAACTTAAACCCTTCCATGTTTTATGAAAAGCTAACTCTCTGCCTCCAGTCTGTTACTGTTACGTTTGTTGTTTTCTCTCCTTCTTTATTAGATTCGACTGCAGGTGTCTTTGAATATGAAGCTAAAATTGGACTTTATCTTTGGCTTTTAGAAACGTTGGTCTGTAATTGTTCACAGTTAGTGCTGCCAGTGGTTAAAAGAAACCTCTCTAACGCTGTGTCCGTAAAGACTCACCCAGGAATCCCTCTGAGCATGTGCAGGTGTATCCATTGATCTGATCCTCACAGGTTCCTCCGTTCTGACAGGGTTCAGACTCACACTCATCGACATTGACTGAGCAGTTCTCTCCTATAATTTAAAAGAGGTTAAATATCTGTCTAAAGATTTAAAAAGGAATAAGGAGACAGATTGTCGTTCCACTGACCTGCAAACCCGGGCTGACACTGGCAGATGTATCCGGCTGCATCTGCAAAGCTGAGCTCCCAGTCCAGTTCCCAGTGAGACGGATCAGAACGCTCAAAACACTCCCCGTCATTCTCACAGGGATGCTCTGCACACTCATCTACATCCACCTCACAGTTCGGCCCTTCATAACCTGAAGGAAGCCAAATACAAAATGATGTTTGATCCTGCGATATAGAATATTTCTGTTTTATCTGTCATCAGAGTCAAAAGATCAGAAAACAAAACTGAGTATTTGTTGCTTTTTTGAACATCAGAAACACATCTAGCAAGCATCAGTAGCCTGTGTAGCTTTGCTGATTTTCTACACATCACTCAGGATCAACTTTCTCTCAGTACATTTCATCCGTCAGAGATTTTTCTACGATGCAACACCAATCAGAGAAAAGCACTTTGAGGTTAAAACTAACAGCTATTTAACATCATAATGTTGGATGTGTAAAACTTCTGCTCAGAAATATAGATATAATATGCCAAGCTAGTTCAGAAATATAGAATATGCAGGTTGCAGTTCAGTACCTGGCCAGCAGACGCATCTGTACCCATTGATTCCCTCCACACACGTGGCTCCGTGCTGACAGGGATCAGAGTCACACTCAGGTATGTCCACCTCACAGAGATCGCCCTGGAATCCAGTATCACTGCAGTCACATTCATAGCTGAAAACAGAAACAAACAGCTTTCAGTGGACCAAAAAATGAGCAGTGACTGAGGAAAGAGTCGTTCGGAGTTGTTTTATTTAACTTCAGCTGGGACTAATGTCTGAGGTCTGATTCAGCTGTTGACAAAGTAAAAAAATGTAAACAAACATGAACCATCGGTTCAAAGAAATGTCTTTAAATCTATGTCAACTTCTGACCACAAAATGCAGATTGCTGTCATTTTGTCTTTAAATTTTGACCAGGGCTATCTTGTTTTATGGGGCACCAAAAACAACGATATTTAGAAAGAGAGATGAAGATCAAATGGCCTAAATTTACTGCATTGACACCTTGTTGTCATGTGGAGCAAATTGTCCTTTCAGGGCCCACCACCTCTTTTGTTAATGACAGTGTTTCTGTCGCCTGTCAATGAACAAATGTATCAAAACAAAGAATTCTGCTTTTAGTTGATTCAATCTCATTGGCCTTGTCAGCTGCTAACAGAGTAACTAGTCAGTAAATTGATAATACTTTATTTTTACTGTTGGCCTGAAATGTCAGCTATGTGTGCCACCCTTCACTAGTTCACTAGTCTACTACCGGGATGTTAACAGCATATTTGATGGATGGTGTTCAACAGTGTGACGTGGTTTGGCAGTATTAGATCTAGAAAATGGAGAAACAGTGTATGTCAATTGGTCTGGTGAAACTGGTGTACAACCACTCAACCAGAACAATGAGTAACCGTCACAGACATGTGGATGCTTATCTGCATGGACTGAAGGTTAGTGGTGCGAGCTCTGCTGATGTTAGACACTGCAAACCAATTAGACTTTAATAACCTCTAAATTGGCTGTTTTCTGAGTGTTTTTTCCCCTTCAGACCAGTCAGTTTTTTGCAGTTAAAGGCTGAAAAAATTGTAATTTCTGCTGTAAAGTTGAGCATTTTAACATGGGGCTCTATGGAGACTGACTCACTGCGGGGCATTGGTCTCAAGTGGGATGGCAGGTCTTACACATCTGTGTGAGTTTCTTATTTCTGCTCTAAACTGGTTAATACTGGGATTAATTAGTGGAGGAATTTGTCCTCATTCACAGCAAAACAAGGAGAAATGGATTAAGCGACCTTTGAGCGACCTTGGCACAAACACATGGCAGCCTCACTGTGTTAGAGTGGAGCTCTAGGTCCAAATATCCCACCATGTCCTGAGGATAGAACTTATTTTTCTGGATCAGTAAAGTGACAGCAACTCCTGATTATCCTGACATTTTTATCCAGTACATCCATTTATTCCCACGGGATCTTTCTGCTCTGAAACCTACAGACTTACCTGTTGACCAAGTCATGACAGACGGCTCCGTTCTGACAGGGATCACTGGCACACTCGTCCACATCCACCTCACAGTGGACGCCATCAAACCCTGGCAGACACTCGCAGGAGTACATGCCGATCAAGTCGTGACAGGTGGCTCTGTTATGACAGGGACTCGACTCACACTCATCTATCTCCAGCTCACAGTTCACACCTGAAGACAGTAGAAGACAGGAGTTTATGATCCAACAAAGGTAGTTGTTATTGTGGTTAAATGATCAGTCTCATTTTATCAGTATCAGCGTGTCTATTCTGAGCTGACAGAGTCTTCCTGAACAGACTGAAAGGGTGGCAGGCGGGAATGCCGAGCTGCTGATCTGAATGAACTCTTTCTGATAACAAAGAGCTCCTCTGACACTGAGCAGGCCGTGCAGAAAGAAACCAGTGCAAGAAAAGCAAGACGGGTTGTTTTCCCTTCACTTTATCTGAGCCTTAGATAAGAAATCATCTTGGAGAGCACTTAAAATACTCCTCGTGCTCTCTTTATCAGGTACAAACTACACAGTGTGGGATTAACAAACCACTGAACAAGACGTGGAGGAGAAAATAAAGTCTGTCAGAGAGCGGGAAGTGTTTGTGTCACTGCTGATATGTTCTCTGACGAGATGATTCATGATGACACACTTCAGATCTGTTGCTCAGGAGTTTGTGAATGAAGATGATTTAAAGGGTTACTGAGACATAAGTCATCATGTCTGCTTTTGTTTTGTTTTTAACTTCTGCATCACTGGAGATTCAGTTTTTCAGATCTCACGTTACTCTTTCAAGCTTCTTCTTCTTTCCTCTGTCATGATGTTTAGACAGAGAATACCAAGGTGAGACTTTTGACAAAACCTTCAGGGGGTCAGGTGATTGCAATGAAAGGAGGACCATTCTCAAATTCCCGGTCAGTGGTCAGTAAGTCATCATGAAAGGAACAAATATCCATGAATACAAAAAATAGTTTCATATTCTAGTTAAAGTCACTCTCAGCATCACACAACAGTTGGTTTAGGCCATCTTGTGCAATCAAAGACCAGGTTCCAAAAGCTGCTCTTAAGGTTGATGTCATACAGGACATAAATAAAGTTTTACATAAACACCAAAAGTAGCCAAAGTGACCTGTGTGTCAGCATGACAAGGATGATCTGGGGCACAACATGCAGCAAAAGACAGATTTATAGAGGGGGACAAATCTGTTTCCCACATGAGTTCAACTTGGCACAGTTTGCAGTAACGTCCAGATTAGGACGCAACATTTGTACTAACCTGTAAACCCCAGCAGGCACTCGCACTCGTAGTGATCCTTCTCGTTGATGCAGGTACCGTTGTTTTCACATGGTCGTGATGCACACTCGTTAATGTCGATCTCACAGTTATAACCTTGAAACCCCGGCACACAGAAGCAGTGAAACTCAGCGATGCCGTCCACACAGATCGCCCCGTTCTGACAGGGCTCTGATAAACACTCATTAACGTCCTCCTCGCAGGTGTCCCCCTCGAACCCAGCTGCACAGTGACACTCGAATCCCTCAGGCTTCAGCACACAGGTCCCGTTATTCCTGCAGGGTTCATCGATGCAGTCTGTCACATGAGTCCTACAGTCGCTTCCTCCGTAACCTTCAGGACACCTGCAGAAGTACCCGTTCAGCCGGTCCACGCACAGAGACCGGGGCTCAGAGCATGGGTTACTATCACACTCGTCCACCTCCTCAGTACAGTTATCACCTGCCAGACCCTCCGGACAGGTGCAGTGGTACTCAGTCATCCCCGGGATGCTGGTGCAGTTCTCACATGGAGCAAAGTAGCAGGCGTCATAAAGTTCATCGCAGTTTTTACCCGTAAATCTGATCCCCCCACTGGGACAGATGCATGCGTAGTCATCCATGTTGTCCACGCAGGAAGCCCCGTTCTGGCAGGGGGCGGACAAACACCTGTCCGATGTGGCGTTACAAAGGATTCCTGGAAAACAAAGGACAGAGTGTTCACTTCAGAACATGGAGAGATAATGTCTCTAATAACTACTTTTATGTGCGATGACTTTTTCAGGGAAGAGCTTCATATTTCAGCGAGACAATGACAAACTACATTCTGCAGGGATTACAACAGCATGGCTCTGTAGTAGAAGAGTCCTGCTGCTAAACTGGCCTGCCTTCAGTCCTGACTGGTCACCTATTAAAAACATTTGGAGCATCATGACACAAAAAATCGGACAAAGGAGACCCTGAACTCTTGAGCAGCTGAAATCCTCTAAACTGAGACTTGTTTTTGAGTATCACAGAATAATTTCTTGGATGAAAATGAAGAGTTTTCTGTTGATTACTTCTTTTGTCTGGCTCAAAACCTGCAGGAGGTTTGGGCTGGACTCATTATGAGACCACGGTTCATGTGAGGTCAGTCACATGACCAACAGGGTGTTGCTGGGACAATTTTTAAATGTCTCCATTCAGCAGCAACAAACAAGTGGATGAACTGAAATGACCAAAGAGTCCGACTGCATTTAAACCTGTTACACTCATTCTTCCTGACATGTCCTATAATCTGCTCACACTCCTTCCTGGCACTGATGTCCAGGAGTGTTAAACCCTCTTCCCTTCTCTCTCTCACTCTCTCTCTCTCTCACACACACACATCCACACACACACTCATTGTGGACATAAACCCTCACACACGTGCGTCACAGTGTCTCCATCAGGTACATATTCTTGAATCAAGCTAGTCCAGATTTAACTGAGACCCAACGTCAATGACTTCTTAAACCTCCTCTTGATCTTGGATCATTTCCTGAGCTTCATCTGAAATAGTAAAACCTCAATCATGAGAGTAAACGTCTCTCAGAAACACAATGAAACGTCACACATTCATGACTGCTGCAGTGCTGCTATTTGAATCATGCTGCTGAACATTCAAAATTGTAGAAATCTGTGGAGAGTTTAACGGTAAACCCCAAACAAAGACAGACTTTGACCCAGTAGACTGGAGTGTGGTTATGTGTGAAATCAAACATCAACTTTGTGTTTTTATTTCAATTCAACCTTTACAGAATTCAACTTTACAAGTCACTTTATACTCCTTCACAGCTGGATCAATCTGCACAGTCCTCTTTAAGTTCTCTGTCAGGAATAAAACAATGAACTCTAGGAGCAGTGTCTCAGTTTTAGAGCAAAGAAAAACCTGCAAACACACTGAGAAAGCTCTGAACCTGCAGGAACAGACTGCCTGGTAGAACTTTGGGCGTTTTATGAATCTGTTATTTTGTGTATGATCTTGAGGAGCCTTTAAGAAACTTCAGTCATTTCATAGTTGAAATGTTTGAGGCATTTAGTGTCACTGTTTATGAACACTGTGTTCATCTTTCAGTTTCATAATCATATGTTAATTGTTTCTTGTCTCACTTCACTTGTAGCTGCAGTGAGTCATGACCACACTGTCCTCTCCTCTATGAATAGCTCCTCTCAGCTTGGGGGGCTCTTGTTTGTCGAGTTACAGAAGAAATAAACACTTTAATTTGAGGGGGTGTTGAAAAATACAATACTCATGCTGTCTCCCCCCGCCAGCCAATACTATGAGCTCTGTGTGGAAACGCTCCGCATTCCTGTTAATAGGCCCGTCTAACCCCCCAGTCCACTCCCAGACCCCTCCCACACTTTGATCATTGTGCTGCTTCCAGATTTCCACTGAAGTGGAAGTTATTAACAGTGATGGGAGTTATGGAGGGGGAGGGGAATATCTAATGAGGACCCTCAGTTTGAGAGGAGGTCACTCTTTTTATTTGTAGACATCATTAGGAGCGAAACGTGGGTCAGATCAGAGTGCAAGGCCTGATTCAAAGTTCACAACCTCAGTGAAGAGATACAAACGTTAAAAAACAACCAATCAATAAATACAGAAAGGACGAGAGAGGATTGAAGACATGGAATGAATTCTTTCATATGCTGAAGAAAACAACAAACAGATCAACTTCATAATGTGTGAAAACCCCACAGCCGACCCCAGAGTGAACAAAAAGACTAAAACAGAACAGGACTCAGCATGCTGTGGAGCAACAGGACCACATCTTCAAGACATAAAAGGTGTGATGTGAAACAACCTGTAGGAAGTGAAATAGCTCAGAGTTGTACGATGTAATGTAAAATAGCACAACATATAGAAAGTGACAAAAAATGTGACACAAAATGTGACATAGAGCATCGTGGTGATCACGTTCAATAAGAAAGTGATCAAATATGCACATGTCATACAATTATTTTACAGTTATTATTATAACTATTGACTTTTGTTTACATTTTTATTAATACTAACTGCACCACCTTAAACAATGACATGCTTGAACAGATTCTCTAGAATAACCTCAGAGGTACTCCACGCTCCAGAAACCAGCAGAGAGCAAAACACGACCAAGTCAAGCCCAACCGGCGACAACAGAGGCTCATAATGACCTGACAGTAACACAGTAGCGTAACATGGGCACAATACAGTGTCCAATTTACAGTAGTGCGGGCTTCCTATACACTTTGTTATTTTATAAAGCTCAACACAAAACAATAGACCTCAACAGCAAGGGATACAAACTCAAGAAGCATGATGGCAATGGCAAAACCTTATGTCCTAACACGACAAGTGACATAACATCAAAATATGTGACATCAAGTATCTAAGTGTCAAGTAGTGTGACCTCAAGTACTGTAACATTAAGGAGCATTGAGTAAAGTAATGCAGTATGAAGTACTGTAAATTCAGTGCAATGTCAAGTGGCGCAACATCCAATTTGACCAACCCAAAGTTTGACCAAGTAGTGTTATATCAAGCAGCATAACTCCGGGTAACGTCAAAATATGCAAGCTGAAGTTTGGTTGTGTCAAGATGAGCAATGTCAAGTAATGTGACCCTAGATTTTGCTTATGTCAAAGTAAATGCTGCACATAAAACAAAAGTGGAGCTTCAATGAATCAAAAACTAAACTCATTACCTCAACCTGTTTGCATTAGTTTAACATCCTAATCCTACTGCCATCATTTCACTTCTCAAACCTAACGTTAGACAGGCTTTCTTCTTCTCACCCGTGCACGTGCTCATGTTTTAAAGTCATTGAATGCTCCCACATTCCCCTGTGTGGCCATGTGTTGCTGATTCGATGCTGCCTTCATTGATGGTGGTCTCTCCTCTGGATTTTCCTTTCTGACCCAGTGTTGCTAACAGCTCAGGAAGTCTGCAGACCTCCTTCAGCCGACCACAAAGGATTACACAGGTTACCCCCCAGTTACCGAGTCATTGCCAATTACAGTAAAAGTCACAGACAATACAGCATGCATGCAGCAGCCTACTTAATCCTGGAAGAATGAAAACAGAAGTACTCGCTCCCATCATTGGAAAATTATAAACTTGGTTGTTTCCATTAGTTAACAGTGATGTGTATTGTTGTATAATCTCTCCTGCAGACATCATGTGATGTTTCCAGAGTGACTGTTAATGCCACACTATAGTCCTGGGTGCACCTCAGCCATCACTAGAGTTAGTCAGGCAAAATTCCTACATTAGGAATATAAATACAGTCTCAGTTCTGTTTGGAAATCATCAATAATAATCAAAGATTACTGGACTGAAAAAGTGAATAGGCATCAGTCTCTATTACATCCATCTTGGATTGTTTCTCTGTAGCGCTTACTGAGCTGTCTCTCTGATTGTTTAATCCATTAAAGTTATTATTCATGGAGTTTTTCCTGGTCTGCACGAATGGTCTAAGAAGAGAAGGCTTAGTATGTTGCACGGACTGTAAAGCCAGTCTACCAGGAAAGACCTTTTTACCTCTGTGTCCCGACGTCACCTTTCAGAGGCAGAAGGTTTTGTCAGTTGTAATTCTGATTGACGCGCTCCCAGTCTGCAGACACAAATTGTGTTTGAGCTCACAGATTATTATCACCGACTGTGTTTGAACCGCACAGATTACAGTGGTCGGCGGGGGACCGTGAGCCACCTGCAGACAGGGAGAGTCCCAGGTGACTGTGGAAGGTTCAGATTAGGTTCTACTGGATGTAAGAAGGAGCTCAGGATAAACATGTTAATTAAGTGAAGTGGTGATCCTTTTGCTTGCTTGATAAGAAACTTAACTAGAGGTTGTTGTGTCAAACATTGAGTCAAACAGGAACAACGACCGATCAAGAGTCACAAGGGATTAAATGTGTTCGGCTTTTATTTTAACGACAAAGTCTGTTACACTTAATCTGCTCCCAATGAAACAGAAAGGAAAGACATCCCTCTTGGAATCGTTTTGATTTTTAACAACACAGCATTCCTCCTGATTGAATCTGTACTTCTGGATGTTGATTCACAGTTTTTCATTGATTTCAAGTTTTCTTACTTGGTGTTCCTCAGGGGTCAGGTTTCGGCCCAATCCTTTATGTTATTGGAAAATTAATGGAAAATGCTGCAGTTGGAACAAACAACTCAGAAACTCAGGCAAGAGTTTGGTGCCTGATTCACCAACTTGAAGTCAGGTGAACAATGTTTTAATAATGTTGGGAAAGTTTTTAATTTACAGATTGCACATAATCTTTTTGGTCAAATGCAATGCATCGGTGGCAATCCACATAAAGAGACCTGTACTTGCAGGTCTTTATTGAAAAACTGCCAGCATTTTCTTTTAGCTAAGGAATGGGTCTGAGTCTTGGTTTTACTGTCCAGAGAAAGTTCCTGAGAGGCTTACTATTCATCTGTTTTTAGTGAGTCTCAGTTTTGCAGTAAATACTAAGTAACAAAAGCTTTTTTTTTTGGCTATTTCTGCTGAGTCTCAGTTTCACCATACAAATAAAGTGTCTTTTTATGTGTCTTCTGAGTCTCAGTTTTAATATATTAAGTTATATTATATAGCTGTTTCTTTTGAGTTTTAGTTTTACTGTCAATAGGAAGTTACACAGAGGTCTTAAAGGTTTAGAGGTACAAATACCTAGCATCTAACTGCTAGGAGTCATAATTATTCACCTATTTGACTCACTTTAACATCTTCAGTCTGCATTTGTTTGTTTTGTAAAGGGGGAGTAATTAGATTATCTGCCATCTGAAGTATTCAGATTCTTGTTTGTTCTTCCCTTCTTAGAACCTTCACCTTGTCCTTCACCCACTTCCTGTCCTCATCCTACTTTCCCTCCCCCCTTTCACCTGCGCAGGTTTGCTAGTCTTCCTTGCCTCTGGAGTGTTTCTCTGTTGTAATCCTTCTTGCCTCTTTGGGCCAATCCCACCTGCTCCTTTAATCTCCTTGTGGCAGGATACCTGCGGAGATTACAGCTCCGAGCTTCAGACATAGCATGTGTCACCTCTGTCACCTCTTCTATCTCCCTCACATGATCTCCCCCATCTTCTCCTGTCTCTTTGACCTCAAATTTAAGCTGCTTCACTCATTAAAACCTTTGTGGAATGTGGCACGCACTTTTCTGTTTAACCACTTTAAAATCACTAAATTTGCAAAACTGCCTGTGCAAACACTCATAAATATGTAAAACACAACACCCTTCCTCTGATTAATCATTGTTTCCAAAAATTTCATCTGGGGAATCTGTGATCTAACCCTACGTCTCCAGTAGACACCAATCCAATCAATAAAAGGGCCTCTTTAATTTTGTTAGCTATTAAAACCATCAGAGACTTCTCCTGTGCAGGTACAACCCCAGTTTACCTAAGAGTCAACAACTACTGTTGTGCAGGATTCAAGATGAAAACATCAGAATTTTTTCACCAGGTGCAACATTTACAACATTAACATAGTGAACGCCAACCCTAATAAATGTCTTTCCCACTAAACTGAAATCTGATTTAGGCATGGCTGATGTAACCCACCAAAGGTGTATTACAGCAGTAAAATAGTAATATACTAATTTGCTAGTTTTTCCACTATTAACTTCTCCCTAATCAACTCTGCCACAATAGTTTGAATCAAAGTGCTATTTTGTGGTTTAGAGTCTATCTCCATGACAAATATCAGTGTGTTATTCAATGACCACCACTACGTTAATTCTGGTGTTCCACAAGGCTCCACATCAGGTCCACTTCTTTTTTTTTCATTTTTTATGAATGATTTTCCACTAATTTGCTCAAACTGTCACATTAATCTCTATGTTGATGAAACTGTTATTTACCCAAGCAACTCAAACATATCATAAATTCAGTTTTCTTCACAGTCTAATTCTAATCCCTTTTGAAACTTATTTAATATAATGAGCTCCTTTTGATGAGAAAAAACAATGGCGAATTTTTAATCCCTATATTTTAACAAAAACACAAACATTAGAGCATCACCCTGCGACTCATCTTCCCATTATGTATTCCTCACATGTTACAACTGTCACCGAGGTGATGGCCAGAGAAAAAAGGTGTTTCATTCACCTGACACAAATATAGTTAATACTGATACAAGCTATAGCACAACAACAACAACAACAACAACAACACACACACACACACACACACACACACACACACACACACACACACACACACACACACACACACACACACACACACACACACACACACACGCAGGGCAGCTCAGTGCGTGATGACATGATATCATCCATTAATCTTTAATAATCTGTCTCTGACCTCTGTCTGAGATGATTATCAGCTAATTGATTTATTCTCTGAAATTAAATGACAGAGATAAAGTGTCACCTGAGGATGGACGGTTCAATCCATAATGAACAATTCTTTTCAAATTATGAGGTAAAAATCCCACCTGATGGCGGATTTATTTTCTGATGAATAAGTTTGCAGGGTGTATAAATGTGTGTACCACATGTTAAGTAGCATGTTTTAGTTGGTCACATCATTAATAAGGAGCTGTATGAGTGCAGTTTATTTTCGATATTGAAATCTCCTGTCAAAAATAGACCTCAACAAAAATAATTATGAAGAGATGCAGCTTGGATCAAGAGCTCTAATAGGCTCTAAAGACACATTTATCAAAAAGAAGGTAAACTTTTATGGGTATCAGACAATAACAACAGAACATTAGGGTTTTAAAAAATTCAAGACTTTGTGAATTAAGTCTTTTTATTACTAGAATTAAGTCATTATTAATGAAAATTAAGTTGTAATCAGGTTACAGTTCTAGTTTACCATTCTCTATTTTAAAAGGTTTATGTTAGGATTTTATTCTCAGAACATAACAACATAACATATAAACTTTATTCTCATAAAATAATGAGTTTATTTTCATAGCATAACAACTTTATTCTTATAATGATTTTATTCCCATAGTAAAACAAGTTAATTCTCATTACCACTGTATACTCATAACAACTTTATAAAGACTGTGATCCTGTGATATTACAATTTTATTCTCATAACATAACCTTTTTTTCTCATAATCACGTAATTCTCATGACACTACAACTTTGTTTTTTTAATACTTTATTCCGACATCAAAATTACTCAATTCTCATAACACAACTTTTTTTTCTCATGACTCTATTCTCATCATGTAACGATTTTATTCTCATAACATATAGACTTCATTCTCACAATAACCTTACTCTTAAAACATAATGACTCATAACAATTATATTCAAATAATTTTTTGACCTTTTTCTTGCAACATAATTTTTTCTCTCGATGTTACAAATGTATCATTTTTCAAAATCCTATTTTTCTTTCACCTCAGTGTGGCCCTTATATTTTGTTGTATATCACAACTATCAAACATACAGTTAAATCACAAGACAGCTCTATAACCCTAAATATTGGTAATTGATCAGGAAGCTATCCTCTCCATATCAGTTCAGGACTGTATGCTTCATTCACTGCATCGTCATATTTATGAATAATTCAAGTAATTAAAACATTAATTTAGAATTGTAAATCTAAATCTTTGTACATAAAGTTAATGTTTTTGTTGTTGGTTAATATTGGTTGATGATCTTTAGCTTTTCAGAACATTTTAAATAGCTGTTTCCCTGAGGTCAGGCAGAGACCTGCCTCTGGGAAGAGGACGCCCCTGCCATGCACAGTCCATCACCGGCACTGTTGGAGGTGCGACAGGCCCAAGGCCCAGCAGAAAGGCCACCTTACTGTGATAGATAAGGCTGGCAGAAAAAAAGTCCAACTTGTAGCTGTATTTTCTGTGTTGTTGTCTACTATATTTTTCAAACAAGCCAATAAAAGTGAAAAATCTCATCAGTTGGAAAAGCTGAACAGTTAATGTCACTATCAGAACAGACACAGCGAAGTAAAAAATAAACAGTGATGTGTGATGGTTAAAGAAACAAAGTTCATTCACTGATTTATATTTTCTTAATGAAATCAAACAGAAGAGTACGTACTGTTTCTTTGGTAACAGACATTTAAAAAAAAACTGTCACAAACCCTCAGTGACCTGATTTTATGTCTGCATTCATGCACAGACGGTTATGAATGAGCTCCTCTCCCCTGATCTCATCCCTGTTTGTTCTGTGTAAGTATGCATGACTGAGGATTCACAGCCAGTCATGTGTCTAATCCCACACAATGGGTGAGTAAAAACCAGGAATAATGTTGGAAAAATATTAGCCACACCCTCTACTTTATCATCCAATCACACTGCAGCTTCTTCAGATAAAAAATCAGGGCTCGGAGAGTCTGCTTTGCTGCAAATATTCAGAGTTTACTCCAGAGAAAGTTACTCTGAGCACATACAGAAGTTTAAATTGCAGATATTGTTAGTTTAAACTAGTTTTGCACTCTTCTGTGTGCAGCTTTGATATACTCTGGTTTATTCCTGTCCTCAGTTTAGAGCAAAAAGTGCAGCTTCACTGACTGAATGCATAAAATTATCACGATAAAAGTTGTATTTTATCTTTTTTACATGGTGTCTCTCTCAGGGTTCAGAGTGTGCATTACTATAAAGGAGTGAGTTTTTGTGATTGCTGTTGCATTTATTTGGATGCTTGTCTGTTTTTTAGTTAAATAAACCTGACTTCTGTGCTGTCCTGGTCTGTGCACACAGCAATAGACATTTGTTCTTTTTGACTCTTTCTCTTTTTTGATTGTTTATAAATTCATGGACGATTAACTTTCAATGTTTTCCTGATTTTATCCATGTCAGTTTCATAAATTAAGAGTTAAAAGTTAAGAACTTAATTAATCCTCGAAAGGAAATTCAATACACCCAGCTTGGTCTGAGGATTTTTTTCTGCTCGGTGTTGAAAAGGCTCTTCCTGATGACATTTGTTGTTATTATTTTCCTTTATTATTCAAAAATAAAAACAATGACACCCCCATCCCCTACCAACTTGTCTCCATCTATTTGAGTCTGTGGGAGCACCCACTGCTCTCTCCTCCCAGAATCCACTTGTGCTATTTTGTTGAAACTGAAGCATCATTGAGAGCTGCTCCAGTTCACCATCAGAGTCGTGAAAGTGAGAACCCCCCTCAGAAAAGGACCAAACACTCACACTGAGAGGATTTTTTAAAGTTACAGTAATCAAACAGGAGAGGAAACTGCTCCTGTGGGTATTAATGACTCTGCTGTAAATCTTTCTGCAACCTGTTGCTTTCACAGAAGCAGGATTAAACTTTAAACTCTAAAACAACCAGCAGGGAGAGATTTTCAGAGGATTTACACTTCAGTTTCCCTTTAGAGTGAAGAAACAATCATGAAAAGAGGAAAAACTACCAGAGAAGTGCGGTGCCCACTCACCCCATTTGAACATCATCATGGTCAGCAGCAGCGTCTTCAGGTTCAGGTGAACTTTTCCCAGCTCCATGCTGAAATCAGCTCACCTAGGTCTGCAGAGGACCTCAATAGATGTGCAGAAAGAGGAGGATCCTACAATTCAGACATGCTGCTGAGAGGTGGAGAAGCTCCGTGAAGTGGTGTGTGTGCTCTCAGTCCAGAAGCTGGCATACTGCTCTGTCTGTGTTTGGGCACTAATGAAGAGGAGTGACACAGACGGCCCTCCCTGCTCCAAACTCTGAGTCTAATCAGCCGAGAGAGCCAGCAGGCAAAAGGAAAACAGGAGCTGGATCAGCAGGAGCTGGACTAACAAGACACCTGCTGAGACAGAACTTCAGTCTCTGGACATAAGAGACATCTGCATGAAGAAGAAACTGCAAGAGGGAACATGGGAAGGAGGAACTAAATGTAAAGAAATTAAAAAACTAGTTATAAAACAAACTAATATGTGGATGTATGAGTTCATCCAAGTTTAATACCAAATGTAAGAGGTAAATCATTTACAGAGAATTAAGAAAAAAATATGATTAATTACATTAAACGACATTTCTAGGATCTTCTGTTCATGCAAAAAAATCTCTTGATTCATATGACTGCACAGATTCTTAGTTTTGAGCCTCTACCACTAAATAATTAAGTTGTAACCTATAAGTAACTTATAAGTAATGAGGCATGAACACAAGCCTTGATATACTATTTAATTATAATATAGATTAAAAATATAAAAATTTGCACAGATTTGTCCACTTTTGTGAGACAAAAATCTGATATTTTAAATTACAGCACTTATTAGACCCCAAAATTAAAGCTTAAATATTGTTAAAGTTATTAAATGAACCTCTTTAAGGCTATAAATTAGGCTAATATATTGAAACATGGGTTCCTTAGAAAAGCAAAAAAAAAAAACCAATAATAATTAAAAAAAAATAATACTCTGTCATTGAATTGTTACTGTCCAAGTCTTTTTTTATTATTATTAAAAAACAGACTGAACTTTATTGATCCTAAAGGATATTCTAGAGAGTGAAACAACATTGCTTTGGTTTTGAAAATCGACCTTAACCCTTACATGGTCTAAAAAGTGTATGACGGTTAAATAAAGTACAATAGAAAGTGAAATTAGAAGTATACGAAGTCACAAAGACAGGCTGAGAAAGTTGGAAAAAAGTCTTACATTAAAATGGATAATTTATGTTTGCCAGCATGTGTATTAAATTTGTTTGGGCATGGTAATGAAATAAAAGTAACACTGTAATAAAAAAATGAAAGTAAATAAAATGTTGCTTATAATCTTAAACATTCATCCCTCTGCCATTATTAAATTATTTCCCTTTAATAAGCAATAACACTAAATTATTTTCCTTCAGGTGTATAATTCTAAGAAAATATTTATGACTAGGTTGGTATAAATGTAATGGATGCAGAATATTAAAAGAGGAAGAATAATATTACAAAGTCAAATTAAGCCCTGGAGCTAAAATGTCCCCGCACTCTCTGCTCTGTTTTGATTTTATTTTATTTACAATAAAATACATTTTGAGGGTGGATCATCTTTTGGGAATTCACACATATTTCTGTATCTGGATCCACATTTGACTCCTGTGAGTCTTTTGGATGTCAGTGGTCTGATTCTTCACCCTAGTGTCGTGTTAACTCCAGTCCAGGTTTTCCCTCCCGGCCCATCAGAGTCTTCAGTGGCATTAGCAGTTCTTTATAGGGGAGCTTAGCAGCCATGCATCAATCACTTAGCCTGTTAGGGTGAGGGTCAGGGTAAGCCTAACACCCCCTCACACACACATACACACACAAACACCAGCTGTACCTGACACCCCTCATTCACACACCCACAAACTTTATACCATAAACAGGAACAGGCGTATGAATGCTATAATCTAGATTCAATTTAGTAGGGGATGAAAAAGAATGAATTTTATTGGGAAAGTTTGATCATCTGAGCTGATCATACAGACCCTCTCTCCGAGAAACAGGTGGTCCAGAAAGCAAAAGGTATTATCAGCCGATCTGAGCATCTTCTGTCCACTGAATTTCCTCTAACCCCCCCCAGGCCAGTGTCAGAGTTGGCAACACACAAATCCCTCAATCCCTCTGCAACTGAAGGTGCAAGCTGGTGAAACACCCGTCAGTACAACAGTGTATAGAGTACACAGAAGTAACTGTAATGTAGTATGTGCAACACACAAAAGTAAAAAAGAACTTATGCAAAACTCTTCATTTGTACCAGATAGTCAAATCAAATTTTTACATGAAGAAATGTAACAAAATTCCACATGCAATAACAAAGTACATTTATTGATTCAATACTGGATGTACAGAAGGTTTATTTGCAAAAAAAAAAAAAAAAAATTATAAATATTAGATTTGCAAAATTTTCAAATGCAAAGGTCAATTAAGATCACTCTCATGTGCAATGATAGTTCGAGAAAGTGTCAATAAAAGATATAAAAAATTCTCATTTGACGTTAAAGACATTGAAGATTTTCATCTTCAGATTTACAAAAAGTAAAATATATAAATGAAAAAATGTTTATAACTCTCAAGTACAATAATAGATGCAGAAAATGTTCACATGTAACAACAGAAGAGCAAAATTGTCACGTGCAAGATCTAGAAATTTTAATTTGCAGTAGAACAGATGTACATATTTATATGTGAAATAACACACAAGAAAAAAATGTCATAATTCTCCTGAACACATTTGCTGTAAAAATAATAATTGTGCAACATGTTCATGCGCAAGAAAAGATTCACAAAATTTGATTATAACAGATATAAAACTTTTCATGTGCAATACTGATGTGCAAATTTTAAAGTGTTTTAATAATTGTGCAAAAATTTAATGTGAAATAATTTATGTGTAAAATCTACATGCACAAGAATAATGCACAAAAATTAATGTGTGTATTTTTAATGTAGTGCACATTTTTTTAAATGTGATTTTGAAAACAATTTTATCTCTTCTGGTGCTACAATATCTTCAATATTTCATATTTTATGAAGCACTCATATAAACTATGAGTTTACAGCTCAGAGTTGGAGCCTCCTGACAGAGATCATAACCACCCATGAAAATAAATAACACATAATACAGCTGTTAGTTTGTCACCCTCCAACCATGAAGATGTCAGCGTTAGGATTTAATACGAACTCATTCTGAGCATAAATACCCAAAATTATTATGACTTCCATATTTCATGCTCAGTGTTGAGACTACAGAAGTCAGCAGAGAATAGATGTAAAACTTTCTGGAGGTGACAGTTTGAGTCAAACTGAGTCAGGGGAGCTGAGTCATAAATTCCTCTTTATATTTTCTTCCTCTACTTACAGTAACATGAACATAAACTGAGCAAAATTCAGGATGACTCATGCCAAAGTGCACAGAGTGAAACTCTGTCGCAGCAGATCAGACATTCTGTCCTTCAGAGGTTTAGTTATCATCAGTCACAGATAAGAACAGGGCGGAAAACCACAGACGCAGTAAGTGACTGACATATCAGTGCTGTCATCATCACTCTGAATCTGAGAATTCCTCCCGAGTTTCCTTTTCATTAAAATAAAACAGGTTTAAGTAGGAATATTCAGGGACTGGGCCACTATTTTGTGTTATGAGATCGAAACACAAAGCGGTAGGCTACATTCCATCTATAGAAGGTGGCAGGAGGAGAATTTTTAAACAGAAAACATTTTAACTGGACAAAATTGAAATGTAGATGCTTTGTCCACAGGGGGCACCAAAATCAAAACAGAGTAACAAGTTTAACAAATGGAGCTTCAAGAAAAGGCTCAGTAGTTCAAACTTATTTAAACACATGCTCTTACAAAAGCAGATTGATATACCTGAGAAAAAAGTCCTGATGGTAAACTGGCCAAACGTTTTAAAAAGTACTAAAACGGAAAAAGTTCAGTGATCTTCTTCAACACATCACTAGATGATAAAATATGTCCAAAAAATCCTCACAAATATTTCTAGAAACAGAAAAATCCCAAAATGCAAATTTATTCCATAAAAAACTAAAATACTAAAAAAAAAAAAAAAGATGATTTTTTTGGATTTCAAGCAAACCTCTTGCTTAGTTTTATGCAGACACAAAAAAGGTTAGGGGAGAAAATTTTGTAATGAGTTTGCCCTCTGGTGGAAATTATATTTAATCACATTTAATAGACACTGCAGAGCGCTGACTGATAGGTTTTTATTTCATTGCATGTCTTATGTGCCCACGTCTTTAATGCCTGTTAAAAAAGGATTAAAAACGGTTCAAAACTGATAAAGTAACTGTCCCAGACTCTGAACCGCCGAGAAAAGACGGACATGAACGAGCTGGCCCCAGTCACATATTTCACACCGCTCCACATTGTACGCGACACCGGAAGTTACTGTACAAGTAATTTCAAATATTGACCTCAGTTTTGTCTTACAGGTAGATAATTCTCTACGAGATGAGAGTGATAAGGTCACTATAGAGATTAAAGTAATGGTAGTAATCTTTTTGTAAAGCAACACATATATGGAATGTTTGCTTTGCATGCTTTTCTAATCGTCCACACCTAATGTCTGCGTTATCGGGGCAGAGTCAGCGAGTAAGGCTCCTCCTGTGAGACAGCACTGAGGGTGTGTCACTCTCCTAGGCAGGGATAGCGTTCCCATTATGTTCTGGTTTTCATGCTGTCAGAAGCTGCCATCCTCCTACCTTATTATTGTGGAAGTGAGGAGAAGACTACGCCGCTAGAAACATAATGTGATTCTCAACCAACAGAATTAAGTTCTGTCACCATGTTAATGAGCTTATGATAGCTACGAGACCAGCTCGGTTTCTTTAACAATCCTTTTGAGTTGCTCGCTGACAGGTTAGCTTCCTGCGGCTAACTCCGCTATGTGAACTAACTCAGAGGCGATAAAGAAACTCCCTGCAACTCTCAGGTGGGTGAACATTTTGACTTTATATTTAAATATTATTATTCACAACATGAGATACTGTTATTGGTTTCATTAAGTGTTAGTCATAGCTACCCTACTACTGTATTTTAGTCATGTTTCTCTGCTAACGCCTGCTCAAAAGTTGCTAACTAGCCAGGTGGCTAACTTTGACTGAAAGGTGCAGAGACAGCAATTCGTTTAAGATAGACCCTCCAAATTACTCTTTTCAACATTAAGACGAATCATAAGCCAGCTATAAAGTCAGTTTCTCATTAATCTTGTCAAGGTAAAGCCACATAATCTGTCTGAAACACCCAGTTACTATAATTTCAGATTGGTAATTATTGCTGATTCATTAATAATCTAACTTGGTGTCTGTTTTTACTGAGGGGGTGACCTGTGACAGTCACGATTAACAGCAGAATACTTCCATTTTCATTGTGGTATTTTGTCCCCAAACCTCGTCCAAGCCTGTCTCTGTTATTACAATCCTAAACTTAAAAATGCCCTGTTATGATCATGACAGTATTGTGTGTCAGTGTTATGAGTTTGCTGCTTTTCGTGGCTGAAATAAGAGGATGGATTTATTTTTTATTGACTAATAATACTCGAGACTTGGGATCATTAGAAGGTACTAAAAAATAGATATTGTAATAAAAAAACATTCAATGATTAATTAACAAACATTTTTCCATTTACATTCAAATCAAATCAACTTATTTCATCTGTTACGAATTTCATTTGCAGAAAAAGCGCCAGTGCAGAAACAGATAAACCATAGCACATGTTCATTCACAGATCACAACCTAGAGTTCATAATAAATACAATAAAAACATTAAAAACAAAAGGTCAATCATACTAGTCCTTCTCTACAATATTGTGTGGCAATCAGCAGTCTAACAGGCGGATGGAGGTGGGAAGGAAGCTGGAGGTGGCCCTCTTTGTCCTCAGTGGGAGAAACCTGTACCTGTGCCCTGAAGGCAGCAGAGTATGGCTGTGTCCGACATGAATCACTCAATCCCTAACCCCTAACCCCCATATGGGATTTCACTATATAGCTGACTATGTAGTGAATTCAATTACCGGAGGTTTCGGACACTACATGGCAAGAAGCAATGCATGACGGGATGCCCACCACCGGTGAGTGACCATCGGATGGTCACTACATTTTGCAATGCTTTATGGGAAATTTTGAGTCGCCTGTATAGGGCACTGGAATTGATCACTGAGATTTCGAACACCCCTCAAAATGGCGCTAACCCCCGTGTAGTCACCTATATAGGGGTTAGGGATCCATTTCGGACCAGCCTATAGTGAGGGTGCAGGGTGTGTGAGGGGTCAGTGGAGATTTGCTTGCCTTTCCCCAGGACTCTGGTGTTGTAGATGGTGGTGAGTGACTGCTGTTCCTGACCAATGATTTTGCTGCTGATTTTGATCATTTTATTAAGAGTGTTGCGGTGAGTAAGGGTGAGTGAGTGAGCCAAACCAGGCAGTGATGTTGAATGTGAGGATGGATTCAATGAGACATTTATAGAAAACAGCAAGAATGGACTGGTGAACCTGAAGTTTTCGGAGCTTACGGAGAAAAAAGAGGCGCTGTTGGCATTTTGATAAAAATGTGTTCAGTGTTGAGTTGAAATGTAAGTTTGCGGTTGATTATGGAGCCGAGATATTTATATGAGGGGACCTTTTCAATTGTTTCATTGTTGATTGTGAGTGAGGGTGTGGTGGAGTGGCCATGATGGAAGTAAATGACCATTTCCTTCGTTTTAGATACAGTAAGGTCTAGACAGTTGTCCCTACACCACAGTGAAAAAGAGTCCAGTTCTGCTTGCAGTAGTCCGACTGTGTTTGTGTACATTATAATTCAATATTCATGGTTATCTTTGCCAGAAACATGTTTCAGATGGATTTGGAGTCCACTCACACAATGATAGGAAAATATATTTTATCGATGTTATATTCATTCCAGAGGCAATATCAAACTCCATTATTCTGTTCATCATAACAAATGCATATAAAGCACCTGTCAGTAACAGATTTGACCAGTTATCATTTCAGGTGTGATCATTCAAGGGGAAATTGACAGTAATAGACAACAGCTACATAAGCAAGGCTGCCTGCAGTGTCTGCAGCCATTATATGTTCATTTATTTAAATCAAAATAAAAAAAATAAAAATATTGTAGCGACTGCTTTCCTTCAACAAAAAAGGCCGCTGGGGTTCAGGTTCGCTTGCATCTGTGACTCGCTTGAAGCTTCTGTAATCTTATGAAATGACTCTTTGAATAAATCCATAAAAAAAGCTAACCCTGACTCTTTCCTGTAGGTGTTGCAGGTTGCTCTCATGTGCCCATGGAGAAGGTGGCCTTTGAGGGGTGGCTGGAGTCAGTCTCCGCCGCTTTCCTTACTCTGAATGACCAGCAGAGGAACCAGTCTCTAGACCAGCTCATCTCTCTCAGCGGTGCTGTTCAGCTGCGTCACCTATCCAATGGACTGGAGACGCTGCTCAAACGGGACTTCCTGCGACTCCTACCTCTGGAGCTGGCCTTCTACCTGCTGCGCTGGCTCGACCCGAAGACCCTGCTCACTTGCTGCCTTGTCTGCAAACAGTGGAATAAGGTAAACATGGAGTTACCTGGAGTCATGACCTGCTTGTTATTTGTTCAAATTGTTTGCTCATTTTCCTCACTTGAATCTGTTTCTCATGTCTTCAGTAGGGGTGTGGTGATCACTTGGTAGATTAGCCTTCATTAGCAGTGGACTGATAGTTTTCTTTTATACTTGTGCAGCACAGCAAGCATTAAAAGGGCCCCTCTCTTCACAGGTGATCAGCTCGTGCACTGAGGTGTGGCAGGGTGTGTGTCGGGAACTTGGCTGGAGGATTGATGAGTCCATCCAGGACGCGTGTCACTGGAAAGGGGTCTATCTGAAGGCCAGCCTGAGGATGACGCAGCTGAAGGACCAGGAGGCCTTTGAGACGTCGTCCCTCATTGGACACAGTGCTCGAGTTTATGCACTCTACTACAAAGATGGCCTCCTCTGCACAGGTACACTCAGCCCTGCACAGGAACATTACTGAACTGATGGTTAGACCACATGTAAACCCTCATAACCTGAGGGGGGGTCAGCTCATGATTCGAGTCTGCTTTTCTTTCAGGATCTGATGACCTCTCTGCCAAATTATGGGATGTGCGCACTGGGCAGTGCATTTATGGCATCCAGACACACACCTGTGCCACAGTGAAGTTTGATGAACAGAAGTTGGTGACCGGCTCCTTTGACAACACTATTGCATGCTGGGAGTGGAGCACCGGTGCTAAAATCCAGCAGTTCAGAGGCCACACAGGAGCAGGTCGGTTTCCACGATCTCAACTTTTTGAAGTTATTTTGAAGATGATTTAAAAACTTTAAAAACAATATAATAATCCTTTACATTTTTCTTCAGTATTTAGGTGTAAAAATACATGAGAAATTCATGCACATTCTCAGCTTACAAATCAACCAAATCAAAAATCTGCTTTCATAAACAGAATTTTTTGTAGCTTCTGTTTGGTTTTGACCAGAGACTGTGCCGTATTTTTCGCACTATAAGTAGCTGCAGTGCTCCGACAAGCCGAAAGGATTTTAAGTGCGCCTTATAGTGCGAAAAATACGGTATAAAGAATGGACGCCGTCTGCATCCTCGCTGGGTGAAGCCGCTCCGAGAACAGCACACTTTGGCAGCGAGCTGCAGTATAGATCATAAATCGGGGGTCTATGATTGACACTTGATGCAGCCTATGGGCGTGCAAAGATTGCGTAGCTCACCCAGGGGATACGCTGTTTGAGCTGAGCATCATCACCTCAACTCTCGGCAACTCTCCCGCTGAATGCGCACAATGCTACAGCGCAGTGTTGGTTTTAGGAAATGAAGAAATAACCCTGAATTACCAAGAGCTTTTTGGCTTCAAATCCATATACTGGTGGAAGGTGGAACCAAGTTGTCTATAGTATATACAGTCTATGGCTTTGACTCACTCAGTCCAGTTTGTAATTCATGAATTTGAAAAGCAAAGAGCTTGGGTGTTTAATGCAACAAAAGATGTCTGAACTTGTGCTGTATTTTTTGCCACATTTGTTTTCCATTATTCCCTCATTTAAATTTGATAAATGAGTCAGTCTCTTCAAATCCAGAAAATAGTTTAGGTGTGGTCATGACTTTCACAAGAACTGAGTCCTCAAGCAGGTCAAGAGTTCATCAAAAAAGGCAAAGTAATTCAAAACTTTGCAATCAATTAATTCAACATTGCAGCTTTAAAATCACAGTTCTGCTGGTGCAAAATCAAATCTTTTTCCAGAGTCAGAAAGAGCCTGAATCCAACCCCAATATTTTCTTATTTTCATGATGTTTTCATTTAAATTGTGCTAACTGTGTGTGTGTGTGTGTGTGTGTGTGTGTGTGTGTGTGTGTGTGTGTGTGTCTGTTGTGTGTGCGCTCAGTGTTCAGTGTGGATTATAACGATGAGTTGGACCTGCTGGTCAGCGGCTCTGCAGACTTCTCTGTGAAGGTGTGGGCTCTCTCTGCTGGGGCATGTCTTAACACTCTGACTGGACACACCGAGTGGGTCACCAAGGTCAGACCTTTAAAACCCAAGATGAATTATTTTGGCTTCCTTGTTATTAATGTATTCATGAAAAAATACAGTGATGTTTGAATGTTTTTGACTGAAAACTTGTGCTGGTTTTTCCTCAAAGGTGATCCTGCAGAAGAGTGAGGTGGAGTCTATGGTGCACAGTCCTGGTGATCACATTCTCCTAAGTGCTGATAAGTATGAAATAAAGGTGAAGCTCCGCCCCTCCCTGCGGTTTCCTGTCATAGTGCTGGTGTTGTAGTACCTGAAACATCCTTGAGATGGCGCTGACACCATGTCTCTCCTGCAGGTCTGGCCTTTAGGCAGAGAGATAAACTGTAAGTGTCTGAAGACTCTGTCGGTGTCGGAGGATCGCAGCATTAGTTTGCAGCCCCGTCTGCAGTTTGATGGACGATACATCGTCTGCAGCTCCGACCTCGGGGTCTATCAGTGGGACTTTGCCAGCTTTGAGATTCTCAGGTAAAATTCTACATCCAACCCTTCATGCCTCTAAAAGATAATAATGAGGCTCACATTGTTCTCGTCGTGTTCATAGTAAAAACAGAGAAATATTTTAACAAAGATCCACCTTCAGCAGCTGGAAGCCCTCCTAAATGTTTGATGCTCCTGTTTTCCACCTCATGTCTGTACACTCATGAACAAAAGAGGGACAACTTCAGCTAATTTTTTTTCTTAATAAAACTTTTGCGTCTTTTTTCTGTTTTTAGGGTGATCAAAACACAGGACCCAGCTAACCTGTCCCTGCTCAGCTTCGGCGAGGTTTTCGCACTCCTCTTTGATAACCACTTCCTGTATGTGATGGACCTTAGAACTGAGGTGATCTCAGGACGCTGGCCTCTGCCCGCCTACAGGAAGTCCAAACGAGGCTCCAGTTTTCTGGCCGGGGTGACATCCTGGCTGAATGGGCTGGACGGGGACAATGACTCTGGACTGGTGTTTGCTACCAGCATGCCCGACCATAGCATTCACTTAGTCCTGTGGAGGGAGAACGGATAGAAGCTGCCATGGTGCTCCGAACAGCCAAGATACATCATGCATGGACCAAAGCATTTTGTTTTTATCTGTTTCTTCCTCAGCGTATAGTCCTCCTCTACACTCACAGGAACGATCACAGACTGAGAGAGGACGTCAAACGGTTGCTCTTGACTCTGCAGAAACCTGCACACCTCTCACTGGTCTGTGATGGTGGACAAAGACAGGAAACAGACTTTTTAAAAGCCAACGTGCATCAGTGGCAACTAAAAAAAGGTTCAGATCAAACACAACCGTAGAAACTCTCTTGTAAAAACCTGAAGGTGAGGGTTTGTCTCAGATCTGCTCTCTGCTCGGTCTGGCATTGTGCTCTGAGATCTTTGTAGCTAACCTTTAACTCATAGTCTCGAGGCCAATGTAACCTCTGACCTCTTCTCACCAGGTCAAGACTGTGTCACCTGTAGCTTCAACATGCACATACACAGCTGTTCACTGAGCAGATCTGCAGAAACACCTAAAGAAGAAAAGAAGAGTCGCCTTAAATACAGACGCTGTAAATAATCGAGGACGTCTCTTCGACGTCAGAGCTAGACATTCAAAGGGATTCTGGTGTTTTCTTTAAGCTGGAGCCAGATTTTTATACGTTTTGAGGTCTGAAAAAGAGGTTTTTAATTTGCACCACTAGATTTCTTCCTCCTGCAGCAGGTAAACGAACTGCAACATTATCCTGCTGAGATCCACCAAATAATTGTCCTGGACACAACTTCAAATAAAAGCAGAAATAAACAGAAAAAAAAACTGATTTGCCTGGAAAGCATTCAGAAATTCAGTCTGCATGATCTAATCTCTGAACATGAATGCCCAAAACCAACCTGTCGTGAGGCCCTCAGACCGTCCACACACTTTCTGCATGAAGCACCATGGTAAGACGAGCAAGATCAGGGTTTACTCAATTTAACAAAACTGGACCACTTGGGGGAAAAGCATCATTACAGTTTGTTAAATTTCCTCTCACAGTTGTAATGTGCAGCACTGAGCAACATTGGTCAATAAAACTGTCAATCATGGTGTTTAAAGACTTTTTTAAAAGCATCAAATAACTAGTTTGAACTAAACCTTTCAGAAAAATGAACCCTGACATAAACTGTGCTTGATGAAACCCAACTGTAATGACAAAAATCATATTGAAGGAACATTTATTTGAGCTTTGATAGTTTGGCCCATGTTCCATCTGTTTACATGGAGGGTGTGGTTTTGAAGGGTTAGACTGCAGACAGACAATGGAGGGGTTATAAAGCTGGTTTGGCTTCACTTTTAAAGAGCCGCATGTCATCCATCCGTCCTTTTATGCAGTCTAAAGTTTACATGTCAGCCATATCAGCTTGTTTCACTGCTGCATGAAGGAGAAACCTACTGCAAATATCCGAAAACATTTTGAACTGATCAGTAATTTAGACCCTGAAGTGCGTTAAAAAGGAGCCAAGTGTAAAAGAAGTTAGAATCCATCCTTAAGGGAGGAGTCCTTGAGTTTTTTTAAAGCGGTGTGCTGACTCAGACTCTGAGAAGTGGTTTGGTACATTGTGGTGAACAATGTAAATCTTTGTGAGGTTTCTTGTAATCACAGAATCTGCTTTTCTACGAGGTGTCTGGTTTAAACGTGGGCTTGAGAAAATGTGATGTGCCTTTTCAGTTGGTTTGATGTTACAAACTCGAGTTCCTCGGCACATTGCAGTGAGGTGACGACTGCATTGTAACTCTTACTTTCATGTTTTTCATATTTACAGTGCTCTAACAGTCCAGGATGTCTGTAATTTTATAGTTATCTACCTGACATGACTTGCTCAGTGACTTGCTTCTATGAATCATTGACTGTGTGAACATCAGGTTTATTTTTTTAAAGAACTCAGTTCATCGCACTTATCAGCTGAGGGAGGGACTTGGGAAACAATCTGTTAATTTGTGCATAAGAATTAACATTTACTGTGTCAGACTCAATTTGAGAATCATATTGAAAAAAATTGGAAAGACAAGCGCTCTCTCAGAATCTTCTCTGGTGTCTTCCTTCAGACAGTGCAGATTGAAACTTACTCGTGCACCAAACCTCATTGATAAAATGTGAGTTTTTCTCGTAGACTGTGAGTTGTACTCCGCAGAAATAGCTGTGCACAGCAGCAGATGTACAGACTGTTCTTAGTTTAGTTTAAACTCCAGTATATTATATTCTGTCTGAACTTTATATCCTCCCTGCAGCACTCAGCTCAAATTGAAAACACAAACAGGATTTGTACATAAAGTGACGAGGTGAAATGGGACGTGAGGCTTTTGTTGATGTATCTCTTCAGAGTTGATTGCATTGAACCACTGCACATTGTTATTTCTCACACCCTCCACCTGCACCGTCACAGTTCTTTGGTCACCTGCATCAGTCCACAATCAGCTCAATACTGCAGTCTTTCAATAAATACAGAAAATGCACCGACTTTTCTCTCTGGGTTTGCTCATGTCATCATTTTTGAATCTGAATATGAGATTCTTGATTCACACTTTTTTATTTTGAGTTTGCAGCATTCGCAGGAAGAGCAATGGGGTTAACTTAAAAACACCAGCGGCACTGAAATTTTCACCAAGAGTGAACACAGATGTTGTGCTCATTAGCAGGGCTGCAGTCAGGGACCTCGGACTCCTCAACTTTACTTTTGAAAATGTTAGAGCAATCTTGAGGTGGTTTTGTCTTTAGAGTGACACTAAATTTAAGATAGAAGCCAAAATGATAAGACATGTTATAATTGAGTAATACTGTAAGACAATGTTGGTGTGGGGTGCAGATGCTGACAGTGTGTAACCGCCTGTGAGTATAAAGAGGGTCAGGAGTCTCTGTCATCTTTATGCTGCTGGAGGTCCTGGTCATTAAAGTAAATGGTGCCAATTTAAGAAAACAAGAGAGAGATAACAGTAATCAAACTGTTGGGTGATTTAAAAAAAACTAAAACAAACAACAATGATAAAAAGGTTTAACGCTGGAGGAATAAAGCCAAAGGAAAAAAAATAAAGGAGTCATTTTTCACTGGGTCAGAATAAAGTCTTAATATAATGAAGAAAGTCATTTTTACCTAAAGCTTGAAGAGGTCAAGAATAAAACCACTGAAGAAAGTTATACGCTTTTGAGTATTTTAAAAATGTCTAAATTATACAAGCATAAAGTCATGAAAGAGTTAAATGGTAATATCAAGTCACGCACACAAAAAACTGCAATATCTGAATATTTTGAAAATAGCCATCGTGAGAAAATATCTCGAAAAAAATAAAAATTAGAAATAGTCAGAATGAGGGAATCAAGTGAAATCCTGACCGGATCAACACAGATGACTTTGTGCTGTGAGGGGTGAATGTACAGATAGAGGAGGACTAACACTTTTATAACCACAGTACAGACACTCCACAGACACATTACTGATGCTCCACTGACACACCACCAAGCTTCATCCGTACTCAACTTATTCCCAGCAGACTCTACACAGACAGTCCACACAGTCCACTGCCTCTCCACAGACACTCCACACAGTCCACTGCCTCTCCACAGACACTCCACAGATGCTCCAAATGGCCAAAAGATGCTTCAGAGACTTTACACAGACATGTCACAGACACTTCACACGGACACAGCCTTTCCTCAGATACTCAGCAGACGCTACAAAGACTCAACACTGACAGTCCACAGATGCTTCACACAGACACTCCACAGACACTGCACAGACGCCCCACAGATGCTCCCCACAGACGCTGCATTGAGTCAGAAAGTTTCTGTACAGAAGTTTTATTCCCAACGGTTAGAGTCTGAAGCTGAAAAATACAGCGCTGTGTAGCGATGCCATGGTAAGAAATAAGTTAGCAAAATAATCACAGACTGATCATCACGACTCAGTGATCTGTTTCACAGTTACAACACTAAAAAGTTCACACAAAAATACATGCAATGTCCCCACAACACTCTGAATTTCAGCTCAGAGGATAAACTGAAACATGTTCAAATCTGACTTCACAGGAATTTAAAAAACTCAAAGAAACACTCCGTTTGGATCAAATGTTTTTGGATAAACGCTCATAGAAAAACAAAAAACACTGATATAAATGAAAACTGATTCTGGGAGTCAAACTTCTTCTCATCCATTCATGGCTTCATTTGGCAAACTTCCTGCTGAGTTATAGAGCTGATGTTTTTACACACTGGGGGAGATAATCTGCATTTTAAACCCACAGTTCACTTCAATAACCGATCTGTCTCTCCCATACAGTTTTTTTTTTCTTTTGATTAATCAGCTACACAAGATCCATTAAACCCTCACATTATACATTTTTGGGGCACAGTATGAGTTTATGAAAACTGTGGCAGCACACTTCAGATTAAAATATAGAGTCCAGTTTTATACATTAAAGCAAATTTTGGCAAAGCGTTTCAGATCTTCAAAACTCCTCACAGGTGCTTTAACTGTGTTTACAAGTGAGATCTGAGTTAGTCATGGTTTTAGCATGAAAGTCAGAGTTCGATTGATTCACCCTGAGAGAAAAATGAAGGTCTGAAGGTCAAATTTGATCACATTTGCCAGAGACTTCCTCACACTATGTTTGGTGTCGATTAGAAAATAGAACAAAGGTTACATTGGAGACTGGCTCTTTCTGTAAAGTGTCCTAACATGACTTTGGTAATGATTTAGCGGTTCCAAAAAGACCGATATGTCACATGTAATTTTTCAGTCTGGTCTTAAGTATAAAACAGACTGAAACACATAGCTAGTGTGACTTTAACTAAACCTATCAGAACTATTTATTGGATAGATTCTTAAATATTTCTTAAAGCTCCTGTGAGGAACCTTCTGATCGTGTTGATTTTGGCGCCCCCTGTGGCCAAAGTGATACCTCTCATCTACTGTAAACCTTTATTTGTACCTTTAAGATGTTTATATGTCTTTAACAGCCAAACTCACTGTGAACATGTGTGTTGGAAAAATGTAAACAAACACCAACCCTGACACAGCAACTCAAGGGGATAAAACCTACAAAACAGAAATGATCACTTCTGTCATCAATGGTCTCATTTGCTTTTGTAGGTTATAAAAATCCATCACAGTTCGTTTCAATCTGTTTTATAACCAGATAAAATCTCCTCACAGGACCTTTAAAGAACTTCAAATATTGTGAGCATTCCTTTAGCATTCCCTGCTGCCACATATTCAAATTAGACCAGTCCAGCAGGATCTAATATTCTCTGGATTCCCAAACCAGTTTTAGTTTTTTCATTGACTTTAAATCCAATCTGGAAAACAATAAAAACAGCATGATTTACAGATTGTTAAAGTGTGATGTTATATTTTTTAAAACATGAACTTTCACTTGGATGATCCCCTCTTTATTCCCCTGGAGTTATGGTTTAGCAAGTCTTCATGACTGTATTTATCTAAAGACAGACATTAATACTGGAGAAACAATGGACTTTATGAAGACATCCTCATTACAAAGTTTAAGTTCAGAATAATACATGAATATTTCTGAAAACAGAACAGAGAATATTAAATTAATAGATTTCTCTCATCATGTGTTTTCATGCCTGTTTTCTAGATTTTCTTCCAGCGTCACGACTGATTTCATAAAATACACTAACCAAAAGTTACAACAATAGAAAAAGGACTTCCTACTTAAATATGACCATCTACTACTACAACTTAAATTTCTACTCCCATATAGGATCATAAATCCACTTTATTACAGCGCGGTCTTATTTTGTAGAGCTTTGGCTTTAGAGAGATCTGGGAACATCTGACACATAAGGTACGAGTCTAAAAGTTAATGTTGTTTGTCTGAACATTTATTTTTGTTTTACTAAAGTCTGTCTCTCCTCCCTGTGATAGCTCTGTAGTCTCTTTATACGGTGCACACTACAACACTCTTTTCTTTCCTTTTGTTAATGGCTATAACGTACCCTCTCTAACCACCAGAGGGCACCACAGAGCACTGAATCTTTACGAAGCGACTTTCTCCTCTTCCTGCTAAATGCTGTGGTGTGTTTTTAATCCAATTGTTCCAAAATCAGCTGTTGTTTGTTGTTATTATTTTGCCAATTTTATGCTCTTTCTTGTAGCACTTTTCTCTGAATGCGAAATGAGTGAACTCAGAGATATCTGAAGTCTTATGTTGTTCCAGTGTTCCCAGATCTCACTGATAATCTTTGAGAACAACACTTTTTTTTTTACTTGGAAAACTCATCACCAAACCTACAAAATACAAAGTCCAATAAAAGAGCTGTAATAAAGCGGAATCATCCGTTTACTTGAACAGAACATTTAGCTTTTAAAGCAAATAATTCAGAGTAGAGATACTGATGGAGTCTTCTTCATCCACAGTCCTTCAGTTTAAGTTTTAGGGTGTCTTCCACCATCAGTCTGAGGAGCAGCTTCTTCAGCAGCAGGTGATTTAAAGAGGATCCTCTCTACCTTCCCTTTTTTTATGGCCAACTGGTTAAAAAATAAACTCTTTTACAAATAAATACAGTATTTACACACAAACAGACAGGTAGGACTTGAGCTTCAGAGCAGCAGCTGTTTGACGGAGCAGAGCGAGGACAGCTGCAGTCTGCTCGTCGATTAGAGTTAACCTCCTACGAGTCTGATCGAAATTAAACTTTATCTGTAAACTGGTTTCTACATGAACAAACTGCTGTACAGGACGACTACCAGCTGAGGTAGTGGGGGCGGGGCAGGTGAGCTGAACAGCTCTGAGAGTCATCTCCATCAGTCTGTGTTGTTACTGTACAACATCAGGTGCTTTTATTTTGAAAAAAAAAAAAGAAAAAATCTCAGTCCAGCTGTGAGTCACAGGGCTGAAGGGTTAGAGTCCCACTGATGCTCCTTCCTGCTGCAGATCTGATCAGAAATGACGTTAAGGAGGCCTTCGAACAGGATCAGATTTTCCTCTTTGTTTTATTTTCACATCAGGTCAAAGTTCACTCCCTCAGCTGTTGTCACTGTCTTCACTGCTCAGAAAACGCTGCAGCAGCAGATTTACAGATTTCAACCACAAACAGACCTTCGTTGTCTTTAAACATGTCCGCCAAGGAAATTTAACACTGTGTCCAGATTTGAGCACTGACTCTTTCTTCTCTCCGGTGGAGCAAAAACCCAACGTGGGCCGAGAAATCCTCCGATGTGTGTTCACGTGTTTTTAGCAGCGATAGAGAATAAAAGTGAACAAAGACACGAAACCTTCATCCGAGCAGAGTTTTTAGGATTTACACTTCATCCTGCTGAAGAGGGCTGCAGGTCCAGTGGTGTTTACAGTCTTGTTTCCAGTTTGAAAGAGATTTCTCGTTTCCTTTGTGTTCAATCATTCAGTCAATACTTCACAAACTATCAGGGTTTGGCACGTTAACATCCCGCTTTTTTAGTCTGCTCTCATTCAAATGACATGAGGTTGGCTGGTATCTGCAAATGAAGCAAAACATGAATTCACTGTAGACAATCAGACCCCTTTCTTACAGCTCAAAATGCCAGTAATAGAGAGATAAAACTCTTACTGTAAAGTCAGAAAAATAAAACACAGGAGTGGAAAATCAATTTCCAAGTTCATTATCACAATATATCAATATTTTTAAGATCTGATCCCTACAGTAGCCAACAGTAGCTGTCAATGACTAAACAAATTACACAAGGAGAAAGAGACAGCAAATGTAAAATCCAGAAGTCCAAAATAAATGCAACAATGAAAACATTCTGCAAATGAAAATCATCCTACAAAAAACAAAATAAGTGCAATAACTGCAAACATGCTGCAAAACTTCATACCATGCAAAATCAGAAACATGCAAACACAAAAAATGTGCAAAAGAGAAAGTGATGCAGGTCTAGCTGAGCAGTGCAAGACTGTCAGCTTTTTAAAGCATGAGCTTTTGTTTGCAGAACATATCTGTTGTTGCATTTGTCTTGGACTTTTGTATGAGATTTTGCATCTTTTCTGAATTTGCTTTTCATGATGGAAGTTTTTTGAGCTGCTGCACTTGGAAAACCCTCATCAGCTGCAGCAGATATCAAGGAGAACACCTCTAATTCTACCTTAAATGCTGTATTTGTATCAAAGACTGGGTCGTGCCAAACAAAGCAAAGATCAGGTACTTCATTTCTCCTTTAAAACTGAAAACTCCTCTGCTTTAAATTGTCTCATGGCTAATTTTTGATGTTGTAGAGCAGAACTGAGGGTGAGGAACTGATTCAGGTTATTTATGAAAAACTACACAAGACAGAAACATTTCCACTGATCACGATGGGACATCTGGAGACGGAGTCTTCTTACGGTCAGGTCATACACATGGACAAAAGATCAATCCGATGATCTACTCTAGGCCTGTTTGTCTCTAACTCTGTCCCTGCAGCAGGATCAGCTGAGTGTCGGAGTTTACCTGAGGTCTGCTGCTCCGACACGCCTCCTCCAGGTTTTTGTGCCAGATGATGGCTGAGAACCTGGATCCAGTCTGGAACTTGTAAACATTACCTGAGGAGAGGGGACACACCTCAGTGACATGTTTGTTTGTGGGTGTGAGTGTGTGTGTGTGTGTGTGTGTGTGTGAGTGTGTGTGCATGCGCCTCACCTTTATCCGGGTCGTTGAGCTGGAAAATGTTGGGTCTGGCGGGGTCGTCGGGCAACACCACCATCCAGCCGGTCACACACACCTTCTTACAGGGACTGGACTTATACTGGGACAGAGACAGAGACAGAGTGGGTTTGATTCACAATGTGGTGGTGCCAATATACTGACATTTTACAGGTGTGTTCCTCAGAGATGAAGCTGAGGTGCCGAAATCTCACTATGTTTGTAATTTATAAAAACTGCTGAATTGACCGTGTGTTTCAGGGTTTTTTTATATTGTGCTTTCTCTGAATGCCTTCTATCAAGAACTTCAAGAGACTTGGCTGCCCTATCAGGTCAGTGCAGAAGGACATGCCCACCCTGCAGCTCTTTAAATCCTCTCTCCTCTAAAGTCCATTTCCCTGCCAGTCTTCCTCCCCTTTTTGCTTTTTGTTGGTTCAGCCAGTCTCAAAGTTTCTCTCAGACCTCTTTTGATCCTGAAGGAAAGTCTCAGCTCTTTTCTCTCCCCAAAGACAAAGGCTCCAGAAAACAGCAGGAAGTTTGGATGTTTTCAGGACAACAACAGCCACAACGTAACTGTTTGTGCTCACCATTTCACTAATGAGTCTTTTGTAAACAAAGACCAGTATGAGCTGGATTTGAGGCTCAGCTGTCACTGAAACCTGAAGCTGTTCATCTAGAAATACCTTAATGAAGCTCAGAACCACAAACTGAAAGACACATATCAACAGCACAGAATGGGACGATAGATGATGAAGAATGGGAAGCTATCATGGACACTAACGGCTAGCCTCAGACATTTCCACAAAGGTGAAAACTGACAGGTTGTTTAAGCAACTATAAAGCTGTGTAAATAGTAACACCCCAAGCTGTGTTTTACTCTAAGTATCAAAGAGGTCAAGAGGAGCGTGTCAGGCAGAGGCTAAATAGAGCTGAAGTGAGATTTTTCCACAAAGATAATAGGATTCATGGAGAGTTTCTTGTAAAGCTACTCCTTTGACAGAATGGAAGGGGAAAATCTGTATAATAGGTATTTGACTGGAAGTGGAGAAAAATAGCAGAAATGATCAAACTATGTAAATTCTGTCAATAAAGTCATGACTGTGAAGATTTTCCCAGTTTCCAAATATTTAATACTTTCAAAAAGTTTCATATTTTATAGCTCCAGACTCACATGTTTCCTCTCAGACGCTCTTAGGGCTTTGGCTCCATAGAAGGTCAGCGTGGATCCAGACAAAGCGATCCAGAACCTGGTCCAGGAGGACAGCTGAGGGTGGAGACAGAGACGTGTCACTAAATTTGAGTAAACCAATAAGCAGCTCACATGATAGAGTCACAGCGCTGGTTACAAATCATCTCACCCGAGGTTTCCGCCCCTCCTTGAGCAACGTCTTCCTCCTCAGAGGTCCTTCGATGATCACGCTGCCCGCCTCGCTGCAGCCGTAACACGAGGTGGCAGCAGAGGAGCTACAGGAGGAAATGTCAGATATGTTAAAGTGAAAATAAAAAATCCATCTCCACAGAGTTGAGAAAGTTTAAGGCTTTCTGATGACCTCTGAGGAGGACAGTGAGGACTCTGCGGTGTTTACATGTCAACCATCACCACTTGAACACATGCAATCTGGTTTGTTTCTTCTTATCTGTGCATAAACCAAATTGAATAGTCGTTGGTGTTGGTAATATTCAGGCTGACAGGAGAAATTTTTCATGACAGGAGTAAAAATTTCCTCAGCAGTGAGCAGAGATGATTATTAGGAGTTTTAGTAGGAAAAATGCAGGAAGCGAGTGGAAAGAGTGCACACAACGGAGACGAAGCCAGAAAATCTGCTTAATAAAGAGGCAGCATGCAGGATGACACTGAGTTTACCTGGCAGGTACATGAAGGAGACAGAAGGACAGAAAGCACACACCTGTGCAGCTGAGACACAATGAGCTGATCTGATCTCCTATTTTCAATAATCACAAACTTTCATCAATGACAGACGTTTACCCTGTGATTTCTGTGAGAGTTTCTGCTGAGAGTAAAGTGACCCTAGCACCATGTATTTACTGTTTTCCCACTGTGGTCCTGCCCTGACAAACTGGACGTGTAAAAGATAATTCTTATACTTTCAATTTGAGATAAAAAGTCATCAAAGTGACGCTACAGCAGAGAGCAATTCTAACAACAACAAAAACGCATTTTTCTTCCAAAGGTGTTTGCAGTTAGCTTTTCTCTTTGCTCACAGTCTTGGTGCACAGCTAGGCAGTTCTGTAAAAGACTAAGAAGGAAGCTGCTGCTGCTGACCTTTCCTTGCTCACAGTAATACAGTAACTGCACATTAAGTCATGTTGTATCATGGTAATCATGCTGTAGCCAGTGTTTAAGATGAGTAACCATGGCAACAGTCAGCAACTCTGAGACTTTAGAAATTTATTCCTGCAGGTGAATCATATTAACTATATATCCACTGAAAATTAGCTCTCTGGCTAACAGCTGACTGACCTCATTTATTACAGGTTGCTTCCTCTTCTCGATTGAGTTATGTTTCATTACCTACAAATCCTGCTGCACTGTAATGGTTATTCCAGTTATTAGTCAAGCTTTCAGGTGTAGCTATTAAAACAGAGTTGTTGATTGTTAAAAACTTTAACCCTGATATTCAAATATAAATCATCAGTCGATTAAATCAAGTGGCCTTAGTAAAGGTGGGATAATGCCTGACAAAGTGTCAAGTCTAGTTCATTAGCTATCTGATCAAATCAGCCTCTCCTCCAGAGCTACAGCTAGATTCTCTGGTTTCTATCCATCGGTAAAGAAAAGGACTTTTTGTGCTGGACTCTGGAGACATCATCTATTTACCACTAAAACACAGGAGGGCGGAGTTTTGCACCAAACCATAAAGGCAGCACTGAGATGGTTCAGTATGAGTCTGCACCCATTTTGAAGAAGTCTTGGATTAAGAAATAAATAAACAGAAAAAATGTCTTGATTCTCTTTATCTGGCTTTCACTCCCTGCTCTCTCTTGGTTTCCTGCTCTGTCAGCTGCCTTGTCCTTTTAAAACAAAGGCATAAAAAATCCTTAAAAGCAAGAGTGCAACATACTCTGTCTAAAAAACAGTCCCATTTAAAACTTGATAAAACAAAGCTCTCGATTTTTGTTTCATTTCTGCTTAAACAGTTTTAGGAACATAAACTCAGAGGTGTAGGAGTTCCTGTTGTGATGATATTCAGTCTGTCAGTGAAGTAAAGAGCCCCCAGTCTGAGATGACCTCTGACCCTGAACTTGCAGCAGCATGCAGTGAGAGGATGAGGTGAGAAACACATCAGTGTCAGAGTTTAGGTGAGTTCGCTCGTATTCAGAGCTCCTCCGGCTCCTTCTCTGACTGTACCTGTAAACATAGCTGCGGCTCCGTGGCGAGTTTCGCAGAGGGACCCTCCAGTTGGGGCCCAAAGTGGCGTACATGCGGCCCCTGTTTGTCACACATGTTACAGTCAGTCTGACGGCTTCAGTGTTCGCTGTGTCCCATGGGACCAGATTTACCAATCATACTGGATTTTGCTCTTAACAATCTGTTTTTATCTGCCTCTCATAAATCTGTATCAAACATGTTTCTCTGTCTTCTTGCAGGAACAAACACAGATATACAGCGAAATACAGGAAGTTAGCAACATTTAAACACATTAATATCACTGTGAATGAATATGCTGCAGGCACAGATACAAACTGCTGACACCAGTGTGAAAAAATCAAATAAAACTCTGAGAAGCTTTTTTCTTATTGTCATAAAATCCCACGAAATATGTTCAGTTACTCTGCATATTAGAGCAGCAACAGAAGCACTGAGAGGAAAAATCAAATACAATCCATTCAGCGGATTCATAATCTACCTTTTAATTTAAAATAAAACAAGATAAAAACACTGACGCTCTTTTCTGCTACAGCCTGTCAAGGCCACATCAAGTACGTTTAATGAAGATTTTGAAAATAAAGTAGTTTTGTTACAATATTAAGTCATAAGAAAATGAAGTGGTCATGCTATGAGAAACAAAGTCAGAATCAAACAAAGTTACATTCTCACTGTGCAGAGATTTCCCAAATTATATTATATTATATTATATTATATTATATTATATTATATTATATCATATTACATCATACTATAAAATATATTAGATATATACTTCCCTTCCTATCACTTAGGGTCCCTGTTCTTTTGTTATTGTAATACTCTTTCCAGCCACAAGGTGCAGAAGTGCGCCACTATTCTGAAAACACTCAACCCCGAACATCTGATGTCCTTTACACACAGTTCCCTTCATAGGTTTAATCTTAAGTGCTGCTAAATGCAGTGATATGATTTATTTACAGTTTAAAGTTTTAAAAAAGTGTTTAATGTCACTTTGCAGTGCATTGCAGTGCATTGCAGTATGATTTGGGTTATCCCCGTTTCAACTTAATGTCTGTCTTTGTCTTAAATAGATCTGGAACTTTTGACAAACATTTGCTGTTCTTTGAAAAATAAATCTGTAAATCTACACTTTGTTTTTAAATGTCTTAAACAGGAACCAGCGGGCTCAGGGCTCATGGTCAGCGACAGGAAGACAGTATTTACAAAATTATTGTGGGATTTTTGGACAATAAGAAAATCAAAAGAGCAGTTTGTCTCTTAATGTAGCAGAAAAGTTTTATCTGTGAATACTGGAGACTGTTTATCAGTCATTTAAAAGTAAACTGATCATTTAAGGATTGATTGATCATTTGTGAGGTTTTGATAAAGGTGATTTAGTGCGTGATGATTGGCTCTCACCTCTCCATCCCAGGTGATAACTCCTCCCCAAAAGAGCTCTCACTGCTGCCTGTAGTGGAGGGAAAACAGAAACCCTTTTTGAGAGTCAAGTTTGTGACAAATGACGACTTTGTAAATATACTCAGAGTAGGAGCAGATTAGTCTTTTCTGAGGGTATAAATCCAGACCTAATGACAGTCCGTTGGACACAGATGTGCTCTGAGGGTCGTTTCTGGCTGGACTCTGAGACTCCAAGAAGCTGTCGTCCAGCAGGTGGCGTGCTTTCTCTATGGGAAAGGTGGCGCTCCTGCTCTCGGACATGCCGTACTGACACATCATACTGTGGACACAATATAACAGTAAGACAGGAGAACATCCAGAAAGAGGAGGAGGAGGACTTCATCCTTACAGCTCAGAGACACTGGCTGATATCGATCTCTAAATAAATCAGTAAAACCTGAATGTGGAGTCACTTCATCTGAAAGATTAAAACAAATACCAAACAGTAAAACACATAGTCTGAATATGATTTCCCTCCAGCTGCAGTGTTATAATTTCAAATACATATTTAGATGATTTTACAAATTCTTCCGGTGTTTTTGATTAAATGCGGTGTGTTGATGATACTAACTTGCTTCTATCACGCTATAGTCCAATTAAACCTCAGGAAACATTTAGCTGTGAGTTTGTGAAAGTGCACACCTAGTCTACATAACAAACTCTCTAATTTCAGTTTCACAACATTCATGTGCGAGTGGATATGTTGTGACAGACAAAACCACAGGCTCTGCAAAAGAAAGTGATCCACCTTTTTTTCTGCAGCTATGGTTTCCCTGAGTTCAATATTTAGCATCATGCAGTGTATGTGCAGTGAATCAGTTTATTAATCAAATAAACTGCAGTTTATGGGCTCTAATTCCAATCTGCCATCCTCTGCACAAAGATAACACGTCTAATTATGGAGGAAAAATGCAGGCTTAAAAGCCTCAGTCTGAGTGTTCCGTGCAGAGGACCACAGACAAAGCATGAGCTCAGAGACGACATAAAAATATCTCTTTTGAACCTCAAAGAAAAACCAAATGAAGCCGCTCTTGTTATCATATAATGAACTGATATTACTTGAATCAAGCCTCTGCATTTTAAAATAACCAGCTGTTCTGTAGTCAGTTGCTCTCCTCTCATGAGTGTGTTCGCTGACTTTTATGCTCCTGCTTTAGTCGTATCTTTTGGGCCTGGATGTGCTTTGTGATGTTAGTAATGATGTTAGACTTCAATAACATGCGACAAACAAAGTGTTTGCCGCTGTAGTGTTTTGTAGTGGGCCCTCTACTAAAAGCCACTGGAGGCTTTTGTGGGATGTCCTTTTCATGCATTTTATTTTGTTGGGGTTGAATAGTAATAGTGGTTTGTGTTCCTTTTTGGCGCATAAAATAAGTAAATGTCAGACCTTCAACCTAAGCAAACTCACACTGTGTTTTTCTGTAATTTTACTCAAGTAGAGCCTCCAAATATTTCTCCATCTCTGCTGCTATTAGTTTCTTGGCTTTACTTTGCCTGGCCAGCCTGAGCACTGCAGCTGTTAGTTACATAAAGTCATGTTTTGACCATGGATGTAGCTTTTCTACAACAATACAATCAGTTGCAATTATTTAGACATCCAGCTGTTTTCCCATCATGTTCTGTTTTTCAAGTTTTTAGGCATAAAATACAGAAATGAGATGAAATGCTGAAATTGATGCGTGGAAACTGTAGCTATTTTCCTGCTGAAGTAAAGGTCAGTCACATTTTGTTGTTTCTTATCACAAAAGTTAATTTTTCAGCCAGATGTCTTCATGGTAAAAAACTTTTGAATGTTCTTAAGGACAAAGGCCAATCACACTCACTTGTTTCCCAGACTGTGACTCTTCCTGTGGTGGGAGGGGGGCGGGGTGGGAATGTGGACTCCCACGGAGGCATCGGGGCAGGTGGGCCTTCTGTTGTACCTCATAGAGACCGAAACCTCCGACAGACCTGGAAGACAGCAAACACATGATCACTACTGACTGCTGTGAAACTGCTCAAACTGGATCAGCTTGAAGGTTTGAAAAAAAAACAGAAGCTAAAAACTGGAAAGAGAATATTTTTAAAACTCATTGTCGACTTTCATCCTGATAATCTGATCATCATGATTTTTTCCTCCTGTATGCCGGCTCATGGAAAATCTTTGTATTGGAAAAACGAGACAACTGAGAGGTTGTGCTTGACTGCCAGACTTTGAGGACTGACCTCAAGTGTTTTAGACCTTAATGAGCTTACTTGGACTGTTTTAGAGCTTGCATGATTTTGCTGAATCACTTCAACCATGCTGGACTGTAATAACTGTGGTTGTGGGTGGACTGTACTAAACTATGAAGGCCTTTTTAGTCCTTGCTTCTCCAGACTTGACCATATTAGATCTTGCCGTGAGCCTGCTTATATATTTATTTATTTATTGCATTTATGTATTTTTGCTCGCTCTATCTTGATTCTTTGCGTGTTTTATTTGTTTTATGTCACAATGTACAGCACTTTGGCTACCCACGTGGTTCTTTTAAATGTGCTATAGAAATAAAGTTGATTGATTAATTGATTGCTGGCCCATTTGTAAAATTGTTGACCTTGATCACCTTGATCAGACCGAGGAGGATCGAGTTGATCTTGTTTGACCTCAGTGGACAGAGCTGAATCTTTATTGACCTTCCTGAATGTATTGAGGTATGATCATATCTGATCTGATCATACTGAGCTAAGCCGGACTGTACAAGACCTTGCTAGGGTTTGTTGGATTGTACAGAAAATGTGACTGTGACTTGACTTAAAAGGCCATCTCACTGCATTATAGTGGAATCATTTGACCTTGCCGGACAGTTCATAATCTTGTTCGACCTTGCTGAATCATAGGGCTACTTGAGATCTTTCTGGACTTAAGTAAACTGAGTAAAAGTTGATAGACAATACTGGACTTTTCCTCGACCCCGGACTTTGACAGCCCTTGCTGGATTCAGTTGGACTGAGTAAGACATTGCTTGCCTGTGGTTGATATCTTCAACCCTGCTGGACTTTGCTTGAGTGTGGTAGACCTTGTTAAAAAGAGCTGGACTCTCTTAGACCTCTTTAATTGTAACGAACCCTGTTCAGTCTTAATGAGCTTGCTGAACTGTGATAGACCTGGCTGGTGTTAAAACAAAATGATGTGGCTAGACCGTGCAGGACTGACAAGTTAGCGTAGTTCTTGCTGCTCTATGTTAGACCGTGTTGGACCTTGCTGGGCTGTAGAACCACGCAGGGCTGTTTTGAATGTATGCAGTTTTTGTCACAAGCTTGTTGGAACATTTGAGTCACTCTCTGAGGAACCCTCCAAGGATCAATCAATCATCCAGACCGGATCACTTCAACTCCAGCAGGACATACTGGTCTCTTTTATAAAGTTAATTTGGTATATTAATTTCTACGGGCCCTCAGAGCCTCGTGAAAAGTGCGAACTGCTGCTTTGGAGGACACACACACTCACGCACACACACAGCTGGTTGTGATTGTGCTGTCTGCTGGTTTTGGAGGAGGAAACGCACTCAGGATCTTCCAGCTCATGACGTCAGGAGTTTGTTTAAATCAGAATCTTTCCTGAAAACATGAGGAAAATATTTACTCATTTACAATTAAGTAATCATGAAAAATAGTGTGGTGGAGTGTGAAATAAAGGAATCCATGTAAAGTGGCAGCTTAATGTGCTCCCTCTGGGCTATAGTCTGTCCTAATGTGCCTCCACTATTTACTCGTAAACACGCTGCAATGTTTTATTTCAAGAAAACTGCACACTCAGCCTTATGGTGCCAAAACTGGATGCAAAAATACTCAGAAAAGGTGCAAACCTTTTCAATTCACAGAGGATAGATTTAAACCTGTTTGCCAAACAGCGATGGGGCTCAAAGTCTCTAAATGGAATATAATCCCTGTTTCTCAAACCATAATTGAAGGAATAAACATGGACATTAAATTGTGGTAGGCCAAAATCACAAACTGGGAACACAGTAGGAATCATTTCTCAACAGGAACATAGACAACATGCCAGCTCCCCAAAAGTGAAGCCAAACCACCTACAGCTCCCCCTAATGGCTGGCTGCAGTATACGTTATTATACAGATAATGTGTAGGTCAATTTAACCAACATGCTTGCTAGCTGTCGCAGCCTTCCTAAAGCTTTTGGAGCTGATTCGAAGTTTAATTTGACACCAAAAAGCAACTTCAGATTTAAAAAAAATCACAAACATATCGTTATATAAGGCTACCTCTACTGAGTCCCTGTTTTTCTGTCAAATTGAGGCTTCTGGGCAACTTGTACTATCCTTTACAGCAGTGTGTAGTTCCTGCTGCAGAGGAAATCATGTCTGACTAGATGATGGGTAAAAGTGAGTACAGCAGCCAGCTTCATAGTTTTTGGATTTCACAAACATACAGACTCAGAAGATTATCATAATCATTTTTTACTTCACTGACTGTTATCAATACTCTCTATCATAATTGCAAACAGTTGCCAGTGAGGTTTCATAGAGCTCATTTCTCGGAGCCAAACTTTTATACTCTACGCTGATGATACACATCTTCTCTGCTCTATGGAAAAAGTTAAACGGCTTGTTGTTGAACCAAAGCAAACAAAGTTTATAAAATTTTGGCACTCTAAAAATCACAAGACGTAGATGCAACATCTGTCTTAGGTGGAAAGTAAATTCTGACTCAAACATATTAAATAACATCTTTTACTCCTGTAACACATCTTTTTTTGGCCGCGCTCATATTTGTTCATTTTCCTTCATTTACATAAGTCGACCTCCTCAGTTTTGGAGCAGCATGTTCAAACCATCTTTGAAAAAGTCAGACTCCAGGTGACGGATTTTAGCTTGTGTACACGTGTGCTTACTCAGCTACTTGAAGTGCCGCTCAAACACAAACAGCCTGAATGAATTAAACAGCCTGTGGTCAGAGAGTCACGAGAAGCTCCATCACCACAAACAGAGGATTTATGAAACATGATGATTTTAATAAGATACTGAGGACGATCACAGTCGCATCCAGCGGCTTCATGCTCACACACACACTGATGTATGAGGTGATGAATTCAGCAGATCACATGGCTTGCTCTTGTTTTTGTCTGTGCACATGTTCCGTGCACCGTGCCATCATGTCTGTGTTTGAACATGGAGAGAGTGAGAGCAGCAGATTCCTCGGTGACTGAATGACACTTGTTTATACTGAGAGAGCCCGCAGGCTGCTGGTTACAGCCAGAGCAGGATTTTCCTGCCATGTTACATAACCCTGACTGATGCTCTGACCAGTAGGAGGAGGAACACTCTCTCTGTGGAGATGATGGGACAGTCCTGCAGAAAACACAGCCCCAGAAGCAGCTCATTTAAAACAGGTGTCCCTTTGATTTCTGAAGACACACCAGTAAACAAAAGACAAGATGGAAAAATACCTCAAAGTTCACATTTTACATCAGCAGGACTATTTTTAGTCTGAGTTCACTCTCATTTTCTGCTGATCTCTCACTCCTCAAAGGGATTTTGGAAATTTACTAAGGCACACCAAAAAAAAAGACAATGTTTGACAACCTTCAGTAAACACTTTGGTTGGTGTTATTATGGTGGCGATTCAGCTTTACTGTTTTTAATAATGGTGCATTATTGAATTGAAAATCAACACTGTCAGCTTGATGAGAAAACAAGCAGTAAGTTTGCAGCTGCAGCCTCATAAACTCAGCAGGTGACATAAACCTACTGTGACTATTCAACCAATCAGAACCATTTAGTGTTGCAGGCCCTGTCTCCCACAGTCCCTAAACCTTTGGGAACCACAGCGTGAACTTGCTACTGAAATGCAGTGAGTCCCTCAAAAGGTTCCTGGTTCTCAGTGAAAGTTCCAGCTGTGAAAGAGCACCTGTTATCGTCTCTCAAAAAACGTTTTGAATCGGTCTGCAAAAATCACCACAGAGGACCTGCTGCCTCTGAGTTTCTGACCATATTCCAAATGCAGTAATCTGAGTGGGCGGGGCTACTGTGATAATGACTCTCTTTACTGATTGGCTGCCTAAATCTTATCTGATGGTGCAGACAAATGTAGACAAGACTGGCGAGTCCCCCAGGAGAACTAGCACCAGTGCCCTATAGTTTAGGTCAGAGTCTGACCTGAACAGGAGGGGGAAACTGCTGCAGAATAAAATCACCGATATATAGATGTTAACAAAGTTCACTGTACTGAGGCAGTTTTACTCTTGCTTTCTCTGTTTCTCCTCCTTATGTAATCCTTGAATCCTCTCCGTTACACAGACTATTGTTTCACCACATAGGCTCTTACAGCATGATGCATTGTTTCGTGGTTATCACTGACTGATGTCTTATTTAAGCCAAGGCGATTACACTGTGTCAGTTGAGAGCTGAAACTGGACTCGTAACGCAAAACAGATTTTCAAAGACCATTAATTCCCATTAGTTCTTCACCTGCCACAGCAGTTTCTGGAGTCCCGATTCTTTGAAAAGAAACTCTTACACGAAGCTTACAAGTCCTATTTTTACATAACTTGGATCTAAATGACTAACTCTGTATCCTAACAACATTCAAACTAAGTGAGCATCTGCTTAAAGACGCTGTTTCTCATTGAAGTGTCCTGACTGACCACAAGAAACAAAGCGAACATGACGCTCAGCTCTGACTCAGATATCCTGTTTCTGTTTCATTCCTGTTGCTCATAGAAACATGAAGAAGGAACAGCTAATTCATGAAGTTCAGATGATACCTCCTCACTTCACTACAACAACCTAAACGAAGTTTCAGCTGGCAGAAGGAAGATTTCTAAGGTACTCTTTAAAAAATTAAGGACCGTCACTTGACAGCACGTATTTCTCCTCATCACTGCGATTATCTCATAATAATTTATCATTGTAAGAAAGGTTCTGGGACAGGCTGTTGTGTCGTAATGATAAAGTACGTCTTTGTAAATATAGTGCGTCTTTACGAGTAAAGTATTTTTATGTTGGGATAACAAAGAGCTGTCACAGAGACACAAACCAAACGTCCCCCTGAGGTTTGCTCGCTCTCTGCAGCCAAACATTTCCATGCAATAAGTCACACACATGCTTCCTCTGTCATGACTCACTGATGCTCTGAGTATTACACAGACTGCAGCTCATAACACTCCTGGCACCCAGAGGGGAGTCTGTAATTAAAATGAAGTGAAATCAGAACTCGTCTTTCTTTTCTGCAGAGTTGGATCCAGAAAACACCTAATGACTCTGTCAGCACATGGAGATAAATACCAGAAAATATCATTACAATGAATCAAGTGTCTATAACATAGAGAGCGAGAGAGAGGAGGCTTCACTATAGTGCTGTTACAAATAGATCCCAGCCTGAGGAGGTCTAGTCTGCAGACATGACTGTATGGAAACACGTTGATGAGTTTGGTCCCTGAGGACAGGCGGCGATTAGCTGCAGCATTTACCGAGCCCACAGGACATTTTAGTAAACTTTTACCACTGAACTTTCAAGTCTGAAAAAAGAGAACTTTCCTAACGGCTTATGACTGATCAGAGTTTATAGTTTTCCATAAAAAGGGGATTCAGCTCCAGTAAGTGAGGTTTCCTGATAGTTTATGACACGGATATAACTTTGACTCAAATGTCCCCCGGCTGTGGATTAACTCTGTGTATATGACTGCAAAATCTGTACCGACCAAACTACATGAAATCTCTCCTCTGTTATCACTGCATTAACTAACTGTGCCGACTGTTAGAGAATTCATGTAGTTACAAAACTAAAAAAAAAAAAAAAATTCATACCCACATATCTTTGACTTTAGTTTGGAGCTACATTTATGCAATGACCAAGTAGTTATAGGTAGTAGTAGGTAGGTAAAACATCAAAACATGACATTATTTGTGTTTGACCAGTCGCTATTAAAACTAAATGCCTGGATTACTTTTTACAACAATCTCTTAATAACAAATTCATTAAAATTTGTTATTGTGCAATTAATTTTAATTTATACAAACCCACTAAGGACCCATTATTCAAAGTTGGTTTTCTGGGTTCATACCGCTGGAGTAATCCAGATTCTGTGTAACTTAATATTTATTGTGAAGCTGAGACTCAGAGGAGGCCGATAATTGATACGCTTCCCTTTTATAGCAAAACTGATTAACAAGATACAGTTTTATACGGAGACTCAGGGAACAAGCAAGGACAGTAAGTCTCAATAAAACTGAACAGTTATAAAGTTAAACTTTGACTCACAACAATCAGATAAATGCTTTTCAAGTTGCAGGCTGGACTATAAATGCAGGAAGTTGTTTCTTGCTAACTGCTGGATATATCAGTATTACAAAAAAGTTCTCCATCTTTTCAGATGATGGCTGATGGGTACTATAGTCTCAAACTTATCGATTTACTCAGGACATTTACTATGACTTCATCTGTTTTCTGTTTTTGTGTTAAATGTTTCCGTTCAATGAAGTAACTGAAACTGATAATGACAAATCGAATTATTACACAAACGATAAAGCACTTCATTAAATGTATCTCTGTCAATGTTATTACTGAGATTATTTCACAGCTAATATCTTGGACATTACTTCATCTTACAGCCATCCTGCTCATAACATGTAGCTCTCTGCTCTCACAGACAGCTGCAGAGTTTCATGGTGTCTCTGGTTTGGCCCGGGGGTCGTCTCTCGTTATCACCCTGACCCACATCCAGCTCTGAACCTCCTCAGACTACCTTACATCACTTCACCCTCCCGTCCAAACTCCCAGTATCACACAAGAACAAAAACAAAGTGACCCTCTGAAACACATCCTCATGTCAGCCTTGAAAATCTGCGTCCTCTGAGTTGTCTAAACACTTCATAACCTGAGGAGGAGCATCGTCTGTCTCACCTGCAGGATGACATCAGGGATCACAGAGAGGTGAGGAGGATGGAGCAGAAACAGGACGTGGATGTTTGCTTTGGGTGTTTGTGTAGCCGACTCTGTTAGCCCTGTGCTGCTGCTGTCCTCTCCAAACCAATCAAACCATGATCACTGAGAGCACCTGCAGGGAGCTGCAGAGTGTGAGCGTCCCTCTCTCTGATGGACTGAATCCTGAAACACCCGGTTTCTATTTATCAGTCAGACCCTCTGTTCATAGATCTAAAGAGTGACGACGTTAAACGCTTCAATTAAAGTACAAAATTGAGAGAGAGAGATCCATCTCTCTATTTATCTGCATCTCTCCATCAGCCATTCATCTATCCCTCTCTCTCCATTCCCCTCTCTATTAACTCACTGATTGCACATAAACTGTAGAGAAAACTACAAAAGAGGATTAGGGCCACAAGAAGAGGAAAAAATATTTACAGGAGGGAGATTTTTTTAATTTCCATTTCGAGATTCAAGTCAAAATTTTAAAAAGTCAAAATTTCGACTTTATTCATGTCGACTTTAATCAAAGTCAAAGTCATCTTCATTGTCAAATATGCTATACGACAGCATACAGCATATATGAAATTACAGTCCTCTCGGACCAGCAGTGTAAATAAAAGAGAGATAAAAAAAAAGGTAATAAGTCAACAAAATTACACTAAATACTACAATAAATACATGATATATACATTGACTTTAATCTCAAAATTTAAATTTTTTTAATCTCAAAATTTCAACTTCATTGACATAATTTTAAAAAAATGTATCTCATAATTTTGACTTTAATCTCCTTCCTTTAATTTTTCTTTCACTTCATTAGGCCCTAATCTAGCCTCTTTTGTAGAAAACACACCTTAGATCTACTGGGTGGAAGAACTTTGGATCAAATATGCTGCTAGTTATGGATGAAGTCAGATCATCGGGGGAATTTTTGAGGCTCTTCTTCCTCAGGTGTTTCTTACCTGCCAGGTCTTCTTTGGAGGAGGCGATGCGAGGGGAGCTGTTCCCAGGTTCGATCTTCAGTGACAGCCTGAAACACAGACACATTCATCATTCAGTTACTGTAGAGATATCAGCCACAGAAGTCCAATGATGAAAAATAATTCAGAGAAAAAAACGAGTAAAGACGTGAACTCTCTGCAGCTTCAGCTCAGAAAAGACCAGCTGGTAAACTTTTGAGGATGTTTACGGGGACATTATCTCACTCAGCTCTTTGATAATCTGCTGTCGGCTCTGATGTCTCTGTAGGATTTTAATATGTGAGCTCATTCATTAAGGAGGATAAACTTCAGTCTCTGGGATGAAATCTAATAAGATCGTCTGAAGATGAAGTGAAAGGTCATGATTTTTTTTTGACTCAACAACATCACTCCTTCATGGTCCATATGTGCACGTCCTCACATTTGAATAAATGAAACCATGAAATATCACAGACTCTGAAGGTTAACACTCGGTTATAAAAATCAGTCTGAGTCTATATCAGTCTTTGAGAAAATATTTCCTCAGTGAATATTTTCCTGATGAGTTTATGGACTTAACCTCAAGTTTTACAGTCTTCTTCAATACAGCATAATGTTGATTTAGGAAATGATGGTCTATTTAGAGTCACAGGCCTGACTTACAAGTAGGTGGATGTTTTTAAAAACTTTGTGTATTTCATTCTCTCCTGACAGGTAGCTTTAGAGTTTGTCTTAAGCTCATTCGTTACCAAAGATACTAGTCGGCCTGTTTGTAGGGTTACCTCAGTAACTTCACCCTCCTCGCTCAACATGAATCTTTTCTGACTCTGAAAAACAAGATTTTTAGAGCCAAAAAGCTACACTAGAAACTTCCACAGGTTCACAAACCAATAGGTGACATCATTCTGGCTACGTCCACTTTTTATACACAGTCAATGATCTCACCGTATACACACTCAATAAGTCATATAGAAACCATACTCAACAATAAACAGGGGCAGTGTGGTCTGAGTTAACTTCTCTGGTTTTGATTTCTTATTCAGATAAAATGCTACTCTTTGGCTGTATTCACTATCAGTGATGTAGAAACAAAAATAAACTCTTTTCCTCTGAAAAAAATCTTTGGAGCAGAGAGTTCAGATAATTCAGTCAAAGTAAAGATCAGCACTTTCAGAGCGCAACCAGCAGAAACACGCTGAGCTGCTGCTGTCAGCAGGAATTCAGGTTCTCCCAGTTTAAAGTGTCTCATACTGGTTTCACTGGTTCTCCTGAGTTTGGACTTCCAACCTCAGAGGACATGAATTTGAAGCTGGTGTACCACTTGGTCTGTCCTCTTGTCTGCACATGCTCAGTTTGGTCAACCAGCACGTAAAATCAAAGAGTTGGTCCTTTATGGCGGTGCCATAAATCTGCTCTTGGTGAGTGTGATTCTGCCACTCAGCAGCACATTTGGAAAGTATTTATTGACTCTTTGGGTCGGGGGGAGTGAGGGTAAAGCCCTCCTTAATGAGTGACTGACTCTTAAAAGAAACACAGAGGAGAGGGCAAGAGACGTGCAAACTTTAGTCTGTCCTGTCTCGCGTCCATGTTACATCATCTGATCTAAGCGTCTGGTTTGTGTCTCATCGCGGCTGTCATTAACACTGAGAGTCTGTCTCATCATAGGAAACATCATCAACACTGTTCAGGGCTAAAATGACTAAAACACAGATTTTACTTATTCGCAGACTTATGTAATCAGAGGTGGGAACATTTACCATAGAGAAAGCATTTCTTTTTGGATTTCTGAAATGTACTTCTGCTCTCTCTTCTTAAATCAGTGCTTTTCCCCCTGTGACTGTGATTGAGGACATATTAATCTGTTTAATGAAAACCTATTTATTAATGTTTTTCTTTGACAAAGAGCTCAGAACTTGTGTCAACCCGCTGCTATAGATGAAAACAGGTGACTAAAACTGAAAATGAAATCTCAGCTTCTACTACAGAGGAGACAAACAGACTCTGAATGTTTTTTCTAAACTTTCACGTAACCAAGATCTGATTCCTGTAGTGACAAGGCTGCATATTTATCTTTCTGCAAGTTTTTAGCATCTTCTCCGGTCAGTCTGCACACCGGCAGCTGCATTGATGAGGAGAAAAGTCCATGAAGGAGACAGAAGGTCTTCATCAAAATCAACATAATCAAGAGAAAAACTGATTATCTGGGAGAGCACATGTTGACCAAGAAACTCTGAAAAACTGTCAATGAAAAATTACAGACCTACAATTAAAATCAGCTTGTGTTGGTTAAAAATCAAAACAAATGAATATTACTGGAAATTTGAATAAAATATTCATATTTGATCTTAATAGTATTAGTAATAGTAATAGTATTGACCAATAAGGTGTCAGCAAGGTTTGGCCTCTACAAGAAAAACAGTCTGTACTGAGAGCAAAAGCAGGAGGAACACAATCCACTGTAAAGACATACAAGCTCCCATTGTTGGTGATCTGAAGAGGATTTATTTCTCTGTATAAACAGATATATAGTTGACGTCAACCCTGACGTTGTTTTGTACCAACATCAGGGTTTTTAGGATAATATTAACCTCCAGTTTAAACCCTGAAAAGACCCTGAAAACCCCTGAGTTATGTGAACTTCACTTCCACAACCTTCAGCATGTGTATCTCCAAAAACAGGAGTAATAATAGCTGTTGGAGAAAATCCTATTGTGCTTTTTATCTATCTATTTCACTGTTTTATTGTTCACATGTACTCTTGTATTCAAAAGTAATGTGAACATATGCCGGGCGACACACTGTTTCCGTCTATCTCCACTCTGGCGAGTCAGGGCCGAGAAACAGGACTTGTGAGAGGTAACTGGCTGCAGCTGGGGAGCAGTGAGGGACATGTGTTCTTTGGATATGACACATCTAAACTGGCAATGCCCCGTATCTAATAAAACAGAGGACTGCCCTCTGAGATCCTGCTTACAGACTTGACTTTGTGTGAATGCTCCTTCTTGCACGAATAAAACTCTGTAAGTGAAAACTAAGACCAGTTCTCTGTCGAACACTTCTACCAATGTCTCTTTTGTGTTTGTTTTACTGGTTAAAAAGTTTGTAAGGGGCTGTGGTTGAACTTTTGATTTCATGTGATCAGAATCAGTCGGAACTGAACTATCAGCATCAAAGTCTGATGTCTTGAACAGATAAACTGATAAAATAAAAGATAATGTGAAATCCACTGCAGTTGTAAAGTGGTTTCATCATGGAGTGGATTGATCTCACTGATGCAAATTTATGATTTCAGTTACATCAGTGGAAAACGGTGAATCACATCAAAATTTACTGTCTCTGCTGCCTCCATTAAGCTCCTGCATAGTTGAACCTGACTCTGACTTTACACGATACACATACTCGCACACAAGCTCATGTTGTGCAGGAAAACTCCTCTCACATTTCAGCTTCATCTAAAACAAATACACAAACACACACACACACGCTCTCAGGTCTGCAGAGTGTGTTTCCTGTCTGTCAGTGTGTGCAGGTTTACTCTGTCCTCCATAAATCGTCCTGCAGCCTCCCACAGCTCCTCCATATTCCTCCATTATCTCAAAATCCATCATCTTTTCCAGATATACTGATTTAGGAACCTTACAGGATTAATTCTTACACTAACAGAGGATAAAATGACTGAATTTACTGTAAGGGGCTCACACTAAATTGTTTCCAGACTGTGCAGGTTTCTCCAAGACCCACAGAGGTTTTTTAAACTGCTGTTTAAGGATGAGGAAACATAGTGACTCTGTTCGTTTATATCACAGATGATTTAACGTAAGCTTGTGGTTCAAGTACTGAGAAATCTGGTGTTTCTTTAGAGACATGAGTAAGGATGGTTACCTTTTAACAGGCTGCCCTAATACGTGTCTAAAGACTCTACAGCTGGTCTAAAACGCAGCAGTTTGAGTTCTGACTACAGCCAGGGGAAAAGACGACAATTTTCCTGTCGGAGTGTCTCTACATCAGCTCTCCAATAAATGCTCAGGGCTAAATCTGTTTTCAAACATGCCCTTTGGAAAATTTCCAGAACATTTCAGGACCTCTAACCTGACCTTAAAAGTGCTGCTTATTCTTGCAGCAAACGTTTTCCTGTTTATGATCTGAAAACACTCATATTTAGGAAACACTGACCATCTTTTAATCGATTCGTGCCCCAGCAGCATTTTCAACCAGGAAGTAAAACTATGCAGAACGCTGGCCTCATAGTGAACGTCAACACTCCTCGTACTCTCTGGAAATCAGTCAAAGGTTTTGCTGCTGCTGCACTCTTACATGAGCTCACCTGGACTTTCCCCTGACATGATACCGAGGAGTTAGCAGGAAATATTCCAGGTAAAATAAGTTATTTGTGTTCACAGCATAGACTGTATATAGAATGGACGCAGTCTGCCTCCTCGCTGGGTGAAGCCACCCCGAGAACAGCACCTTCTGTGACGGGCTGCAGTATAGGTCATAAATCCCGCCTCCGCCAGCAAAGCTTACGGAGCTGTGGTCAAACTTTAAAAATTTATTACACAGAATATAAATTTTGCTCTACCCCGGTTTGCGATGTCGGCATGTACTGTGAGACTGGTTTGTGCTCAGGTCCTCTTCTTTCTGTGCAGAGACTCTTGGCGACTCTCCCGCCAAATGCGTACAATGCTACTGCCCAGTGTTGGTTTCAGGAAGTAGGAAATTTTCAGGAACTTTGTGCTCGTGTAAAGGAGCTACAGACTGCTGTCAGTATTGTCTGCTTTAGTACATTTTAGGTGAACTCTCTCAGTGGGTTATGGTCTTTTCCTCTCTCTCCTCCATCTGACTGTGTGTTTAATTTTAAACTTTCATGTCCAATAAAGTGTCTAACCACAGATCTATCAGGAAGTATGTGAGCCAGAAAGATTTCTACTTATCCTCAATTACAAAGATTACTTTTGTACTCTTCCTCATTGTTGCTTTTTATTTTATATTTTGAGCTTTGTTTATTCCAAAGAGCTACTTAGGAAAAGTAGTAAAAAAATCGGTCATAAAAGTGAGTGATTCATGGTATAATCTTAGCTTAATACCAACAAATATCTTTTTAAAAATCAAGAAAAGATCTTAAATTTACAGGTTAGTTTGGCTGTTCATCTATGATCCAAACAATAATGTTAACCTGGAATTAGAGATTCTCTTTGACACCTACATGGATAAAAAATCAGGTAATGTCTTTCTGTCATCAGGTTTCCCTTTTCTTTGTGGATAATATGAGCGCTGCCTAACAAACCAAGATAAAAAGCATAAAAACATCCAAACTGTAATGATGACCTCTGTTTTTATGTGGAGGAGTGACTGAATATTAAGTTAACATTTCCCATCATTTCCCATAAAAACAGTCGGAGTACGAAGCAGAGCGTGTGATTTATTACTTTGAAATTTCCTCTCAGGAAAGGAAGAATGTGTCATTTCCTTTTTTTTCTTACATTACATAATTCAGCACAGACCTTCCCTTCAGCAAAGACATCATTGCAGTTTTTTTTTTTATTTGAATGGAAATCTCCAAATGTTGACTTATTAATGTGATGTGCTCTCTGCTCCTGCATCCTGAGCCGCAGAAGAGGACAGATGCAGAAACAAAGAGACCAAGTTCGCCCATAAAACACCCTGAAACTTCTTCTGGCAAACTGTTTTTTTAAAGTGTTTTTAGACGCGGCCTGAGAAAGTCATCAGAGCTGCTGGTTTTTATCTTTACTCCCCATGGAGAAAATAAAACCAGCAGCCCGTGGAAGTCATGCTGCTTCCTGTGAATGGACCCTGACGATTTCACACCCACCCCCATGTTTCCACGAGTCAGAGCACAGACCAGGAGGGAGCTGAGTTTCACGTTAATATCTCTGTGATCCCTCCGTACACAGATCTACGGGTGTTCATCCTCCGCTGAACTTGCACTGAACCTCATGACCTTAACTGTGTGTCATCCTCCCTTTATTGACAGTGGGATGAAACTTACTTGAAGTTATCGTCTTCTACAAACTTCTGCAGCTCCTCGATGTATCGTACCGACAACAGATACTTCTGAACGTGAGGGAGGGTCACCAGGTGATCTGAGGAAACACAGGTAAAAGAGAGTGAGGTCACTTCATATCAACTTGACACTGGGAGGATTTGCTGCAAATACTTTTAAAGATGCTTTTTTGGGCTTTTCGACCCTTGTACTCAGATGTAGTGTTGATATCGTTGAAGACTCATCTGCACCATTCTGTTTGCATAATAAAAATATCCACATGGTAAAAAGATAAGAGTTTAAACATACAGAATCAGTTTTGATGAGATCCAAGAATTTCTTTGTTAAGCTAGGAGCAGTATTATTCACAATGATTTAGCCGTTTCATCTTCATCGTAATATTAAAACTTTACATTAGTACACTGTAGACTTTTTTACTTAACTTATACTTCAATTTGATAAATTGAAACATTTAAATGTTTCTGAGAAAATAAACCCTGAAGACCCGCCTTTTCAGTTTTTGTTGGAGTACGAAAGACAGCAGCTTATCAGAATTTTCCGTCTCTGCTGTTGCTGGGAGGAAAATGATCGATGGTTTTGTAACAGCAGCTCAACCAGAGAATGATTTTAAATGACAGTAATTTTCACCTCTGAGTGGGCTGTGTTTTCTCTGACTTTACCAGTGCAGCAAACCAGTGACAAGCTAACTTCTGAATGACTGGATATCATCAGTTCAGTCACTGCTGTGGTGTTGGCTTTTTGCTTTTTTAAACTACTCCAGATTCATGAACACAGCAGAAAACCCTGATTTGATTGTAGGTATGAGGAAGCCCATGAATGTCAATGGATCATTTAGTGACTGCGTGCTCCTGATACCCACTAATCAGCATAAATCTGCCCATGAATCCAACATCAACACCATATAAGGAGGTGTGGACATGTGCTTCCTGTGGACTGATGAGTACAGTAAATGAAGAGAGAGGAAGGAGAGGATGAGACCCAGTGATTGGATGAAAACAGTTCAGACTACTTTCTGGTTATTTAAGCATGTCTGTCTGACTGGAGGGCAGCACAGTGGTGTAGTGGTTAGCACTGTCACCTCACAGCAAGAAGGTCCTGGGTTCGAATCCGGGTCAGGGCGGTTTCTGTGTGGAGTTTGCATGTTCTTTCTGTGTCTGCGTAGGTTTACGCCGGGTACTCCGGTTTCCTCCCACATCCCAAAAACATGCAGAAGTGGGGGTTAGGTTAATTGGCCACTATCAAATTGCCCGTAGGTGTGAATGTGAGCGTGGATGGTTGTTCGTCTCTATATGTCATGAACTGGCGACTTCGCCCGAAGATGCTGGGATAGGCTCCAGCCCCCACACGACCCGGGAACAGGAATAAGCGGTAGAAAATGGATGGATGTCTGACTGGATGATATACATGTTTTAAAAAGTAATATGTTCTACTACTCAAAGGGACCATGCGTCAATTCTTCACTGTAAGAGCTCTGACTGAATTTTGGTGATAATACTCACTAAATTAAAAGCCAGATTTCACTTGTATTACAAAATCAATCATTCAGCACAGCCTAAAATCACCACAACTCCACAATTTCTTGTCGATGTCTGCGTATCTCACCATATTTGCAGGACATCTGAAGGTCAGAGATGACCCTCAGCAGGTTGTTCATCTGATTGGTCCTCTGCTCCGTCTCTATGATGCTGTCCGACGCCGGATAGGCCGAGTCGATGTAGATTATGTCCAACAGGTAGATCCCTGAAACAGAAAACGGACAGTCTCTGACAATTGTTCAGGTTTGATGAAACGCTGATCTACAGACACACAGAGAGAGAAACTCTGATTGAATGACACAGTACGAAGCTTTAAGACACATGTTTAATTTCAGAGCATCTCTCATATCATCATTTTTTCTTTGTGTCTTTAGTCTACAGCAACAGAGTACAGAAGAATCTAACAGATGACAACTTTTTAAACTAGTGGAAATTTGCATAATAGTCCTGGCATCTTTTCCCAAGAGCAGAAAAAAAAAACTCCAGAGAGCGTCCAAAGTGCCCAAACTAATTCTTAGAGCATGGTGTGAGTCCCAGACTTTCCTTCAGTCTGTCTGTTAATTACTGTGAAATAACGGTTTCTAAAGAGCAGCCAGAGACCCGCTGCAATCCTCAGGACTCACCACAGTGCCTCTGATGTGGCGCACGCACACACACACACACAGACACAAAGACACAAAGACACGCACACACACATAAACACACGTTGGACACAGTTTTCCACATCGTTTTTCTGAAACACATTACCATTAGCAGCAGGAATGCGGCGCTTTCTTTGAATCACTTCAGATGATTTTACAAACAGACTTGAATTCAAACCTGAATAAATATCAATATTTCTGCATTTTCTGATCACCTCTACATCACACAGCTTTCCAAACTAAACACATTTTCACTTTTTCTCCGGTAATGGACTGTTTTGGCCTGAAATACTTCCTTAAAACTGTATCCTGGGACTGCTGTTGTTTATAATGATTAACTTACCAAATTAATCTGAGCTGAGTCTGCAGACAGGGAACATAAATAACCAAAAACAGAGCTCACAGCCTCTCATCAGGTTCATTTATAAAACACAGGCCAATGTAAGGTCTGCTGACAAGATGTTTCGCATGAGTTTCATCTGATGGTTGAACCTAATCAGAGGTCTGACATATACATGTGCAACAGCCACATTTCAGGCTGTACAGTAACAATCACATGACCTGAAGAACTCCATGGTGTCACCACCGATCTGAAAATGCTTAAATGCAGCCCCTTAACTTGAAACTCAAAGACAAACTGACCAAATTGTGTCTACATTTTTGTAAAGCTAGAGATGGAGATGATTCAAAATGAAATTTATGCAGCATAATAATTTACAAAGGGGAGTAAACAACCTCCATGAACGAATACGTCAGCGTTGTGCATCTAATCAAGTCAAAATGAAGAACCTTTGAGTGTCTTCTGCTTGAACTCCTACTGCTGCTCCTGTTCCAGCTGGTTCTACTTCTGCTGCTGCAGGGCTGTCATCCTCCTCTTCACCCAGAGCAGTGAGGTTTAACACAGCCAGACTTTAGAGCAAGTCCAGTAACTTAAAAATCATGTGCTAATGTTGATATCAGCAGGATAAAAGCTGGTTAGCTAACTAACAGAGGTGACATATGATTTCACTGTGAAGTGTTCAAGGTGCTGGTTTTTCAAGGCTGATAAATTCTGAGATAATAATAATACTTACAAAAAGTAATAAACAGTAAAAATATAATGCCTGACTTTCTTCCACATTACACTGTTTTTCTGCTCTGTCATTAACAGTCTTTGTTGCTCAACAGTAAAATTTACGATTAGAGAGCACAGCCAGGTTTCCACATATTTCAAATCCACAACAGCTCCACTATCACAGCTTCATTTACCAGAAAACACACACACACACACACACACACACACACACGCACACACAGCGGTGTGTTTCCCTGAATCCCAAATTAAAACGCAGTAAAACACAGACGGAGGGAAAACTCTTTGTGGTTTCGGTGAATTTAACAACCACTTCTGATAAACGCTGAAGTTACATAACACCGATCAGAGCTGCATGTGACGGTCAGGAGAGCCCGTCACTGTACGAGCACGAAAAATCACAAACACATGGAGTAAATAAACACACTCATCTGCCAGAACTACACACACACACACAAACATACACACACACACATTTCCTGCACTAACAAATACAATGGAAGTGCTTCAAAGGGAGAATAATTGAACTCAGTCCTAAGAGTTCACTGTTTATTTATTTTTGTCTTTAACTTAATTTGAGAACTCGTGGCTGTAAAAATTCAGCCTCTTCAGAAACACTTTTATTAGGGTGGCGGCTCTATCAGTGTGGCAATTTGAATTGATAATTAATGTCCAAGATTTATCTAAAAAATGACATATATGCACTTGTCAGGGGTACCACTCAACTGAAAGTGAGAAATCCTTGATACATAAGTGGTAAATCAATTTGTTAAAGTATACATTATAGGTATACAGTAAGCCAGTTTGTAAAGTGTTGACGCTGTGTAGTTGACAAAGGGGTAGGATCACATAAGGCTTGACTTCACCCTACTCCTTTTTGAACATGATCATGATATTGGCCGATTATTGCCTGTTAGGCTTGTCTTTGATTTTATTTATTTATTTATTTATTTTATTATTATTATTTTCTTTTCATAAAGCCTTGTTTTTTTTTATTTTACTTCATCATTATTTTTATCATGTTCAAATAAAGATAAAGATAAAGATAAAGAACATGGCTTCATCACTGAATCAATCTCATCTCTCAAGCAGGACTTCTCATTTCAGCTTCTGGCAAAGAAACAAAAGCAGATAAAAACAAAAAGCTAAATGATGAATTATCACTCGCTCCTCTGTCGCTCTGCTCAAGAAGCTCCAGAGTCTCAAAATATTAATATTTCTCAAAAATGTGTTTTCATGAATAAGATCAGGGAATGTGAAAGGGATTCACCTGAGCACTTTAAGACTTACGTACTTCAAATCCATTCACAGGTTCAGTTGTTATACTTAGAAAATAAAGGTATCAGAGGAATTGTGGGGACCATAAGAGTCTTGGTGACCTTTCTGTTCCAGCATCAGTGGTGTGTGTACCATAAAAACTATTTTAAACAATTTCAAATTCACACATTGAGACAAACACTTTTAAGTAAAGACACCAGTAAGACCAGCGACTCCTACTGTGAGGTTTCACTCCTGTTTTTCCTCAGTGTGGTCCGCTGTATTTTTTAGGAAGTGATGGAACAGCTGTTTAAGGTAAAAAAAAAAAACATTTCCTTCTTCAACAACAAGGTTTATTTTTGAGAGGATCCTCTCTATAATGTTTTCAGACACTTTGATATGACATTAATCATGTAACTGCTGTCTGTTCAGCCTGATGAAGATTAAACACTTCACAGTCACAGCAGCTGAAACCACAGCATGCAGGGCTGCAGCTGCACACACACTGCGGTTTATAAGAAGACTGATTGGGCATAATGAATAATTTCCATCCAGGCTGCTCCTTTTTTAACAGACTGGAAATTTATAACAGCGCAGAGTTATGTAACGATAAAATGAAAATGATCCCTGTCATTTATAACAGCTTATCAGACAGAGACAAATGTATCAGTGTCTGGAAATATAAGTGTTTTATCTGCAGATAAAGTCATGTACCAGAAAATCATTCAGATCCTGCTGCTTTAGCTCCTTTTTTAGTCAAATAACTGGCTGATAAATTACCTCCTATAACAAGCATTCTGGTGTTTAAGAGTGTGGACCCCCTCGATCATGAACTCCGTGGACCCCCTCTGAGCCCGCCCTGTGGGAATCTACTGTAAATGTATTTGAGCGGTTTGATCAATGCAGAGCAGATGTGAAGGCTCCGCAGAAACACATGTCCTGCACTGAGAGCAAACTCTAACACTTTCAGATCATGTGAGGACAGATCCTTTATCAGCCCCCTCAAAGTCATGAAGCTGCAGCTCCTCAAACATGTCAGAGGATGGTACAACACGTGGGCACGGTGAGCTGATCCTGCAGGCTGATGGAAACTCCCTCGAACATTTACTGAATATTTTACAGTGCACACTGGGCTGCTATAACCTGGAGCGGTTTAACTGAATGTTTAACAGGAGGTTAGAGATGTTGGATCTGAACACGGAGATCACACAAAGTCTGCAGTAAAAAAACCATTACCTCAGTTCTTCCTTTAAGAAGACGGGGACGTGGCTTCAGATGGTTTCAAATGCACACATGATATCAAAGTTGAAGGCTTTCAAAGCATCCACAGAAGTCAAACAGAAACTTAAAGCACAGAGTAGTTTCAACTAAAGACGTCTGTGAAGTGTGAAGGGGTTCGAAGCCATATTTGAGGGGAAGGAGCTGGCAGTCCTGTACACAAACTAGATAGCCCTGCTAAAAAAGCATCTCCCTATCACTTATAAGTACCTGCTGATGAACTCTGTGGACAGCTGAAAACAAGTGCTAAAATATTCATAGCTTTCATCAAAGAGCATTATGGCTTTCACCCTTCCACCTAATGTGCACTATGAAGTTTGTGACATCTGTAAAATCATATACAGAATAAAAAGGAGGAGCTGGGGTGGAAACAGGAAGAGCAGCAGCAAAGACCCCCATTTTCCTCTCAATTTACCTGTTTTCTTCAGGTAAAATTAACCCTTTATATTTCAGCAGATAATTCATGCAGTGAAACAGCAATAACAGCTTCTATCACTGGACTGGGATCTTAACTTATGTCCTGCAGAGTCTATTTAACATAACTGGTTTTTACAGGGAACAATAAAAATGATTAGACTGTATGTTCTTCATGCAGATTAAACCAAATCAATAAATTAAAGTGACTCATATCTGGTGATTTAAACATCCAAAGCTGCGTTTTTATAAATAATGAAAGCCACATGCTGCCTAATCTATTGGATCCTGTGTGAACAAACTGTATGCTGATCAGTCAGAAAGAACATCACATGGTTTATGCATCTCAAATCAGAACTCTATTTTTACTTTAATCCCATCTTTTCAAATCTTGACTGTTAAATATTATTATTATTATTAGACAATAACCCTAAAGGCAAACTGCTCCAGTTGGAAAAATTCCTCTCTGTTCCTGTTCCCAAACCTGCCTGAATATAAACCTCTCTGTTCATGAACATGCAAGCTTTTCCTTTTGAACCGCAGACAGGATTATTTTGAATTTCAGCACAGATCAGATAAATCCAGACCAGAGTCCAGACTTTGTTTTCTGAGCCGTGGAAACTCTCTGTGTCTGAGGTAGGAAGTGGAAAAAAGCAGCAGTCTTAGCGTTTTATAGTTCTTTGGAAAAGTCTAGAGGGCACAGGTGGACGTGCTGAGGAATGTGTATTCATAAAACTTACAAGGCTCCAATAAAACACCCACAATGCACCTGTGCAGAGCAGGACGCATACGGAGTGAAACAGATGTACTCATTAATATCATTAGCTCTGCAGACACAATCACAGATCTGTAGAGCTGATATATTTATTTATAAATGTTTGATCTTATTTATACTTTTTAATGTTACTTCATAATTTTTATATTAACTTTAGAGATTGATGTTTTGTGACATTTGTTATGTGTTTTGAAACTGACCTGACACAGTAAGATGCTGTTGCAGACCATTGTTGTCCAAAGATGTCAATAACACAGACATTGAAGTTCTGCTCTTGTTTCATTTCGTGTAGAAGCTGCTCAACATAACGCATCAAATTTGCATTATGGATTCATCTGCATAATTTTGGTGCATAATGTGCATCCAGGAATTTAATCTCCAAGTTTCAATCTGTTATAAAATGCTTAAAACGAATCACAAGCATACTTGTTATAAAGACAGTTTTTAGACTTCACAACATCATCACACACTGAATAAAAGGCCTGCATATTTCTTTTTATATTGTTTGATCATTTGATTTGTTCCTTTTTATGCATTTGCAAACTGCACTATCCCTAAAGTGGTCATGAGTTTTACATATAAACAGATGCAGTGTAGCTCTTGTTGAGATTTTTTACCCGAAATCAAATAAAATATTCTTAAGTCTGTCAGCCACTCTGCAGCAGAGATTTCAGCTCTCTGAAATAAGTCTACAGAAATGATCAATCTTCTTGCTGATGGACTTATTTTCTTTAGTAGTCAGTATGTCAGTCTGTTCACTAACCAGATAAAAACTCTTCCCGGGAGCTCTGGACAAATTCAGATCAGAACATTTAACAGAGTCTCTGTAGGAGCCAAAGACTTTTGACCTTCTTAAAGGTCTTCATTTATAAAGGGCTTTTATTTTGTCCTTCAGGTCAGAGACCTTTCTGGTTCACAGACCCGCTGTTTGTGGATGACCCAGAGGAACTTGTTACTATGGAAACATTTATCAAACAACCCTCACATTTCATTGTGCAAAGTCACGTTTTTCACATTTGGCCGTTTTCTGAACTTTTGCTTATTTCTTCATGATCCAGATCACATTCTGCAGTTTCTACATCAAAACGAGGCTTTTACTCGGCTTAAAGAGCAACTGAGAAATAATCACAAAATTGTTTTTTTTTTAGCTTTAATGATAGAAAGAAACAGAGCAAGCAAAAAGAATACTGAGGGAATCAGTGATAGTGACTTAGAAGTTCACACTCCTCTCATTCTGCAAATGTAAAAGATTATATTTGAGTGTTTTTGCTGCTTGAATTCATCTTAACTTTATTTCTAGCCTTTCATTTATTTTGCTCACTGTTTTTTTTTAATCTATTTATGTTGGAAACAAACATCAAATGAAAAAATATATTATTGAACAAGTCATAGTCATGTCTGGGTTCATCAACTAATCAGAGGAGGTTACTGTCCAGTTTTTGCATATATCTGAGCATGTTTTTAAGCCAATGTAGGCTCTGTTTTGAGCATGTTTTTAACCATTGCTGGGTCCTGAAAAACCTTTGCCAGGCTCTGACAAACTTTTGTGAGGTCCCCATGAAGTTCTGCATGATCGCATCAAACTTTAGCGAGATCCTGCATAATTTTGCAGGCTCCTTAGAAAGTTTTGTAAAGTCTGTGAAACTTCTGCGAGATCCCCGAAACTCTTGTGTGATCTCTCTAAAACACATTTGCATCATCAATTGAGTTTTTAGGTTTAAAATAAGGGGAGACACAGACAAAACAGTATCACTTGCAAAATACATACAGATACTGCCATGTGCAAGTTGTGTTCATGAAGACAGCGGTTCTGTTTCAGTGTGGTTAGTTGTAAATGTGTCTAAAGACTTTTAACATTTTACTGTGGTTATTCTTTCAGTCATATTATACATCACTAATACAGAGAATGACCAGCAAGATTTCTCTGTGCACACATTCACAGACATCATCACCCTCTGACACCATGAGGTCCATGCTGAGGATTAACCCGGTCTGTGTCCTCAGCATGTGTTTTGAAAACATTAAATTCTCGAGTTTAGCAGCGAGACGTCTTCAGTAACAGAGAGATGACACGCCCCAGGAGGTCAGGCAGCAGGGAGGTTAGAGGTCAGAGAGCAGGGGTCAAAGGTCAGGGCAGCTTGGCCACACTGAGAGGAAGATACACGAGACCGTGAGAGTGAAACACACACTTTAGTTAACCGTCTCTAAGACTGGACCGACTGACAGTCAGAGATTCAACAAGTCCGATACTGTCAGTACAGTTCTTGAGGAAACTCTTCAGCTGTTTCCTCCAAGTGTGTGTCTATGTATGTGCATGTATGTATGTGTGCATGTGTGTGTGTGTGGTCCTCAAACAATGCTAGGGCTGCTGAACCATAAGAGACCAAAGCACTGAGGCTTAAAAGACTCTGAGGTCCTCAGCAGCTGAGACAGTCTGACGTAGCAGACCGTCAGTGTTTGTCTCTATTACAGTTTTAATGCTTCCCCTCGGGGTCAAAAGTCATCACTGCAGGGGCCGGTCCACGGCTGCAGCTCTGCTCAGGGTAATCACCTGAGCTCAGCTTCTCAGAGGTTCAGGGTGTTAGCGGGGTTTAGTCACTAATGAAGGGTTTGAGACAAGACAACTTGAACTGAGACAAGACCAGAGGACAGAGTCACTGCTAAGACCTGACCCACATGCTTTTTTAAAAACTTGAAAATACAACAGCACAATCAGTCATTAAGAAATTAGTGAAGCAACACATGAATTAAACTTTACTACTTATAAACACAACTAACTTACAGTCATCCATTTCTAATGTTCAAATTTATGAGTCATCCTCATCATGCTTTTATTTTGAAGAAAACTACTTCCACAAGATCATAGCTTACTAATCTCAATGAAAACAGTTAAAGAACAGCTATAAAGTACACATGTAAATATAAAATAGTTATTGTCCATACTATTTGAACATCCCTATTCCATCTCTAAGCAAATTAAAAAGCCTGAGCTGAGGGTTTTATTTTAAGGTTACACTCTCACATGTGTGCCGAAACATCAGTGCCAACATGTAGGACTGTAAAAGTGAAACTGAGGAGGCTGAGATGGAAATCAATTTGTGGAAATGTTGAGCGACTCAGGCAGAGATAGGAAAAGTTTTTAAACCCAGAGTTTTATCAGCGCTTGAATATTTCCCTCATTCAGTATTCGGCCAGTACATTTGTGATTCGTCCTTAATTCAACAATTCTCACAATTCTTTTAGAGACTTAAAAAGAAAACATAAAGTCCAGAAACACACTTCCTGGATCTCCAGGTTTTGAGAAAGGTTATTCCATTTAAGATGTCAATAATTTCAGTTGAACTCCAACAAACTTTGCTTTTACAGTGAGAGTAAGACTTCATATTTGTTGTAACTCCCCTCACATCCTCTCCTGACCGCTGAGTATTAAACCTTCCTCTGTTACATTCCTCTGCATGTTCCACCCAAACCCCCCAAGACCAGCCGACCCTCCATCATATCAGCTGTGCTGGAATCTCCACGTTCACCATCACATCTGCACTATTTATCACGACATGCTTACTAATCTTTGCCGATGATGTCATGCTGATGGACACTTGATGCCTCTCAGCTGTGCTTCCTGTCTCCATCAATCACTCATGCTAAGCTAACAGGTCCTGTTACATCACAGCATCCAGAAGCAGCAGTCAGCAAAACTCCTCTTCACTCTTTTTAACAAAAGCATGTCCACATGATCAGGTGACAACCAGGAGAGTAACTGGGTCTTTTCTGATGTTGCTGGTCTGCAGATTTGGTCAGACTTTTCACTAGTTTGTGGGCTTTCTACCTAAACATGGAGTAATGTCCTGGTAAACAGTCCTTAATCCAAGACCTTTTTCTTAAAATATGTTCCGCCTTGTTGGAAAAAAAACAGAAATGCTGAATACAAAAGCTTTTCTGAAGCAGCAGTAAGATGAAGATATTTTTGGTTTATTAGATGCTGTGAATGAACATCATTTTTCTGCTGCTCCCCTGCTCTGAATGAAGGGTGTTTTTTCCGGTTGTCTTCTCTTGTTGTCTCTGTCCTGCAGGTGATAATCAGGTCTATCAAAGTGAATGAGCAGAGCGCTCACAGGCTGCGACATGTCCTCTATCATAAATCAAGAGAGATGTAAAGTGAATCCGTGTCGAAGCACAGATACAGGAAGCAGATACACAAAGAGAAGGAGAAGAGCCCTGGTCCTGGTTTCACGCTCTGCTGCGTCTCAGAGAGCTCTCCGCTTTCAACTCCGCAGACAGGCACTTAAATCACACTTACAGTGTTTTCTTTAGGAGTTTAAACTGCTGATAAAATAACTGTACAGCTGAGCCTCTACCTTCTTTATGAAACAGGATGTTGACGTTCAATGAACGCTAAACTTATTATTATGTTCCCTCTCTTCAATAACCATAAAAAACCCCGGGCGCAGGTGGAGAGTAAAGGAACATGACATTGAATAACTCAGAGCACACTGTCAATATCCAACAACAAAATAGGCCTCTGTGAGTGACGTCCAACTATTCAGTGTTTTCAATGAGCCACTACGGACTGACAAACACCTTTCAGCCCGACTTTCCAATCAGCAACTTCAGGAGACATATGGGTGAAATCCAACCCTCTAAAAATGTCTGAAAAATAAACACTGTCATATCTCAGTTTGTTACATCCTCTGGAGAAGCTCCTGTTTAACTGTCTGTGGTGAGTCTCAGTTTTATTGTAGACAGGTTACACAAGGGCTTCCATGATGTAACGCTAATCTGCAAATTGTGAGTTTCTGTTTCACTGTAACGACTGTGTTTAACAACAGCTTTACTTTGGTTGAATATTTCTCTGTTTGTGGTGAGTCCTAGTTTCACTGTCAGTGGTAAGTTTTTGGGATGCTGTTTCAGTCAAAGCCGTAAGTTACACAGAGGCTTCACTCTGGCCTAATGTTCATCTGTTTGTATTGAGTCTCAATTACCCTGGCTTTCTTCAGCAGTACTAACCTGAAACAGAAACTGATCTTCTTGTGGTTTTACTGTCATCAACATTTCTTCAGTTTGGTAAAATAACATCATGATGCAGATTAGTAAAAGTCAAAAGTCGTTTTGTCAGGTCTGTCCTCAAGAGGAGAGGAAAACAACTTTGAAAATGTTTGTTTGTTAAATGGAGGTCAGTTCCATCATCTCTGATGCATTCAGAAAAGTCAGGAAATCTGAACGCTGATTGTCTTTAGTGACTCGGCATCAAGCAGGTTAGTGTCTCAGTGTAAATGTTTGATCTAGAACAGATTGTTAGCTGAGGATCCATGCCTATGTTCCCACAACCTTATGTTCCCACAGCCCTATGTTCCCACATTTGAGATTTATCACACGGTGAGTGTTCTGCTGCGACAACACCTCTGTGTAAATCCATGAGGAAAGATGTCAATGGGTGTGATGTTATGTGTACATAATGGTTAATGTACGGAGTTGGAGACAATTATCCTTGTAAAGAACAATAAGTCTAAAATATGATCTAATATACCCACAGTGTAACTTATACCCCGTAAGTATACAGTACAATCTAAATATTGTTATTGTCACCGAAAATGTTAGAAATGTGGGAACATAGGAATGACCCCCATGCAGATATCTGTTTATGCAGAAGAATAAATCGTCTTCAGATCACCTACTATAGGAGCTGGATGTCATTTTGCTGGATTGTGTTCTTCCTGCTTTTGCTCTTCATACAGACTGTTTATCCTGCAGACACCAAACCCTGCTGACACCCGATTGGTCAATTCTACTCAAACCAAAACCAGAACTCTTTTCTGTCCAGAATCCAGACTCTTAAGAACACATTTTTCTGTAAACAGGGATCCAGTCTGCCCAGAAACAGCCTCTATACTGTGAGGACATTTCTAAACTTTTACTACAGGAAACTAAAAGCACCACTTCTCCTTCTCCTCCAGTCTGCCTGTGCTTAAGTTTTTCCTCCCTCTGCTTAAGCACAGCATGAGGGTACTTCTGATACCAAAACAAGATAGCCGAATTCTCCAAACGTCTCAGAGGAAACCTCGTCCGCCTTCGTCTGACCTCTCTGAGACTGACTGCACTTTCCGTTAATTCCATGGATGACAGCTTATCATCCATCACCAGTTTGTGATTAAAAACAAATAGGATGAGTCACTGAATATTTGTTCACTGAGTTATGTAAGATGTAATTACTATGACAACACAACAAACTGGAACCAAGTCCATGGCCTCTGCTCGTGAGTGGACGCTCTGCATGTTTTCACAGATTCAAATCTCAGTTTAGATGATGTCAAAGGCGGGCCAGAACAGACTGAAAATACCTGACGCAAGCATGGGAGGACACCTTTTGTTCTTGTTTAAGATCAGGATTATGAGCCTGAATGACGACAGAAGAAAGTTTACTCTTAAATTTTCTGCAGAAGGAGAGAAAGAGCTGAGATGAAAACCAGGAACATGAGGAAAACATCCCAGTTTAGAGACCATCTCTAAAGCAGGACAAACAAACAGAGAAAAAAAAACAATTGGTTCGGTGACTCTGACTCTTTGCTCTGGTCACAAATCAGGATTAAAGTCTGAGTAAAGACAGGCAGGATTCTGGAGAAACAAAGAGGAAAACCAGAAACATAAGGTAAACGTCTTAGTCTCGGTATCTTTCCTCCATCAGTGCAGTCCAGGATCCACATGCTCAAACCTGTGAGCTCCCTGCAGCTGCTGCTCAGCCCTTCCAGTCCACCCAGTCTCCTCCTCAGTGGGAGTGCTGGGCCGGCTGGAGGACGGCAGTGGAAAACAGGAGGAGGACTGTGTGGGGGGGAGGTGGGGGTGAACGTTTCTAAAGTCTCCCTGCTGTGGAGGGGAGGGGACGGGGTGTCTCTGAGCTCACAGCTTCATCAGAACGACAATCAGAAAGTCTAAATGATGGGAGGAGGAGAAGGAGGAGGAAGAAGAGGAGGAGGAACTGAATCAGCCCGGGCGTTCAGTTAAAGAATCGTCAGGTGGAAAAACTCCAGCTCAATCTGCAGCTGAATGAAGGACGTCTCTGTCAGTTCACTGTTGTCTGATCGGACTCTGAGAGAGAAATCACTGACGGTTTTCTGTCTGGTCGTCTTTTTAAAACACGATCTAAGGAAATAAGATGAAGACGCAGTGACACTCTGAGGACATGTGGACAGACTCTGAGCAGTGACTTAGAGTCAGACTTTGAGAGAGGAAGGAGACGAAAACAGAGACACGTGGTGAGTCGGATCATCTCATTATTTCACCCACAGGTTCTGCTGCAGCTTTCATGACGAGTTTTTAAACTATATTGTCAATCTGCAAAGGTAACTACGATATTTAAGAGTTTAATAAGTCGCCACTTTCACAGTTATTTTGGTGCAACAGTCTTTCAGGCAGGGTGACAACAAATATTGAGCAAACCAAAGATGCATTCATGGAAAGCTGAAAATCCTCCTTGGTGTTCGTATTTAGAGGATGCCCTGCAGTAATTCTGTTTGCATTAGTAAAACAGCTCTCTATTTTTAAGTTCATGTGATTACATGTTACACAATCATGTTCTGTATGAGCTCTGTTCCTGTTCGAGATGATGCTGATTGCACACATTGGCTCCCACATCTCCCTGACAGAGCTGCAATGGTTTCAATATGAACTTTAAATCGGGCCAAAACAGAAACTCAGTCCAATAAGATGTGTTTGTGTTTTAACAGCCAGACTGTGCAGAAGAACTGGGACACTAATTACTTTGGTAGTAAACAGAAACTCATTATAAGCTTATACTGTTTTGTTTACACAGTTAAGTGTATGTAACCACGGAAGGCTAAGAATCTGTTTTACGAGAGCACTCTGGCTAATATCAGTAACACATGCTGCACTAAAGTCACAAACAATTACCAAACTCGTCGCCACCTTCAATCTGCTTTAAACACATTCAGAGAGAGCAGCTCTTGTCCTCCAATCGGCTCTCACAGAGTGAAAAACTTTCTGCAGGTGATTCAGAGCTCTGAGTCACCTCATTCATAGATGCACTCTGGAGACAAAAGCAAACATAAGTCACGTGACTGGGTTACAAAGAAAAGACTGTTGGATTATTGAAATTTCATAAATAAGAGGAAAGCGAGTCAAGACTCATCTATAAAAAAGGACGAGCCAGTGGTTTAGACAATAAAGACCAGCCAACTCGAGCTCTAAGATAAACACTTTCCAGAGTGAAGGCACTGAGGTGATGCTTGGATGTATAAAAAACATCACTAAAGTCAATCAGAGACTTCAGAGCAGCAGCGAGTCGGACAAGTACTGACAGCACGGCTCCTCCAAAATAAACCTCTTGTGTAAAGAGCTTCACCTGCTGTTTTCTCTGACTCTGTACTCTCACAGGTGTAAGGATATTTAAAGGAGCGCATTCAGCTGACAGGTACCAAGAAATATCTTGGATCACTAGTTCCCAAAGTGGGGGATGTATGTTACTTTGGATACACTCCAAAAAAGATTGAGAAGTTTTGTCAGTGGTTTTAAAATGGTACATTTGATAAATAATACTACATTTTTAAAAAGAATACCGTGATTTAAAATGAAATAAAGCCAAATTCAATTCTGAGGCTTGAAAATTGTATGAAACTTACACACGCTTACCAGTGACCCGACTTTCACCGTGCTCACTCGTGCTTTCTTTCACCGCTTACCACATGAAGAGGGCTTTATTCTCCTTATTACTTTTTTAAATTACTATAAAATAACATCACAGCTGTGTGGCTGTTATCTTATTATGCCTTTTTTTATCCATGGTTTTGAGCAGGATTAGCCCACCTCAGGGGGTCACAGTAGTGGGCGGGAGTCTCTAGCACTGATATTCTGGGCATCTCAGGCTAAAAAGTTTAGTAAAATCTGTTTTAGATGATTTAAAGTCTTCATGTCCAAGTTTGTCCAGCAGAAAGTCAAACACATTTAATGTCCTAATGTCAGCATCAGTTTCTCTCCAGCTGATATCATAAAATGCTGACCTCACAGAAGATAATCTCAATTTTAACATCTCTAGGCTCAGTGTTTCAGAACTAAACCCAGCAGCTCTTTGCTTTGGTTCAGAATAAATACTGACTTACTCATCAGGTGCTCATAAATATGTCTGCAGAAATGAGACGCTCAGTTTGTATGGTGCATGTGAAAATACATACATGAGTAAATGTGGAGTTTGCATGGAGATGGTGTTTAAAAATCTCTGACCTTTATGGTGCACTGCGAAAAGTTTCCTTTCAACATCAACAGGTAACGTTTATATCCTGTGCAGATCAGATGTTTCTGAGGTATGAAAGGCGTATTCAGATGAAACCCTGCCTTATTTCCATCCATGTTCTCTGTCCTCAGTTTCCTCCCTCTTGCAGCTCTGCCTCCAGCTGCAGAGGAGAGCAGGGTTATGAAACTGTTGGCAGGACTGTGCATTGCGTCAGGCGTGGCAGCATGCGTGTGCACGTGCATCCTCTGTGTGTGCACGAGACAAACAAAGCTAAAAAACTCCACATGGATGTTTTAGCTGTCCTTAAGGCAACCTCAGTGGGCGCTGGATGTGTTTCTGCAGAGCTGCAGATGGTTTAAGTCCAACATATGTGTTTCTTACAAAAAGAGCGGGACCAGGTGAACAATTTCTTTTTCCAGGATATGAAGGAATCAAGTCCAACAACTTGGTGTAAAAGTGCAGAGAATAAATCTGCTGCAGTCGTAAACCCAAAGATGCTCGAACCCTGAACCACAAACCAAACAGATTAAAATGTTTATTAAACCAATCAGAAGAGAGGAAACTTCAGCTCCGCTCAGACTGGAGAGCATAACCCAGCAGTTGTTCCAGCGTTTGTTCATCAGTCAGACGACACTCAGACTCAATCTGCTGAACCAGGAGAGACAAGCGTCTGCCTCCTCACCTCCCCCCGACACCCAGCCCTCCATACGGGTTAAAGAGTTCCACAGACGGGCCACCTCTTAGAGTCCAGACACGGACGAGTGTTTGCTGTGCAGACAAGCCGCAGCCAGCAGCAACTGTTGCTACTGAGCGTGTGTGTGTGTGTGTGTGTGTGGGAGTTTGTGCATGCGTGTGTGGGTGGGTGTGAATGTTGAAAAGTCAGACAGAGAGTCAGAGATGAGGAGGTTAAATCTGATTAATTTCTCTCTGATGTTTTCTCTAAATGATGTGAAGTCTCCTCAGGGAGCTGTGTACTTGTTCTGTCAGCTCGTAAACTGTGTGTGTGTGTGTGTGTGTGTGTGTGTGTGTGTGTGTGTGTGTGTGTGTGTGTGTGGGTGAGGGTGTGTTAAGAGTTACACTCTTTGTACGACGTGTGTGAGACAGATGGTGATCTGAGTCGGAGCTGATTTTATGAGGTCCGAGTATCGAGGCCTGACAGGTGACTCTCTGCGGCTTCACATTGACCTCCAGCGTGCGTGTGTATGTGCGTGTGTGTGTGAGAGGGTGCGTGTGTGTCTGCTGTGTCATCTGTCCATGTTATATCCACTGATGAACACACTCCTCAGAGAACAGGAATAAATCAGCGTTATTTTCTAGTGTATCAGCGCCGTCAATGTTTCCAAGATGAGCTCATGTGCGATCATTGGCTATGATGACTTCCTGTTCAGCTCCTTGTTGGGGGGATTATTTAACGTCATGTTCAGTAGGAAAACAGGAAATGATCATTCATCAGATAAACAAAGTAAAGTTATAAAACTCCTTATAGCCTGTTACTATTGACGGTTGCTGCTACAGAAGAAAAAAGATTATAACAGGAAAATTAATGCTGCGTGTCTGCTGTGGTATAAATGCTCAATAAACTTTGATAGAGACACAGTAAAAACCTAACCAGATCATTTGTACCTGATGTTAAATTAAAGATTATTGATATTAAAATAACAGCGTAAACTTTATCAGGATGTTTTGGGTCTGCAGAGATCAGTCACTTGTTTACCAGTGTGTAATAAATCTACTACTGCATTTTCAGGGAACAGTGCAAAAAGGTCAATCAGGAGCCGCCCAATTAAAAACTAAGAAGTCTGTCCTTTGTATTTTGAAAAAAATACTATAAATTCAAATGGCAACGTTGTTAAAGCAATCTGCAATCTGGAATCTACACAGAGATCAGCAAAAATGCAGGAGGATAAATACCGAGTTAGTAGCTGGCACAAAAATAGGTTCTTCAACGAGCACTTAACAAAAACTTTTTCCTGTCTGGATGGGACTGTGATATCAGAGTTTACAGAAGAGGACAGAAGGAGATTCTCCCCTGGAACCTGGTTTCAAAAGTTTGCATTTCTGCCACCCAAAATCCTGTTTCTTAAAAAAAAACATCAGCCAAAACACAACAATAGATGTATGTTTCTCCTAAATACAATCCAAGTTAACAGAATCTCAAACTCTTCACAAGTCTCCATCATCATCATAAATATAACAACGTCATTTCTTCACCACTCTGAATCTCCACTCGGGCCCCATTACATCAAAAACACTCTGACTTTAAGAGGAGTTTGATTTAACTTCACATATAAAACTCCAACATTATTTGACTCAGGACTGAGTTTCTATTCATTCAGTTTCCACGACTTTAAAACATTAATGTCATAAAGTTTGTTAAATGTCAGAGAGGAAAACTGAGACTGAGCCAGAGACCAACAGGCGTTGTGTCACTGCAGAGCGACAGAAAAAAAGGACTGTTAACATGAATATCTGTGCATTAAAAAAAAAAGATATATATATTATTTTACTCTTTAAGAGTGGACATGACAGCAGAAACAAAAGAAAGAGCAGGGACAGTGTGCGCAAAAAGGCCAAGGGTTGAGTTGAATCAGGTGCCATGAGTTTGAGGACAGAAGCCTCTGGACATGAGGCTTCAGTCAACCCAACAGCTGAGATAAACCAGATTATTTTAGATCAATATTTCCAAAACTCACAACTGCAGCATCCAGAAATCCTCAAGGACTCATGAACTTATTTACTGAAGTCCAACAAGTCACACCCCTGCTCCACGAACACACCTGAAGACCTGAGGCCATGGCACTCGTCCTCTACAATGACTGAGTTCAGTCTTTGAAACATCAGATAAAAACATGTCTGTTCGTGCAGGTTCACTCAGGGAAACATACTCGGTTCATCTATTCAACTGTCCTGTGTGTCTATTGCAGCGTTTTCATAACGTGTTATTGTATTGTGGTTCTTGTATTAGCGTTCCACTCTACTTCACTCAATCACTACATATATATCATATATCACTAAATAGAACCTGTGAAAACATATCCTCCATGAATCAACTCCATAACAAACTGATAGGAAGTGTCCCCTCCATTGCCTATCTTGTCCTCTGAATGTGGACAGATCTACGTCAGTCAGGATGAGAGTGAACAGCACAGCTCTGAGCAGCAAAGAGATGCTGATAGTTCATTTTCACAATCAGACACAACACGAGAGCAAACTGCACAGAGTTGCAGAGCTTTATACACGCATTTGTGTGTGAATGTCATCAGAGCAACATGCTTGGTAATCTGGACTTTCAGACGAAACAGCTATTGGACGCACAGACAAGCAGCTCTTGGTGCTACTAGCTGCTAAAATCAATTTTCTGTGAAAGTCCAATTTTCATTTAGATTTTACCAAAGACATCTCCTCCTCCTCTACAAAAGAGAAAAACTTTACATTTAAAGCCATGAAATCCTGAATAAAATAGTTTCAAGTTTAAAAGTTGGGTTTGGGTGATCTCAGCTTGTTGATATCTGGTGATATCTGGATGTCGGATGACTTGATGTCTCAAACAAAACTCTGATTAATGTTCATTTTACAGATATAACACGAGTCTTATGTGGAGTGAAGAGACGTAAGAACAGAAACTAATAACCGAAGTCCTATTGAGGTATCAAGTTTGACCACAGGAAAGCAGAAACTCAGCGAGTCAGTTTTATTCCTAAATGGACAGACATGGTTCTTATCCATTAAACTACCTAACAATCCCTTAATCTATCGCTTTTCTAATAGTTTGAAATTCAGCGCCTGCGGGCCAAAAATTTATGACAGAATAAGTGGGAACATGACAGACAACCACGGTCCTAATAACAAACATGTGTACGAGAATTTTCTGGGTCCGTTCAAAAGTGTGACGAATTGAATCAGTGCTGCAGAGCGGTTCAGTCTCAGCAGCAGCAGAAACATGAGTAACATGAAGTCAGCTGATGAAGGAGGCTCGACCACTCACAGACAGAAATAAACTGAGGCTGTGAAGGTCAGGAATAATTAGAGGATAAGACTCATGAAAATATAGTGTGAAGCTTGACACTGAGCGTGCAATTGAAATAAAACAACTGTAATGATTGAACGCAGACGGTGTATGGGGAGTGGGAGCAGCTGCTGTGGCAGTATCATATAGTTTGACATTTTGGATGTGATCACCATCCTGATATTTGGGTGCCAAAGTGACCGCATTTAGACACGAAGGTTTAACTGGAGGACAGTGGGTGGTAGGCATGCTCTGTGGGTACAGTGTGAGTCTCAGTTTCTCTGTAAAAAGTCACTTAGAGGCTCCACTTTGTCTTCCTTTAGCAGAATGAACCTGAAACAGAAACTAAAGTTTTTTTGTAAGAAGAGAAGAAACAACTTTGAAATACTTGTTGAATCGAGGTCAGAGCCATCGTTTCTGATGCATTCAGGGAAGTCAGGAAATCTGAACGCTGATTGTCTTTAGTGACTCAGCATCAATCAGATTAGAGTGTCAGTGTAAATGTTTGACCTATAACTGATTGTAAGATGACCTTCATGCAGATATCTGTTTGTACAGAGAAATAAATCCTCCTCAGATCATCAACTATAGGAGCTGGATGTCATTCTGGTGGATTATGTTCCTCCTGCTTTTGCTCTCCATACAGACACCAAACCCTGCTGATACCTGATTGGTCAATACTATTCAGACTACAAACTAAAACCAGAGCACTTTTCAAAATACAACTGAGAAGTCCGATTACTTTCTTACTGACTTTAAAACAATCAGACGCCCCCTGCTGGACACGAAAAAGAATGCAGGTTGAGGACTCTTGCAGGCTCTCATCTAATTTTCTGCTTTCCTGAGAATCACTCATAGATCGTGCGCTTACATCTGTTGCCTGCAGAGGAGACTGTAGCTGTGCTTTTGAGGTTAAAATTAAAGTTATTCTGTCCTTAAAAGTTCTCAGAGCGATAAACAGACCCAGACCTCACCGTGGGCCTAGAGCAGAGACTGTAAAATATGAAGAGTTCAACAGTGTTCCTGCCCAAGTATTGAGCTCACTGTAGGTCCTGTTGTGTGTGTCATAAATCTGATTTACAGTCTCTGTAAAACCATCAGCTTAACATCCACTGAGCCTGCTGTACGATGGGAAAATGATGAGGTCCACCAACAGTGGGCTTAGGGTCTGATCTGAGGCAAAAGTTGGCAGAGCGTGTGGCGATGGAGTAACATGTGAAGATAACAGAGACTCTATGAGGGAGGATCCTCGTTTTCTGTTTGAGAACATTCCTAAAGAGTGAAACATTTTACCCCTAAACCAGAGCAGAGCAGAGGACCAGGATCACAACACTCTGAGAGATGTTACACAACTTTAAAGACACCAGTCCAGAGCGTGAGGAGGAGGACATCTTAGTCATATTTTAATAAAGAGGACACATGGTTTCACTGTTTTGTTATAGTCAGGGTCACTGCGAGGACTCACATTATTCTGGGAGTCTCTATTGTTCATGTTTTATCTCTTACAGGCTGTGAAATATGAAAAAACTGAACTGGATCTTCACACATTATAAAGCAAAGTCGCGGCTGAAGGTTGACCTTTGCAGTTCAAAACATTCCACCAAAAGTTTTTTCCCTGTTTGAAAAGATTTAACAATCGCTGCTTTCGTAATTTTGCATGAGGACTAATATAAAAAGCATGAGCAGAAGATTAAATGACAGTAAGGGCGGCTTGTTTGACAGGTACGGCCTGAAATAATCACTCGATAGAGCTGTAATCACCAGGGTACAACAGAGTATCAGGGCCTACTTTGAACAAAAGTGAGATACTGTGAAAAATACAGTCAATGCAGAAAAACCTACAAAATTACAGCAAAACTAAAAATGTGCCAGATTTTACCAGACATTTAAGTTAAGAAATAACATCTACAAACATGTGCATTTACAAGATTTAAGAATTAACTTGAAGATTAATAAGACAAAAGTCATAAATTACGTTAAACTTGACATTTGAGTCTTAACTTAAAGTTGTAAATATCTGCAAATAATGTTGTATATTTGACAGAATAGACATAATAAAAGACTGAAGCTGTAAAATGAGAGGTAGAGAATCCAAAGCAGCCACCTGCTCCCACTAAAATAAGAATACATAAACTTTTTCTTTCATGTACAGTAGGTTTCATAAATCACTGAACAGTCTTTGAGTAAATCAACACCACACTGTCATGCAGTATAAGCATCAGGACTCACTGCATGGAACTGACTGTTAAAGAAACCAAGTCTACATGAAACAGGAGGCAGGCTAATGAGGAGGTCCAAATCGTGTGCTGTACGGTTGCAAAACACCAAAAACTTCACAGAAATGTTCGTGCGGGCTGCACATGTTGATGCAAACAGTGAAAAGTTTCACCCTGACTCAAGAGGACTCTTTTCTGCCAGCCCCTCAGACAATTTCTGCAAGATGTCAGGGTGGAGCTGGTGTGAGGACACAGCAGGAAATATTCAGGGAAATAGGAGGGTGAGGCCCAAGGATTGATAGATTAGGTTGAATGGTGTTGATAGGAATGTAAGAGCAGTCATCACAGTGTAGGTCTGTGTTTATGCATCCTCTATGATTTTGGAAATGTTATACTGTGGCTCTCTCAGGAGTGCATAGGTATGTGAGGTATATAAACTGCTTCACAGATTCACCAATCTCAGCATCAAACAGGAGTGAATGTAAGACCACTAAGAGAAGGTTTCAGAAACTGTCACACATCTCTGAACACCCTCTGTGGTTTCTCCATCACTGATGTTCTGTCTTCTCTGTTCCAGACATCCTTGTCTTTCAGGTGCAGCAGGACTGCGCCATGATCCTCTCTGTACTAGTTTTGCTGCTGGTCCTGGTTCTGTCTGGACCCAAGTTATCCCTCCAGGAGGTCGCTCAAGAAATCGGGTCCAGCGATGACAGCCTGGAGAGAGACTTTTTGTACGCACAAAACCGACAGAAACGCGCCGTGGTCGACCACAGCGCATCCCTGTCAGAAAAATGTTCATACACCTTCATCGTCCCTCAGCAGAAAAACACGGGGGCCATCTGCGTGAACTCCAAAGAACCCGAGTCTCTGCTGGAGAACCGGGTCAACAAGCAGGAGCTGGAGCTGCTGAACAGCGAGCTGAAGAAACAGCGGCTGCAGATTGAGACACTGCAGCAGCTGGTGGAGGTGGACGGAGGTCTGGTGAACGAGGTGAAGCTGCTGCGAAAAGAGAGCCGCAACATGAACTCCAGAGTGACGCAGCTCTACATGCAGCTGCTGCACGAGATCATCCGCAAACGGGACAATGCGCTCGAGGCGTCGCAGCTCGAGACCCGAGTCCTCAATCAGACCAACGAGATGAGCCGACTCACCACACGGTACAGAGACCTTGAGCTCAAGTACCAGCACTTGTCTGTACTCGCCAGCAACCAGAGCGCCCTGCTGCAGCAGCTGGAGGAGAGCTGCAAGAGGGGGGGAGGACAGACATACAGGGGAGGACAGGCGTATGGGGGAGGACAGACGTATGGGGGAGGACAACCATACGAGGGAGGACAATCATATGGAAGAGGAGACACATTCGCTGGGGGACAGCAAACGTACAGTAGCGGCGTGCAGGAGCGGAGCCGTCCTGTCCGTCCTCAGCCTCCTCTGCAGATGCCACCCCTGTCTCCTGGAGGGTACAGACCCTTCCATCCCCCCACGTACCCCCGACACACCAACAACCCCATGACCAACGAGATCCAGAACGACCAGAATGCCAAAGCATTGCCACCAGCATTACCCACAATGCCCAGCACAGTCTACAGCTCTACAAATGAGCCCTCAGGTGAGTGCAGGACTCACTGACACCAGCAGGTTTACCTCTAGTTCATTTATTTATTCAACCAACCAGGAAAGCATCATCAAGATTAAGAATCTCTTTTACAGGAGTGTCCTGGCCAGGACAGCAGCAGCACGTTCCAACAAAGTTACAGACATACAAACACGACGTTTAAAAAGTGGTAACATAGTCATATGTATGTATGTCTGGGTCATATAAGAGAAATCAACAAAGCATCTGCAGCCTGATGCATCTTCCTCGAAAACCTTCAAACTGCTTTTAAAACATTCAGGAAGACCAGCTCCCTCAGATCCTCATTTTCCTGTAGTAAATTCCAAGTTGCAGAAGCAGCGAACGTCAAACTCTTTTTACCCATTTCTTTAAAGCTCTGAGATCATGGTAAGAGGGAGGTTGAAGATTTACTGCATGTGTGTTGATCTGTCAGACCAGTCAGACTCAAAATCTGATTATTTATAACTGAGCTGCTTTTACGACTCCTCAGGGGTGCTCTTCATCTCTTTCAAAACTCGTCTGAGACATTGCAACAACCAACGGTACTCATATTCAACAGGAATACTAAAACAGAGTGCATGAACCTGCATCAGAGCGAAGTATCTAAGAATAATGGGGCCTTTATGAGATACATGAAATACAAAAGAAGCAGACAAATCAACTTTTGCATTAAACAAAGCTTTCTGTGATGATAAAAGGTTTTACATTTTTTGGAATATGGAGTTCAAAGAGTTAAACATCCTCAAAAATGGCAGTCATATACCAGAGGTGAGCCTGAATTTAACACAGCATGGATAATGAGATGAGGATGAAATGAGGAGTCATTTTCCCTCTGGGTCTGTGCGCTCTGTCTCACCTGATGTCCCGCCCACAGCACTATCTAATTGGCTAGATATCACATGATCATGTAACACAGCTGTACTGTAAGTGTAACCGGTCAATTAAAGGATTAATTCAACAGTATTTTAATCCTGATAGAAGGTTCAGTTGTATCTAAAGTAACGGGAAACACTTTGATCAGTTAAAAAAAGTTTGTCTCACTTTTATCAGGTGTTAATAAAGTATCTTAGTGAAATAGAAGACGTCAGTGCAGGTGGTCTCTGGATTAGCAGACACTCTGTTCCCCTCTTCTGATTACCCTTCAGACACACACACACACACACACACGCACACATACTTTCTTAAACAGTGGTGTAGTATCACAGTAATGCAGCTGAACACTTTCCTTTAACCCGTGCAGACACATCAGACCAGACCCGACCAGATGAACACACCACAGTCTTTTGAACACACTGTTTCTGTGCTTCCATGTGTAGTTAATAGTTAACAGCTCAGTTATGCTCTTGGTTACATAAACTCCATCAAACAGACTGGAAAGCATTGGTCATACTGGTTTGAAGCACAAAGTCAGCAGTGACTTCACCCTGTCTAAATGTTTGAATGCTCTGTCTGAAGCTGTAGCAGCCTCTGGTAAGAGTTAGCTCAACTCAAAGACGGCTGACCACAGTTCGGACACAGTCGCACACAGCTCATTCACACAGCCGTCTGTCTTCCTGCAGGTCCGTTCAGAGACTGTCTGGAGGCGCTGGAAAACAGATACTCCACCAGCGGCATGTTCCTCCTCAAACCTGACAACAGCAACAAGCTCATGCAGGTGTGGTGTGACCAGAGACACGACCCTGGAGGCTGGACCGTCATCCAGAGACGACAGGACGGCTCGGTCAACTTCTTCAGGAACTGGGATACGTATAAGGTAACAGTGAGGCGGCTCAGAGCTGCAATCATGGCTCTACACTGACAGTCCCATCGGGTTGGGTGTGCAAGAGAGACAGGCGGAGTGGGGAGGGGAGTATTCTTCCTGAAATACCCATCCCTAATGAAGAGGCAGACATTACCAAAGTCAAAGGAGTTCTCTCTCAGGAAAATTTTGGTATTATTCTTGAATTCAATCTATGAAACTGTCAGAAAGATAATTCATCTAAAGCCAAAACGTTTAAGTCTGTGGCTGCAGCATTGAAAGAAACAGCAGCGTTAGTAAGATTTTTCCTCTGAGAACCTTCGATGAGCACAGAGGATCTCATGTAGATCCATCTGATAGTCATCGAGATGTTTCAATCCAGACCAAAGAGGTGGTTGACCAAACTAAATTGCTTTCCACTGAGCTGCTAGAAGAGCTGAAACCACTTCTAATATGAACAACATGTGAACAAGCAGAGGGAGCTGCAGGGATGAAAGAGAAGAGGAAGACATGAGCCACAACAACATCCTCTCAATCATCCTCTCAATGATTCCTGAGTTTGACGATTAATTTGAGACAGTTTTCTGCAGAACTGAGGTGCAGGAAGGGAACTGTAATAAAGAGATACTCCAGCAGTCTGGTACTTAAATCAAGCTGAACAAGAGAGGGTTAGAAGATAATCAGAGCTGAAGCAGAAGAGGCTCAGGTCTCCCTGCCTCCATGTCTACCCCACAGAGTCAGATCATCCAACAGTTTTTGAACACTTTTAAAGTCGGTGTCCGTCAATTTGGTCCAAATTTTGCAATCCTGACTTTGTTCAGCTTATACCATGTTAACAGGTTTGCAGTCCATTTAGCCTCCAATACTGCCTTAAAATGCAGATATCTGTGAGTATCTTAGTTGCTCTGACTATTTCAATTACAACAGTAAGAAACTCTGTGAGAGACTGTGTGAGCTCACAGTTCTTAGTGTGTTATCCATAGACTGTATATACCATGGATAGCTTGGTTCTGCAGTCCACCAGTACACGAATTTGAAGCCGAAAAGATCTTGGTAATTCTGCATTTTTTCTCCACTTCTTGAAACCAACATTGTGCAGTAACGTTGTACGCACTCCACCAGTTGTGCAGTAGCAATAAGTAGAACTCTTTTCAAAATGGAGCTGTACAGAAAAAAGAGGACAAACCAGTCTTACATTAACTACATGTCAACATCGCAACCAGGGGAGAAATTAGAGAGAAAAAATTATATTCTATATGATAAATTTCTAAAGTTTGTCCACAGCTCCATAAGGATGGCTGGAGGAGGCGGTATATTTGACCCATACTGCAGCCTGTCACCAGAGGGTGCTGTTCTCGCGGTGGCTTCACCCAGCAAGGAGGCCAACACTGTCCATTCTATATACAGTCTATGGTGTTATCAAATCACACCAATATTGGAGGGGCACTTGAAATCCACTCAGCACTTCAGCTCTGTGGAGAAAGTAATAGAATGATTTTTTCAGCCCTGGCATGTTGAAAAGCAGTCATTCATGAATACATTCATGAAGTTAATCCTATTATAAAACTATTGCACGAAGTGAAATGTCTGCTAATGACTGTCATTAGGAATTAAAAGGTTTTCATGAGGAAAATTAAATGCTCGGGGCAAATAAAGGTCTCTCAGTGATGGAACAATTAAAGAGTAATTAAGCTCTCACAGCTGAACTCTGTCTTTCCACAAACAAGAGCGTTTGACTGATCCACCTCATTGTGTAATATGTGAGTAATTTTGAGAAAAACTTTAACTAAATGTAATCCATGAGATCATATCACGAGAGCTGAGATCAATTCAAATAAAATAAACATGTTCTCAGAGCTGCAGAGGTCCAAGAGCTTCAAACCGGGTTGAGTTTCCCAGTTAGAACCCGTGGAACCCGACGTTACGTAAACACACAAGCTCAGGGTGCAACATTGGCCAAAGACTTCATTCTTTATCCTCTGCTCAGGCTCCATCAGCAAAGTGGTCGCAGGTCTGCAGCCAAAGATTTACATCCTGTGGTCTGAAGTGAGGACAGCCCAATCTGCAGAAACTCTCAGAACTTTAAACAAAACCAAAACCAACACAGTTCTTCCAACCCGGTCCTCCGCCAACCCCCCCTCCATGACCTAACGCAGCACTTAGAGCCAATTACACGCTCTCATCTGGCAGAGCAAATAGTCCCCGCTGATGAAATCCATGTGTGATGTAACTGAAGCTGGATTCAGACACTCAGGGAGCTCTGCTGGTTCCAACGCCGTGCCATGACTCTTAACCTCTAGCTCTGACATCATACCAGCCTTCCACAGAGACGCTCAGAAACACCGCCGGTTTGTTACAAGAGTCCACAACTGAATCCAAGATGAGGGGGAAACTGCGTCTCTTCAGGCATTTAAAATAGAGCGAGCATTTGGGCACGTCCAAATTCATTAGCTGCAGAAACAGCAGCGGGGAAATTTTCGTGACTGGTTTGATGTCTTTCTTTTTGTAGCAAGGCTTTGGAAACATCGATGGAGAGTACTGGTTAGGACTGGAGAACATCTACTGGCTGACCACTCAGGGGACATACAAGCTGCTGGTGACACTGGAGGACTGGAGCGGACGGAAGACCTTCGCAGAGTACAACAGCTTCAGGGTAGAGCCCGAGTCTGACTTCTACAGGCTGCGAGTCGGACGATACCACGGCAACGCTGGAGACTCTCTGACCTGGCACAACGGCAAGCAGTTCACCACACTGGACAGAGACCATGACGTCTACGCAGGTGAGTTCATCACAGTGTCAGAGAAGGTCACTGTGGAGTTTGAAACTGTGGATATCTTTGTCTCAAAATCAGCAGTGTAGCGCAACCATCAGATAGACAATAAAAGAATCACAACACACTAATTTGAAGACAAAAGCAATACATATTGGAGCATGACAAAGAGCTGTTTGAAAGTCGGTTCATCTTGCATGGGGGGAGGAAATATCTGTGGCCAGGCAGAGGCAACAAATCGAGCTGTGGGTGCTTTGGGTCGTTTAAGATCAACTGTGCCTTTTTGTTGATGTGTCACTTAAATCATTAAAAGTGGTGCCTGCAAATTTGAAGCACATGTTGACAGTATACAGTTATACTTTAAAACAAACAAAGGACAGATTCAATAAAAGAAGTATAAAACATTTTCATAAACACTTTGTCAACATTGAAGTTGCACAACTTTCAATAAAACTACATTCTTTGATGGGTTTTGTAACATAAGAGTCAGAGGACAATATTTCATCCACAATAATTAATGTCAGACATTTATACTGGTGTAGTCTCTACTGTCTGCCCGTCTGTCAATAAACACTGGAGCAACAGCAGCTGTCATGTTTATGTTTGAAAAGATGACTTGTACCAGCGAGTTTTGAAGCTCTGTGCCTTTTGAACAAACAAAAACACCAGCTAATCAAAGCTAACCCTGACTTATGTTTCTGAAACTTGAAAGGTGCAGAGAGCATGTTCTGATTGGTTTTCCTGTGTCTGCAGGTAACTGTGCTCACTACCAGAAAGGAGGATGGTGGTATAACGCCTGTGCTCACTCCAATCTGAATGGCGTGTGGTACCGAGGAGGACATTATAAGAGCCGGTACCAGGACGGGGTCTACTGGGCTGAATACAGAGGAGGGTCTTACTCTCTGAAGAAAGTGACCATGATGATCCGTCCCAATGGGAACGCCTTCCAGTAACACTGAGATCCTCCAGGACTAAATAACTGACTAACAGGGGGACTAAAAGGATCATTCATAACCTAAAAAAAACAGGGAGTCATTATTTCATCCTCAGTTGGAGCTCGGGTTCTCTCTCTTTGACACTTCACTGTAGATTCATCACACGGTTTTAAATACAAAGACTCAGGCAGTGATGTGATATGATCCATTTGTAATTATTGTATTTTCTACAGGTTTACTTCTGATGTTTTAGACTCATTACGCAACCCTACATGCATCAAAAGAACTTGTCTGTAATTTTGTATTTTGTGCAAATTAAAAAACAATTACTTCTTGACTAATAGCTGGTTTTCAGGTCTACTGGAAAAAGGAAAGGAGAATAAAAGAGATATAATGGAGATATAATTGGTGGTTTCTCGTTGGAAATCATCAAACAGCACACGTGAGCAGGGCCCAGCTCAGTTACTTTCTCCTCTCACTGAATGTTTCCTGGTTTTATTGAAATGTTCCAATCTTTGTGTCATTGCACAGAAAAAGTGTCTACCAGGTGCTCTGTGTGTATATAAATGCTGTTTTAGTAAGATTATTTTTTATAGTCTTTATGTTACAAATATTGCAATAAACCATGTACAGCCCTGCTTGTGTTTCCACTCATCAATCATACCTTATTTAACTCCGGTCTGTCATAATACTCCTGTGAGAGGTCTATCTGGTTCTCAAACAGACTGAAATATTCTAACATGAATGGTTTCATCATGCTTAAAAGAAAGACTTTCATGTTTCCAAAGATTACTTCAAAACTGCAGAACCACAGAGTAACTTCTGGGGTTCCACAGGGGTCAATCCTGGGCCCACTCCTCATTTATTGACGGATGCTCCTTCTCAGTGTGACCAGGAATAAATATGTCACCATTCATTTACTGATGATGATACCGAAGTTGCACATGCTCCTCTTGAGTAGTAAGCGACCTCCGGTTCTCTGAAAGGCACATTATAAGGTCAATCTGTCATTATTATTATAAAGAAGTGATCTCAGCCCTGTCATCAAGCAGTTACACTGAGTGAATGACATCAACTGCTGGGTTTCCATCAACATCTTTCAAACTAAGCTACTGAGTGTGTCAACTTGAACCACCACAGCTTTCTCCTCATATTTCCAGCAGCTTTAATAGAATTAGTTTCAAATTCAAAACTGCCCCTCGAGATGTCACACTTAACTGACTTCTTGTTTGCCACAACACCTCTGACTTTGGTTTTTAAAAAGAATCAAGACAACCTCCACATCTACAGTAGAAAGAGAAACTTGTGTAGTTGTGTAACTCCTGGCTGTTTAACACAAGAATAAAAAGCAAACTCACTATTTCACTGACCGCATAATTCACCACAATATGTCAATCATAGGCCAAGTATGACAGCTACGCATTTAAAGCCAAACCACGAGTGATTCCGTTTTCAGAGAATTATGTTTTATTATATTATTTATGTGCTCTATGATGTCATTAAATAAGCTGAAAAAATAACATGGATATTATGGGGACAGCTGGTAAAAGAACTTGTCTGTGCCATGACTCATAAAAAAACACTCAATGTTAATATCCAAGTTTATCACTGTGACAATCCAGACCCTGAAGAGCCAGGAATTTATATTTATGATGTCCCAAATGATCACTTGTAGACTATGAATAATGCAGTTAAGTGTGTCATGTTTAGACAGCAGGTTTTATTTTTTTATTCTGATAATCATGCAGAGGCTGATATATCTATCTATGTTTCATTTTAGGCCAAGACAAATTCCCCCAAAGTTAGAATATATTTCAAGAAGAATCCTGATCCCATAAGAGTTAGAAGGCTATAAAATATTAACATCATTATTATCAATCATTTAAAACCTATAATTAATCAAAACTAAGCAAAGAAAATGTCACAGCTGATACATGGTTTTGTTTTATATTTGCTCATTTTAGATTTCATGCAGCAACATGTTTCTCAAAAGGAACAACCAAACAGGTAAAAAGTTGTGTAATGTTCGGGGACAAAACAGCTGGAGGAACATCTCCACTAATGAATTAAATTTCCAACAGGTTAGTACCAAGACTGGGTATAAAAAGGACATTCAGAGAGGCTGAGTCTCTAGGAGAGAAAGATGGGAAGAGGTTCTTCACTCTGTGAGAGACCGTGTGAGCCAACAGTTTTAGAAAAATGTGAAGGAATGAGTGGATTTCATCATCTACTGAACATAACATCATTAAAAGTTTCAGAGAATCTGGAGAAATCTCTGTACAAAAGAAACAAGAACCAAAACCAAGACCGGATGGTCCTGATCTTCAGGACCTCAGGCAGCACTGCATTAAAAACAGACGGGACTCTGTGATAGAAATCACTAGATGGGCTCCAGATCACTTCCAAAAACCCTTGTCCGCAAATGAGATACAAACTGAACAATGCAATGAGGAGACCAGATAGAAACGTGATCCAGAAGCAGAGACTGATGGGAAGAGAAAACTGTGCTATGGTCTGATGTATCAAAAGTCTATAATTCTTTTTGGAGATAATGGACACTGTGTCCTCCACAACATATGCTGCCATCGAGACAAAGACTTTTTCAAGGAAGACCTTCATATTTCAGCAAAACAATGACAAACCACATTCTGCAGGGATTACAACAGCATGGCTCTGTAGTAGAAGAGTCCTGCTGCCAAACTGGCCTGCCTACAGTCCTGACTGTCATCCATTGAAAACATTTGGAGCATTATGATACAAAAAGGGTAAAGGAGACCTGTACTGTTGAGCAAGAATGGGACAACATTTCACTTCCCAAACTAAGTTGTCATCATATATCATCAGTGTGTGCCGTGGTATGATTACTAGTGCTGTGTGGTACTGCCTTAAATCCTTCATGAAAAACATATGGTGGACTCACCGAGGTAGGGGATACAGGGCACCATCTTCAGGGAGCGGATGTACTCTCTCATGCGAGTGTAGTTCTCTTCTTTGGATGTTAGATAGTTTAACTTCTCAAACGTGGCTTTGTCCTTCCGACTGATCAGCTGCAAAAACAGAGAAGAAGACATGACACGTGTGATTTCCCTTGAGTGGAAACAGAGATATTACATAAGCAAATGTCACCTGAGCATAATCAAGGTGTGTCTATGATCCAGAAAACATTATTAATGATGGAGTATAGTAAACAATAATTCATCAATCAACATGTCTTAGAGTTAGTTTTCCCTCTCTACAGTTTCAAGCTCATCAGCCTCTGTTAACGCTCTCTGAGGAAGAGGAGCTTTGCACTTTATCACCCCAAGTGAGTCAGACATGTTTGGAAGAGGCTGGTTTACTTTCTCGCCAAAAAAGAAGCCAGTCCTCCTGATCAGCAGCAGAGAAAGTGGTCAGGAAGATATTTAAATGGTGTTGGTTTCCATAAACTGTGCAAACTACAAAAACAGAGAAGGTGCAGGTGTTCCAATCAGACCTGCTCCCAGAAACAGAGAGAAATAAAAACTGTTTCATGGTTTGGCCCGACACAGCTGCTTCCAGTGTCAGTCAACAACCAAAGCTGAAAAAAACCCACAGCTCAAGAAAGGAGACTACACAGAAAGAAGGGTGATGGTAAAATGTTGGGTTATATTTCTGACATCAACATATGAGAGTATCCTTTCTCAAAATCCCTGCATTTGAATGAAATAACCAGGCTTATGTTTGGTGCATGCTTTTAACAAAGACTGCTTCCTTAGATTGGATTGGTCCACAATGGTTTGTTTTTGTACATCAGAGGCCAAGTTGGTACCAGGAACGTATCAAAACAACTCAAAGCCAGAAATCCTGCTCATCCTATTTTCATATAGATTTGGTGACATGTACTTAAATAGAGATCAATTACACATTTCTGTTCTATTACATCTGTATTTTGGAGGGACATCAAAAAGACTTACACATACAGAACTGACCAATAAATCCCAGTATCTCCAAAAAAATCATCACTTAATTTGGATTTTTATAACAAACCTCCAAGTTACATGACTTGTGTTATGATTTTAAGGGGTAAGTGAAAACACGTACTTTAATGGTAAGTTTACTTTATATATAAGTAATGTGAAGTTAAGGTATTGAAGCTGCTGAGTCACAATTTTGTTTTCTATATTTACTATAATATGTTTTAGAAATTAGTGACATGCTTAAAATATGCTGAAAGTCTCAACACGTTCAGTAAAAAAAACTACAGAAAAAAGCTCATCAAGCTCCTCAAAGCTCTGCCGTCGACACACATTTTAAACAATCAAAGCAAAAATCACACGCTGTTCGTTTTAATATTGAAACTCACATGCCATTATCTGGATTCAAGGACAGGATCCAGTCAAACATGCTTTTCAGCCCACGAAGCTAGCATACTAACCCGAACAGTATCAACAAGCAGAGGTGAAATCTGTCAGAACCACTCTCTCCTAATAGGTTTGGTGTTTGGCTCTGCTGCACTGAGTTCAGAGCTGTTGTCAAGGGTTCAAACCAGAGTTTAATATTCAGCACAGCCGGGTTTGCAATAAAAAAAAACAGGTAACAATTTAAATTGACAGCTTGTTAATCTGTAAGTTTCAGTCAAACGTATCAACTGTTGAAGTCCTTTTCCAAATTCACATCCAGTGATCTTTAATCTGTAATTTAATGATTTCTCTTTGTTTCATATTATGGTTAAAAGAATATTTGGAGTTTTGAAAGGTTAATAAAACAAACACTCAATGTAGGGATGTCATCTTCACACGGATAAACAGTGATAGTTATTAATCACAGTCTCCTGATACTCTGTTAGGACCAAATAATCATTTAATGAAGCAGGAAATACTGCTCTTTTACTAAAAGGAAAATCATTCCCGGTTGCAGCTCCTGTGGGACTCTGATCATCAGCTTCAGATAATCATTTTAATCATTGTGGATCAGGACCTTTAGTGAAAAATGAGGTGTAAAAGTCAGCAGGCTCCACGTAGTTTGTTTTGGTTGGAAACTGAAAATGATTCTGAAATATAATCAGCGTGTCTTTAAATACTTTCCAGCTCTTTAGTGATACAGTAAATTTCCATCTGTTCTGCTTAATCAATTTAAATCAGCAGAATCCTTGCTGATAAACACACTGAGCGGTTCTCCATGTGTCCTGGCTCTGATGGGTCCATGTCCATCCAGGACTGTAAAACCAGGGTTCATGTTGAAAACGAAAAAACAGGAGCTTATAGTTTGTGCTTGAACAGTTTGTAAAGATCCCACAGCTCTCTAACAAAGAGTCTGTGACATGGAAACAACCGTTAATGTTCGTGTCGCTTCACCTCATCACTTACACCACCTGCTCTTTCCATTTTCTCTGACTGATGGTCACCTGAACCGCCCACTGAGATCTGGATTTGTTACAGCAAATCTCTCAATAACCACTCTTACATAACGATGTATACAACCTGCTTTAGTGCCTGGAAACTTTCAAACACAAACACTGATTTAAAATAATTTCACACATAAGGCCATGCTGGCAGGGTGTCTGTGATTAAAGGTCTAATACTGATCAGGCTTTGAGGTTCAGATTCTTTAAATCAGGTGGTCTCAGCACTTTCATTATTCCCATTCACCCAGGAGAGAGTCTGAAGTCTTACCGCCCAGGTTTTACTCAGTCTGAAGATGGGAGCGCTCTGCAGAGCAGAAACCACCGACACCAGGGAGTGCAGGTTATTCAACTCCAACAGTTTCTGCAAACAAACAAACACATGAAACACAATCAGTTGACAAATAACATCCTTTTTATCACCTCTGACTTTAAAGAAATCAAAGACACAGCATCAAAAAGTAGAAAGAACCTGCTTGAGCGTCTGTAGCTCAGAGGACATCAGCACCCAAGATTCACGACCTCTTCAAGTCCTGACACATTTTTTGATTGGATGTCTTTTAAGACGTAAGACATTCCTTTTCGACAAAGGAAACAGATATGGGACTTTTTTATGTGAATGGATCCCTCAGGGTGCCGGAGAGCGCCCCATGTACAGAGGCTAAAGTCTTCGTTACAGAAGTCGCTGGTTAGACTTTCAACTAGGACTCGAACGTACCGAGTGCTAATGGGGGTATTTCCAGAGCACCTCACCCCATTCGATTTTTGGTTGAAAATTTCAGGGTTTTGGTCGACCAAGACTCTTTTGGATTGATTACAGCCCTACTCCCAACCACGACCCTTTACTACATCTCCCTCTGCTAGACTCCCCACATTTCCTGTCTCTCTCTGCAGCAGTCCTGTCTGAGAAAATGTTCACTCCAGGTGTTCTTGACATTAAACTGACAGACGCTAAGATAGGACAGAAAACCTCTGATGATATCATTCAAGTAAAAGAGGCACAAAAAAATGCATTGCACGGAGATTAAACCTTCTACCCGACCTCAGTATTTAACGTTAAATGTTTTTGGACCAGAGTACGCTCACATTTTCACTCCTTTACTGCATATACTTGTCATCATCCCCTCATCAGATCCTTTAGGATCATCCTCTGATTTCCTGCCTCTCTGTGTGAGTCCAGACCTTCTGTGAGTGTTGACTTTAAACCGCTCATAAATCTGAGTCCATTATAGCAGAGACCCTCTATGTGCTGACAGATTCTGGCTCTCTTACAGCTGCAGTCTGTGTTAAACATGTTCCAGGACTTTCAAGAGGAATTCTATAGATCTAAGTTTTTGAGGCACGTTAAGTCAGGTCTCCAGGTTTCCTCTCCTTCCCACAGTCTGATCCACCGCAGGAGGAGAACCACCACCACCACCACCACCACCATCATCATCATCATCAGTGTTCTTTCTTTCCCTGCTGCGTAACACAGTAGAATACAGCAGCTCAGAGCTCCTTCATGCTGCACTTTATTAGCTCCTGTGTTCAGTTAGTTTTACAAGCGGTTGGCGGAGACACAATCAAACAAACACAGAAACACTTTAACTGTCAAACAGCAGCTGGATCTACTGCTGCTGCTGCTCCACAAAGTAATGCTCCACACACTGCAGTACACACATGCACAATGCACAGGAAGATACACTCCTGCGCTAACACTGTATGACCACACTCTTTAAATAAAGGCAGTGCATACACAGAGATCCACCGCTGCACACACACATCTTTACACACACTAAATGAACACAATTTCCTGTAGTCTGATAATCATTTCTGATTACAACTGCTCTTAACTTTAAGGATCATTGTTGTAAAAGAGAAATAAACACACTTGGCTGCATCTACTGCAGGTTTCCTCTCTGACCACACACAGCTGCACAAGCAAAGTGCACTTTTACACCTCAGAGTTTCCAAAACTTCACTCAACAGAGTTTTGATGTGCTGATGAAAAAACAGAGGTAATCATCATCCGGTTTTGATCCTCTGAGAACATGTTTCAGCAGGAAGAAGTCTGACAATGTTTCAGGACCTCATTAGCACTTTGTCACTCAGTCAATGGGATCCAGAGAGGATTTAAACACTGACAGATGGATGTGTCTAATAACAGATCAAGAAGTCATGGATGATAAATGAACCGCATCCTGAACTGTTCAAAGTATGTTCAGATAATCAGCTTTTGTTAAATAGATACACATTGACATTCCTCACAGTGCTAATAAAGACATATTTCCACTCCAGCACCTTGAACTCACCTTCGCTATTTTGACAAAGTGGCCGAGGATCTCTGCTCGGATTTTCAGCGTCTGAGCCGTTAAGATTTCTCTCACCAGCCAGAAGCTTACCTGGAACAACACAACAATAAAACACACTTTTTAAACACACACACACACACACACACACATAAGTAGATCTGACAGAGTGTGTCACGATAAACTTTCTTCCCCCTGCTGTCACACTCTGCAACCTAGGAGCCAGTTAGGAGCAGGTATTGATCACAGTATCTACTAATAATCAGAAAGAAAAACAATAACAGAGGCCTACAGGAGCTGGATAAATATCTTTATACTCTTCGGAAGTCTGGAAAACAGTGAACAGTTTCTCTGTCCTCGTTTAAAGGAACTAAAGTCACACAGATGTGAAGAGCTCATATCCTTGATCATTACTGGGGAAGTAAATCTGGTTAAAGACGAAACATTCGCATGAGAAACAGTAACAGATGTACCTGGTTGAACCTGCGTGTGAAGGCGACCACATTTGGAGCCAAACTGTGTTTCTCTTTCCCGTTCCATCCACAGCTGGCCAGTTCCTAAAAATTCACAAAAAAACACAGAAACCAGCAGAGTTCGAGAAGCACTGGAAAATAAGCGGCACAGACAGAGGTTTCTTATTGAAAAGCATCGTTTATATATGTCTGAATCTGGACACAGACCACAAAATAAGGATAAAGGGGGACTTGATGCTCTGTGTAACTAGATGGAAATATTTTGTTCCCAAGTCAGTGAGAAGTAAAAAAATATCACCATGATGGATGGGCCAAAATCAACTACAGTACATCCCTGATTTGCAGGAATCAGAGGCTGAAGTCTGTGCAGTTTGAAGAGTAACTGCTGACATTTGGAAGTATTAAAGCCTCCGAGTGAGTCATCCACCTGGTGCCTGTGAGGCTGCAGCAGGAGTTAGTCTCTACAGTCTCTGATTGTCCTTTCTGAGCTCAATCTGATGAAAGCAAACCCTGCAGGGGCTGAACATTAGCTATCAAAGAGCGGCGAGGACTCAGAGGACGCTTCATACGCCAAGGCTGGCCTGAGTTCAGTAGAGTGACTGCAGCTGTGACGGACAACACGGCGGCTTTACAAACATTGAGAGCACAAACAGGACCAGATTATTCTGCATGGAGGGGGTGAGGTCTCTGAGGAGTTCCCTGCAAATACTGACAACTTACTCACGACCTGCTGCCGGTCTACAAATCAGCTGGACGGCCATTGTCAGCAGTAAAAGATTACTGAGTTATGAACAGGTCTGATGCACCATAGTCAGACTTCAAAATATGATTTAGGTGGCATGTGCATCTTAACCCACGTCTGCAGAAATCTCAGAGAAATTTAAATCTCACTCAGACTTGGATGGGATCTCCAAAAAAAACTGCATTCAGCATAATTTCATCTGGATACAATCTGGATGTGTAGAAAATGAAGACAAAGCCTAAACATCAGCACTCTGACTAACTGGTGTCCAAGTGTTTCCTTCAGGTTAACTAATGTGAAATGGGATCAGCTCTCAGGATGATCAGGATGGAAGGAAGAAAGGAAGCTCATTTTTAAGATGCTGTTTACTTCAACTCTCCCTCCAAACACAGAACTTAAAGATAATAACTGACAGATTGTTTAAAAGCGCCCATCAGATAGTTGTGAAGAGGTTTAACCGCATGCGTAAATTATGATCCTGTTTGATCTAAGAGATAAAGCAGATGTTTTTAGTGTCTTCAGCAGACTGCTACTATGCGTGTGTGTGTGTCTGTGTGTCTGTGTGTGTGTGTGTGTGTGTGTGTGTGTGTGTGTCTCACCTCTGGCTGTATGGCTTTAAACACCGGAGCATCCATCAGAGTGATCTGGCTCTGAAAGAATAGGAAAAGATTCAACATCATGATTATTTCTCAGTTAGCATGTAGGAGCAGACAGACCAGCCGTAACTCACAGGATGAATTGAATTCACATTCTGCCCAAACATGTTTCACACACACTCGCAGAAGTTATACACACACTTGCACAAATAGGATCATATGGAGGTGCACTGTCAGGGGGAAGGCCCTGCACAGATATGAGCATCCTGGATGTTTTGTGAAGTGATCTTTGTCCAGTAACCAGCCCAGTTCAGTCACAGCAACCCTCCAGTTTGGTGGAGTCATGTCAACACAGTCCAAGAGTCAAAAATTCACACCTGTGTCATTAATGGACTTTTGGGGGTTTGCTTGCAACATGTGATGGACTGATTTCTCTCTTGCACACCTGTCTCATGAAATAGAGGTGCAAAGTCTGATCAGTAAAATATTCACTCAGGACGGATCTCTGACCTCTCAGATCTCTTTTAGTCTGTCAGAGCCTGAGAGTTTCTCTCTCATTTTCTTTTTCGCCTTAATACTCTGCTCGGCCTTATAAATTTTTTGTTTCTATGTCGAGCTCAGATCTTAGAATCGTACTCACAGCAAACTCCTCAGGCGTCACCTTCAGCACGTCGAAGATGACGGCATCGTAGCTCTTGGCGTAATCGACACATGGTCCATCCAGAGAGTCTGAGCTGCTGCTCGCCTGAAAGAACAGACAAGATAAAATTAGGTTAACGGATTCATGAATGTAACATTTAAGCAGCTGAGAGGTATGTTTTTTTAAACCAGTTATGCATATTTTATTGAGTCAGGTCCATTTCAGATCCCTCATGCTCCTTACACTCTTCATTCCTCAGTTCTGTATGGGTCAAAACTTGCCCTTCTTTGCAGCCAGAGACAGAAACCAAGCTGCACTCACTTCAACGCACACTCACTCAGACGTGCAAAAACTGATACACCTGCCCAGTGCAAAGAAAAAAAAAAGAAGCCCCTGATCATTGTGCACAGAGGTTGTGTCTGGGACAGTAAAGGGGGATGCATAAAGGCACAGCCTCTTCACACCCTGCGTTTACAGTCTGCTGAATTTTTCCATCCAGCTCTCTGTGAACAACTCGTCCTCACTAAGTAGTTTGGTGCTGAGATGATTATGATGATGAGGATGATGACAATGACACTGGTGATGATGATACCTCGGTAGTTGCAGGTGCGATGAGAGAAAACACTTTAGTCATTTCCTTCGAGCTCTGTATTTCCACACTTGGTCTGAGTGGACTAAAAGCAGATTGTGTCTCTTCCTCATGTTGTTTTTTTCGATCTGGCTCTTCGCATCTGTTGTGCAACACTTTTATTGGACAAAAGCATCTGATGAAAGTGTCTCGCTGTCCAGATCTGTACCTGCTTCATCATCTGATTTTGACTGTCTGTGTTTGTCTGTTTGAAGATGTCATCCTCGCAAAGGCTCTGGTAAACGCATTACGCTTCCTCTAGTTTTATGAACCTCCAAACTTGAAGTCCAAACTCTGCAGATGTTGACAGGTGAGAATAACAAGCCACAAACAGACTCAAGTCCATGACTTTGGGCCAGTAAACATGGAAATAAACACACTAGATCTCAACCCATCAGAGAAAACTGTTTTTTTTTTATGTTTGCCGCTGAAATAAATTGTCGGACACGTTTGTTAGTTTGGCGGCAAAACATGACGCGTTTCAGAGGAAAATTAAACCCTGATCAAAAGAAACTCTGCGTGGCTCCTTCAGTAAGAAAACTGTTTAAATGACGGTCCACCACAGCAGAAGCCCTTCCAAAGAAAAACCACTTACACAATCTGACTGTGAGCTTACTGTAATGGTGATGAATGAAAACAGATGTGATGTTGTGGGCATGTTACCCTCCCTGGACGACGACGATGATGATGATGATGATGATGATGATAATCTGGCATGAAAAGCAGCTGTGTTTCCTGTTTATTCAGACTGATTTCATCTGCTCTGAATGTTAACTTCTCCTCCTCGTCCCCGGGTTAGAGAGGATCAGCTCGGTATTTTAATCAACCAAACCGCGTGGAAAAGACTCCAAACAAAAGAAAGCAGGAGGAAAGAACAGCGTGTTTACATGGAGACACGTGCTCGAGTCATTTTTAGAAACTTTACGTAGAGTCGATGTGAAAGGAAACCGCAGAGGGAAACAAACGCTGATCCTCTAACTTTGACATTTCTAATTCATTTAAACAATAAAGAGCCAATCACTAAATCTGAAGAGTCTGATATCAAACCTGTAACAGATGTAACTAAATCAAGAGAATTAAATAAAAACTGACAAAATGTGTATTACACCACAATCCAACTCATTTCACTCTGTGGGAACATTTTAAGTCTTGTCTCAGAGCAGGTTTGTGATTGGCTATCAGCTAAACGAAGAATCAATCCTGTTTGTGACTGTTTTTCTTTTTCTTAATGGAATTATTTTAACAAGAAAAATGCATGATACATTAACTTTGAATGACCAATGTTTGATGTTTCACCTCGGTCTACCTCTCTATTTGCATCTCCCTCCATCCCCTTTTTAAACCCAATGCAGTATCAACAGATGACTGTCTAACATGAGTCTGGTTCTGCTCGAGGTTTCTGCCTGTTGAAGGAAATCTCTCCTCTCCACTGTGACTCTCTAAATGCTGCAAAGTGTTACAATAAAGTGGTTAAAAATAGGATGGGAGAGGGTCGGGTAAATACAGTACAGTCTTTTTTGTTGAGCGTCTCGGGATAACACTTGTTTTGAATTGGCGCTGAATAAATAAAGACTAATTGATTGATTTAAAATTTATGCATTCCTTTTTTGATAGTGTGTTATTTTGTCCCTTTCAGTGCCCTGTAGTTGTGTAGAGGATTTTCAGACTGATCAGCAGGTAACCACATCACAAAAACCTGCAGAGTGCTCTTTAGAAGAATCCCCACAGAACTTTGGATAAAATTAAACCAAAGAAGTTAAAGCGCTGTTGACTCACACCAGAAAGGTTACAGCTTTGAAGTGTTTAGTGTTTTTTGAGCTACACTGTTTGTAAATGAAGGTCTTAGGTATGAAGCTTTGGCTATCTTGAGCTTAGGATTGATCTTCGGTCTTTATGGCCAGATTTCAGGAATGACGCTGTCCAAAGAGCCAGTTCACCATAAACTCTGCCATCGGGGTCTGATACCACCTTTTCTTTCTTGATGTGATTTACTGTCATGATAGCTTGTTCTTTGTCTGCTGCTTGTTTTCTGTGTGTGACTGTTTTAAATGTTAGTTTTTAGATCGGTTTAAAGTCTGGGTTATGCGTTTTATCTCTTGCAGCCAGACAAGGAAGGAACAAGTGTTTCAAGTGCACATTCAGTTAGTGTGTGTGTGTTACCTCTGAGGTGATGGAGTTGATGCTGGTGCCATCTGAGAGTCCGTTCCTGCGATACATGCTCACAGAGGGACTGGAGGGTGGGGGCGACAGAGGCCTTCAAGGGGGTGGCACACATAACCTCTCATCCATGCCTGAAATACAGAAAACACATCATTATCCACTCATTCATGACTTTGGTATAACATGCTTTCATGCAGTCTGACTGTGGAGCTGCAGGACAGATTTTATTTTTATTATCATTACAACATAAACATGCTCAAAAAGAACAAAACCCTTCCATGTTTCAACCCAGTTACAGATGTGACCACTAGAGGGCAGTAAACACAAACACAACTCAAACACAGCAGGCTCACTGTCAATCCAACACTCTCACTCTGCACAGCTGATCACTCTGAGCTTTATTTACATTTAAAAAAAAATCTATGACTTTTAATAACCTATAAATATAAAACTCAATATCCCACGATGCATTGTGCAGAGGGAAATAAAGGGACAGAAAAAGGAAAAGCTAAAATCAAGTTTGTAAGTACACTTGTGGCAAAAGTGACTGTAAAGAGGTAAAGGTATTTTTTGCAAGAAATGAGAAAATATTCTGAACATTGTTTTCAGGGAGGGATGGGAACCTCTTGAGCTAAACAAATAAACAAGTAAATAAAGAAAGCAGAACATAAATTACTTGTGACTTCATTTCTTATGTGTATTTTTGGCCAACAATATTCACCCACAGTGTAGAAGGAAACAGAAAACAATCCTGACAGAAAGCTCAACTGTAGAAATAAACATAAACAGACTGATTTGTTTCTGGTGTAAAGCTGTAAATATGATTTCATGACTGTTTTATATGTTATACATCTTCACTTACAGCTAAGGCATCAATTACATTTTAATTCCCATGACAATTACAGCTCTCCACAATTAAAAAATTCAGATAATCAAGACTGAACGATATTAAGCCTCTTGCTATGTTGCCTCTGTGATGTCCTATACATTGAATGAATCTCACCCTCTCTCTCTCTTCCTAAACAGCAGAGCCCGGGGGCAGCCCCTCCCTCAAACAGCTCTCACTTTCACTTCATCATGAACAGCTCAGATCAGGGAGAAAGACAGTTTGGAAAGTCCTCTTTTACCTGTTCATGTTCTCTTTTTGGGGGCTTTCCAGCCTGTCCGGGGAAGTTTATAAAATCTTTCAAATGTCTGCTGTAATTTGTTATGTAGTAGAATTTTATGGTGCACGCAGCTCAAAGCCTCACAAACATGAACAGAGGATCATTAAGTGTTTTTCTTGTTGCATCGCTCTCAGATTACTCCTCTTCCTCCTCCTCTTCCTCCTCTGTGCTCACTCATCATAATCTAACTCCTCTCTGAACAAACACCTTCATTTCAGAAGAGGGTCCCTGAGAGGTTTGCAGAAAGGGGTCAGGGATAAATTATCTGTGAGGCAGCAGGGTAATCAAATTTTAAGGAGCCATCTTGCAGGCTGGGGGAGGAGAGAGGAGAGAGAGCTTCCAGTGATGGTCTCACAGCTAACTCATACTCCATACTATCTCCACACTGATGATGATTCTTTGTAGTCCGTGGAGTCACTAACTGATAATCTGATCTGGTTATCTGATTTCTCGGGCTCCTCCTTTTTTATTTCATCACTCAGCTGTGAATAACCTCCTGATTTCCTAAAAACATTTGATTGTGTGTCTGTTAAAACTAACTGTGAGAGTTTTTCAGTTTCACGTCCCTAAAAAAAGGATTGCCCTCTTTCCTTAAATCCCGCTTCAAAGTAATATTTAATCTTAAATCTAAGTTACAAACCCGTAAATAGGTATTAGACACAAAATTATGAAGACAATACACAGATTAACAAACACAGAGATGTGATGGAGAGTTCATTTTCTCTATATTTCTTGTTCCAGTTTACCTCACTCTATTTTATTCATATAACTTTGATTTTTGTGCTAAATTTTTTACTGTGTCTTGTTGTTGTTTCCACCATGTGAGCTCTGTGTCTCTACAGGAGGTTTTGTATTATTAAATATGTGCTGAGTTCAGGTGAGTTCAGTCATGTTTGCATATTAAAGACTCTGAAACTGGGTTACATTCAGACCTGGTTTGTTCTGCAGCACCCTAAATCTAAATCAAGGATAATTCACACATGAGTATAAAGCTGAACTCACACCAGACAATTTAGGGCCCAGTTCAACCACAATGATACAGAACAAAACAGCTTGTTTTTCTACTCTCTGTGGAGAGTGTCCATTTCCACAGCACTAGCCCCTTTGTTTTTCCACCCACCTGCCTTTTTGGGCAAAAGAGGAACTAGAAGAGGAAAATCTTATATACATTTATCTCAACCTCAGAATACAAACACAGGTAACTCGGGACTAGTAACAGATTATCAGTTCAAATAATCCTAAAGTCGGTGGAGTCATCACATCTATTTTACAGCCCCTGGATGAGTCAGAGCCTCACTAGGTGGATCGTAAATACTGATTTTTACAATCCAGGTGGGAGTGCCTCTAACTGAATACCTGCAGAAACCAGTGAGAGGAGTAGGCTGGGAAGCGCCATAAAACCAGACTGTTGTGACAACAATAATGGCAGAGGACTTAAAAACAGCTAAAAATTACAAGAGTGAGTATTGAGATAGATTTTATTGAGATAGATTTTACCTGCTGGAGTACCAACGGTTTTTAAATCATCTCCTTCTCCCTCACTGTGAGCGCTGTAGTCCACTATATTATACACTGTTCTAAATCAGAGGCATGATGGGAAAGCATAGTTAGACAGTCTATGTAGTTCCTTTTTTCTGATCCACTTTACTCTGAAGGATCTGTTGTTTCAGACGTCACAGGTCCACAATATGTGCACACTGTTGGTCTGATGCTTCTGTGATATTGATGATATAGTTACATCTCTATACCTTAGTGTACCCAGGAGCAAAGTTTACATAGTTTCAAATATGATCATGATTAACATTTGACATGTATTTTTTATATTGTACATTTGGTTAAAATAAAATGAAGCTTCAGCTTTGTTCAGAGTTTGCACGATTGAAATAAATGCTGTCCACATTTGAATCATGTAATTTTAAAGCCTTTAGAAATACAAAGATGCTAAATGGAGGAAAACACTGTACCTGACCTGCATATCAGAACTCACATGTGCATCAGAGCACTCCCCAGTGGTCTTAAATTTTTACTTGGTGCTGAGAACAAATCCCACAAAAGAAAACTTTTGTGAATGTCAGAGTCCAGGAGGCCTGGGTTTGATTCAGCCCCTTTCCTGCATGTCACTTCCCATTTTCTCTCTCCTCTGTTTCTAACTCTGACCACTGTCCTCTATCAACAAAAGGTCAAATAAAACCCTAAAACTTGTTTTAAAAGCAGTTCTTCCAGGAAACAGCTGATAAATGAGGCGCAGTAATTTCATTTCATTAAACTGAGGCCACATCACTCAGTTCTGTATTATAGAGCGTAGTATCACATCATATCAGGTTGTGTCATGTTTTGGTGTCAGAGAGTATCAGTATCATTTCCATCCTCAGAAACTGTCTCATCTCTGCAGAGCTGTCAGTTTGTAGCAACAGACAAAAATCAGTTTGATCATTGTCATAAAGCTGTCTGGGGGAAATCTTTCTCTGAGCCCTGAGATATCTCTATCAAACATTTATGCTATTTTCAGGCCAGACCAACTGATTGAAACAAAAAGCAGTAGATTACTTGAACAGAGTGAACAGTCAGATAAACACTCAGGGTTGTTCAGTTTGAAATAAATCTCTGCTTCTCACTCCCTGAGCTCTGCAGCCTCCTCGTGAAGGAGCTCCAGAGAGACTGAAGAGCTCTGAGGGGGCCGGGGGAGGATCACACACGATCACATTTAGAACAACTAAGGAGAGTCTGTTGCACAAAATCTCAGTATTTCTCTCCAAAAGACTGCCACACTCACACACTCAAAGGAAAACGCTGTCACAGCTGCAGCTTTAGAATACGGTCGGAAAATAAGAAGTTGTGAGAGAGACGCCTGTCAGTCCGTATGAAACCTGAGCCTTACTTACCCTCAGGTGTGCAGAAATTATACATTTCAAAATACAAAGAGAGTCAAAAATATTGGTCATCTAATCAGTATATCAGGCTTTAGGAGCAGCTTATTATCTATCACCTCTATAAATCACTGCACCATCCACAAATTAAAGATACTTTCCTTCTGCTCAACCCTACAGATTCAATCAAATATCAGAGAAATACAACACTTAATAATTTAGTGACCGGGCTGCATAATGAACACGAGTATCAGGGCTGTTTTTATGGGACATCTTCGGCAACGACAGCCTGTTAAAGCTAAGAGTGAAACTGCTGTCCTGCTCAAAGATGATGGAGCTCCTGCAGGGCTGCACACTCTCTGCAGCCAGGTTGTCAATGGCAACCTTTTTGAAAAACTGGCAACCAGCTCTTGGCTTTTTGTTGCCTTCAGATGAAACCACTTCAAACACAGGGACAGCAGAGAGCTAAATATGTTCTCCAAATAAATATGTTTTGAATTACGCCCATAAGGGGGTTACTGTGTGAGTTAGCAACAACAAAATGAACCTGATCTGAATGCAAACTGCAACTGTCCTGCTAAAGAAAATACAATAAAGAATTAAAATGTCTTTAATATGATTAGCAATATTTTCAGCAGTGACTGAATAATCCTACAAAGTGCTTTAGACTGTTTCATGAATGACAGCTGCAGTTTGCGTTTTTAGACACAGAAGGTAGAGGCACCAGTGCAGGGTTGCTACATTGACCAGTGGGTATTCAGAGACACCAGTATGTGATAAATAAGGGGCTTTAAGAGCTGTTAATCATGCTCAGCTACTCGTAGTTGTCCCAGACTGACAGACTGAAATGTAGATTTACAATCAGTTACAATCAGAGCACAGATTTGTCAGTGGCACAGGTAAAGTGTGTTTACTCCTATGTGCAAAGACAAACAACCAGGCAAATGAGGTGATTTAACTGAGGAGATATTCGACACCCTGAATGCTTCCTTCAGCTGGAATTTCAACTCAGAAACTCAGACCAACTTCAAGCATGAAATCCAGCATGGCTGACCCTGCATCAGCTGTAAGCAACTGTGCTTTTAATAGTGATTATAAGCAACTTTGCTTTGTTTTGCAATATTTAATTAATCTCACAAATAATATTGTGCAAAATCTATCTGTGAACAAGTCAAGATCATTCATACTCCCATACAGGAATCACACTGTGGAAGGGTTTTGGAGAACATGTACATAATTCAACACAGACTGATAGGTGTATACATACAGTTTGTTTAAACAACCAGCAGAGGATCCAAACTAAACTATCCTGTGTCTACATGTAAGAGGTGAACCCTTAACAGTGTTACTGATGAAATGAAAACATGTAAATCATGACAGGAGCTAAAAGAAATCTTTAAAGAGAACAGATTCAGCAGATACAGACGGACAGAGCAGAGGGCTGAACTGTAACACTGTGTGCTCTGTGAGCTATAGCTCACATATTTAACCATAGACGCTGCACCAAAGAGTTCATTATTACAATAAGAAAAGCTGCATCTCTGGTGCCTTCTGCAAAAATGTCCATCAATAGCGATCATACAGCTCTGTCCTGTGTATATTCTAATGTGTATCTCTGTGTAACCATCAGTCTGATCTGATCTGATCTGATCTGATCTGGAGTCAGCTCAAAGAGCTGAGAGAGGAGATCTGATCCTGACACATGGAGGAGGAACAGCAGATGGTGTTTCCTTTTATTTCCCCCCGAGCAGATCCTCTCTCTGTGTGTGTCTCTCTCTGGATAACATGCTGTCAGGGCTTTGTGTGACACAGGGAGAGGGTGAAAGAAAAAAACACTGTTTTATTCATTTTAAACTTAAGATTAAATCTTAATGTGCTTCAAACACAAACCCCTAACAGCTCTGTGAATCTGAGTCATGTTGTGATAGCTATCAGTGAAGCAGACAGACTTTTTCCTGCAGGTTTAAAGTCTCTGAGGTTCAGTTTATAACACACAGAGAGATAACCAGGAGGTCAGAGACTCGGCTACATCTCTGCATGACTCTCCTGCTTGTTTTTACCACGCTCACTCTCTCCACAAACATCTGCAGTTCCTCCAGCCGGCCCTCAGATCCTCAGCACGTCTCTTTAAAAATGTAAACTCCGCTGACTGCACCTGAGACCCTCAAATCAGAGCCCTCCTCCTTCCCCTTTAGACTGAAACATACCTGAAACCTGCTGACAGTGCATGCAAACAGTGAGAGGAGACCACAACACAGGCTGTCAGAGTGTGAAATACAGGTATTCCCCATAAGAGGCTGCATGCTGCGAGAAAAATATACAACACACAATAATATTCAATGTGTCCTGTCCTGTCTAATGAAGGCAAAAACTTTAACAACAGCTACAAACAAAAAACAAAGAAGAAAATTACAAAGAGGAGAAGAGAGAAGACGAAGAAAGGACCCAGCAGGCAAAGAATGAGGATGACAGAGCAGAAGAAAGAAGACAAGGATGAGAAGATAAGGTAAAAGGAGTCAAAGACAATGGTTGAATAAAGAAGAAAAGAGAAACAAAGAAAGAGGAATACTAAGAATGAAACAAAGGAGTTGAAGAAGGCAGGAATGCACAAGAGAAAAAAGAAAAAAAAGGATGACGAAGAGGACAAAAAAGAAGAAGTAGTGGTTTCACTGTGACTGGGATCGTTTCTAAATCGTTTCATTATGTTGTTGTTCAGACTGTTGTCGTATCTGAGATGATCCGAAAACAGTGTTTCATCAAATATAGATGTGATTTTATTCTCAGTTAAAAACCAACAGATTTTACTGCTTACAAACAGAAATCTTTGACAAGATGACTGATCACTCCATACCTTCCATAAATGTCTGGATACAGATAGATGACTTATACTGGAAAACTCAAACACAGTCATACTGAAGATGCTGACTGACCGGCTCCTGCTGCTTTTGTGTTTGTATGCATTAGGGTGAAAATAAAAATGTAAAGCTGTGAACTCTCTGCCCCACTCCTCCTGGCTCTTGGACTCCTCAGTGTTTATTGTGTCTACTGGTGCTGCTGCTGCAGGGACTCAGAGATTTATGAATGAAATTATTCTGATCCATGCAGCAAAGATCAGCTGATCAGTCACATGATCAGGCACGTGAGTTTAATGCTGAAAACACCAGGTCTGATTGAACCGAAGGTTTCCTCTAAGAAAGCGGAGACACTTTTTCTGACATGTATCTGTACCTACACACCTCATAACTTCACTCATTTCTGTAGTTTTCTTGTCTATGTATGTTATTAAGGAGAAATCTGAATATTTCACCATCTGTTGATTTTCCTGTTTTGATGAGACTTGATTTTACAGCTGTCAAAATAAGTTATAATATGTACATAAAATCACGTTTATAACAACTATCATTTCTGTGTTTTAGGATTTATTCTACACAGAGGTGGGGAGTAGAGATAGGCTGATTGATGGGGTTTTTTTTAACGAATCAGCATCATATCAGTCTGCACTCATCTACATCTTTACACAATGGGAACATATTCACCCATCACCAACGAACGCATTCAAAATCCAGCTAGAGATGAACAAATCTGAAGAAACAAAACCGGCTACAGTCTCATATTAACTCTGTTATGATGATGGTTTCAGGCAGCATTCAGGTTCAGGTTCCAACTCTAATTGTGGTCTTGAGCTGTGTTCAGGTTTAGACTCTAAGTTTTCAGGCTGTGTTCAGGTTCAGGCTCTTACCTCTCTCTCACATCGCTCTGTTCCTCTTTACCCGTCCTCTCTGCACAGAAAATAATAATTTTATGGTGGTTTTATGTACGTGTGTCTTGATGTTGTGTATTTACAGCCCTGGCAGTGATGCAGCTTAACGTATCCATGGTAACAGATGCTTCCTGTCTGCAGAAACAGAAAATAAAAGTCCCACAGCGTGAGATTATTTTTAACCTCGGTGTGTTTGAAGCAGAGACGTTCATGGTGATCAGACTGAGTTTATGTTTTAGTTTCGCTTTATCCTTAGGAATAACATTAAGATTAAAATATAAACACAACATTAAAAAGTAATGGACATGAGTCAGTAATAACACTGAGGACTACTGTGTCTTTAAAGACATCATCATCCAAACTGTCCTACAGTGTCTGTCAAAGCCTCTCTGCGTGGATGTAATAGATTTGGAAACACCCTCAGTGTTGCCTCAGAGCAGCGTCTGAAAGGACTGCAGTAAATAGAGTCATCTGGGAGAATAAAGCACGAGTCCCTCAAAATGAAAGTCATTACATTTGAAGTCAGTTAAATGATCATGAGATGATTTTAAATGAGCTCAGCCAGACAGTGAAACTTCACTGACAGCTTTATCAAAACCACAACAGCAACAATAATAATATATTGTTATTGTTATTATTATTATTAAATATTCTTACAAATTTGCTGTCCAAATTAAACAATGAGAGAATCTTTTAAATAAGGGTGGGCAGATAAAAATGTAATGTGGGGCACCATGACTGTAAATAGCCTGGAGGTTACAGAATCAGTGTTTCACAGTACAGAGTTCATTTAGACACACTGAGGTCTGAGGAGTTGGGCCATACATTTCAGAGCATAACTGATAATAGCGTACAACATTAAAGCTGTTTCAGAATTGACCCACTGTTTCCTGCAGTGTCTGCAGATATCATGAGTTTATCTTTTAGTCAGCTTCTTGACCACAGATGTTGGCTAATGCTAACTATTTTAAAATGCCATTAGTCAGATGGGTTATTATATGTCCTGATGGTCTACCTCTGTTCTGTTGAGAATGACAAGAGTGAAAGTTGTGTTGGAAAAATCCTCTGCATTTTAAAGGCGTGTCACTGACCTGCAGCGTTATCATTAGGGAGCACTTTATGTGTGAATCAGTAAATATCGAAGCAGTTGTTTTCATTTATTGATGCTCTTATGACGCAAAAGTCCCGATGATGGGCTGTAGGAAACATTAAGTACTAACTGTGCAGACGTCACGCTGCTGTGTCTGGTGTTTTCTGATGTTTCTGAAGCAGGAAACTGACCCCTCTCTCTGTAGTCAGATAAAGTTTTTGTTTGGTGCAGGATGAGTATTATCTATAAATCTCTGATAGTTTGTAATAATTGCAGAGGACAAATGTGTTTTTAATGCAAATCAAACATGTCTGGTATATTCGAGGCAAATCACCAACCACATTTAAAGACACATAGAGGCCCTCTGATAATAGTTATCGAGTCAGGTTGACTTCTCAGTAATTTGGGGTGAATTGTTTTGAGAGGGTGTGTACAGCTTTTTTATCTAACCTTTTGGGGTTAAAAATGATAAAAATATTGTAAATGAGGCTTTGACTCAGCGAAACAGGAGTAAAGTTGCCTCAACATGACAATATCAAACAATAGTCTAAACATAAATTCATTCTGCTGCATCTCTCTTAGTGCAGAGTGGCACACTGACCGTCAAGCAAGTGATCAATGTATTAGTTCTGCTTAATAATATTGTTTAAAAATTAATTTAATCTGTGTTCATTTCATTATTTCAAACTCTGAGGGAGACCCATTTGCACAGAAAGCAAACTGAAATCTGTCCAAAGATGTAGATGCTAAGGAGTATAGTTCAACAGATGATATGCGTTGGGTACAGAATGTTTTATGTTTTTCTAATGGATTAATAGTCTTTGTAAGCAATGATCCCTTCAATTTGCAAGGTGCAAATGAAATGAGCGGAAAAATTCAGGAGTTTGGCCTAATTTGAACTATTTATTTTCATTATAACTTAGAGTACAAATTTAATGTGACAAGAAGTTAATAACTCTATATGTTGTATCCTTTAGTCGTTAATGTAAACATTTTTTCATTAAACATTTTTTCTTAAGGCTGCTTGATTATGGCAAAACCCCAAAACACAAATTTAATACTTACATTAATATAAGGGTTACTAGAAATGATTACACATGACCTGACATTCAATCAGTCTTTCAAGCTTTTATGAAACATCTCTTTCTCATTCTGTCCCTGTTTTTCAAATACACACTGATACAAACACCTGCCTCCTCCTCCTCCTGCTGCTCTTCTCCCTGCTATCCTCTCTCCACCTGATAGTTTGTACCTGTTACCCCCTGTGTCGTTGATTCAGCAGCCCTCCATTAATCTTAGCGGAGCAGTAACTTCCTGATGCTCCTAAACTTTGTTCCTCATTGATCTGAGCTGCTGATGAAGTGAAAGTGAAGGCTGTTTGAGGTAAGAGGTCACACCTTCCTCCTGCTATTAAGCGACAGAGAAGGTGCACTCCACAGGACCTAAGAGGAGTGGCTCAATTATCATATTTTGATGACGGTATGGGGTTGAAATTACAATCACAAATACAATCTGATTAATTGCCAAGCGCTTACGCTTCATACAAGAAAAGTGGGTCATCTATGACTAAGAAAGGAACATGTGAATAGTGTAATGTCACTCAGACTTGATTTAGATGTCACTGTTTCATTCTGTTAGTGTGGACTGCAACACAGTGGTGGTGGTGTTTCTCTCTGTGTGTGTGTGTGTGTGTGTGTGTGTGTGTGTGTGTGTGTGTGTGGGGGGGGGGGGGGTGTTCAGGGCCCTATAAAAGCTGACTCCAGCCCTGCAGCTAACACAACATGTTTTGATAGCAGAGATTCTCTCACACACACAATCACACCTTCATCACACGGTAAAACATATCACTGTGTGTGTGAGCGTGTCACGATGATGATATGACAGCGAGTGTACAGCCTGTATGACCCCCCCCAACAACAACAACACACAGAGACACAAACACACACAATCACTCGCGCGCACACGCACACTCACACACTGAGCCGGGCCTGCTGCCGCTGTGTGACCGAGCCCCGCAGCCCCTCTCCCCGCTGCTTTCCTACCTTTCCCCGGGCGTACGGTCCCTCTCTCTCCCCGCTCTCCTCTCCGCCTCCTCCTCCTCCTTTCGGTGAGCTGATGAAGAAGATGATGATGATGAAGATGATGAAGAGCTCACATTACAGTGCCCAGCGGAGGCTGATTAAAACCGAGCGGGGATCTCAGCAGCAGCTCCGGGGGGTTACTCCTCCTTTGAGCCGAACATGAAGCCAAGGTCGAAGCGTGTGCACCGCAGGGTCCGCGAACCGTGCGGGATTCATGAGCCGGAGTCATCCACGCACGGCCGTGACGTGAAAAGCGAGCTCGTGTCGAATAAAGAAGTGAAAATGAATAAAAGGAGACAGCAGGAAGTGACAGGTAGACGCTCTGAGCCTGACAGCCAGGTATCCCGACTAATCAGCCGCTCCGCTCTGAGCGCAAAGCCCGCCCACACACACAGCCGACCAATCACAGAGCGGGTCTAAGCTAGCGTCCTTAAGACGCAGGTGCATCTGTGCTGCGTTTACTTGCTGCCTGTAGACTCGTTATTCAGACTGCCTTTGAAGGTGCTGCAGAGATTTGAATGTTTAAAGAGAGCTCTGTGTCAGCTGGTGGACTGATCATCCTGCAGGCATTTGGTGGGAAACATTAAAATCTTAAAGATCTTTATCAAAAAGCAGGCAAAAAACTCGATATATAGATAAAACAATAAATGTAAACATAAAAATAATGATACTGACTTAAATGTTTAGTAATCACAGACAAGTAGTGTTTAATTTTTGTCTCATTTTTTAGATGTATCTCCCTACAAATGTCATTATTCTCTGTTCTTCTATCACAGTTTTGCCTCTCTGCTTTATAGCCAGTGGGTACTGGAAGGTAAGGTATTACCTAAGTGTACCAAAGACAAATAGTTTTTCCCGGTTTTTATAAATTTCCATCTGCAATGATATGCAGTTTCAGCCAAAATGTTAGATTGAAAATAAATAGGTTTTTGGTTCTGTGTTAATGTTAAAAGCTCAAATTAAGTTCAGGGTGTTTCCCAAATGTCTGATAGTGAGTCTGTACCCCACCTATAAAATAAAAGTACACATTTGAGAATAATAATACAGTCAGTGGACACCACTTCAAAGGAACAAAACAAGTGCATAGGACAAAAATGATCACTTTTGTGTGACTACAGGGGCATCCCAAAAAATACAACAATGACTGAGGATCAGTAAATGTTTGATTTTAATCCCTGTGGTCTGAAAACCCGTGTGCCACCTGACCCTGGTCTCCTCTACAGTGTGTTACAGCTGAGTGTTTATTTATGACCATAAACAAATATAGAGTCAGCTGATCAGGATTTCGATTTTGTAAACAATAGTGCAAATATAAATGTGTGTCTTTCATATATTGAGATGTTTTCATTGTTAAATATGACAAACATATATTCACTCTAATTCTAAAGACATACATTTGATATAAACATGTCCAATAACTGGAAGGTTGGCGGTTTGATTTCCCCCTATCCCTAGTCTGTCCGTGGTGTCCTTGGGCAAGACACTTAGCCCACCTTGCTCCCAGTGAGTGTCCTCCACTGGTGTATGAATGTGAGTAATGTTTGGTAGTGGTCAGAGAGGTCGTAGGCTCAAACTGGCAGCCACGTTTCCATCAGTCTGCCCCAGGGCAGCTGTGACTACTTACTCAGTCACACCCTGGTGGTGGTAAACTGTGACTACTAAGTCAATGAATGATGTGTCCAATGTAAAGCGCTTAGAGGGTCTCTGATAAAGCGCTATAAAATCTGATGCATTATCATTATTAGATCAGAGTTGACTGAAACTTAGAATCATCTATATCTTTTCCCCTTAATTTCAGATGAAATAAAATCATCAATTTATGTAAAAATCAAGTTATACTTTTGAAAGCACTCATGAAGTACTAACATGCATGAACTGGTGCAGGTTTATATGTCCTCATGTGTGCTCTGTATCGTGTCTCTGAATAAACATCATCAGTATCAAATGAATACAATAAAACAGACACAATGGCATGATTCTCTCTGATCAGGATGATTCAGTGGATCTAAAATGACTTAATTCTGTCCTTTTGTCATGATGGTGACTCTTAAAAACGAAAACTCATTTGGATTTCATTCCTCTTTATTTCAGATATCAGCAGTCTGCACATTTCAGACAGGCAATAATCTGTTATTGTCACATTTCCTTTAAAATCTTTATACACAGACAGTAGGAACAGAATTGTTAAATAACAGAGATGGACAGGCGTGTCTTAGTGTTTCCACATAAAGTCACATTTACATCATTTATCAGTGAAACATGAAGCTCAGAGCAGGTTTATCAGTCTGCAGTTTAACAGAGGAGAGTGAGGCTACAGTTCATTCACAAAGTGCAGTCTGAGTTTAAATCAGTCATGGCACAACATCATAGATATTTCACAACCTTTGAGATTTCTCTTGCATATGTCTGTATATTATGTTTCCATAAAGAAACACGACTCTGTACAGAGACAAACAGTTCAGTCTCATCTGATCAAATTCAATAAAAACTTGATTTTTGGCTCACTACTGTAAAAATTGGCACACAGTGTTGAATGAGGGTCTCGGTATTTTACGCCACAAACAGCTGGAAGAGAAATTTGAGTGCAAAGTTTCTTTGTGCAAATTCTCAAAGTTCTTCTCAAGAATTAAACTTTAAAATGTTTGAGCTCCTCGTGCAAATCAATGTGAAATAAATAATTTAAAAAATCTGTCTGAACATATTTTTGTCTTCTGCTCCTGTGTAAGGTAATTGAGATTTTTGTTAATGAGGGATTTGGTCCAAACCTCGTTAAAGCTCTTCTTTCTGCTGTAGAGTGAATTCATCATTTTTGTGGCTGATGACATAAATTTTTTTTTAAAACGCATCTTAGTGCTGCAGTCATTTCAGGGCTTAGTGAAGCTCCTAAAATCTTCAAAAATGAGTCAAACAAATTAAACAACAAAATTCATTTCAAAGATATGAAAAGAAAAGGTTTTAAATTAATAAATTTTCTTAGTAAAAATACTCAAACATGTATGTTTAGAATAACATATGGAGCTTGGCAAGAGTCTTTGTTTTTAATAATAAAGAGCTGAAGGAAAAACATCTGTCTTATCTATTTATGCTCATTTTTACCTGCTACTCAAAAATGTGATTTTTAAACTCTGATATGTTTCACTTTATATATATATATATTTTTTTTGGCAGAGAATCAAAATAAACCTAACCTAACCTTCACAGTTTTTTTTTTCATCTGTTGTTGCTGTTTCAAAGGTCCCATATCATGTTTTTATTACTTAATAACTCCAAACTCCAAAAATATAGACCAGAGTTCAGCTACCTTGGAGGATCTGCAGCCTCTCAGTTTCTGGACTCATTATCCATGCAGTGATCTGGGCGGACGGGGCTGCTATGATAATTTGACGCGGTGCTGATTGGCTAAGGACAGATGGGGAGGTGGGAAAACACCAAAACAAACTTGGCGAGCCCTCCAGAAGAAGATGCATCAGAACTGAGACAAATATTTCTTTTAACAAACTGAAGCTAAGCGATGGCACACTGACTGTTTCTTGGTCTGCGACTGTTGGGAAAGAACCTTTAATGAGGGTCAGTGCTGCAGCAAACCCAGATTTGTGCTGACCCACTTTGTTGGAGCAGTCTAAGGTGGAGCGGTTGGCACAAACTAAGAAATCAGCTCCACTTGTAGCCAAACGTAGAAGAAAATAAAGAAGAGCTGCTGTTTTCTGTGGTTGTCTGCTGCTGTAACAGAATAAAGATGATTGGTTTCATTCGTGAAACAAAAGCAGAACCAGTTTGTAAAGAAGAAAACAATTCCAGTTCATCAATATTTTAGCAGCTCTGATCTTTTCATGGGTACCAACAAAGTCTACGGCTTCTGACTGCTCCTAGCAGCTGAGTAAATACAGAGTGCACATAAATATTGCTTGTTATTATCACATATGTGGGGTGTTTGTTTCTGAAGTTTGTGGCTCATTGGCCTGCAGGTATGCATGAAACCTTCGCCCTGCACAACAGCACAGTTTGTACTCTTAGAGGATACAGCTGTGTGAGACGACTAGTCCATTTGTTTTCAACCTGGTACGCTGAGGGCTTCTAAGATGTGTTTTCTGAAGAGGTCTAACTCATCAGACACAAGGGTTACTCACTGAAGCTGTGGCGTATGATTCCACTAATACCACCACATGCAACTGGAGCTGGCCCATAATAAAGCCCATGTAGCAATTTAACCGAACTATTGTCCTTGTCAATTCAGTCTCATGAACATATGACAGAAAAAAATCCATGTTATTCAGGTATGATAGTCTGACTTTTGGAAGTTCAGTTTGATGTTATTTCAGTCAGACTAAAGCAACTGTAGTAAATATCTTAGGAGGAAGCAGAGCTGCTCGAGAAGTGGGATTGTTACTGCATACACATGTAAGTCACTCCTGTTGTTAGGTCACCACAGGAGATAATATCTCTGTTTTTCCAGAAAGTAGGCTGCAGAAGCAAAGCAGAGGCTTTTTCATTTCCACTGTCTCTGGGTCAAGAAGCTGAAGGATGACTAAAGCACTGCAGTATGTATAGGCAAGGAAAAACCTGTTTTTCATCATATGGGACCTTTAAATAAGACAGAGATTCTTGTTCAAACCTAACGGCAAATCTATTCAAGACTAAGCTCTCTAAAAGAATCTAACTTAATTCCTTTTTTACTTTTCAGCCATTAGTTTTTTCATTTTCACACTATAAACCTATTTTAGACCTGAAGTAATTTTTTAGGGCTTAGTAATGCTAAATTAAACGGCTTTAGTCATAAAACATGCTGTTTGTACAGAACTGGGCAGAGTAAATCTGATTCATAAATGACAGCAGCACATGTGAATCTTTCAGTCTGTCCTTCATTGTTAAATTTAAGCTCTAAAGATGAATCAAATTAAAGATAAGGATGAGGTAAAGCAGTAATTTGTTGACATTTCATCATAAAAAATCCTCTCAGAGCTGCAGAGTTACAGATTTAAACAGCACTCACTGTCAAACAGCTACTATACAAACCAGCTTTAAATTTTAGACTTGTGCAAACTCTTCATGAGCTCCTCTACAGGCCTCTCGCAGATTGATCGGAGTGTGTTTTCTCATATTTCAGAGCGTAAAATTCAGGTTATGTGCTTGGCAAAACGTAGAAATAGTCTCTTTTTGTAGTTTGTTCACAGTGCTTATTGATATTGTTATCAAATATTATCTAATAAAGTCATTCATTTGATAAAGCAGCAGTCATATCAGTGCAAATAGAAAACATCTTCTTTTATTCCTGCTCTGAAATCCTGCACAGGATCTGTTACAAACCTACAAACCTTTCCTTCAAAATCGGCATTGGTCGATAAAATCACTCTTTGCATTTTGTAGCTACAGTTAAATATAAAGTGAGAGATGCAGGCAGTTTTTTTAGCATTGATCAGATATATAAATAACATACCCTGATGTCCTTTGACACAAAGATTTTCACTACATGCCCAAAAAGTTCCTCTGAATGTTCACACAAGTATTACAACACAAAGTATAACAGTTATTGCTACTAGGTGAGAGGAGCCGAGTCAGTGTTTTATCAGTGTTAGTGCTAAATGTCACTGAAATCACAAAATCAAGAACAACAGAGTCACATATAAGGATTGTCTAACTTCAACGCTGCAGAAACACACACCTTAGTGAGCGTGTTGATTTCATTTCTACTCATAAAATTGTAGTATATTTAATGTTAATCTTATTTAGCAAACAATTCCAGAAATAAGGTGATTCAGGCATCACTTATGGCCTGTAAACTTGATTTCTGTGCCTATCAGGTCTATGCAGCTAACCTAAGGAGATGTGGGAGAATGTGACCACACTTACTAAGTCTCCTCTCTTTGTGCAAACCTCAGCATTTATCTACTGATACAAGGACCCTGACTCCAACTCCTCTCTGTGCGATAAATCAACCTAAATCATTATTGATATCGTAACACAGACACAAGCCCATACTAAAAACTCTGTATGGACACAAAGGTGCTACACTTTTGAACACATGAACGTGTTGCTGAGATATCAGTGAAAATATTCACTCTTCCATAAAGTTTAGTTCAGTTTAGGTGTGCTCAGGTCTCTCTGACTCAGTATCTGGATTCCAACACCTGTAAAATTATCCTCTGTCACAGTGAGGCCTTCAGGGTCCATCACAGCGGAGGTGTTACCTTTGTCTGATTGAACGCTGAGCTTTTTGTGCTTTTTAACCCACAGGTAGACTGAGGACACATACAAATCTTCACACTGAGCACATGTTTAGTGGATTTGTAATCCAGTAAAAATGTCACACAAATCAGCTTCTGATGGCAAAGACCACTTATTTCATCTGACTATGTCTTATGTTAAAAAGGATATATGATCTTGTGCTGTGCAGACTGACCCCAGAACAATCGTCTACCTTTTTTGCAGTCTTCCATTGTGCGTTTTCTGACTTGTAGATCAAAAAAGTGAGTAAGGTTTCTGTGCGTGACATTTTTATTTGCTTACGGAAAAATCTAATTCAGAAAGTGGCCTTAATGTGCAGAGAGCTGCTTACTCAGTCTGTATGAAAAGATGGACGACATGTCTGCCCCTGAAAATGAAGCAAAACCATTCAGAGACTCAAACCTGTGACACCGGAGAGGTGAACTGCCTTCACTTTCATACGACAGGAGGAGATGTGTAGTCCATCTTTGCATGCAAGCAGAACCCAGAGTGTGTGTGTGTGTGTGTGTGTGTGTGTGTGTGTGTGTGTGTGTGTGTGTGTGTGTGTGTGTGTGTGTGTGTGTGTGTGAAGTTACAGTCAGTTGATGGAGGTGTAGGTGTCTCCCCACAGAGGTGAGTTCATGATGCAGTCAGGTGAATCAGGTGTCAGAGGGCGGAGTTGAGGGTCTCCGTGGCGACGTGGACAGGATGCTCTCTGCCTCTTCATACAGCTGAGAAGCACAGAAAGGCAGTCAGTGAGCAGATGCAGATTTATAACAGCGGTCAGAGCTGGGCACATGCCAGTTAATCCATTAGTCATTAATCATCAAAGTTTGTTTCGGAGTGAGTTTTGACTTGGATGTTAAAAGCTTTCATTTCTGTTTAATTTTATTTATTTCAATAGTGTCACTTCTGCTTTACACTTGACGTATATAATCCTACCTGAAATGGACTAAAGAGCTTAGCCATCCTCAAGTGAGTGTTACTCTGTCAGGTTGAAAATCAGAACTCCGCTCAGGACGACAGAGACCCTGGACAGAGAGTCAGAGCTGCTGTTGTAAGCAGCCTGATGGTTGGAAAAACAGCACTGTTCGGCTGCACTTCAAGAGTGAACAGTCAGGCTTTCTAGTTTGTAGGAAAGCCAAAAGTTTGGTTCTCTAAAGATGGACCAGGTTTACACCTGAATCCTGAAACTTCTGAATCTGAAGCTTCAAAAATATATCGACAGGCACAGAGAGCAAAGACCAGCATCAGGACACACTAAGAGCCTGTCCATACTTCTATTTCTGGACTTAAAGACACCTCCTGCGGACACATTGATTCAGTACGGCTTCAAAGATCCTGGACTAAAGAAACTGTAGAAATATTTTTTTCTTACAGGTGTGAAGGGAACATCCTGGAAGAGCTCCTGAATAAAGCGGCGAGATGTCAGACGGAAGGAGCAGCGAGCGAGGAGAAAGGAAACCTCCGAGTACAGGCAGACGTCGTCAAACGCAGATGGAAACTTCTCCTTAATCCTGAAACCCCAAAACACATGAAAGAAACAGATCAGACAGAGCAAGTATGGACGTATCACAGCAGTTTGATGGATGTCTGCAGCCGCAAATATGGCTGCACAGATACATGCTCTGTTCATGAGGGTTTTTTAGGGTTAATAAGATCTTTGCAGCCTCACGTGAGCAGGTTGGTCTCGTGGTTCTTGGTTCCTACAGACGAGCTGAGGTTGATGATCAGGCGGAGAACCTCTTTCCTCAGGAGAACCTGACCAGCAGGAGCATCTTCAGGGATTGACTTGACTCCTATATACAGAATAACCACGTGAATCCAGAGACATGAAAGTTCAGATCTGATTACTTCTTTTTTCATCTTTAGCCAATTCAGACAATTAAAATATTTTCTCTTCTTGAGAATAAATTTGAGGGATTAACTCTGCTCAGAATCGAAACGACTGAATCAATCAATGACATTTTGCAGAAAAACCGCAGATTATGAATTTGGTGCTACTTTCATGTTTTAAATTCAGCAAAATCTGAGATATAAAGAACATGTCAGGTGACTTTTTGGAGTTTTTACCATTTTAAAAACATTTAGAGTTAAAAATGACGCAAATTAATGAACAGCGTGTAGACATTCACTGTGAAAATGTATGTTCTAGTAAGTGTGTTTGTCTTTGGGTGGAACAAAATGTCTCATAAGGCTTAATTTAAGCCGTGAGCACCAGCCAAAGACTGTCTTAGTTTAGCTTATTCGTCTCCCAAACTTAGAAATGAAATGTCCGTAATGAGTTTCAAAAATCTGCCAACAGAAAATGAAAAATGTTCTGTGAAGTTTACAGAAATTAGATATTTTACAGACTTGCGAGGAGACAGTTCAATGAAGTGGAGATCTTCACTAAGCTTTGAGTCATTATTCTGAGTCAGGTACCCACCCAGAACCAGCTCTGTGCTGCGCCCGCTTCCTGTAGACCCCTGAGACGTGGCGTCACTGCAACCTGACCCCCCTGACGGCTCCTTTTGGATCAGGACCTCTAGCTGGTCTGCTGGAGCTGCTGGACTAAGTCTGTCTGAGCTTTGGGGGGGCTCTGAGGAGTCTATCAGAGACAGAACAAATAAATAAATAGAACCTAGAACCATCAGGAGGAAATTCACACCGTAGCTCTTTATCTCTGATGCAGCGTCCCACCTGTGCTCCTGTCCTCAGAGCCAGACCCTGTCACAGTCAGTCCAGAACAGTACAGACAGTTGGTCTGGTTGTGATCCTGCAAGCCAGTCTCATGTGAATCCAGGACCTGCTTCTGGTCCACCCGGCTCACCATCAGCAGCTCAGTGATGCTGAGCTGGGGGCGAAGCCTCGATGAACCGCTGTCGCTGAAATCTGAAAACACACAGAGAGCAGCTAACAGACCACAAGCTGTGCTGCAGGATAACAGACATCTCTATGTGTGTGTGTGTGTGTGTGTGTGTGTGTGTGTGTGTGTGTGTGTGTGTGTGTGTGTGTGTGTGTGTGTGTGTGTGTGTGTGTGAGTGTGTGAAATTTGTCTGATGGTAATCAAAGTGTTTCTCACCCTCAGATCCTCCAGAGAAGAATCCAGCAGAGCGATCCTCAGAGGGTGGACTCAGTCTCTTCTTAAAATACGCCGTCTCTTTAATCTGATGGCGGTACAAAAAAAGGTTTACTGAACGTGATTCCTCTTTCTTAAAAGTCCTCTCTGTCACAGGTTCCTCTCCTCACCTGAAGCATGTTGTTGATGTTGACGGGCAGAGCCAGCCCCATAAACTCCTCGGTGGATCTGAAGGATCCGGAGGAGACGATGGAGCGAACAGAGGACGAAGTCTGCAGAGAGTTTTGGTTTATGGGACTCAGCAGGTCCTCTTTATCCAGAGATGCAAAACTCAGAGCCTTAAGGAACCTGGACAGAGACGGAGACCAAGACAGACAGGATTTAGAAAAAGACAAAAAATGACTGGTCGATTTTACAACGGCTTCTGTGAGCAATATACACTCACCGGCCACTTTATTAGGTACACCATGCTAGTAACGGGTTGGACCCCCTTTTGCCTTCAGAACTGCCTCAATTCTTCGTGACATAGATTCAACAAGGTGCTGGAAGCATTCCTCAGAGAGCTTGGTCCATATTGACATGATGGCATCACACAGTTGCCGCAGATTTGTCGGCTGCACATCCATGATGCGAATCTCCTGTTCCACCACATCCCAAAGATGCTCTGTTGGATTGAGATCTGGTGACTGTGGAGGCCATTTGAGTACAGTGAACTCATTGTCATGTTCAAGAAACCAGTCTGAGATGATTCCAGCGTTATGACATGGTGCATTATCCTGCTGAAAGTAGCCATCAGAAGTTGGGTACATTGTGGTCATAAAGGGATGGACATGGTCAGCAACAATACTCAGGTAGGCTGTGGCGTTGCAACGATGCTCAATTGGTACCAAGGGGCCCAAAGAGTGCCAAGAAAATATTCCCCACACCATGACACCACCACCACCAGCCTGAACCGTTGATACAAGGCAGGATGGATCCATGCTTTCATGTTGTTGACGCCAAATTCTGACCCTACCATCCGAATGTCGCAGCAGAAATCGAGACTCATCAGACCAGGCAACGTTTTTCCAATCTTCTATTGTCCAATTTCGATGAGCTTCTGCAAATTGTAGCCTCAGTTTCCTGTTCTTAGCTGAAAGGAGTGGCACCCGGCGTGGTCTTCTGCTGCTGTAGCCCATCTGCCTCAAAGTTCGACGTACTGTGCGTTCAGAGATGCTCTTCTGCCTACCTTGGTTGTAACGGGTGGTTATTTGAGTCACTGTTGCCTTTCTATCAGCTCGAACCAGTCTGGCCATTCTCCTCTGACCTCTGGCATCAACAAGGCATTTCCGCCCACAGAACTGCCGCTCACTGGATATTTTTTCTTTTTCGGACCATTCTCTGTAAACCCTAGAGATGGTTGTGCGTGAAAATCCCAGTAGATCAGCAGTTTCTGAAATACTCAGACCAGCCCTTCTGGCACCAACAACCATGCCACGTTCAAAGTCACTCAAATCACCTTTCTTCCCCATACTGATGCTCGGTTTGAACTGCAGGAGATTGTCTTGACCATGTCTACATGCCTAAATGCACTAAGTTGCCGCCATGTGATTGGCTGATTAGAAATTAAGTGTTAACGAGCAGTTGGACAGGTGTACCTAATAAAGTGGCCGGTGAGTGTAGTATATGATAATAACTGAACAGGCTGCAAATGAGTCAACCAAACGGTTAGAATATCTCCATCACACTTCTGGAAACTTCTTTTCTGAAGACGGTTTAGAAAGGTTCACTCTGAAGCCGTCACTTTTATCTGAAATACAAGTTTCTGTTTGAATCCAAGGGGAAAACTTTATGTTTTTACTGCAATGAACCATTAACATTTAAACCATCTTCTTGTGGGGCTTTTAAGATATTTTGTGGATGCTTGGTGAAGCTCTTTGTGACAAAAATACCAGTAAGAGTCAAACAAAAGTTATAGACAGGGCTGTGTGTCCACCGTCCAGATCACCATCAGGTTGTTAGTTTGATGCCAATATTATTACAGTACAAGTTGAAGATCCTGAAACTCTCTCCTGTTGTCTAATTTGACATTCTCAGCACAAGGAGGAGTTCATTTTGAGTCTTGTTAGGCTGCTGTTTTCTCTATGCTTTGCTGCTGTTAATAAAACCATAAAATGAAGTGATAGGAGGGTCTGAGGAGAAGAGGACTGGGAGGTGGTGGGTGAATATTTGAACAATGAAACTTGTTGGATGCTTGAAGAACTGACAGCCTGAGTTCACTCGAGCTGCAGTAACCCAAACCACAAACCATCACAGCAGGAGACATTTTGAGATTTATTCTGCAGTTTTCTGAGTCTTTGGTCAGATTGATTGAGGGATTTTAATCTTGCTCAGCTGTAGTGACCCCTGACCTCTGCAGAGAGTCAACAGCAGGGTCACTAAGGTCCTCCTCCCTCACCTGAAACACTGGGATTCTGACTAACTCTGTGCTGGGACAGTATAAGAAAACATTTTTAAAAACTTCTGACCGTCACCTCTGAGCTGTGCGTCTGGAGTCCAGGCTGCCTGAGTTCATGGTGATGGCGTCAGTGAACAGGATCTCTTTGGCGGGGGAGGCGCGGGCCTCACTGTGGGACACGGACGGCTGGATGCGCTGGTGCTGCAACCTCCTCAGGGTGGTGTAACCCAGGGCGTCCCGAGGGCTGGTGCAGCAGGAGGTGGAGCTGCAGAACAGGCTGCAGTCTGCCAGGCTGCTCAGAGCGCTCACCGAGGGCGACCTGAAGGACGGGGCCCGCCGGGGCAGCGTGTGGGCGGAGCCAGGGGGGACCAGGTAGGCAGAGCAGGACTTGGGGATTGAAAGAGGGGTGGTCTTTGTGGGGGGATGTGGGGTCTCTCTGGTGGGGCTGGAGCTCATGGAGCTGATGCCACTAGTGGTGGTGTCGGTGTTAAAGCTCTGGCTGCGGCTCTTAAACGGGACTCCACCCCCTCCTGAAGGGCCGTCTTCAGCCAAACGCTCATAGCTGCACGGCTCCCTCTGCTGGTTCTCCCCCAACCCACTTACCTCACCTGACCCGTTCACCTCCCCCTCCCCCAGGCTGGGGCTGCTTCCCCGGTTCTCCTCACAGCAGGCGTCCCCTCCACCTGAGGGGGGCAGGTGGTGGTTGTTGTAAACAGAGAAATCCTCCTTAAGTCCCTGCTCTCTCCCCTGCTCCTCCCCTGGCTCTCCCCCTTGCTCCCCCCCAGACTCCAGGCTGCTGTCCTCAGGGGGAGGGGGGGTGCAGGATTTCTTCCCGGGGAGGGACAGCGAGTGCAGGAGGCGGCTGCGGAGGCTGCAGGACGCCAGCATGGTGAGGGGGCCACGCTCCTTCATCAGCTTGGGACAGACATACATAGAGGAGGAGGAGGGGGAGGAGTCCTCTGGGGGGTCGGAATCCTGCAGCCTATCAGCATCCATCACACACACACCTGCAGACACACACACACACACACACACGCACACACACAGTAGAGTGTCACACACCTGTTGGAGACTTTAAACCTAATCTGTGGCTGTATTGTACACTCTGGTCTTACTGGGCTGTGCAGGGTCCCTGGTGGACTCTGTGGGGGCTCTGCTGGGCTCAAAGGGAGGCAGGTCTGAGGATCTGGACTGAGGCTCAAGCTCTTCTGGGACTACAGGCCACAGAGTCCTCCTGCTGTGTCTCACCGAGTCCCAACCCTGCTGCTTTAACAAGTCACAGCCCTGACGAGTCTGACCGAGGAGACCCAGCACGTACAGACAGGTCCTACACACAGACGGATACACACAGACACACACAGACACACAAAGACACACAGTGACCGACTCTGTGGCTCTGATTCAGTTTTTATATTTCATGGATGAAGTAAAATCAGCCTCATGTAGGAGCCGTACCCTCTGATGGACAGGACCTCACAGCTGTGAGCCAGATCCACAATGTCAGGAATCACACCCTCCTCCTGCAGCAGGTTCAGACCCCAGGTGGACGAGCCGATGTTTCCCTGCAGAATAAACAACCAGTGAGCATGAACCGAGGCTGTTCTGTCCTCAGAGTCAGAGATCATTAAATAAAACAGAGTCAAAGCTGCAGACCAGAGCCCACAGAGCTGCCTTTAGCTGTTTGATCCCCTCCCATCTGTCCAGGACGGGGGAGCGAATGGTGAAGCTTAAATCAGGGACGATGTTCTGCACAAGGAGGAAGGAAGGAAGAAGAAAAAGAGGAGGAGAAGGAAAGTAAAAACTCAAGTTAAATCAAACAACTCATGGCAGCACAGTTGTTGAGTTTTCCTTCCTTGACTACCATCAGACAGCAGCTGAATCTCACACCTATATAATGCACAAAAGTATCGAAATTAGTTATTACATGACTTTCAATAACTAACCACTATCCCATTGTTAGCATAACTTTAAGCTCTCTAACTATCAGTATGCAGTAACACTCTCTAGGCGTACTCAGGTGTTGTGCACTCAGCTAGAGGCGTCTTTTTTGGCTTGCAGACATGAACAAGAACTTGAATTTGTTGCAGGAAAGGACAAGAATGACAAGTCTTTCCAAACTCCTGCAGCAGGGACGAACCAAACTGCATGCTAACTCAAAGCCACAGGTTAAAGACCCCAGACCAGGAGAGATTCTTAAGATAATTAGCTGCTGAGTTTCTCTTCCAGAGCCCCCTCCACATCACTGCACCTTCCTACAGCATATACATATATACTATATTTTTCATTTTGTATTTTATGACCACAATCCTGATATGGACATTGTTTTAAACATACAGTTGTATCCTGCTCAGGGTAGTCCTATCAAAGCAACAAGCAGATCAACTCACCTGAGCCTGAAGCAGCTGACAGCCTGACTTATCATGAACCAGCTGACCGTACAGGTGTACAGGCAGGTAAACATGAGGCCTCTGTGACCTGCTGAACATACACACACAGGTAACCATATCTGTTAATGATGTTTTTATGGCTCTTTGGCTATCTTGTATGAACACTGATGTGCAGTCACAGATTCACAGCTCCTCAGTCTAAACTCTGTGGTGATCATTTTGCCTTCCTGCTCCTTTATTCAGGAACTTAAAGTTAAAGAAAATCAATTGAATTTAAAACTAAGGTTATTGTCCCCTGGAATGCACAACATCCTGAAATATATCAGCTTTACATCCTTTTAACAATTACTACCCAACAAGGATCTTCGAAGGCAGTTTGGATCCTCAGCAATGATGATATGAACAATTGAAACCGTGATGTTATTTAAATAAATCCAAGTAATGAAGCCGCACAGTTACAGTAACACAACCTGTCTGCATCAAATCACGGAAATAAATCCTCTGCATTTAGTTAGTACACTCTCACACAGAGCATAGTGCGTACATGAACTTAATTCTTCTAAGCTGTGGACAGCCCGGCCTGAAGACACTGAACCAAACTGATAATCTTTCAAAATACTAACTGAGCTGTGAGCTGACTGCAATTAAAGATGTTCCCATACCAATTTTTCCCTCCGATACCAATTCCGATACTTGTGCTGTGGGTATTGGCCAATACCAAGTACCGATCTGATACCAGTATGTTATAAAAAATATATATATCATACCAGGCCTGCATGACTGTGATATGATTATATGATTATATGATTAAGGTCTGGCTCAGGTTAAACCCTTTGTAAAACACAAATAAATGCAACAAATTCAAGCCATTTATTTTTAAATAGAACAGTATAAAAACAGCAAATGCAATTTAACTAAATAAATCTAGGAATAATTATGTGAAAAAAATATATATATAAGTGCAGGCACAATGTAATATAAACAGAGCTAGCAGAAGTAACCAGTAAAAGAGTTTCTAATTTAATAAATTATGTGGTATCGGATTGGTGCCTGGACTCCAGCACTCGCCAATACTGGTGCCAGTATTTACAGCAGTATCGGAGAAATTTCCGATTTTGGCATCAGAATCAGAACAACTCTAACTGCAATGCTGCTAACTCCTCAGCTATAATGTCACTGCTTATTTACCATGGGCACACAGTAACATTAATGCAATAACCTTTAACCCTGAACAGATCCCAGACACACTGCATCTAGTGTTTAAAGCAAAATGCCAATTTGCAACACCTGTCCAATCTTTCTAAGTCAAGGAAGGCGTTTATAATTTTATAATTATAATTTAGAGGCTGTAGGGGGTCACTGACCTCTGGTTACTGCGGCGAACGTAGTCCTCTCCATTAACAGGTTTTCTGTAGGTGGTGAGAGCCTCATTCAGCTGCTCCTCTATCAGGTCCACATACTTCAGGTTAAACTCCTGCACACACACACACACACACACACACACACACACACACACACACACACACACACACACACGCACAACACACACACACACACACACACACACACACACACACACACACACACACAGAGCAGCTGTTTCAGGTTATTTTACTGTCTGACAGGCTTATAAAAATGACTGTGAGCTGCTCTATTTGTACCTTCTGCCATCTGTCCATCTCTGCAGAGATGTATCCTCTCTCACTCAGGTAGGAGAAACCCTTTGGGATTGACAGAAACCTGAGGACGAGACAAGAAAAACCGTTAAATTAAACCTGATTGACATAAACTTGATTTAATGATAGAAACTCCCAGATCCAGTTTAATAAAGCGTTATGGTTCACAGGAGGCAAAGAAGTCTCCTGAAGAATCATTTATACACACCAGACAGCAAAAAAAACATTCTCACTATCAAACTCCACCCATATTTATGAAGATAACCAATCGGACTAATGTGTGTTCATCTACCTGAGCAGCAGCAGCACACCTTTGTCCCCCAGGTGAGACAGAGCAGGTTTCATCTCGGTCAGAGCGTGGAGGTTGGTCTGCAAAGGAAACAGAAGCTGCTTCAGTAACTTCAGACCTCCAGGTGAACCTTTATTTGATGTGGGTTTTTCGTCCCTCACCTTGTCCTCACAGGCCTCGTCCAGGATGTCCAGCGCCTCCATGGAAACCGTCTTATTCCTGTCATAGAGCTGAGTGACCAGGAGCTCCATGCCCCAATTACTGAAGAACTCTACGCCTGCCCGCAGCAGGACACGCAGGTGCTTGGTGGCGTACAGCCTGCAGGTCTGTAATGGAGTTATAGGAGTTAGCAGGAGACTAGAGACGGACAGAGAGGATCATGTTACTCTAAAATTTGGAAAAAGTCCCCCCTTCAGAATTTACCTCTTCAGAGAGAATAGTTTTTAGTGAATTTAAAGAGGCTACTCCTTTCTGTTCTGTGAACTCTCTTGATCAAAAGCACAAATGTGAGTCTTACGTCGCTGGCAGCTGTGAGGACTTTGGACAGAATGACTCTGGACAGACCGTCTCTGCTGTAGTCCAGGGTGGAGACGGTCAGTTTCAGAAGGTGTTCCTGATTCTTCAGACTGCACATCCCCAGCAGACTGACAGAGGACAGGAGAGGAATCAGAGTTAAAACCAGAAACACTGAGTCCCATTACACTGACACACTTGGAAGCAGCGTGTCCAAATATCTACGTTTATTTGGAGTGTAGAGCACAGTTCATCACCACATCTACAAATCCAGGTCAAAACTAAGCCAGGAAGCCATCCACAGACTGAGTAGTACCAAACCCCGAGGCCTCAGGAGGAGCACAGTTCATTCTGGCACGGTACGCTGCATTAAATTCTGTGTGTAAATAAACATTCGGAGCTGTGATGTCGGCTGTCTGCTGACCTCTGGAAGACGCTGCACCTCTCCAGCATCCTGACGCCATGTGTGTGAGCTGACAGGGAGCCCAGGAACAGGAAGTAGTGCTGGCTGAGTGTGGTGAGCAGCCTGCTGCCTGACAGACCGCGCTCAGGCTTTGTCTGAATGCAGAAAAGACTCTGAACGATGTCCCTCACCAGGTCTTCCAGGTACACCTGACCCTCCTGAAACACAGAGGAGGGGTTAAGACGCTGCTATGTAGTGATCTTACTTTGATTATTCAAACATTGTGCCACAAGTTAAAAGTAGAAAATATAAGATTTACAGTAGACTACAGTAGAAACCTCCCAGAACATGACACCCCTGACTTTAACACTACCATGTGTCTACCTGTCCTCGATTGTTCCAACACTTCCCAGTTTACTGATCCACTTCTTTGTAGGACACTTTCTAAAAGTTGCCGCTCTCTTCATCTCTGCCCTCCATTCCTCAGAGCTACTAGATCACCCAGAACAAATGACCCAGACATAGACTGTATATAGAATGGACAGCGTTTGCCTCCTCGCTGGGTGAAGCCACCCGGAGAACAGCACCCTCTGGTGACGGGCTGCAGTATAGGTCATAAATCCTGCCTCCTCCAGCAATCCTTATAGCATTGTGGACAAACTTTAGAAATTTATCACACAGAATATCATTCTCTCCCCCTGCTTGCGATGTTGACATGTAGTTATTGTAAGACTAGTTGGTGCTCTTGTCCTTTTTTGACTCTCATTTGACTCTCCCGCCAAATGCGTACAACGCTACTGCGCAATGTTGGTTTCAGGAAGTGAAGGAAAAATGCGGAATTACCGAGAGCTTTTCAGCTTCAAATCCGTATTCTGGTGGAAGGCGGGACCAAGTTGTCCATAGTACAGGTATATACAGTCTATAGCCACGTTTACATGCAGACTTTTTTCTCATTCGGATTATAATCATTCCGATTGAAGCTCCCAGGCGAACTGTTTACATGGAAGCGATCTATTCTGATCTGGTGTTTACATGAGCCACGGCATTCAATCGGAACAGCTATTTACAGACACGTGATACCTTCAAACATCACGTGATTGATTGATCACGTGATCTCCGACGCAGACCAGTGCATCGTGCTCTGCTTGGAAGCCGCCATCATGTTTCCATGTGAGTCATACGTCACTGCTTGTTTACATCAGGACAGAGCATGCGCAGACAGAACCCAGCCTGACAACTTTCCGATTCACCGTTTACATGACAGGATTTTGCTTTTAATCGGAATGGGAAAAGGAAAATTCTACCCCTGTGAATCGGAATGAAATTCCATTCGGAATGGGCCTGTTTATTCCGAATGAGGTGTTTATATGGAGCATTTTCATTCCGATTGGGCTTCTAATCCGATTATATTCGGAATATTTGGCTCCATGTAAACGTAGCTATTGGACCCAGGGCATCAGAGTCAACCTGGGGCTTGTAAGCTGCATGCATCTCTCAGCTTTTTGAGTCACTTTGAATAACATCAATAAATCACTTCAAAAAGGAAACATCAGCTGTACTGATACCCTGCATATCACACAACTCTATAACACAGCTGACCCTGAGCATGTGCAGAAAGAGATACTGCAGCCAGTCCTGTCAGTCATACTGTGGTAAGTGTTAACCGAGCCGATGCGAAACTATGAGTCAAGATTCTGCAACATCAGTTCCTGTATATTTTTTCTCATTTCGAAAAAGCTTGTGCATGTCTGATGAAATTTTGCAGATAAGCAGCAAACTTTGGCTCATGCATCTTCAGACTGAGTTTTTGGACACTTTCAGATAAAAGACTATGATCCTAACACAACTCAAAAATTGCTGGATCCTTCCTTCCTCTGTTAGACTCTGCTGTTCATGAACCATCTCCAAATCTAATCTGACATCATAACTGCAGAAACAGCCTTGAGTCTGTGTTTAATGTTCTGCAGTGTTTATCAGTCTGTGTCTCTTCTCACCTCCTCAGAGAGCAGCAGGAAGTCCACAAACTGACAGCCGACCACAGTCAGCTGTCGAGCCTTCGGGTGCTCCAGCTCCAGGCTGCCGTACTGCTGACTGCTGGGCTTATAGAACAACAGGAGACGGTGCACGAATCTGCAGGAAATTAAATATGAATGTGCGACAGAGCTGTGTAAGGGGCTGTTAGACCATGTTGGAAAAGAGCAAAGACAACATGGACAAAGACGAAGGAGTGCTTACTTGTGCATTTGTTCATCTTTATGGCTTCGTAAACTGATGTTTGGCCACTGGACACGAGAAGAAAACACACAAATTAAAAGCTCTGTAAACCTGTACAGTAGGAGTCACAGCTATTTGTGTTTCGGGGTTGACCTGAACAGGTGCACACAGAGCTCAATAAAGGAACAGATTTCTTATTTTCCAGCCTCATAATCTATTAACCCTGACAGCAAACTGAGCAGCAGAAAGTCAGCCGGCTCACTCCTGGATGGACTATCTCAGTTGTTTAGTTCCAAGCTTTTCACCACTAACTAAAAATATCATCCCAGGTCAAATATGTCACTTTTGTTCCAGTAAAATGAAGTTATAGCAGCAAAATATTCTGTACCCTTAAAACGGTTCCTATCAGACTCCAGTTCCAGTCCAGGTGGTCTTTGTGGGACAGGATGTGGCTATCTCTCAGGTGGGACATCAGGGCGTCTTCTGAGTCCTGCATGACAAACACACGACTTTTTCAAGCTAATAGTTCACAACAGGAGAGATCCAGACAGCTGTGTACATTTGAAGTGATTTTGAAGAAACTGATTCATTTTTCATTTCAACTCCACTTCAGCTTCAGTCACTTTTTACATGCATTAAAGTAGTCTAATGTTTAATAGTCAAAAAACTTAATGATTTCCGACTTTAATAAAGGACCACAAAGGCATGCATGGAATTTTCAGGACCTCTCCAGTCAAAGAGAATAAATCATCTTCATGTTCAAAGTCATATTTGGTGGTACGGCTCTGCTTTGAAAAGCTCCCTGCCCTTCAAATCTTATCCCTCGCCAGTATGTTTATGTTCCTGTTTTGCTTGACGTTACACTTCTTTACGGTGCATTTAACGACGTCCTGTTAAAGCCTGAGATGGGGACAGCACATCTCAACACATTTTCATGTGCATACATAAAGAGCTAAGAATGGGAACGCATCACCAAAGACCATAAGGATCTAGAACAGAGTAGCACCGGTAACAATCATAAAAAGGAGGAGCTGGGGTGGAGGTAGCTCTCTATCTAAATAATAAAGCAGGTAAAGGTATATATCTACCTTGATGATGAAGATGTCTCTGTGAGGTTTGAGGCTCTGCTCTCTGCAGCAGTGTGACGCCCCTGAGTTTCGGAGGATGTGGCCGAGGTACAGACTCTCAGGTTGCACTCCTCTCTTCTTTTTCTCATGGAAACACTTCAGATGGTTCACAGCAGCACTCGCTCGCCTGAAAAAACAACATTTGTTTACTGCCTGTTACTTGCATGGTAGTGCACCAAAAATAGTCTTTGGTTCATTTAGGAAATTGTGATCCATTTGGAGTTGCGCAAACCAGAAAACAGAAAAATTAGATCCAAGACTGCATTTATTTTCGAAGACAGTGAGGAGAGCGAAACCCTCACTCCTCTTGAGCTCCACCAGTCCTCCACAAAACTTATCATCTCTGGCCCCAAGATTAGGACCTTATCATTCCCAGATATTATGTATGAGCAAATGAATTACCTAAATGAAGTACCTAAACTGACAGGTACTCACAGTCTTTTCTCAGGTGTGACGTCGAAAGAGGCGGCCATGTTGATGAGGGACGGTAAACAGTGCAGGTGGTGGCTGTGGCTGTGAGGGAGGATGGTGTTCGCCTGTGAGAGGACAATCGCATTAATGAATTTAGCAAATGGAAACAAAGAGATCTCAATGAAATAGATCTGCTGTAGTGATAGAGAGAAAGGGGGCACCATGTGGAGAAGCTCTCCCAGCAGGACGGTGGCACAAACAGATAAGACCTCATCACTGCTGGTGATCACCTCGATTAGACCCTGCAGAGTCAAACAAAGAGACAGGAAAACTCACTATCAGGATTATTTGGATTGATACTGACATCACATTTTTTTTTTCTATCAATGACATTCATCCTTAAAAGATTGTAAAGCTGTTTGCTCAGCATTTGGGTGACTTGAACAACACTTGTCCACACACACACACACGGATCGCCTGCTGTGATAACGAAAAAACACAAGTCACGTTATTTGGGTCCTGGACTGATCAGTGTTTCCTTTAGATCTGATAGGCATATAGGAGCTGTAGGAAGGAGGCAGGACTCTAAGAGGAGAGATGCAGGTTCAGAGGCAGATTTAGGGTGCAGCTAGGGGTGCCCCAGCCCACCTGAAATTTTACCTGTCAAATCCAACAACATGTCTGGATTTTTGCCTGATCATGAGAGTGACTCAAAGTTGAAATCAGCTATTTCTGTTGTCGACTGTAACTGGGGATCAGAACCTGAAACTAGACTTCTACTAGTAGGAAAAGACTTGGGACCTGACCTGGGCCCACGGTCAAAGACTGGAGACTTGTGGTTAGAAATTTGAGAATAAATTTGAATTTGTGGTTAAAAACAAGAGGCTCAAAACCTAACTTGTACTCATGGTTAGAACTTGACTAGGACTTACAGTAGGGATCTTCAGATATGACTTTCTGTCAAAGACTAGAAATCCCAAAAACCTCAGACATTAACTTATGGGACCTGACTTGGACTCTTGGTGAAAGACTGGAGTTAATTGCAAGCGTGAGCGATGGTACCTCTAACAAGCCGCTGTGGATGAATGCAGACAGAACCAGAGCCAGGTAGTTATCCATCAGGTCCGGCCTAGGAATTCAAATCGATCAAGGTTTTAAAAAGTTTCTTTTAAGCTCACATCAAACAGTCAAATATTTAATCAGTGCATTAAAGTCCTACCTGGAGCAGGATCGGTGGGGGAGAATAGTTTTCGCCTCAGACGCCACAAATCCATCAGAGAGCCTCCAGCTGTCCTGAAACCTGCTGGGATCTGACAGGAAGAGAGTCAGCGTATCACCAGACCTCAGACAGGTGAGTCAGAGTGATGTCATCATACTCACCTACACTGATCAGAGCTTCATTGAAGTCTGCAGTCACTACAGGTTTGACCAGGTGGAAGATTTCATAAAACACCTCTAACAGAGCCTTCTGTTGGCGAGAGACAGAAATTCAGAGAGCTGCTTAGTGAAGACAAAAACCATCAGGATTATTTTAACGCTCCTGTGAAGCACTTTTGGTTTGTGTTAATTTTGGCAAAAGCATAACAATGAAACTCTTTCAATTTTGTATCTATGTCAAAAAACTCCAGGCTTTAAAACTGCTGAGGGGAACTGCTGATTTGTGACCATGTTGGCGCCCCCCTGTGGACAAAAAAGCAGTTGTGGCACTGATGGTCTTGAATGCTTTTGGAGGTTAAACTGAGGCATCACTTAATCTTAATCAGTCTCTTAACCTGTTAAAATGTTCTCACAGGAACTTTAACTTTATATGTATCATTCACAGCTTAAACAAATAAACTAAACCTCTGAAAAACAGGACGCCGAGTGTTTGGAGCATAGTTCTTTTGAATATCTGTAACAACCCGGCCACTCAAAAGCAAACAAAAGAAAGTAAAATTACATGAGGACTGAGCCCTGATCATTTGAACATGATAATGATAACATTGACATGCACACCGTATTCCTGTTTTGATCAGAATAATCAGCGTATTCTGATTGCATATGAGTTATTGACACCTTAAGTCTGTGCTTTGTTAGTTTGTGAGGGATTGTGGTATTTTGTTTGTTTTTTGAAATAATGAAAGGTGCAAAAGTATTGACATTTATGGATGAATGAAAAGCATCGCAAAATAATCAACTCATTACATCACATGATATAACATAACAAAACACAGAACATAACTTATTCTAATGTGCCATTATTGAGGATGTGAATGAGGGATCTCATTGAATTATGGCGTAAAGCTGTTTGAAAAGCAACACAAGTAGAGCTACAGCAGCATATTGTGGACTGGGCATGAAGTTATCATAAAAAAGGATGCGTGATATATTTTAAAGTTATGATGTTCCAGTTTCTATAAATCACTGGTTTATTAGGAATATTAAGATTAACATGTCAACTAAAATATTCCTGCATCTCTACTCTGGTGTGCATGTAAACACTTTTTTCAGAATTTTACCTGAAACAGAACATGGACCTTCAGAGGAAAATGGTGCACTTATAAATAAATACAGTCTGTGACAATGACTGAACACTTTGTGACTTTGTGACTCTGTCTGACGTACGGAGCAGGTTTGGAAATACTAGACTTCAAACAGTCTGTAGCTGCAGCATTACAATAATAATATTATTACAAACATTCATGCTCTGCAAACACAGAGTGTTAAGGTTGTGTCCTCTACCAGCAAACTGAGTCCACTGTTACAGTCTGACCTACCCGCACCTCCATGTTTGGTATACAGAGTAAACCAATCAGAGACTGGAGTCCAGAGCTGCCCGACTTACACAGGTTAATGATACCTGCAGGGGGAACACACATAAACACACACACACACACACACACACACACACACATGCACAGATGATAGTGTTAGTTTACTGCACACAGTGATGTATTCATGCAGACTGTAAATAGATGAGGGTTAAAGAGGCTCTCACAGAGAAACAGAGAGCACAGGAGGATCTGTGTTGTTTTCATGGTGCAGGATTCAAAGAGTAAACTTTGTTTTGAAAACAACATTTTTCTCTACAGAAATCAAAACCAGAACTGTGTTTGTTACAGACTGAATTTACATACAAATAAATTTACATAGGTCTAATGACAGACATCTTTCTACCTCTACAGTAAATTATTTATCTATGAGAATAAAGATTAAGAGAGAATAAAGCAACAGATTCAGGAGAATAAACTTATACATTTAGGACAATTATGTCCTTACATGATGAGAATAAAGTTGTAAATATAAAATCAAAAGTTAAAAAGAGTAAATTTATCAGACTTTAGTGGTATAATTTCATTAAAGCTGAAAGTTACGAAATAAAGTGATGACTTAAAATAAGACTACACAGTCATTTATAAGACAATAAAGCTGTAAATCTTTGAGAATAAAATCACAGATTTAGAGTAGAGAGTTGTAAATTTACGAGAATACAGATATTAAATTATAGGACTTAAGTCATATTGAAATACTGAAATACTTCACTGGTCTCATCAGCACATTGTTCTATGAATCAGGGCACTGATAAAAACTGAACTTTACTAACATTTGTTACTAAAACTTTGACTCAATAATAACTTCAGAATATGCTCCATCAAAACTCTAAAAACTCAAATCTTAGGAAGTGATCATGTCTCATTTCTAATAAGAAGTCTCTGTTAGGATAAGTTTAATCCTAATTCACCTGCAAAAAGGTTTAAAAAGGTTCAAGTCAAAAATAAGAGGTGCTAATACTGAGAAGAAAACAATCTGCTCATGGAAAAAGAAAAGATCACTATAAAAAACCTGTATGAGGCATTTTAAAGTGAATGTTTTTGATTCAGTAACTTCATTGTTTATTGTTGTTGTTTTTTTTACTCACTGCAAGCAATTCAGATCTTATTTTGGGATGTAATATCCTGAAATACCACTTATAAGACAAAAATAGAGGTCACAATCCAGTACTTGTTTTAATGAAGTCAGCTGACTGTCCTACTAACATTAAAATGAACAGAGACCCACAGATTCATCCTCATAAATACTCTCAAACTCTGTCCTGGTCTGTTTAACGCATTCAAGCAACAAATACTGGTAATACTGGTTCATGTCATGGTGTCCGCCTCAGTGGTCTTTAAGTGTGCATAAAATACACCAATAAAGTCTGAAGAGGGAAAACATGACTGATGTTTAAACGGCAGTTTTTACCTGACCAGGAGCGAAAGGAAGCAATGATGGACATTTTACTGGCGGTGAACTGAGCCTGTCTGTCCTCCCTGAATGTGAAGATTGAACACAGTTAACAACAAACCATCAGGAAAAAAACTGCTCCACACTGTCAGGAGGATGAAAAATGTTTGATCAAACCATGTGGACTCACTTTATCTGCCCTGACTCAGGGCTGTGTCTGTAGTGGAAGTCTGTATATGGGGCCAGAATTTGCTGAAACACACAGGGTCAGGTTTGGTGTTAAAAACCAGCAGTTGCATTAGAAACAAGCTGTCAGAGTGTTTCTCTACCTCGAGTTCCACATCAGCGCGGACGTAGCAGCGTGTGTGTGGGTGGTTGAGGAGGTGCAGGACGGTAGTGATCAGAGCCTCGTTGATCCGGATCAGCTGACAAGCCGTCACACTCCTCAGGATGGTGCTGAGACCCCCCCGCTGGGCCACCACAACGGGGTTCTTTAAGGCTGCCGAATAAAGAGGCCACACACACTGTGACAGCGCTGACGTCAGGATGTGGGTGTGTGTGTGTGTGTGTGTGTTTGTGTGTGTGTTTGTGCGAGCTCGCTTACTCACACAGCTCACAGATTATGGCAATGCATGCTCGCACCATCCGATCTCGCTCATGCAGCCCGTCGTTCCCCACGGCGATGAGTGAGTTGGTGAGAGAAGAAGGGAAGAGACGAGCATTCACACTGATCATCTGTGAGAGGACACACACACACACACACACACAGAGGAAGTCAGCGTGTGTGTAAGTAGGGCACAGTCTGTGTTTCTGGAGTATTTTGGTTCAGACTGAAATATCTGCTCTCCTGTGAGGTGGATCAATATTCACCTCACAACTATCAGACTTAAAATCAGGTGCAGACGGAGAGAGAGCTCGAACCTTTAGACACATTACAATCTGTTGCACATGTTAAAAAAATCAACATTGACTGCTGCATAAGCCTTAAGATAAAAAACAATGAATTAAAAATAGCTCCTGATATCTAAAATTAGTCCGCTCAAACTTCTCCCTTAGTCATGTTAAATTATAACTTAGCAAACACTTTCTGCAGATGTCGCTGTTTTCATTTAAAGCTGCAGTCAATCTTTTGGAGGATGGAGTATTTTTGCATTTTTACCCTGCTCTGTTTGTTTGGTTACTTACAACCCTCTCCTTGGCCTCTGGCTGAACCTCAAATACAACAAAATGTGAAATTTTAATGCTTATTGGCAAATTAAGCTATTATTTGCAATATTTTTCTTGACAAAAGTGTCAAATATTTTGGAATTTTAAATAAAAAAACTTTCTTGAATATTTAATTATTGTCTGTTAACAGAATAGATATTCAGAGTGATAAAACAGAGCTCAGCTGGAGGAAAGTTAGTGAAGAGGTATGATTATCTGGTAAGTTGTTTCAATGTGTACCAACACATGACATATCTGTATGGAAAAATATACAGGTGCTTGTCTTGTTTTATGTCTGCCTCTAGAACAGATAGACAGTCGCCGTAAAACAAAAGGTCATTTCTAGTGAGAAAACACTGGGAGTTATTTTGTATTTAAAAAGAAATCATATGAATAGGTATACATGTCAGCGTCAGACAAAATTAGTTTGAAATCTTGATGCATCGAATATCTGAAAAAATCCAATATCCTGAATCCCGAGTTAAAAGCAGATCTCACCTTGCGAGCCAGTCTGACAGCCTGAGTTCTTTCGACTTCGTTACTCTGCTGAATATCGATGCACCTGAGACAGAGTCAAGAGGACCAATCAAATAAGGAAGAAACATATCTGTGAGACAGTGGAATTTTAGGTGGTCCAGGTCTGGAAGTAAAAAAAAAATACACTCAGTTTTTTATAAATCTCCTTAAATAATTCACAGTTAAAGAAATAAGAATTTTGAAGTCTCTGAATGAAGTTAAAAACATTTTACAAATTCAAATGCTGAGCTGGAAACTGAGTGACTTTAACTTCAAACCCTTAATTATACTGCAGAGAAAGCTGAATCTGAAATCTGCAGCCCCTCTGGCTACACCCTCAGATCTGCGTTTAACAGCTGCAGTGATAGTTTGATATTCAGAGTACAGGAAAGCACGACAAAGACACACAGCTCCCTCTCACTTGCATAAAAACCTGTGATTGTTAAACTCCCACCCTCCTCACATCGTGTCAAAATGACTCACCTGGCGATCAGGTAATCCACCTGCAGTCTCAGCACCTTCTCCATCACTCTGCTGTCTCTGATCAGGTAACGCAGAGCTCGCAGTCCTGCCGCTCGAACCTCTTTAACCTCATTCAGTAACGCTAACCTAAGACTGAGCAGAGGGAGCGTGAGAGCAGGATTCAGAGCTCAGTCTGCAGCAGAATAATGAATATACACACACGTTCAAACACTCACCAGATGATGATCTCCTCGTGGGTGAAGCCCAGTTTCTCCTCTGAGTGACCCACACTGCACAGCAGCTGAGAGCAGACATACAGAGAAAATGGTGATCGCTTCAGGACAGAGTAGAAATGCTCTGGTCAAACCAGAGTACCTCAGCAGTGGTAATAGATAAATGCCAAAACAATAGATAAATGACAGTTCTGCCCTTTAGAGATATTTCAACTTCACTTCAATGTTTTTTTCTGCATCAACTCTTGAACTGTGCAAACCTGCTCAAGGCGGCTAAAACATCTCAAAGGAGTATGAGAGGTGGAAACTTTGGTAATCAAAACCCTCTCCTTTGGATTCATTCACCAGATAAGATCTAAAAGGCAATCAACCTCTCTACTATAAGGACAAAACTGAGACCCTTGCTTTTGGATAGACTAAGACATAAAGGCCTGCTCTGACCTAGACCAGTTCTAGTTAGGCTGCAATAAGCCTAGACTGCAGAAGACTTAAACTAGTACAGGCTTAGACTGTTGTAGACTCAGACTGTTGATAAACTTGCACACTCAGCTCCTGTCCTTCTTCTCTCTGTTCTATTTCTGTCAGTGTCTTATCTACTTTTAGTTTTCATGTTCTGTCAAAATCTTTCTTTCAGTTTCTCAGCTTCACTGTGTTTCACCTTCACTAACATCTAGGTAAGATTAAGTTTCATAAACATAACCAGCCTTTTCAAACTTCAGATCATGAGATTATCTCTCGTTACAGCTCCGGTTTGGTTTTAACAAACCTTCACAAAGTTATTGAGGTGTCCCAGCTTCCTCATGTTGGAGACTTCTCTTAGCCTTGAGACATTTTGGAGGATTTCATGGAGATTCTCTGCAGGATCTGAAACCAGAAGGAAAAAAAACATGTACAGAGATTTTTATCCAAGGTTTAATACTACATCTTTAAGTGAACAGGAAAATATTCACTTTAAACAGGTGTTACTGTAGTGGAGAGTGTCAAACTGAAACAGTGACCACGTTTACGTGGAAACACAAACACACAAGGTAAACACTGGTACCCACAGCACAGGAACTGTAACCAGACTGTTTTTTTTACAACTCAGTTACACCTGGGCTGCAGACCTATGGTCATTTTACTGTCTGTATTCACTATTTTATTTATCATTAGCCCAACTTTTGGTTTGCAGTCCACTGAAAAAATTGCAGAGATTATCAAACACTGTTTCTATACACTGGAGACACAGAAAATCTCATGAGTTAAAAGCTGAAACAACAAAGTGCTTTTGATCGATAAGATCAAAGTCAAATCACTGCAGATTAATATTCCACTGGGTTGACCAATAAACAGCAGAGCCAGCTATAAATTAAACTATAAAGATATTGTGAGTTTTTGAGTATGAGTTAACAGCCTTACAGTGTGATAAAAATGTGTTATAAAAATGATCAGGAGTAAAAACAGTTTTACAGGCTATCATGTATGTGTGAACTTTTCTATATAATCACTGACCGTCCATTTCTCATCGTTTTATTGGGACTTGATTAGATTTTTAGATTTCTGCACCTTTCAGTATAAAAATTTTGCATATTGAATATTTTTATAAAGTTTTCATATTTTTTGATGATTTGTAAGTTTTTCTCCCAACCCCTTTGAGACTGTTTTCGTATATATATATATATATATATATATATATATATATATATATATATATAATTTCTGAATGCTTTGATGCATTTAAATGTCTGTGATAGTCATAATTTGATGTTTTTGTCTGATTAAGTGTCACTGCCTTTAAAATGTGCTTCCTTGGAACAAATTTAAGTATCTGTCCTAACCTTTTATTTTTGTACACTCCTTCTACACTTTGAAAAGTGTATATTTTCCATGGAGAGTATGTCTCTTGTGTACTTTTGCTCTTCTGTGTTTTATTGTACAGTCGACTCCAGGAGCAACAAACTCTAATTCTAGTGTCTGTCTGTCTCTGTGATTTTCTATTTTAATATCACAGAGAGGACAGCTCTGTCTGATCTGTGAGAGTCGTAACATAAAAATCCTCTCTTCATCATCTTCTACTGCATCTCTGTGCCTCTATTTCTGTCCTCCTCAGTGTTTCACTGATATAGCAAAGACACCATCATCTGTCTCTAATAAGGAAACATGTTTCTGATATTTGGACTTACTCACAGACACTTGAATAGAAGAGGAAGAAGCACCCAAATATTTAACTCAAAAGTATAATTACTTTGACAGCATGTTACTGAAGTAAAGGCTATTCTACTTCAGTGACAGTAAATATATATTTTGTTTTAGAATTTACTTGAAGTACTTACATTTAAATGAAAGTGGTGAGGGTTCAAAGAGTAACATTTACCCTCAGGTTTATGCAAAAGCATATTTTCCCAAACCTATTGTTGAAAAATGCTCAATATCATAACTGCATAAGGTAATGTTGATGCTGCACTAACTTCAGCAATGAAGTTACTTTTTTTCCAGCGTCAGTGTTGCACTTTACAACCCTTGTTTAAGGGGGCTCTCAGGTCAAAGGTGACTGAAATCAAAATCATCTAAGAATGTTTCATACTCCATGAAAACAGGTTTAGGATTGAAAGTTAGTGTGGAAGATGAGCACAGAGAATCAGGACAACATAGAGGAGGCACAGACAGACACACTCAGACATTTGACATGAAGTTTGAACATCACACGCGCGCGCACACACACAGAGTTGAGGTGATGCTGAGCGTGGATGCTCCTGATGTCAGACATCAAACTCACCTCTGTTTAGATCCAGAGGGACGGCTTCCTCCGCGCTTTCATTCCGACCTACCACACACACATGAGCAGGATTTAAAGGAGGACACACACATTTACACACACACAGTCATACATGTGTACAGTTACCTGTGAACGGAGGGTTAATGCGTGTGTAAGTGAGTGTGTGTGTATGTGTATGTCACCTCTGATCCGCGCGCTCCTGCTCGGCCGGACTCGGATGCTGCTCACCGCCATCTTTACAGGAGGAGCAGTCAGAGGAGACAGGGGTGGGGGGGAGATATCGCGAGAATCTGCATCCTGTCATCCTCTGATCTTCCTCCTCTTCATCATTAGGACTCGGGCAGAGAGGAAGGACTTCAGACGAAAAAATTAAGCCTGTGAATGATCTTTAAATATTGACAGAACAAAACATGAGTATGAGAGCCGTGCTTAAAAAACAGCTATCCCTACAAAGAGTGATGGTCCTGAGTTTTTGATTACATTCACTGGATTTCAAATGGCCTATATTATAGGCCTAGTTTCATAAGAGTATGGACGCAGTGTAAAATGTTCATTAAGAACAGAATTTGATCATTGTTACACTACTTAAAGTCCACATTTAATGTAAAATAGTGCAAAAACAACATATCAAATGTTGAAGCTCAAAAATTAGATGCCACTAACCCATTTCTAAAACGTTATTGTGTAAAGAATGGGTGGATTTCATCATCTACAAAAAATAATATCATTATGAGAGGATCTGGAGAAATCTCTGTATAAAAGGGACATGGACTAAAATGGATGGTCCAATCTCCAGGCCCTCAGACAGCACTGCATGAAAAACAGACTGTGCACATGGTGGACTGGATGATACCCTTCATTTATCCCTATCCTCTTGATGTTTTATCAGCCTGATGCTATTTTTGTATGGCATAATAATAATAATAATAATAATAATAATAATAATAATAATAATAATAATAATAATAATAATGATAATAATATGGATTTCTTTTTCATCACAACTTTATCTATTTTGTGAAAGTGTGAAATAACTGAAAACATGTTTTATATTTTAGATTCCTCAAAGTAGCCACCCTTTGCTTTTTTGATAGTGCTGCAACTTTTGCTGTTCTCTCAATGAGCTTCATGAAGTAGTCACCTGAAATGGCTTTTACTTCACAGGTGTGCCTTGTCAGGGTTTAAGTACTTCTGTCATCAAGAGCAAAGGGTGGCTATTTTAAAGAAACTAGAATATAAAACATGTTTTCAGTTATTTCACACTTTTTATATAAGTACAAAATTCTACATGTGTTCATTTATAGTTTTGATGCCTTTAATCTGCAATGTAAATAGTCATATAAAAAATAAAGAAAAGACATTGAATGAGAAGGTGTGTCCAAACTTTTGGCCTGTACTGTATGTAACAAAAACTTGTGGATATCATCCTTAATCCAACTGAAACTATAACTGTCTTTGACTGTAGTAGTTTTATTCTAAGTATCTTTGCTGTTATTTTTTTAAACAGGCTGTATAACGAGTTCCTATAATCTGCAGTAATCTCAGTGATATAACCTCAGATTAACTGGATTAACAGTAAACCAAAGGGCTGAGTGGTTGTAAATATAATTCATTGTTTCCTGTCTCTACAGAGAGTGTTAGACACTCTGCTGTCTCTGAATAATATTGTAAATATAATTATGAATATCTTTTAGTGTGAAAATCAGACCGGAAGTGCTCCTTCCTCCTGTTGAGGGAAGAGAGGAGCTGCGGATACAGAGGAGGCTCCACATCCGATTCTCCGCTCAATAACAGGTGCTTATTTTATTATCTTTTCATTATCGCAGAGTAAACAGAGACGGTGTTGATCAGAGAGAATCAATAATCGATGTTAGCGCCGACTGACTTATCAATACGGTCAGATATCGATCATGACAGATCCACAGAGGCAGGGAGGTTTCAGATCAGAGCAGGCGGCTACAACATGGGCGCTGTGTCCTCATCAGCTGTTTGCATGTTCAGGTTTTCATGTCAGAGGGGTGTACGGGCTTTTAATATGTGTGTCAGTGCTCTCCATCACACACACTAACACACACTCACACACAGATGTACACGCTTACACACACACTCACAGGAAGGATGGGTCCGGCCTGTGTCTCTAACAGCCATCTTTACTCACACTCACTGTGAATGATTCAGACACGTTTAAAGCAGCGATCTGCTCTGATATTTGCCTATGTATGTGTGTAAGTGGTTTACTGTGTTAGTGTGTGAAGCCTGAGGTGTGGTTGTATTGCAGTCATGATCAGGTGTGTTGGTTGATCTGCTCCTCTTTCTCTCTGGCTCGCTTCAACCCTCCATGGCGTCTTTACGCACCGAGCTGCATCTCCGTCTTGTCCTCTGTCTGAGAGCTGCTCACGCAGTCTCTTACTACTGAAATCTCCATCTGCATGCAGTCTGAGAGCAGGACAACCAGAGAAAACCTCTGCACAGTCACTGCAATGCTCTCAGATCATGTCACACGAGTGGAAAGTGCTGCATAAAACATTCATCAGCAGATTAATCCTCATTTCCATCAGTTTGTTCAGATTCCCCAATAGAGACCAGGAGAAAGAAGGTTGAATTTAAGGCTCTGTAAACCAGTCATTAAAACAAACCTGAACCTGTTGTGTCAAATATAGGCAGGCTAATGCTACACTCCTGTAACCTGTGAACTTACTGAAAACACAGCTGCCAAATGATTGCTTTAGGATCTCTATCAGTTGCTGTATTTATTAAGTTAAAACTCCTGGTAGACATTTTTGCACGATTTTAATGGTCAGTCACTGCCGACCTAAGGGCTCCTTCAAACAAATGCTTTAACGGTGGATTATTTTGAGGTTTAATCAAAGGTTTTCTTAAGTTAGGGTAGATGATGTTGCTTATTTTTGGGATTTGATTGTGATTTCAGTGTTAAATTTCTCCTCAGTGTTTTATATACAGTACACTAAGGAAAATTAATTAACTGTATTTATTCAAGTTACTCTGTATTTTTACTAAAATGAATATTTTTTAAATTACTCTGTTATTTTTCACGATGAGGATTGGGCTCACCTTTATTTGATGTTGCATCGGTGATTAAAGCTCTTGTGAGTAACTTTTAGTTCATGCCAGTTTTGGTGCCTCATGTGGACAAATGAGTCTTTGCTGATCTTGTTCTCCATCAGATCTCATCCTGCTGACTTTTGACAGTCAGATGTATCATTTATTTTTAAACAGGATTGTTTCTTCAGCTGCTCGGCCAACACCTACCCTCTCACAAATGTTTCAGGCATTAAAATTACAATAGAAAAACCGTCAGTCTTATCGCTGATGGTTGGGTTTTCTTTTGGATATCATAAGTTATCAATATAAATTTCAGTCTGTTTCATAAAAGTTGAAAACTCTTCACAGGAGCTTTAATCTTGATCATGACCTGGCTTTCTTGTTAATCACCTGTCTGTGTTAAATGAAAGACTTTGATTGGTCTAAACCCCTTGACAACCGTCATTTGCTCTGCATAACAAGAGTAACGCCAGAGATGAGAAGGTTACACATTATATCAAATCAATCGGCAGAAGGTGGTTCCGGTACATTTTACATCTGCCGACTTTTAGGCCATAAGACAATATGTTAGCTTCTGTTAGCATGTTAGATTGGCTGAACTGGTGACAATCCTCCCTTGTAGTCCTGGCAACAGAGCTGGGGAGAGCATCTACTCGTTTAGGATTGCTGCAACAAAAAAACAGAATCAGTATCGAATTAACAGTTGACAAGGAGCACTTTTAACAGTGTTTAATTTATTTTCAATGGTGCATTACTGCAAAGCTTTAAGGAGAAGCAGAGCTAAATAAGGACCAAAGTCAACACAGAAGACCTGTTCACTTTGTGTGACAATACCATCAATGGAAATGTTCAATTTAATGTGAATAAAAGCAAATAAGCAGCTGTAAATGTTCCTACAGACTTCTCTTTTCGAATGTGACCTTCAGTGGAAAGGACTGGTTCAACCGTAATTATATTAGCATGCTAATGATTGACTTAATGAATGCACCTTATGATCTTGACTTCTTGATTTGTTATTCAAATAAATGCAGCTGGGTTACAGCAGTGTGGTCTGAAACTTTGGCTTGGAGGGTGGAGGCTGTGTCGGAGTTTGTTCTGTCAGATATAGATGCAAAATTATTCTGTCAGGGTTTTGGAACCACCTGCCTCCCCCACAGAGATCACAGCCCTCTCTGCTGGACCTTCACAATACTTAAAGGGTATTCTTAGTTGCTACCATTACAGTATTTTTTACAGACAGGCCATCAAACCAACAAAGGATTTTTTTTTTTCATGAAAGATGGGTAGAAAATACATAAAATGTTGGTGCATCTCACTCATCTCCAGGGATCCTTGGTTAATGTTATAGCATTTACACTTTCCAGGAGTTCCAGTTTGGTTGCTTTGTGTTTTACAAAGCTCCTACATGTGACAAAATACTGCTCCCACTGAACACAAGTGGTCACAACATGCAAAACATTAGAATATCCCTGAATCTAACCATCAGGGAAAGATGGTGGTTGATGAACACATATAATAATCTTTAAATAAAAGCTCCAGTAAGGAGTTTTTGACTGGTTATGAAACAGATTTTATGAACAGTGATGCCTCTTTATGACCCACAAAAGCAACATGACTGACAGTTTCTATATTTCAGCTCTCTGTATCTGATGTGGGTGTAAGTGTCTGACTTGTTCCACATCTCTCTGTCTCCTCTCAGTCAGGATGTCCGTCAGGATGGAGATGGATGTTGGTGGTGTCTCTCGGGCTCCGGTCTCCATCCTCCCTGCTGCTGCTGAGATCAAGTCCACCCTGAAACCAGAACCAGAGAGACCCCGCTGTGCCAGCACCCCCTGTTCCCCCATCAGAGGGACTGTGGCCGGATACCAGATCCTCCACATGGACTCCAACTACCTGGTGGGCTTCACCACGGGGGAGGAGCTGCTCAAGTTGGCCCATAGGTGGTCAGAGGGGGGTCAAGAGAAGAGCCCTGCCTTAGAGTCTGTGTCTGGATCAGTCCAGAGCCCCCTCCCCAAGTCAGTGGACCTTGGCGTCCACCGATCTTCCCGTGTCTTTAAAGCAAGGGGGCGGTACTACCAGCCGTACGACATCCCCGCCTCCAGCGGGAGGAGGCGGAGACGCATGCCCAGCTCCTGTGAGACCATCCTCAGACCCCCCACCCACAGTGAGCCAGGGAGGAGTCTGAACGCCCCCCTACCCGTCTGCCTGATGAAGGGGAAGAGGGCCCAGTCCAAGTCCCTGGACTACCTGAACCTGGACAGACTGAGCTTGAAGGAGTCCACAGACACGGAGGTGCTACAGTACCAGCTACAGCACCTCACTCTCAGGGGGGAGCTAAGGGGGGAGAGGGTGTTTACCAGGAACAAGACTTGAAGCGAGTGGGCGGAGTCTTGATTTAGACCCCCCCACACACCTCGTGGGGATTTAGGTGCTATTTCCAGCTTCGCTTTCTTCAACTCAGATTACAGGAGCTCCTGTTTGAGGAGACACTCCGATAATCCTGTTAGATGATCATCCAGGGGGGAGGAGGAGGGAGGAGGGAGGAGGGGGCGGTGTTAAATAATGTGAATCATATAAATTTAGCAATAACATGGTAATGACAGTGTGTGTGTGTGTGTGTGTGTGTGTGTGTGTGTGTGTGTGTGTGTGTGTGTGTGTGTGTGTGTGTGTGTGTGTGTGTGTGTGTGTTTATAGAAGCACATATTACAGTCTGGCCTGCTCTGATCTGTGAGTCATAGATTACCTGTTAATCTGGGAGCAGGTGTGTTATGTATGTTGAACTCTCATTATATCACTGCAGGCTGCTGCGAGGTCTGAATAACGGCAGATTATTTCTTTGCCAGTTTATTTATTGCTTTCAGTCCACATCACTGTGTTAAAAACTCTGCTTAAAGGAGACCTGTTACACTACTCTCGAGTTCAGTACAAACATATAAAGTTATAATGTGATATGTCAACACTGGAACTTGTCTAAGGGGGAAGACGTCATCAAAGCAGCTCAGGAAAACAGCTGAGTTTAAACAGATTTCACTATAAAGAGTCACAGTAAATAAAACACTGGACCAATAAAAGCCTGGAGGATGACGAGACAAAAGGAGCAAAGACTGATTTTTCCAGAGAGGGCGCCAAAATTGACCCAAACTGAAAGTTCCTCACAGGAGCTTTAACTTATTCCCATATTTATTAATGATTTTCATTATTAAAATAATAACTCTCAAACACAGAGCCAATCATAATTTAAAACAAACAGCCGATCTTATCCCTAAGGACATTGTTTGAGGACACGCCCACCCTGCAGCTCTTTAAATCCTCTCTTCTGTAGAGTCCATTTCCCTGCTGCTCTTCCTCCTCCTCCTCCTCTCTGCTCTTTGTTGGTTCAGTCTGTCACTCAAGTTTCTCTCAGTCTCCTTTTAGTTGTAAAGGAAAGTCTCAGCTCTTTTCTTTTCCCAAAGATGAAGGCTCCAGAAAGTAAAACAACAGACACAACGTAACTGTTTGTGCTCGCCACTTCACTGATGACTCTTGTAAACAAAGGCCAGTATGAGCTGGATTTGAGTCTCAGCTGTAAACCTAGAGCTGTTTATCTAGAAAGACCTTCATGAAGGTTCAGAACCACAAACTGAAAGACACATTACAACAGCACAGAATGGGACTAAAGCTGTGTAAAAATTAACACCCCAAGCTGTGTCTGTGAGCTAAATTGACCGAAGTTTAAGATGAGTCAGGGGCTTTTAGAGCTACTCTCTTGGTGTCTGTATAATAAATTAGTATAATAGGTCTCCTTTAAGTAGAGCTGTGTTCATCATCACTGCTTTGTTGATTTAATAATGTTCTTGTAAACTCTGTAAACCTGAGACTTCCTCAGTTCTTGAGGAACTCTATATATTGTTTCAGCAGTAGTTTTGCTGGTTTGTGTTTTCACTCTGAGCCATAGGTTCTTCAAGACAAACATTTAAAGGGAACATGTGAGCTGACACGGACAGACAGTGGGCATCTTAAAGCCTTAAATGTACCTGAACTCCCTCAAACAGACTCTCAGCTCCGCCCACACTGACCTCTGTCTGCAGGTGAGCAGTTTTCAGGTGAGGCCTGCAGAGCAGTTTGGTCTTATCACACCTGTTTTCTCTGTCCGTACTGGATCTAAAATCCTCTCTACGCTTTTGAAATATTGTTTTTATTTCCTTGTACTTTTGCCTTTTTTGGCTGGTGGAGTTTGTGAAGACAAACTGTAAAACCTAAGAGAGGCTCAGCCAAAAGTTTCTGTAAAAGTTTGCTGACCTTAACCAGAGACCTTAGATTTCCTCCTTTGCACTGAGCTGCACCATTACAAGAGCAGGACGATACAGATTATTGAATCTGTACATTTAAATACAGCCAGAGACACTGAGGGGAGTTACAAACTCAGTTTCTGTGTGAAGGCTTTTAGATCATGATCAGGAATGGAAACTGATGATATTTTATGATGCTAATACCGTTATTGAAGTCTTTTATTGCCTCTGTTGTTATGTGTGGAAAAAAAGCTCATTTGTAAAGGTTTGTTTTTTTGTCAACAACAAAAGTAGAAGGTGTTTTATCACCTTCACTGCCCTGCTGAAACAGAACAGAGAAGCCTGGTTTCTGTTTTGACATGTACAGGTCAGCAGCTGATTGCAGATCCAGCTTCTGGTTGGTCAACTGGTCAAAACTAAGATAGCAGCTTTTGTCTCGCATGGTCAGCTAACAACAGAAATGACACTATTTGGCTAAATTAATCTAAAAATCATCTCAGATTACTTTTGTTTCTGAGGGACAGTTTCTAAAATACTCTGATCTTCTCTGTGGGATAGAAAAGCTCCTGGAGGTCAAGGTTATCGCCACAAAGCTACTGGACTCACGAAGAGAGTGGATTTGAACAGTCATAAAGTTGTATTGTAGAGCTGATATTAAAAACACAGCAGTTTTGAACTGTATATGACAGACATTGGACCACTCCTGTCCTTTTACCACCATGATTACTTCCTCGACTCCTTTGTTATCGTTTATGCCGATGGTATCTCATAATGCATCATGAGGTTTTTTTGCAAGGCACGCGGAATTAAGTGGAAAGCATCGATGAGGAAACCACAGGGAAAAAAGTCAAATAATGGCTTGAATGGCTTGAACTTTGTAGATGAAGCAGGTTCTCGGCTCCCACGTGGAACCAGTTCTCAGTACTCATCCCTTGTCAGGATGTTTTCAAGGATACACAACATTATCAGCTTAATACCACTATCAGCAGATATTAGAAACTAGGTGATGCTTTTTTAAACAGTGGCTCAACCACGAGCATAAACATGTCAGTGATGATTTTTTTAAGTGTCAGAAACAGACAGGGAAACAGCTGTTTGCAAATCTTGTGGGACTTGTGGATAGAGAGAGGAGGCAAACAACTTTCTTTTAACTCTACGAAGTTTACTGTGAATCGAAACAAACTTTATCTCGAACAGAGCCAAGAGTTTATGGCTGGGACCATCCAAAGGAAGATGCAGCTCCAGCAGGCTGTTGATTTACTTGGATTAGTGTTGATGTCGGCCATAACAAGCTTGGAAGTATCAGTATCAGTGTATCGAACATTGACAACAATCTGATATCTGATACATCCCAAGAAATATTCCCCTTGGTTTGTTTTACCTGTGAACAGACATGTAGAGTTACCTGAGCCAAAAGAAACACTTGTATAATGGTACTTAAAACCCCATTGCAGATGATAATTCAATGAAGCTGAACTAACATATTGTGTCATGAACAATTAATGACTTTTCGCTTTTATTCTTGGATGATTGGTTTACACACTGAACGTCCCTCCTCCTTAGGAAAGATAATAGACCCGTTATTTTTCAGAGTAAAGACTTTATCAGGTGTGTAAAGTTTGACAGGTGTCTCCTGGTGGATCCTCAGTATGATGCAGACACACAGGTATAACTGAATATAAACGTTTTTTGTACCTATATATTGTTATTTGACTGAATCTGTCGGCTTTAGATTAATACACCTGTGCACAGCAGTGTGTAGAGACTGTGTGTCTTTTTACTGAGTGTGTGTGTTTCTGATAACTCGTCTGCAGCTGGTGAACTGTGGGACTCTCACTGCAGACTGTATGTGCAGCTCCTCTCAGTCAGCTGATCAGACAGGAAACTTTGCAGTAATCTGTACATAATGAAGCCATGTGCACACTAACATCTGTACACCCCTGAGTTTGATCACTCTTTTATTCAGATGTTTTATCACAGTCTGATGAGCCGATCTCAAAGGGAAATTTCACTCCTTCTGTTTTCTTTCTTGCAGCAAAGAAAGCTCTCTTGATTTTATGAATGTATGACATTTAAGCTCTCTGTGTTAAAATCTCTTTTTTATATTTTCTGTTGTAGATCCTGAGTCAGTCTGAGTCAAATAGTTTCAGTGCGTGTTTTTATGAGCCTATAAATCCAGACCCATAAGGAAGTGTCTGTTTCTAATCTCACCTTGGACAGTAGAGAGTCAGAAATGTTTGAATCATCCACAGACTGACTTTGAACTCTGCATCTTAACCCCTTTCTGAATATGATCATAATGTTTCTATGTTTAGTTTTTACTGTGTTACTTCTTTATGTAATGTTGGAGTTGGTCTAAACAGGTTTTTTCTATATTTGGACCAGTGCAGGTTTATTAACATGATAATAATGGTATTAAAATAGTGCAATGGTATTCTGTCTTAATGCTATACAACCCTGATGCCAAAAACTCAGGACGCTGTGTGAAATGATAATAAACACAAAATTTAATGGTCTGAGAATAATTTAAAGCCTTTATGTAACTGAAATTAGTGAAAAGACATCATGTAAACCTGAAAAACCTTGTTTTATTAAAAATATCTGCTCACTTTAAATTTGAAATGTTGTCACATTCTTGCCTGATAGAAGATTTCAGCAGCTCAACAGTTCAGGGTCTCCTTATCAGCTTTTTAGGTGAATCTGGCGACTTTAAAGAAACTCAACTCTCGAGTGTCAAAATCATTGTTTTTCAATGTAACTTCAGCTCTGCGCCGCCGCCAGAAGCTTAGGGCTCACTGAAAGGACTTTCATTCAAAACTCTTGGTAAATCAGAGGCCCTTTAAGAACATTTGTAATCAGAGGGCTCTCTTAACAGTATGCTCTCCCATTAGGGCTCTCCCTAGGGCCCCCACATAGCCAGAAGTCACGACCCTTAGCAGGGGCTTTCATAATCATAGGGCCCTCTGAGAGCATTCCCCCCTACTTCCTTGAACCCCTAGTTGGTAAATCTAGTGCTCCCTTAGGAGTATTCACGAGAGGCACTACAGCAGGGCCAGCCCAGGGGCCCTCTGACTGCCGTCCCCCCCGCCCAATTCATATCACCCTTCTCTCTCGGCTCTCTTCAGATATGCCCTATAACAGTGTGAGTAGTCATAAGATCCTAGAGAATAGAGGCCCTCTGACATCGCAATTGGGCATCTGCATCGCTTTCCCTTTTGCCTCTTATAACTGGTGTATCATTGTTTAACTGTTTTTATCTGCCTCAATTTAATTGCAAATTTAAAGAAGAATATCAAATCAATACATGCACAGCTTCAAATCGCTGCAGATCTCCACCTATAGGCCATCTCCATGCATAAAATATCCTCATGGCAGCAATTGTTTAAAAAAGGTTGTTTCAGTTTTTCTTTCTGCAGGTTTGTTAAAAAAAAAAACGCCTGTTAAACTGTTAACTGCTAAAGTGCCATTAAATATGAACCTGATGGCTGAAAAATAATGGGTTTTTTTTTCATTTCTATTTTGTGCCCACTTCATTTTATTTTTCTTTTTTGTTATTTTGGGTAAATTTCATGTAAGTGAATACAGCTAATTGGTGTAAGAGTGTCCTGGATGCAGCTGTCTGTCTGTTTTCATGCTGATTAAAGTGTTTAAAGTTTGATTATGTATAATCTGATATTCATTTACAGGCTATGGTGTGTTTGAAGAACTGTCTTAACCAGTTTTACGATCAAACTGTTGTTTTTACCTCTTTAAACCACACAAGCTAACCTTGGAAACGTCATTGTAGAGGAGAATTTTACTGCTGATATTGAACATTTTGTTTGATTTAACTGCTATTACATAAACGTAACTTCATTGTTTAACACAGATTAACTTCATAGTGACTGACTCTACTGCCAAGAACAGAAAACCTTATTTTAAACCGTAATAATTACCTAATTTCCAGACTGTGTGACTCTGTTTCAGACTCTGGGGTGTCCGATCTGTTTTACTTCACTCTGTATGTGAATCACTCTTATGCACTCTTATTAAAGCCAAACAAAAATGTACACTTAATGTAACCGATGACTGTTCAACCATTAAAGATTATTGAAACAGAAACATTCCCCCCGTTTGTGTGTGAGATCTGAAACTGTAAACTTTAAACTTTCCAATGATGAGAAAATATGAACAGCTACAGATTCAAACAGTACAGGGATCAAACCATCCACAAGAACTGGGTGTCAGCCAGACCCCTGACTGCACATTCAAAGACAGCTGCTAATTTTCATTGTTGATTCTGGTAGAAAAAAACGTAAATGAAACAGTTACAGTCTGCCTAAACATTTTAAAAGTACAAGAGATCCTTGTAAAAACCTTGAGGCAATCTGTTTGCACAACGCCTCAATTTAAATTCAGACATCTGTTCAGCTTGCTGAGTTTTGGAGGTTTCAGCAGTTTTATGGACTGCTGAAACCTCCTGAAGCTGCTTTACGTAGACAGAAAGTAAAAGGAACCTCATGCAGACTTTATTTGACTAACACACTGATGCATTATCATCTGTTATACAGAGAAATTATCAAAATCATGAGATCACATCATCATGAGATCTATTCTGACATTACATTTACAAAGTGAAAAGGGCCTGAGTTTGAGATCACTTCACAAATTGAATGATCTGATCTCTCAGGTTTATAAAAATCCTTCATAGAAATTATAGTGATATAATAAAGGACAAATCAACAAACCAGCTGATGTGAGAACATCTTCAGTATTTTAACTATGGCTGTAGCTGATCCAGGAGACTCTCCTCCGACAGACTTATGGCACAAACTAAAGGACCTCAAACAGTCTGAACCTCAGGCCTGCCGAGGGAAGGTACTACAGGGGGCGGGTAAAATTCACAGGATGGTCACTGAAAAAATAAAAAGTGCAAAAGTAAAGAAGGTGTCTTTGTGCTGGACCCTGTCTCTAGTCCGCACAGGGTTAGAGTGTTTTTACATCCTAGTCTCCTCTGGGAGGCGGTTCATGTAGTCAAGCAACGCCTGATGGAGAGGGAGCCACTTCTTTATGGAGGCTTTCAGAGCGATGATCCACCTGCAGACAACATCAGGACATGAAGACACACCTGTTCAGTAATGACTCTTATTGACTCATCAATCACACACCAGCAGCTCCAGGGGCACAGGACATTCAGAGAGTAGTGGATGGAGTTAATTTAAATGTGACTTTCTGCTCATGTATGCTGCAGTATTGAATGCACAGACACAGGCAGCCATACAGGGGCTGCAAAATATCTGAAATCCTGATAAAAAAAAATATGTAAAAATGTTGAACTTTTAAGGCTGCAGAATCACTCACAGCCTCTAAATGACTGCCTCAACCGCAGTATGTGCTCTAGATCTTGAAAACATTGTACAAATAAAATAGTCATGTTGTTGTTTCATGAGAGACTGACTTTTTTGTTCAATCAAATGTAAATGTAGACCTGTAAAGTTAAACTTCTGGAGCTGTGCAAACAAACATTAAACTCAGAGGAAGTTCCTGAGCCAGTCTGCAGAGCCCCCTCCTCACCGTTTGTTTTCGTTAGGATTTTCTGCACACAGGTAAAACGTCTTGAACTCATCAGATGGAGGCTTCAGCTCGATAGTGGACTTCTTGGATCCATATGGCTGCTCCCGAACTTGATACCCCTGCAGGTAGATCCCCCCTGAAGAGAGACATAATGATGCACAATCATTAGATGACTGTTTGTAGAAGCTTCCAGTCACTGTGAAAGATCAGCTCACTTTTATGTGCAGTTTTATGTGTTTAGTCCTTGATGTCAAAGCAGGCTGAGGTGAAGGGGTTAGCAAAAACAGTAAAACTAGCACTGACTTGAGCTACATGCTATTGTAGAAATATAAATAAACAAGTGCTTTCCTTTGATCATTTACTCATTTGTTTTGTTTTCTTCAATAAACACCTGAGCAACTCTTACTGTAAAGCCAAAGCAAACCTACATTATTGTTGGAGGAAGCACTGGAGGAGTGGTATATGTCTGATTTTCTCCTTACAATTACTATGTCTATAAAATATCACATCTGGAGAGGACATTACCTCAGAAAATGATTATCTCTCATGCTCTTACTTTGATATTTTTTTCTGTCTTGTGTTTGGGTTGCTTTATTTAGGCTTATATTTTGAAACTTCATACTTCTAGATCATAAGTTGCTGAACTGAATAGAAACAATTAAAGAAGACTTAAAAAGTATGGATGTTTAAGTGATCAGTGACCTTATGAGACTCAAACTCTAATGTTGTTTTTCGACTCATAATAAAACTTTGAATGTCTGTTTTTTTAAAGTGTCCGACTCTCTCTTGGAGGGATGCTACAGCTAACTCATTTACAGCTGCTGCCTCTTCTTCATCTATGCTCTGTTTTATGACATTTGGCCACTGATATGAACTCACATCATTACTGTATGATTATTTTTGTGCAATATTCATTTTAATTTCTTTAAAAATTGCTATTGTCAGAACCAGAATATTGTGACTGCCTCTGTGTTTATGCAAATCATTCCTGTTGTTGCATCAGCACAGGAGAAAACTCATATCCTCTTGTAAAGGCACTGTTTACTTTTACCTTTGACTTGAACTTTTTGATCTCAATCAAAGCTCTCCAGCTTTTTAGTCTGTATATTTAGTTTGTGTTTGAATTGTGTTTTCTGAAACAGTGTCTGTGTTTACCTCGAGCATGTGTGGCTCTGATCCCACTGTACAGAAACAGACAGCCGTCCTTCAGGATGCAGTAATGCTGCACCCACATGTCCCTGCTTCTGTCCATCTTATGAAGAAGTCCCAAACACTCAGGGTTCTTCACAGCCAGCGGGGGCAGGCTGGAGTTATGAAGGGTCACATCCACCCACACATGGTGCTGGTAAGGGTGAGGGGTCAATATAACAAGTGTTAAAGCAGTGGGACACCTAAAAACTAAGCAAACATTTGAGTATAATCTGCTGCAGGTCGAAATTACAATCCACAACTTCATGAGGGAGAGTCAGGGTTGCTACCTGTGTGATGGGATGAACAGCTTTCTCCATGGCATCCAACCACCTGAAATCACAAAGAAACACCTTGAGTACTTTTTCAGCATTCCTACTTCCCTCTTCATGCTCATAAAAAAGTCAACCATGGTTATATTCTCTCTTTCTGTGTGTGGTGTACCTCTTCATCTCCTGGTTGGAAGTTGCACAGAAGAAGTAAACTCTGTTTCCAGCCTGAGGTCGACACTTGAACACAAACGGTTTCCCCAGAGAAACATCCAGTCCCACCTCAGCCCCCTCCATCTTCACCGCCGACAGAGCCCGTCTCTTCCCCTCATCCTGAAACCAACAGGAAGTGATGTCAAAGGGACGGTTCTTGTTTAGTTTGTATCTGTGAGTGTATGGTGGTGCTGGCTGCTCACCCGTTTGTGTCTGTAGTAGTAAAGGCAGCAGTCATGTGTGAGGACGAACCACCTCTTTCTCCAGCCTTTAATCAGACCTGACTGGGTGCGCTTGTGAAGGTAACCTCGACAGCCTGGGCGGGGGGTGTTTGGACAGCGAGCAATGTCTGATCCAACAGTCAATGTCAGGATATCTGGACCTACAACATAGACAACATTAAATATAAATGAATCAGAAATCTGTGTGTCCCAGAACTAACACACAGTCAGTCCTCTACTCTTTAGTTTGTGGGCAGTGGTGCACTGGGAGGGTGGGATTACTCCTCCTGGTTCTTTCATGTCTGAACAACTATTGCACAGAAATGCAATCTAAGATGATAACATGTAAGAAGATGTTGTTCCTCAGATGCCTCTCCAGTCCGAAAAAAACCTGAATTAAGTGGCCTTTGAATGTCTATTGGACGAAATATAAAAACTGTGATCTAGATCCCCTTCCAGCATAAAAACATAAACTACTGTTGATAAAACATGAATAAGTGTCATCTGGATGCCCTACAGAATATAATGTGTAAAAATATGGGTTGGCTTTGCAGTTTAAACCCACCATGTACTGTATAGAGGCTACATTATTCATCGCAGTGGTTTCTTGTTTTGATTGCCAGATCCAACACTTGTTGCATGTCCTTCCCCTGTTCACTACTCAAAAGCTACACAGTTTCTGTAACTCCAGGAGACCCACTGCACAGGGTTGTCAAAATGAAAGCCCTCCACTTCTGTCGCATCTACCTTATGATTACTGGATGCCAAGGAGACACAGAAAAATGTACAGCTACAGAGACAGATTTTCATTGATCATAACTATTTGTTCCACTCTCCCATGGCATACAGTAGGTGGCCTTTGTTAGCCCCCTACCCCTCAAACAGCCCAGGTACACCACTGCTTGTGGGCTACTTTGTCTAAATTTCCTCCAGGTATCCTGCCTGTTTACAGCGTACCTTGTCTGGCCAGGTCAGCGGCCTCAGAGTGAGGGATACTGGTCACGTCAGTTCCATTAACAGCATGGACATAGTCCCCAACGATCAGGCCGGCCTCCTCTGCTGCTCCGTCTGAAACACACAAACACGAACAAATATCACCTTTAGCGGACAGAGATGCTATGCTGTATTCCTACACTCACACTTTGAGTTATAGTTCATTTTGGCTGTTATAGGTTGATTATTTTGATCCCAATCAGTTGCTGAATTTCTCTGGTCAGATCATTTGATGTTTCATGTTTCAAACTGATAGTGATGATGTGCAGCTACCCTGAGCTATATGATATGACTTGTTGTTTCTATGGAAAGAGGAATAAAAAAGAGCTTGCTGTGAGGAAAGTGAGTGAGGAGGTCGGATTATCTGGTAACAAATCCTCATAATGCCCTAAACCTCAGCTGTGTTTGATGGAAATAGACTGTATTGGCCTGAAGGAAGCCCCTCCTCTCTGGCATTGATTTGTTTGTTAGGACAAGATGTGATATGACACACAATTAGATACGTTATTCACACAAGTCAAGTGATTAAACATGAAATATTAAGGCATAAAATACTCGCAAATTAAGCACATCAATAATGTGGTGTGAACACAACATAAGTGTGACATGAGGGGGAAATAAACAGAGACTGTGTTTCTAGTCAGAGATGATGAAAAAACAGGAACAAAGGGAAGGACAGAGCTCTGGAGGTCTGAGAGAGCCTCTTGGGTCCCCTGTCTGGTCAGGAGTTTACTTACTTGTGTCGACCTCAGTCACCATGATGGGTTTGGAGAACTGGATCCTGAAGCCCCACGGGTACTCCCCCATCCCTTTACTGATCCTCACTGTCCTCTCTCGAACTGAGGAGGCGAGAAATATTTTAGTCATGGAACAAAGATAATTCAGGGGACAGTATGAATTTAGCATCAATCAAGTCAGGTTCAGGCTCTTACTGGACACAGCTCTGGCCCTGGTGTTCAGACTGGGAGGGATGGCTCCAGATGGGACATCATCTTCTTGGTACATCCAGGCTGAGGAGTGAAATGTCTCTGTGTAAAAGCCTCTGTCCTCACTGTCTCCAGCTAAGGTGTCCATTGAGCGGTTATCCTCTGAGACTAAGAGAGAAAGCAGAGTGAACATGAGTACATCATTCAGCTGTTCTCCAACTGACAGAAGAGATCTCCATTTGAGATACAACCAAACACCATCACTGATTTCTGGTTCTATGAGGAAGATGAGTAGACACTAAGTTTCTCCATATATCGAGCTAAAATCTGCGATCCTGACCTGACTCCTCTGTGACGTCGCTGGTGATGGAGCTTCCCGCTGCAGAGCTCCACTGTTTACTCTCTCTGAAGAGTTTCCTCCTCTTGGCCCAGTGATCAGATCCAGAACAGTCCGTCTCTTTGTGGACTGCAAGTTTCAGATGCTCTTTGGTTTCCAGGGATGCTGTGGGTCAGGATAAAGTCGGTTAGTTTAAACAAAAATTCACCTGAAGTCTTGGTGTTAATTTAAAATCCTCTCTGCGACCTACATCTGGAGACGATCTGTTTGTTCGTCCGACAGGTCTGGCTGAGCTCTCTGGACTCTGTAGGTCTAGATGCAGACTCTGCAGGTCTAGATGCAGACTCTTCAGGTCTTGGGTCTGTCTCTTCTATCATCTGACTGCTGTCTCCTGCTGTCCCGGGATCCGTCTCCTCTCTGGCCTTATCAATGTTCAGCGAGTCCATGCAGCAGTCTTCAACAGGACTTCTCTGATGTTTGTCCAGACAGCTGTCCGGGGACAGTCTGGAGTCCACCTGCAGGAGTCTCTGCTGGAGGACACCTGGTGCTACTGTCCAGTCAGAAGACCTCCTATGTGAGGGTGAAGCAGGAAGCGAGTCCTTGTGGTTTGGATCTCTGACCTGACAGTGGAAGAAGTCTGCAGGGTTGCTCTGCAGGATCTGCTCCTCTGAGCCGCTGCAGGACGGGGGAATGACCTGGATCATCAGGGACCTCCTGCTCAGCTCCTCCTCCTCTTCTGTGAGCGGCTCTGGACTGTGATACTCCACATCCCCCATCTCCTGGTCAAACCCGCTGTCTGCGACCTCGTTTTGGTCTACCCTGTGTACGCTGTCTGCCTCGTCCACACTGTCTGCATCCTTACTGATGCTCCGTCTGAACTCCTGTTTGAGGTTCTTCAGGTTGCACTTGGCCCTGCCTCGCCTCCGGCATTCATTGCTGATGCTAAACGAATCATCAGGAGTCTCCTCAGAGGAGGTCACGTAGAAAGGACTGAGCAGAGTCTGGGTCCTGTCTTGGCTGTGTGGGACCTCCCAGATCAGTTTGGAGCTCCCTCTGGTTTGTAAAGAGCTCAGACTTTCTCCTCCACAAACAGAATAATCATCCTCGATGGAGTGGATCTTTTCTGGACCCTCGGCCTGAGGGTGGAGTGAGCACAATAATAAAGAGGAGAAAGACTCTCCACAGGGAACAAGGAGGTCCTGATCCTGGATCATGCTGAGACCCTCTGATGTCCCTGGGTATGTCTGGCGTCTTCTCTTTGGGATCAGACAGTTCCTGTACTCCACGGTGGCAATGCTGTTGTTCCTGATGCGGGACTTCCTCTGCTGTTGCTTGATGAAGTCTTTGGTGAAGCTGGACCTGTTGGTGGACACAGATGGTCTGGTGAGGGTGGGGTCGAAGCTCTCAGACTCTGATAGCTGATCAAATGAAGGTGATCCTTCATAGTCGTCCTCACAGCTGGTGTTTGGAGGATGAAGCAAATTCTGCTGTCTGTCTGTGATCCTGCAGGAGGCCAGGTCCTGGGTCAGTCCCTCCATCATGTTCTGCTTAATGTCTGCAAACTCTCTAGGGGGTGGGATATCCCGGAACTCCTCAGCGCTGAAGCTTTTCTGGAGGAGCTTCCTCTTGCCCTGAGGTTTGGACCTGAAGGCAGGTGGAGGACTCGGCTGATTCTCCAACATGAACTCTGAGCGCTGCAGTCTGGGATCACTGAGGCCTGAACTGGCCCACATTTGAAATGGACTGATGGAGTTTGGTTCCTCATGAACCTCTGCCTGCTCACCTGAGCTACCAAAGGTGAAGCTGTAGTTTGAGCTGTGATTGGTCAGATGGTGCGACTCATTGTTGGGTGTCCAGCTCCTCTCAGAGTTGGAGTTGAGGAACATCTCTGCAGCATTTCCTCTCTGGTTCATGAAGACAAACGTGGTCTTCATCCCTGATGTGTTCACCTGCAAGAACTCCTGAATCTCCAGTTTGACGCTGGATCCAGAGCAGTTAATGTTCATGATGTTGGTGATGGGAGCTGATGTATTGGTTGGATCTTCAGATAACGGTTCATGAGACTGCTGAAAGGTGATTGTTGGGTTTGAATCGTCCATATCGTCCACAGAAACAGACGTCACGATCTTCAGTCCCTTCTCTCTGTCCTCTGTGGTCTTCAGATAAATGCTTCTCTGGTTCATTAGTGAATTAACATCATAATCTTGTTTGAATCTCTTCTCCTTGGGTGGGGCGTTGTTGTATTTCTCCTCATCTTCAGATCCCAATGGAGCATTTTCCTTTCGGAGAGCGTCGACTTCCCCTTTTTCAACCACATCGTCTTTGTAGCCGATGCTGTTGCTCTTGTTCTGTTTGTGAAAGATGTACGGGGACACGCTCTCTGAAAGGACAAAACACAAAACTTTGAGTATTACAACAGCGTGGTTCTTTGGAGCACCATGAAAATTAAAAAAAACAGGACAAAGGAGACCCTGAACTGTTGAGCAACTGAAATCCTCTATCAGACAAGAATGTAGAAACATTTCACTTTCCAAAGTCTAGAAACTGGTCTCCTGGGTTCACTAATGTTTTAAAGAGTTTTGGCAAAAGAAGAGCTGAGAAGAACACAGGATGAGAAACATGACCCTGAAACTTCTCTTTAGAAACTTGTTGCTGCATCTTATTTAAAAGAAGCATCGTGCAGCAACAGTTTGAGGTCTCAACATTCAATATGTTGTCTTTGTTTATAATAATTGACCAACCATCACATTCAGTTTGTATTGTCATTGAGCTCAATTTTTAAAAGTGGAGTTAAATAAACTGTATAAATTTGTTTTAGGTGAGAGTAAAAGCCTTCTAGTCTTCCAGTGTGCAACCTGAAGTCCCTCTCATGTCCACTAGAGGTTGTCTCCTGCAGTGAGTGTGTCCCTGTAGAGCCCCATGTTAGAACTATAAACTCTGTACTTTGGTCTTTTTGTTGTGTTTTAATGTAAATAATATTGTAACTGAAGGTTTTAACCCCTGTGGTGTTCTTTTCTTCTTCCACTTTAGTTCATTTTTAGCAGAATAAAGCTCTGAGTCCGCCCCTTCGTCCTCTGCAGGAGTGAGGAAGTCCTCTGCCTGTTTACTTAAGTGCAGGTGTGCGAGAAATGTGACTCAGCTAAGCAGCAGATTAACCTCTCCGCCCAAATCTCCCACTCACGTTTACTGCTGCTGGAGCTCTTCCTTCGCCTGCTGCTCCTCCTCCTCCCCCGCTTACTCATTCTCAACTTGAGACTAGAATCTGTGAGAGAATTGGAGATGGAAACAGACAGGAGATGAAGTTTAAACCTGCTTCAAACTTCTGATTATTTTATATGTTCTCGAGGAAGGGGAGGGGGGCTGGAAATTATTTTAGTTAATCATCACAGACATTAAAACAAACAAATTTGGCTCTGACAGTGAATATTTTACCTGTGTTCCTTCTTTTTAAAATGATGCACACGTCTATGGTGACCAATAAAAAAAACCATATTGAAGGACTATCATTACTTTCTCATCATGGCAGAGTTAATTATCATGGTAATGATAAATGATCTTATACAATAAAGCTACACTGCGAAAAAATAAATCTCAATTGTTTGTGTCTTATTTCCACTAAAAACATCTTATTTCAACATATTACCCGCCAAAATAAGACTTGAATTGCATTTCATGTTTCTTGAAGTTTCTTAAAGCTCCTGTCAGGAACTTTACGGTTGTGTTCATCATGGCGTCTCACATGGACAAAAGGGTTTCTCTACCTTCTTTGCTTATTTTGTCATCCCACATATATTTCAGGTTTCTACAGTAGCTTTAAAGGAAAATGTCATTAAAAAATGGTTAGGTGTTATGGGGCAAGGCAGCTCAAAGACTAAGCTCCCACCAGCCAAAGATTTAAATACTATGAGGAATGGGTGGGGAGAACCAACCAAGAAGACAAACAACTTGAAAAACAGGGGGAAAAAACTTGACATGATAGCTAATTCAGGAGAAGAAGAAAATGGCAAGGGCTCAAGTCATGAAGCTTGAAAGCCTGGCAGAAAAACTCAAGAAACTGTGAATTTAAGCCTAAAACCCACAGGGTGCGTGTTGGGCGGGTTCTGTCAGTGTTATGTGCCATGTAGCAAATATGTTCCCATTCTACTCAGTAAGGTGTATTCTTACAAAGGGGCTCGTAATAGAGTGGGTAAGTCAGCGGTTTGATCGTACGGCTGTCCACATTCGGCCATTCCGAAGTGTCCTTGGGCAAAACACTTGACTTTACTTGCTCTTGTTGGCAGCACCCAGTGGTGTGTGAATGGGATTAGTCTAAAACTGATGGGATCTATACATAGCAGCCTCTGCTATCAGTGTGTGATGTGATGTGAATGGGTGAATGTGACATGTGATATAAAAGTGCCTTGAGTGGTCTCTGTTTGTAATATTCACAGAACCCCAGGCCTATAGTGGTAGACACTATGTACCATAGCGGTACATGAAATTGGATTATTTGTGGATGATTTCTTAATTTGTTGTTTATCTTCTAAAATTAGGGAGATTGTTGGAATACTATAATTGTTTTGTAGGTTTCAGGTTTCCAGTCTGTACCGATAGATATCCCTCAGTCGTGCAATGTAGAGTGGTACTAGAAAATGTCAAGGTTTGTCTGGGGAGGAAAGCAACCTACAAGTCAAGTGCACTAAGACAAAGGTGGAATGAGCTGAGCAAATATACAAAGACATAAACCAGACTTCCCAAAAGAACCAAATAAAGTAACTGTGACAGGAATATAGATGGAGTAATATCAGCAGTTTATCAGGGATTAATGATGATGAGTGATGCTGTGCCGGAGAGATGTTGAGATAGTAGAAATAGAAGTAAAAACAATTCTTGGTTACAAAGAACCAGAGAAATTTTTTTGATAATAATGAAAAAGAGACACAGTTTTACATGTGAGTGAATCCATAAAACTATGTTAATGTGATTAAATAACAGAAATGTTCATTGTAATATTCACTCACAGGTGCCAATGAGCAAAGCATGAAGCCCTCATCAGCTCTTCTATGTGTAGCCCCTTCACTCAGATGTCTCTACTTTAATGCATTCTGAGTGTGTTTCAGCCTGTTTGTTTGCTGGTTTTGTGGAAATTGTTATATTACGTAAATTTGTATGTGAACCAACAATCTGCAGGGGACGACGTTTGTTTGTTTGTTTGGTTGGTTGGTTGGTTGGTTGGTTGGTTGGTTGGTTGGTTGGTTGGTTGGTTGGATGGTTGATTGGTTGGTTGTCTGGTTGTTTGGTTGGCTGGTTGTTTGTTTGGTTGGTTGGTTGGTTGGTTGTCTAGTTGGTCGGTTTGTTGGTCGGTTTGTTGGTTGGTTGGCTGGATTGTTGGTTGGTTGTCTAGTTGGTCGGTTTGTTGGTTGGCTGGCTGGCTGTTTGTTTGTTTGTTTGTATATTTGGTTAATTGCTTGGTTGTTTGTTTGTTTGTTTGTTTGTTTGTTTGTTTGTTTGGTTGTTTGGTTGGTTGGTTGGTTGGTTGGTTGTTGTCTAGTTGGTCGGTTTGTTGGTTGGTTGGTTGGTTGGTTGGTTGGTTGGTTGGTTGTCTAGTTGGTCGGTTTGTTGTTTGGTTGGTTGGTTGGTTGTTTGGTTGGCTGGCTGTTTGTTTGTATATTTGGTTAATTGTATGGTTGGTCTGTTGGTTGTTTGTTTAATTGATTGTTTGGTTGGCTGGTTGTATTCATCCTTTGTTGTTTTGGTATGTTGATAAAGTAAAGATGTCTGTATTCAAGTTTATTTAAAAACAGTGCTATGATGAAGCTTTATCAAACATCACTGAAATATTCAATGTGTTTATAAACTAGGAACAACTTTTTAAATAATAAATAAGGAATAGTGTACACAAACAAACAGCACACTGTGGATATGGTAACAACTCAAAACACTAAAAGGCCTTTTGACAAAAATATGTTTTTAAACATAAAAGTAGACAGTCAGCTGATGTGTTTCCAACGGCTGATCAATCCAGATCATTAAAGGGGCATGGTCCCATTAACTATGACAACTGATATATAACAATAATAAACAGTAGAGAGGTGTGAGTGGGCCTGAGAGCTGATTGACTGAAACTCAGAGAACTGTTGCCAACAGACCAGAGCAAACCTGACTCATTCAGACTGAACAAAGAACACTTAACTGATTCACACTTTTTATTTACGATACAAATAACTTTTTTTTTCACATTTAATTTGACAACTATGATTTATCTGAGCGATTCACAGCAAATCGAGTTAGGACACAGAGTGACTGAAATAACTGAGAGACAAAAACTGTCCTTAGAAACTCAAACTGACTCACTCACCTTCTGTTAGGGTCCCTGTGGATGGTCCTCAGGCCCGCATGAGTCCCAAATGGAGATCAGTCTAAGTCCTGTATGAAGACAGCCTGAGTCCTGTATGGAGACGGTCTCCTGTATATGGAGTCTACAGACAGTGAGCCGGCTCTCTTCGTCCTCTACGTCTGTCTGTGCGTCTCAGTCTGCTCCACTTCTTATTGCTTCTATTCTGACAGTAAAGCAGCTTATTGGCTGTAATCTGATGAGGCGCAGGTGATGTCAGTGTGAGGCCGTTTATTCACAGCTGATCAGGCTGCTGCATGCTGAATGAGAGCGATTAAGAAGACACCCTCAAACTGAATGTCTCTTAAAAGATGAATTATTTCTTTACAGTTCATTCATTCACTCTGAGCACTGATTTAAGTCATGCAGCTGCAACTCAATTTTGATTCATCAGACTGGAGGACAGTTTTCCACTTCCCCTCCTCTCTCAGGTCCAGAGATGTCTGGTGTTTCTGGATCATGTTTCTTTCTGGTTTCCTCTTTGCATGGTTCAGTCTTAACCTCATTTGTGGATGCAGTAATGAACTGTGTTCATGCAATTGCTCTTTGCATGTAGTTTCATGTGTAAAATCTCAGGTTTGGTCGTATACCTGAGTCTGTGACTGAATCTTTTAAGTGCTGTTGCTCAGTAGTGCCTCCAGAGGACACAGTAAAGTGAGAGACAGGTGTGTCAGGTAAAGGTAAGATCAGACCAAGCAGCAGACTCCACATTGAGATGCTTTGCAAACACTTTATTACACAAATTACATAGTTACTGAAAATAGTACTCTTGCAGCAAAACCAGTGTGTCACAATAAATATCAGAGAGCCAACATGTGACTGCAACGTTTCTACGGCATGCCATAAAGGACATTGTTCATTCATACGCACTCAGTCATTCATTCGTTCATGCACGGGCCATGGCAGACTGAGAGTGCGGACACAAACTAAAACAGGAGGCTGAGAGATGGTGAGTGTCGAGGAAGAGAAAGATGATTCAAATATGATTCATTCATGTTTACATGATGCAGCATTTATATATACGTATGTGCATGTGTGTGTGTGTATATGTGTGTGTGGTCCTGAGAGTTTGACACTCTTTAAGGGAGATTTCAAGAACGATTATATGCAAAAGACGCTTTTAAAGGCTGCTCCATCTGTGCAAAACATGCAGGAAATGAATGAATTAGCTGTTAAAGGTTATTATTATTCATAGACTGTATATAGGAAGTGGGTGTGGCCACTGTGAGGTCATCATTTAGTTTGCAAACTGCAGTTCGTAATCCTCCAGGCTGGCATTTTAAATGTTGGCATCATTTGTTCTACCTGAAGTATTTACCTGTCGAATGCTGTCTTGTTCAGAGTCATAGGTGATCCTTTATGTGAAGGAGGGGGTGGAGGGAAACCCTCGCTCCTCTCCAGCTCCACCCTCTCCTCCACAAAAATGATCATGTCTTGTCAAACATAAGCGATCATTTTCAGCACTCTACCAAAAGAAGACCATGAACTTATCAGGCAAATGCTAATTTCCATTTAATTAGGCGCCCCCTGCTGGACATCCAGGAGAATGCAGGTTTAAGGCACATCTGCATTGGCAGATTCCTCCACCCCATAAATACAGTCCATGAATAACTCGCAGATAGATTCAAGGATTAAAACAACAGAGTTTTAAGTTTCCTCTAAAATGAATAACAAAGTTGTTGTGAGGAATTTTCAGTTCCAAGAAATCCCATCTTTAGAAATGATGCGCTATGATACCCTGTATATAAAGAGGACTTTACACAGACTTAGAGGCATCAGCATCAATATCAAACTGTTTCACAACCCCATGAAACACCTCACAGGAGCTTTAATCAGCAAATACTTGACATAACAATTTCAGCTTCTCAAAAGTAAATGTTAGTGCTTTTCTCCTTGAATCAGAGTCAGGATTAATTTGGGGTTTCACAGAGTTTAGAGGAATATTTTAACCTGAGCTCTGAGGAATAAAGGCTGTTAATTCTTCTGATATTTCACAGAGCAGGTGATGGATTAGACGCTCAGATTGACTCTGGTTTCAGCTTTGAAATAAGAGCTGATGCAGAGCAGATTTTAGTACTAAAATACAAACTTTAAGTGCGTAATAGTGGCGTTCTTGAGTGTAGTGTTGGATCTGCAGAGTGCACGGTGAGCTCTAGAGCTACAGTATAAAGAAGGAATGATGTGTCTGGAATTGTGTGGGTTTTTCGAAGCTACACTGAGCTCCTGTCTCTCTGTTCACTCTGATTATCAGCTGACCTCTGTCGCACAGGCGGGAACAGGTACAGAGCTCAGACCTGGCTGTTTGATTGGCGTCACACACTCTCTCTTTCTCTCTCACACACATAAATATACATATATATGATATAATATCCATTCTCTGTTCACTGGAAGGTCATCAGTAATAATATACAAGCTCTACTAGCAGCAGCTGATTCTCTCTGTCTTAGATCAAACGATCAGGCGCTAAAAAAGGCAAAACAATGAAAAAAAGGCACAGATGAGTGAAACATGAGACAACTGAAATAATATCATTGATAAAAAGGATATTAAAAAAGATGGAGGTGAAGATAAGGGTGGAGATTTACTGCATGAAGAGATGAATGTTACAAAAGGATGGACTGTCCCTTTAAATGACCTTGTCATACGGTGGGTCATTGCAGTGCAGCTGTTACATACTTAATAAAAACTATAAAACAAGAGTAAGGTCAGTAACTCATCCTGCTGAAATAATGTGGCTTCAATACTGTAAGAGTCCAGGTTAACTCGGAGCTGACACTGAACAGATGAGTGCAGCAGCTCACAGGTGTGTCAGAGCTCTGTTTTAATGCAGTGATCACTACGACCAGCAGGGGGCAGCAGCTACAGCTCCAAGCTTGATGCAAGGAAACCGTGAGCAACATTTTCTCCAGTCTCTTAGATTAACATCATGATCCATTGAAACATGATAAAATATGATTTAGGAATGTTTTTATCTGGTTGGTGGCTGTGGCCAACATTTTTTAACCAATCAGCAGCAAACGGTTTGAAACTCCCAGTTAGAAATGCAGAGACAGGTAAAAACTATGCTCATACAGGACCCTTCAAATCACTGTGATAAACAATGAATATTAATGCTCATTTTGAACAGCAGAGGGCGCTGTCTGCCTTTGATTTCTCTTATTGTACATCGTTATGGCTCTTCTTGCAGCTGATTAGACTGAGCACATGCACGGCAACAACCATTTTTTTACAGAGAGATTCTCAGTGGGGTATTTTCTAATTTTCTGCTGTGAAAGAAACTGCAAAAAACTTCTAACTGTTTGAGTTTTCCTGTTTTGTAACTTTTACTGCTGCTCTCTCTTGCTTCCATTTGTTCATGCTTCAAAATTCTGCTTGTAGATGAGTTTGGATTCCCTTTCCTGTCAGTTTTGATGCTTTTTGACAAAGTGTAAAATAAAGTGTAAAAACATTGTTCCAGTTTAGAACAAGTCATACAGAAAAGCATTTAAGTATGACTAATTTTTTAAAACAATATAATGTTACCTAAAAGTAGGAGCTCATCTCTCTACAGAGGGCACTTCTTTTTTTTACTAGAAATAAGACAAAAACACTAACGAACATTAGAGTGCATATAACTATAACTATATATAACTTTTTTATAACTATATAAAACTTTTATAACCTTTTTTGTATTCACTCTTTCTTCCCCTAAAGGAGGAAACTAGGTGTCCTCTGGATAATCTGGATCACTTTCATGCTTAAATCTCACAGTGAACACAGCAGGCTGAATTAAGTCTGTTTGCCCTTTAACAAAGAGCAGCTCTGACACTCTGCTGGAGTTTGAGCTCATGAATGCAGCCTCAACAAACATAAACTAAAGGGTGAGTGTTTTCAGCTAATCCAGCTGAATGTTGTTCAGTTGTTGGAGAAATATTTGGTTATTTCCGATGATTTTGATGAAGAATTTGTCCTGTACGTCACAGATTCAGAGACCTCCCTCACATTTAACACACCTGCTGGTTGAAGCTGGTCAGAGTGCGGCTGCTCCACAGAGCCCTGACACACAGATGAAAGGGGAGGGTTAAGGTCTTTTAGTGCAAAATATATCATCAGCTGACCGACAGACTGAAACTTTGGACCACTGTCAGTCTGAAAATAAAACATTCAGTGAAGTTTGTAATAAAAACTGGCAACAAGCTCAAAGTGTCTGCTCATGACTCCAGTCATCTCCCTGTGACTGTTTAGAATATGTTCAAGGCTGATCTGATGGGAATGTGAGGATCCTGCTCTTCATCTGTGAGCAGAGATCTGTTTATGAATCAGACCAGAAGGCTGACGGAAATCAAATCAATCAAATTATGATGATCTGTATGTGAAGTTAATGTCTTTAAATAATGATTGGCCGCTAACACAACAGTTAAAAATGGTGATGAATATACATGTGGGCCTGTAAGCGAGGGGAGCGGGGCCTAAGAGGAGGTTTTAGGAGGGGGAAGAGCGGAGTACTCCTCGTTTTCTGAGTCGCTGCTGTCCTCGTCCATCCTCTCCTGGTCGCTGCCCTCTGTGCTCAGCTGGTCGAAACCCTGACGGCTGTAACCCTGACGGGACGCAAAGAAGTTCCCCAGGTTCAGACCGCCCACTGCTTTACCTGAGGTCACAAATAGACAGAGGGAGGGAGGGTGAGTGAGGTTATATTAAAAACAAACAAAAAAAAACATAACGTACCTGAGCACACAGACACAAACAGGAACAGGTCAGATTATACCAACAACATCAAGTCAGTTTGAACATCACATCAGAGTTATCATCACAGGACCTACATGACCTGCTGATGCCACTTCCTCCTCATCAGGAAAAACCAAAGACCCTCATGTAAACACAGGAAAAACTGACTACTGAGCAGGCAGGGTCTGTATCTGTGTGTCACATGACCGCAGAGTGTAAACATGCCGCTTCCATCACAGACACCTGAAAAATGCTCGAACAAAGCAGAAAATTAAACTTATCTAAATTCTATTGTGCTTAAGACTCACCTCTTATTTTCCCCAGGATCCCGCCTACTGAGCTGGGTTCAGATTTCACCTCACAGCGATCTGCAAAAACAAGATACAACAGGATTATGACAGACAGCTGAACAGATATCTGACATCTACCCCTGATCCCTGACCTTGTCTCTGCGTTTTAACATGTATTAAAAATGACCAGGTAGGTACGCACTATTTCTCTTCCAGCAGATGAAGAATCCCACGGACATGACGAGCAGCAGAGGGACCAACAGCAGTGTGGTGACAACGGCGGGGAGGACTCCCTGCCCCTTGATTGGCTTAGCTTCACTCTCCTTCTCCTTCTCCTTCTCTTTCTCTTTCTCCTTCTTCTCCTCCTCTTCCTCAGTCTTAAGCGTCTTCTGCTGAGGCTTAGGCTGAGGCTGCAGAGGCTCACTCTGTTTCTGATGGACGGCTGCCGTCTTTGACACGTTGCTCTCTGGTCTCACTTTAGTCTGGACAATTGTCTCCACGGCTGCAGACACAGAGACAGAATTAAATGTGTGCATGTTTTACTTTTGCCTTCTTCATGTCGTGTCTTCATGACTTTTTACAAATCTAAAACTAGACCCTGAAAACCACAGTAAAGTTTGAGACACTGGAGTAGCAGGAGGAAGCAGTAGATGATTTTTAAATGATACAGTCATGGCAGTGTGAGTGTAACCAGCAGATAACTTTCAGCTTCACTGCGTTTCCTAATGCTTCCACAAGGTGTCGCCAAAGAGTCAGTATGAACAGCTGCTTCACTGCAGTCTCCATAAGAGCTGTTTATCAGCAGGTCCTTTGACAAGTTTCATGTCAAGCAGATACTAAGGGACCTGATCCTGATGTCTACTGAAATTTGGCCCAGTTAGCTGCTCCTAGTTAATGGGATGAATTTGTGACATGTCAGAAATGTCAGTCAGCAGAACCACAAACTAGTTCCATAACTTCAGGACCTCTCCTGACTCTGTGGACCTGACTTTGTTTTCAGCTGCAGGTGTGAAGGTGTGTATCAGTACGTCTGAGTGCCATAACATCCACCAAGCAGAGATAGAGACAGGTTCAGTCTGTCAAACTCACCTTCCAGCTCCTGAACCTCGATCCCAGCCTTCTTCACAGAGCGATGTAACTCTGAAACATCAGGAGAGGGTGTTTTAACGCATTTACAGAGAGAGGATGGACATCCAGAGAGCGTTTTTAAGATAAACACATTCACACAGGACTGTGATGATTCATCATTTTCAAGTCCAGATTCACGGTTTCTTACTCTCTGAGCTGAACTTGAGGACTTGTTTACTCCCTACATCTCCCACAAACACACTGCCATCTTTGGTTTGAGCGATGTCATGAGGCATCTGGAACTCCTGAAATACAGAAAAAAAAATCATTCAGAAAAAGTTTTCACATCCAGTCCAGCTGCCACTGTCAGAGCTCTGAGTTCAGTTCAGGAAGACAAGAAGAGAGAGGATCAGATTTCTGCACTACAGCTTTGAACCTGGTCAGAAGACGTCCCAACATGATCATCAAATCTACATTTGAACCGCCTCAATATGTTTTACGTTGAGATCAAAGGAGGCAAGGATTAGACTGAGGCAGCGCGAACTGGTACTGTCTAGACTGAGGCTCATTTTCAGTCTTGTGCAGATCAAAATACAGGAAAGTAAATTTAGGGTTTGATGCTTTAATGTTGATCCCTGCTCTATCTGTCCCTGTGTCCTGCTCTTTTTTACTGTCCTGTCCTCTTCAACATAAAGGTAAACATCTAAAAGTAAACCTACCCAAAAAAAAGAGGGTTAAAATATATTCTGAAATATTCTAATTTTACTGAAAATCTTTAACTTTTTGATTTCTGGGGCTGAGGAGGATCCAGTGATTCTGTGTCTGTGGCTGATAAACTCCCAGACAATCATATTAACTCAAGGCTCTGCTGGTGTTGGGTTGTTGCTTCCTGCCACAGATGGTGTCTGACCCCTGAATTACTCCCACCGTCAGCCTCCTGATCAGCAGGTGAGTTCAGGTAACTGAGGTAGGAGGAGCAGTAGGAAAAGAAACATCCGGATCAGACAGATTACAGAATGAGGGCAGAGACTGAGAGAGGGAGAGACAGAGGGTCAGCATGAGGAGGAGTGAGGACAGAACAAACATCTCACAGCTGACCAGAAAAACCCAACTGATGAGGTGTAAAATAAAGAGCACGGTGATTTTCATGTTGATGCAGATGATCCTCAGTTATAGCTGCCTATGAGGCACACACAGACCCTGACATGCTGAGTTCTGTAAGAAACTGTCTGTTGGAGATTAAATTTTCGGATGTCAAACGACTCAATTTTAAGCAAATCAGAGATCATTTCAATCAGACCATGACACATGAATAACAAACTAGCATCATCTGCTCATAAAAATTAGGTTAGCTGAGATCTCTCTTAAATCCCCTCTGAAGAAGCACCTCTATCACAGGGGCACTGCTCATGTAGAGACTGAGACAGCTCCACCTGTTCGAACTGTAATTACGCCAAAGACTGAGGAGCAGGTTGAAAGCTCTAAATATCTGAGTGACAAAACTGACGTTTGATAAAATTGCTGAATTTGTCTGTAAAAGAAAAAATTACAGCAGTGTTTGCACTTTTTTCCTTCCTGCACTTGGTTTCACTGGGCTGCACAGCAAATTTCCATAAAGGAACAATAAAGTACAGGAAAAGGTCCACATGATTTTTAATTTTTATTTGAAATTAGTGGATTTAAGTTGCTTCTAACCAAATCTTATTTCTCAACAACACTTGAAAATAAACCTTGTTTTTTAAAGCATGTCAGGTTTCAATTTTTACCATAAGAAATTTGATGACCTTTTTTATTTTTTGAGTTATGGTGTGTGTCTTGATATGGTGTGTGTGTGTGTGTGTGTGTGTGTGTGTGTGTGTGTGTGTGTGTGTGTGTGTGTGTGTGTGTGTGTCTATGTTACCTCTTTTTCAGGGTAAAAGGTGTCCAGAATTTCCTTGGTGGAGTAATTTATAACGAACCCTCTGGTAGGAGTTGAGCTGAACAGAGATTCACCATTAACTGCATAGATGAGACCATCTGCACACAAACACAAACACAAACACAAACACAAACACACACAGTTACCATCAAGCACTTAAGATAACACATAGTTCATCCTCACTGAGAAATATTCAGTTGTAGGTTTACTCTTCTCTGAGTTACACAGAGATAAACTTCAAAATCACAGGGTTCTACATCTCCCATGATGCAACACAACTGATTGTTTTCCTTGTCTTTCCCTGTGGCCCCGCAGTTTTAATCAGATGCTCTCCATCATGAACCATCAGACAGTTTTTACATTATCAGTTGTTTTGACAGCATCTTCAATCAAACCCATGAGGCAGACAGTCAGACTGGCCCTTTAATATGACCTGTCATCTGTAAACACTCTATATGATAACCGGGGTAAGAAGAGGTCTGACCTCCTGCAGGGTTATACGTGATGGCGAACACTTCTCCTCCAAACTCCTCCTTCTTTATCTCCTTCACAAACTCTCCCGTCTCTGCCATGAAACACTGGATGCGTCCATTCTGTCTGTCCGCCACACACACTTCCTGTCTGTCAGGGAGGAACACCAGGCTGTGAGGGATGCGGAACGGAGTGCGCCTCCTCCTGTCCGACGTACCTGCAGACAGGTAAACAGAGAAAGAGTCCATACATGAGATTTCATGAATAATTGTTTGTGAAGCAGTTGTGTGTGTGTGTGTGGTCAGTGTCTTACCTGCCCCCCACTGAGACAGGTATTTCCCATCAGCAGAGAATTTGAGGATGCGAGCGTTGCAGTATCCATCAGACACAAAGATGTTTCCTGTGTGGGGGTCCTCAGCCACGTCTGTGGGCTGACAGAAGTGACTGTTGTCACTTCCTGGAGTAAACGCCTCTCCCAGCGTCAGCAGGGTGCGGTCTCTGCCGTCACTGCTCACCTTCAACACCTGAGGACAGGAAATAGGAGTCTTTACTGGTCCTGTATGTCTTCTGCTTTTGAACAGTTCATTCCTGCACATGTGACTCTGTACATCCAAAAGAAAAAGACAAAGTCCTTTACTCACCTGGTGCAGAGCGACGTCAGTGACCCAGTAGTTGTTGTCTTTGTCTGTTGCTATTCCATGAGGCAGATAAAACCTGCACAATCACACAGAAGAAGCAGCTTCATCACTTATCTCACTCTGGATGTTATCAGTGCAGGTACAGCTGTCTCTGTCCGAACACACCTGAAGCCTCTCACTATTATCTTTATGATGTTTTTGATAAAATGCAACCTGCTGCTTAAATCTTTACCAACATTAATGCAGAACAATTTCTGACAACAGCTACTGAGGAAGTTCTGAATTATTTCATATGTTCTACAGACATATCAGAGCAAATCGAGAAGCCTTCTTGTTCATACATTTTCAGAATATAGACTTATAATGTGTTTGTTATGCATCCTGGTGTGTCTTATTCATTTAAATCCTTCTTTGGTTTTATTCGCTTGATTTTGTCTGGTTCTTGTCATGTCAATACTCGATGCGGCCACACAGGGATGCAAAATGCAGAGAATGCTGATAAGGTTAGGGTTGCAGATTCACCTCCTAGTAAAGAGCATATCATCAAACATTTAAACTCTCCTTTATTATAAAACAGACTCTAACTCACATGTTTCTCCCAGAAGCCTTCAAGATGTTTCCTTTAGCTGGATCCACCACCAGGATGGTGGACTGCTGGATTGGCCCCAATGACCTCTGCAGGTACTGAGCTCGGCCATTAAAGGAGCTAAAACACAGACAGACAGACAGACAGACAGGGACACTTAGAGGATGATGGGTGGAGTTTGACTCTGTGTGCTCACTAAACCATCCTTCCAACAGAGTTAGTCCGTAAATGTGAATCTGCAGAGCTCAACATTTTGGTGTCTGTATAACTACTTGAGCAGGTTTCAGGTGAGTGTCTGTTAGTCAGCTGAGGTGGCTGCTCTGAGCTCTGCAGCTTAACGGCCTTAAATCAGCTTCAATATTCTCAGATCATAGTATGTGTGTGTTTTACAGCCACTCACTCGGCCCCCCAGGCGTGATCCCCTCGGTGGAAGATGACCAGGTTAGAGTCCGAGTCCACAGCCAGCCCTGAAACCTGACCCAGCTGGAGGGAGCTCTGAGGCCAAGATGATACCTGCTCCAGGTGAGAGTCTAGAGAGGGAGAAAGAGAGAAAGAGAGAGAGAGAGAAAAAAAGAGAGAGAGAGAGAGAGAGAGAGAGAGAGAGAGAGAGACATAGATCGTGGTTAGATTTCTGAACCAGACTAAAACACTTCCTGTTGTTTCTGTCAGTCATATCTCTCCAGGTGTTTTTTTTTACTATCTTTTAAATATCAGACAGAGTGAGATCATGAATGGGGGTGGGTTACACAGGAGAATTACTTATACAAATTCCCTGTTTATAGTGTGTAGTATTCCATTGCTCAATATTATTTACTTTATTTTGCATTAGTTTGATTTTTTCCCTCACAAAATTCGAACCATCTCATGACACTTGCACTCGCCTCAGAGAAAAACAAAGATACTGGGCCACTTCTGCAAAAGGAAGGGAAAAAAAGGCTGTCTGGTTCCTGTTCAATAGCCATGCTAGTCCTGATCCAGAAAAACTGTCTGCTGAAGTCCTGTAAAATAAAAAGTGGTGCGTGGTATCTCAAATCATTGAGTGTGCATCAATGTAAAGTTTATCATATGCATCAGCCTCTCTGGGCAATAACTGATTGATCTGTAAGGCTACTGAGTTTATATATTTCTGAAACACACGTATATATCTTCATGTTTTGGCCTTTATAAACCAAGAGAGGTCTATTCTATCTAAAAAAAGAAGAATACATATCCTCCAGGGGCTGAAAAGGTCACAGGATTAAAAAAAAAGTGGCTGGATTCATCCCGTTCAACCCGAGGCCATCTCCATGGCAAAGTTCATGACAACACAAGAGATTATTTAGAGCCTGATGTGACTGTTAGTAGTTTAAAGCAGATTAATTCCTCCACTTCACTGTTTAAATGTGCAGGATAACATGCACAGCAGCCTCATATAGCAGAGCATAGACAGCAGATCATCTGTGAGTTGAACTTCAGTCATTTTTGTGAATATTGAAAAAAGGGATGCAGCTCTATCATCTCTGCAAATACAAGTATCAGATTGAGACGCTGTATGAGCGTACACTGAGGATAATGAAAATAAAGATACACTGGATTTGGATCAGGATCTGAACAAAGCCGATGGGGATAGCTCTCTGACTCTGACTCTTTGCCAAAGTGTCTCCATGTGAAGCTCAGTAATCTGTAACCTTGTAGTTTGTAAAGGTCAGAGAGCTGTCAGTCAGCTGTTCAGTATGCAGGTATGTGTTCACAGACTGACGCTTCTGTCCTCAGAGCTCACACTTCTGCTCCGTATCATCCTCTATAGTTCTTCTCAGGATTCACATTTACATGACACAAGGAGATCATGGATTTCCCTTGACCCCTGATCTTCTGCCAGGCTAAAAGGTCAGACTGGTCCTCACAAGGACAGCAAAGCCCCCAGCTTTGTTGTTTCTAAGTGATGTATTTGTGTTTGAGGACAAAGCCTGTCAAACTGATTGGATTTCTGTCCAAAGGGACATTTTCAGATGAATGAGATTTCAGAGCAAGGCTGTCCAACCTGAGACCATGAAGGGGAGATTACTGCTGCAGCGATTTTCACTGATCCACTGATTGGATTTGAATCATGTCAAGAGACAGGAGGAGAATGTGTGCACAGAAAAGGTTGATTTTGTCTTTATGGTTGGTAAAACATACTGGACATCACTCAGGTCTGTGAGGGTTCAAACTATGAGACTACAATGACAATGCTTCAAACACACATGGGTTAAAGTTGGAGTAAATGTTTGTGAGAAAGTACAACTAAAATATGAAATCCAACACCGTCTTTTCATCTGATGTCAAATTCATTGAAGGATGGCAAGGTTTTTGCAATTGCTCAACTTCAACAAATAAGCCATAAAGACACAGTTTGATTCACAAAGCACACACAAAGAGTTAAATGCTCCATACACAGCACATCACACAAACAGCTGCATGCAGTAAAGGTCCTTACACACCAGCAAATTTGCGAGGGACGCGAAAAAGCGAGACGAAAACGCAGAAATATTTGCCGGTCCAAAAAATTGCTTTCGCTTATACACACCGGGTGACCACTCTGTGGTACACACTCTCCCCCATCGTTGCTCTTGGTGCCAGTGGTGGTGTGTGTCGTGTGAACTGCAGCCGCATGGGTCTGTGACGTGATCAACAACATGACTTTTGATTAGCCAGAGGTCTAGCAGGTCCAGATATTCGCCTGCGAAACTCCGAAAATTCGACACAAGAGCGAAAAAATAAAAGAGCCAGAGGAAAAATCGCCGCCAGTGTTGAAGGTGACCTAAATACCACAGGATGTGTGTGCATCTCATTCCGGTTTTGCACCACCTGTGGGCACACGCCGTGTTTGAAGCCTTTCCAAGGAAGGCGCAGCCCGCAGGTGCTGGAGTCCAACTAAGATACTATCAATGGAAAAACAAACGAACATGCCTTTCGGTGGTTGGTTTATTGTTTGTTTCGCTATTAGTCTGTGACTGTTGAGCTTCCTCTTATTGAGAGTCTATGAATATGTTCCTTAGTCAAAGTTAGCTTCCACAAGTTTTGTGGTCTACACAGATTACAGATGGGCTATGAGGTCATTGTGTAAACAGTATACCTGACATGAGGTTAGGAGTCAGTATAATGTGCTTTATTTTAGAATTTAACAGATGGTATATGTCACTCCCATGTGTATGTTCAGCTTGACATGTGCGGGGCACGGCCTCTGTGGAAAAAGGACGCAGTGCATCATTTTGACGAAGCAAGATGTCGCTGAGATGCCACCTGTAGAGAGATGAGCATCGACTAGAAGTGACACTGATCACAGTGCTGATGAAGAGCAACGCACGCACATTCTGCAGGTTTGAGGGGTCACTAGTAAAGGGATTTTCTGGCGTAAAATTAAGTTAGGGTCAAACACGCCTTAACACCGAGTGAGACACCCCGAGAGATGAATGTTGCAGACCGCTTGCTTTACTTTAGTAAAGACTGCAGATAGCAATACAGAGAGCCACGCGCTCAACCAAAACGCCACTCTATAACCACAAATAATGCTCGGAACAGCACCTAACTTCATCAACAGTTTACATTTAAAAATCCAGAGAACAATTCTTTCACTGTCCTGTCCTGCGTCAATAATCGGTGTGAAAAAAACGCACCTCAGACTAAACCACTCCCAAAAATTCTAGGCTTTTAGGTCATAAATACACCCGGGGCGCAATAACCAACGCACAAAGATGTTACTTTAACCATCTAATCCAACCTGTTAAACATATTTTATACTAACCTATAATTAAAGGGATAGGTTTATGTTTGCCTTTATGTGACACTGCATGAGGTACTTCACAGGGAATTGCCTTTCAGTTTGAGCACTTTGTTGATGTAACCCAGTGTTATTTCATATTCATTTCTTAAGTGAATTTGAGTTGTTTTGATGAGTTTTGTTTTCTATGCACAATGAATGCATCACAATTCCACGAATGGCAGTCTCTCGCGAAGTACTGTTTTTTCCAGTTGCTTTTGAATGCACCGCCAGCGTGCACATGGCAGCTCCGGTTAGAGGGAGAGGGAACTTTCTTAATTTTTCGTTCTGAGTCTGATAACACACTGGTATTATTGTAAATGGTGCAGAGTTTCTGTCTGCCACCCTGTCAGGATGAGAGCTCGCAGCATAGTTCTGTGCAGGAAAGAGTGGAGAGGCTGACCAATCTTCATGCTTTTTTATGGTAGGGTTAACATTTTCATACAGGTGTTTTTTTTAATCAATCCTTAAGGTGCATTCTTCATGAAAATGGTACAGCTGTCAAGGTAACAGCAAAAAAACTTTCTACATGAGGGGAAGATGTGACTACAGTAGATGTGAGTGTCAACACCGCGGGACAATTCATACAAACAGAGATGTCGAGGAGATGTTTCTGAGACATAAAGTAAGCTAAACTCTGAACACACACACAAACACACAAAAACACACCACCACCCAACCAAACACACACTGCAGCCAGAGATGAGAAGGGAGGAAACAAAGATGAGGAGAGAGGAGACAGAGATGAGGAGAGAGGAGACAGAGATGAGGAGGGAGGAGACAGATGTAAGGAGGGAGGAGAGAGAGGTGAGTAGGGATGAGACAGGGATGAGGAGAGAGGAGACACAGATGAGGAGGGAGGAGACAGAGGTGAGGAGAGGGGAGACACAGATGAGGAGGGAGGAGACAGAGGTGAGGAGAGAGGAGACACAGATGAGGAGGGAGGAGACAGGGATGAGGAGAGAAGAGACAGAGGTGAGGAAGAGGAAAAAGAGGAAAAACATGTAAACTGTGGAGATTAAATTTCTCCCTATAATGCCTGATTATAAAATAAGGTGTCCAAACTGTCCTGTGAGTTTCCTGGTTTTACTAAATGCACAGGGTGGTTTCAGAGGGGGAGGTCAGAGGTGAAAACTGTAGCAGGGGCCCACACACAGAGAACTGGACCAGGGGACAGTCAGAGCAGGGTGTTTCCAGGACCACAGCACACAGAGACAGCAGGACCCACCTTGTCCGTCAGCGGGTGGCCTGCTTCGAGAAGGGCTGTTGGTGGCCTCAAGCTGATGGAACCTGTGGACTCTGTCCCTCACCAGGACCGGGTCCTCCCTGGTCTGGAAGACCAGTCTGGTAGCAGAGTCCAGGTCTTTGTCCTGCATTAAACTATTGATCTGAGCCAGCAGCTGAGCCTGCGCTCTGTGCATCTCTCTGGGATTGAACCTATGAATGTGGACTACGTCTTCGCTCTGTCCTAACAGCTTGGACATCAGAGAGAAGATGTCACCTGCACAGACAGACAGAAGGACAGCACAGGTGGAACAGGACAGAGACTGCAGGCTGCAGAGTAATCAGAGTAAAGACTGTAGGATTATTTCATAGAGAGGTGTTAAAAAGATGAAAAATAAAGTTTAGTGTCCTCATCCAGCCTGGAGGGTGAAGAGGACATCCTGTTAGGACAGGTAAGAGTTAACTCTAATGGAGGAAAGGTGTTAACCAGCAGGAAATAAATAGAGAGAATGAACAGAATGATTAATGTTAGATAGTTCTGTTAACACCCTTGACCCTGCACAAAGAAGTCTATCTTACAAACAGCTGTTTATTCAGACAGCTGGACAAAGACGCTGAATAAGGTTGGACTATCAGCTGGGTCCTCCAGTAAAACACACTCACACACACACCAGATCACGTCAGACCCTTTCAGTATTTTCCTCCTCTCTGAGTCAGTCAGATTTAATCCTGCAGACTCTGACAACCGAGCGCTGACCCCAACAGGATCAGCTGAACCAAAGTCCATCATCGGACTGTCTGTTTGGCATCACACTTAGGTCTGTGCATTACGACAAATGAACAAAAAACCTGCTAGGCTGAGTTAAATAAACTCAATTCCCACTGATCACTAAGGGGCTCAGTTATGGACACATGCTGAAAAAGGAGGGTGATACAAAGCAGGGGGATTGAGATCCTGCAGGGCCCAAAGCAAATCTCACTGGCATATACAGTTATATGGTTGCTGCAGGTGGGAGTAGCTGTTCAGCACCATCCCTGCAGGTCCTGCATGTAGCTAGTACCAATAATGTCGGAATCAACCCTGAACATAGAGAAGAAGCTCTTTTCTTACTAAACAAAGACAAAACAGGACAAAGCTGATGTTTGGTCACACTTGCTCTGTTTTCTCTGATCAAAGTTAGTTTTCATTCAAAGATTAGCTCAGATAATTCAGAAATGTAATCCCCCCATATAATCCTCTTTAAACACAACTTAAATCTTTTTGACCATCTAAACATAAAAAAAACCCCAGACAGATTTGAGTCAACCAGCCTCAGAAGAAATTTGTTGAAAAGCAATTCAAGAACTCTTTCTACCTGCCTGCACTGGTTTAAACGCCTGCTTTCAGAGGTTAAATCCAACAGAAATCCTGAACGCAATGTATGTTTTGAGCGTGCCCAAAGCTTTACCCACTCTGTCAAATCACCTTGAAAGCTTTTTATAAGATATTTGAAAAAAAGACTGGAGCCCTCTCTCCTTTCATCGCACGGGTCAGTTGAACCCCAGCAGTAACTCCTCTTAAAGATAAATTAATATCAAGGCGATACCTTTACAAACTGGACAATATTAAAGGGATATTTTGGAGATTTTGAAGTGAGGTTGTATGAGTTACATGTCAGTACTCAGTGTTTTAGCCACAATGGATGTCTCTGAGATGTAATTTAGCAAATTTAGAGACTCTGACCCCAAACAGAAATGTTAAAGCACTTGACTTTATCAACAGAAAGCCCATTATATTTATTCTGCAGTAAGTGCAGAAACTAATAATACTACTACTAATAATAATGATATTAACAATTTAATAATAATAAATTTTATTTATAATGCACTTTACATCTGAGAAAACAGACCTCAAAGTGCTAACAGTAAAAGGCAATAGAACAACACAGACAAGCTCTCTTATAATCACAGCGGGATGATTGTACACACACTTGATGTGAACCAGAGCTGGTGTGTGAGTCTGCACACACTCAGCCAGCACTAACAGATACACACAGCTGCTTCATACCCAGAGGGTTCAAATAATGCAGGAGTACAGAGGACAGCAGCTCACTACAACGATCAGACACAGTGTGGAATATGAGGAGTGTTCTATTACATCTGGTTTACCTTTCTGCTGTGTCTGCAGTATGCTGTACTCACCCTGATCCAGATCAAGATCCTGCACCGCTTTCTTTTCATTAAGCACCGGCCTGTCGTCCTGTCGGTCTAAGAGAGGGAGAGTAAAGGTCAGTCAGAGGTCAACAGGTTAAACAATATCATAGTGATGACATAACAGCTGGGGGAACATGGAGGACAGCTCACAGAAAGATAAAATCAAGTGCACATAACTCTGAGATGAAGAGCAGTAACACGGGCACAGCAAGCATTAAGTACCTGTTGAGTGTCCCATGTGCATCATAGCGTTCATGTGGGTTGGACTGACAGGGATGGGGATGTTAGCCTCAGCTGGGATCTCCTCGAACAGCTCTGGAGGGCCCGGGTCCATGCAGTTCATGAAGGGGACAGCGTGTTTACTGTCCATGTAGTACATGATGTAGAAGTTACACATTTCATCCTCAGAGGTCCCCCTGTAGGTACACACAGGTAGATACATCACTCACTAAGGTGGCTGTGTGCAGGCAGACTGATGGTCTCTGTGCTCAGAGTGAACAGGTCCTGAAAAGTGTCTGAGGACTGAGGGGAGAACATCTCTTCTTTGGTCTTTCTGTCTAAACAACAGTTAGTGATAAGGTACTGAAAGCGGAGATCTGATTTTTTTAGGCTGTTTTTTTCTATCTGAATGAAAGAGGAATCTGAGAAGAGTTAAAATCAACATGTCAGAGTGGATTATTGGCTGTGATGTGTTGTGTTCAAGGTCTCATCAGTTTAACTACTTCCTTCCCTTCCTGCTCAACACAACCTGTTTCCTGCAAAAACACACACCCATGATAATAACACCACAAACAGGAGGCAAAACACTTCAGATACAAAACTAAAGTTCAGTGTCAGCAGATTCTGGGAAATACACCATCAAACTTCCAAAGAAAGCCTGTTTCTGATTGGCATGTGTTCTAAATGAAGGTAAAGTGAATTTATGGATCAAATTATTGACAGCCTGCACTCATAAATGAAGTTTAACATCAGGTAAATCTCTAATCTGCTCTTTCATCATAACTGACCCGATGATAGTTTTGGAGGTTCTGCCCTCTCCATTGAAAACACATCTGGCTGCCAGCGTGTCTCCGTACTTCACACTCAGCTCTCTGTTGACGGGATAGAAAGCCTGCAGAAACACACCGACAAAAACAAATGTACTGAGACAGATGTTTTCTCCGTGGATTTTTAGACTGTGTTTAGACAGTTTCGCAGATCTTAACTCTCTGTGGTGATGAAGGCACGTACCTGTGGCAGCTGAGGTGACTGTCGACCAATCAGAGTCCACTCCCCGTCTCTGATTCTGTACCCACTCACTACTTTACCTGTTACACACACACATAAACACATGAGCAGATAAATCCTGATGGTGGCTCCGAAACTGGTTGATAAGCTGTGTTAGTGTGTGTGTGTGTGTTGTGTGTGTGCTCACCCAAGCGGTGTGTGTGTGTCCTGAAGGCGAAGGGGTAGATGGGATAGGAGGAGTAATCACAGGCGATGTCAGCGTTCGTGACTGAAGGACAAAAGCAGAGAAATGTCATGAATAATCAGCAGCAGCACAGTCTGGGGGTCTTTATCTGATTGTCTTCATTCACACACACCTGACTGACAAAATGATTCACACAAACACACACAGATGTAGCAGGGTGTTGAACTGAACTTTTAAACAATAACTTGTATAGTTATATGTGCAAATAAAGCTGATGCTGTAGCTGCAGTTCTCTGAGTGCCCACTAGAGGCAGACTGCAAAAGAACCAAAAACCACATAGACACATATAAAAAAAGTCAGTTTTAAGAGCAAAAATGAACATGGTTAAAGAAAATATTCACAGTTGCAAGTTGTTTGCAAGATATTAATGTGATGAGTTTTGCACAGTAAGAGGCATGGCTGACTTGATTGACACACAGCAACATAGCAGCAACGTAGCTGTAACCATCGTAACCACTGCCAATAGGCCACAAACTGCTCCAGGAGAACAGGGCTAATGTTGAGACAACGGCCATGTTTGATACACTCCATGTTTAACACTGTAACAGTTCAGTGAAAATCTTAATCTTTTAAGTTATAATATGTTCACATTGAAGCCGAACACACCTCTCTTTCCTGGCAGGATGACAGTGTCCATAGTCATGAGCAGGTAAATACCAGCAACAAACGGCTGCCTGAAAGAAGGAGACACACAGACACACATTTAGAGGACGCTGGGAACCTTTACTACAAAATAAACTTTAATTCCTTTTGTTTTTCTTCTTTGTTATTTCAGTATCCAGTAGATAATCCCGCGCTCAGAAAGTTTGTACTCACGGTTTGGTTGTCATTCTTAGTGAAAGTCCTGAACAGTCTCTGTGATGGTCTGCAGAACAAACATTTACTTTGGTTTGTGTGACTGAAGCAATATCAATGGAAACAGAAATATCAGGTCGTTATCCTCACCTTTAAAAGCACTGATGTCTCCGTAATGAATCTGCAGCACAAAGTAAGACATCCCTGCATTTCTCCCAACTTTGAAACCAACATCTGAGGAGCAGACAAAGACAGAGACGTGTTAGACCACAGGGAGGAAACAACTACTCTAACTTTATAGAAACACTCTGACTGAACCATCATATACAGTTTTCTCATCCATTTCCATCAGAAAGACTTTCTACTGAACAAAAACCTCTTTTGTAAAATGTAAACAGTAAATTAATCTTTTCTTTAGTTTATCTGGATAAACCCTTAAAAAACAGATTCCTGTAGACCAACCGGCTGTACTGGATAAACATTATGTATGTCCTGAATGAATGAACTCTTTGAAAGACTGACCTTTGGGAAGTTTAGTGGGCGGGGCATTACGAGCCCAGGCATACATGATGGATGCATCATTCTTACAGGTTCCCTGAGAACCGCCACAGTCCCTATAGAGACAGATAGAGAGAGAGAGAGAGAGAGAGAGAGAAAGAGAGAGAAAGAGAGAGAGAGAGAGAGAGAGAGAGAGAGAGAATCAATAGCACTGAACACACACAGCTGTCCCAACTAAAAAGAGAGCAAACACAAACACACACACACACAGGCAGGTGTTTCTATAACAAAGCAGGCAGCCAGTCATAGAGCAGATATCTGTTGTCATGGTTACTGTTGAGGTTTACAGCCTTCAGGTTCAGACAGGTGAGGTTGACATGGCGTATTTACCAGTAGCTGCTGGTGGAGGCAGGCCTCTGACAGCCAAACAGCAGCATGTGGTGGACCGTGTCCATGCTGGCGTGGGGGATGAAGTCCACTGAGGAGACAATAAGGAGACGTGGTCAGAATATTTAACAATTCATGAGGCGGTTTGAGTCTCTCAGACACACTCAGCTCAGAAGAGACAGATACCGCTCAGTGTTTCTGTCTGAGAGGGATTTTATGCCGATCTATCTAAACACGAACTCTGGACTGCATCACCTGATTGTTACGATATCATTTGAAATCCAAACATTATTTTACGTTTATGTAAAGACAGTGACCACAACAGGGCAAAAAAACAGCTGGACAAACTGCCTTTTCCTTAATGTACTGTAGAGGTTTCTGTAGAATAACTTAAATGTATATTTCAAGAACCAAAAAAGAAAAAATAATTTCAACCATTTTCTTAAAGAAAGACAAATAAATAATCCAAATTTTAAAAGCATGTCTGCAAATCTTGCAAGTCAGTTCACAATGTTTATTCTTGCTAACCATTAACTTCCCGTACTTTGAGAGATAATGACTGAAACTCGTATCATCTCTTTCCTCTCTTTGGTTCGTGGTTTGCGAATGCTTTAAAGAAAACCTGCTGTAATTGCTGAATTTGTCAAGTGGACAAGCAAAACCACGAGAAAAAGGCTGATGGTAACATTTCTAACAATGCCATCCACACAGCGTAGATTTGAGTACTTCCTTTCTAAACTTCCTTAGACTTTTAATGACTTTCAAAATCCAATAAAAGACTTTCAAGAAGTTTTCCAGGAGCCCTGATTCTTTGACACCCTCTGACTTTTGCAGCTACAGAGTCCATCAGCAGAGTCCAGTCTGAGCATCCTCCTGTGTTTTCTGCTCTGACAGCAGGAACATAGACTGAACACTGTGACTGAAATAAAGTAATATAAAGGTGTATGACTCACCGATGTAGGAATCTCGGTTAGTTGGCACAGGGAAAGACATGCAGAGGTACGAGTCCGACTAGAACAGGAAAAACAAAGAGGAAATATTTATCTCTGATTAACAGCTGATGTGAGAGTCTCCACTCCTTTGAGGCTAAAAAGTTCTCAGCTTTTTAAACACTCACTCTGGTAGGAACGACTCCGGGCATCCTGATATCCACTGAGAAGTTGTGAGAGTTTGTGAAGTCCTGATTGGTTCGGGACACACAGGAGGCGGGATCTGAGGCGACATCCTCTTGAGACCTGAAAGAAGAACACACGTACAGCAAGGTTTATATCTGCTCCACATCCTTGATCAGGCTTTAAAGGTTACACTGTAGATTACACTAAAGCTTTACATCAGGGAGCTGTCTGTCTCTTTCTTTTCTCTCAGCAAACTGATTGGTCAGAGAGCTGCTTTTTCTAAAAACTGATCTCTTAGCAGGTTAAGCCTCAGGTCAGCATCAGTTACCATGGTGATCTACCCCAGTAGGAAGTGAACCAGCTTTGTAGTACTAAAAATCCCAGAAATAACACAGCATTAACCACAAAACCTGCTTCATAATACATCCACCAGACTTCAGGTTCAGGTGTGACTGTGTGTCTAATCTTTGGATCATCAGGAGAGATTCCACCGACTCCCACTCAGAATCCATCTCACTCCTCAGATCAGATTTGAACTATTTTGAAATTCAGCTTTTCACTCATCTTTAGTGATGTTAGATCTCCAGAAACACCACCTTCAGAGATATTTACAGAATCAGTACCTGATACTTTCACCTCACACTCTAAGATCTCACATTAGCTGACAGGTAAATATGCTCTTTGCACATGAGAATACAGGTAATTCATCTCCCAAATCTGCATATAACTCAACACCATGATCCCTCACTGACTGGGTGTTTGCTTTAGAGGCAAGTTCAGATAAGCAGCAAGACCCAACAATGAAGACGACTATCTGCTGAGGGACAGTGAAGGTTTAACAGTATTCATAATACCTGCAAAGCTTCTATGACAAAAATATTCATATGACATGTTCAACGGATCAGCTCAGATCTCATCAATGAAATTATCTATCGATCAGGAGGAATGATTTGGATGCAAAATGGAATAAAATCTTTTTTAAAAGGTTTTACTCATTTTATTCAAAATAAAAAAGCCGTTTTTGTTTCCATACCCACCTCCTGAGTCTGTGCAGAGGTTTCTGTATCTGCAGACTGTGACTGTGACAGATGAAGAGCAGCACAAACAGCACACACACTCCCATCATGCCTTTGGAGACCTCAGCTCGTGTTCCTGCTGCTCTCTGGGCTGCGAATGTCAAACAAAGATACTGTCAGCAGCTTCCTCCTCAGGGATGAGGAGGGGAGAGGGAGGAAGGAAGATGGAGGAAGTAAACAGTGTAAGGCAGAGCGTCTGACGTACCTGTTCCCTCGTAGGGCTGGATGAGGAGGGGAGGTAGGCTTTCTGCTGGGCGTTAGTCCTCCTGCATGTCGGACTGTAGCTCACACTTGGATGCTCTCAGGAGGTAAATCTGTCTGAAACAAACACCTGAAATACAAAAACATGACACATTACTTCCAGCAGAAGCAACAGGAGCAGAGTGAGCTGTCGTTGAGGTCTATCCTGAGAAAAACATGCTGTTGTTAGGGCTGCTATTTTCATATCATCCAACATGACCATGTTTGTTTGTTTGACTGTGATATTTCAGCACATCTCCAGTCAGAGTTAACACGTCTGACAAAATCAAGTCTTCACATCATGCATTCTGATCTAAAAATAACCCGATGTGTGTGTGTGTTTCCGCTGAGGATTATGGAGATGTCAGACTCTAACATGCCTCCTCTCATTGCCTTTGCACCTCAGTGTCCTGTTACCATGGAGATAACTGTTTCCTGTCGCTGTGTTATGTATGAACAGGTCAGCCGGCTCTAATTGGTTCACTGACTGCCTCTCTTTAATCTATGAAGAGTCTCTTTTACAGTGCATTGTAATGCATAGGCTGATGGGACTATATTGAGACTAATCAGCCTATCACATGACCTCCTGTCCAAACCACACACACATATATGATGTACATGTATGTGACACGCCTTTATAATTTTTTTTACTTAAGTCCCATATGACTTCACTCCTGCAAATCTACACAGGTTTAAATATCATCCCTGAGTATTGATCCCTGTACTGCTCTGACGACGATGCTCTCACATCCTCTGATCATCACAAACTTCAAACAGACTGAAATGAAGCTGGTGTTAATCAGAGCTGCATAATTTATCTGAAAATGACAGAGGATTTAAGCTCTGTACATTCAACAAGTGTGATAATAAATAACTGTGTAAACTCTCCACAAACAGCTTCATCATGACAAACTGAGCAGCTACAAAGATGAAGACACGTTTGAGTAGCACTAAAACGACATTATCATGACAATGTGGGCCATCGCAGAGTCCCTAAAGATCCATAAAGATTATTGTTTTTAAAGGCTGCCTGTACAGGTCCTCTGGAGCTCTGTAAACTGTCTAACCCTCAGGAGAAATAAAAACTGTGTCATCTAATAAATAAATCACTCCACTCAGCACTCAACAGACTGAATAATCCCATTTACCAAATAGTAAGACTTTGATTTTTATCATGTTGTGGCCTTTCAATCAACTGTATGAAAAAGTGGGTCCAAATACATGTCAGACGGAGAGGAACATGAGTTACTGGGATACTATCCCATGATTATCATGCATCCCTTAGTGTAATAAGACATTTATCAGTGTTTTCAAAATCCTGAAACTGCCTCTGCAGAGGCTGAGCCCATATGAGGTGTTGCAGCAGCAGATTTAAGACGCAGGTATTGCATGTTTAATCTTTGGATCGTTTTGTACTGAGATTCTTCCTCAGGTTCCTCAGTTTATCTGTCTCAAACCCATTTTTTTTCACCAGTCTGCAGTCCAGATCTGGTCTGATCCCTGTTTCTTGCTCCTTTCTCGTGGATCACAGTTTGATACAATCTGACTGGTGATTTGACAGTAATGCACAGGTAAATCACCTGCTCAGGGAACATTAAATCTGTCTGGAAGGAGCTGGGCGAGGACACACCTGATGAAATATGGGACTGTATGATGATGTCTAAAGGATCACACCTCTGCTGTTTGCTCCAGACTCCCTCTAATCCAATCTAAACTCCTACACAGGGATTATTACTGTAGAGAAACATAATTGTATGAGGTGTGACTGGTCTATTGCAATAACACTCACACCATCACTGAATGTTTCTGTAGCAGCACAAAGACCAGCCTTAGGCCTTTGTTGCATTATTAGGGATTTCTTCACCAGCACTGAGACTAATAAGATTAAATAAAGATTTAAAAGCTTTTTCTTACTCTATTGGTATAATAATTAATCTTGCCCTGTGAAATCCATGACTCATCTTTCTCATGCAGTGTGGATTTAATCTGTTTTAAACAGGTCAAAGTCAAGATAACACTATAGATATAACCTGCAGTGTGTTGTCATTATGTTGAATCCCAATGGGATCTATGTGCGTGCAAACAACTCTAAAAACCTTGCATTCTGGAACCCCGCATTCAAGAACCCTGGAAATATCAACACTACTGTTCTGGAACCCTATTATTCCAGAGCACAGCATTCTGGAATCCATGCATTTTAGAACCCAAGCACTCCAAAACCTGAGCATTCTGGAACCCTAGCATACTTGACACAACAAGCATTTGGGAATTTAAGATTCCAGAGCCCTAGTATTCTGGAACCCTAGAATTTTCAAACCCAGTATTCTGGAACCAAACATTCTTGAACCCAGAAATTCGGAACCCTAGCTAAGGACCCAATTTTCTACAACTCAAGAATTTCAGAACATAATGTTCTGAAACCCTGGCATTCCAGAACCCAGAAATGAATGCAGAATTAACCCAGTGAACCCTGTTGTCATAGTTTAAAGTCAAATTCATCAAGTGGACAGGTGTTTGTGTTTTAAATAACGACTGATCAAGTACCATCCAGTAAACTTCATTAACAGACATAAAAATTCCCAGCACCAGAGAACAGAACAGCATGTTTCTGACTGGGAAATGCTGCGTTTACTTAGCCTTTTTAGGGAGATTCTCCAATCGTAAATGTCACAATTAGAGTAAATCTGGAGTGGATATTCTTTCATTCTGCTGTAACATTTTGAAGAAGCTGTTCAGATTGGCCTGCAGTCTCATCCTGGCTTCACTTGGGCACACCATCACATAATAGTCTGACACTCTGAACACCGTCACCTCACTCTCTGACACTCTATGTTCAGACCTGACACTTCAGATTTGTTTCTTCTACATAAGAATAACAATGTCCTCTGATACACTCTTACAAAAACTTTCCAGGGGATCAACCAGAATGTTAACATCAAGCAGGGGCTGATGTTGCTTTCTGTCTTATCAAGTAAACAGAACAAGACTATCATCGCATCAGAGTAAAACCCACAGAGGGCTAACACAGAGTCATAAACGTACTGTACTCACAGGTTTACAGGCTGAGACGGTCCACAGATATCACACAGACTGTCTAAATATCACTCTGATAAATCTCTCATTGTCGGTCCATTTCACCAGGATAATGGGTTACAAACAGCCTGAGCCGCTCTGCCTGATGACTCATCCGTCCACACAGTCAGTGAGGTACAGGGATGAAGAAGAGGAAGAGGAGGATGGGCGGAGCCGCGGCCTGACGTCACAGCCCGTTGAGACTGAGGCTGGAAACTATGGAAACAGGCTCACTCCCCTAATGGACCACAGCATGCTATCCTCCCAGCCTCAGATAACAGAGCAGGGCTGATTTACATGATTATGGAATATTGTTATGTGATTATTCATAGCGTCTCTTACTGAGGGGCGGAGGGTTCAACTGATGTGTTTTCACCTCGACATTAATATATTTTACCTGATTGGAGAATTAACCACTCTTTAATCATTCATCCCGTTGCAAATCAGTACATTTTCTGACAGAATGCTCCTTAAATTATCTTAACCGGTCCGTCTAGTATCCTTATTCAATCATAAATCTTAAAGGATTTAAAATAAAGCAAAAAAACGTAAATAGCCTGAGGGCGGTAATTTTCTGTATTTCTGAGAATGATCATTTTTGGCGCAGATATGGCAGATCTATTTGGTTATAAAGGAGCAGATGTGTGAAGCAGCATGGATCGCTCAGATTAATTAGCTTTATCTTAAACAGCTAAGCTAACAAAGCTTCTTTTACACGCCACAGATCAGCTAATATTGGCTAACCAACTGTAGACAGACACAGGCTAACTCAGTTAGCACCCTGAGGCTAATAAGGGTTAATTCTGCTGTCGTAGAGAGCTAATGTTAGCTCTGTTACGCGTTAGTGTGTATTTAGAGTCTGATCGGCTTAAATACAGAAGCTAACCTGCTGCTAACGTTAGCTTTCATGATAAGATCGTCATAAAGTTTGATAAGTAAAGCTGTAACGGCAAAAACATGAGCCTACCTGTTCGCTGCCAGTAAACACTTCGAGTGCAGCTGTATTGAACTGAGGTGGAAACCTGTGGTGACAGAACAACAACCACACTTCCGGTGATTCTACCACAAAGCCCCGCCCCTACTCACACGCACACACACGCACATAGTCTCACGTAGCAGTGAGATCTTCATGTGTGTGCGGGAGGCAGTGGTACCAGGGGTGGTTACAGAGGGGTAGATAGGTGATTTAGGTAGTCACCCCAGCTGCTTCCTCTAATATTATGGCCATTGACTCCCCAGTGAGCTCCTATCTGGTACCTGGTGATCAGATCTGGCTCTATTATATCTTTAATTTTTTTAGGTCTGGCTCAATCAAGTCCAGACCTGGCTAAAATTTGACATCAGTGAAAACTGTGAGAGCAAACTCATGTGGAAACTGTACAAATGTTAGACAGATACAACTTAAGTCTCTTGAGTCTTTGACTTCTTCCCTCAAGACTTTTTTTTCCCAGAATAACACAAATTTTCTCATTAATGCAGGACTTTATCATGTTTTATAAATCTGAGACTATTTCTCACTACTGATCTCATAAAATTACAACTTTATTAAATCAAAATGTACACATATTCTTGGTCAACAGTTAAAAAATTGCATTTAATAACTTTATAATTACAAAGTTAAAACATTTGGGGGGCAAATTTAACATTTTTCTCTTACAACTTTGTTCCTGCAGATTTATAACTTTTATCATCAATTTTATTTTTTTCATTCTCATTTTTCATTTTTTCACAATATTTTCCCCATAGTTTTAAAAATTTGAGACTTTTCATTCTGTAAATTTACTGTCTTAAAATAAATTCAAAACACTGGTATTCCCAATTTACACATTTATTCTGTAAAATGTGAGATTTTTCTATTTCCACAACATTCTTTTGAAATAATAACCTTTTGTGATAAACCCTTAACTTTGACTTTTAACTTTTTCTAATAGATTTACAAAGCTAATCTCTTATATTTACCATTTAAGTCTCTAAAAGGGCTGCTTTAATTCTATTTGTGTTCTATAATTATCTTCATCTTTTAGAGCATCAGTTTAGAGCATTGATATGTATGTTACCTTGAGATCAATAAAGTATCTATCTATCTATCTATCTATCTATCTATCTATCTATCTATCTATCTAGACAGGTAACAACTGTATGGAGTTTTGATATTAGTAGTAAGAGTAGATATGGTTAGTGGAGACAGTCTGTGTTAACAAGTGATACTGGTGTGTACGTGTGTTTGCGCACACACTGTATGAGTCCATATGAGTCAGAGCTGCAATCAGACAGTCTGAACATGTCTCTGAGCAGATTTCACAATAATAGTTTCACTCTCTTACAGTAATGTTATTATCATCATTCTGTGTATTTATCATCTTCAAACCTTTATGTTAAAAAGGTGGGACTATTTCTAAGTTCTAAGCTTAAGAATATTAAGAAAAATGGTTTTTTTAAAAAGGCAACAGTACACATTTTTATCTCTGTCGTCATATCTCTGGGCTGAGGTCCTGAACAAACATGCAGCCATACTGTTCATTACTCTCTCTAAACAAGGTTATATCAGGTGTTTTCTTAAGACGTCGGCTTTACCTCATATTATCATAACTATTCTCAGAGTTTTAGAGCTAAAAATACTAAAATAATCTTAACTAACTTTGTTAGTAAGGTTGGAAAGTTTCTAAGAATACTTATTCACTTCACTGTAATTTTATGGTTTTGTTGTTGGCTGACATCCACCACCTGACAGACAGGTGAACTAAAGTGCAGAAAATCCCACTCACACAGTGAATGTGTAAATACCTCATGAGTTAAACCTTGTTTAAAAAAACCTTCACCTCTTTGCAGCCACAGTCAGGTGGACAGTGAGACACTGTGGTTTTTATCAGTATGAGCTGATCAGCTGGCTGTAAACTCTGTAAATGGATATCTGCAGAGAGATGTACCTACAAAAAGATGTACAAACAAAAACAAACATGTATGAGTGCTTGCCCAGTTCAGGTGTCTCTACTTAACAGGACCAGCATGCACATGGGTGGGCTAAGTTTTTTTTAACCAAGCAGGAGCCAGTTTTTTCTTTCTCCCTCATGTTTTTACATTTATATTTTATCTTATTTTTGCTCGTTGTATAACTTCCCACTGTGCATCATTAACCGTTTTATTATAATTTATCTACATCTTAATTCGGTAAAATACCTACCACAGCTGGTCTATGATGAATGAGTACTTTTTTATTTTTACAAAAAAGGAGATAAGTAACAGTTTACTGATTCTAAGTGTGGACGTGGTGTCCCATCGATGCAGTGCTTTTATTTTGAAAAGCTAACAGGAAGTTGTATTTTGTTTACCCGGTTCGGTCAGAGTTAGCAGAACTTCAGAGCAGCTGGTTAGCAGTGGTCAGGGTTAGGTTTACCTGAGCTCTCGGTACACAGGTGCAACCTTGTGAACTTGTAGAAAGACACTATGTTCCCCTCCAGCAGGTGAGTTTGATTTGATAAGAGTTAATAATGGTGGAGCTGGAGTTAGCCTCTGTTAGCTCTGTTGAAAGCTGAGTTTACAGTGTCTGCTGCTGTCTGTACCCTCACGAGATACCTCACTCTAACTGTATTTACACCTCTCAGACACCTGAGTTTGATCTGCTGAGCATACGGATGTGATCATGTGATAAACTGCCGACAGATCTATGAGCTTCATCCAGTGCTATTTGCACTGTAAACTCAAAGTTTGAATGTTTAAGTTTGCACTTACACATCTTGAACATCCACCCTGATAATCTAAACTGTCAGCACTCTGGAACGAGATTATTCCTATAATTACGGTAGCGCTGCTGTGAGCCGTTTTACATGTCTGTACGGTAAACAAGTGTCACTTATCTCATGTCTCATACTAACTACTGTATCATCATGTTAGATTAAAGTGATTTTTGATGCTAAAATAGCAACAGGAGTTTCTCACAGTGTTCATGTGATGTATACAGAATTAATGTGTTGTGCCAATGAAAATGTCTGCTGCAGACTAAAACAGAATAACTGCAGTAAACACTCACAGTCCAGCTGATGCACTTAAACTCATCATTACTCTGGTAGCAGGCTGATTGATTGAATACCCCCTCGCATGCATGGAGAGTTCACAGATTTTGTCATGTGCCTGCCTTTGCATTATAAGAACCAACAGTTTATAGAGGTGGCTTTAAAAGGGCCAGGTGGTGGCATGGGTCCCCTTGAACCTTAGTAAAAATACTAAAATTGATTGTGATTATAACAAAGGAAAACTTCTAGCAAAGAAATTAATTAATTACATGCAATAATAGGTATGAGTGAGAGCTTGCCAAATCCTGAAATGGGTAGAGCACACCTCCCCTAGTCCACGTACATACGTGATTGCCACTACTAACAATTTTTAAAGCCTTAAAGTCATAAATTAAAGTTTACCGTAAAGATGATCATCTTCTCCCTTAAAAAACTTGCTCAGTACACATTATCCCTCACCTGTCTTCTGATGTTTGATTTTTGCTTGATGTCTTATTTCTTTTATCCTTTTATTGCTCCTAGTGTTGTAATGTCCAAGCCTGAGGTAGGGAGAGCAGCAGCAAAAACCTCCCGGTTCTGTTCTCAGAGCTCCCTGCCCTTCTACGTGTTTATGTAGAATGTCAGAACCTGAGACAGGAGAAGCATCAGCAAAGATCCCCAGAGTACAGGAAAAAAACAGACAGCATAAAAGGAGGGTATAGGCAGGTAGAGCATCAGCAAAGACGGGGGGGGGGGGGGTGCAGAACAAAATAGGTATCGGTGACAATCTGTGATTTGTACATTTCCTACCTTCTTCATCTCTGTGCTTCCGTCAGACGGTGATGGCTCCTGGCAGCAGCAGGTCGGTGGCTCATGGCGTTCCTGTGGTCGCTCTGTGTCTGGCTGCTCTACTGCTCTCGAACCTGCTTCTCTACCTGTACCTGGACTCTCTCTTTCATGCTGATAATCACCTGTTCTCCTCTCATGATGGCTGTCCACCTGGACACTTTAAGATGACCACCATGAGGAACTGCACGCCATGGCTGCAGTGTCCACAGGTTAGAGCTGAGGTCCGTCAGCTGAAGCTGGTCGGACAGGGTGCCGTTAAAAAGGTATGAAGATTTTTACAGTGTGTGATGAGGGCTCATGCTTTTACAGTGTGTGTGTGTCCAGGTAATTTTTTTACAATATGTATTGTATGTGTAAGGGTTCATTTTTTACAGTGTAACTTCTTACTTTACTGAGTGGATCAAATAAAGGAAACAGACCAATCCTGTTTACTTTTTCAGCAGCACTTAATCAGTCTTATCAGATGGGATTATTTTCACAGGAGTTATATTATCTGTCTTTAGTAAATTGATCAGATTCACAGAATTTCAAAATCACATTAATGTGTCAAAGAGAAGTTTTATTTTGACTGGATATTAAAGGACAGAGGCAGAGAGCAGCTCACAGGAAGAGCTCAGTGCACAGAAAGCTTTTGGTTTTGCCTTTTATTCATCCTCCCTGGTTTATTATTATCTCCTGGTTTCTGAAATTCTGACCTTTAGTTCCAATGAGTCATTCCCACAGAAGGAAAAATCCAGCTGACGAGCCTCTGTTAGGTTTGTTCTGATGCAGACAAAAAGGGATTTAAGACAAATCTTTTATTATGTTGTGGAAAAGGGAATATCTCTAAATATCCACACTTGGATGATAAAACTTCTCCTTTTGCAGTCTGTTCCATGTATACACTCAGACAGAAGTATTAAGGTCCTATGGTCTGCTGTTTGAGTCTACTCTGTTCTAAAACATTTTAGACTTCCGTCATCATTTCAAAGTGAATTAAACTGATATAGGTTCACATTTACACATGCTACATACATGTACTTATTCACCCCCTTACTCAGTAATAAATGCTCAGTCCTGCATATGCAAATTATGTAGAATAAAACCATTAACATCAGAGCTTGAGAAGAATATATTTATGTTTTATCCTCCAGGGAGGAGAAGAAGCATTGTTGTTTTTTCTTGCTTGAAATACATCTGAATAAAGTGGTATCATTTCATATTCAGGATAATGAATAAAGTTGTTTATAGAGTCGACAGTTTTGTGACATATTATTGTCATGTTTACATTATCAGCTTTACAAATAGAGCAGCACCATGTCACTGTAAAATCCACTCACTTTGTGAGACTTGCTCTCTGTATGAAAAACAATATTTGGTGTTCAAAAATGACTGTGGAAATGGAGGATTGTTTGATATTCAGTTCATTACGGTAGCTCTGCTGACCTATACCTGACCTCTGCCTGTCATCCTCAGGTGTATTTGTCAGAGTGGAGGGGTCAGAAGGTGGCTCTGTCCAGATTGTCCTCCCAAGATTACCTGGAGGACTTCCTGCATGGCCTGGCGATGCTGCGGGCCCTGCAAGGACCCCGAGTGGTACAGCTGGTGGGGTTCTGCCTGGAAGACCACACTCAGGTCACAGAGTTCCACCCACTGGGCTCCCTGCTGAATCTGGAGGCCATCCTGTCCCAGGAGCAGTACCTCAAACACAACACCTGGCAGGTGAGGCTGAGGCTGGCCACTGACTATGTCTCTGTCCTTCACTTCCTGCACAACAGCCCGGCCGGCCAGAGGGTCATGTGCGACTCAAACAGTCTAGAGAAGACTCTGTCCCAGTTCCTGCTGACCTCTGACCTCCACCTGGTGGTCAACGACCTGGACGCTCTGCCAGAGGTTGATGGTTCCAGAGGTCAGCTGGTGAAGTGTGGGCACCGGGAACTGACTGGGGACTTTGTGGCCCCAGAGCAGCTGTGGCCCCTCAGAGACGAGGTGTTCTCAGATGAGCTAATGCCGCCATATGATGAGAAGACGGACATTTGGAAGATCCCAGATGTCACCTGGTTCCTGATGGGACGGGTTCCTGGGGGAGATCTGGTCCACTTCCACCTGTTTCAGATCCATGAGCAGTGTAAGAAGGTGGACCCTAAGCTCCGCCCCTCAGCTCAGGAGGTCCTGCAGGTGTACAGATCGGTGTACAGCACCATGGTGAGGGACAGAGACATGCTGTAGGACTGTGAGGACAGACTGAAATAAAGGACACTGTGATTAAAACAAACAATAACCTGCTTCCTGTTGTTATTGTTTGATTCTCTCCTTTATTTTGTGACTCTTCAGCTGGAGATGAACTCTCCTGGACCGTCTCAAGTCCTGGTCATGACACACACACAGAAGATAGAAAATACTACAAAACTTAAATATGCACAACTATGTAGTGTACATGTATATATACAACAATTCAACCTCAGGGTATTAATGTGATTTCTGCATCTTAATGACCTGCAGAAAAACTCTCCTTTTAATGCAAACCCAACAGAGACCTTTGAGTGATGCCTTTAGATTCCTTATCAGACAGGTGCTTGGTGCCCCCTGCTGCCACAGAGCAAAAACATACAAAAAAGACCTAACAATCGGATACTGAAATAAATTATTAACTCATCCCACAGTAGTGTGTCTATTTCTGTGTAATATTACCAGTAAATAAGAGTCAGTGCTATAAAAGTCAACATAAACAGTAGACAGCATGTCCTCTGTAGATTCATAAATTATAAACTTTGTTATGCCTTGCTTTGTCTAACAATAGAGGGCGCTCAACTTCCACACCCCTAAAGTGAGACATCTACAGTATCTCTAAAGCTGAACTCCAACATCAGCACAAACTTTTGACTGTAAACGTAAATAAAACAAAATACGATGATTTATAATATCGTTGCATCATTTCCTATACAACTGAACACACCACAATGACATGATATTTAATGTTCAAACTGATTAACTTTATTGATTTTTGGAAATATTCATTCATTGTAGGTATTAGAATGAAACCCCCTCAAAAAGGTGGGAGCAGAAAGGATCATTTTCTGTTCAGAGAGTAAAAAGAAAAAGTAGAACTAGATGATTACACTTAAGTTTGATATAGTACGCCCCTGTCCGCACATTTGACACCTGTGGCCTCCATTTTAACGCGTCATTGTTTTATACACTACAAAAAAATATCAATCATTTATGACAGTAAAATTACAGCTGTTTATCCCAGAGACTAATCCTCTTTAATCTACACTTTACTCGACTGAGGTGTCTCCTCTCACACACATCGACTCGTACTCCTGATGCAGGTACATTACAGATCAGTCTTTCATACTTCAGATGAGAACAACAGAGCGTGTTTTCTACTGATATTTTTTACAGTGTGAAGCAGGAGGGCTTGGTGTGTGCTAAAGTGAAAGTAAAAGTAAAATCGGCCAAAATAGCTGACACACAGTCACGGCCTGGCACACGGCCTCCTCAGGTTGAAATCATTCCCCGGGACCCTCAGGTCTAACCTTTCTCCTCAGCTCCTTTTCCTCTATCAGTGAAGATGCTCCACAGTATGAATCCATGTGAACTGCGCAACGGGGGAGGGTTCAACTTCGAGAACAGCCGCAGGTAAACCAGCATATTTACTGGACTCCATGATGCCTGTATGTTACATCTGAGAAACACTGACCCAAAACCCTTGAGTTTATTTGAGTTTGCTGTGAAGTTAACTCTCACGAGAGAGGCTCAAATGTTCAGGTGTCAGTGTGAAAAAGTGGCTCTGCTCTGAGTCCCATACCTGTCAGGCCTGCTTTACTGTGTACAGTTGGATCTTAACCGGTAAATAGCTGCTGCAATGCACCTTTGCAGTAGCCTACTGTGCATGCTGTTTTAATAAAACTGTTCAATTTAGAGTAATCACTTTACTTTAGTTGTAAGATCATAAAAAATACAGTGGTCTGTGGTATGGAAAAACATGGAGTTAATTTGACACTTCTATACACTGGGTCTCAGAGTCTGCAGGTAGGCAGGGTCACACTTGTTCAGAGAGCTGTCTAACACTAGCAGACCCAGAACCAGCAGCCTTCAGTTCTAATGGAGTAATCCATTTGATCTCTGATATTAAAAACTCTTGAGCTATCCCTCAAATAACCTGTCACCCAGAACACCTCAAAAAGTCTTAAACTGGGAGAAGCTTTATGCACCAAAGTTAAAAATCCAGTCTGCTTATGCCTCAGAAGAAGGAAAATATCATAAAGTTCTTGTGCTGACAAGCAAGAATTATAGTTTTTAATCGTTATAAGTCAACTAAATATGCACATACTTCATAACATGCATATGTATGTTGCTGTGTTTGAAGGATGTTTGTTTCATATTACAGTTTAGCGCTGAATCAACACTAATATCTCTTTGTCTCTCGATGAATCTTAATTTTCTGATTTTCAGGAATGAAGTGTTGGAGTCCAGTCTGTCAGAGCTTGGCTACAAACAACCCAAAGCCAGAAAGACAGGGACCACCATTGCTGGGATGGTCTATAAGGTGAAACCGATGTAGTTAAAAAGTTGTGTGTCTGTGTGTGTGTGTGTTTACTGAAACGTCAGTTCAGAGCAGATACTGTGTGAGTCTGTGATAAACTCAAAGATATTATCAGGGAATAAAATAACCTGCTGTGTGTTTTCTGTCCTTTAGGATGGAGTGATTCTGGGAGCAGACACCAGAGCCACAGACGACATGGTGGTGGCTGACAAAAACTGCATGAAGATCCACTACATCGCTCCAAACATCTAGTGAGTTATCTGTCAACCAGGCCAGGTCCTCTCTGGGTTTTAAGAGTATCTTTCACTGTGGTTATCTGCAGGTTTCAGAGGCCTGAGTTCTAGATTAATTGGTGCTGGGATGCTGGGTTCTGGGTTGTTAGGATGCTTATCCCAGTATTCAGGAGCTGCAGTTCACGTGACTTTTTAATCTCAGTTGAATTGACGTGTAGGTTTTTCCTCTGACAAGTTTTTAAATTTACCGTCACCACTGATACGCAAAAAAGTCTCCTTGTTGATACTCGGAGTAGATGCAGATTCAGAACACAAACACCGACGTATCACTATAACTACGTCAGAGCAGCAGCATAAATATGTCCTTTATTTTGTTCACATGGATTTCTGTCTCCTCCTCTTTCTATGACTGTGTGTGTGTGTAGCTGCTGTGGAGCAGGCGTGGCTGCAGATGCAGAGATCACCACTCAGATCATGTCCTCCAATGTTGAACTGCACATGCTCAACACCGGGAGACCTCCGCTGGTCGCCATGGTAACCAGGCAGCTGAAACAGATGCTGTTCAGGTAAAAATAAAGAACCTGCAGGCCTTCACTATGGTCTTCTTTATGATCGCACTGTCACCTGCAGACTCAAACAAACAAACTCTGATCTGAACAGGCAGGAATATTTCCGTCAGATGTTTACTTTCTCTAAACGTGCTGTCAGATCACTCCATCACATGATGTCATTTATCACGCAGATCCACTGAAAGTGTCTGAAGCTAAACTTAACATGTATTTAACTTAATCCTGATTTTAAACATAACTTTAGTTTAACCTTAGTGTCTTTAAGTCCTCCTCTGTCAGCCAATAAAAACAGGCTATTCTTGTGTATCCAGGTATCAGGGTCACATCGGCTCGTCTCTGATTGTTGGAGGTGTGGATGTGACTGGAGCTCACCTGTACAGCGTTTATCCTCACGGCTCCTATGACAAGCTGCCCTTCCTCACCATGGGTACAAAATTAACTTAATCATGATTTTTGTCACTGTTTCAAACACTTCTGTCTTTACTGTCTCTACACTGAGAGCAGAGTTATAGGGTGATGCTACTTAGAATTTAGTTTTGTAGACTGGTTAATCCATCGGCAGATAAACTGGCCGGTAAATGGCATTTTTACGTAGTCAACATTATATCGGCTTCAGCCCTCACATGGATGTATGACCATTATCTCTTCAAATGAAAAACTAGTTTTTCTCATCCCCTATGACAGCATATCAAATCTATCACAGCCACTGGTTAGTTGTTTAGATGTATTTTTAAATGTTTGTGGTGATTTAGTCATCATAAAGAATACCTGTCTGTCTGTGTAAGATGTTTCAGTCTAATTTTCAGATTTTCTGTTTGTTTGTTTGTTTTCCTGTTTTCTGCTGGTGTTTTTAGGCTCTGGAGCTGCAGCTGCGGTCTCTGTGTTTGAGGACAGATTCAAACCAAACATGGAGGTGAGACTGACCCTCCGCTATCGGTTAAAAAACAAACTGTATTTACAGCAAAGGAAAGGGTGTGTACATGTGATCTGAGTGACCAAAACCAGAGTCTTCTTAGAATGTTGTCTTTGGATCTGCTTGATCAGTAAATATTCCCACCATCACTGTCTTTGGTCATTATGAGAATCTTAATAATCCATAAACAAAAACATAAGGCAGCTAAAGGTCAGGTGACTCAGTCAAACACTCTGAGTCTCAGGTCACAGCTGCTGGAAATCAGCTGAGCCAAAGATCTGCCTTGGATCACCTGTAAGGGTCAGTGTGGAGACCTTTAGTTGAAGCAGATATTTGACTGTTTTATATTAAGAGCCATGGTATTGCAGGAGAGTGCAGGTGGGAAAGAAACATCAGAGCACAACTTCTGTTTATTTAAAAACTGTATTCAAGAGTACTTTTGGTTGATTCTTTGTTTTGGTTGTCATACATAGATGAGTTCAGGTCTGAACACGAAATACTTTCACACACCACAGAACTGACTCACATAAACTCCAGGATTCATCAGGACAGACCTGATGTCTGCATGCTGGACATGACTCTGTCCAAAGAAATCTGATATTTTATGATACTCTGCCTCAAACACATCTCCCCCCTCTCCTGTTTCTTCCTCTTCCTCTCACAGCTGGAGGAGGCAAAGCTGCTGGTTCGAGACGCCATCACTGCAGGTATTTTCTGTGACCTGGGCTCAGGTAGTAACGTGGACCTGTGTGTGATCACTGAGGGTGGGGTGCAGTACCTAAGAAGCTACGACCAACCCGCTACCAAGGGGAAAAGGTTAGACTTACATGGAATCAGTCCACTCTTCTTAAAAATCTGTGAATTCATTCATAAATCCATTATTCCATACACATTAAAACCCAACCTGTAATAGGTGGTTATCTCCGCCAGAAAATGGATTTTTAATTAATTATTGGATAGACAAACCGGTTGGATTATGCTTTAGATTGCAGAGCTTAACTGAAAATTATGTCAGAATCAACATTAAACTGCATTATTCTTTAAGTTATGATAAAACTTAAACTAAACAATAGTCAGTAACTGTGTTAGATTTGATTTGATGTAATTTAGGATGAAAAATAATATCATTTACAAAAAATGATAGTGATATCTGTCTTGTGAGGTTTACTGCTGATGATGGTGTTTTAATTTAACACCTAAATATTAACTTTATGTGACCTTGCTGTAAGTGGATTAATTGGTCCAATGAGCTTCAGTGTAAGTGCCCTTATTTCTGTTTTCTAACACTGTCCTGTGTGTTGTGTGTGTGTGTGTTTCACAGAGAAGGACAGTACAGATATAAACCCGGCACCACAGCTGTCCTGACTGAAACTGTGACCCCGCTGAGTCTGGACGTTGTCGATGAAACTGTTCACATCATGGACGCTGAGTGAAAATAAAAAATAATACAGAATAATAAAAGATAGCATTAGACAGTCAAATTCTAATAAAATACAGTCACATAAACCTGTAAAATGCTCATTTTTTGGTTTCTCTGTTCGTTTGTAATAAAACCTTTCCTTACTGAAATGATCTGACATCTTACTGCAGATTCTGTTTTTCTCCTCCAGGGTTTTTAGGTCTGATATGAAAAGGCATTTTAGATAAAAACGCTTTACTTTATCTCTCTTGTTAGTTCATTCTCTGTCCCTGTGTCTCAGTTCTCAGTCTCAGTATCCCCTTTCAGCAAGCTCTGGCACCACTCCGTTATACCCTAATCTCTTGTCAACATTCCCGCCCCCCTCACTTGTTGTAAATTATGTCACCGAGCGCTCCTAAAGAGCTAACCCCGCCCACGTCCTCCTCGCTGATTGGTCAAGACCGTTAGACGCGTTGTTTAAATTTCAGTCGGAGGAAGTTGTTCGCGGTGTGTCCACATAGATAAACGTTAAAGTATTTTACTGAGCAACACAAAGAGGAATATTGTCCACCTCCACAGGTATGTTATGAAAACCATTTATGTAGTTTTTGAACTGAACAAAGAGTCGGAGTTTATGCGTCTGTGAACGCTCCAGTTGGCCTATTATTGAAGTCTGCAGTTAAAGAGCAGAGAGCTAGTACTAGCTGTTAGAGTTAACGTGCTCAGGAACATGAACTCTGCTTAGGATTATGTACACAAGCAATAGTTTTCACCTTTTGTCATTTTTCAATAACCTGCAGTCTGGATGTTTAGATGAGTTACTGCAGTCTAATGACAGTGAACAGTCTGTTCAGGTTATCTGTGAACACCTGGGAAAGGTTTGAAGTGTTTAATTGGGAGTTAAATAGTTTAATATTATTCCATGCACATTACAATGTTAACATGCCTGATTTATGTCAGACAGTATTTAACTATGCTATTCTATACATCACAACATTGTCTATTTTGAACTCCAGCCAGTATCTGCTGGGTTTTTTTTATATTTATGTTGGGGAAAATGTGTTATAATTTCAAAAAGATGATCGAAAAATTGTCATCATGAGGGTCAGTACTGATTATTTAAGTGTCAGTAATTGGCCCAAAATATATTAGCTGACTGATTAATCAGTCTGTTGCAACTTGAAAGTCTGCAGATGATAGAATAAATGAATCATGATCCACACAGTGAAAGTAGTGAGGGTTTGAAAAACTGGTCCCAGTGTAGTTCTGACAGGAAAACAAAATTGTAAAATTTCCCTTTTTTTTTAATTTAATGTGTTCACAGATTTGAGACTGTGTTTCAAGAGTCTGTGGTCTCTCTGGGATCATTTAGCTCTCGTCTGAACAGTCCAAATATCAGGGTTTTGGAGCAGGACCTTGTTTCCAAAACCCTTTCCAAAGCTAGGAATCGGATGCAAATCTCAGTGTTGTTTCATTTAACCCCTGCTCACTGAAGTAAACCCAACCTTTGACCTCTGTGGAGGAGGTATCTGTCCATCATCTTGGAGGTTAGTGTGCACACCTCCCTCCAGGCAGAGTAACACACTTTATGCTTCTCTGGGTTTCAGCTCATTGCTCGCTGACTTTCTTATCATGAGGAGAACGCCTGATGATTCAGTATCCAGTCGCAGGAAAGGCAAAAGCCCCAAACGCCGCCCACCAGTCACACCCTCGACCTCCGGTGCATTGTCCCGTGCTGCCAAGAAAAAGACTAGAAGATCAGGTGAGAGGGAGTGAGGTAGAAGAGCTTAAATCTGAGTTATGATGGTGTTATGGTCACAGATCTGAGCAACTTTTTCAAAGGCAATTATGCTTTAAACATATTCTGTTTCTCATTGATCTGAACACGCTTAAGAACACAAAACTCTCTGAACCAGCACAAACTGCAGGGTTTTTGAAGCTGCTTAAATAATATAAGGTGATATTTTTCTGTGAGCAAAAAGACAAAGACCACTTAAGCAGAAAATATTACTAAATATGTTGATAGTAGATTAGAAATGTGCGTCCCAGTCTGTCCCCATGTTTATCATTATTTTTGTTGTAATTATCATTGTCTGTGTTCCCTCTCTGCCCCTGCAGAGCTAGCTCCTGTCTCTCCAAGGAAGAGGCGCTTTCGGCCGGGTACCAGGGCTCTGATGGAGATCAGGAAATATCAGAAGAGCACAGACCTGCTGCTAAGGAAAGCGCCGTTTGGTCGTCTGGTGAGTCAGTCTGCAGACAGGAAGGAGAGGGTGCTGGAGCTGTTTGTCTATCACTTCGTCCTCTCCTCAAGTAGGACAGAGGTTCAGGTTTAGAGTTTAACTCTTGTGATTCCTGTTCCCGGTCTGCAGGTTCGTGAAGTGTGTCAGAGTTGCTCCAGAGAATATCTGAGGTGGCAAGTGTACGCTCTGCTCGCCCTGCAGGAGGTTAGTGACAGCATGATCACATGGCCACAGTCTGAGCTGTGTTTGATGCCAAACTAAAAATATGAGAGGTCACTCATGACGCATGAAAAATAAACTAATGAAACTAAAGTAGAGGAACAAGAGGTTGGTTTAATAAAAGATGGTAAAGCTGCATAAGTGCAGGTGTATAAAAATATGTAAGAGTATAACCCAGTCTACTGGGTCATTTAATCTTTCATAGAAATGTTTCATTAATAAAGAGTGTGACCTTTTTACTGAAATACTTCTCCTCCCCCTTGCAGGCTGCAGAGGCATTTCTTGTCAGGCTGTTCTCAGACGCCAACCTGTGTTCCATTCACGCCAAACGAGTCACCCTGTTCCCCAGAGACATCCAGCTGGCCCGAAGGATCAGGGGGGTGGATAACCTGTAAATACATGTCCATGAAATCCATGATAAATGATACCATTGAGACTTTAATGTTATTACTATGTAATAATGTGTCATGAATTCCAGAAAAGGGGGGGGTTACATGTCAGGTGATCACAGCCCTCAAAGGCATTCGGTTTTATTTTCTTAAGGTTCACTTCAGCCTGAGCTGGACTGTTTATAACCTGTTGGTCAGCTCATTTTAAATCTGGGGAAGGGTTTTACCGATAAACAGACCTACTTGGGTTTCTGTTTTGATCTGTGTTGATCAGTTTGAGCTTTTGATTACTGATTGAGCAAATGTGTGTAAATATGACTTTCACACCTGTAAACGTATTTTGTTAATAAACCAATTTTTTTATCCTGTGTTTTTAATCAGGATCACGTCTGTTTGTGTAAAATCTGGCGCCCCCTGTGGACAACAGTGACTCATCTCCATGTTGATTTTCAACCCCTGTGTTCATATGAATTTTAATTCTGCGGTCCCTAACCCTCAAACTTATCAATCTTCACAGGTCTTAAAACAGCATCTGGTAATGCTGATAATCTTTCAGTCTAACACCCGCTATGTGGTTTTTCAAATAACCAACTATGACGAACAGGAGATGAAATGGCAAATTACTATCTCATCAGGCACCAACACATAGAAGTGATACAGTCAAAGTGTTGGATCAGTATGACACCAGTAAACTATAATGACAGAAACCATGTTTGAGAAACTATTATTTGACCTGGATTTAGAAGGTTAAACAGCAGACAGTCAGTGGAGACAGCTTTACATATTTTGGCCTCTCAGTATATTCTTAGTATCATATTTAAGTACGACCGTTTCTCTCTCTGAGCCAGACAGGGAGACTAATGCACGCTTTTATTACCTGCAGGCTTGACTACTGTAATGCTCTCCTCTCTGGTCTACCAAAAAGCACAATAAACCAGCTACAACTGATCCAAAACTCTGCTGCTAGAGTTTTGACTTGGACCAGGGGAAGAGCTCATATAGAATAGAATAGAATAGAATATTCCTTTATTGATCCCCCATGGGGGAAATTTTTTTGTCACAGCAGCATCACAGACAAGACAGAAAGTGCAAAATGCAGTTATAACAATAAGGGTCCTAATATTAAGAACTTAATAAATGTAATAATTAAGAAAAAAAAAATTGAAAAGAGAAAAGGGAGAAGAAAAAATAAAGCTTTCTGCAATATACACAATTTAAATGCCATAAAAAAAGTGGTGGTGTAAATCCAGTTTTGTTACTGTTCATTGTAAAGTCTTATTGCAGAGGGGAGGAATGATCTGCGGTAGCGCTCCGTCCTGCAGGGTGGGAGTCTCAGTCTGCTGCTGAAGGAGCTGCCTAAAGCCCCCACAGTCTGGTGCAGTGGGTGAGAGGGATTGTCCATGATGGATATAAGCTTTGTTAACATCCTCCTCTCACCCACCTCCTCCAGGGAGTCCAAAGAGCAGTCCAGGACAGAACCGGCCCTCCTGACCAGTCTATTCAGTCTCTTCCTGTCCCTCTCGGTGCTCCCTGCCCCCCAGCAGACCACTGCATAGAAAAGTGCAGATGCTACCACAGAGTCATAGAAAGTCCTGAGCAGAGTCCTGCACACTCCAAAGGACCTCAGTCTCCTCAGCAGGTGGAGACGACTTTGGCCCTTCTTGTACAGAACGTCTGTGTTTGTTGACCAGTCCAGTTTGTTGTTGAGGTGGACACCCAGGAATCTGTAGGACTCCACCATCTCGATGTCCAGACCCTGTATGTTCACTGGAACTGTTTGAGGTGTCCCCCTCCTGCGGAAATCCACAACCATCTCCTTTATCTTACTGGCGTTGAGCTGGAGGTGGTTTGTGCCACACCAGTTGACAAAGTCAGTGATGACAGTCCTGTATTCCCGCTCGTCCCCTGACGATACACATCCGACGATGGCTGTGTCATCAGAGAACTTCTGGAGGTGACAGCTCCCAGAGTTGTAGCTGAAGTCTGAGGTGTACAGGGTGAAGAGGAAGGGGGAGAGCACTGTCCCCTAACCTATATATAACACCCATTTTAAAGTCTGTGCACTGGCTGCCTGTTAGTTTTCGCATTGATTTTAAAATTCTTTTACTAGTTTATAAAGCTCCACATGGCCTGGCACAGAATACCTTTCAAAGATGATTTTAATTTTTGAACCAGGACAGCCTCTCAGATCCTCACAATCTTCTCTTTTAGTCGTTCCACAGAGCAGAACAAAAAAAACTGGTGATGCTTCCTTTAGCTGCTACGCCCCAAAACTGTGGAACAAACTTCTAGAGGGTCTGAGACAAGCTGCAAATATTGAAATTTTTAAACGTAAACCTAAAAACTCACCTATTTAGCCTGGCTTTTATGTAAAGCTTAATTATTTTAATCACTATTATGATTTATTTATTAGTATCACTTTTTACCTTCTTTTATCAATAAATTCAAGTTCATATTTTATTGTCTGTTTTAGTCTATTTTAATAACTTTCATTTTTTCTTGTCCTGATGTAAAGCACTTTGAGCTGCAGTTTCATTTGTATGAACATAAATAAACTTTAATTGATTGATTGATTTATGGTGTCCATTTTCATACACAGTCTATGGAGATAACTGGTCGGTTGGTGTGGAATTTTCTGGTTGATTTAGGACATTTTCAGTATCATTCAGTCACTGATTTCTGTGCATTTGTCCTTTTCTGTATGCACTTAAGTTTTTAAACTCCTCTCCCCTGATTTCTTGTGCACGTCCATGAAATGAAACCATGTGTTCTGAATTCACTTTTTAAGAGACAGAAAGTGCGGTTCCTCTTTTAACAATTTTCTAACTTTTCATTGACACAAATCCATCAAACTGGCCTGCGCCACTTTTTTTCTTGGCGACATGAATGACAAGAAAGCCAACCAATCGCGTCTCATCTCCTTCACTCGCGCCTTCATTCCTTCTGACAATTTGATTGGTTAACGTACTTCCGGCTATATACTAGTGTCACATTTAGAAGTCGCCGGGTAATCGTAATTTCGACTACAATTTTGTAAAAACCGTTCCCCGTAACCTCATATACGTTGTTATAATATCACAATTCAAACACAATTCTCCTCTTACAATCATTAATTATGGTTTTAGGGATTTCTTTGTCTAAATTTTTACAAACATAGCAGATGTAGAACAAAGACGAAGACAGTAAACACAGCGGAATCTTTGAGTCCCATCTTCCGTGAACGCAGCGTTAAAAAAACACAGCGCGTCCACTTCCCGGTGGAAAGCCGCTGCTGTTATCGGCTTATTTAAGCTCTTTTGTGTGTTTAACATGAATTTGAAGCCGTGGTCCTCTGAGGGAAACAAGTGGCTGTAGTTTGGGGCTCTTATGGCTGTTTCAGCTGTTTGCTCAGAGACACAGTCACGATGTTTTCTGCCAACATGGAGACAAAAAAAGTGGACATCCCCCCAGCATTGCTCGACGACCTCTGCAGGTAACCCGAGCATAGTGTAGCATCGCACTTTAAAACCCCGTCTGCTAACCCTTTATTAACAGACTATTAAACCGTTATATTACTGTCTTTAACAGTTTGGTGAGCCTTAAGACTAAACTAGAGCAGTCTGAGTTAACTGTTGGTGTTTTAACCTGACGTTAGCTGAGATTTACAGCCACTTTCTGACACTAATATTCACTCCAATAGAAATATTCACTTATTTTTATCATTATAAACACAGACAGTAAAGAGTCATTAATAACTGTTTTCAGGTTAACAAACAAACAGCAGGATGAAAGGTGTAATTAAGAGGACGTATTCACGATCCTTTAGTGTTTACATTAAGATGGCAATAACAGTCTCAGTGGTCACTTTATTAGGAACAACTCGAATCAGACAGTCTGGACAAGATATCTTCAGTTTTTGTTTACATCAATTATTGGGCTGCTAATCTAAGGATAAGAGGGATGGAAAGACAGGACATACGACGCTGCTTGGAGGAACAAAAGACAACAACAAAAAACCAGTGTAAATATTCAACTTACAAAATGTTAAATGCCACAGGTTTGCATGTTTACACAGAATAACATTTACACTATCACTGACATAAAAAGGGAATAAGCTGAACCACAAGGCTTTTTGCTGCTCTTTCTATAAAATATATGAAATAATGTAGAGCAAAAGCAAGACATAAAAGAAAGTTTTAAAAAAAGAAGACTTACTTAAAATCATCAATTCTCAGTGTTTTTAAGTTGTAATTAGCAGTTCACAGTTTAAGGGCTTTTAAAACTCTACAAATTTTAACTCATCAACAAAACTGCTCTGAAGTTTGTCTCCTAAAATTGAAACACACTTTTATTTATTACTTTACATGTTTCAAGCATGTATGTCTTTCCTTTATTGTAGCAGCCACACAAGTGTGTGCATGAACGGTGGTATGTCTCTGTTTGTCAGCCCTGTGATAGACTGGCAACCTGTCCAGTGTGTACCCTACCTCTCCTCCTCTGACATCTGGCATTAGGCTCTGGACCCTGCAATCTGAACAGGAAAAAGACGTAAAGATAATGGATGGATGTCAGTAGATCTAGATAGTTTATGTTTTTATGTAATTTAGCTTCCAGCTGGGTTTCTAATCTATGTTATCACCTGGTTAGGTTTCAAAATGCCACTTTAGGGTTAAGATTAGTGTTTTTAGTGCCATCATGAGGAGTCATGAAGGAGTGACAATGTGACTCAGAGTACAGGGAAATCTGGTAAAAATGTTATGATATTGATGATATTCATTATTGGGGCTGGTGATTTAATACTTACGTATATCACAGGAGTAGGGCAACAATATTTGTCTGATTGGCAATTAGTTATTACACCTTTGTGTTTGCATTAAGGAAGTAAACAGTAAAGAAGAACTCTCTTGAGTGTGATGGAGTCCACTGTGACTGAGGATTTCTGGCTGTGCTGACAAAAACTGAACATCATAAACTCATTCAATCTTTAATTACAAGCAGACAGATTTTACATTTACTAGCTTCAGTAGAATTTTGGAAGATCACATAAAAAGAAGTACACAATTTGTGTGTGTGCACGCGCGTGCATCTCTACCCAATTTTGACCCCATGTCTTTCACCCTCTCTCTCTCTCTCTCTCTCTGTCTCTCTCGCTCTCTATCTCCATCGCTATCTCACTCTCTCTCTCTCTCTCTCTCTCTTGCTCTCTGTCTGGCTGTCTTCAGCCGGTTCATCCTGCACATCCCCAGTGAGGAGAGGGATAACGCCATCAGAGTGTGTTTCCAGATCGAGCTGGCTCACTGGTTTTATTTGGATTTCTGCATGCAGAACACTCCGGGAGCTCCACACTGCGGCATCCGAGACTTTGCCAAGGCTGATATCCTCAACTGGCTCTCTCAGAGCAGGATTACCTGTTTGATCATGTTATTGTGTTGTACAGATGATCAGATGATGAACTGCACACAGTCCTCTAACCTGTATCATCTCAGACTGTTTTTGTGCAGAAACAAAAGAAACTTTCTTTGATATTTTTGGTCTGAACTTCCTGTCAGGTGTGTGTTTTCACCTCGGCTTAGGTGTTTCTTCCTTAACAGTTGTGAACTCTTCCATCACTGTCCATTCCTGCTGCCTCATGGAGAGGATGTACAGAAAGTGCTGGAGCAGTGGAAGGAATATAAGATGGGGGTCCCCACATATGGAGCCATAATCCTGGATGAATCTCTGGAAAATGTAAGATTTTTACTTTTTCTTTCATAGTTATTTATCTGATTGGTCAGCTAAAGTCAGACAGAGAGACGTGCAACGGCAAGCACTTGTACTTTAAAAGCACCCTGTGAGATTGTATTTGTTATATTTTGCAAGGTCTATCCCTGCAGCAGAGTGAGCTGTAATCGAGTCATGAAAATATATTCCTGAATTATTACCTATTTTCTTTTTAGATCCATTTCCATCAATGATTTTTACTCTGCATGATCTAGAAACACATCAGCAGCTTGCTTCTAGACAAGATAAGATATGAAACAAAATAATATGATTCGATCTTCCATAATAAAATACCATATAGTACAAAACAGTTTGATACAATTCATCATGATGGGATGGATACAGTTAGAGCTTTTGGGATATCAGATTTTCTCCTCATGATTATTATGGTCATAAAAAACACAATTATGATGTTAGATTGCTTTATTTCTTGCAGGGTCAAACTGTGCTTTTATTTTGAAGGACAAGCTACTTCTTGAACTGAATGAAAACCTTGAAGGAACAGTTACTTAGTATAAATGTTTAATTGATCAGTAAAGACAGAGAAACTAGTGCTAATGTTGTGTTTAGATTTACAATCAATCTTGGAATGTAAGTTTTGAAAAGCGTCTAGTCATCTCTCAGAGGGATGTTACAGCAAACTCACTTGCAGCTGCTGCTTCTTCGTGCTGATTGTTCACACAAAATCAATTTTTATTTATTTATTTATTAATTTATTTAAAAGAGGGTTATTGTCATTACCAATATTTATGACAGCCCCAAATACAAGATGGTACAAAATGATAAATTGGGGAAATTTGTCCTGCTCTCATGTACTTTACATAAGCTTTATACAAAGGTCAGCTAAAGTGTCAGAGACAGCATTACCTGAATGTCACCTGTCCCTTCTCTCTTGTTAAAATCTCATATAGCTCTGAAATTAAACAGCAAAACTCACCTGTCCTCTCTGTCCTCAGGCTCTGCTGGTTCAGGGTTACCTGGCAAAGTCAGGATGGGGTTTCCCAAAGGGGAAGGTGAATGAGGACGAGGCGCCTCACGACTGCGCAGTGAGAGAGGTAAGTCACTCGACCAATAAGAGTGTTGCTAACTACCTCATATTTAGGCTCAGTTTACTGAGATCCAGGTGATTTTTTTCAAGGTTCTGGAGGAGACAGGCTTCGATATTAAGAACCGGATCTGTAAAGACGTCTACATTGAGCAGAAAATCACCGACCAGCTGGTTCGACTCTACATCATCCCCGGAGTCTCCAGGGACACAAAGTTCAACCCCAAAACCAGGAAGGAGATCCGGGTATGAGGTCTCTGTTTCCTCTCTGGGCCTAAGGGGAACATGATGGTGTTTTCTGTCCTCGTATTCTCATGTGTTTTACTCTCATGTTCTCCTAGAACATCGAATGGTTCCCCATCGATAAGCTGCCATGTCACAGGAACGACATGACCCCAAAGTCCAAGCTGGGTCTGGCTCCAAACAGGTTCTTCATGGCCATCCCTTTTATCAGGTGGGTTTGACTCTTTCTGTGTTTATACAGTGAAATGATCCTTTATCCTCTTCTCAGACCAGAGGAATACATCAGTCATTCAGCCTCAGGGACAATCATAAATGTGTTGTTGAACCTTACATATGTGACGTAGTTTGATGATGTTATTGATCACTATTGTTGGCTCTCGTCCTTCTCTGTGCTCAGGCCGCTCAGGGACTGGATCAACAGGGTTAAAGGAGAATCCACAGACAGTGACGAGGACTTTACAAACACTCCGAACAAACCTTCAGATAACACTCGGTAACTGCACAGAGACATCAACAACAACAACAACACCCAGTGACTGTAGTTTATGCTGTTAAAGAGGCTGCATTAGTGCTGTTCAGATATTTCAAATCTTAAAGATTCACTTGCCAGTTTGTTCAGCTGATACTCTTACTCATTAATTATAGTTATTGTCTAAGTATTACTGTTATTATGTAAGTATCACTGTAAGTTTGAAAGAATGGACATGTTGGATATCGACAAGAAGCCAGTATCCTGCAACTCTGTCTTAAAGTTAAACCATAACTGAGAAAGAGTCTGAAGATCCAGGAGAAACTGTTTTACAGTGTTTTTATACCATGAATCCGTAGTTTAAAGGGATATTCTGACGTAAAATTAATTTAGGGTCAAACACGCTGTAACACCGCTTTAGTTTTTTTCTATTGTAAGTAGTTGGTTTTTAGTTTTAGTTTACTCTAGTGGAAACCCACTAGAGTCAAATATACAGCATTAAACATTGCTCAAATTAACGGCAGATTTATAAATGTGTTAAACGCTCCATCTGTATCTGCTGAGAACTTCAGTTTTAATATTATAAACTCTGTAGACATATTTGTTCTCTCTGTATCATTGTGATACTTTTACTGTGATTCCTGCAGAAGATTAAAGCTTCACTCTGCATCACTATCAGGTCTTTATCCACCATCTTTGTCAAAAACACTCTGTTTTCTTCCATCTCTCAGGTCCAAGTCCCGCCGTGCCACAGGAAGTGATGCGTTTCCTTTTGATGCATGGATGAAACACAAGCAGCAGAAATCTGCGGGTCAGCTCAGCCAGTACGAGCACAACCAGGTGAGTGAAGACAGAGAGAGGGAGTTAGATACACCTGGATCAACTGACCTGACCCCAGGTATCAGACTGAGAGACAAGCTGTCAGAGGGAAACAGAAGGAGGGTTTAACAGTGTACCAGCTGATGACTGACAAATGAGAGCCTCATTGCATTTAATGGTTAACTGTATTTTGAATTTTTTTTCTAGTGTCCGTGTTGCCTCCCTGGGCTCAAACTCATGTCTGGATTTACTAAAGCTCTGCTAAACTCTCCATTATGTCCTGTAATATAGATAGTTGTTGTGGTTATCATAAACATGTCAGAGTTTGTTCTGTGTCCCACTTCGATAATAAACTGTGCTGTTGTGTTGTTGTAAGGTCTTATTGTTGTGCTGTTTTGTTTTTGTGCTGGTATTTTGTTGTGTAATGGTTTTGTTTTGTTGTTGTGCAGAATCCGACTGTGAAAGGAAATGGGAGAAGAAGTCAGGACTCTCCGTATGTGAGGAAAGGACCGGGTGATAATGGAGCGAGCAGCCTACAGCAGGTCAAACAGGGAGCAGTGAGTAAAAAATAAAGAACAGTCATTTAGTTATCAGTCTGCTGTTAAACAGCTGATTTAAGCAGAGCAGATTTGAAGTTATTGTAGATTAATCAGCTGTTTAAATGACGTCTTCTCTGTTGTCTTGTCTTCTGCAGAAAGATGACAAGAGGTTCCAGCCCAGACGACTGCAGGACAGCTTTGACAGAGGTGGGTCAGGTCTACACACACGACTGCATGAACTACTCATTATCCTAAGAAGCCAGCAGGTGTTTCTGCTGCAGATGAGCTGCATCAGCGATTAAACTGCTGAGATTAAAAAGCTTTTTAAGACTGTTTATTTTTAGGCTATTTGAAAAAGACCATGCACAACATGAAGTAATGTAATATGGTTCATTTCGTCTGCTCTGTGTTTGTTTCCTGGTGTCTCATGGTGTTTTTTATTTAAATGTATTGAATTTTATGTGCATTTATATGTTTATCACAAATCTGCCAAGGACTATGGATGGAAGTTAGCCTGAAGCTACATTCTGACATTTACATACCCATGTGCATTTATGAGCATGGTCCCCTATAATTAATAAGTAAGAAAGCAAACAAACAAACAAACAAACATAAAATTAAATGATAAAAATGAAGGATAGAAGAAACAGCAGCTACTAGTGAGTTAGATGTAGCAACCTTCTGGGAGACAATGGACACTCAAAAACTGACATTCAAAGATTTATGATAAATCCAAAACAACATTAGAGCATGAGTCTCTTCAGGTTACTGATCAGGTAAACACTTCCTGTTTTCATTCAGTTCAAAAAATTGCTGATCTACTGGAAGGAGTATTCTTCAAAATAAAAGAGTAAATAAAGCAACCTAAACACAAGACAGAAAAGATATATCAAAATAAAAGCAGGAGGAACGATTGTTTTATGTCTCCTCCAAAGAAGTTTTAGTCACAGAGCTGCTGATGTGGATAAATCATGAATTTGAAAATCATTAGAAATGGATGATTGAAAGTTAATAGATTATACTTGTTCATGGTGTTACAGCAATGGTTGCTCTTTTGTTTCTATCAAGTATTCGTATAGACAGATTGCAGAAAATGTATAATGGTTTCAGAGCAGTCACATGTGGAGCTTATGACACAGTAAGTTAAGTGAGGAAAAATCATAAAGAGCCTAGTAGCAGCCAAAGCTTAACAATACAACAGTTATCATGTTGAACGTGTCTGAAATTCATCAGGTTAGCTCTGACAGTCAGCATGATATGAAGTGAAACAGTGCAGACTTTATCTGGGCTCTCTCAGATTATCAGGTAACTGTATGCTCGCATCGGTGATGATTTTTAGAGTGTTATATATCTGTAGAGAAAAGTGAGACCGATTTCGTACCTGCAGAGTTATTCCTGTTTTTCTCTCCTCAGACCTCTCTCCCTGCAGCCCGGGCAGCCAGCAGCTTCTGTCCTCAAAGACTTTCCTCAACTTTAAGTTCGACAGAGACGCAATCATGAAGTGTTTTGACTACTGACCCTGCCGGCATTTCAGCCTTTCCTGAAACTGGATCAGACTGCAGTTTAGAAACAACAATGCCCAGCTGCTGCTTTGAGGGGGTTGGTGTCATATTCAGAGATGAGTAGTATGCTGCCAAACAAAAATAGCCTTATTTCACCTCCTCCACACTGAGTGACACAGCTCACAGTGAATAGAGAGCAGATGATTTCAAATCAGTTATAGAAATCTAAGAGGTACAGTTTTGTCTACAGGGAGTGCTAAAAGTCACACAAACAAAGTTCCTCACACAAGCTTTAATAGTGGGCTAATTTCATATCAATCACACTTTATCCAAATTATCTTAAACCCAAACAGAAGAGTATGATTTGTATTATTTCTGTACACCATCATCTAATAACAAGAACTTAATATTTCACTGTTTTCATTGATGCAGAGACATAGATGAGTATGGTGACTGTTCAGGTTGATTTATTATTCAGTTATGAATGTTTCAGTTAATTTCACACCCATATATGTTGATATTGTATAGCTGGTAGTGACCCAGCTCCTCCATCATGACTCTGTCTTGTTTTCAGCACTCTCCTGGTTCAGGTCAGTTCAGTCCTGTAGAGTTTGAATCTTTAGATTCAGGGTGAGATTTCTCAGATCAGAGATTTGTTAAATGACTGTGATCATACAATGTTTCCAGATGGCACAGATTCAGCGGGAAATGAACTGTTTTTATAAAGAGTCAAAGGTCAGGTCTGTACAGTCTAACAGTCTGTATTGCCTCACTGAATGAACATTTTAGCTTGTTCTGATGATGGAGAGCACTGGTTGTTTTTGGTAATGATTGTACAGATGGTTCACTGTTGGTTTTCTTGTTGTTTGACTTTAAATGTGAAGATGAATAAAGTTGTGTTTTTTTTCACACTGTTTTCTCTTTTTTAATCTCTGTGACTTCAGATCACTGATTCCCTCTCAGCCTGTGAAAATCAGTAAAAAAACAGATTATTTTGTTAGAAGTACCTCAAGAGACCGCAGGAACTTTAATGTGTTTCCACAGAGCAACAACAAAAAACATTGTCACCGTAGCAGTTTGGCAACATGAACAAGTTATGACAAGTTTTTAAAGATTAAAAAAAAACATTTTAAATTCTGAAAAGGAAAAGATTTTTTTTAATTTACAAAGCAAACAATAAACAAATACAAGATAAAATAACTAATCTCATTCGCTTTCACTCATCAAATAAATCAATGACTGTTCCAGTTCTTATTTTGCTAAATATCATCTTCCTTGCTTCATATTGAAATAATCAGGAAATGCAGTTTAAAATAATCAGTGGTTACTATCCTTCAGCAACAATCCTTAAAAAGAGGTTTGGTTTCGAGGTGGATCCATGTGTTTTCTGCTCACAACAAGAGGAAACAATTGAACATCTTTTTTTCTCATGCAGCATAATTAAGAACTTAGGCATGATTTGGTAAACTGGTTGAAAATTAATTAAAATGGATAAAGTTGCACACTTGAAATTGGAACAAGTGCTGTATGGAAATTACGACATGCCAAACAAATATTTCAAAATTTGCAATATTATGATACTTATGGGTAAATACCACATCCATAAAAGTAAATGGCAAAATAAAAATCCATCCCTTGCATTGTTTAAAACAGAACTTAAATCTTATTTTGCTTCCTTGTCACAAATTAAAGACTCTATGCTAGAGCTAGAAAACCTATGTGATGATGTCTCTAAATATGTACTGTTGTAACTCAATGAATCTTTAATTATCTAATATTTACATTTGCTGTTCGTATGAATTCCAAAGGCAGGCCTTTCTGTAAGTTTTGTGTGTGTGTTTTTTTTCCCTACATTATGTTGTTCTCATGTATATTATCACTGTGGTTCTGTAAAAGTAAGATGTACATCTGAAATTGCGCTTGTCTCCCATTGAGAGTTTTGTAAATTGCTGAATATGTTAATAAAAAAAATAAAAAAATAAAAATATTGAAATAATCCCTCTTTTACTTTGAAGGAGTCGGACCGGAAGTTGACATAACCGCTGCTAAACTCAAACACACAGGCGCAGAAGTCGACAGCGCAGAGCTTCCCTTTAACCCTCCGGTGACTGCTGCTTGAAGCTCCGTGGAAGCTTCTTCATTTAACAGGTAGAATCTGTAAATTCGTGAGTTTTATAGTGAGTTAAATAAAGACAGCTACAGTTAAAGCATCCCAACATGTCTGTGAACATTTCTACCGCTAACTTTAGCTTTCGTTAGCAGACATTAGCTCAGTTAGCTAAGTTTGCCTTGTGTTTCGTTACCGGTGAAATGAGAGAGACAATCTATATTCAGTGAACGACAACAAAGGATTAATAAAGAAAACTGAACATATTAACTGGATAATTGTGTTAACAAAAGTCTGTCATTAGTATACTCTGACCAAATTATCCCCAGTTTTCTCTGTAGTGAACAGAAATCTGAAGATTGACTCTATCAGCAGAAATACAGTCAAGAAAGGCTGTCTGTTTAATCAGCTCATTTTACAACTTACTTTATTAACTTATTGAAAATATTAACCCATATCCTCTGTTTTACCTGCTAGTGTTCTCAGGAGCAGAATCAGAGGAGCACTCTCGGGTGGCCCTGGCCCCCTCAGAAATTTGATGGCCACCCTAAACTCCTGTGATGGGCTCTTATCCTGTCAGAGTCAGGGCTAATGTTCAACCAGTTTTTCTATTGTTGTTAATTGCAGAATATGAGTCACAGTAACCTAGAAGACGCAGTCAGAGCTGTAGACAGGGTTTAAAAAGTAGTAAGTCAGAAGGTTTTTTTCTACTGTTTGTAACGTTAAAAAGTTAACGTTACATGGTTTTCAGTTTTTCAACATCTCCAAATTAATTTGATGTAAATTTTCTGCTCTGTTAACAACAACAACAAAAATAATAGTAATAATTATGAGGATGATTATAATTATTGTTGTTCTGTCTCCTTCTGGTCCATTCTCATGGCCTTCTCAGTCTGTGCTATTCTAAACATTCAACTTTTATTCTGTTCTACTCCTTCAAGAGACATTTGCTTGGCATTTTTATACTTTTTACACTTGTTGAATTATTTGCCTCTAAATTTTTTTACAATGGAAACATATAATTGTACAATTCTGCCTAAAACTCCACTTTCTCAGGCTTAGAATTTCAAGGTACTTAAACCTTTTACCTACAGATTTCATGTTTGCTTTAAAATGTGTAAGGATGACTAGCCCATGGTCACACATTAAAAAATGGAAGGTCCACACGAATTATCATTTTGACAAGCTTTACTGGTTACGGATCTGGGTTACAGCTTCATCATACCACAAGTGTAACAAAGATTGGTCTGAGACCGTTCAAGTATATATAGCTGTCCACATTTCTAAACATACTGCTGACATTTAGTTGACCCTAAGAAAAATCCATGTACGGTAAGAACAAAGGACAACATATTTTAAGGAGCTTTAGGTGAACATATAGAATGGCAGAACATATTTTACGGACCTGTGTGATGTAAAATATGGGTACAAGCTCCTTGCTGAGCATGGTTGTCAGAGGCCCATGGCTTCAGAAATCTTGCACCAAAATATCTGAGGTATTTGAGTGACACAGCTCCACCACTCTAAAGGCTGACATGACTGGCTAAAGATACTCATCCTAACAAAATGTTCACAATCTTTTCAACTATTTATGATTTCCTCAGTTTTTTTGATATCTCGGCACTGAAACAGCTATTCTATTATAGTCTATATTACAATGATCATTATGCAAAGATTGTTTTGTTTTTCAGAGCAGGATGTCGAGCTTTGGGTCGCAGAAACCGTCCCGCAGTCAGAGAACTCCAAACAAACGCTTTAATGGCCTGAAGGACATCCATGTCGATGAAATGGTGAAGATTGGCGTGAACCTCGCTCTCGAAAGGTTTTGCTACAGCGATGACAAAGGTACTAGCTGTTTATGTACTAGGAGTATAAATGTATATGACTATGATTTTCTTGCTGACATCAGTTCTGAGCTCTTTGTCGTCTCCGGTTGTGCAGAGATGGAGTTCCCGTCCTCTCTGACCAGCACAGAGCGAGCGTTCATCCATCGGATGGCTCAGTCTCTGGGTTACATCTCCAAGAGCAAAGGGTGAGTTTCTCCTCCACAGACAGAAACATGATTTACTACATCTGTCAAAGCTCTGATATTATCTACTTTCTCTGACTATAAAATGATCTCTATAGTAGATTAAGAAAGAGGATATTCTGCTCAGTTTATTGGACAGCTGAGATGTATCACTATTTCTGTGTTAGTGATTAAATTTATGATCCACAAACGGCTCAATTCATGGTCAGAAGACATTCAGTTTGATCATCCTTCCTACTCACATTCCACTCATAACTAAAAAGTAACTGAATGAATCTGGAGATGAGTAAATAAATCAACATCGCAGTCTCTCTTTCTTATTCTCAGTCAATTAGATTTTTACTTTTCACAATCTAACTTTGAAGAGAGAGGAGTGTTACAAACTGATGAGGTCTAATTTTGCAGAAACAGCTGCAGATTCTTATATTTTGTCAACACAGTTCAGTTATGACAGCAGGAACTCCGCTTTGTGTTTCAGGAAAGGATCGAAGCGTTTCCTTACCATCAGGAAGAAGGACGGCTCAGACAAACCTCGGCCCACCATGCCCCTCTCTCTCTCCCCCAATTCCCTGTTCTTCATCCGTAGCCTGCTGCAGAGGTTTCCCCTCAGCAGTAGGGAGCGTCTGGACCTGCAGCCTGGCACCAAGAGTGGGCTATCTCCGTCCTCACAGTCAGGTTAGCGCCACAGCTTCAAGTTTAAATTTTTATGTACGCCTGGGTTTATAATATACCTGTGTTTATAGCTGCCTCTCTTTTCTCAGACGGCAGCAGCGGCAGGAACAGGGCGACTGGCGGGTTGAATAATGGGGTCCCTGTTGTCCCCCTGAGGAGGAATCCTACAGAGCTGGACGCTTTCAGGTGCTCTCTGCCCGTCCACGAGCGACAGGAAGAGATCCTGCAGCTTATCAGGGACAACAGAGTGCTGCTGGTGTTGGGGGAGACCGGCTCAGGGAAGACTACACAGGTGAGTCAGTGTGGCTTGAACTACAGTTTGACCTCCAATAGAAATCTGCTGTGTTGAATTATTTATAGATATTTTGTCCCCCAAAGTCTGTGTTTAGAGCTGTTACTGCTGTACTTACCTGTGCAGTAACTCAGTGTTTAATCCATCAGATCCCTCAGTTTGTGCTGGATGAGTGCAGCAGGACGAAGAAGCCCTGCAGGATCTTCTGCACTCAGCCCAGACGGCTTGCCGCCATTGCCGTGGCCGATAGAGTCGCCGCAGAGAGAGGAGAGCGTGTGGGCAAGACTGTGGGATACCACATCAGACTGGAGAACAGGTACACACCTTTAAAATCCTTTACTCACCTGATACTGACCAGAATGTAGAGCAAGTGCACACCACCAGGGACACCAGTAACAGTTTCAAACCCAGAATCATTTTAACCAAATCAGACTGGAGAGCAGATACACACCTGAAACACACCAAGTGGCGTTAATCTGCACTGAGAGAAGATCTCTTCAAACATAGGTTCCTAACAGCTGTCTTTCTATGTCTCTGTGTGTGTCTGTTTCTGTCTGTCCCCTCAGAGTGTCTCCAAACACTTGTCTGACCTTCTGCACCAGCGGAATCTTCCTCAGGACGCTGATGGCTGGAGATGCCAGCCTGGCCACCGTCACTCATGTCATTGTGGTGAGCAGCAGATGCTCAAAGACACACTAGCAGGACACACTGTGTTATAACGCTTTGTCTCTATCAGAGATGCATGGAGAGGACACAGAGAGTTCGAATACTCAGCTCTGTCAATAGCCTGTCAGAGACACATGTGTAATCTCCTGCTGTGTTTTTCAGGACGAGGTCCATGAGCGAGACGGTCTGACAGACTTCCTGCTCATCAAGATGAGGGACGTCCTCCAGAAGTTCCCGTCCCTCAAACTGATTCTGTCAAGCGCTGCTCTGGACGTCGACCTCTTCCTCAGATACTTCGAGAACTGTCCCGTCATCAGGCGTCAGTCTGCGATGTTTAATTTGTTTTAATTGTTTTCATGTTTGTTTTGTAGTTCAGGTTTTCAATTTTTTATTTGCTCAGTTGTGTGCGTCTCTTGTTTATTTCTCTGTTTGCATGTTTGTTGTTTATTTGTTTTGTTTTTAGTGTGTTTGATGTTTTCCTGCTTCTTTTTGTTTGGTTGTTTGCTCTTTTATTCTTGCTTGTTTATTTGATTTAGTTTACCTTTGTATCCAGTTTACTTCACTATGTGCTTGCTTTGCTTTTTTGTTTTCTTTGGTGAGTCTCTTGTTTGCTTGATATTTTCTTTTTAACTAGTTGTTTTCTTGTATTTTTTAATTTGTGTTTGTGTTTGTTTTTAATTTTAATTTCTCATATTTCTTTTTTTGTTTGATGTGTTCATTTCTTTACTGACTTGAAATGAGTTTTTTTGTGTTTTGTGTTTGTTTTTGTTTGTTTTGCAGTGAAGGGGAAGCAGTTTGAGGTAAAGGAGTTGTTCTTGGAGGACGTCCTCAGGCTAACGGGCTTCAACAACACAGACATGAAGAAACAGATGGAGAGTGATCAGATGAGTAAGGACACCGCATTAACCTGCTAGTAAATGTGAGAAATCACATTTTTGTTAACGTGACGCTGTTTCTTCAGAGGAGCAGAAACATCGTACAGAGTGGAGGGACTCTGAGGACGACAGATCATCTGGAGAGAGACGGACCAGCCCTGAACCTGCTGCCCACAATGTCCTACAGGACGGAGGAGACGGGCCCTCAATGGTTAAACACACACTCACACTGGTTAGCTGGCAGGTCCATGGCAGCAAAACATCAGCAGCAATAATCCAGAGGAATTTAGGGCATGATAGAGCTCAGGAGCTCCCAGAAAAGACCGTAATAGAACATGATCGTTCAAAGTTAGTGACACAGACAGAAATAGGAGGGAGAAGGAGGGAAAGGTGCTCTATGTGCCAGGAATAAGGCCACATTCAGACTCCTGGTGGGTTTGATATTCAGTCCAAAATATTGGATCCAAGACCCCTTACCCACTGCCTTGTTTGGCCCCAAGCCACTGAGCCTTTATTTTAAAACTACAAGAGTAACATCCTGGTAAACCCCTTTTTTTCTTTGGACTGTCTCTTTAAAAAAAAAAAAAGTCCAAACAAATGAGTAACATTTCATGCTGACATCAAAGTACATACAGACAAATATGCAGATATGCAACTTCATGCATCAGTGTGTAGCTGTATGCGCTGTTGTCATGATTGTGTTTGTATGTTTGTGTCTTAGAATGGGTCGGGGCAGGTGGAGGCGTGGCTTCAGAGAGAGATGGACAGCTGCATCTCCAGGATCTTCCTGAATGAAGAGGAGGAGGCTTTCACCCAACTGTTCGACCTCATCTTCTATGAGAGCGTCAACGGTACCTGTACCTCACTCACCTGTCTGCACCTGTCCCCATTACTCTTAAATTTAACACCTCATCTATAAGCACTTGGTGGCAGCAGATCCAGATTTATCAAACAGCTGGATTAAATCATGCTTGTATCAGTGTATATGTTAGTCCCAGGTTGGATACGGGGTTGTAATGTTTGTGCTGTTGATATCTGAATTTGGGATGATCACTGATGATTAATGACCGTGTAAATTATAATCTGGTGTTGTTCAGTGGACTACAGGCACAGTGAGACAGGCTCCACCCCTTTGATGGTGGCAGCGGGGCGGGGCTTCATCGTGCAGGTGGAGCAGCTGCTGAATATGGGAGCAGACGTCAACATGAAGGCTGTTAATGGATGGTAGGACCGCAGTGTGATATGATGTTCAATTGCACCATGTACACTAACAGTCAGGTTACTGTAAATCACCACAGAAACTAGTTAGTTCACCACAGAAATGAAGGAGGCATGTATTTAATCATTAAATATATACAGCTCCCTCAAGTTCTCCAAATCTCAGCCCCAGACATGTTTTAGTTTGAAGTGAATCATTTGAAAAACTCTGTTTTAATCTGCTCTCAGGACAGCTTTGGACTTCGCTGAACACTTCGAGCATACAGATGCTGTGGACCTACTTAGATCCCACAGGTGAGTGTGACACAAACCTGAGACTGAGATGTAGACCCATATCATAATTTGAATTTCCCCCTGACTCTCTGTCAGTGCTGTTACCGGTTTGTTTTTTTCATATTGGTGGAGTTTAGTCGGGCTGCAGCCTCAGATCATCCTCGCTCGTTCAAAGTTAGATGCTGGTGCAGTTTCAGATGTTTGAGCCATTGCATGTTCTCTCCAGATAAACCAAACATTTTAAGCCAAACTACAGATGCAAGCAGCGATGAACAGCCCCTCGCACCTCTGTGCTTGTTGGGGTTTGGTGCACGTTGGGGTAGGGCAAGCGTTGGGTTGCTGGGAAGACTTTTTTTGTACAAAGCAGACTTGATTCATAAGCCCATGAAAGAACATCATTCTGAGGAAATCATGGTGTATTGGCTGATTGACGAAGATTTGCAAGTGTGTCAAATTGAGTATTAAATCCACACAGACCAACCATACTTATAAAGAATGTTTTGAGGCTCCAGTGGGTACCCATGTGCCACAGTTAGTGACTCCATTAATAATTTAACCCCTTTAAAAGCTACATCTGGGGCATAGAAGTATGTGAACTTGAGGGCAGTGGGGGGAAGGTCCTTGGATGTACCAGATATATCTAAACTTCTACTCTAAAGACTTATAAAAAACCTCTGATTTACTGACCACCTGAGAGAGTCTGTTCTCTGTCTCAGGGTGGAGGTTAACGAATGTGTGTATCTGTGTGTATTTTTGCAGGTCTGTCGGTGGTGTTAGAATGGAGGAGTTTCAGGCTGGAGATGCCGAGCTGAGTGCAGAGGAGCAGGAGTTACTCCGACTCTACCATCAGAGCTTCGATGATGAGCAGGTGGACGTGGATCTCATCATGGAACTGCTGCACAATATCTGCTCCACCACGGCTGATGGTTAGAGTCTACACAGCCGCTCAGCTGTTCTTCATAGTAGTAATAATGATAACAATATTAATGATTTAATTTGTAAAGCACCTTTTAAATAACCCACGAGGAGTTCACTCAGTCTGTCAGTCTGAACAGATGATGAAGTTGATCAATGTTTTTGGCTAAAATAGATAGACCACAGATATAGGATTATAATGTTCATGGAATAATGGATGAAATTATTATTAATAGATTGTTATATTTTATGAAATGCAAAAGAAAACATCAACATTATATTGAAATCATATATCAGCTGTTGAATCACCTGCTTGGTTATTATTGCTGTCAGCTGTGGAAATACCTTTATCAGCTGACCTTTAAAAACAGCCGATCAGCTGATCAATAGAATAGGTAAAAGCTGAACTGACAATGTAATAAGTATAGATAATGTAAAAAATGCTTGTTTTTGTTGTTGTTTCTGTTGTCTTTCAGGGGCGGTTCTGATTTTCCTCCCTGGATACAATGATATTGTGGCGCTTCGAGATCGCCTCCTGTATGACGATAAGAGGTTTACAGTTCACTCTGACAGGTGAGTGTTCACCTGGAGGGGCTGTAAGGACAGATAATAACGGATGACTTAACATCATGTGTTTATAACATGTTTTTGTCATACATATGAAGTCATATTTACAGACCCATCAGAGACGTACAGCCCTCTGACATTAGATAATTAACACTTAATATATGCTGAATTTACACTGCACATAAACATGAACACGTGCTGATCACAGGAGTGTGTCTGACAGATGTGTGTGTGTCTCTCAGGTTCCAGGTGTTTACTCTGCATTCAGACATGCAGACGTCCGATCAGAAGAAAGCCATGAAGACGTCTCCACCCGGAGTCAGGAAGATCGTGAGTTTTTAACCTGACTGTGTGTGTGTGTGTGTGTGTGTGTGTGTGTGTGTGTGTGTGTGTGTGTGTGTGTGTGTGTGTGTGTGTGTGTGTGTGTGTGTGTGTGTGTGTGCGTGTTTATTTACTGACTGACTCTCTGACTTTGTCTTTACTGACTACAGTGCTTTAGGTTGACCTGCAAATACATCACAACACACTGACACACACTCACAACATTAACTGCCGAACTGAATCTGATTCAGACTGTTAGAAAACAGAAAGACCTTTCAGTTTGTTTTTAACGTTTTTTTTTTGTTTGTTTGAAGATCAATTTTTACAAAGCAAACTAAGGAAAAACAAGATGGACAAATGGATGAATAAAGCAGTCAAAGGACAGGTGTGGGTTTACTCCGGGTACTCCGGTTTCCTCCCACATCCCAAAAACATGCCTAAGTGGGGTTAGATTAATTGGCCACTTTAAAATTGCCTGTAGATGTGAATGTGAGCGTGGATGAGTGTTCGTCTCTATATGTCAGCCCTGCTATGAACTGGCGACTTGTCCAGGGTGTCCCCTGCCTTCGCCTGAAGATGCTGGGATAGGCTCCAGCCCATTAAATTTCACTTTGAAAATCACAGAGTTTTCACATTTAAACAGCAGATTGAACTGAGTCATAACTGATGATTTCTTGTTTTTCAGATCCTGTCCACAAACATCGCAGAGACGAGCATCACCATCAACGACGTGGTGTTTGTTATCGACTCAGGGAAAGTCAAAGAGGTACGATAGAGCCGAGGAGAAACATCAAGAGTTACAATGTGAGTGAAATAAACTGATTTCTCTGTGATCATTTAACAATATTGTCTTTCTGTTTTACTGCAGAAATCCTTCGACACTCTCAGTCATGTGTCCATGTTAAAGACAGTGTGGATCTCCAAAGCCAGTGCTCTGCAGAGGAAGGGAAGGTAACAGCGTAAAGTCTGCTCTCATCACGTTACTGTGTCATTTTAACCCTCTGATACACACCCGATTAGAGCGTTATTTATGAGGTGTGCGTCTGTAATAAACACCTGTGGTATTTCAGGTAAATGTTTGATTTTTCACCCGGCGTCTCTACCTCCTGTCTATCATCCTCAGAGCGGGACGCTGCAGGCCTGGGATCTGTTTCCACCTCTTCAGTCGTCTCCGCTTCCACAACATGTTGGAGTTTCAGGTTCCACAGCTGCTCAGGATGCCTCTGCAGGTACACACACAAACACACACACAGACACACACACACACGCTTTTGTTTGGAACTATTTCTGTTTTTCTCTGAAAATTAATGATTTATTTCATTTAAAATAGGGGCATTACATATTAATGAACATAAACATGTAAATATGCAAGATAGTAGCCATCTTTAGTCCCTTTGGCAGGTAGATGTCATAAACAGAGAAAAGAAAATCAATAAAACAACAGTAACAAATTCTTAAAAATCCTTCTCCTTTTTCTTTTAGCTGTGAACACAAAACCCAGTTTTTATACTACAGTCACAAAAAAATTAAACAGCCACATCCAAAAATTTTAATCTGAGCTCTGAATCAAACATTGTTTTCACACCATAAAGACATTAGAGAGACTAAAAACACTTCTGAGCAGTGACCATACACTTAAGCACAAAATAGAAACGGCAGTCAGAGAGCACTCTAGGCTCAGAAAGTTTTTTTTTTAAAGACGAATGTAAGTAAGCAAGTGTTTGAAGTTCATAACGCAAGGTTATTTAAGTAATGCAAATGCAGTTATATTGTATATTCAAAGAAAAGAGTTTTTGCACACCTGGACAGGTGCACAGGAAAGAAGTTGACAATTGAAACTTAAAAAAAATCCTGCCCACTGTCCTCAGTGGCTGCAGTGCTCAGATCTTAACCAGTCTGATTCATCATCAGTAGATTTAGTGAGATTAGTGAGATTACAATCACAATAAGTAAGAGGCATGGGCACCACAATAACTGAACTTAAATGTTGTGTTTCAGGATCTGTGTCTGCAGACCAAACTGTTGGCTCCCTCCTCCTGTCCCGTTGCTGAGTTTTTATCCAAAGCTCCTCAGCCTCCTCCAGCCCACGCGATCAGGAACGCTGTGCACATGCTGAAGGTAACAAAAACTTCAAACAACAACAAATACTAACAAATGAACAACAGGTGCTGCCGTAGGCTGCCTCTGAGACAAGTTCAGTCAAAACTCTCCTTCTCCAGACAATCGATGCCATGGATCAGTCTGAAGACCTGACTGACCTGGGCATCCTTCTGGCTGATCTACCTGTGGAGCCTCACCTGGGGAAGATGGTCCTGTGTGCTGTGGTTCTGAAGTGTCTGGACCCTGTCCTGACCATCGCCTGCACTCTGGCCTACAGAGACCCCTTCATCCTCCCTGCCCAGAGCTCCCAGAGCCGAGCCGCGCTGTACTGCCGCAAGCGCTTCACCTCCAACACCTTCAGCGACCACATGGCCTTGCTCAGAGCGTTTCAGGTAGACTTTATAGAAAGGTGCCCTCTTGGTACCTGTGGACTAAGAAATGAAGCCAAATCTGACCTTGAAAGTAAACTGCTATCTATCTGCTAACTATCAAAGGTTAAGAGTCAAGCAAAGAACCATTCCCATTTTATTTACTATTATTTTATTAACTATCTCTTTATTTACTTCATATACAAAGCACAAAAACTCCATGTTAGACTCTCTGCACAAGGCTTTATTTGTACATACTGTATATACAGGGGACACAAATAGTAGCCACACTCAAAATGCTGATACGTTTTGATACAAAGAAATAAAAAGACAGAGCAAAGAAGGTTAGAAACAACCCCTCAAGGTAACAAATTGACCTGTTGTAGATAAAAGGCAGATGTTATCTTTGTTCCAGAGGAAAATATTGAACACAATATTAAAACCAGCAAAGAAGATCAGATTAGTTTAGAGATATTAAGACCGTAAATGAAGACAGTGAAAGTGTAAAGGGCATGTAGAATAGTCAGAGAATAGCCCTTTATATATTTAGTTTAATGTCTTTTAACATCCACAGAAAGTCAGGAGAAGGTAACTTCACCCTCTTCTGGTACATTTGTCCTTTGTTTGGCAAAGTTTACACCTTAAAGTCTAAGAGAGAAAGCGAATCTTTAAAGTATTACTTTTTTAACTTCTACTCTCTGTCCAGACACCTTGACTGAGGTTTTACAGCCTCAAGTAAAAGAATAAGCCACAGTGTCTTTCTGGTAATAACATCTTTTTGTGTTTTTTTTTTCAGTCGTGGCAGAAAGCTTGCACTGATGGCTGGGAAAGGTCTTTCTGTGAGAAGAACTTCCTGTCTCAGGCCACCATGGACATGATCCTGGGCATGAGGACGCAGCTGCTGGGACAGCTGCGAGCTATTGGTCAGTCCATGGAGCTTTATGTCAATGTTCAGTCCTGCTGTCAGTCAAATATTCAGTTTCAGGTCTTAAAGTGGTCCATGTCAAACAGTCCCTCCTGATAAAGACATGAAAATTAATCACATAGATGTGGAAGTCTGCATGAGGGTTTAACCATGAAGATATCGTATAACGGAGCAGGTTAGATGACACCTGATGTCCCTGTCTGGCAGGTTTCGTGCGCGCTCGGGGGCACAATGATATCCGGGACATGAACCTGAACTCTGAGAACTGGGGCGTGGTGAAGGCGGCTCTGGTTGCTGGCATGTACCCAAACCTGGTCCACGTAAACCCGGAGACCGCCCAGCTGTCCAGCAACAGAGAGAAGAAGGTCATCTTCCACCCGACATCCATCCTCAGCCCAAACTCCAACAAAGAGGTATGACAATGAGACAACCTGAGCCACCCTCTGCCCACTGAGCCTGTAACACTGCGCTCTGATTTGATCATATCTGCCCTACTGTGCTGAAGTTTGGGGAACATTCATGAAAGATATGTTGGCTGCAAAAAAAAAGAGCTGTGAGGAAAATAATCACGCTGGATTTGAAGAGCAAACCAGGATTTTGTTCTTCAAGTCTTGTAGGTTGAAATATATGGGCTTAGTTTAATTTACAACGGCCCAGTTTAGGTGTTAAATGATGGATTACCTGAAAACTGGTAAAGGAGAAATTATGATCGAAGAGGGAAATTACACCAGCCTGTGTGCTCTGCAGAGAGAGAGGGAGAAAGGATGCTTTCAGACTCTCTTTGCACGTAAGTGAAGTAGTTATTTCCACACATGTGCAAAAGGTGAATTTCTTTCCACCTGGGTGACAAAAATATGAGTCTGGTGTGAAAGTCTATCAGGGTCTGGATGCACAAGAGGTCACAGTGTTTCATCAGAAACCTTTGATCCCGTCTTCGCCAGGAAAAAAAAAGGTTTTATCATTGCTTTTTAGATGTTTTGCTGCCAGACCAGAGAAAACACCAATTTGGATTTTCATACTGAGCTTTAGAGAAACTTAATCACACGTTTCATGAGTCAGCGATTAAGAGGCTTGATCATATGGGGTCTTGTACTCGTAGTTCTTGTCCTGTTCCCATAAAAAGTTGATGAAAACTAAACTTATCCTGAAAGAGTTGATACTGGTGAGAGAGTGAGGCAACATGAGAAGTCTCTCTTCATACCCAACTTTCTCAGGATGGTTCAAACATCGTGTGTCTGTGTTTCTGTGTGTGTGTGTGTCTGTTGGTGGTTGTTGTGTGTGTTTGTCGTCTAGCCTGACTCGCTGCGGTCCTCCAAGACTCTACCCACAGACTGGCTGATCTACGATGAGATGAGTCGAGGTCACAGGGTGGCAAGCGTGCGATGCTGCTCCGTGGTCACTCCCATCACTGTAGCCATCTTTGGAGGCTGTGCAAGACTGCCAGACTCCGCCCCGCAAGAACCTGCAAGAGACAGAGACGCAGGTGAGACACTACAGGGGACAGGGAAACAGGTAACACAGGCTGAAGGGAGAATGTAGCAGGAAAGAGCCTGAAACATGATCTGAGGGGTGTAGATGTTGAGTTTCTCTGCCTTATCCTCTGTGCAGCTCACAAAAGTCTGAAGATGTGTTTATTTTTTTCTCCTATTGTGTTTCCTTGGTTGAGTACTTTGTGTTGCGAGAGCGCATCTGACACATAAAATCTCCTGCTGTGAGGAAAATGAGTGAGAGGTTTAATCTGAGCCTTAATGTCCTGAGATTATCTACAAAAGATCAACAAATGAGTGAAACAGCTTTTGTTTCTATGTGTTTGTTCTTCCTCCAGATGAGTGTTTTAAATCATTTTGGTTATCATCACCTGAAGTGTGTGTATTCAGTGTGTTTCCATGTCTGTCAGGCTGTGGTCTGGAAGAGGACAGTGACAGTGATGAAGAGGAGTTGTCTGAGATGAAGATTGATGACTGGCTGGCGTTCCAGTTAGACAGTGAGGTGAGAAAGACAATCTCTTTCTTTCTGTGTGTGGTGTCACACCTGGAAGGATGTTTCTAAAATCACAGAGAGAGGCTGCAGGATTTAAATATTTTTATTTCATCTTCAGATCATCCGATCAGCTCATCTCTAGAGTCACATGATCCACAGTTTTTACCTGATGATACTATCTTTTATAGACTTATTGTTATTCTTAAAAAAAGATGAATAGGTGTGTGTTTGTGTGTGTTTCTCTTTGTCAGGCTGCAAAACTGGTATTTGATCTGAGGCAAAAATGGCAGAATCTGTTCATCAGGACGATCAGGTCTCCTACAAAACTCCGGAGCCAAGAGGACGAGGGCGTCATCAGAGCACTTGTATCTGTATGTTCTTTATGAATTTTCTTTGTGAGAGCTGTTAACAAAAGCAAAACACTGAAAAACCGACATCCATCACCCTGTTAGAGTCTAGAGTCTGCAGACTGAGACCGACAATCTGCCAGACACTGAATGTGTTCTATTTATATTTCACTGTGAGTCAACTTAACATCTCTGACCTTCGACCCTCAGGTTCTGTCAGCAGAGGAGCAGGGGGCGGGGCTTCAGCAGCCTACAGGAATTGGTCAGAGACCTCGGCCCATGCTGTCAGAGGATGGAGCTCAAGCTGCTGTGAAGGGATTCAAGAACAGCCCCCAACCACCCCCAAAAAACACCTTTGACCGGTAAGGAGAGGACACACCATAGACTGTATATACTATGGACAACTTGGTTCCGCCTCCCGCCTGTATACGGATTTGAAGCTAAAAAGCTCTCTGTATTTCCGGGATTTTTCTTCATTTCCTGAAACCAGCGCTGCGCAGTAGCAATGTGCGCATTCGGCGGGAGAGTCGCTGTGATGACGCTCGGCTCAAATGGCGTATCCCCCGGATGAGCTACCCAATCTTTGTACACCCATAGACTGTATCAGGTGTCAATCATAGAAAACATGAACTCCCTAATAACTTTTAAAATGGAGCTTCACAGAAAAAAGAGGACTTGAGCACAAACCAGTCTTACTGTAACTACATGTTAAAGAGACTTCAATAAAATCTGACTCTGTCCTCCTCAGGTCCTCAGTGTCAGCAGCAGCAGCCTCAGGACATCCTCAGACGAAGTTTCACAGCAGAGAGGACAACCAGCTCTGTGAAGACCCCGCCTCCTCCAGTGGCCTCTCTAGTAGCCTCTCTTCCCCTGACAGCCCCGCCTCCTCTGGAAAGGTACCCAACAGGTCATCTAATCATAAGAGTGCTACATTTTAAAGGAAATTCTGTGATGCCAGTTTGACACATCATCAGGAAAGCCACCCGGTATACACCCTAAAACTCTTCAATTACACAGAATTAGCTCATGGTCTGGGTTGACATTCAGGTTAGGGCTTTTGGTTTAGATTTGGGCTCTGGTTTGGGTAAAGGTAAAAGGTTTAGGTTCAGGTTTAGGCTCATTTATCTGGACTTTTAGTCACACAGTGAAAAAGTTTTATTTCAATATAGATCAGACTACAGGAAACAGCAGCCATCTTTGTTTTTTTTTTCCTCACATTCCTCCTCCCCTTAATAACCTGTTCTTTTATTACCCACAATGCATTTCCTTTATGGTGTATATAGAGGCTCACAGCTCCTTATTATTGTCGTATCTCCAGTGTAGTCCAGATTACTGTTTGTTATAATGTGCGTTTACCATGGAGGCAAATTCAAAATATTCAAAGACCGATGTTAACAATCCGTTTTTTGATCATTGGTATTAAAAAATAGGTATTTCCTGTAACAAACTACAAAATGTAAAAACTGCTGCAACAGGAAAAAAAATGGACAGAGAAATATTTCAGACTCATAGTGTCCAGTTTTCTGCATGCTTGTTCTTATTGGTTAATTTAGAGCGAGTCTACATGGCCACATGTCCGTCTATGTCAGAAAGCACACTCAGTCGGGGCTGATGATTCGGGTATACAGAGACACTGACATGAAGCTTTGCCAGCATAAGAAAACCCTCCACTGACTTTGAACAGATTGTCAGCTTTTTTTTCTCAAGATGGGTAATGTCCTGGGAAAAGTCCTCAATCTCAGCGTCTGAAGAAGCAGCTGTTGTGGCGTTTTCCCCAAAAAGAGCTCATGGAGACCTGGTGCATGTTTCCTCCTCCTACAGATGTCTCATTCCTCACGCTCCCCTCAGCCGGCCTTCTCCCCTATGAAATACTTCATCATGAAGAGCAGCAACATGAAGAACATCGAGATCTCCCAGCAGAAAGGGATCTGGTCCACCACCCCTATCAACGAGACCAGGCTTAGCCAGGCCTTCATGAACAGCAATGTCATCCTCATCTTCTCAGTGCAGGGCTCGGGACACTTCCAAGTAAGTGAAGACACACACAGAGGGTAACATGCAGCAGACTGACCACCTGAACCTAAAATCAGACATGTTTCTAACTCTCGGATGTTTTTGACTCTGCCTCAGGGCTATGCTCGCATGACATCGTCCGTCAACAGGGACAGCTGTCAGGACTGGGGGCTTGTGGGTCTGGGGGGCGTGTTCAGTGTGGACTGGATCCACAAAGAGAGTCTGCCCTTCCACTGCAGCCAGCACATCCTTAACCCCTGGAACGACCACAAGAAGGTCCAGATCAGCAGGGACGGACAGGTGAGACTGATTACAAACAACAACAATGTAAAGTAAATGTGACAGCTGGTTCTGCTCACTCTTACCTGGTTGTATCGCCATGGTAACTGACTCTGAACTCCTCACCTAGACAGAACCAGCTTGTATTCAGAGTAATAGCATTAAGACAGCTGTAAAGTGGGATCACAATGTTAGTAGATGGTTGATGATGTCCCCTGCAGGTAATCAAGATCATCAGCTGATGTAGTAAGAGAATTTAAAGGACCAGTGTGTCACATTTATAATAACACAGAATGGAGACATGCAGTTAAGGCAACACTCACTTATTGCATCTCATGATAAAGCTGACTTGCATTTTATTCAGTTTGATTCTTTGAGATTATAACCCCCTCCCCTCCAGTGTCCCTCCTCTTATTTTGACTTGTTTGCTTCAGGTGAAATTAAAAGTTTTAGCGGACCATCTGTACAGGAAAAAAAGACTAGAATCAGGTCACAGCATCTGTCAAACTACATTAAACTACACAGCAAGTTTAACACAGCAAGTAATGAATCTGGTCAGGTTATTGATATTTCTTTAAATCAAGTCAAATGAATACACTTATTAGACTTATTAATTTACAAAGTAACACAGTATTTTTTCTTCACTCCAGCTGCAGCAGTGTTGATTTTACAGCTTCATCTCTCATGTATTTATCATCTCTTCTCTTCATATCAGTCTGACTGAAGCAGAGAGTCTGTGCTATTTCATACAACTCCTCCTTTGCACATGAGTGCCCTCAGAGTGTGAAGCAGACAGCCTGAGTTAACAGGGAAAGTTCATGACCAGCTGTGTGATACCCGAAATCTCTTCCTGGAGCTTTAGACTCTATTGAGCTGGCCTCTTCAGATAAAGAGAGCAGCTATGTTGAGTTCATTTTGAGGTTTAACCCTTTCTAAAAAAGTCTATACAATGTCACACTGAGCTGCTGTGTCTGAGTCAGAGGATGGTGTACTTCCTTTTGTTGGTGAATGGTAAATCCACTGCTCTGTACTGTCTTTGTTGTAGTTTTGTCCCTGTGTTTTGTCTTTCAGGAGCTAACCCTGAGTGTGTATGGTGTAACGTTGTTTTATCCCTGTGTTTTGTCTTGCAGGAGCTGGAGCCTAATGCAGGCAGTCAGCTGTTGTCATTATGGGAGAGAGGCTCTGGGCTCCAGTAAGAAGACGACTACTCTCCTTTTTCCCCATCAGATCTGACTCTCACCTCCTTTAGACTGACAGAAAAAGTGTTTTTATATTTCTCTACAGGTTCTTGTTCAACTCCAAGACAGAGTTTATTTCGCAGTTTATCTCCATGTGTTCACCTGTTTGTACCTTTTAATCTGTTCATCTTTCGTTCGTTTCATGTGTTCATAATGGTACCGCTGTTCTCCTCTAACAGTGTCATCACTGTGTGAATGAATTCTGAGTTTATTCAGGAAGTTGTTCTGATGTGCAGTTTACCCCTGTGTTTAAGAAGAGGACCTCACTGTAAGCTTTTGGTCTACAGTTTTAAACCTCCTCAGAGCAGAAATGGGGACTTTGACTTGTTGGACTTGTGTCGCACTTTAACCTGACTACAGACTTGACCCTCAAGGACTTTAGACTTGACTTGGACTTGCACAAAGTGGCTTGTGTGTATTTCTGCCTCAGAGTGACCTAACTTTAAAGGTACACTAAACACTGCTGGACATGAGAAGAACCCAGGAGTAAAACTCCTCTCATATCCAGTCTGTGAACGGACCAAGCTGTGTGTAGTATTCACAGCATGTTAACAGAGTTCAGATTTTTTTGGTGTGAAAGCTTCACTCTGATGGTTTCATTACACCTCAGGGAGCACCATAACTAAATAAACATGAATTCATGTCATCAGTTGTAAAAAAAATGTTTATATTGTTAGAAACTGAAGAGTAGCCTTTTTGATTGTTGGTGCTGGATGAGGAGACATGTTGTTTTGGTTGAGTTAAGGCGTCTTCATGACTGTTAAAAACATAAATAAAATAAATACTGACTCCACCCTAAACCATGTATCTGTGTGGTGTTCTTACTGCTCTGTTACAGATAACAGACTCATCCTGGTCTCTTTAATGATCACTGTTAACAGGCTGTGGGCTGGTTTTCCCTGACTTTAGCCAGATGTGATGTGCCAGATAGAAACAGAGGGAGTGATTAGAGACCTTCAGGAGAAATCAATGATTTCATCAGTGTTGGGACAAACAAACAACATCATCCAGATCACAAATGAGATTATTTAATGAAGAGAAATGGTCTCTGTAGTAAAATGGGTAATTAATCAGCAATAATTTACCGACCTGAGAAAGAGTGGGTGCTGAACTTTGGAATACAGAGTTCCAGAAAGCTTGGTCCTGAAAAAGACCCTCGACCCTTAAAGAAGAACTTCAAACACTTTTTAACTCTTCAGTGTAGTTCCCAAAATGTAAGAATAAATCTAGCCTAAATCTAGGCCCTAAATCTAGTTTGCAGGTGTCTTTCACTAATGATTTAATAACCCCGGGATTTAAATCTGCACTCTCACCGGTGAGGGGAGGTGAGGTGGAACTTTGACCTGACAGGATGTCTCTGTGCACAACCTGATCAGATGGATGGAGAGCAGATAAAGACAAAGACATGCTAACTCTTCTGTTGGTGGATACATTAACCATGGTCAGAATCAGAATCAGAATGCCCTTTATTGTCATCATCCTAAAAGTGCAACGAGATTGGAGAGCTTCTCCTTTTCCAGTGCAATAGAAAGTTAAAATAAGGTAGTAAAAGTACAAAAAGTTGTAAGAAAGAAGGTACGATATATACAAGACAAGAATTCTACAGAGTAGTAAAATAAAACGTATGTATAAGGATAAAACAGAAAGATAAATACTAAAAATAGATATCAAAAATAAATATATGTGTGTGTTTGAATATATATATATATAAATATGTACTTTTTTTTATATGTACATGGACATGTATTGCACAGGTTAAGGATATAATAATCACACAGCAGCAGTAACATTGGTAAATTAAAAGTTTAAAGTGAATCAAACTATAAATTTATGAGTTAAACAGAATTATAACTAAATAACATGCTACTTTAACTTTATCGGCACAGTGTATACACCTATTCCCTGTTTATAACTACATAAGGTTATTTCTTATGTACAGTACATCAGCTCCACTTACCCCAGCAACACCTTGAAACCGCAAATTTATCCATGCACATTAATTTTATACTATAATAACTTAAATAGTATTTCTTATCATAAAGACTCAAATCTTCATTTTTTAAAAATTCCCGTACAGGGCCTTTACTTGAAGTTTTCCCTTTTTTTAATATTACATTGATTAGAAATATTAGATAATAATGGAGTAATTTATTTGTTAAATAAATATCTATTCTACAGTCTGTACTGTACTTTATATTCAGGCTGTAACACGGTCAGTTCTGTGAATGGAGGTCCACCGTTGTCATAGAAACACTGCTGCCCAGTGTAGTACGTCTGCCGCGCCAGGAATTACTGCTCAGCTGTAATTGGCTGCTTTTCTCTCACCAGACATCGTGTCCATAACACCATTGGTTCACTTGCACTGCTCTGGCGCGTGGTGGTGGTCCCTGATCTCTGATTGGTCAAGCGTCTGCGGGACTTGCTAACGCGCATGTCATCTGTGAGCTGTGATTGGACGGGGGGGACCAGGTGCTGTAGGAAAGGGTGTCCGCTGCGCTGTCACCGTCACACATAAATACACCGACAGCAGGGTGGCGAGATAAACACAAACAGCCCGGAGTACAAACTTTCACCATCACCGGAGTTACTGTAACACACAGGTAGGACACTTTATAGACACGCCTGTTTGTCCGTGTGTTTCGCACTGAGCTAAAACGTGAGCTCAGGGTCTATTAGCTCAGTCACTCAGGTTAGCACAGGGCTAACACAGATGTTATTCAGATATAATGAGACTGTAGGGAGATACTGCTAACAGGAGCTGCTGCAGCTGTGGTCAAAGTAGTCTGGGAGCTGCTCAGAGTCCGCTGAGACCCAGAGGGAACGGTTTCATGTACGGTTTCATGGGTTAGCCCGCTAGCTGAATGCTCCTTATGACACGGTAACACTTTTAACCGCAACACCGGGTCCACTGAAGCTAAAGCTGTCAGCCTGTGTTATAAATTAGACTCTAAACGCTGTCCGTGGATCATTTATCTACCTGTTTACTCTGTTTAAACCTTTGTCACACACCTGTCCGTCCTTAGTGAGTTAACCTTTTTGACAGAGAGACATTAGCGACTTAACCTCAACTTCCAGGAAATCCCGACACTGCCCTTTCACCCAGTTAGCTCAGCATGGTTCGTTTAGTTAGCCCACTCAGCTCTGGTCTGTCTGGGTGATATGTATCTGCTCCCGAGAGTAGTTTGGACTGTTTCGGACTGACTGTCAAACATCACAGCAGCTGTATGTGCTAACATGCTAGCTGCTCCTTGTTCCCATTCACCTTGTCAGTAAGCTAACTTGCTGAGGCTAATGCAGTGCAGCTCAATGATGAAACACTGAGATGATGAGGTCTCACCATGTCATCTGTTTCACAACATATTTGTGCTGATTCACAGTGATCACACTCTGATTCATCAAACTTTTTATTCTTTATGTTAGATCGTTATGATTGAAATAATTATGGTTTTAGTGTCAGCAGAAGCTACAGTCACTACAACAGCAGAGGATAGAGAACTAAAATGATCTGTTTCAGAAAAAGGTAGTTGAATGAAACTTCCCTGATGTAAAAGTTAAACTACTAAAATAAATAACACATTGTGAATAAAAGAGTACTAAAGAGTACTCTAACCAAGTTATTAAAATGCTGTTTTTAGGTGTTTAACATTTCATGATGTCTACCAAATGTACAGACAAAACTACATGTCAAAAGCATAGCTGTCAGGTAGGGCTGGGTGATATGGGAAAAAGTTTATCACGATATATTTTTTTCATATCAGTCGATATCTAAACATATCACAATATGAGAAATGAAATTTAACAGTGCTTATTGGTAGCATGTCTTTTGCAATACAATAAGCTACTGCATATGTGAGGTCTCTGTGTCTCTTTGACGTTTTGTCATAAGGCGTTGCGCTCATAGACTGTGTATAGAATGGACAGAGTCTGCCTCCTCGCTGAGTGAAGCCACTCCGAGAACAGCACCCTCTGTTGATGGGCTGCAGTATAGGTCATAAATCCCGCCTCCGCCAGCAAAGCTTATGGAGCTGCGGACAAACTTAAGAAATTTATACACAGAACATAAATTTTTCTCCCCACTGCTTGTGATGTTGACATGTAGTTACAGTAAGACTGGTTTGTGCTCAAGTCCTTTTTTTTCTCTGTGCAGTTCCATTTTTAAAAGTTATTAGGGGGTTCATGTTTTCTTTGATTGACACCTGATACAGCCTATTGGCATTCAGGGATTGCATAGCTCACCCGGGGGTAATGCTGTTTGAGCCGAGCGTCATCACAGTGACTCTCGGTGACTCTCTCACTGAATGCGCACAACGCTACTGCACAGCGCTGGTTTCAGGAAATGAAAAAAATTGGAATTTATTGCCCAGCCCTTCTGCCAGGACACCAGAGTTGTTATTTTGATATACTACAGTAATAGAATTAGACATTTGGTACAAACCTGGATATCACAGCAACAAAACCTGAGCTCCTGACCTCTCAGAATGGTTACGTTTATCAGTTTCGCTTCTCATCTTACCTTCTGACACTCACACTTGATGACCTGTATTTGATGCTGAATGTGACCCTTCCTCTTTCCCTGCTCAGGATGCCTGGTTCAGCCCCGATCAGCTGTTTGGGTCCATGGCCCAAAGATGTGGGCATCATTGCCATGGAGCTGTATTTCCCGTCTCAGTATGTGGACCAGGCGGAGCTGGAGCAGTTTGATGGCGTGTCGGCGGGTAAATACACGTTGGGCCTGGGTCAGGCGAAGATGGGTTTCTGCTCTGACTGCGAGGACATCAACTCTCTGTGCCTGACGGTGGTGCAGAGGCTGATGGAGAGGAACAACCTGTCTTATGACAGCGTGGGCCGGCTGGAGGTCGGCACAGAGACCATCATCGACAAGTCCAAGTCGGTGAAGACCGTCATCATGCAGCTGTTCGAGGACTCTGGAAACACTGATGTGGAGGGAATCGACACCACCAACGCCTGTTACGGTGGAACAGCTGCTCTCTTCAATGCTGTCAACTGGGTGGAGTCTAGTTCCTGGGATGGTGAGGACAAACACACAGAGTCAATGATCATTACCACACTGAGTTATTTAAGGGTCCGTAAATTTAATCAATACTTTACTCTATTGAAGCATCAGAAGAGTCTCAGTTTCCCAAAGTCAAAGATACATCTTTAAACTCAGAATGATATGGTCACTGTTTTCTTTATGTTGATCTGTTGATCACTGTGTGTTTCAGCAGGTAGATACATTCATAAGCTGTAACCACTCAAACATAGTGTTTTTAACTTTCTTTTTCAGATGATAGCACCCTAGGTTCAGGATATTTTTCACATGGGTGATCTGGTCATGAGTTCAGCAGCACATCATTATAAATCTCACATGATTTAGGGACAGATTTTAATTCACAAACAAACAAAAGTTTCAAAGTACAAACTAGTCATCAGATAAAGTGCAGTGTTGTCTTACTGTCTTGCACAGACCGTCCTCTGTGTCTCTGACTTGAGGATTCATTTAGATTTTCTGTCTCTAAACCCTCCCCTCTCCTTTCTGCAGGTCGGTATGCGTTGGTGGTAGCGGGGGATATTGCTGTCTACGCCACAGGCAGTGCCCGGCCTACAGGGGGCGCTGGAGCGGTTGCCATGCTGGTGGGGCCGAACGCTCCTCTGGCGTTTGAACGAGGTCAGTGAGGTGATAGACTGAGAGTCTGTTGGTCTGCATTCTCCGTCCATTGTTTTGCTGATTAAACCCTCACTGTTTGTTATCTCACACTGGCACTGATATATCCATCATCTTCATCAGTCTATGGGCTTCTCAGGAGTCTGAGGTCAGACTGCAGACACTGTGTTAGTGTTTTTGTTGTATCTCTTGAATCAGAGTGTTAACTAAGAGGTAATGTTGTCTAACTGTAGACACTCCAGTCTTAAACTCAGAGATTTCACTTTTATTTAGAAAAAGCATTAGCAGTCAGACTCCAGATAGTGTTTAACATACAAAGACATGCCATCGCTGCTCCTGCAAATATTTAACAACAGTCAGAACACATGCAGATGACTATCAAGCTCATTATTATGGATATTAGTGTTTACAGACATACTGGAGGAGCTGACAGAGAGACTCAGTCTTTTTAAAAGAGAGGAGGGTGGAGACACAGACTGAATCAGTGTATAAACAGAAAAACAGAGTCTTTTCAGTCCTCACGGAGAGAGAGTCACATTCAGCTCTAAACACAAAGACAGAAGTTTAGGAATCCTGTAATCTTTGCTAACATCTACAGGAAGAGACTTTACAACATGAGACTCATAACAGACTCTGATTTACTGTCTTTCATTTAATGAGTCATAGATAATATATGATAGAGTATCATGAGTGTTCTTGTTTCTTAGCTGCTGGTTTTTTTTTGCATCTGTAGGTCTGAGGGGGACCCACATGCAGCATGCCTATGACTTCTACAAACCGGACCTGATGTCAGAGTACCCGGTGGTGGACGGGAAGCTGTCCATTGAGTGCTACCTGAGCGCGCTGGACCGCTGCTACTCCGTGTACCGCAACAAGATCCAGGCTCAGTGGCAGAGAGGTGGGTCTGACAGACAACATGACAGACTGTTGTGTTCCCTGTATCACAGGTCCAGGTGAAATGTCACATATTGTTACAGTTAAAGTAGGTGTGTGTCTGTGTGTGTAGCTGCTGCAGCTCGCAGTCCGCAGAGATCACAGAGTAATGAGTAAAGAGGCTTAAGGACATTAACTGCCTGCTGGGCCGAGGAGTTAGCCTGAGTTCAGGGACCATGAGGCGAGCAGAACCTCAAACCTGACCTCTGACTCTGACAGGTATCTGCCATGCTGCTGTCTTTGACCCCACAATCAGCTCTGTCAGCTTTTCATTTCAGAGCCTGTCAAAGTGAGGACGCAGAGAGACCACAGAGAGTTGATAAACATAGCAGCTGTCAGAGTCTCACTGTGTGACTGAGACGTTTCAAACAGGAGACTGACTCAGTCAGAGCTCCACTAACAGATAAACTCTGTCAGTATATTATAAACTTAGAGCTTCTATGTTATCAAAGTTTTGGCAGAAACATCTGCTGCCTTTCAAAGGTGACGATTCTGTATCAATCTACTGATATTAACTGATATGTGTGGTCGTAATAATGATCCTGTCCTTGCTCAGTGGAGCCGCAACCTGCAGTCCTCAATCTAAAAAGACTTTTACAGCCCAAAATCCACGAGTTCAGCTCTCAGTCTGATGGTTACTTGGTTTGTCTCTACAGAGGGCACAGAGAGGCGTTTCGGCTTGGATGACTTTGGCTTCCTGGTGTTTCACTCTCCGTACTGTAAGCTGGTGCAGAAATCTTTAGCTCGGCTCATGCTCAACGACTTCCTGAGTCACCCTAACCCTGACACAGAAACCGGACCCTTCACAGGACTGGAGCCATTTAGGTACAATTCAGACGTCAGTATCATAGAGACTCTGTGTTTGTGTGTGTGTGCGCGCGACCCTGCTGACCTGTGCGTTTGTGTGTGTCTTAAAGGGACGTGCGGCCTGAGGACACTTACTTTGACCGGGATGTGGAGAAAGCCTTCATGAAGGCTAGCTCAGAGCTGTTTGAGAAGAAGACCAAGAGCTCCCTGCTTATCTCCAACCAGAACGGAAACATGTACACGCCGTCCGTCTACGGCTGCCTCGCCTCACTCATTGCACAGTAAGAACCCTCACTCGCTTATTATTTCATGCATTACACAGTAAAAACCATCATGTTGTTTTCTGAAAGCTTGACTCCAGACAGCCTCCTACAAATATAAGGTGAATAGTCTGTTCACTGAAGACTGACTTTTATTTACTTTCATAGTAAGAGATCACACGCCTCCTCACCTTACTGTAGAAGACTAATCTTCACAATATTTACAGAGCCAAGATGTTTTAGTAAGAGGTCATGAATGGTCTTATTTTGGGTAAAACTCATAGTGACTGATAGCAGCAACTCATGCCGCCCTCACAGAGCTGCGACTGACACACAGTCAACATGCAGCTGACCTGCAGCCTGAGTTATGGCGATAATATCACAACAGAGAGCCGTCATGCACAGTAACCATCAAATAGGTAGTGCGCTTCCAGTCTGAGGTCACTGTTGAGACAGAGCCTGACAGACAAGCTGCAGGGCAGGAAGAAACACATGCACAGCATCTAACAGTACATACAGAAATAAGCCCCAGCCTTTCAAATATACACAATATGTTTATTTAATATGATAACTAATGATTATCTGTTTCAACACCGCCACCTAATGGTATATTACTGTAACATTATATATATAACAGAGATTGTGAGCTGATAACAGACATTAAAGAGAATGTGTGTGTGTGTGTGTGTGTGTGTTGCAAACACATGATTCTGAAAATTGACATAATTTCAGTGTTATGTATGTATTAGAGATGGTGTGTATTTATCTCTGTGTGTGTGTGCGTGTGTGTGCAGGCAGACTCCCTCTCAGATTGCGGGGCAGAGGATCGGGGTCTTCTCCTATGGATCAGGATTTGCTGCAACACTTTACTCCCTCAGAGTCTCTCAGGATCACACACCAGGTGAGTCTGATCACCTGAGTCAGGTTATTACAGAACATGAGACTTTATCTGAACTCTGTGGTCGTTATATCATGATAAACGTGTTCCCCCCTCTCTCTGTCTGTGTGTTTCAGGATCCAGTCTGGACAAATTAGTGTCCAGTCTGAGTGACCTGCAGGTCAGACTGGACTCCAGGATGAAGGTGTCTCCTGCTGTTTTCTCTGAGAGCATGAAGCTGAGGGAGGAGACACATCACCTGGGTATGAACCTGCTGTCACACCCGTGTCAGTCAGTCCTCTATCATGTGGCCTACATCCTGGCTCCTTGGGTCCTATCTTCTTGTCCCAAATGTCATATGTCCTGTCATGCCACATCCTGTCTTTTCTCCTTGTCTTTTGTATCCTGAGTTTTATTTCCTGTCCCCTTGCATTCCTGCGTCCTTACAGCCAGTTACATCCCTCGGAGCTCAGCAGATGACCTGTTTCCTGGGACCTGGTATCTGACTCGAGTGGATGAGAAGCACCGCAGAGAGTACGCCCGCACGCCTGTTGATCTCCACCTGCCCGGAGAACCAGACCTGGTGTGCTCCAACAACACCAACAACACTGCAGAGGTGAGTCAGTGAGGTGGAGCCCCCACAGAGGAAATAAACCCGTAATAAAATGAGCTGATAGGCTGTCAGACTCAGCCAATCAGAATCAGACCTCTCTGTAATAATGACACAAACAGCAGATCCATAATCTTCCTGTCCTTCTCTTCTTGCAGCACATCCCCAGTCCTGCCAAGAAGATGCCTCGTATCCCAGCAGCCCCTGCAGGTCCTGAGGCTGCAACTGTCAGTAACTGAGCGTGCTCCGTCCACCTCCCAGAGATTCAACAGAGAAAACTATAGAGACTAGAGGAAAGTAGAGGTCAAAGGTTAGACAGAGCCTAAGCTTAATTCAGAGAGAGGAATCATCACTACACCATGGAGTGAGGGGTGGGGTGGGGGGGGGACATTGACCTGGATCTGGACCGAGACCCCCCCTCATGTTGGTCCCTGATTTTTAAGGGACAGAAGACTAAAGATCTGTCAGTTTCCGTTTATTTAGTCCCTTTATTTCAGATTTTTATGTTGGTGCTGAAATGGACGGGGCTTCAGCACAGGTTTGCTGAGCCGACAGACTGCATGCTGGCAGCCTGACATCGAAAAATAGAAAATGGACTTAACGACTGTTGATTTAAAGAACAAAGAGGACAAAGCCTTGCTGTGTCTGAATGTTGTTGGTGGTTTTCAGCGCAGAGTGTCTATGGTGCTCAGACGGTTTGCTCTGATAGGGACAAACAATCCGATAGAAAATGTGTTTAGTTGATGACCATGTGTGTTTGTGAACTTCATTTTACGAGCCTTAGACAGGTTCATCACTGAAAATCCTCCCTCACAGGTGCAACCTGCTGCCTGATGCTGCTCAGCAGTGACTGTTATCAGCTTATAAAAGTTCATAATGTTGATTCAAACATGTCAACTCAGACAGACGTCCTGTCAGGAGACTGGAAATATCATGTGAACACAAACACCCACATGAACACACACACACTACAACTCCCAGAGTTTATCTATCTCTCACACCGTGACAGAGTCTCCGTGTGAGAGCTGGATGAGTCACTGACAGATGGGAATAAGTTCTCCAGAACTCCAAATCCATAGGAGTCAGGATGCTGTGTTAAATGTAGTAAACAGAGAATCAAATGGTTTGTAAATAATTTATTGGGAAGACTACAGATCAAATGTTGGGATTGTTTAATGAAAAATCTGTTCCTTTTAAATTCAGTGTTAGTAACATGTTTCTAAAAAGTAGTTCCGGGTCTTCCCTGAAAAGCTCTTTGTCTGGATGGCAGCAGATGTTGCTCCTAAACCTGTAGATATTATTCAGCATTAGCCTTCACAGATGTTACAGATGTCCCCTCAGTACAGAGATTTCTCCAGATTCTCTGAATCTTTTAATGATATTATGTTCTGTAGATGATGAAATCCACTCATTCTTTCACATTTGACACTCATTATTCTGAAACTCTTAAACTATTAGTTCACACAGTCTCTCACAGAGTGATGAACCTCTCTCTATCTTCCCTTCTGAGAGACTCAGCCTCTCTGAATGTCCTTTTTATACCCAGTCATGTTACTAACCTTTTAATCCCAGTAGTCTGAGATGTTCCTCTAGCTGTTTTTATTATTATTATTTTTAGCATTACACAACTTTTTACCTGTTTGGTTCCTTTAACAACTTTTAACAAATATGTTGCTGCATCAAATTTAAAATTAGCTGATTTTTTTAAAGTACTACTTTTGTAGTTTCTACTTTTGATTTGTTGTATTGAACCATTTTCGGTCAAACACAGACTTTAAATAATTTATAAACCATCAAAAATGTTGTTTCAATCACAGCTTTACATGGCGTCCTGACTCTTATGAATTTAGGTCGACGATCAAAGTCGTGAAATTTACAGACAGCTGAATCCAGAGTGTTTTTCCTTGCTAAGATGCATTGGGGTTGTGATGGTTGGGGGGTGAGGCTAAATCTGTCCTGATGATGGGAGCAGGTTCTTAAACTGCAAACAAGCTTTAATGTCAGCCATGTTGGCTCAGACTGCATCAGTCTAATACAGCCCAACTATGAACATATCAATGTCAGACCTGTGTTTATCATATCTGTGTTACCTGACAGACTCACCTGTCCTACAGGTGTGACAATGCCGTGACCTGCTGCCTCACTGAAGTGTGTTTCTATGTGTTAAGTCAGCTGGAGGGTGTGTCAGGTAATCAGGACTCACCTGTGTGGAGGTGAAATCACTGAGTGTTTGTCAGCGTTCAAAGAAAGTGAGAGAGAGAGATGGTTTATTCATGTTAAAGCCTTAAACAAAGGGCTCAGAGGTCAGGAGGGTCAAGTCTGAGACCACTATTCCATTTGCCGTGGGACTTCATTCAACAGGGAACCAAACAAATACGAGAGGAACAGGGCTGCACTCAGGTCCTGCTCCTGATCTTGTGGATCAGAGGCCCTCAGGCTGTAGCTGTGAGGGTATTTGTTTTTCTGAAGCCTTACAGTAAATAAAATAAATGTACAGAGCTTGTTTATCTCAGAGTGTACAGGTATTTACACCTACTTCTTATTGTACAGTCACAGCCATGCACACACACACTCTTACAGTAAACCTGTATCTGTGTGTGTGTGTGCGCAGGGCCTGGTTACATGACCCTGTTTGTATACTGTACAGACAGTCAGATTATTTATGCTGTGTAGATACAATGAATACTTACAGACTGTATAAACTGTAGATCCAGAATAAAACAACTATCAACATGTGTGTCTTAACTCTGTCATTCATCACTTCTTGCATCATTATTATTGATGACAATACAGGGCGCTCTTTGAACCTGGTCGGTAAGTCATGTGACCTGCGGACAGAGGATATAGTCCTCCAGTGGGGGACTCGGTTCGGTTCTAGCCTGAAGGCTGCATATCACTCATCACTCACCGTTTTTCTGCTACATCTATAGTTGAATTCTTTGAAAAATAAAAGCCCTATATCGAAAACTAAAAATTACAATGTTGAATTTTGTTGAATTTATGCATTCTTACTGTTAGTTTTTATGTTTTGCCCACATTTATTTCTTAACCATTTAAACACAGCTGTTGTTTTCTTCACTGCCACTAGAAGGATCCCTTTCTTAAACTCTTCAGACGGTCACATCAGGAGGACCTCCGGCTTTTTCAAATCACAACCTTTTACTGCCACCAAGGGGCGACACAGTAACACAATTCATCAGGACAAAATAACTGTTTTGAGCACAGGTGTCAAATTCAAGGCAGATCAGATCATATTTGTATAATTATTGGCCCACCAGTATGAAGTCTGCAGATTTCCTCCAGTATAATAATGTAAACCTTAGCACCATTATTTAAAATGTCCTTAATAAACCGCGAAAATGTAGGAAATAAAAAAGTAAGGAAGATTTGATCAATAGTTAAGAATGTGGGGGGAAAATGTTTGGTGTTTTATTTCATGTTTTCAATTTTGCACTTCAAGATTACAAGTCAAACACGACTGGATTTTCTATTTCATGCTTTGATTTTGCTCAACTCAGTATTTGAACTTGTTTCATTTTTATACAGATTCCAATTTTAAATTTTAAGTCATATTTTGACCTTTTATACCCGATTTCAATGCTCTCCTCATGTATTTGCTCTTTAAAAGCATTATTTTTCTATTTTTAATATCATGCTCTGATCTTTTGAATTAATCAGTAAAAATAGAATAAAAACTAAAATAATTTTTTCTATCTTAGATTGCCTTTAAACTTTTTTTTCAATCTTTTTTAAATTTCCAATTGATTTGCATATGTTTTGAAAAGGAGGTTGACAGTTTTGGTGAAATGTTGACCCTGTTTGGCCCTCAGGTTAGACTTAAATCCAGATTATGGCCCTTGCTGTGGTTGAGTTTGACACCGCTGGTTTTAAGTTACAAATTCTAAATAAAATGATGAAACCACAATATTTCATAATTTATAATTAATAACACAATATTTATTTAATGGATTTGGAATTTTATTTTGGGGTCCCACAAATCTGAGATAGAATGAAACTACCTCTTACTGCTGTTAGAGAGTGCTACAACAAAGAATATGACTATTCTGTGGAGTTAGGGGATAGTTTTAGTGTTATCCTAAAGAAAAAATAAACGGAGCCTTAAACAGCGTCTACAGTTGCTGTATTTCAAAATAGATGGTTTTATTGTAGAAACAGCAGATGAGGAAGTTCAGGGCCACAACCCACTAGTGAAACATCTGGTCCAAATAATGGTGTAAATCTCCACAACATCTAGGATTATAACAACCCATTATATGTTGTTTCCATGATTCAGCTACTAAAATTGATTGATTTGTAGTGTTGGTGACATTTCTCGGATTGTTTTTTTGTTTTCAAGTGTTATCGGTGTTCTTTAAAGTGTCCTCGCCAACCAGACCTCCGGCTTTTAAAACATTATAAGTTTAGCCGCTGGAGGGCGCCACAGTTCCAACTTCAAGTGTACAGAAAGTTCAGTACGGTGTTCTGATTGTTTGAAAGTAGGTTCATATTAATGTTTATATTTACTGTTGAAGGTTTATTGTGTTTTACGTTTGAATTACCAACAGTTTATACTGCTAAACCCCCAGGCTGCTCCTCACATCAAACATTAACTTTATTTTGTTCTTTATTTACTTCAGATGAGTGAACTGACTTTGAGCTCCATGTTTGAACTCTGCTGCTTCAGTCCATCTCTCCTTCTCTGATCTCTGAGTTTCTCTCTCTCTCTCTCTCTCTCTTCCTGTCTCTCTGGTCTCCATGTTGGATTTCAGCCTGAGCAGTTGTTCGTGGCAGCCCCCCTCCCCTCTCCTCCCCTCCCCTGCAGGGTGGAGTCTCAGTGAGTCTGTGCAGACGGAGCGGAGCGGACAGGGAGGAACCTCCACAAACTCAGACCGAGTCCGGTTCTCCCCCCGTTAACCATCAGATTCTCCCGGGAAATAACGGCCAAACACACCTTCGGTAGGTCAGCGAGAGCCCGAGGAGGAGGAGGAGGAGGACGCACGCGCTCAGGTAGGTACCCACAGAGCAACTCTAGAAAAGTTTCAGCAACTTTGACGTCACAGCAACTTCCGAAAAGTACGCAGAGAAACAGGCAGAAACACAGACACACACAGAGAGTGTAAGGGCCTGCAGGAAGGGTGACAGACTGTACATCAGATTAAGAAAGCGGGTTAAAAATCCACAAGATCCCAGAGATCAGGATTGTTAAATCTGACGCTGCGTTCAGGGACCCTCTGCTGAGCGGCCTCAACAGAACATCAGGAAACTGTGCTGCGTTCAAGTGTCTGTACAAGTCAGGCCGTCTTCCCTCCCAGTGTGTGTGTGTGTGTGTGTGTGTGTGTGTTGTGTTGTGTAATGCAGTAACAGTTCCGTGTTTTTAAGTCTCCAGGCCTCCACAGACGGACTCTCACACTTAGTGCTCATATCCTGTGAGTTTGTGTATGTGTTAGCTGTGTGTGTGTTGTGTGTGTGTGTGTTAGCTGGGTGTGTTGAACAGAAAACATGGCCTGTGGGTGTGAATAGTTGCAGCTCTGTGTTGAGGTGTGTTACACTCAGCAGGAATGTGATCACTGAGGGCGCTCACACGCTCTAACTATACCTGCTGTCACTCACCTGAAACACACCTGTGTGCACGTCCAATCAGCTCTCACTGTAAGGAGATAAACTACACAAGATCTACAAGAGGAACCACCAGGATCCTCTATTCTAATATCTATTATTTTATAGTAAATAGTCAAATATGCAGTTTGTTTGTATGTTTATGATGTTCAGCATTGGCAACAGTGAAGGAGGGTTCTAAAATATTGGAGAGACAGTAGCTGAAATGATGTGTCGGTCATATTCATTGCTTGTTTGTTGGAGCTTGTGTGTAGGATTGGTGGTCTGTCTGAAGATGATTGATAGATGGATGGAAAGTATGGATGGATGCAGAGTAAGTGTTCAATGGATAAAAACATGTAAAATAAGAGAGACAGAGGAAAGAGTGAATCAATAGAATATGTTGTACAGTCATCTACCCGCAGTTTAACATATACACTTCATATCACAGATCCACTGAACACAGAGGTAGATTAAAACACTGAGATGCTTCAGTAGATCTGAGCTGATCTGAGGTCAGTCTGACGATCAGAGTCAGTCCCTCTCTGATTTTGTCTGACTCGTTTTGTTTTATTAATGAGTTTGATCAATTTCTAGTGTTGGAAGTGTGTCATCTGTTTGAGTGCAGAGTGGACCAAAATTGAGACCCCCTGCTGTGCTTACTGCAGACACACTGATCAGACAGATTGATCTGGGGGGGTTTATGTCCTTTTTAAAAATAACCCGAATCTGGTCAAGGCTGCTGTAGGGCAACATGAACATCCTCTTGAATAATAACAGGTTTTCTCATCCTGAATGACAGCAGATTAAATAATCAACAGTCTCTGGATGTCATTTAATATCATTTTGTTATGACACAGTTTAATGTTGCTTCTGATGTGAATATCAAGCATGGTCTAAAATCTAGAACATAATTCAGCTTGATTTTATTTATTCATCTCAAACCCATCCTTGACATGTTACTGTCTGAGATAAACATGGATATAAAGATATCTGCAGCATATCTACCTGAAGGATGACCTGCTGTAGACATCCATGAACACCCTTTCCATCACTCATATTCACAGATTAATGACTGAAATTATTAAGTTTTATATTTTATTTAATGATTTCAGCATTGTATGTAAACCATCTGCTGACCAGCCCTGTGATCATCAACATTAGTATGTGGTTACCTGTCCTCCAGGTGTGTTCTAGGTAGCCCCTCCCACAGTCACCTGCAGTCAGTTTCTGTCATAATGAGCAGAGGGTCAGACAGATATGAGGAGTTTAATCTGATATTATCCCTGTTCATTACAGAAAGTCAAATTACTGGTGGAGTCAGCTGTCAGAGCCTGGTCATACTGAGGTTTAAGGGTTCCTCTAACAAGTTAAACTTTATTAATGAACTGATTAACAGATGGATTAGTACAGGCAGCAACTATTTAAAGGACTTCATCATTTTACCCCCAAAATCAAACAGCAAGTACTGACCCTGAACCAGAGCTGAACCTGATCCCTGTGCTGATCTTGATCCAAATCCTAACTCTGATCTGACCATGACCCTGATCTGACCCTGACCTTAACCCCGACCCGGATCATGATCCTGGTCTGACCCTGACCCTATTCCTAATCTTGATCCAGGTCACAGTCTGAATCTTTGTGTTCAGACTTAATAGTAAAGATGACTAAATCATCACTCATCAGGTCTGTGTCTCTCTCAGGTGTCTCACTGTGGTGTGGTTAGTTGTGTGTGTGAGTCAGCTGAGTTACACTGTGTGTTCCCAGACTTGTATAGTCATATAATTTACTTTTTAAACATATCAAATCTATCATGTGTAATATCTGGTATAAATAAAACATGATCAGTATGTCTCTCTGACATTAAGCTGACCCCCTGCTGTGACTCACACAGTACCCTGCTCTTTTTGATCACTTCCTTTTCCATGCTGTGGTGAAACAGTCTGTGGGTGACAGGGTGAGGACTGAGGGAGGGTGTGACATCACAGCCTCTTCTCTCTGTGATTGGTCGGCTGTGTGGAAGTGAGAGCAGACACAGTTTGAGTTTTTTCTTAAACCAGACTGTGGTTTGTTTTCCTTAAAATAGTCTTTATTGTCTCCTCAGCTGAGCTCAGATTTTTATTTTAATAAACTGACAAAGAAAAAAAAATCCAGAAATCAAGGAGTTTTTCAAACCAGGAGCAGCTCAATCATTTCACTGTGAGACATCAGTGGTCTGTGGTACTGACTGTTCATCTAGTTGACAATTAACCACAGCACTCACTCATGGTTTAAGCAGTCTGCTACTTGTTGAAACTCTTCATGGTTACACAGCAACAGCACTTTAGAATATTATATTAACACTCACAGTGGGAGCACAATCAGCAGGCTCTGTGTCTGTGAAGATGATCATTTTCCTGTCATACATTTACTGAAATAAAGGAACAATAAAAGATGAGCCTGTGAAGAAAGAGGGAGGAAATCAGAGAAAAATTTGCACCTCTATCACCATCATCACTCCACCTCTGAGATTTAAGTTTATACCACTTCATGGACATTATGCTGAGCTGCAGACTGAACTGTAAGTAAAATAACAATACGCTGTGAGTACAGTGTGTATTAGCGGCTGCTGTCAGTCAGTCAGACACAAACCAGCTACACAGTTATTTTCGTATCACTTACACACTTTTTACCCAACATGGTCTCTGCTCAGGGGAATTTAGCTTCATGGTCAACCAGTTTAACACTACAATGATATTACTCTAGTTCTTTCACGACTGTGTTATATGACTGTATTTACTGTTGTTAGTCAAAAAAAGTACACAGACAGATAGTCCGATTAGTAATCTGATGTTTACATGAACAATTCTCCAAAAACCCCAAACAACAAACAACTCAGAGAGTAAAAGTCAGCAGGTACTACCTGTCACTCAAAGAGGCCACATTCCCAATTATTCAAAACCAAATGAAAAAAAGTAAATGTAATCTGTAACATGATTTATACACATCAATGTAATCCTTAATCTGTTGTAAACTGGTGAGTTTAAACATTAATCCGGTGCAAGAAGGTGAGTTAAAACCTTAATCTGGTGTAAAAAGGTGAGTTAAAACCTTAATCTGATGTAAACCTGCACGGTTAGTCCTTAATCTTATATTATTACAGGTAAATTGAATTCTTTATCTAATGTAATCAAGCAACTTCTCTCTAAATTCAGGTCAGTGCAGTTGCCTGAAATCGAGAAATGACCTTCATGGATCTAAACTGTTTTTGTTTCAGGCTTTGATTTAGTTTATCTCTGCTTTAAGGATTTAACATGGGGTTTTATGGCGACTGACTCACCGCAGTACACAGCCTCTTATGGACATTAGAGGAACTGCAGTTTTCAGGACCTCATTGAACGATAATCTTTTCAGCTTTGTTTAAGGCTTTTTGTGAACAGAAACTAGGATTAGATTAAGTTTTAGGAGACTTTTGGTAAATAAAGTATGTATGAATCTCTCTCTCTCTCTCTCTCTCTCTCTTTCTCTCTCTCTCTCTTTCTCTCTGTTCATTCCTCTGTTGATCTCTAGTCAGTATGCAGTGTTTTGACTCGACCTTATTTGGTCAGGACATCACGTCTGCAGCTCCTCCCGCTCTCTCTCTAACATCATTTATTTTAGACCTGAGCCAATTCACAGCTCACTGAGGAAAGTTGTGCGTACAGTATGCCCTGAGACATGTCTGCTGGAGAGGGCCCATGGGTTCAGCATGCCCTGAGACATGTCTGCAGGAACATACTCACAGGTTTGGTCGGCCCAGAGAGATGTTTACAGGAGAAGGCTCATGGGTTTATGCCCAGAGATAAATTTGTAGGAAACGGCTCATGGGTTCAGCATGCCCTGGAACATGTCTGCAGGAGAAGGCCCATGAGTTCCGTGTGATCTAAGCTTGTTTTAACTTTAATATGGTTACTGATTTAGTGAGAAGTGATATTTTGAATTCTCCTGTGCTTAGATGTTTGACCTGCTGGGTTTTTCTCACAGGCTGAAGGTGACCCGCTTTTTCTCAGGCCAACTGCAGCTCCTCTGTCAAGTTTTCAGTAAACATTCAGGGTCACGTTCATGTTGAAGCCTGTGGTTTAATTGTCAGTCCCAGAGCGGTTCAGTTGTTAGAGTTTATTTCCTGTCAGATGTGTGAAAGTTAAACAGAGGCTTTGTGTTTGCCGCTCTCTGTGGGGTCAGTTTTACTGTTCGGGTGTTTGGGTTTGAAGTTACTGCAGAAACACCTCTCTGATCGATCAGAGAAGTTTACCTCGCAAGGGCTTACTACATTCATCGAAAAACCATGGATAGTTGGATCTGACAGGTAGCTGCTGTGTATTAAAACAGACTCTGCAACAAGAGTTAATATCTAAAGTTTAAAATGAGAGTATGTCATAAAATTAAAATCAGGTAGTAAAGGACATCTCTGAATACTAGATAAAGGTAATATTAAAGTCTTTATCCATCTCTATTTTCCCTCACAACTACCTGAGCATGACTCCGTTCTTGAAACCCCTTTTTTAAACACAGTGGGCCTCAGGATCCATCATGTAACCTTTTCATGTGCCCTTATAAAATGGTTGTGTCACACCAACTCTAGATTAACGCTGTGTTCAGTCTCTAAAATTCATTTTTTGCTGATTTGTGCTGGTTTACAATGGTTTGAAGTGGTTTGTGTTGGTTATTGTTGTGTTAAGCTCCTCTATGATCTGTCTCTGTACAGTCTGACTCTCAAACTCTGTCTGCAGCTCTGACACACTGTCATGAGTAAATAGGAGCATTCGGAGATCAGGCTGTCAGTACAGGATCATAATAAAACATGTTTATAACAATGACAAATATCGGACATCTTTACTCTGCAGGATGATCTGAGGTTCGGAGGATATATTTTGCTGTCAGTCTTTGCCATGTGATATAAATTATATTAAACTCCTGTTTTTAGATAATTATACTTTTTAACATCTGCTCTGACTCCTCTCCTTGACCTTACCTCAAAGTGGTCACTTTGAGGTAAGGCTAAGGACTAACTCTAACTTTATTTTTACTCTTTCCTCTCCTGACTTGAACTTGAATGATCCCCTGGAGTTCTGTGCCCTAAGTTTGGTCTGTCAGGCTGTGAACAGGAGCGGGAGAAATGACCCCCTAATCAGGGTCAGAGGAGAGTCAGAGGAAGTGAAGATCTAAAAATACAACATGTCATCTCTGGGAAAGTTTCTGCTAATCAGACTGAAAATCCTCATTGTGAGAGTTTGAGTAAGCAGTTTGAGTGATGAACTGTAAATCAGTGAGTGAGGAGCAGGGAGAGCTGTATGCTGTACGAGGAGTTAAAAGTGTTTACTGTAAACAGGCTGTTACTGACTTCCTGTGGTTTCTACCATCAGATCAAATCTTCCTCCATCCTCACATTCCTCCTCTCCTCCGGGAAAACAACAAAACCAACGAAAAAAACAGCACAGACTCAAAAAAACTGCTGCTGGGAGGACAAAAAAGACAGAAAATAACTCTTCTCTTTCTCCTTCTCCTCCCTGTCTCCTCCTCTACACTCATTCTTTCCCCACTGACTTATTTATTCTCCCTCCTCCCTCCCTCTCTCTCCCCCTCTCTCCTTCCCTCCCTCTTTCTCTCTCTCTCTCTGTCAGTCTGTTGGTATGTCAGAGGAATGTGTAGTTGAATTCCTCTGTAGGGCTGCAGCAGCTCTGACTTGGAGCCTCGTAACGTTGGTAAAATTATGGACACTGGATCTGGATCTGGATGTGAGTTCTGATCTGCATCTGGATTCTGATCTGTATGTGTATGTTGATGGTTTCTAGATTCAGAAGATGCTCAAAGAGAAGTTGTCATATGAAGGTGTCTCAGATACCTGATACCTGCTGCAAGCGATTTATAGACACGTGATGTTTTTTGTGTCTCTTGACTTTCTGATGGATTGACTGACTTGTGTGAAAATATGTATGAAAACATAACTTTGATTTTTTTCATTAAAAAAAATAAGAATCTGAAATATTTTCTGATGCCAGCCTCAGTTTAGCGACACACTGACATGATGACCGTCTGTTCCACCTGTCTAAGGTGAGCCGGTACCTGTTGAGAGCTTAAACTGTGCTGCTGTAATGGCAAAAATGATAATCATGATTATTTTTATTCATAGTGAGGATTATTGTCACAGTTATTAAAAATTGTTATCCGTGATTTGACATCTGCATCACACACATTTACACAACTTTCTTCAAACCATAAATACTCTTCATTCTGTAGAAAAAAAAACTGTTAAGCCTACCTTTTGTTTGCTAAAGCATGTCTGTTTGTCTGGCTGGATGATCTATTTTGTCTGTAGTCGTATATTCAACTACTGACAGGGACCGTGCATCACCTTCACTTCACTGTAAGAGCTTTGGCTTCATTTCAGTGATAGTACTCACTACATTAAATGTCAGATTACAACTGTAATAAAGTATTTATACACTGTGTCATAGAAATAGTCATAGAAATTTTATAACAGGCTGCAAATCTAACAAATCATTCAGCCTTTTCAAGCTTTTATAAAACATATTTGATAACTTCAAAAGATAGTATTTTATTACAATTCAGAACATTGTCTCTCACTTTTTACCCTTGCACTCATTGGCTTATGCACCCTAGAGATTGCAGAGGTTTCTCTCTTGTTTGTTATGCGCATTCTGTCCCTTGGCCTTTCAGACACACAGATACAAACACCTGCCTCCTTCTGCTCCTCTCCCTGCTCTCCTCTCTCTCCTTCTGATGTTCCCAAACTTTGTTCCTCACTGGTCTGAGCTTCTGCTGAAGTTAAAGTGAGAGGTGTTTGATGGGAGAGGCTGAGCCCACACACTGCTATTTAAAGAAGAGAGGGAGGATGAGATTCATTCAGCGTATGGGATGTCACAGAGGCAACACAGCAAGCGGCTCAATATCATTCGGTCTTATAATCTTGTGATCATTGGAAGTTGTGATTGTAGTTGAAAATAGAATCTGATTAGTCACTCCGCTCCACTTTATTGTGTGTTTTTTAATTGTTTCTGTATCTGCAGCATGTTGATGTCAGTTGTTTGGAATGTGTCTCTCATAGGCCACCGTATTTCACACAGTGTTACCTTAACTGATAGTAAACACAGCTGCATAAGGTGAACAGCTGATGAAGGTTAGCAGCAGGTACAGTCTGCTTGTTTGTTTGCTCCACCTTCGTCATCATCATCATCACCATTATCATCAGATGTTATTAGATGGTGGGAACAGCACCTGTTATATTTATCCTCACTGACACACCTGCACTGATGATGTTGATCAGTGTTTTCAATGAATACTGATTTATTAAGGATTATTCTCTGTCATGACACAGTTACTCTGAGAAATCAGCTGATGTTCTGTTCCCTCCTGCAGTCTCCTGCTCTTAAAACATACATTACAGTTATAACACTCTCTAAAACAGAGTGGTCAGAATCTATTAGCTCTAATATCATGTGCTGAAGTCGTATATCTGTGTGGTTTTAGCAGCTGGAGACAGAGGATGGTGTTCAGAGTGTTTCTCAGTAGATCAGCTCTGACAGACAGTCAGGAACAGTCAATGATTCAGTTTTCAGTCTGTTTCAGTGAGATTAGTTAGACTTATTATCAGGTCAGACATTTCTGCTGATGCTCAGTTTACATGAGGAAGTGTGTCCTCACACTCACAGCTTCCTGCTGTCAATCAAAGTGACGGGCAGGGGTATGATGAGCTGATGGAGCCATCTGTGTGTGTGTGTGTGTGTGTGAGAGAGTGTGTGTTTGTGTGTATGTGTGTGTTACAGCAGGTTCAAATCAGGGTTATAAGTGTCAGTTTATGAAAACATCTGCCCCTATAAACATCTTAAGTGTGTTTCTCTGTTTGAAGTCAGGATCATGAAACACAAGTTGATTTTAATACCTGGGATGGTTTTGATGGAGCGGAGTTTGTTCCAAGGTTCCTGGTCTGAGTTCCTACAGGTTCCTCATGTGGAATCTTCATGTCCTCACCCTGCATGTTGGCTCTTCTTAAAAGAATGGCTGAAGGAAAGATACAGAACAGATGACGAACAATGAGTGGATAATGGATTAATAACTGATAATATTTTAATGATAGAAAGTCAATGGATCATGAGATGATGAATTATGTGTGAGCAGATAATGAATGGATTATGATGGAATGATGGAAAATAGATGGATAAAAAAACGAACTGATTGACAATAGATGAACAATGTCTGATGGGTAATGTATAAAAAGATAGATTATGGATAGTGGATAATAGATAATAGATACTGGAAATGGACGCATAATGGATCTGCATCAGGGGTTGGATAATGAATATTGGCTAATGGATAATGGATGAATGTTTGACCAATAAAGGCTGATGGATAATGGCAGAAAATGGATGGATGGTTGATAACATAGCGGATGGAAAATGGACAATATTTCATAAACTGATGGATAATGAATGAAGAAGGGGTGATGGATGAAACATGAATGCTTGATAGATTCTAGCTAATGGATGAATTGATTGATTATAGGTGGATAAAAATGGATAGTTGAATGGTCTTGAGCATTTGATGCATATTGTATAGATTGATGGATATTTATTGAATTAGTAATAAAATATATTTTGAAAACGGATGAAGGATTGGAAGATGAGTAGATAATGGATGGACAAATAATTGATCAATGATGAAAAGAGGAACAGAGAATGGATACAAGATGGCTAATGAATGAGAAAAAATATGAATGATGGCTAATGTATAAATAAGGATGGATAATGGATGGAAAAAAATATGGATAATAAATTAAGGATGGATAATGGATGGATTGAGTGATGGATGGATAATGGATAATAGATGGATTGATGGATGATTGATGGACGTAGGATAACAGATGGATCATGGATATAAACTGGATGATGGATGGAAAATGAATAGGAAAAAATAATGGATTATAGATCAAGGATAGATTATGGATAGATAGATAATTAATGGATGAATGGATGGACCTTCAGTATGTGGGTCTTGCTTGGCAAGAACAGAGACTCAGAGGAGGACAGAGAGAAAGTTAGTGGTCTAATGTTTGTGTCTTGTAATTACTTCCATAAAGTGCCCCCACCTGCACATACACACAGTTTTTCTTCCTCTCACTCGCTTGACTACTGATGATGTCACAGATGTTGCTGTGTTTTGATTGGCTGAACAGAGCCTGTAGAGAAACAACATAAAGCACAGTCACTTCATTCTAACATTTGTTTTTTAGCTTCATGTTTGCACATTAAATTGGACACACAGGTTATAAACAGATTTTCCTCTCTGTTCTCGCCCTCTGACCTCAAACACCCTGAGAGGAAAAAACCTCCAGGACAGACGTTAAGTGTTTCCTGTCAGCCTGTCTCTGATTGGCTGATCAGACTTCCTGGTTTAGCAGCAGCGATCGCACTGAGTCACTGTGTGTGTGCGAGTGTGTGTGAGTGTGAAGGGTGGAGCAGAAACTGACGGAGTCCCTGTGAGAGAATCGCACTGAAGATAAAGATGTTTAGGTTTCTGATGATGGTGATGATGAAGATGGTAATGATGAAGAGGGGGTCTGTCATTCAGGCTCCCTTGTGAATCAGAGAAACACACACACACACACACACACACACACACACACACACACACACACACACACACATTAACACACTCATACAAAAACACACAGGGCCTAAATGTCCTTTTATGGACTCAGAAGGATTTTTAAAACAGGAAGTGACATCAGGGGCTATGAGCGAGCTCAGTGTGTCAGCGGCTGAGTTCAGACATGTTTCTGCTGAGAGAGGGAGAAACTGAGTGAAGACTGTGCTTTACTGTGAGTGTCTCAGATGACCTGATGCTGAGTTTTAGACTCCAAAGCTTCAGTGTTTATACAGACATTAAACACAGAGGCGATCACATGAAGAGCTTCATAAAGTCCTCACATCTCTCCTGCTCCTCCTCCTATCACACTGTTTTTTAAACAGATCACATGTTGGACAGTTTTATACCCAGAAGTGAAACTTCAGAGAAAGTAAAAGAGAAGAAGTCAGGAGAAAAAAAATGGAAAAAGCAGAAGATTTAGTCTCACACATGAATCCAGATTGTCTGAGAGCAGTGAGCTGATCAGTGAGGAGAGCTGATGGTGAGAAAAATAACTTTGAGACTGTGGAAGTCAGAAACTGTTCCTCAGTTTAACACAAGGGTTAAACAGGGTTTGGTTTGTTCTAAAGGACAGGCTTCATCAAGTCTCTGATCAACTGAATTTTCACATTAATAAACAGCATTTGGAAATCATCTGAGCCAGCAGGTCTCTGAATTTATGACATGACCTGATCACGCCTGCAGACTCTGCAGTCAGCCTTGATAATGTAGCCGCTGTCACTGTACATCAACATCCCTTTTGACGATAACAGCTTAAATGTCAGCAGATCAAATTTAGCAGTAACTGAATCGTGTATGACGTGTAAGGTTTTATTGATTATAGAATAATCAAGTCTAATGTTGCCTCAGGAATGAAGATGTCATGGTCTCACATTCAAAGCTGAATTTAATTTTCTATTGTTACATGAACTAATTCAGACTCCACCTGAAACAGCTTTCTTGCTGAGATAACCATGGTTATTGGATTTTAATGTGATATCAGCATTACATAAATATATATCAGTCATTATCTGACCTACTCGGTAAATCCAGCATTAGTATCATCAGCTGTTGAAAAGCTGATATATGAGTCCACCATTATTTAGTTCACTGTGTGTCATCCTCCTGACTCCCTGAGAGCCTGTGATGAGACAGTGTGTGCTGCTTAATGGAGCTGTGATCCTTTATTCTTCTCAAGAGACGCCTTGTTTCATTTTGCTCTGGTTTCTTTTTGTTGTTCTTTTTCATTTTCACTCTCACTCTTGACTTTTTTTGTACTTTGTAATCAAAATTTCAGTAAAGATGTTGTTAAAAAGATTAGTTTCTGATCCTTTACCTGAGCTAAAATGTGAGCTGGGTCCTCAGGTCCCTGCAGCTGGGTCTGCTGTGTCAGAATAAGCTGATAAAATGTGAGATGAGAAAGAAAAAAACATATGGTGTTTTTGTTCCCTGAGCTTTGTCTGAAGGTTTAGGACCCACTTCTAAAGGAGATGCTGCACTTGAAGAGGCTGTCTTGTAATATAGTCTGTTTCCTCAACATTTCCTGTCTCACAGCAGTTTACTGTCACTCTGGTTTAAAGTTAGATTTTTGGACACTATGTTGCCATCAATAGGTCAGCTGAAGAGAAGCAGGAAGTGTGGGGAGCACAGAGCAGCAGAGGGTTGTGGCCGAGAGTCAAATTGTAGGTCGCTGTGATGAGAATGCAAACCACTCTGTCCGCTGACGCCCTACTGACATTAAAATAATAAACAGGAATAATGTGTTCATCAGAATACTTTACACTTAATCTGTTATTGTTGAAATAAGGTTGCTGCAAAGTGTGGTGGTTGATCTTAAAGTTGCTGTAAGGTTATTGTTTAGTGTGCAAGTTGCTGTTGATTTGCTTTAAATTGTGCTGGTTGATTTGAAGTTGGCGTAAAAGGACTGCAGTGCCTCCTGGTTTTCATTTAGTGTTTTATGGATTTGTAATAGACTGCGTGCTGTGGTCTGAATCATAACCTGCTCTTGTTTTCTTATTTTCTGCAGAGAGGAGAACATCAGGTCATCCTGTGACGGAGCAGGAAGACTGTTCATTCAATCCGCTCTACATCAGGTAACAGCAATTTTATCTCTCAGAAACATGAAACAGTTTTCTCTGAGCTCAGAGCTGTGTCTTCCAGGTTTAGGCTGAAGTGTAACCCTCTGAGTCACAGTCCGGGATCAGCTCTGACTCTGCTAACAGCTGTCTGTCTGTAAAGCTCTACTTCTAGTTACTGTCAGTTTATCTGAGCCTACACTTCCCATCATTCAGTACTATCTGCTTCCTGAAAGTTGATTGGCTGCCTGTAACCCCCAAGCACACTTCCTACTGTCATTAGGGAGTCAGCCACAAACAGAAACAGGAACTGATAGTGACACACAGTCAGCAGGAAATATTTATGTGTGTGTGTGTGTGTGTGTGTGTGTGTGTGTGTGTGTGTGTGTGTGTGTGTGTGTGTGTGTGTGTGTGTGTGTGTGTGTGTGTGTGTGTGTGTGTGTGTGTGTGGTGTCAGGTTGTCTGTGTTGTGACATAAGATCTGTCATATTTACTGTCAGAGTTCAGCCAACATGACGCTTTAAAAAGAAACACACACACACACACACACACACACACACACACACACACACACACACACAGAGAGAGAGAGAGAGAGAGAGAGAGAAACCAGTTTCTGGAGTTCTAAAGTGAGTGTTGTCCTATACTTGCCTGATAGAGGTTTTCAGATGCTCAACAGTTCAGGGTCTCCTTTATCCTGTTTTTTGTGTGATGATGCTCCAAATATTTTCAATAGATGACAATTCAGGACAGTTTAACAGCAGGATTCTTCTACTACAGAGCTATGCTGTTGTAATCCCCGCAGAATGTGGTCCTTCCTGAAAAAGTCTTTGTCTGGATGTCAGCAGATGTTGCTGTAGATATTGTTCAGCATTAATGGAGCCTTCACAGACGTGAAAGACACCCATGGACACTTATGATCCCCACACCATCAAGGATGCTGGCTTTAAACTGGGTGCTTATGAGTCGGGTGGTCCCCCTACTCTATAGAGAGGAGGATGCAGCGTCCATGATTTCCAAAAGAATGTGATTTTTTTTGTGCAGAGATTTCCCTTCAGGTCTGTTCATATTTTGTCATAGACAGTGAAGAAAATACAATTCAGGACAATGTTATTTTGATTGAGTTGAAGAAAATCCCCTCTCTCAGATGATCTGGATGGATTTACCTATTATCTCTTTTAGGGCTGCAGCTATCGATTATTTTAGTAATCGAGTACTCTATCGATTAATCTGTCGATTAATCGAGTAATCGGATAAGAAATGTTTTGCTCTCACTGTAATACTTTGCATTGAATCACGTTTGCCTCATTAAAAACCATCAGTAACACACAAAACTGAAATAGGCCAGGTCTTTCAAATGAATATTTTTACTGCATAAATCAGGAACCAAAAGTTTTACATTTTACCATGTAGTTCACATGAAACTACTGAAGGCAAGGTCTGCAGATGGTCTTTTAATTGCTATGGTAATGATCTTTGCAGTTTTCACTAAACCAGTCACAACTATTTCCAGGCTTTGGATCTAATTTTACTTGTTTAATTAATAGGCTGAAATAATATAATTCTTGGATACTAACATAATTTGACAAGCAAATGTACATTTATTCAATATATAAAAGTGTTACATTTTTATTTACATGTTGTTGTGTGTTGGTCATTTTGCAGCCCTCTGCTGCTTATCACACGCCTAGCAGGTGGTGTATAGCATTATCACCATGGATACACGGATGTTTGTGTGATTTTTTTCATCCACTGCCGCCCGGTTTGTGTCGTGTAGATGTTGATTATGAAAACACTTCGCAATAATTTGGAAACGTGAAGGGGGAGCTGCTGCTGCCCGGTGTTTACGGTAAATAGACGCAAACACCGACCAAGTTGACGCTTCGGTCTCCGAAAACGCCGAGACAAATTTACAAACAGCCACTATTTCAAACAACTGGGCTCATAATCGTGATGTAAACACTTACTTTCTCGCTAGAAAAAATATTATTATTGAATGAATTTATATAATTTGTCCGGTATGCAGTCGTTCTATGTAGCTTGTGGTAGGACTATTTAAATTTTCCCGGCGCTGCGTCCGGCCGGCACGAAATGCATTCTGGGGTATTTAGTATGTATGTGTGTAAACGCTCGGGCAGCCGCGGCATACTCAAATCATCTTTGAGTAGTCAGTAGGCAGTAGCTACTGCTTGAGTAGGTAAGTAGATAGCAGGCAGTATGCCATTTCGGACACAGCTTCTGTCTGTCCTCGTTTCCCTCCATGATTGAACCAAACGCGCGGCAGCGGAAGGAGCGGAAAGAGCACGCTTCTGCGCAACAGAAATAACCGTCCGTGTCAAACACCGTGCGCTGCACATGGTTCCGGATTTAAACGATTCCTCGAGGCATATAATTTGCCTCGAGGAATTTTATTAATCGAGTTACTCGAGTTACTCGAGTAATCGTTTCAGCCCTAATCTCTTTATTGATACAGAGGGTTTGCGGATGGGCGGACCACATTGACTTAACAGTAGAGAAAGCAGTGCTCTACATAGACATTCATCCATGACAAGTTTCTAACTTTAACCTGTGAGTTGAGTCTCTGTCTTTCACTGATACATGCATCTGTTCAGCATGGCTCCATCCATCTGTTGCTAAAATAACGTAGGCTATCTGTTTCGGGGCGAGGTAAGCAGGGGCTAAACACATCTTTCTGGCTGAGGTTGTCAAACTTCAGCAATGACACTTCTTCCCAGACACCAATAACTAGTATCTATAATTATATCTGTGTTGTATTATTATTTATTTATTTTAGCATTACACAACTTTTTACCTGTTTGGTTGTTTCTTCAACAACTTTTTACCAAGTTTTGCTGCATCAAATTGAAAATGAGCAGATATTTTCAGAAAACAACAACATTTTTTTGGTTTCAGCATTTAATCCTATGTCTTTGGACTACTTTTAATTAAATATAGACTTCTAATGGTTTACAAAACTATCAAATTCTGTTTTTAATCAACATTTAGCCCACCATCCTGACTCTTTGTGAGTATATGTGACTGTAAAAAACCACCGAAAGTAAACAAATGAAAGTCTCTTTGGAGATTACCAGAGAAACATTTAACATTCGGTTAGTATGGTGAGATGAATAAACCTTGTGCTTCCTCTCCGACAGTTTCTCACAGTCTCTGCTGATTCTACTGAATATAAACCTGTTCCTCATTCTAACCTCACAGTCTGCCTGTCTGTGTGTATGTACTTTCCTCACTGAGCTTCGTATAGCACCGTGTCAGATCAACAGCTTCACGTTCAAATGTGTTGCTGTTTCCACTCAGAGAAATATCAAGGCTGTTATAAAGTCATGATTTTGATGCGTGACAACAAATAGATGTAAAGATTATGATGATTTGTTCCCTGAGTTGAAAAGGCTGATCAACATCAAGAATTTTTTTTGTCCTTCTGCAGAGGTTTGCAGAGCAGCGTGTACTCAGTGATACTTTTTTCTGTCACAGGTGTGTGTGAGGAATGTGTGCGGGAGCAGAGCATAAAACTTATCCAAACCAGAGCAGAGTGCTTTGTAATGACAGTAATTTATTAACAACAATAATATTGTGTTGTATTGTGTTGCAGGTGTGATAGGGGTGTAGGTGCAGAGCAGTAATCATGGTGGCGCTGTCGCTGAAGATCGGCGTGGGGAACGTGGTGAAGACGATGCAGTTTGAGCCCTCCACCATGGTGTACGACGCCTGCAGGATCATCAGGGAGAGAGTTCCCGAGGCCCAGCTCGGACAGCGTGAGGACACACACACGCAGACACACGCAGACACACAGGATAACACACAGTCTTTCCCAGCTTGTAATTTTGGTGGGGGATGTTTGGAGGAATGCAGAGCTGAGGAGCTGAACTCCACTAATTTTCTTTTACTGTCCTCACTGTCTTTAGTTTTACCGTCCTTCTCTCTGTGCCACTCTGAGACAGATTAGATTTGTATCACAGATTATACAGAGCCTGTAATCTGATGTTAGTCAGAACAGTCAGCTCTGAGGGCACTGTTAGTCCTCTGACAAGCAGCAAACACCCCGTCTGAACTGGTTTGGCCCCAGTTTAGCTCACAGTTAGATCCAGTTAGTCTGACCCACTGCTCAGAGCTTCAGCAGCAGCTCTGCAGTCCTCTTCCTCTTTCTGTGGTCAAGGGTGTTGGTGCAGAGGACGGTCCAGGGTTAGACCCTGAGCTCTTAGTCTGCAGCCTCAAACACACGCACACACACACAAACACAGCACAGAGTTCCTGTCAGCTGCTGATTGATGGTCCGAGTGTGTGTGTCACTCCTCTCTGCATGTACAGCTCTGTCTCCTTACATAATAAGCTGTGTTTGTGTGTGCGTGTGTGTGTGTGCGTGTGACTGACCTGTTGCAACCTGTTTGCTGTCAGACTCTTCTTCAGCTCTGTTCTTTCTGCCCTCACCTTTACCACCAGGAAAGTCTCTGAGTTTCTGCAGAGATCAACACTCAGGATGAAACATGAAACCTGATTTATACAAATATACATATATGGACCCAGAAACACACTGACACACTGAGCGCACACACGCTGGTTCACATGTTCTGTCCTGTTTCAGAGATTATCATGTGTAAATCTTGACTCGGACAAATGTTCCCTCTCTCCTCAGCGAACGACTATGGTCTGTTTCTGTCGGATGAAGACCCAAAGAAAGGAATCTGGTTAGAGGCTGGGAAAGCTCTGGACTACTACATGCTGAGGAACGGGGTCAGTCCCACACACACACTGAACACACACCCCATAAATACCATAAATACCCATAAATAAATTGGCTATCAATCATGATGAAAATGATAGCTGGTGAAAAAAGTAAATAATATAAAAACTGTAGATAATGTAAACAGGGCAGATAATGGAGCTAATGGAGAAAATCAAGATACTTAATCATCAAGATTTATTGATGTATATAACAAAGATTATAAAGACAACGTTGACATAGATAATATATCAAATAAAAGCAATGTTGATGAACTTGTTAATGAAGGACATAAAGATAACGAACGTGATATAGAAATTGTGGATTAAAAAGAAGGGTAGAAATGCTGACTGTGTGGTTATGCAGATTACCTAGATTATGTAAATGATTTGGCTTCAGTGTGGGATTATTTGTTTTAAGCTAATTTATGAACATAGGTAGTGTTGATGGTTAAGATAATGTAGATGATATATATAATGTCGGTATTATGAATAATACAGATATTGAGTATATTGAGGTAATAATGGTTGCTAAATTCCTGTGTTCTGATTGGTTGGTTGTGTATCAGGACACTCTGGAGTACAAAAAGAAGCAGCGTCCTCTGAAGATCAGGATGTTGGACGGGACCGTGAAGACCGTCATGGTGGACGACTCCAAGATCGTTAGTGACATGCTGATGACTATCTGCGCCAGGATAGGTCAGTCTGTCATTGACCCCACCCACTCTCACCTGGACAACAGTCCTGTCTACTGATTGGCTAACCTCTGCAGAACATGGACTGACTGCGATTTTCTTGTTGTGTATGTGTGTGTTGGTGTATTTGTGTGTGTGCTTAGGCATCACTAACTATGATGAGTACTCGTTGGTGCGGGACATCGGGGAGGAGAAGAAGGAGGAGACGACGGGGACGCTGAAGAGAGATAAAACTCTGCTGAGAGACGACAAGAAGATGGAGAAGCTGAAGCAGAAGCTGCACACAGACGATGAGTGTATGACACAAACACACACACACATTCTCTCTCTCTCTCTCACACACACACTGACAGAGCCCTCAGGTGAGCTGACAACTATACCTGTTCCTCTGTCTCTCAGTGAACTGGTTGGATCACGGCCGGACTCTGAGGGAGCAGGGGGTGGAGGAGACAGAGATGCTGCTGCTCAGGAGGAAGTTCTTCTACTCGGACCAGAACGTGGACTCCAGAGACCCAGTGCAGCTCAACCTGCTCTACGTACAGGTACACACACATACCTAAAGCCGCTGCTCGTCCTTTCTGTGAGCTCTCTGACTCAGTTTGCTCCACTCTCTCTGGATAACACCCTGACATTATTTCGCATTAGGTATTCGTCACTCTGGACAGGTCTGCTTAATTACATAACAGGTTCCTGATCAGTCAGGTGATCACTATTTCTGTTGATGTTGACAACCTGTGGATAAAATTTTTCAGTATACAGGTTTCAAACAAATCTGATGTTATAGAGTTCTGAGTTGGTAGCAGATACAAACTCCTTCTCTGCACACAAGTTAGAACACTGGTCCAGCCAATCAGAGCCTGTCTCCATGACGATGATGATGCTTTGATGATGATATTAACCTCTGTGTGGTCTTCAGGCCCGTGACGACATCCTGAACGGCTCCCATCCTGTCTCCTTCGATAAGGCCTGTGAGTTTGCGGGTTACCAGTGTCAGATCCAGTTTGGAGACCACAACGAGTCCAAGCACAAGCCCGGATTCTTAGAGTGAGTTCATTACCATGGTTACATCTATCATTAGTATTATGGGATGTCCCTATTTGTGATTGTGTGTGTGTGTCTGACACTGCTGTGTCTGTCCTCAGTCTGAAGGAGTTTCTGCCCAAAGAGTACATCAAGCACAAAGGAGAGAAAAGGATCTTCCAGGTAAATAGACCCTCTGCTCACCTGTCAGGTCCGTCCATGATCCTCTGAATTAACCTGGATATACCCTGTTTGTGCGTAGGCTCATAAAAACTGTCAGAACATGACGGAGATCGAGGCTAAAGTCAGCTATGTGAAGCTGGCTCGCTCTCTGAAGACATACGGAGTCTCCTTCTTCCTGGTCAAGGTAAGAACTGACTCTTCCCACAGCTGATCAAGAGTTTATCAGGACTGAAAAAGAACACAGAGGAGCTGAGTTTCTGCCTATAGCTGTATTTGCTGTCTACTGACCTGTTTCACAGACATATTTCGTATTTCAACCTCTACTCCACCCCTTCTCATTAATATATAAACATTATAAACCTTGTAAAGCTGCATTCGTGTAAAAACCTGTTCTGCCCCGCCCCTGCAGGAGAAGATGAAAGGAAAGAACAAACTGGTCCCTCGCCTCCTGGGAATCACGAAGGAGAGTGTGATGAGAGTGGACGAGAAGACGAAGGAGGTTATCCAGGAGTGGAACCTGACAAACATCAAACGCTGGGCCGCCTCCCCCAAGAGCTTCACCCTGGTGAGAGGGAGGGGGAGAGAGAAAAAATCATGAGACTTATCCCCTTCCACGGATTAACTGGAGTATCGCCATAGTAACTCTGTCAAACAGTGATGGATGTGAGCAATGTGGTTAGACTCAGCCCCCCCTGCTGTGTGAGTGATATTTGTGTGTGTGTATTTCAGGACTTTGGAGATTATCAGGATGGATATTATTCAGTTCAGACCACAGAGGGAGAGCAGATCGCTCAGCTGATCGCAGGATACATCGATATCATACTCAAAAAGGTAACACACACACCTATACACACAGGTAACAAACACAAACACGTACATACAGTCACAGTTCACATAAGCTTTGAAAAGTCAGCAAGTGGTCGAAGGATTGCAGTTTTTCAACAGAAGAATGAGAGAACATTTTGACTGATAAAACATAAAACACTGACGTCTCGATGTTTGTTTTTCTGTTTTTGTGAAAAAAAAAAAAAAAAAGAGAGAGAACTTAAGTCAACATTTGAAAAGTCAAGGCAGATGGAAAAGTACTTAGTAAGTACTCTCATCGCCACGAAAAACTTCTGGGTTTCTGTTCCTTTATTGTAAGAACAAAAACAAGGTCAATATTGTGGTTGAGTTAGGTTTGGAAAAAGCATGTTAAAATACAGTAAACATGAGCCGGTAACATGCTGTAGATACATTTTTATTGAATTGGTTGAAACAACTGATAGAGGGTAACAAAGCAGGACTGGTATTTGTTTCACAAGCAGTACCAAACCGTTTAATTCTACATATTTTAACAGAATTAGTCCTAACATCAACCACTGACTGTGTTTTATTTTGATTTGATGTCATTAAGAATTTCAAAATCACAAAATGGCAACAATTAGTTTGATTAATCAGCCCACTGATTGATCAGTGTATCGTGAATGTAAGCCATCAGTTTCTGATTCTGATTGTGCGTGTTTGTGTGTGTGTGAACAGAAAAAGAGTAAGGATCACTTCGGTCTGGAAGGGGATGAAGAGTCCACCATGCTGGAAGACTCTGTCTCTCCTAAAAAGTGAGTCCACCTGTGAGACAGGTAACAATCAGGTGTCCACAGGTGTGAGATAGAAACATAACCTTGTGACTCTGTTTCAGTTTTTACATCAGCTCCTACATCAGGACTGCAGGGCTGAAGCAAAACTATCACCTGCTGTAAATTAATGATAATATATTAACACAGCTCCCTCTGCAGGTCGACTGTGTCACAGCAGCTATTAAAACCTTATGTGAAATAATAATAATAAATCATTAATAATAATGTCAATAATGATAGTTTGATAACATTAAGCTTCTCCCCCTTTAGGTCGACGGTGCTGCAGCAGCAGTTTAACCGAGTGGGGAAGGTGGAGACGGGCTCAGTGGCGCTGCCTGCCATCATGAGGTCAGGAGCTGGCGGTCCAGAGAGTTTCCACATGGGCTCCATGCCTCAAGCCCAAAAACACATCACCAGCGGACAGATGCACCGTGGACACATGCCGCCCCTGGTAACACACACTCACATACACACGACTGTAAAGTCAGATCCAATGATTTTATAGTTGACTGAGAGGATTTATCCACAGTCAGCTTATTTTAGATCAAACATTGTTAAGAGAGTTAAACTGGACACCCACTGTCATGTACATGTTCTCAGATGTCTGCAACAAACTGGCAGATCTCCAACTCCTGATTTCCTTTTGTCTGTCTCTCTGTTAGACATCAGCCCAGCAGGCTCTGACTGGAACCATTAACTCAAGTATGCAGGCTGTACAGGCGGCTCAGGCCTCTCTGGATGACCCTGATAGTCTGCCACCACTGGGAACAGACCCTGTAAGATTTACCCCTCTATCTACCTGAAATTTTTTTACCTAGGACCTGTTATTTCCTAAGTTTACAGTAACTGATTGGAGCTCTAAACCTGTTTCTTCTCTCTGTTCAGGCGTCTCAGGCGTGGCGCCTTAACAACATGGTCAAGTCCAAACACGAGATCCATTCTCAGGTGGATGCTATCACAGCAGGCACTGCTTCCATGATCAACCTAACTGCAGGTACGCACTCCTTCAACAGTTCCCTGTCATGGTCTGTGTTAGATAGTAAAGTAATGTATAGTAAAGTCTGATCCCTCGCCCTCTCTGCTCACCTGTCCTCAGGCGACCCTGCAGAGACAGACTACACGGCAGTGGGCTGTGCGGTCACCACCATCTCCTCCAACCTGACGGAGATGTCGAAGGGCGTGAAGCTGCTGGCGGCGCTGATGGATGACGAGGGAGGAAACGGACAGCAGCTGCTGGGTGCCGCCAAGAACCTGGCCTGTGCCGTGTCTGACATGTTAAAGACCGCCCAGCCCGCCAACACCGAGGTAACCATACAAGAAAAAGAGAGGAGGGGGAGACAGTGTGTTAGATTTTGACTGTTCATGATTTTTATATTCAGTCAGACAGAAGTTAATGTAAATACAGAGACACAAAGACATGTCTCATGTTTCTGTTTGATTTAATGTCTCCAGCCTGGAGGGAAACTGTTGAGTGCAGATAAAAAACATGTTCCTGATGCTGCAGTCTGACCTGTCTCCTCTTTGTGTGTTTCTCTGTGTCTCTGTTTGTCTCTAATTGTCCTTGTGTGTCTCACCATGTCCCTCTTATTGTACCTATAGCCTCGTCAAAACCTGCTGCAGGCTGCAGGAAACGTGGGTCAGGCGAGTGGCGAGCTACTGTCTCATATTGGAGAGACGGACACAGATCCTCAGTTCCAGGTGAGTCTATTTCTCAGAGACAGACAGGCAGATGTCTCTAACAGCAGAGAATCGTTTCATGAGCCAGAGATTTTTTTTTGTTCTTGTGAGGAGAAACTTAATTTAATTTTACTGAATAATTCATTTAGTTTGACTTTGGTTAAGTTCACCATCTCAGATTTGTTTATGAACGCCAAAGCAGCATTGTTATTTATTTTTAACATGTTCACACAGACTCTGGATTTCTAGCTGATCTGCGTTAGCTCTGTCTCTGCTCTGACACAATTTGGCTGTCAGCACCACAGACTGTGTAATAAACAGATAATAAACAACGGCAGCAGTCACCATATTGGAAATGCTGACTCAGCCATATTTTACTTGACCTACCAGAGGCGGGCATTAAGCCTCCTACAGTGTGCCCACCTGTCAGTCAATCTGATTCGCCAATCTCATAACCTTAATAAGCCTAGCCTTTGGTGCCTCGACATGTTTTAACTTTTTCATTTGTAGTGTTTTCCCCTGAGTCTGGACTCTCAGGTGGTCTCACTCATTAAACAAACAACATTCATCTAGTTTTAAACACAGCAGTGTGTGATGTGCAGTGTGTTTTAAATGTGTGATGTGTACCTGTGTAAGTTTGTAGGTAGAGGATCAGTCAGAGGGGACAGATGGAGAGTCAGCTCCTATTCTCACCTGATGGTAACACGCCTGATCCGAACATCCATACTGAACCAGTCAGATCAATCTGAGACGAAAAATCATCGAATCACCGATCAGCCTTCCTATTAGAGTCAAATTAACCAATCAAGAGTCAATCCTTCAATCAAACTTCACTCTTTTTGTTCTTACATTATTAATCAGACTTGATAGGCTTTTGTTATGATCACCATGGTAACTACTTTCCAATCCCAGGAATCTCCAGTTTGATACCAGGTGATCATTTTTGCTCTCCACCACAAAAATGATCACTTTTTATCAAATTTCATTTTCTGCACTCCTTTTCATTTTTGCTTGATAATGAGAGAATGAGAATTCAAAGCATTTTCTTATACTGTGTAAAGTCATGCACCCCCTGCTGGACATTTAGAAGAATGCAGATTTGAAACTCTCATTATCAGCCTATTATTGTGGGTTAATCTCTGTAATTCCTGTTGTTTTTTTCTGCCAGCTCAATGTCACCATCCTTCCTGTTAAAGAGCTAACTGGTGCTAACTAAGGTGTCTCTCCTTCTGCAGGACATGCTAATGCAGCTTGCCAAAGCTGTGGCCAACGCGGCGGCGGCTCTGGTCCTGAAAGCGAAGAACGTGGCCCAGAAGAGCGAGGACTCGACCCAGCAAAATCGGGTCATTGCTGCAGCCACTCAGTGCGCCCTGTCCACATCCCAGCTGGTTGCCTGCACCCGGGTGAGTTTACCTGAGAGAAAGGAGATTATGAACTGAAATCAGAGATAAAAAATATTCTGAACACATGCTCTGTTGAGGTCACATGACCTCCCTCATGTTTGAGCCAACACACCTGTGTGTGAGATTTCCTGCAAGGAGTGAACACACCGTGTGTCCTTCAGGTGGTGGCACCCACCATCAGCTCACCGGTGTGTCAGGAGCAGCTGATTGAAGCAGGGAAACTTGTGGCCAAATCAGTGGAAGGCTGCGTGGAGGCGTCGCAGGGGGCCACCAATGATGAGGGGCTCCTGAAGCAGGTGGGCGTGGCCGCCACGGGTGTGACTCAGGCACTCAATGAGCTGCTGCAGCACATCAAACAGTATGCCAGTGGCGGGCATCCAATTGGAAGGCATGGAGAGGCAACAGACCGCATTCTAGACGTGACTGAGAACATCTTCAGCTCCATGGGAGACGCAGGTAGGTGGAGCCTAACTAGGATAGGCACCTCCCCCAGGTGATACACCTGAGGTTAGACTGAGTCTTTGTCAGGACAGGTACCAGCTGTGACAGGGTTCACCTGGAACTAACTGGTGGGTGTGTCAGCTACACACCTGATCACTGTCAGGCTGTTGATCATAAGCTCTGTTCACTCTGACCTTTAGTTACCTTCAGCTGACTTTACTTCAGGCTCACCTGCTCTGTCCCTCCTCCAGGTGAGATGGTGCGCCAGGCTCGTATCCTCGCTCAGGCGACCTCTGATCTGGTCAATGCCATCAAGATGGATGCGGAAGCAGAGTCTGACTTGGAGAACTCGCGTAAACTGCTCTCCGCCGCCAAACTGCTTGCTGACGCCACAGCTAAGATGGTGGAGGCTGCAAAGGTCAGAGACCTTTATACTGCATCACACCGCCCTTAGGGTCTGAAGTCAGTGTGTTTATACCTGTGTGTTTATTTCTGTGCGTGTGTGTGTGCTTACAGGGGGCAGCAGCAAACCCTGATAGTGAGGAGCAGCAGCAGAAGCTCAGAGAAGCGGCTGAAGGTCTCCGTATGGCCACGAATGCCGCCGCACAGAACGCCATCAAGAAACGCCTCGTCAACAAGCTGGAGGTAAGAAGGGGCAGAGCTTAGACTAAACACACCTGAGTCATGTTTAGATGTTTAGTGAATGTGTCTTATCAGAAAAGAAGACTGATAGTTCCTAACAAACTGCACCATCAAATAGCGCCCCCTGTTGGTCATGGAGGGAAGAGATTTAGTCAGAGTGGCGTCTCAAAGATTTTATTGCTTTAAAATGAGCTGGTCTCTGAATTATCCTCATTTTCTTCATTATCTTCATTACCTGAATGATCTAAACTTGTCCGTCTGTTTTTCAGAATGCAGCGAAGCAGGCAGCGGCAGCAGCGACCCAGACCATCGCTGCAGCTCAACATGCAGCTTCAGCCAACAAGAACCAGGCCGCCCAGCAACAACTGGTCCAGAGCTGCAAGGTAACACACACACACACACGCACACACATACACACACATTAAACAGTAAATACTTTACCTTTCCTTAAATACTAATATTAATCTCCTTAATATGTGTCTTTGTGTGTCTCTCTGTGTTATTGACTCCAGGTGGTCGCAGATCAGATCCCTCAGCTGGTTCAGGGGGTCAGAGGAAGTCAGTCTCAGCCTGACAGTCCCAGCGCTCAGCTCGCTCTCATCAGCGCCTCACAGAACTTCCTGCAGGTAAAGACACACACACAGATATACCTGGAGACAACACACACAGTCACAGAGTTGGAGACAGAGGAGAAACACACTGCTTTAACTCAGTAAACCGGCAACATAATGAATAAAACCAGACAGGTGTGTTCGAGGGTCTGCAGGTCATGTGACATGTTAAGAAGAGGAACTCTCTGAAACCTTACCTTACTGTGTCTTTCATACTTTTACTCAGGTATTTTTTTAGATGTATTATTTAATCCTCCATTGTTGTGAAAATCCACACATAGCACAGACAGTAATCGTCACTAAAGCTGTGACACTGTCAGATTTATTGATGATTTCAACAGAAATCAGCACTAACTGTGAATATCTCTCTGTCTCAGCCTGGGGCTAAGATGGTGACAGCATCCAAAGCCACCGTCCCAACCATCAGTGACCAGGCATCTGCCATGCAGCTGAGTCAGTGTGCAAAGAACCTCGCCAGCGCCCTCGCAGAACTCAGAACTGCCTCTCAGAAGGTAACACTCACCCCGCTGGTCTGATTATTGTAAACACTCCGTATGTGTGCATGTGTGTGTGTGCTCAATGCGTGTGTTAAATATATCTGTGTACAGGCTCAGGAGGCGTGCGGCCCCTTGGAGATCGATAACGCTCTGTCGATGGTCAGAGACCTGGAGAAAGACCTGCAGGAGGCCAGAGCTTCAGCTGATGCAGGAAAACTGAAACCTTTACCTGGAGAGACGGTGAGACACAGACACACACACACACACACAGAAATATACAAAGTGAATTGTAGCATTCTCCTTCTATGAGACTTTATAATGTGTTCATATATTATCATACTGTATGTGTGTCTGTTTCTGTCAGTTGGAGAAGTGCTCTCAGGATCTGGGGACGAGCACCAAAGCTGTGAGTTCATCCATCGCTCAGCTGCTGAGTGAGGCCACGCAGGGCAATGAGAACTACACAGGTGAGCTCACCTGGCTGACCAACAACTGATCACCTCAGATTGACAGGTGGTTAGTAATGTAACCCTCCTGTTGTATTTCTGGTATAAACACCTGTTTCCTGTGGGCTCAGGCATGGCAGCTCGAGAAGTGGCTCAGGCTCTGAGGTCATTGGCGTCAGCAGCTCGAGGAGTTGCCGCCACCACCGATGACCCCCAGGCTCAGGCCGCCATGTTAGACTGCGCCAGAGATGTCATGGATAAATCAGCTAATCTGATCGAAGAGACCAAGAGAGCCATCGCCAAACCAGGAGACGCCGAGAGTCAGCAGAGACTGGCTCAGGTCAGAGACACTCAGAGAGACACAGAGACAAACATAAAGATACAAAGGGGTCATAATTACAACCACAGTATTTTTAATGTTGTTACAGGGTCATGTTTTTATCGTGATTTGTCAGCTCCACTCTCTGAAAATGTTTTCAATAGGGGACAATTCAAGACTGCAGGCAGGCCAGTTTAGCAGCAGGACTCTTCTACTACAGAGCCACGCTGTTGTAATACCTGCAGAATGTGGTTTAGCTCCAAACCCTGAATATGTAGTTCAGCATTAATGGACCCTTCACAGACCCTTTAGCAGACCATCAGATTCTGTTTTTATCAATATTTTACAACAACATTTTTGGGGATGTAGTTGTAGATTCAGATGAAGTCCTCAGAATTCAAACAAACCTGCAGGTGATGATACTGAGTTATTGTATATCTGTGTGTTTACATATGTTTTTATATGTAATTATGTATGTTTGAATTTAAATGTGTATTTTTATTTGTGTCCAGGTGGCTAAAGCGGTGTCTCAGGCCTTGAACAGGTGTGTGAATTGCCTGCCCGGTCAGAGAGATGTGGATAACGCCATCAGGACGGTGGGCGAGGCCAGCAAGACTCTGCTCTCTGACTCGGTGAGTTTGTCTGTGAGGGGGAAATACTTCCCCTGGTGGTCACATGGAGAACTGCAGGGGCACTTTTACGAACTGTCAGTCATAGATGATTACTAAAACGAAAAGTAGTGGAAAAGTCCAGTTTTCAAGATTGCTGTTAGTGTCTTAAACTGATAGCTGTGAACGCAGACTACACCAAGTTTTCACTCCTCTTAGTGTGTTGGTTTATTCTTCAGACAAAATTATTTTCATATGGACAAAGATGGATGTTTGAAAATCAAACCGAGTGTAGACAATCAGACTGACAGATAGGAACAGTCAGTAAATTTAAGCACCTGTCAGTCTACAGTTCCTCTGCTCTCAGGTGATTTCTGTCCTCTTCCTCTCTTCGTAGTTCCCATCCAGCGGGCGGAGCTTCCAGGAGGTCCAGGCTCAGCTAAACGAGACTGCGGCCGGTCTGAACCAATCAGCTAATGAGGTAGTCCAGGCCTCCAGGGGAACCACCCAGGACCTGGCTCGGGCCACCAGCAAGTTTGGACATGACTTCAGCAACTTCCTGGAGGCAGGGAAAGACATGGCGGGAACCTCACAGGTGAGGAGGAGCGTTTTTACCTGAGTGGTGAAGGTGAAGCAGGGTTAGGATGAATGAATAAACTGTGTGCTGTCATGCTGAAAGAAGACTGTAGTCCACACACTTGAACTGTAAAAGTCTCTGTTACCTACTCTAAAACCTGTCCACCTGTCCTCCCTTTGTCTTCTGCAGTCCAAAGAAGACCAGACTCAGGTGGTCTCGAATCTTAAGACCATCTCCATGTCCTCAAGCAAACTGCTGCTGGCTGCTAAAGCTCTGTCCACCGACCCGTCCTCCCCCAACCTCAAGAACCAGCTGGCCTCTGCCGCCAGGTGAGGCACATGAGCTACCTGTCTGTCCTTACTTCAGTCTGTCTGTCTGTTTGTGTCTCACACAGCTGTCTCTCTATCGCTCTCTCTCTCTCTCTCCATCTGTCTCTCAGAGCGGTGACGGACAGCATCAATCAGCTGATTACAATGTGCACTCAGCAGGCTCCGGGCCAGAAAGAGTGTGACAACGCCCTGAGAGAGCTGGAGGTACAAACACACTCATAGACACACACACACACACAAACACACACGTACACAAAGTAGATTGTAGCAGTTTCTTTATATGAGACTTAATAATGTGTAGTGACTTCCTCTCTGCAGCATGTTTAGTGGTCATGCAGTGTGTGTTTTTTGTGTGTGTTGTAACCTTTTGTGTATTGTGTGTATGTGTGTGTACAGTCGGTGAAGGGGATGCTGGAGAACCCGTCGGAGGCGGTGAACGAGTTGTCATACTTTGACTGTATTGACAGCGTGATGGAGAACTCAAAGGTACGACCTCCTCGAGTTTAGCCTCAGACTGATGAGGTCAGAGTTTGTTAAATGAGGCTTAACTTCCTGTTTCCTGTGTCCAGGTGCTGGGCGAGTCCATGGCAGGTATTTCCCATCATGCAAAGAACTCTAATCTGCCGGAATTCGGTGACTCAGTAAGCGGCGGATCCAAGGCTCTGTGTGGTCTGACTGAGGCTGCAGCTCAGGTGAGACTCACCCGTGACCTTAGTTTAGGTGCTGCAGGTGTGCAGGTGCAATTTTAACCCTGGTCTTTGTCTGCAGGCTGCCTACCTGGTGGGTATATCCGACCCCAACAGCTCAGCGGGTCAGAAGGGTCTGGTAGATCCTGCTCAGTTTGCCCGGGCCAACCAGTCCATCCAGATGGCCTGTCAGAACCTGGTGGACCCGGCTTGCACCCAGTCCCAGGTACCTGCCCGGACTCATTTGGGATCATCACATCTCCTCCTTCATAACATGCTCTAATGATGGTGTGTTTATGTGTGTGTGTTCAGGTGCTCTCTGCTGCCACCATCGTAGCCAAACACACCTCAGCTCTGTGCAACGCCTGTCGCCTCGCTTCCTCCAAAACCACCAACCCTGTCGCTAAGAGGCAATTCGTCCAGTCTGCCAAAGAGGTCGCCAACACCACGGCCAACCTGGTCAAGTCCATCAAGGTGAGGAGGGATGGTGCTCCAGAGTAAGTCAGCTTTTAGCAGGTAGATGGAGAGCAGAGTCACACGGAGACTGTGTGCATATGCTTACTGGTTCACGCCTGCTCTGATTGGCCCAACACCTGAAGGCTTTCTGAACAAGCAGGACGTGATTGGCTGTGAAGACATTGTTAAAAATGAAGACTAATGTAGAACTAAAGGTCGACCTGTGTGTGTGTGTGTGTGTGTGTGTGTGTGTGTGTGTGTGTGTGTGTGTGTGTGTGTGTGTGTGTGTGTGTGTGTGTGTGTGTGTGTGTGTGTGTGTGTGTGTGTTCGCAGGCTCTCGACGGAGCATTTAACCAGGAGAACAGGGAGAAGTGTCGAGCGGCCACCGGTCCTCTGATTGAAGCCGTTGATAATCTGACCGCCTTCGCCTCTAACCCTGAGTTTGCCAGCATCCCGGCTCAGATCAGCCCTGAGGTCAGTCTCACCTGGAGGATTTACCTGTTCATGGTTACCTCATCATTCTCCATCCTCACCTTCTTCTTCTCTCTCATCTAGGGTCACGCTGCCATGGAGCCCATCGTCATGGCTGCTAAGACGATGCTGGAGAGCTCAACCGGTCTGATCCAGACGGCCCGCTCGCTTGCCGTCAACCCCAAGGACCCGCCTAAATGGTCGGTGCTCGCTGGACACTCCAGGACGGTCTCTGACTCCATCAAGAAGCTCATCACCAACATGAGGTTAAAAAAAATACACATAAACAAAAAACACGTACCAGGGCTGCTCATATTTGATGTTACTGCCGATACCAATAGTTTTTATTCACTCATTACTTTTGGTTGTGTGTGTGTTTCTGTGTGTGTGTTTGTGTGTTTGTGTTGCAGAGAGAAAGCTCCTGGTCAGAGAGAGTGTGATGATGCCATTGAGGTGTTGAACGGCTGCATCAGAGAGGTGGACCAGGCTTCACTGGCTGCTATCAGCCAACAGCTCACGCCACGAGAGGACATCTCTATGGAGGTATACACACACACACACACACACACACACACACACACACACACACACACACACACACACACACACACACACACACTTCAATATTAAAGGTATCGATGTATCTATTTTAGTTACTCTCTGTGATGAGTTTGTAATAATGTGTCTCACTTGTGTCTCAGACGCTCCATGGTCAGATGGCGGCGTCCGTCCATGAGATCAGTAACCTGATTGACCCTGTCGCTGTGGCTGCTCGATCAGAGGCCTCCCACCTTGGACACAAGGTACACACACTCCAGACCCGAGTGTTTTAAAAGGATGTAATCTGGTTCAAACTGGTGTGAACTGGTTAAAGTGGTGTAAACTGTGTTAAATTGGTTCCTTCAGTTTAAGTCCATCTGGTATAATCTTGTCTCTGTGTCTCACCTATCCAGGTGTCTCAGATGGTGAGTTACTTTGAGCCCCTCATCATGGCAGCAATTGGCACGGCGTCCAAGATCCTTAGCAGCCAGCAGCAGATGGCAGTCTTGGACCAAACCAAGACCCTGACAGAGTCCGCCCTGCAGATGCTCTACACTGCCAAAGAAGCCGGAGGAAACCCTAAGGTGAGACCATCACCCAGGAAGTAAAGCTGTTAGCTTAAAGATTTCTAAGTATTTCTAAGTATTACTGTTAGTCCCTGTGTCTGTTCTGATTGGTGGAAATTACCAGAGCAATATCACAAAACAATTACAAGTATGTTTGTATTGTGTGTTTGTGTGTCCTCAGGCAGCACACATGCAGGAAGCTCTGGAGGAGTCCGTTCAGATGATGAAAGAGGCAGTGGACGATCTCGGGGCGACGCTGGCTGAAGCAGCGAGCGCAGCTGGGGCAGTGGGCGGCATGGTGGACTCCATCAACGACTCCATCAACAAGATGGAGGATGCTCCCACTCTAGAGCCTGAGGGTACCTTCGTGGACTACCAGACCACCATGGTGAAGACCGCCAAGGCCATCGCTGTCACCGTGCAGGAGATGGTGAGTCATGATTGATCAGAATCGATTCATTGAAAGAAAGTCGGTTATTTAACTACTGAAACAGGAAGTACAGATATTCACACAGGTCAAAGATCAGTTTCCAGTTTCTCTGACTCTTTTACACTTGTCCTCAGGTGACCAAGTCCAACACAAATCCTGATGACCTTGGAGGATTAGCCAATCAGCTGACCAACGAGTTCGGAAACCTGGCTGATGAAGCCAAATACGCTGCCATTACAGCCGAGAATGACGAGGTACAACACACAGCCCCCCCTCAGTGTGCTCATAGTGTCTGTGGACTTAATTATATTCAAACCTTCTTACCTGTTCATTCTCACCTGACCCTTCAGATCGGCTCCCACATCAAGAAGCAGGTTGGCGAGCTGGGATTCAGCTGCACGGGTCTGGTGACCAAAGCTGGAGCTCTGCAGTGCAGCCCCAACGACAGCTTCACCAAGAAAGAGCTGATTGAGAGCGCTCGCAAAGTCTCAGAGAAGGTCACGCCACGCGCCACCAACACACACACACACAGAGACACACTTGTATATTTACTGTTAGTTAAATATCTCATGTAAGCCTGTTCATATTTGTGTAAAATCTCATGTTCTGATTCTTGAACCTAAAACACGAAGGAGGAGAAGGTCACCTGTCATCTCTGCATGTTTCGATTTAAGCAGATGCTTCATATACACACATATTGTGTTTTATTTGAAGACAGAAAGGAGGGACTGTGAATGAGGGATGAGATGCAGGGAGAGGTTAATGTGATCAATCTGGATGTTTTGGGGATGTCTTCTGACACATGAACACAGCGGGTTTATTTCTATCCGACCCCTTCAGCTCTATGACGAATCTGTCTGTAAACACGAACTGACTCTGTTGTTAAATCGAACTTTTTAAAAACTCTTTGTCAAGTTTCCCCCTCAGGTGTTGACAGTCTGCTCTCTCTGCAGGTGTCTCACGTGCTGGCGTCCCTGCAGGCCGGCAACCGTGGAACCCAGGCTTGCATCACAGCCGCCAGCGCCGTGTCGGGTATCATCGCGGACCTTGACACCACCATCATGTTCGCCACAGCAGGAACTCTAAATAGAGAGAATGAAGAGACATTCGCCGACCACAGGTACAAACTCAGAGACAGACAGAGACATAGAGGACGCTTTGACTCTGCAGCGCCTGAAATCTCTTACATAAAGATATAATGAAACTGTTAGATTTAAAGACAACACTGTGTGTGTTTGCGGGTATTTCAGAAAGCTGATCCCAGAGATAAGTTCAAAACTCTTAAATGTTGTGTATCAAGATTTTTAAAAGCCTTAAATCGGATGTACTGACATCTGTTTGTGTTTTAGAGAGTTGATCCTGAAGACGGCCAAAGCTCTGGTGGAAGACACCAAGCTGCTGGTCTCTGGAGCTGGAGCGAGTCAGGAGAAACTGGCCCAGGCTGCCCAGTCCTCTGTGTGTACCATCACCAAACTGGCTGATGTGGTCAAACTGGGAGCTGCCAGTCTGGGATCAGAGGACCCAGAGACACAGGTACAGGGGGAATAGATGAAGGAGTCAGACCACATTAAGCAGTCAGAGGGGTCCATTTCTTTCAAAGCTGTGGTTGGAGGTTTTGATCTAGAACTTTTCAAGAGTTTTCTTCATGTTTCAGCTGAATGTATCCCAAATTTTAGGATCATGAAGATAAACTAAAGCTGGAGATTAACCAATCAGAGCTGAGATTCAGATCAGAGGGATCAGACCTCAGGGTAAAAGACAGAAATAACAATCTCATCTGACACAGCTTCATAACAGAGACAGGAAAAGTAAAAGTCTGATGATTAAAAACAGATAAAGCTTTCTTTGTAATATTTAAGAGTCTATTTGAACTCCTGACTTCTAGATATTTAAAACTGCTGTCCGATCAGAAATTATCCCCCTCTCTAAATCAGCTCCTAAAAGCCTCCTTCAGTCCAGATAAGACTGTCTGTGTGTTCCATCACACTCATCTTCATAAAATCATCTGTGTGGACTCGTGTTGGTAAAGTCCTGGTTTTGCATCTGCAGGTGGTTCTTATCAATGCGGTGAAGGACGTGGCCAAAGCTCTGGGCAACCTGATCAGCACCACCAAGGCGGCCGCAGGAAAACCCCATGATGACCCGAGCATGCTGCAGCTGAAGAACTCTGCAAAGGTAGAACAGAGAGCATGAGCTTAAGTATGTAAATCAAAGAGTGTTTTAACTGCTAATCCCTCTGTGATCAGCTGAATAAACCCTTCATCCATCTCTCCTTTATTTAGTTTTGTCAGCGTTAGTTCATTCATTTGTCGTCTGTTTTGTATCAAAGCTGCTCCAGCTAACACTCAAACACCTGTCCAATCAGCAGTCTCAATGCACCTGTACGGTTCATGGTCAGTCTGTAACCTCGCCCCTGTCATGTGATCATCAGGTCATGGTGACCAACGTGACGTCTCTCCTGAAGACGGTGAAGGCGGTTGAGGACGAGGCCACCAAGGGAACAAGAGCTCTGGAGGCAACCATCGAGCACATCAAGCAGGAGCTGACGGTGAGTGAGACAGGAGGAGGAGCTTCTGAAGGACGCTCTGCAAGGGGGAGGAGCTTAACGTGTGCTGGGCTGAAATAAGACGCATAACTCACCTGGCAGAATAATGGCAGGTTAATGAGACACTAACCCTCCACTCACTGACCTTCTTTCGATCGCTCTCAGGTGTTCAGCAGCTCTGAGCCTCCTGCAAAGACCACTACACCTGAGGAGTTCATCCGTATGACCAAAGGCATCACCATGGCAACTGCCAAAGCAGTGGCTGCTGGGAACTCGTGTCGTCAGGAGGACATCATTGCCACGGCTAACCTGAGTCGCAGAGCCATCGCCGACATGCTGCACTCCTGCAAGGTGAGCACAGGTGTAGCTGTTTTACCTGAGGCTGTGGAATAAGATAAACTCCTGCAAGGTTAGCACAGACGGGACTCTGTACTTGGCTTATATATCATACAGGGGTTATTATATAATAATGTAGTGTAATTTTCCTGAGCTCTGTCTGTGGGTCTGCAAAGTAACTCCATTCAGCTCTGTAGTGGGTGTCTCCATGTAGAGGACCATGAATCAGATCTGGTTTGGGGTTAAGTCAGTCTCAGCCTTATTGATCCTGTCTCTTCTCCCTGGTGTTTCTTAGTGGCCCCAAAAAGATAATGACCAATCCATAAATGGTGAACTGTCAGACATGGTGCTGATTGAGTCATCCAAACTCTAATGATTCAGCAGGGAGGACAGGAAGAGACACAAAGAGCTCTGAATGTGTGTGATTCAGACTGACTTTTTTTTTATTTCTCTGCCCCTTCCTCAACAGGAAGCAGCGTATCACCCCGAGGTCAGTAAGGAGGTCCAGATGAGGGCTCTGCGTTTTGGGAATGAGTGTGCTACAGGATACCTGGGCCTGCTGGAGCACGTGCTGGTGGTAAGACTCCATCACTTGCACAAACAAACACACACACACAATATTTGAGCCTATTCTAAACTTATAGGATAAAAACTTATTTACACAATGAAACAAGATCTGATATGACAATCTAACGACTTAAAAGAGGCTCATATATATGACTCTCACTCAGCTCACAGAGGAGCTCTATCTGTACATTAATGGATTTTTAATGACTTCTTCCTCCTTTTCCTCTTCTTCCTCACTCTGTCCCTCGTCTCTTTACAGTCATAGATAAACTGTATATCTATAATTTTCAGATTCAGATATCTGCTCTCTGCTGTCTCATGGTTAATGACCTCCTCCTCTTCCTCGCTCCTCCTCCTCCTCTTTGTCATTCTGCTTCTGCTCTTTAAACTTGATGCTCTTTGATGTAAAAGCCGGTGAGTAGGTCACGTGACTTACCTGCATAGGTGTGAGTCTGCAGTGATTCATGTGTGTTAGTGTAGAGCATGTTTGAGTCCTCACACATTAAAGAGACAATCTATTAAACAACCCGACTGTGTGTGTGTGTGTGTGGGGGGGAAATCAGCCCAGTGCTTCTTTATTCGTCAATGAAACATTAAGCTAAACCTCACTGAGATAACATGGTAGGCTCAGGTGGGAAGTAGGTACGAGTGTGTGCTGCCCTCTGGTGGCAGAGAGGAGAAACACTAAGGGTTAAAAAGAACAAACAGCTGATCATCAAAGGAAAGTTTCTGCAGCCTGAGATCACTAACACAGACTAACATCTGACTGCTGTTTGCAGCCCTTTTCTGCCTCGCACAGACTCACCTGTAAAGCGTTTACCTTAACTTCATGGCCTTAGACCCCGTCTCACATTAGTAGATCAGCTGATTCAGACACAGACTGCAAAGAAGACAAGACCTCTCTCTGCAGGACTCTCTGAGCAAGGTCCACCAGGGGGAGTGAGAAGGGTCTAGAGGGCTGGGGTTTCAGTATTAGCTCAGGTGTGTTAAACCCTTGTCTGTTCCCTCAGTCTCGGTGAGAGGACACATAGTTTTGGTTGATCAGCTGATCGGGTATCTGTTCATATCTGTCAGATCAGCACAGACAGCTTGTGACAGAATGAACAGGTGACACACCTGCAGCTGAAGACTTTACAGACACCTTAAATGTGGTTTTGGTTTTCACAAGAGTGTGTGTGCATGAATTACTGTGCAGTGACATCCTCTCTCTTTTATATTCTCTCTCTCTCCCTCTCCCTCTCTCTATGTCAATCCTTTAATTCCCTGCACCTGTCTCACATTTGGCTCCAACCTGAATACACTGAGGGGCTAACAGGATGCTTTGAGGACACACAGACAAAAGAAACACACTCACATACACATAAACAGGTCTCAAATTAGGTGTCATTGTGTTTCTGACTCACCCACAGCTCTCAGTTTGACTCAGGCTGCTCTGATTGGTCATCCATAGAGATGAATGCAATGTGTAAGCTCCTGTGTTTGAGTCCTGACAGCCCCTTACTGTCACTGAGATCATTAAAACCTCAGTCTGCAGACCTCAGACTGTGATGGAAGTTCACTGTGAAGCTCTGACAGGAGTTTAAATGCTGGTATGATGTCAGTTTGTAATGAGCGCAATCAGTATCCATGCTTAAAGTGAGTGGATTTTTTATACAGTAAATTTTAGGCCCCCTCCAGAGTCACTTATTTTAATTGCACACTCTGTGTGACCCTCGTCCTGGGGGAAACCTCTGATGGACTTAGAGATGAAACATGTTAAACCAGAGAGGGACCCCACCAGGGGGTGCTTTAGTTTATCCCTGTCAGTCACGTTTTTGGAATCAAATGTCAAAAGCACACCGACACCTTCAGCTCCTGTTTCGATTATAAACTCATCACAAAACAAGTCAGAGTCTAACAATCAGAGTTTCAACCCTGTATGACCCCTTCACCTGTCCCAGCAGGTATCTGACCTCATAGTGATCTTTGCAGTTAGCATTAGCTTAGCATAGGTCAGGACATAGAGTGTGTGATTGTGTATAACGGTTGAATTAAAGGTTGTGACTCTCTCCTCAGATCATCCAGAAACCATCTCATGATCTGAAGCAACAGCTGGCGGGTTACTCCAAGAGGGTGGCGGGCTCTGTCACTGAGCTCATCCAGGCTGCTGAAGCCATGAAAGGTACTGTGACCTTTGACCTCTCTGACCACATGTTCACAAGAAAAAACTTTAACGTTAAATACAGTTAAGGGTCTTTTAGGAATATGTCTGCACACTAATGCAGATGCTGTTGCTACATACTGCTACTGCAAACTGCTACTGTATGCTGCTGCACACTGCTGCTACACGCTACTACTGCAGGCTGTTGCTGGACACTAGCTAGACACTTTTTAAGACTACTGCTACATACTGCTACTGCCACTTCTACTGAATGCTGCTGCACACTGCTGCTACACGCCTATACTGCACGCTGCTACTGCAGGCTGTTGCTAGACGCTGGCTAGACACTCTTGATGACTACTGCTACATGCTGCTACTGCATGCTGCTGCTGGGCGCTACTGCTGAACACTCCTACTGCACAATGCTACTTCATGCTTATGCTACTGCTGCACCCTGCTACTTGTCATTGCTACACAGTGTGTATGCAGCTGCAGCTGCTGGATGCTGCTGCTGCATGGTACTCCATCTAGCTGCTGCTGCAAGCTGATGCTGCTGCATGCTGCATGGATACAGAGTACACACCAACAACACAGCACAGCTGTTACTATGGTGATAAAATCATAACAGGACTGAACATACATCACAGGTCTCTATAAAGATGAGTCCTCTGTTATTTTTAAACCACTTCGTGTCAGACCTGATGCTCTCAGACTGTTTAAACAGCTGTTTGTCAGAGCTCTTGGTAAAGATGTCGTAGTTTTAGGGTCAGTGTTGGTCGGACATAGACTTCTTCAAACCTCGTAGTTTCTACAGGGTCAGCGTTGGTCTGATATTGATGTCTTTAGACCTTAAAGTTTTCAAAGGAAACTGTTGGTCTTAAATAGACCTCTTCAGACCTCATAGTTTTAGGGTCAGTGTTGGTCTTAAATAGACTTGTGTAGACCTCATAGTTTTTTACAGGGTCAGTGTTGGTCTGAAATAGCTCCCTCTCCTCTCATATTCAGAACTCTTAATGAGTCCTGACAGTCATATGGAGGAGGATTAGTGCAGATCCCTCTGAGGGGGTCCAGTTTCAGCGGCTCGTTCTCGGGATATCCCCCCCTCCCTTGGTTAGTGAGGATTACAGGGGGCTGAAGGAGATGCTTTGAATACATCATCAGTCATCCTCAGAGTATATGAACGTCCCTGTGCTGCATTTTAAGAAGCGTTAGCTGACACTGAACCCTGTAGAAGGAGGGGTTGGGGGTTCGGACCTTCATCACTTCATTCAGACGGTGATGATGATGACGAAGACGAGCCAGGCAGCGAGGCTGTGAGGGATCAGCACTGTGATGGATGATCAGGATCAGGGTTCAACAAGATATTAGGCGCTCCACATCCAGCATCAAATTCAGCAGCCCAATCACAATCCTCCAACCTGCGTCCTCCTGTAAATATCAAAGTTCAGCTGAAACGCTGATTGTCCGATGATCTGGGATCCTCTTAATTTAGTCCGACTTTCTCACGTCACCTTTCATTTCCAACATGTGCAAACTCTATCTAAAAGCTTCAGCCAATCAGAGCACAGATACATGTCAGAATGCCGCTATGCTAGTTAGCTAGCTCTAACAGCCATCATGGTTCTCCCAGTTCAACATAACACACTGTTGACTGAAGTGACAGATTGACTAACAGCTGAACTGCAGTCCTGTTAATTTGATTCCGACCTTTTTAAAATGGTTTTAAAACCGTCAGCAGCTCTTTGTGGTTACTCTATTAAAAAGTACAGAATGATAAAGTAGGGCAAGTCAAAGTCACGTACACTTTGATAGGATACAATACTATCTGATACAATAAGATATTATTGAATACAATACAATAGGTTACAATAGAATACAAGACAATATGATGGGGTTTAATACGACAGGATTTAAAACAATACAATGCAAGACAGGAAGATATAGTGCAGTAGCACTATGATACAGTACAATCAGACATACTTAAGTAGTAAAGTAGGAGTATCACTGTATTAGGGTGACCATATTCTGAATTCCCAAAAAGAGGACACGACTACGCGGGGGCGGAGTCATGAAGGTAGTTAATTTTGAGAGTTTTTCAGGTCAGGTCGAGTGTTTTTTACACACTTCTAACACAGTAAGTCCATGTGACACAAACTCAAAACTTCCATACAAAACCCCGGACATTTGAAGGATTTAAGTAACTCCCCTGGACAAAGCCGAAGAACCCCCAAAAAAGAGGACATGTCCGGGTAAAAGAGGACGTAAGGTCACCCTAACTATATGAATGAGGATGCCATACAATACGCCATGCTCCAATAAGATATATGATAATCTAAAATTCAACACAGTACAATACAAAATGAGCTATCCTGTGCCAAATGAGTTACCATAGTAAGATAGGATGTGATGCAGTGCTCAATGATATGGCAGGAATAAGCTAAGATTAGGTAGAAAGACAATATATGATATGATACAAATAGAACAATGCTATATGATACGAAATCAAACAATACCATACATTATGATATGGTGTAATACAATATGATACAGCATGATATTATGTCACATATTACAGTAGAGCATGATACGATAATTGGTATTCTGTATGTTGTTGTCATTGTGTGTGTTGTGAACTAATTGTTGCGTACTTGCTGTGTGTGTGTGTGTTGTAGGCACAGAATGGGTGGATCCCGAAGACCCCACAGTCATCGCAGAGAATGAGCTGCTGGGAGCGGCTGCAGCTATTGAAGCAGCTGCCAAGAAATTGGAGCAGCTGAGACCCCGTACCAAACCCAAGGTCACTGGATTAACACGCACACACACACACAGTGCACAATTCAGTGACACACAATCACACACTGACGCATGCACCAAACACACTCACCCTGATGCATGCATCTAAAACACTCTGAACTCTCTCTGAGTGTGTTGACCTCACGCAGGGTCACTCAGGTTTGAACCTGCTTGTTGAATTTGACACACAGGGATCCTCTGTCCTCTGTCTCATTATGTCTCATACTGTCTGATGATGGTCCTCTGAATAAACTCTTACCCTGTCCCCTGACTGAGTCTCTGCCTGATAATAAGGAGACCAATGAGACGCCAAACAGTGTCTCTGTTCTCATGCTATGTTTTGATTGTCCTCTCACTATGTCTCCCTCTGTCTGTCCAACAGGAGGCTGATGAGACACTGAACTTTGAGGAGCAGATCCTGGAGGCGGCGAAGTCGATCGCAGCAGCGACCAGCGCTCTGGTTAAAGCAGCTTCAGCCGCTCAGAGGGAGCTGGTGGCTCAGGGGAAGGTACGACAGAGATCAGAGCAGGGGGACGGGGGGGCAGTGTTCATCTGATAATCTGTCTGTATAATGCCCTTCACTTATTCTGGGAAACATCCATCTGTCAGCACCACCGTGCAGCAGTCTACAGACGTCCACACCCCGAACTGGCACGATAATAATCAGCCTGAAGACGGACACTCAGAGACATCTGACTTTATTTATAGAGACAAACTCTGAGCTCTGCAGCTGAGATAGACAGCATCAAGACATGAGCTTACCTGGACTCTGAGATACAGAGAGTCTGGACTGGCCTGGATCAGAAAAGATCCTTTTTCTGAACATTAAAGCGAAGTTGACCCTCCCCCACAAAACTGACAGCCATCAGGTCTTCAGACTATATCAGTGCCAAAGCAGACATCAAGCATTCAAAGTTGTCACCTGAACATAATGCTCTTTATTTTCTGTTTATTATCAATGATTTTTTTCATTAGTCATCAAGAGAGCGGCGTCCTGCCCCTCAGTTAAACCAATAAACCAATCTGAACTACAGAGGCAGATGGGCCTTCCATGTTTTACCTGTGTTACCTGTGTGTGTTTTCAGGTGGGGGCGATCCCAGCCAACGCCGTCGATGATGGTCAGTGGTCTCAGGGGCTGATCTCAGCTGTAAGTCTGTCTGTCACCAAAGTGGCTTCATTCAAACATTCAGTCATTTAATCCTTCAGATATCTCACCACTGATAACCTCTAATGACTCTGCAGGCTCGGATGGTTGCCGCAGCGACCAACAACCTGTGCGAGGCAGCCAACTCAGCGGTGCAGGGACATGCCAGCGAGGAGAAACTCATCTCCTCGGCCAAACAGGTGGCAGCATCCACTGCCCAGCTGCTGGTCGCCTGTAAGGTCAAAGCTGACCAGGACTCACAGACAATGAAGAGACTGCAGGTAATGGATTTCAGTGTCAGTTTGCAGTGTGATGAATCTGGTTCTCCTCAACCTGCTGAGATCATTATGCAAACTTACTCAGAGGAGTTAACCTGCTTCACACCTGAGTAATGATCAGAGATTTAGATTTGGACTATTAAATAAATAAAGACACAAAACATAGCAACTCTACTACAGACACACAAACTATCTGCATCACATCATAGCAGTAAATCCTCTGCATTCAGTGAACACTTAAAGTGGTGTGAACAAGTGTTTGCCACCTTCTTGATTTCTTATTTTTTGCATGTTTGTCACACTGAAACGTTTCAGATCATCAAACAAATTTAGATATTAGTGAAACACAACACAAGCAAACACAAAATGCAGTTTTTGAATAAAGGTTTTTATTATTAGGGAGAGAAAAAAATCAAAACCTACATGGCCTTGTGTGAAAACAGTGATTACCCCGGAACGTAATAACTGGTAGGGCCACCCTTAGCAGCAACAATTGCAATCAAGCTTTTGTGATAACTTGCAATGAGTCTCTTACAGTGCTGTGGAGGAATTTTGGCCCACTCATCTTTGCAGAATTATTGTAATTCGGCCACAGTGGAGAGTTTTCGAGCATGAACCACCTTTTTATAGGGTTAGGGTTAGGGATGATCTTAAACATTTAAGAGTGACAAACATGCAAAAAAAAGTAAGAAATCAGGAAGGGGGCAAACACTTTTTCACACCACTTTATATAGGACATAATGCATGTGTCAATTTATTAATTTTAAGTCCCATGATGCACCAGAACTGTGCTTAAAGTTAAAGTTTTTCCGCTGTAGGTGATGTGAAGTTTGTGAAGTTACACGCTCATATTTTACACACACATGCACATCAAATCAGACTCCTTCACCTCTAAGTTAATCTTTAGTTAATATGGGGTCTGCCTCTGTTACCATGGCAACCAGGGTCACTGTCGACCTGTGTCTGAAATAATGGAGAGGGTAATCTTCAGCTGTGTATGTGTGTGTATGTGCTGATGAACAATAACCATCAATCATCCTACAACAGCTGACACACGTGTACACACACATGCGGGCATACACACACACACACACAAACTGAACACACGCACACAGATAGTTAGAGTGTATAAATAGGTTGCAGTCCGGGTGTGTAGGGTTTCAGGTGAGCTGTAGGATCAGACAGCTGCTGTGTCTGTTATTAGCTCAGGTATCACTCACCTTTATAAATTGCTGATTTCATATCAGCCTGTTCATACTCAGAGCATGAAGCTTCGCACAGATTTACCTCTAATGTGAACATCAGGTCCAACAGTGTTTCTCCTACATTTCCCATGTTGCATCAGGTTCAGTGTTTGTGTGTGAACCTGTCTCCAGGTGAGCTTCAGGTGTAAACCTGTTATTACTGCCACTCTGTGTTAATCTGTTTAAAGTGATCTGATGCACTTAGTCTCCACCCTTATCTGAGTGTATGTTTGTCTTTATACACATGTGAGGACCACCTTTTGTATTAGGGCACTCTGACAGGTGTGGACACTTTGATGTAATGCTTGTTCTGTATTTTGAAGTCGGGTATGAACCCTCCCCCCATGCCCACACGCACACACTCAGGCGGCAGGCTTATTCGCTTTATTTCAGCCACATAAAAAACTCAGAGAATGTCCTCACACATTGCCAAAGACATCTATATGTGTGTGTGTGTGTGTGTGTTTGAGGTTTCCTTTCAGTTTATTTTGGGATACTTTGCATCAGACCAGACTGTTGTCTGCCTGAGTGATTCCCCCCCTCTGCTTTTCATATCCCCCTCCCTCAGGTCTTTCATTTTCTTACCTCAGTTGGTGAAATGTTTACATCCTCACTTCTAGTCAGACTGCATAAATACATTGTCTCATACTACTACCACTAGATGGTGCGAGTTCATGAGCCCAGTTTCAGGTTAACTGAACTTTTTACTGTAAACAACAATTACTAGCAAACCCTTAAAGCGGGCCGGCAGCTGTGTATAAGTAACAATGTAAAAAATATAAACAAACTTCAATCAAGAATACTTTTCTTAAAAGAATAGATTACTCCCATGCTGACGTGAAATGCTTGGGGTGGGGAGAGCTCACCTCCACTCTGGTTCATATGTATTCATGAAAAGCCAAAGAAAAGCAGCAAAGAACATCTGGGTACAGAACAGAGCAACATCAGTGGCAATCCATAACCCCGGTAAAATCAGACATAGTATAAAAAGGAGGAGCTGGAGTGGAGGCAGGGAGAGCAGCAGCAAAGTGGTTTGCAGAGGAAGCAGGCGGAGTAGGAGGTAGTCAGCTGATAAGAATAAGAATAACTTTATTAATCCCTGAAGGGAAATTCAATCGTCTGTTGTCTCACAAATATGTCTCTAAAAGTTATCTACTATTTACACAAGAGTTATAAAGTCTTGGATTAGAATCAACTGATGTACTTCCGTCAGAGCTTGACCTATGTGTCCTACCTGAACTAACACAGCGCTCAATTAATCAGACTGATAGACCTGTTGGCTTAGTCAACATTTTGTCAGCAGCATCTTCTTCTCTGTTTTTTTCACAAATCTCTCTGGATTGGACAGTTAAGGAGAGACAGGAAGTCTGGGTGAGCAGAAAGGGGAGGGGGCATGCAGAAAAGGGTCACAATTGGGACTCAAACCAGCCAATGCTGTGATGATGACTGAAGCCTCTAAATGTGGGAGGATAGGGGGACACATTTAAATCCTCAGCGTTGGCTTGCTGCTCTGTAGGACTCCATGAGGGCTGCCCAGACCTGTGTGTGTGTGTGTGAGTGTGTGTGTGTGTACATGGCTCAGGTTCTCTGCTCCAATCAGCAGCAGCTTATCGTCTGCTCTTCTGGGCCTGCAGCTGCTGCAGAGATAATTCCTCACAGTCAGGAGTGGAAACAATCCACAGAGAGAAACACAACACCTGACCTCTCACCACACTCTGCAGCTTCTGCACACTGAGGGAGGTTAGCTTAGCATTGGCGCAGCATCAGGCTCTGCTCACTGTGACAGGATATGAAGGGAGAAACACTTACCTGATTCTGAAATTTCTCTCAGGATCAGTTAGGTATCGATCTTTCGAGCAAGCTGAGTCAGACTTACCTGAGTCCCTTAGGTATTATCAGACAGTGATTCTGCAGTGATGTGATGCTGCAGACACCATCGGTGGTATTCTCAGGTGTCTCACCTGTCTCCTCACCTGCAGGTCAACAATGATGCAAAATCAGTGGAGGCGTTCAGATCAGGGCTGTAGACCTGGACAGCTTCATAGATTTACTGACCGCTGTACTAACCAAACCAGCTGTTGTCAGAGTATTTGGAGTCAAGAGCTGTCAGGGTCAAAGTCAGGTAAACAGTTGAGCAGGTGAACAGGATGTTTGTGGTTTCTGTCTGACACTTTGAGCTGTGTTCGGTTTCCTGTCAGTCTCTGTGGATCAGAGCAAACATCATCTCTGTGATAGGAAGTCTGTGTTTGTGTCTGCCTCTAAGAGGAGACTCTGACTCTTACTGAGATTATTACTGTGATTTAAGGTGAAATTCACCTCTTTAACATACTACCTCTGATCATATGAAGTCCTTATATTGTCATATGTATGTGAGATAAAATGCAGCTGAAAATCATATTTGATCTAAAAAAATAAATACTTGTCGACTAGATGGGGAAACTCCTTTTTGAATCTGATTAAGACATAAACAAGAAAAAGAAAGTAAATCTCCAACTCCATTTAACCTGTTATTCTGACCCTGAGAAGTTTAAACTAGTTCAGTCAGAATAATGTAAACAACTCACTGACTAAAATGACACACATACATTTAAAGCTGTAGAGACTCAAAGAGCTGCTGAGTGTCAGTCTGTCTGTTTAAAGCAGGATGTAATCATGGTTCTCATCTAAACTGATCAATAAATCAACCAGAGGTTTGAGGATGAGAGTGTATTAAAATTCTAATAACATATTTATAGATGACTGTGACGGAGCGGTTTCATGAGCAGCTGATGGAGGGATTCTGACTGACAAATATACTATACAAATATTACACAAGTATACTCACACTGATGTTAAAGCTTACAATAACAAACACTTATAGTTACTACAACACTAACAGGGACACGAACTTCAAGACTAACCGTTACCCCCCCAGAGCGGCAGCGAGGGATGAAGCTTAGCTTCTTTACCCCAGAAGGGAAAACTCTTCAGTTTGTTGAGTCGAGTTGTCCAATCAGGCGTCTGTTTGTCTCCGGGTGTTCTTCATCATCCTCGCCATCACACAGCTGCAGATCCACTCCTTTCACATGCACACACACATAGCGGTAGCTGCTTTGTTTATAGAGAGGATTCCCTTTAGAGGAGACAGAGAGAGCAGCTCTCAGAGAATGAGACTGTCAGACTGAGGATTCAGACTTTATAGAACAGGCATAAGGTGTAAGGTGTGTGTGTGTGTGTGTGTGTGTGTGTGTGTGTGTGTGTGTGTGTGTGTGTGTGCGTGTGTGTCTGTGTGTGTGTGCATAACTAAATATCTCTCTGTCTCCCCCTTGTCTCCCTCCCTACTTTGTTTCTCTGCAGGCTGCGGGTAATGCCGTGAAGCGAGCGTCTGATAATCTGGTGAAGGCGGCCCAGAAAGCAGCCTTTGACGCTCAGGACGATCAGGCTGTCGTGGTGAAGAGTAAGATGGTGGGAGGCATCGCACAGGTAAGTCACATGACACAGGTACAGGTACATGTACACGCACTACCGCTGTACTGTATGCTGTGTGTAGACCTTGAACTGAGCTGGTAAACGACCTTAATGATAAGACACAAAATAGCATCCATGATTGTGTATGTGTGTTTTTCAGATCATCGCAGCTCAGGAGGAGATGCTGAGGAAGGAGAGGGAGCTGGATGAGGCGAGGAAGAAGTTGGCGATGATCAGACAGCAGCAGTACAAGTTCCTGCCATCAGAGCTGAGAGAGGACGGACAGGAGCAGTGAGACTAGGAGAACCGGGACACCTGGACCATCAGGACCCTGTAAAACCCCAATATGACTCCCAAACACCCTGAGGAACCTACACAACCCTGTAGGCCAGCTGAAGTCCTTGTATCAGAGAGCAGATCTGTCTGTGTCTCTGTGGCCGTATTAGGACGCCTGAGCTTCATTATATCAGATATTTACCTTTATATAATGTATACCTGTCTGTATTTCTTCTTCTGTGGTGTCTGCTGCATGTTTGAGTGCAGCGGCTGTGCTCAGTATTTTCTATGCAAACCTCGATGTATGAATCTATGCACGCTCTCTATGCAGACGATTTGTTGATGTTTGAAGCCAATATAGGCTCAGAGTTTGTTAGAAACCCTTGAGTTGCCTTAAAGTTGGAAAATGAAAAAAAAAATCACCTGTTAAAAGTTTGGATCAGGAGCTCTGCGTCAGAACAAATCAGATTAAAACCTTATTTTTATAAAGACCAGCTGTTTTTTTAAAGTTTTCAGTATTGTGCCGCCAACAGCAGATTATCTGGTTAGATTATTAGATGATTAGATTTCTAGATTATTAGAGCAGTCTTTGTAAAGATGATGAAGCCATATATTTAACGTCTGTTCGACTGTTTTTGGTGCTCTGTGATCTTTCTGTGCTAACGTTAGCGGCTAATGCGTCACATGCTGTCTGATGATCACGTTACGTTCCTACTTCCTGCTTAATGATCAGCAGGTTAAATGGACCTAAAATAAAAAACTCTGTCAGTTTATAAAGTGCATCCATCATGTGTCAGGACCTGATATTATTTGCCTGTGAGAGAAACAAGCAATAACTCTGACCAATACCTGAGATCACATTCAGCTCTGATATTAAACACGTCTCTGAACTTTAACTCGTCTGTTTCTCACAGTCTGTTCACTTCAGGCTCACACTCTGACTGTTTGTATGTCATCACTGTAACAGAGATTTATATCAATAAAGTTTTCAGTCAAACACTCGCTCTGTACCTCTCTTTATCTGTCTCAGTCACCTTAACAGTCTGATCTGTATTGATGCTGCTCAGAGGGTCAGTATCCGTCACATTTGGATTGTATTCCGATGTTATTAAAGTCAAAACAGCATGATTTTATTAAATGTGTTTATTTGAATAAGGGTTCATTAATAAAATCGTGTTTTAAGTGCTTTCAGTGTTTTTTCAGGTTTTAAGTCTTAACTTTGCAGAGACTTTCTAAGGGATCAAACTTGAAAACATGCTCACTTAGTCAACACAATGTTCAAGCGCTCTCTCGAAGGATCTTGGTGAATCAATGAATAAAAATGCAGAAATCATGAAAAACAGCTCTGTTAGTAACTCCCTTCATAATCTAATCATTTATATGAATGAATAAATGTTTTTTTTGTGAGGTTTGAACCTTAAAGCCTCCATCAATGACTTCTATGTTTTTGTCAACCCCCCTGTGTTCAAAGCAGTCTCGAACTTTGTCCTGTACAAGTGGAGATAATGTTTTTTGACAAAAAATTTCTTCTGCCCTCTTTAAACAGTGAAATGTGTCACAATGATTCTCTCCTGTGTAAATTATGTAAAACAAGCGGCACACAGTCTGAACTAATGTTAAAGTAGCTTTGAAGCAGTGAAAGTATTATTAAAATTAGTATCTAGTTTATTATTAAAGTAACTTTCAAGTCGTGTAACTACTATTTATGTTACTATCTTGTAGTTAAACTATTATTAAAAGTCTCATTCTGGGATTTGAATTATGTTCAAGTAACTTTTAAGTGATTAGACTATCATTTGAGTAACTTGAGTTAAATCATCATTCACGTTACTCTTTAGTAGGTTAACTAAAATTAGAGTCACTCTCGTAGTATAATTATCAATAAAGTAACTTTCTAGTAGTTAAACTATCAACAAAGTCACTCTAGGATTTAACATATCATTGAAGTAACTTTTTAGTAGTTAAATCATTAAGTTTCATTCAAGTAACTTTTAAGTATAATAAAAGGCACTCGCTAGGGTTCAAAGTATCATTGAAGTAACTTTTAAAGTAGTTAAATGATCAGTGAAGTAACTTTTTAGCTGTAAAACAATCATCAGAGTTACTGTCTAATAGTTAAATTGCCATTAAAGCACTTTTTTAACAGTCATTAAAGTTTCTTTGTTGCAGTAAAACTATCATTAAAGTAACTTTTTAGTAAGTTAACTATTATTCAAGGAGCTTTTTATCTTAAATATAAGATAACTTTGTAGCAGTTAAACTATTACTGAAGTAACTTTCTTGCAGTTAAACTGTCATTAAAGTAACTTTTTAATAATAAAAGTATTATTGAAGCTACTTTTGAGAAGTTAAACTATCATTTAAGTTACACTCTGGCATTTAAACTATCATTAAAGTAACGTTAAAGCAGTTCAAGTATCATAAACAACTCACTTGCTAGGATTTTTATCTGTAAGAAGCTTATTTCAAAATAAATTCAGTATTATTTTTTTTACTTTAGATTGTGCAAAATGGTTAATTGGCACTCATCTCAGCTCACAATGTGCTCTTCTCTTCTCGGACAGGACACGACCCGTGACCATGTAAAGGACTAAAACTAGTATTCCACTTTTTAGTTGCGCCCTCTGGTGGCAAAGATAATTGCAATGTGACAACTTACCTGTGTGACAACAAGCCCCGGTCTCCCCTATCTACAAATGTGGCGCTATTTTCCGGGCCCCTCAGAAAACCGACCAGCCCTGTATACAGTGGGTGTGTGTGTGTGTGTGTGTGTGTGTGTGTGTGTGTGTGTGTGTGTGTGTGTGTTAGAGGGCGTGGTTATCGGTGAATCTATCAGGTAAAAGTTTCATCTGTGTACGTAAACTCCACGTCCATCTGTATCACAGACTTTTTACCTTCTTTTTTACCTTCCTCCCTCAGGTGGGTCCGCTGGGACACGTGATCAAACAGATCTGATTTATTCCTCACGTCACGCGCGCTCTACCCCCCGTGCTGCCTAAATATGGGAACGTCCTCGCGCAGATTCAGAGTAAAAAAAAAAAAAAGCTCGTGCAGCTGCCGCTCCATCCTTCGACCCTCACAGTCTCTCACACACCGAGCCGTGCGCCGCTCTCTCTTCCCGGACCTGCAGCCTTTCTCTCCCGCCGTGAGCAGCTCAGACCCACGCCAACATGGAGGCCATCAAGAAGAAGATGCAGATGCTGAAGCTGGACAAGGAGAATGCTATCGACCGAGCTGAGCAGGCCGAGGGCGACAAGAAGGGGGCCGAGGACAAGTGCAAACAGGTACCACCACACACATGAACCACCTCAGGTTAGAGAGTCAGGAGCACTCTGAGCAGGAGACACTGGGATGGGGGGGAAACAGGTGAGACTCAGGGGGTGGCCTGGAGAGGACTGAGCACAAAAAAGCTCTGAGTGTCCATCATTCTGAGCAGGTGTGTGATGTTAGAGAGGTCTTCAGAAATAGGTAGAAGTTAACACACCTTATTGTGCAGCTCAAACATCTGACCCCTGACCCCTTATTAAACTATGACACTTTGAACAGGTGTGTTTGGGAAAGCAGTAGATCACAGGTGCAGGTCACAGAAATAAAATCTAGATTTGACCTCAAATGATCTAATTAAGTAGTTAAACAGACAGATTTACGAGCTAAGGTGAAAGAGGGAGAGGTGTAATCTTAAAAGAATACAAAGTGCTTTGACAACAAACTAGACAGAATTAAGATTTATAAAATATATCAAATAAAATCCAATACTCAACATAAAGTGAACTTAAAATCATTAAATAGACTGAGAGGACTGAGTTTGTAGCTTCAAACTAGTCTGGAAATGTTTCACACGCGCGCGCACACACACGGAGACAGAGTCATGTTTTTGTTGTATCTGGATGTCTCAGTGGTGATGGATTCAGACGATGGGCTCCTCTTGGTTTGACCATAAATAGAAAACAAGCAGAGAGTCGATCCAACATGCTTCACGTCCCTACACTGGTCCATAGAAACACACTGCTGCTGTATACAGAGATAGAGAGGGAGAGTGTGTGGATGTGTGTGTGTGTGTGAAAGGGGGTTGAATCCCACCTGATCCCACCTCAGTGAGTCACTCTGATATTCATAGACAGTTTAACACACGTGTTCCTGACAATCACTTATGGTCCAGCTGTTTGAACCGGTTTAGCGTCTTTACATCGGTTTAAACTAACAAGGTTCAGACATGCAGACCTCCGCATCTCTGGCTCTAACCTCAGTCTGTGGACTAAATGATAAAATCAGTCTGGAAACTCAGTGATTTTTCTTTTGTTTTGTCCTTTAGATAAAGAGTTATGAGTTCACCCGACTGCTGAAATGTTAAAGTCCTGATCTTTTGTGATGATTGATAATAAAAATCTGTTAACTTATTATACACATGAGTAATCCTCTTTAGTTTTTAAAGCCTGGAGGAAACATCAGAACCATTTATAAATGTACGATTATTTTTGTAATTGATATGTCAGCTCTAGTCTTAGAGTGAGTGATGACAGTCGTCCTCTAAGCCAGTTTGACAGATTGTATTTACTGGCACAATAATAAAAACTACTCAGATCATAAACAGTCCATTAAAAATTCTCACTTTCTGCTAATACAGGAGGTCCTTGTGAACTGTACTTTCCTAAATGATCATAATGTTGTATTGAAGTTGACTGTAAACCAAAGACTGAGACCATAAACTCTTAACAAAATGTTTGTGAAGGAATAAAACAGCTGGGCAGGAGGACCATTTTCTCATAAACTTCCTTACCATGAGGCGCCCCCTTCTGGATATCAGCGAGAATGTGGGTTTAGAAACCTCACTGTCAGACCTGGGGGCTGTTGCCATCTATCTAAAGTACTGACCCATATGTGGTCATGTCTTTACTAATAGAGTTTCTATAATATCTTTGCTCCCCACTATTAAGCCTGTGTGTTCAGCCTGTAATATTTGGCAGCAGGTTTTTTCTGTTCAAACAAAATGCAGCTTATTGATTTCAGCGATCCGCGTCTCCATCCTCACAGTCAAATGATTCCACTCTCTGCACTTTCCAAGTTAAAAAGTTCGAGTGATGGAACGACACCAAGTTTGTCACTTTGGTGCAGGGGCTGGACCTGTAATAGCAACCTACTGAGGAACCAAAGCAAAGGACAAAGACGAGTATCACTGTGATGATGATGATGGTGATGACAATGAGGATGATTTTATGATGACAGTGGTTACGATGATAAATACGGTGATGAAGACCCTCTGTCTGTCTATCTATAACTACCGAATTAGTTTTTTCGGAGTAGGATTGTCATAACTGTTGTCAGAAGCTCTCATTCCCTCAGTGCAGTCATTAATAAATACTTTTACAGTGCAGTGCTTAAAGTATTCTTTAATATTGCAGTAGAGTTTGGGTATTATTCACAGTGCGGTAGATGATGTGTATTTTTTTTTACAGTGCAGTGAATCTATTTATTACGTTGCATTGTCTGAATTGATTCTGAAACAGTGGTGGCTGTTATTCCGTCAGAGCTGTAGTTTATCATTTATACAGTGCAGCTGGTGATATATAGTCTTGCCTGTGCAGTAGATTAAGTTCTTTTTGTTGCAGTGCACAGAGTCTATTTATTGCGTTGCATTGTCTGAATCGTCTTGCGGACAGTAGCGGCTGTTATTCCCTCAGTGTTGTCTGCAGGCCTGGGAGTGCGGTGTTATTTGAGACCGAGGCCTTACATGGAGACGGGCTGTCAGAGACACAGCGAGGACATTTGTCCGGACATTGTGATGAGGCTGCATCATTAACTATCAGCTTTTTATAGTCTGCAGCCTGTTGTTCGAATGTGAGCGACTGAAACAATCTCTGGACAGCAGCCACAACTCCAGACCACCTTCACATGGACTAGAACAAACTCAGAGATCTCTGAGAGTCGCGAGAGTAAAGACATGTATACTATGGGAATCAAGACTGTACGATAGGCTAATCAGATCATTATGAGCGTGATACTATACAGAGGGCTTAGTCAGGCTGTGTGATTCCTTATGATTCAGTTTGTGCTCAGAGAAAAACACCTCAGTTTACTGCATGACTATGGCCCCAAGACAGTAGAGTCTACACATACACACCTGAACACACCTTACTGATAAACCTAAACATACCTTACCATATCATTGTTGTTGGGTGTTAAAGAGCAGTCACAATGATGACAGGTAATAAAGCTGATCCCTTTTTTGTGCTCTCTACACCACCACATTTATTAGACTACTTAATTTCTTGTTTTCTGGAGTTTTCTGGCCCATTCCTACCTAATGTCAGTCCACCTCATCATCAATAAATACTATAAATACATATTATTTGTCCCCCCAGTTTTGACTCAGAACACCTCAGGTCTAAACTAGAAAGTTACATTTCAATTCTGTTCTTTTATATACTCTACATATTCAGTTTTTCTACAGCTGCCTTTAAAGTCTGCTTAATGCTGTAGGTGGAGCTTGACTTAAACCTGTCATATTGCTTGGACTCTTTTTGCTGTTAAATTCATGTGAGGAGTATTTGTAGTATAAATCGTCTGAGTGACCAGGATTAGTTTAGTGTCATTTGTCCTGTATGTGGCGCTGTGGTGGTGTCATTGTGTCATAAAAGTACAAACCTGTGTGTCAGTGTCTCTGTTGGGTATTAAAGCAGCTGCTCATTGTCAGACTGCTGGAAATATAACCTGGACATACTTTTGCATGTAGAAATAAAACAAAGTTATAAATAAACATTACTGTGTGTAAAAGTACTGACTTTCCTTCCTTTACCTGTGTGTGTGTGTGTACCTGTGTGTTAACCTGTGTATCCCTGTGTTTTGTGCAGCTGGAGGAGGAGTTGCTGGGCCTGCAGAAGAAGCTGAAGGGGGTGGAAGATGAGCTCGATAAATACTCAGAGTCTCTGAAGGATGCTCAAGAGAAGCTGGAGCAGGCTGAGAAGAAGGCTACAGATGTGAGTAGGGAGGGGTTAAAGGTCACATGAGTCAGATCACCTGATCACATACACCTATTATCAGTGTGGTCACATGATAGAACTTAACTACTAAGGATCTTAAACAACTCAAACCAACAGATCACCAGATAAGTAGCCTAAACTGAGTTTGTAATATACCATCATAGGAGCGTTATTGAATCATCATTAAGTTTAATCTACCACAAGGTCCATAGTATACCATAAATTCCTCTACAATACTATTAAAAGGTCAGTAACTAACCGTCATTAGGGGTAGAATATATCATCATCTATCTATAATATACCAGCATTGTTTGTAATACACCATCATTAGGCCTCTAATTAACCATCTTAAGGCCCCTTATAATATACCATTGTAAGGTGTATGTGATACCATTATAAAGTCTATAACATTCACTAATTTCCCAGTGAATAAATCATCATACACACTTTTATAAATTCTTACATGTACTGTCATTAGACCTTTAAAATATCATCATTAGGTGTGTTATAAACCACTAGTTTGTCTGTAATGTAACATTATAAGGTCGATTGTATACCATCATTGGATTTATAATGTACTATCATTAGGGTAAACGTATACCATTGTTAGGTCTGTGATATTCTAAAATGTACAATTATCTAGTCTAAAAAATACTGTCTTAAAGTCTATGGTAAAACGTGATTTAGCCAATGATATACCCTCTTTCAGTCCATAATATACTATGATTTAGTCACTCATATACCATCTTTTAGTCTATAGTATACCAGCATACAATGAATAATAAAGCATCATTTATATATCATACCGTTATTTTGTCTATAATTTCTATAATCCATCACTTTTTGGTCAAAATTCACCATCTTTAGTCAATAATATACCAATCTTTGATCTATAATATACTATCTTTAGTAGATAATATACCATGATTTAGGTCATACATGTTATAAATGTCTTACTTTTGAGCTTTTATTTGGTTTCTGGGTTTTAAGACCCTTTTACTTCATCTTCATTGTTATAAATATTAGACACACAGATGGATGGGCTCCAAACAAACTTGACAGTATCTCTGATGTTGTGGTGTTATTGTCTAGTTTATCTCTTTATCACTATAAAAGAGATTTTTTTATTATTCAGATTTATAGGATATTTTACATTAAAAAAGTCCTTTTATTTTTAAAATGTTGATGTTTAAGGGTCAATTTTCCTCAGTGTTTGTCTACTCAGGCAAAGTTTGGTCCCTCTGTGCTCTCAGGAAAAATCCTCTGAAAACACTGAATAGATTCTCTTAACATTAACTGTCCCGATATCTTAACCACAGACAGATTTTCTATAAACACTGCAGTTTATTTCAGCTCTGTGTGTGTTATTAATCAGGGCTGATGCTCAGGATGTTCTCTGTTCGGATATTTAAACATGTCTGCAGGCGTGTCAGAGTTTCTGACCATGTATAGAACAGGAACGCAGGAGGAGAGGGAGTCTTAATCCTGAGAGAGGAGTAAGACCTCCCTCGAAAGATTTTACCAAACATGGATAAGAACCAGAGAGAGCCAGGCTTAAAAACCACAGTCTGCAGGGCCAATACAGCGTAAATACCCAGCTATTCAAACAACATCTCAACAAACTACTATTTTACATAGAAGTCAACAATATAAGTAACAGTTAAACAATTTAACCACCATCACATCAAACCTCAGCAGATTATGAGTTTATAAGTTTTTAGAAACTAATTCAGCTCTTAAACAGATTAATCTGCAGAATAAATTCAGACTGCGCTCAGAGCTGTTTTGTTAAGGGAGCTAATAAGTAGTGATATTTATGAAAGAGCCGACTGACTCACTAAAAGGTCGAGTTAAATCATTGACTGCCTGAAAGAGTCGAGTTAAATGAACCGACTCTCCGGAAAGGGCTGGACCTGTAACCTGAAGAAGAAGCACATGTTGACTCTGTTGCTGTGGAGACAGGTAGAGTCAGGTGAGCAGCGGCAGCAAAGGTGAGTGCAGGTAGACATGATGGCGGCCTTCAGCTCCATAGAATCGGTCCGCAGAAAGATCCAGAGTCTGCAGCAGGTGGCCTTTGAGGCTGAGGACCGAGCCGAGATGCTGCAGGAGGAGGCCGACATTGAGAGGGCGGCCCGGGAGAGGGTAACACACCTGAGAGCCGTACAGTTAATTGAAAAAAATACATTTAATCTATTTTGTCTATGCAAATATAAATATCAGGACACGGCGTTCATGGAGAGACGGGTTACACACCTGAGAAATATACTGTTTATGTTTAAGTTGTATTTATTTAATGCATCAATTTCTAAATATGTGGATCAAGAGCAGAGGACACAGAGAGGGTCAAACACCTGAGAATAAACTCTAAATGTATTGAAATATATTCAATCAATCATCCATTTTTTAATATGTGTAAAGAACAAGAGGAGACGAAGAGAGGAGTTGACAAATCAACCAAACTAAAAACTCGGGTATACTTGAAATCAGGAGCTAAATTAAACCTGATGAAAAAGGAAGCACAGGAGTGAAGAGTGAAGTTTTTGCAGCCTCACGAAGCCTTCTCTCAGCTTCACTGGGATAACTGTGTCTGTCCATGTCTGTTTGTCTGTCCTTGTGTGTGTGTGTCCTTTAGGCAGAGGCGGAGGTGGCTTCCCTGAACAGGAGGATCCAGCTGGTGGAGGAGGAGTTGGACCGAGCTCAGGAGAGGCTGGCAACAGCGCTGCAGAAGTTGGAGGAGGCAGAAAAAGCTGCAGACGAGAGCGAGAGGTGAGCACGTCTGTCGATGTTCATGTTACTCACAGATATGCTCAGGTACACTCACACTAGAATCTGGATCAGGTGTGGTATACCTGACTGAGTTGTGAAGTCAGCCTTCACTCAGACTGTGATAAGCAGGTAAAAGGAGCTCGCCTGTGGGCTGACCACCTGTCAGACATAGTTCATATATCTCTTATGTTTTATTTTGGAGGTATTGTGATATTGTAATTATGTGTCATGGTTGAAGTATTTTGATATATGGTAATATGTTAAAGTTTTTCAGATACACACTGTATCACACTTAGATATTTCAAAAGCTACACACAGCTTAATGTTTCTACAGACTGACACACGGGCTAAATTAATCTGTAACTAAATCAATCTGAACTAATATCACTCTTACACCCTCCACCCCACCCCATCTCCTTCCCTCCTTCTCCTCCTTTCCCCCTTTTTTACCCTTCCTCCTCCTCCCTCTCTCCCTACTCCTCTACCTCTCAGAGGAATGAAGGTGATAGAGAACAGAGCGACTAAAGATGAGGAGAAGATGGAGATCCAGGAGATGCAGCTAAAGGAAGCCAAACACATTGCAGAGGAGGCTGACCGCAAATATGAGGAGGTGATCATAGACACCACACTTCCCTACACAATATTACACTACTACACTCTACTACACAATACGACACAATCAGACCAGACAATAATACACAGCTTTGCTCTTTGCTCTCATGGGTGACAAGTCGAGACTACAGGCAGGCCAGTTTTAAAGTTCTTTACTTTTACAAGTTGTTTAAAAGTTATTGCTGCATCTTAAAGACAATGTCATAAAGATGTCACCTTGCGAATACACTGCAGAGAGAGAGAGAGCATACATTGCAAACCCACTTTTTGCGTCTCTGAGCAGCAGGACTCTTCTACTACTGAGCCATGCTGTTGTAATCCCTGCAGAATGTGGTTTGTCATTGTTTTGCTGAAATATGAAGGTCTTCCCTGAAAATGTCTTGGTCTAGATGGCAGCATATGTTGCTACTAAACCTGTAGATATTGTTCAGCAATAAAGAAGCCTTCACAGATGTTGAAGATACCCATGAACACTTATGATCCCTATATCATCAGGGATGATGACTTTGAACTGTGAGCTGATTACAAGACAAGTGGTCCCTCTACTCTTCAGAGAGAAGGATGTAGTGTCCATGACTTCTGTCCACAGGACAGTTTTCCTCTTCCCCTCCGTCCATCTTGAATGGGCTCAGGCCCAGGGAAGTCTCTGGTGTTCCTGGATCATGTTTCTATCCGGTTTCCTCTTTGCACGGTTCAGTTTTAACCTCATTTGTGGAAGCAGCGATGAACTGTGTTCACAGACAATGGATTTTTAAGTGATTTTGAGTCCATGCTGTGATTTCCACCACAGAGTCCTGTCTATTTTCAATGTAGTGCTGCATGAGGGCCTGAAGATCAGGTTCATCCAGTCTTGGTTTTGGTCCTTGTCCCTTTAGTACAGAGATTTTTCCAGATCTTTTAATGATATTATATTCTGTAGATGATGAAATCCACTCATTCTTTCACATTTAACACTCAGGAACATTATTCTGAAACTGTTAAACTATCAGCTCACACAGTCTCTCACAGAGTGGTGAACCTCTCTAAATGTCATGTTCCTAACCTGTTGGAAATTGACTTGTGTTTATGTGTGTGTCTGATGTGTGTGTGTGAGTGTAGGTTGCTCGTAAACTGGTGATTCTTGAGGGGGATCTGGAGCGTTCAGAGGAGCGAGCTGAGGTGGCCGAGGCGTAAGTTTACACACTTGAGACACCTGAGACTCTCTGCATTATACATGATGTCATAGTACAGGTCATGTGACTGCTGCTGTCAGAGCCCAGGTCATGTGATCTTTACCCTGTGAAAGGTGTACCTGCAGCAGGTCAGACAATGGCTGCGTACCTGAAGATGGTTTCTGATTGGTTCTGTGAACGGCTGTTTCTGATCAGCTGGTCATTTCTAATAATCTGAATGGTTGATTATTAAACTGTCTGACAGCAGAAACTTACCTGGTTATGTGACAGCATCACCTCTCTTACACTGCATGGCTGAAACTAACACACCCACACACCCGAGTGTACGATAGAGGACTGCATGCTGTGGACTCACCTGTTCAGCTTGTTGAGTTTGTCTAATCCTGACTAACCCCCCTCCCAGCAGAGTGAGGGATCTAGAGGACGAGCTCAGACTCATGGACCAGAACCTGAAATCAATGATGTGCGGAGAGGAAGAGGTACTGATCCTAATCCTAAACCTAATCCCACACCGTATCCTAAACCTGATCCTAATCTTAAACCTAATTCTGATCCTAAGCCTGTTCCTTATCCTAAACCTGGTCTTGATCCTGATCTCAAAATCAATTCTGAAGCTAAGCCTGATCCTTATCCTGTTCTCTACCTAAACCTGATCTGGATTCTAAACCTGATCCTTAATCTGATTCATATCCTAAACCTGTTTCTTCATCATGTCCTTACCCAAACCTGGCCCTGATCTGATTCCAGATCATATCCTTATCAGATTATCATCATTCTTGCTCTTATCCTGACCACCATCCCAGTCTTAATCCTTATTCTGATCCTCAGATGATCCTGTCTCTGTGTTTCTAACCTATTCTGTTGTGTCTCTGCTGAAAACAATCTAACAGCTTCTTTTTTATTTTCTGTTACTGAGGATTAGGACAGAGGACGACAGCACAGAGACGTTAAAGCCCTTATAAGGATTTTTTTTTACATTTATGAAATAGATTGAGATTTGCGTTGATACCTTTTAGTGATATGCAAAAATTAAACAAGACCATCAGCAACAAGACTGAAGATTTTTTTATCCCTGTTTTGAATTTTAAACCTTTTTCTTTTCTTTTCTTTTTTTTTTTTTTTTTTTTTTACAATTTCTACATAAATATTAAGAATTAACGATATATTTGACTGTCAAAAATCAGAAGGATCAGATTAGCATGTGGTGGACCAGATACGCAATAACTGCTCGTTCCACAGGGGGGTGCTAAAATAGACACAAACAAAAAGTCCCTTACAAAATCTTCAGTTTTTACATGTAAACGTTAATATATAGTGTTTGGAAGAGTTTGGCGTCCCTTGTCTGTATTCGAAAGGCTTCGAAAGGTATATATTTATAAGAGCATTAATGTGAAAACAGTGAGTCACACTGATGTAAACAGAGCCCATCAGTTCTATCATTTTAACACTTAAGTCATTTTAACTCCAAAATCATTTTAACCCTTTCATCATTTTAATCCTTTCATCGTTTTAACTCTCTGAGGAAGAGACAGACTTTGAGCTTCAGCTTTCTCAAAACTCTTTTCTTTGTCTTTATCCTCACTTTCTTCCTCTTCCTCTTCCTTCCTTTCTCCTCTCTTTTCCTCCTCCTTCTCCCCCCTCAGTAAATCAGGTGATCTGGAGGAAGAGCTGAAAAATGTCACCAACAACCTGAAGTCTCTGGAGGCTCAGGCAGAGAAGGTACTTTAAAGACCGACAAAGCCTGAGAGCCCACACACACACACACACACACACACACACACACACACACACACACACACACACACACACACACACACACACACAGTCTTGGTCTGTACTGATATATAACTTTAAACACACTCTCAGAGTCTGTATCTGAGTGAGGAGAGCAGACTGTGCTCAGACTGAGATTGTGTTTATTCACACTGTTTAAAATATATATGTGTGTGCGTGTGTGTGACTGCTGATGTTGATAGTTGTCTGAAAGTTGGTGTTCAGAGTAAACAGTTTGAGCCTCTGAAAAAAAACAGATCCAATCTCACAGCAATGAATCACTTAGCGACTCTGACTCACACTCATCTGTTTCCATCTTTTCTATTGCGATGAATAATGTGTGTGTGGTTGTGTGTTACAGTACTCACAGAAGGAGGACAAATATGAAGAGGAGATCAGAGTCCTCACTGAAAAACTGAAAGAGGTAAAATCATCATCCAGAGCCTGTGAATTTAGGATTATATTCATATTTTTTTGTGTGTTTTTGTGAATAATTTTTCTGTGTTTCAGACTGTTACCTGTCCTCACACTCTCTTCTTTAAATACATTTCTTTGTACTGTGTTAATGCTGCATAGCCCCCTGCTGGCTTGAAGATGAACTGCAGACTGACTGACATTAATGTCCTCTTAGCGTGAATACTACTGATAATCAACTGTGTTTACTCTCTCTCTCTCTCTCTCTCTCTCTCTCTCTCTCTCTCTCTCTCTCTCTCTCTCTCTCTCTCTCTCTCTCTCTCTCTCTCTCTCTCTCTCTCTCTTTCTGTCTGTGTATGTGTGTTCAGGCTGAGACTCGTGCAGAGTTTGCAGAGAGATCTGTGGCCAAACTGGAGAAGACCATTGATGATCTGGAAGGTAAAAAAACTCTCTCTGAGTTTGTCTGTGGTTATTTCTGTCCAAGTGAAACACCTTTACTCAGGGGTGGGGATCACAGGGCTGCACGGTTGTGCACAGATGTTCAGTGTGAGAGGAGTGAAGACCCGCCTCCTCTTCCAGACTGAGACCTGAGTACAGAGACCTGATTACAGACTTCATCATACTGAGAGTTCTGCCTGTAGATCCAGGATTTCTTTAAAATTTAGTTAAATTGAAACAGACCTCTAAAATTATTCCAGATTATTTAGGTTAATCCAGTTCACACAGGTTAATCAGATTACTCAGATTAGTCAGGATCACTGATATTACTTTAGATCACTTAGATTAATCCAGATAATTTAGATCAATCAAGATCACTCAAATTGTTCCAGAATTTAATCCAGATCCCTAGATTTAGTCCAGATCATTTATCTTAATCCACATCACTCAGATTAAAACAGATTACTAAAATTATTCTAGATATCTCAAATCAATCTAGATAAATCCAGTTTTTCCAGATCATTTTAATGAATCCGGACAATTCAGCTCAAACCAGATCAGTCAGATTTATCCAGATCACTCAACTAAATCCAGATTACTCTGATTATTCCATATTACTCAGATTAATTTAGATTATTCAAACCAATCCAGATCACATAGATTAATCCAGATAATTTTGATCACCAAGAGGGTAAAGTTCAGTCGAGATCCTTACTTAGATTTAGATCACAGATCACAAGATCACATAGAAAAATCCAGATCAGTGGAACCAGAGATACTTTGAGGATGATTAAATAAACCAGCTGTCTGATGTTATTCTATCAGTCCTTCAGTTTGAACCTTTTAACTGTTTTTTTCTCAATTTCACTTCCTGTTTTTCCACTTTCTCCTTCCTTTGTGTGTGTGTGTGCGTGTGTAGATGAGGTGTATGCTCAGAAGCTGAAGGGTAAAGCTCTCAGCGAGGAGCTCGACCTCGCCCTGAACGACATGACCACCCTGTAGCTGCTCACTCACTGCCTCACCTGCTGTCCTCACCTGCTCACTGCACCTGTGTTTTCATCCTGTCTTTCTCTTGTGTGTGTATGTTTTTGTGCGTGTGTGAGTGCGAGAGTGTTGTCTGATCACGTTAGAGCCCCTCCTCTGTAATAAATCTATTAAAGCTCTCCGACTTCCTGTTTCCTCCTGTCTTCTTCTTCTTCTTCTTCTTTATATTTTTAGTCATTGCTGTTTTTGCAGACTGTTGTTAGACCATAACAGATAGATGCAGTAAATTTATTCATTCTCAGTTCCCAGTTACTTCAAATGTCTTGACAAAGTTTTTTTGTTTGTTTTGTAAGTTAACCTTAAAAAGGTCAAATTTCATGTATTCACTGTATGCATGGTGGAATATCTGCAGCCTTTTTCTATTTTTATGTTGATGATTTGGCTCCTGAAAATTAGAAATTCAATATTACAAATAAGAATATTTTCCGAGATCAACCATAAAACAAAGATATGTCCCTCTTCTGTAAAGTTCCTTCATTTCTTCCCTCTGTCTTTAGTTGGGACTCCTTTCATATGATTTCCTACATCAGTGTGATGTGTCGGTGATCAGCCTGTAGCTCAGCTGGGGTGTTACTGAAGTCCAACATGCTGTGGGAGCTCCCACTTGATAGCTGATTTTTCTCACCTTCCTCTGACAAATATCCAAAAGATTCTCTCTGTGGTTCACCTTAGGCCAGCTGGGTAGACAATCAAGCACAGTAAGATAATGGTTGGTTAACCATTTGGTAGCCATTTTGGCACTGTGGGCAGGTGCTAAATTCAGCCGGGTAAAGAAATCTGTATCTTCCAAAGCTTGTCAGCAGATGAAGCATGAAGTGCTCTAAAATCTCTGAAGGACGGCACACCAGAATCCTCACAGACTGTGGAAACTTCACACTTTGTTCTAATGAAATGGACACTATATTTGTATTTCTCACACTCACCACCACCTAATGTGTCTTCAATAGTTAATCTAAAGTTCAAAAATCATTAAATAATGATTAAATAAATAAAGAAGCTTCCTGACAGTAGAGCTGATGGCAGAGCGGTTGGTTTGGGATGCTTAGGTGTTCCTAATGTTATGGCCGACCTGTCTAAAAGAGAGAGCAGTGGTTGGAGCGGATTTCTTGATGATGTAATGTCATAACCTGTCCAGCAGAGGGCACTTGGGGACAGGGATGTCTCAAGGGTTTTCGTTGACTACGCTAAATAATAACAATAACATATCACAATATTTTCTCCTCAGATACAACCGGACTGAAAGAGATACTGAGGGGATACATGATGAATGAGTGAGTGAGTGAGTGAGTGAGTGAGTGAGTGAGTGAGTGAGTGAGTGAGTGAAAGGATAAATGAACGAGTAAATAAATAGAATATAACAAGTCAAAGGAGAAATTATTTTGAAATTATGGAAGGAAATTGTGATTATGTATTTATTTGTTTATCTATCTATCTATCTATCTATCTATCTATCTATCTATCTATCTATCTATCTATCTATCTATCTATCTATCTATCTATCTATCTATCTATCTATTAATTTGTTTGTTTGTTTTAACCAGTTCAAGTCTCACACAGAACAGACCTATATATCTGTGCCGCCTGCCTGTGCTCTGAGCAGGTCTCACCTGTGTCTTTCCTCCTGCAGAGAAACTGGCTCAGGCCAAAGAGGAGAATCTTGATATGCACCAGGTCCTGGACCAGACCCTGCTGGAGCTTAACAACATGTAGACATCTGATCCCTTACCTGATCCAGACCTGATCCAAACTTAATCCAAAACTTAATCAAACTCTTCACCAGTAACCTGCCCAACAACCTTACCAGACCTGTCCAGGTATGTGTGATCAGATGTTTAAGCAGGTTTGCGATCAGATGTTTGATCAGGTGTTGGTTGACTGTTTGGTGGACAGATGGACTCAAAGAGAAGAAAAGGGTTAAATTTGAGCTGTAGCTCCAGAGTTCATGTTAAAATCAGCTGTTTTATAAAAACATGTTATTCTGAGGATTTGTTTCAGTCAGAGAACAAATAGCTGCTCTACATAATTAAACTCTGTTTATTAAACTGTTTTTATCAATAAAAGTTCCTGTTTTCACCAAAAATGTCTCATCTCCTCTGAAGGTTCATCATTTCACTTTCAAGATCATCTTAAATAGAAGTTTGTATTTGCAGTAAAAGCTTAAAGGTTCTTGCTTCATCTAAAAGCTCTAATCTTCACCTAAAAGCACCGAACTTTACCATGCTAAACTTGATTAACAGGTCTGATCAGCAGTGAAATTTTCTTCTTTGGAAAGTAGTTCTAACAGTTAGTAAAAATAATTATTGGTGAATATAAAGATGAAATGAAAAGGAAGAAAGATATCAGTGAAAGATGTTATTTTCAGTAAAAGGTTATAGATGTGGTCTTCGACGGACCGACCCAATACTGACTTGATCTGCACGTCTTTTCGACATCCAATGTTTGGTGGTTCAGCAGAAAAGTATCAGTCCCAACTCCAAGGCCATACAAACAAAACAGATATGACTCTGCAAGCATTCACACCAAGTGATTTTCAGTAAATGATGATTAACATATGTATATAATGATAAAATACACATGTAATAGCATACGCATACAATATTTCTTTCATTTTTAAAGTAAATTAAAAGGAATTATTCTCAGGGATTATTATTCATCATCCCTGAGTTTTCATGGCAGGAATTCTTTGACTGGCAATTTCTGAATTTTATCAGTAGGTTTTATACCAGAAAGATTAGATTTTTTTAGAAAGTTTGATTGTGATTCAGAGCTTCTTATCAATGAGAACTTTTTTGGTCAGATGTCTCACCTTGAGTTTCAGCTGTGTTAGCAACTGTGTTAATAACCATTTATATTCTGGGAAATTATAAATGTTTATTTATACTTAAACAAATTTAAATATAGGGTAAATATAAATAAATATAAATAATGTGAGATCTGAGCTCACTTCCAGCCAAAGCTGTCATTGGCTTTTACAGATTTTCTTGTCAATGTCAATGTCAGTTTTATTTGTATAGCACATTTAAACAGCCAGTGGCCTACCAAAGTGCTTTACAATAACAATATCTAGTTTCAACCTTAAACAAACTGTTTACAGTGTCATTGAATAGTAAAAGCCTGAATTATGTTTGTTATTCATTTGTATTTGTTTAATAGTACAAAAGAATCACACTGAAGAGTCACTGACACACTAACCTGTCTCACCTGTTCCCACCCATCGTAAGAATAAGAATAACAAGAAGAACTTTATTTGTCCAAAAAGAAAAAATCAATGAAAAAAAAAGTCTGTCTATAAACATGTAAATATATTAATGTGTTTGTTTTTATGTGTAAACAATGGAAGTAGTCTCTGACATTTATTTTGAAGGGTTGAAGAAAAATCTGTGACAGTGAAGAAATAAAGATAACACTTGTAACTGAAACTTTATCGGAAATCCTTTTCTGAGGTATTAACAGCAGCTCAAACAAACAATCAGCATTGTCAGCATACTTAAGTCCTGAATCAGCCTCGAAGCCCTGCACTCTGTCTGCTCAGTGTGTACGTGCAGGTCAGGGACCGCTCGGACTCAACATTTAGTTCATAAGGGAGGGTGGGCGTGTCTAGGAGGGCGGGGACATACTGGAAAACAGCCGTAGGAGGCGGGCACATTGCCCTGCGTCACGCTGAGCACTTAGCAGATCTACAAACAGTTCTCAAACAGAAACTCTGAACATTGACGCTCAGAGGACCATCCACAAACTGCGAGATCATGTGACTGTGACGCAATGCGACACCAGACGGCTCTGACGGGAAGTGGGCGGTTCTTCTTCGGAACAGGGACGGAATGCTGTTCGCAAACATTTACCTAACCTGTTTAAAGTGAATGCTAGCCGTTAGCTTTGAATATAAACGCTTTAATGTGAAACAGACTGTAACAGGGGACACAGGTGAACACAGGTGAGCACAGACAGGTGAGTTTTCACTGGAAGGTTCTTACTGCGGAAATAACATGGCGTTAGCAGGCTCGGGCTAACGGTAGAGCTAACGTGATAAACAGTCGGATGTAAGCCACATTCGGCTAACTCACTGAGATCAGACCAGGAGAGACGCTATAAAACATCGAATTATTGTTATAAACTATATTATTTACCGCTTTAAAACATCTGATGATTAAGATTATCTAATATAAACTGCTGCAACACAGTCTGTTTATATGATAATCTATAGTACGCTGCTATAATACTGAGAGAACAAACTCTATGAACATAAAATAATCTACGATAGAGACTAATATAATCCAGTCTGTTTATTCAATAATTTATGATAGAATCTGAAGTAATCCAGTCTGTTTATTCAATAATTTATGATGCAATCGACTATAACCCAGTCTGCTCATAATTTATAATAAACTATAATATAATCTGCTATTACATAGTCTTTTAAATGTTATAATACGGACTGTTACAATCCAATCTGTTTATGTAATAGTCTGTTCTAATCTGCTTAAATCCATTCTCTTAATATTTATAATCTATTTTTAATAATCTAGTATATTTTAATAATCCAAAATACAATCTGTTGTAATCTGGTCTACTATCTGCAAAGGGGCCTGTGTTTGTATAACCACTTGTAATTCAGTCTCTGCAGTGAAATCTTGTGATGTCAGGTATTCTCTTGGTATGATGTGATTTTGTTAAAGTTTGACGTCTCCTGTCCTCCTCTGTAGGTTCTCTGATCTTCGTCATCGTCACCATCATCACCATGAAGACAGTCATAGAGATGCTGTTGTTGGCTTCTCTGATGCTAACATCAAATGCTGGTCAGTAACATCAACCTTTAACTAAAAAGTCACACCTTTGAATGTTTCTATACATGCGTCCTACAGTACGATCTATACACACACACACACACACACACACACACACACACTAACATGAACACAAGTGAATATTTGCATCATGCTGTTCTCACCTGCTGTTGTTTGTTCTTACCTGTTATAACACATTGAAACCTGCTCACAGCTGTAGTGGCACATTTGAATTTGTTCTTACCTTTTATAACACTTGTGACCCATCATAGCATGCTTAAACCTGTTCTTACCGGTTATAACATGTTTGAACCTGTTCTTACCAATTATAACACATTTGAACCTGTTCTTACCGGTTATAGCACGTTGGAACCTGTTCTTACCAATTATAACACATATGAACCTGTTCTTACCGGTTATAGCACGTTGGAACCTGTTCCTACCAATTATAACATGCTTTGATCTGTTCTTACCGGTTATAACACATTTGAACCTGTTTTTACAGGTTTTAACACGTTTGAACTTGTTCTAACCAGTTTTGACACGTTTGAACCTGTTCTTACAGGTTACGACACATTTGAACCTGTTCTGACCAGATACAACATGCTTAAACTCATTCTTACAGGTTACGACACATTTGAACCTGTTCTAACCAGTTATAACACGTTTGAACCTGTTCTGACCAGCTATTACACATTACCGCAACCTGCACTGTCTACCCTGGTTTCAGACACATTGGTAATATAATTCACAGAGTGTCTTTGTTGTTCTCATGGTTTCTGAGTTAACTGCTTAAAGAATAAAGGGAACACTTAAATCCCTATTTTCTAGATCCGGATGAATGAAATTGTTATATGAGGATAAATCTTCATTCATCATATAGTGTTATTCATTTGGAACAATACAACATTAGAACCATCGATGGAAACTGAACTTTTTAACCCACTGACGACTGGATTCAGACTCAACCTCAAAATCAAAGAGGAAAATTAAATCATAGGCTGATCCAGCTTAAGTGAATTTCCTTAAGACAACTCAGAATGTGGTTCAGTAGTGTGTACGGACTCCACATCTCTGTATGCTCTCCCTACAACATCTGGGAGTGCTCTTGATGAGACGTTGGATAGTCTCCTGGGGAATCTCCTCCCAGACCTGGATCAGGGCATCAGACAGCCCCAGGACTGTCTGTGGTGGTGGCGTAAGGAATAGTACATGATGACCCAGAGGTACTGGATTGGATTCAGGTATGGGGAACGGGTAGGTCAGCCAATTGCGTCAATGCTTTCATTATCCAGGAAGGGATCTCATCCTGATACCTAACAGCTGTCAGGGTCCCACTGGCTAGCACATGTTGGTCCGCTTCTCCAGACCACCACTAACCCACCTCCAAACCTGTCATACTGGAGAATGTTTCAGGCAGCAGAACATTCACTACAGCACCTCCAGAATCTCTCACGTCTGTCACATGTGCTTGGTGTGAACCTGCTCTCATCTGTGAAGAGAACAGGAAGCCAATGACAAAACTACCACTTCTCACTGCTCCCACTTGTAGATGTGGGGCCCTACTGCCACTCTCATGAAGTTTGTTTCTGACAGGTTGGTTAGAAACAAACCCACAAGTGTCCTGCTGGAGTTCATTTTGTAGGGTGGTTATATTTGTTTCTCCTTAAATAAAGGAGCAGGTAGTGGTCCTGCTTGGTTGTTGCCCTCCTACGGCCCCATCCCCTTCTCTCATAGTGCTTCCTAACTGTTCCCTTTAATTCTATATTTATATTAATATTTTCCATGTTTTTCTTGATGTGTGTCCAAGCAGACAGGCAGAACCACCTGCTGACCTTCCCTCAGTCTCCAGTGGTGGAAGTAGGGTCAAACTTCACGGCTACCTGTGTAATCATCAACACAACGGAAGTGGTGGCAGACGACCTTTACTGGAACCTGTCAGAGACTACATTACCCAGAGAGTACTACACCAAGATCAACAGCTCCGCCCTCAGTGTGACCTTCACTGTCACCTCAGAGAAATCGGAGTGGCTCTACTGTCGGTGCTCAAAAAAGTCTCTTAAAGTTTTCTTCAATGACGGACGCTACATACACGGCATCTACCTTCTCAAAGGATGTACGTTCTTATTTCATCTGCTCCTATAATTTGTCACAGCATGTAACACTGCAGTTTATTAATGTCTAACACGAAACCCAAGCCGTAACAGAACATAAATATCATTAACAGAGAGTTGAAAAAGTCGCTGTACCTGTCGACTCTGACCTATTGCAGAAACACTGAGCTATGCATGTTTAGCTGATTTGAATATGAACTGATACAGAAGATAAACTTGTGTGTGTGTTTGTTTGTCTGTGTGTGTGCGCAGATGCTGTGCAGCAGCCTGTGAACCTGTCCTGTGTGGCTGTTCAGATAGGCAGGTACATCTCAGAATCAATCCGCTGTTACTGGAACTACACAGGACGCCAGACGGCAGATGTTCCTACAAATTTCATCGTCAATGTTAAAAGTGCAACGTAAGTGTATACACACACACAATGACACATACACCGTCACACCTACAGTATGTTACTGTGATAGACGAGGATACAAAACAGTTAGATGATTGAATAATCACAGTGTGTCCCCTTTGTTCAGGTTGTATCATAATGTTAATCTCATTCACTCTTAGTAATCTTGATTGATCTTTGAAGGGGGGGTGTTATGCATTTTTTTCAGACTCCACATTTCCTTTCTCAGACCTCTTTAATAGCTTAACATGATTTTCAGATCAAAAAAGCTTCAAAGTTCTCACAGTGATGTATTCAGTGTCCGTCTGAAACGCTTCGTTTTAGCTGCTGTCTCTTTAAGGCCCCCCTTCACAAGCCCACTTTCTTTTGTTTGGCCACCTCTCTGGGGACTTTCCAGAAACTGGCTGAGGGCAGAGCTCGATGTTTTGGCCCCGCTCTTTCTATTGGGGTTGATCAGTTGGGCGGCAGAGTGCGTTACCCCCATAGACATCATATATGTATAAATTTGTGTATATTATGTCTATGGTTACCCTGCTATGCTGTGGGTGTCACCTCACACGCTCTTGGAGGCAGGCCATTCCGCTTTGTCAGAAGCTCAGATGAACCAGTAAGGAGAGCTTATAATTCTTACGTCAGAATTTTAGTTGATCTCGCACATGAACTACCGTCTCGTATTTGTCCGAGATTTAAGCAGTGAACACCAAACTCGCATTTTTTTGCATTTGCATTTTTTATTTAAAATGTGGAAAAGCATAATACGCCCCCCCCCCCCCCCCCCTAAAGCTGCAGGTAGAGCTCTCAGGTGTGATGAAGCTTTTGTTAGTAAATTAATAAATCTTTATTTAAAAACAAATGTTATCTCATGATGTGAACAAAATAGCTGGTCGAGACTATACTCTTCATGTTGACCCGATGTAAAGCTGGGATAGGACTGAGTCCCATCTTGTAAGATCAGACCCACTCTGATCCACCTTCACCCGAACAAGTTTAGTTCTTTAGAGGAAAAACCTCCTTTAACAGGCAGAAAGCAGAACCAGGCAGAACCAGTCTTGTGTTAGACAGTCATCTGCTGAGATTGTGCTGGGATTAGAGAGAGGATATAGACAAACTACAACAACAATAGTACATACAGATGTGTGTCAGAGATAATTTAGCAAATATGTACTGTTTACAGGAACTGCTGGTAATGACACTAGACTGAACTTAGTTTGATTTATGAAAAATTAATAAACCTGTTACTCTATGTGTGTGTGTGTTCGTCCTCAGCAGTCAAGAGAATCATACCTCCACCCATGAAACCACAGCTGAGGTGGTTCTGGGACCATTCCCACATTACTTTACCATGGAGGTGTGGGTGGTGGCCGAGAATAGGCTGGGGAGCGTGGAGTCAGAACACCTGAGAGAGGACGCTAGCTGGTTCGGTGAGTTCACACTGACACACCTGAGATGTGAAACCCTACAGGTACTTACCCTCTCTGAGACCTGAGTACAGCTCAGAGCTGGACCTGCAAGAAGAGGATGAAGATGATGATGATGATGGTGTTTAAGATAAGGATGATGATGGTGTTAGTGATAGAAACGATGATGGTCTTAATGATGGTAATGATGAGGATGGTGACAATGGTGATGAAGATTAGCTTTGTTTGTTTCATTGTTGTTTTCCAGTGAAGACCAATCCTCCATCAGACGTGTGGGTGATCTCTGAGCCGGGTTTTCACTCCTCTCTGCTGCTGAACTGGACCCACCCCATCAACCCCCTTTACGTCAGGTTGATCTACCAGATCAGATACGCACCGGAGGGAGCACACACCTGGACCTATGTCAGTTCAACAAATGTTACCGTCTGTATTTTAACTCATTAGAACTTAAGATGTATTTAAATGTATTTTAATCATCACAAATTGTTTCAATTTGTTTTTAATAATGTGTCTTATGTTGGTGATGTCCGTCAGGTGCCAGAGGTAGACACGTCCCGGGACATACAGTCCTTCAGACTGCAGAACCTGAAGCCTGACACACTGTACGTCGCCCAGGTGAGCTGTAAGAACGCTCGACCTGGACATGGGTACTGGAGCGACTGGAGCAACAACGCCACAGAGAGGACACCAGAGGCCCGTGAGTCTACCTTGATCACTCTGGGGACAGAGAAAACTCATAGATTACTGAACTGGTGTTACAGACAAAATTTCAATATATCTTTCTTAGTATTTACTTCATAGAGTTGATGTAAATTCATTGTGACATACACTGTATATAAGGCAGTTAATATATTGTGTTTGCTGTGTCTGTGTGACAGGACCAGAAGGAAAACCTGATTTATGGAGGTTCATCTCAGAGAGTGAAAACACAGAGAGACAAGTTCAGATTGTCTGCAAGGTAAATCACCCAAGGATACTCCTGAGAATAAACATGAAAATACACCTAGATAACCCCTGAAAATACTCATGAAACTGATACTACACCTGATACTACACCTGTTCAGACTGATACTGTTACAGCACAGCTTGGAGTTTACCACCCTGATAACATGTGGCACTGTAACATTTAGTGACATGTAACACTGATAACGTACCTGTCTAAATCAAATCAAGCAGCTGTCCAAACAGCAGTTGAGACACCTGCTCATGTGCCCTGAGTGTTGGCTGACAGGTAACACAGATGTGTTTGTGACAGGAGCCTGTTCGCTCTAACGGGAGGATCATCAGGTACGACGTGAAGATTCAGGTGCACAGCGTGACTGAAGGCATCAGATCTTTGGAGAACGTGTCTGTGAGCACAAATGTGCCCTGGAGGAGTGTCACAGTCCTGAGACAGGTCCCCGTAGGTGATCATCAGTCTGTCAGAGCGTCCGTCTCTGCTGTGAACTCAGTTGGACGGTCAGCCGATGCGTTTCTGTTCATCTCTGGGAGAGAAAGAGGTAAGCACATCACTCTGAAGGTCATACAGGAAGTCACATGATCAGAAAGCGACCCTCAGTCAGTTCTGATCCATCTCACCTGGGTCACATTTGAAAACCCAGGCTGTGTGTTGCTGTAAGTCAGAAACGTTGTTAATGTGTATGTTGATGCAGAGCGCCCCCCGGTGGAGGATCTAATGGCATGGCCTCAGGACGGCCGTCTGATGGTTAAGTGGAGGCCCCCCACCGGCCAAGAGAGGTCAGAGGTCGTGGTGGAGTGGAGCGGAGAGGGACAGAGAGACTGGCAGAAAGAAAGGGGGAACATCTCACAGACATACATCAAAGGTAGACACATCTGTTTACACACATTACAGATACACAGGTGTGTGTAAAATGTATAAAACATTGAATTCAACCCTGTAAACATGAAAACAACATCTGTATTACACTCAGAGTTGAACCTGGGATAAAGTTTACCTGTATTCAGTTGACATCAGACTGAAAGACCCTATATATGTGAATATATGTAACTGTGTCTGTGCCTCTGTCTGTGTGTGTATGTGTGTTTGTGCCTGGGATGTCTGTTTGTGTGTGTAGGTCCCCTGCAGCCATTTGTGTGCTACCAGGTTTCGGTGGTGTTGCTGGGATCAGGATGGAGCAGCAAAGCAGTGACTCAGGAGGCTTTTCTGGAGGAAGGAGGTGAAACATGAAACATGTTAAAGATTGAAACATTAAAACTTTATTTAAACTGAGAAGCATTTAAAACTTCATAGTAAGTGATAAGCATTGTGTGTGTGTTTGTGTGTCTGTGTATAGTTCCCCTTGCGGCCCCCTCCGTCTCTCTGGATGGTGTACCCGGTCATAAGGAGGTTAACCTTAAGTGGAATCAGATTCCATGTGAAAAGCGACGAGGGTTCATCACCAACTACACCATCCACTACAGGACAGGAGCTGACACCAGAGGTACCTGCTTACCTGTTCACCTACACACCTGTTCAACAGTTTATCGGTCGCCAATCTTTCACACTTACCTGTTGAGCTGTATTATCTGACAGTGTACTTCCTGTTTATCTGTCCCAGTTGTAACAATCCCAGGCAGCTCCTCCTCCTACAAGCTGACCTCTCTGTCACCAGACACCACCTACGACACCTGGATCACTGCCCACACCATTGCAGGCTCCCACCCCGGATCCCCCCACTCATTCACCACACAGAAGTATGGTGAGTGATGCACACCACTGACAGACCTCCAACTCTCTCTTTATAGTCACACATCTGCACAGTATTTAATAGAGTAATATTGTTGTATAAACATTCATTATCTATGTGAAGTAACTGTGTCTGCGTGTGATTGTGTTTATGTGTGTGCGCATTTTAGGTCCTGGACAGATTGAGTTCATCGTGGTCGGCGCCAGTTTGGGCTTCTTGTTTATTTTTCTGATGGCTGTCCTGCTGTGCTTTTACAAGAGAGATGTGTGAGTGGATATGACACACATGCGTGCACACACACACACTCATGTTTTCACCTTCAGTTTAGGTGTTGCTTTAGTTTCTTGGATAAATATTTACCTGAAGTTATAATCAATTGTTATTAATGAAGCTCTAATCCACATGAATTTGAATGACAGGCAACAGATACACACTGAAATAAAGTTGTGTGTCTCGTGTGTGAAGGTAAAGCTGTCTCTGTTTACACTGTTAGATACCGGTCAACCTGAAACAGAGACGTGACAGTTATCAGGTAGATCACCTGGTGGAGCAGTTACCCTTAGCCTGCAGTCGGCCATGCCCACACTCTGATTAAATTTCATTTTCACAAATGTGTCTCAGACTCTCTCTGTGTCTCTGTGTCTCTGTGTCTCAGGATCAAGGAAAACCTTTGGCCCCAGATCCCTGACCCTGGAGAGAGCACTATCGGGAATTGGTCTCCAGATTACCCTCTAAAGGTGAGATGGCGTGGACTCTAGGTGACATTAGATGCCTAACTACAAACATCACAGACAGTTTATTTATTTACCTTATTATTTATCACCTGTCAGATAATTGCTTCTGATTGGTCAAACCTGTTTTACAATGATTCCTACTTCTAAATAGAAAAGCTGATACCAGGACCATCCTGATCACACAGGTTGTAAAATATACTGTGAGTGTTCAAAGAGGGTCTGCTGTCTCTGACTCCGCCCCTTTTTGATAGACTGACACTAACATTATATCAGAGTACCATCAGTTATCGGCATGGAGGATGTTTTAACATCACCCTGTTTGTCTGGAGAGTGCGGGGCTTCAGATTTGAGTTAAATGTCTGTGCAGCCAGCAGAGAAGAGAGAGGAGAGAATAAGAAGAGAATAAGAGAGAGAGGTAAGAACAGGAGGAGATCCAGAGGCAGAGAGACACCAAACAAGCTTCTAGAAATGATCCTGAGAGAAAAACAGAGTTCAGTTATCAGGAAGAGCAAACACATCTCTGCTTTTATTCTTTTATCAGTCAGCTGATTAGACAGTATTCACATTCGAGGCTTTTATGAATCTCTTACAATCAATGAATCATCTTTTTTCCTCTTCAAATTAATGTCATTGGTTACATTCCACTGTTTTTAATAATCTGGCTCCTCCCCTTGTAGGCGGAGCCTCCCAGAGAGAGCTGTGTTTCAGGAATCAGCGTCCTGGACATAGACATCGGTGATGGGCGGAGCGTGTTTGATGAGGAGAAGGCGGGGCTTCCTCTGAAGAAGGATAAATTCCTGTCTGAGGAGCACAGCAGTGGAATCGGCGGCTCTTCCTGCATGTCATCTCCTCGCCAGAGTGTCTCCGACAGCGACGAGGGCGGGGACATGGCCGACACCACCGCCAGCACTGTGCAGTACTCGTCCGTGGTCGCCTCCAGTGGGTACAAGGGTCAAACCCCTGCCCAGGCCCCGCCCACCTTCTTCTCCCGCTCTGAGTCCACCCAGCCCCTGCTAGACTGTGAGGAAAACCCTGACACCTCGCCGCATGAGGGCAGCAGACAGTTGCAGCGCTGCAGCCGACCTGCAGGAGAGCTACGGGAGGAGCTTCAGAATCTAGAATTCTGCCCCCTACAGGAGGACTCAGAGAGCAACACGCCAGCCGACGACCAATCAGATGCTGCCTCCAGCTACATGCCACAGCTGGGAGGGTACAGGCCGCAGTGAGGAACAAGGCCAGTCGATGTGAGGGGTCAGTGAGGGATGGACTCAGTGAGGGGGGGTTTCTTAGCTGTCAAGTTGCCTTCATGTCATGTGATCATTTCAGATTTTAGAGACTGCACCTTTACTTGTTTTTGTGTGTGTCTATGTGTGGATGTGTGTGGGTGTGTGTGTGTGCGTTGGGCAGGATTTGTGCCAGGGCGTGTGCTTTGTTTGTTATCCATGCAGCTGTACTCCCAATGCACTAATGCATGTGTTAATTTTTCTGAATTTGAGGTAAATTGTTGTTTATTGATATGATACTGGTCCTTTAAATCTTGGCTCTGTACCTTTTGACTCTGAAGCTGAAGATCAAAGTTCAAATCCAAGCGAGCTCTTGACCTGTGGAGTTATCGCTCCTGCCCTTGTCGGGCGAGACTCCTCTCAAGCTTTGCCCAAGTGTCGGCCCACTGTCTTTAGTTATTTTTAATATCCATTTGTTTTACTGGAGGAGAAGACAGATTAACAAGGATAGAAAACCCTCCTGTCAGTGTCTTAAGCAGGGATTGAAGGCAGATGATCAGAACTATACAGTCAGAATCCACTACAGAAGGAACGCCTAAAGTCAGTACATATTTTCAACCAAAACAGTCAGTTCACTTGGCTTGATATCTTGAAATAAGAATGTGACATTTATTTGTATTTTAGGTGTTTCTGGGTATATTTATAGGTATGTATATTCTGTTCTATTTTACATGATATATTGGACCTTAACCCCGCCCCTGCCACTGTCAATATGCACTTATTTGTGTTTTCCACATTATGATTTGTTTTATCTTATTTTTTATAACCAATTTTTATGTTATAATTGAGTGTAACTCAAATTAATGATGGTAAATGAGAGAATCATAATGTGGAGAAGAAAGGAGCAGCAGGAATTGCAGTCCATTTCTTTAGCTTCAGAGTCAAAAGTTACTGAGCTGAGCGTAAAACTCTACAAAAAATAAAAAAAATAAAACTGACAAACAAGTATCAGAAATAAACAACAAATGCCACTCATTCAATAAAAAAATTACTTCAAAAATAAAAAAGCAAGCATATAAGTTTAGAAGTCCAGCTGTGTATTACATACACACTGCACGTGCGCACGTATGCGTAGAATTAAAATGAATAATCACACGAGTGTAACTACCTGCGTATGTGCGTGCACCGTGGCACAAATCCTGCGCAATAGTGTGTGTGTGCGTGTGTCTGAGGCTGCAGAAGGAATTTGTCGTATTTTTCACATGTTGCTTTGCACAGACTCTAAAGCATTATCTTTATACTGACACACTGTGTGTGCGTGCGTGCGTGTGCGGCGCAGCAGGATGTACTGAGTATGTGCGTGTCAGTGAGCTGCAGCGCCCTCTGCCGGATGTTTCAGGTCGTTGCATGACTGACGTTTCTGTACGCTCAGGCTTGTTGAAAAGAATCATAGACTGAAAACAAAGACTGAGCTGACGAAGATGAGGAGAAAGGAGAGAGGAGGAGCAGTGTGGACCCAGTGTTCAATCAATAAAAAACACGATTAAAGACGACTGAAAGTCAACGTCTGTTACACAAACTGAATCTAACCTGACATAACTGTAAATACAATAAAACCACAAACTAACAACCATCAATACTCTGATTTATCTGACTCCTCCGTTTATGTGTGAGTGTGAGACTATGTTTTTATAATGAATTATTTTAACTAGGCTATGTGAGGGATCTTTTAAGAATGCATTAGTTTGAAGGTATTAAGGTAAGGAGTTTGCCTTGACTGGCAAGTAGGCCCACTTTACCTCTTCCCCTCTGTTTAGGTGTTACTCCCTATGGGGCTAACAACTTATCACACATTAACTCATTAGAAGTAACAGAAAACACCTTCAAAATTTAAACAAGGGGTTTATTATAAACACACACTAAATAACAAATCAAGAAGTCAACAAAAACACCAAGAAACAAGAATCCTTTGAGTAAGAGGCAGCAGTTCCCCCTCAAATGCCTCTCAGGACCCGGTGAAGCTGATTGCCACTCAGACTTTAGCTGAGCAGAGCTAAGGAAGACAAAAGAGGGGAACGCATGCACAAACAACACACAGCTGTAATAGTAGGTCGACCTTATGTCAGGTAGAGTCATCATTTCCCATGTGGCGATTGTCACCATGAACAATGAGTGATATTAGTGAGACCATATCTGGAGTTTCATCCAATCAGGACGCTTTCGCACACTGAAGAGCAGGTAAGATCACCTGAGTGATCAAGGACACTTTGAAAAAGGTGTGAGTTTAGGTTCAAGGTTCTCACAGCAGACACAGGTGAGTTTATAGATATCATGTTTTTAATGAAATTTGAAACTTCAATCAGGATGACATCTGTTAGTCTGGAATAAATGAACTGGACTGAATTGTCAAAAAGATTTAAATTGATGAAAAAGACTGAGGAACGAGCTAAAGAGTGAAACAGTCCAATAGCCGAATGATCATCATGTCTGTGTGTCTGACTTATTATGGGCTGTTCACTTATCCACTCTGCTCATTATGGGTTTAATTTATTCCTCTGCTGTCAGAGGATTAAACGGTGTGTGTCTTTTATGTTATGACGATTATTATGGGACAGATTCTCCTCTGTACATCATATTTATTACAGGTTGTATTATAAGTGGCAGAGCAGCGCCCCCTGGCGGCGCTGAGCGGTGCCGGTGTGTGTCTCTTTAACAGAGGTATTCTCAGGACGGGGAGGGGGGGCTGCTGGGTTCATCGGGTTCATGTGGTCTTGTTCGCCTCCTCCCCGCTCGGGTCTGATGTTTGCGGGCTGTGCGGGCTGTGCTGAGGCTGCAGGCAGGTGAGGAGGCTGCAGGTGAGCAGGCTTGGAGCGTCCGCGCGCACAGACTGTCTGCAGGTTTTTCCTCTGACCTCCGTTAAGGACGCGGATCCCGGATCAGCTGATGCTCCTCGCGAGCTGCCATTTTCAGGTCATCCGAGGCTGCGGGTCTGAGATGGAGGGGGGGTCTGCGGAGTGAGCGAGCGCGATGGCTGATGTATGCTGCAGAGGGATGGACCGAACCAGGACCAAGATTGCATCAGACTCCGGACCCCGGTCCCCGTACCCCCCTCCGCAGTACGTGCAGCCGGGCACAGCGCAGCAGCAGCCGGGCTCAGACATCCAGGAGCTAGCCTCGAAACGCGTCGACATCCAGAAGAAGCGTTTCTACCTGGATGTGAAGCAGAGCGTCCGCGGCCGCTTCCTGAAGATCGCGGAGGTGTGGATCGGCCGCGGCAGACACGACGCGGTGCGGAAGAGCAAACTGACGCTCTCCATGTCCGCCGCCCCCGCGCTGCGCGCCGCGCTCGGGGACTTCATAGACTACTACGCCCGAATCGGGTTGCGGGGGGGCCCGGGCCCGCAGCTCGACGAGCACGGTACTGATAGCCAGACCCGCGCGCACGAGCCCCGCAGGAGGGCACAGGAGCCGCGCGCGGGGCTTTCACCGACCGGGTCTGCGGGATCCGACGAGCACGCGCACCGCGTGCTGAAGAGCGAGGTCATCGAGCGGGACAACAGGAAGTACTTCCTGGACCTGAAGGAGAACCAGCGGGGCCGGTTCCTTCGGATCCGGCAGACTGTCATCAAGGGGACCGGGACCATGGGGTACTACGGGCCCGGGATCGAGCAGACCATCGTGCTGCCCGCGCAGGGGCTCATCGAGTTCCGGGACGCGCTGTCTCAGCTCATCGAGGACTACGGTGACGAGGACGGGGACGAGCGGGACCGAACCGGCTTCAGGAACCACGACCACGGACCGGAGCTGCCCGAGGCGGCCTCTTTCCGGGTTGACAACAAGAGGTTCTACTTCGACGTGGGTTCGAACCGGTTTGGGGTGTTTCTGAAGATCAGCGAGGTCCGGCAGCCGTACCGGAACACCATCACGGTCCCGTTGAAGGCCTGGACCCGGTTCGGAGAAAACTTCATCCGGTACGAGGAGGAGATGCGCCGGATCTTCACCGCGTGCCACAAAGAGAAGCGGACAGACAGCGAGGAGCACGAGGACTGACCGCAGGTGTGATACCCCCTCCCCTCCCCGTCCCCCCCATACAGGTAACCCCCTCACCTGTTGATAAGGGCTGGTCTCCTTCTGATCCGAACCTGCCAAGAACTCACCTGCAGTCCTCCACCTGTCAGAGCCGCCCCTCCCCAACCCCTTAAGATACATTAATATTAAAAATAACTGTCATTATTAATACTAATCACTATTGATAATGACAGAGATCATTAATGTTGATAGCTGGTGATTGATAATAACAGAGGAGGATTCAGACTTCTTTAATGTGATTATCTGAGGTCTGTGTGTGTGTGTGTGTGTGTGTGTGTGTGTGTGTGTGTGTGTGTGTGTGTGTGTGTGTGCTGTGTTTGCGTGTGTAGTTTTAAGATAGTTTGTATTTAAGGTAGAAACGCAGAGAGAAAATGATCCTCATGCAGACTTCACATTTCAGTTCAATCTCAAACAGACAAATGGTCACTTGGATGACAACCATCCTGCAGGAGAGAACAGGTGAAGTGAGGACACCTGATCAGAAATCAACCACAAATATGATTGGCTCTGCAGATGAAACTCTGACAGACTCAGCTCAAGTGAGAACAGGTAGATAGGAAGCTGCCTGCTGATTGGCTGAACAGGCAGGTGGGGACAGAGGTGAGAGGGGGAGCCCTGATGAAAATAACCTGTCAGTAACTTTGTTTTTACTAACCTGTTTTTAACCAGTTTCTGTCAGAGTGAAATGTAGCTGTTCAGAGAAAAAGAATCAGAGGATGTCAAAGAAAATGATGACGATGGTGCTGATGAAGATGGGCAGCGGCTCTTACAAAAGGAGATGGAGACAGTTTTTATGTTTGTGTTTTGGAGCTAAAAATTGCTGCAAGCTCGTGTTTCGTCTTATCAGAGCAGGTTTGATCCACAGTGAGGCTTTCAATGCCTTTATTCTTTAACAGTTTCACCACCCTGTGGGGGATTAAACACCTGGTAGCCATAGTAACCACGTGTGGATGTCACCTGCCAATAAAAAACAGGAATAAGTTATTTTCCTTAAAAATGTTTAAAGTGTAAAGTTTATATGTACCCCTTAATAATCCCTTAACAATTAGGGCTCCGCCGTGCTGCGTTTAGGGGCTCGTAAAGCACAGGACTGATGCGGTGTGTTTAGGGACTTTTTGATTTTAGCCTACACTTCAGTTGTAAAGGCCCTTACACACCAGGACCGTTTCTTACGTGCGATTATTTTGGGCGTCAATATTTTTTTTCGAACCCGTACCCTGTCAATACAAGCGTTCACATCAGCAACCTTTTCCCGTCCTGCGATACTGCGGCATTTTTTTTTTGGATCTTGGTCAATTTTGGAAAGTTTCGCATACTGTTCGTCCACTTCTGATTAATCAGATTTCGTGTTGTTGCAACATCTGCTTCACCGGTATATCCAACATGGCCGATCGGCTGATTGTTCACATGTCGGAGAACAGAGTGTTTTTGATGAAAAACACAAATATTACAAAGATAACGACCTGAAGGACAACTTGTGGAGAGTCATAGTGTTTGATCTCTCATATGACGATGGTTTGTGTGCTTTAACAGTTTGCTAAACGTCTTTGTTTTAACTTTCATCTGTGCTAAATAACTTTAGCTCGTAAGCTAACCTGTTCAGATACAACATACCATATGTATTTTCACTGTCTCAAACTCAGTAGCGTTGCTGTCACAGCACCATTAGGTCTTGGTTGTTACCTTACGTTTATAGATTATAGTTTAATGTGCTTATCTGGTACTGGCCCTGACTCAGTTCATGCTATCGTGACAGACAGACATCTCAACACTAGAGTCTAATCAGAACTGAAAAACACTCAGTCTGCTGTTGTGTCAGTCTTCTCGCTTCCTACCCGGGACGCGTCTTTTTCGCCCCGTAAAGTCGCAAAATCGCATCGGGCTTGATGTGTATAGTCAGGCACGTCAAAATTCTCCTCCGAATATTTCGTAGTTTCGCATTCTATATTCGCATCGGCCGCGGTGTGTAAGGACCTTAACAGTGAGGAGAGGGAGAAAGTGCAGTGGTGCATTATGGTACAGGTGAATTTTAATACTGGTTTACTTTGGTGTGATTAATGACTTTTTTTAAGCTCAAAGAGAGGAGGAGGAGTTAATAGATTTATTGAAGCTGATTGTTGTGGTGCGTTCATGTGCCAGTAAAGCACAGGACGAGTTGGTTGTGATGTGTTTGTGGTCCAGTGTGTCCATAATGATGGTTCCGTGAGTTTTATCTTTTCAGAATAAAAGTCTTTAAAAAAAAAAAGTTTAAGCACATTCAGAAAGTAAAAGAAAATACTCACAGGAGTTCATGTTTGAGGTATTTAGCTACAGATTAAATCTATAATGTACAATCTGTGATCTACAATCTATAATCTACAATCTGTAATCTATATTCTATAATTTATTATCTATAATCTCATCTGAAACAGAAGACAGTGAGCTGGTTTTATTCTATTTTAAGTGAAATTTTAAAAAAAAATCGTCTGTGAACCCAAAACGAATTAAAAAAGCACTTTAAAATCTGCACTTTGAGCTGCTCCATACCCAGAGATAACAAGAGTTAACCAGAGAATACTAGAAATGAACAGAGTTACAGAGTCAGGGTTAACTAGAGGGAGCGTTTAACCTTTGGCACCTTTGTGGTCATGTGACAATCACTGATTCCAGCAGAGACGATAAACTGAAGTTTGTGAAATGAGCACAAATAAAAATTAAAAAGTCTTATCTGAAACTGCAATGATTTCAGATAAAAATTTAATTTTGTTTTTTTGACGATGATCAGCTGATCTTTTGGAGAATTAATAATCAGCAGATTTTGTGAAGCCTCTGCTGATAACATCTGTTGTAAACTGGCACTTTATAAATAAAGATAAAACGTTTTAATTTATATTGAACTCATTGATTTCAATATTTTTACTGATTTTAATTTACAGATTTTACTGTTTCACCATTTAAACTGTTTTATCCATTTGAGCTTATTTATTTATTTAAGTGTTTTTATTTTATTGAGTTCATTGGTTTTATTATTTATTGATTTACTGATTTTATTCATTTTAAAGTAATTTTATTGCATTTACATGACTGATTTTATTGATTTAATTAATTTTACTGATTTTGTTAATTGGATTTATTTTACTTATTCTTTCATTTTAATAATTTCTTTTGTTTGTTTTTACTTACAGGGGTGAGTCACATAATCATTTTAAAGTGTCGTTCAGGGTCTGGTTGTTCTTGAACACACCATGAACGTGTTTTAACATTTTTTTAACATGTTCATAAAAACGTCCCAAGTGTTGTTGATCAGTTTGCTTGTAAATTTCAAAACTTTGATGACGTTAATGAAATTAAATGATGATCAGTGACCGTTTTTCCCCCTCAGTGAGTCTGGAACTGCTTTTTGTGGTGGAAGCAGATGTTTCATGTTTGTGCTCATTTCACAGATTATAAAAAACAAACAAAAAAAATTGTCTCTGCTTTCTGTAAAGAGGACGACCAGGTGATGAAGGTCAGAAAATATCATCACAGAATATTAAGTGTAAAGTATAAAGCAGTAAAATAAAAAGATTTATTGTCATTATTATAATTATTATTTTATTTTACCCCCCAAACCCTGCTTTAAGAAATCAAACCCAAAAGACAAAACTTAAGATTTAAAATGCCACACTTAGTGTGTATTTATGAAGATGTTAGTCTAAAAATATGAATAAAGGTAATTTTTATATTTGATATTTGTAAAGATTTTACCTGAAAGGAGCTGCTTTAAGAAATCAGCTGACTAAAGGAGACGGGATACCAAAAACACCTCACAGAGGAAGAAGTCCGGATTGACTGACATAAAAGACTGAGTTCAATAATAACACAACAGACAGACATGAATCTACATCACAAAACAGTTTCTGTCTCTTTCACCGTTAAACAGATTATTCTGAAATAAATCTATCCAGATCATCTCTCAGTGTGCTCTGTGATCTTATTTATCCTCAAAAAAACAAATGCCTTTAAAGGCTCAGTGCAGACTTTCAAAATAAAGCATCAGTGATCTTTGGTTTGATATCATGAACAGGTGAGAAGTCAGCTGTTGTTTGAGGTGAATATTACCTGTGTAATGTTTCTGAGTGACATAGAGCAGCAGCTGTAAGCAGACAGAACCCGAAAACATCTAATAACAACCAACAGCATCAAGCAACATCCCAAAACATCAGACAAATTCCTACAACATCCAACATCCCAAAACATCCCAGCAGCATCCAACAGCATCTGACATCAAACATTCAACAACATCCAACAAAATCCAATAACCTCAGATGACATGACAGTCCTACAACACCAAACAATATCCAACAACCAACAAATTCCTACAACATTCAACAACATCCAGGGAAAATCCAACAACAACCATCTAACTCCTACAACATCCAACATCCAACAACATTCAACACGCCACAAAGACCAACAAAATCTTATGACATCCAACAGATTTAAACTTTTCACTCATTTTCAAATCCATCATTTCAACAAAAAAAATTCTTACCAAACAAAATGTCAAATTTAATTTACAAAATTATAGACATTTTGTCAAAATTCACAAATAATTAAATTTATCTTTATCCTCATCTTCATCTTCTTCATCATCTTCATGTCCTTCATCTTCACCTCTGTCTCCATCCTTGAAACTGATCTAGGTGTTTGATTATAATGCATGGAGGTGTATCTGTGTGTGTGTGTGTGTGTGTGTGTGTGTGTGTGTGTGTGTGTGTGTGTGTGTGTGTGTGTGTGTGTGTGTGTGTGTGTGTGTGTGTGTGTGTGTGTGTGTGTGTGTGTGTGAGCAGCTGCTGCTCATCTTAATCACTCAGGAACAAAAATCAAAAACCAGAGAAGAAAAAGTATTTGGCACTTTAACTGGTTTCACAGATGAATTTCGATGATACATTCATCAGTGATTAAATCTGATTTATTTAGAAGGAAATTAAACGTTCAACCAGCTGAACCTCCAACTGACCTGAATGAACAAATACGATCAGAACCAAATAAAAAGGTCAGTTTATGTTTTTAGAAAGAATGAACTATAATGAAATCAGTTTATACATAAAAGGAGACCTTAACTGGTCATATAAAATTATTGATAATCATAAATAAATACAGTATATTTGAAGATTATTAACAGGTGGTGTTGAACCTCTGAGGACACCCTAATTGATCATGTAGAATTGGTTACTGATCACAGAATCTATTAAAAGTCAGAATGAGTTTATCAAAGAGGAATTTTCAGAATATATTTAACCTTTTGGGACTGTAACTGATGATATAAATTTATTTATAGTGTAGGTAAATGTGTTTAAATGGTTATTTCACAGTAAATGTCTCTGAGGAGATGTTGATTGATGATATAAATCTATTCACAGTGAGATTTTAAGTATTTAAAGGAATATTTCACAGTAAATGTCTCTGAGGAGTGTGCAGGTGGAGCTGCAGGATGTTAGAGGTTTTTTCGGACTGTTAACCATCAACCCGACGCCTTAAAGCTCCATGTGATAGACCGATCCCTCTCCTCTTGATCCAGCACATGGTCCGCTGGTCAGAACTCTGCTCTGTGTTATTTCCTTATGACCATGTAACACAGGTAGTCTCACCTGTGTACTGTGTGGGTGTGTGCGCGTGTGTGTGTGTGTGTGCGCGTGTGTGTGATGTGAATGTACACTCACTGAGGAAGACAAGGGTTTCTGTTCTCCATCAGCTCCCCCACCCCCCTCAGGAGCAGGTGTTGACCTGGATCCTGGGGTCTGGGGGTGTGGCCAGGTGTATTTACCTGGTACAGGTGTATGTGTAGATACTGTGCTGTGACAGTGGGTGTGTCCTGTAGTTGTTTTCTAACTCTCGTACTGTATTAGCTCATCATGTAGAGTACTGTATGATATCATGACTTGCCTTGTGGAGACGTGTAGAAGTGGAACGTAACTTTTTAGAGTGTATGCATGCTAAAGGTGGCTAAGAGTATAAAGGACACTGTAAAAAAATGGTGCTATGTTTCATTATATCTGGTGCTTTATGGACGCAGCTGAATGCATGCAAAGAGGAACGTAAAAGAAGAAACAGAGACGTCTGCTGCCGTCCTCAAACTCTGCTGCTTCCAAAGATGTCCACAAGCTAAACGACAGCCCTTCAAAATAAAAGCCTGTCTGCAGTGTCTGACAGATAATCTGACCTGAGGTCAGTTTCCTCTGAGCGCACAGAGAGCCGACAACAAACACACTGTGGAGCCAGACTGACACTCACTTTGTTATTATTATCATTATTATTATTATTATGAATATTAATATGACAAAGGTTAGAACTAAGCTGTAAGATTTTATAAACATCACCAACAGTCTGACTGTGAATATCTGAGAGCTGCTGTGGACCAAGACCTGGACCAGGTCTTAGTCCAGGGTCAGACAGAGCCTGAGTCCCTGAGCCAGATTAGAGTTTAAATCTGCTATATTATTAAACATTAAATCTTAAATCTTAAACATTAAGCTAAGGGTGGTGAAGGTAAAGCAGCTTTAAAGTCTCAGTGAAAAATTCTCAGTCGGCTGCTGTTGGTGGTGCTCAGAGTCTCAGACAATCTTAGAAACCTTGTTTTGTATGAACTCTTCAGATGTTTCTGTGTTTGATGATTTCCATGTAGCAGAGTCACAAACTGAAAAACAAGCAGAAATTCAGAAAGTTTGAACGATGCTGGAAAAAGAAAAAGTTAATGTTTACCATCTTTATTCTTCTGTTCATCATTAAATGTTTTTCAAAAATATCTTCTGCCTCTGTTTCATTTATGAAAGAAAACTAAGCTATGTATATCAATACAAGTACATAAATATGTGTAAAAATGTGTAAACGTATTTGTTTATCTTGTGTATTTACACTCATTATCTGTTATCAGTTTATTTGAATGTAAGATTATAAAGAAGCTTCTCCCCTGTTACAAAATCACAACAAACACACAAACCAACAAAGGCTGACCTAGTATACATGCACAGAAACCATGAATGACTGTCAGATATGAAACAATAATAGACTGATAAAAAAGGAGGATGTTTGAAAGCTCAGCAGATGTAGAAGTTCACAGAGAAAGATGTGTAATCTTATAAACATCCCAACTGTCTAATGATCAAAAATAATTTCATAACCTATATACATTCAAACCATTGTTTAGTAATCAGAAACAGTCTTTATAAATCAAACACTAAAGGGATATTCTGTCGTAAAATTAATTTAGGGTCAAACACACCGTAACACCGAGTTAGACACCCCCTCGAGAGATGAATGTTGCCGACCGCTTGCTTCTCTAGTCTCTAGGCGACTCTCCCACCAAATGCGTACAATGCTACTGCGCAAGTGGTGAAGTGCATACAACACTACGGCACAATGTTGGTTTCAGGAAATGAAGAAAAATTGTGGAAATACAGAGAGCTTCTTGGCTTCAAATCCGTATACTGGTGGGAGGCGGAACCAAGTTGTCTATAGTGTATACAGTCTATGGTTTAGTCTCTTTGCTTAAGAAATAAGGCAAAGTTAAAATAATATCTGGTGGATAGTGCTATGGCTGGGACCCTATATGTAATGTTGATGAAGTTAAGTGCGGTTCTGAGCATTATTTGTGACTAAAGAGTGGCGTTTTGGTTTGTTAATGGCTCCTCAGACCGCTGTGTATTGCTATCGTGCGGTCATTACTAAAGTTGGTATCACTAGAGAAGCAAGCGGTCGTCAACATTCATTTCTCGAGGGGTGTCTAACTCAGTGTTATAGTGTGTTTGACCCTAAATTAATTTTATGCCGGAATATCCCTTTAATTGAAGGAAAATAAAAAGAAGGACTTTGCAGCATTGCCCTTTAGGATATTGGACAGTATTGCGCAGTATAATAATAAAATACTTGTACAGTATAATACAGTGTTTAACAGATTCACACAGGCAAAGAGTCATTTCCACCATAATTTTCACTCAAAGGAAACAAAGCATTTTTGTGTTGATGTCGATGTTGTACACTTTAAGACCAACAGAGGGCGCTGATGCTCCTCGAAGCTGGTTCGCAGACTGATGATACACAAGGAAGAAGAAGAGGATGAAGAGGAAGTGGGAGAAGAAAAACAAGCCGTGGAATCAGTCTGAACTTTGATTCATCGTCCCGCTTTCACCAACTCTCCTCCGTCTTCACCGGCCCCTCTTTTTATTTGATCACTTTACACCTGTACGATCACCTGACGCTGGGTGTGACGTCACGGCACGGTCACGTTAGCAGCCGGCGGTAAAATCTGCTGACAGCGCGAGACGGAGACGGACAGGCTGTTTTCCAGGTGAGTTTATTTTACATCTGACCGCTGAAATCACAATCTGTAAACATATTTATTAAGTTTTTAACAAAAATATGAGATTTAAACATTTTAAATGACAGTAAATCAAGTATTTAACTAGTTTTAAACGTGACTATCATGTTTTTCCTTCTAAAATAACTGTATAAATTCTTATTAATTAAATTATTGAAATTGAAAAACAGATTTTATGTTAAACGATTGATATATTTTTTTTTAATATTTCTCTATTATTAAAAGTTTATCGCGTTTAATCCAGGAAATGTTCTAATCTTCTAATGTTTGTTCTAATTTTTGGATTTTTATTCGTACTTTGTTGATTTATATCCATAAAATCATTCTCTCTTATTATATTAACTTTTTTCTGTAGACCTCTAACCTGTCAGTCTGTGCTCTGGTTAACTTTTGAAGTTATTATCTAGTTAGCTGGTTAGTCCGATGTGCAGATCAGACTATTTCTTGGTGTTTAATGGGTTAAAACAGTGGTTTTCAACTGGTGGGTCCCAACCCAAAAGTGGGCCAGGGACACGTTCTGGATGGGTCACGAACAGCTGGTCAAAAAAGTAAATATTTAATGCGATATTTATTAATATTTGATATTTTTTGTACATGCAACTTCAGTAGTTGTCCTCCTCATGTTGTCCCCTTCGTGTGCCTTGAAATGCACTTCACTGTCTGTGTGGTGGGTGGTTAAATGGGGGACTAGTAAGTTAGTTGGTTGATGTCAGCTAAGATAATCAGCAGTAGAGACACACAAAGTAAAGTCAAATGTATTTTATATAACCTTAAACAGCACTCAGGCTGATGAGTGTAACCTGTTGAATATTGAAACTGAATAAGTCTACATGATTTGATTTAATTAAATGATTTTGATTCTTTTTTGTAGTTATGAGATTAATGAATGAAATGAGAATATCCTTGTATCTGCAATAGTTAACCCCTGTCAGCAGTGCCCAGCAACATGAGCTCAGATTTACTTCCATTTAAAACAAGCTTCAGCTCCAGAGTTTTACTTTGAACGTGTCAGTTTTGAGCAACAGCAATTATCTGCAACTGCTAAACAGCCTGTAGAAGAGCAGCCTTACAACAGTTAACAGTGGACTGAGTACAGAGCCTTGCGGGACTTCTTTTTTGGACAGATAGAATGTCAGAGTAAAGAGCATTATGGCAAACACGCTTAGGATGATCACTGATATAGTTTGAAGACCAGGTGTCTGCTTCCTCTGAGAGTCCAGTGTGGATACTCTGAGCTTTAAAACACCACGGCTGACAGAGAAAGCTTTAGGTCTCATCAAGTGCTACAGAAAGTGCTGTGTATGTATCTAAAAGCTGATCAATATGCTGGTTAAACATTGATGGTGTATGAAAACTACACATGCACAAATAAAGAATAAAGTTCATTGGAAATGTAATATCAATAATTCAATATTGTGATGGCAGTGTGTGTGAATAACTTTTTCTTTCTGCTCTCCTGGTATTTTAGTGGTGTGATGATTGCCTGAGTCTGAAGCTGAGATGGAGGACGACTGTCGGCCTCTGCTGAACTCTGAACAGACGGCAGAAAGTTTCTCTCACAGAGGATCCACAGACTCCCTAGACTTCAAGAATAAACGGTAAAAACTCTCTGACATCTGAAAGTTATCTGAAAGGGAAAGACACTCATACTCAGAGGAAAAATTTGGTGCTTAGGTTAGTTTAAAGGATTTCATTCATACTTTGTACCAACGCTGATGGACCTGAGGTTGTAGTTTGAATCAGTTCATACTTTGTTAGAGTGAATCAGCCATATTGTCACAGTGTTTTTTGTTCAGTCAGCATTTAAGACCTCTGTGTCAGAGTGTTACCGACCACTGCTGGCTGTTGCTAGGTAACAGAGGAGTGTTTGGTGTCACTTCCTCTCTCCTCTGCAGTGACAGTCAGGGTTTTTTAAAGTGAGTGATTGATGTCGGCTTTTATTCAGAAGGATTGTACAGAGAAAATGTTGTGCAGTGGAAGAATCGGTGTCCAGGTTTTAGTAGCTGCTTCACATCTAGACTTCAGGTAACAGATCACAGGTATTGTCCTTTTGTTAGGGCATTATTTTCAGCGGTGGATGAATCCTGGTGTTGGTGGGTTTGATTCCTGCAGATCATTCATGTTTGTTTGTCATAAAATTATTCAATCAATCAATCTTATTTTATATAGGGCCAAATGAAAACAAACAGAGCTGGTCTGGACCAAACCCCACTTACAAAAACTCAGTTTAAAGATTAGATCAGAATGAGCCTTATCTTGTGAGATCAGACCCACTCACATCCCATCTTCATATTCTCCACTATGAGAGAAACACCTCGCACAAAGTCACAGTGGAGAGGAAAGACTTGCTTTAACAGGCAGAAACCTTGAGCAGAACCAGACTCATGTTAGACAGTCATCTAATGAGACTGCGTTGGGTTTAGAGAGGAGATAGAGACAAAGGACAACAGTAACACCAACATTACACACGGATGTATGGTTACAGTGTCAGAGATAATGGAACAAGTATTTACTATTCACAGGAACTGCTGATAATGACGAATGACTAAAGTCAATACGTCTGTAGTAATAATAAAGCTTTGATAGCATCCATGTTGATGAAGTGAAGTTATACACACACCTGTTAACAGTAATCTTAGATGTAAACTCTAAATAATTGGATCAAACAGGAACATTTAATCCTTAATCTGATGAAAACAGGTGAGTTTAATTTATCTAATTTAAAGAGGTGGGTCCTCAGTTGTTGAGCGGAGGCTGTAAACATGTTTATTTCTGCTGTAAAGTTGTAACATGGGGCGCTATGGAACACCATCACACGTTTACCACCTTCAACTGACCTGTTAACAACATGTGTGTATGTGTGTGTGTGTGCGCGTCTTAACGCTGAGCTCAGAGTTTTGTTCAGGTGACAAACAAGCTGCTTTCTCTGAGGTACACTCCCTGGAATTCACAAGAGAACATGAACACGTGTGTGTGTGTGTGTGTGTGTGTGTGTGTGTGTGTGTGTGTGTGTGTGTGTGTGTGTGTGTGTGTGTGTGTGTGTGTGTGTGTGTGTGTCTGTGTGTGTTTTGTGTGTTTCGGTGTGTTTTGGTGTGTGTGTGTGAGTATGTTTGTTTGACACCAGTTCAGAATCAGCATCGTGTGTGAGTTTAATCCAGTTTGGTATTTCACAGTGACTGACGAGCTCACACCTAACACACACACACACACACACACACACACACACACACACACACACACACACACACACACACACACACACACACACACTCTCTCTCACTCTCTCTCTCTCTATCATGTTTGTTTTGTTGTTTTTACATTAATTTTCAAAGTGTTTCTTTTTATTGTCTGTTGCTTTTGTTAATTATTGTTATTACTTATTATTGATTATTGTCGTTTATTGTTATTCATTGTCATTTTGTTGTATTGATTATATCAGTTAACAGAGTTTAATCATCATTAGTCTGTTCCATGTGACGCTAATAGACACTGTTGATAATTGTTTATTCTATGAATTTATTAACAAATTAATTTTTGATTGATTAATTATTGTTGCTGATTATTGTTTAGGTCATTAATCAATTGACTTGTATCCTCAGGCCGTTTCATGTGGAGCCCAGAAACATTGTGGACGATGATCCTCAGGAGAGAGTGTCAGCTGAAGCCGCCATCCTCAACAGCAGAGTACATTACTATGGGCGCCTGACAGGCTCCTCTGATAGGCTGCTGGTAGGACCAATCACAGCAAGGCTACCTGCCTCAGGTCACCAGTGTCTCTTTGTTTTACTATACCTATGAGGACATCCTGTGTGATATTGGTGTTTTTCCTCCTCAGAGTCCGCCCAATCATGTGATCCCCGGTCCTGAGGAGATCTACATCTACAGCCCGTTGGGAACGGCGTTTAAGGTGACGGGCAGCGACGGTGCTGCCAAGAACCCCAGCATTATCACCATGTGAGGATAAAATTATCAAATAAACCTGCAATGAAAAATCTGTTCATTCAGGGATTAATATTCTGATCATTCAAGGATTAATAATAAATCATTAAGAGTTTTGTAATCTGATCATTCAGGGATTAATAGTCTGATGTTTGATTAGGACCCAAGCATCAAACTGTCTTGATATCAGAGCCTCTGTGTTAGGTTAATGCATAATCTCTAAATTATCTAGATTATTCTCTTTGATTGGTGTTAATCCTGCAGTTTGACACAGATTATACTCTTTATTTATGACTAACTTTTTTCATATTTCCCCTGCTGTTTTTCTTCCGATCTTCAATTTCTTCATTTTTTGTTCACTGCTGTTTTCTCTCAGATTATTTGGGATTTATTTTAGAATATGTGCTGGTTTTTCTAAGATTAATTTATTGTTTATTTTCCCTGCTGGTTTCCTGAGATTGTTTACTTTAATCTTTCAGATTTGCCATCTGGAACACAATGATGGGAACATCCATCCTGAGCATCCCCTGGGGAATCAAACAGGTGATCTTTTAATATAAAATGACCTCTTCAAAGTCAACCTCACTTTCTCTGCTTATTTGTCTTATTTTCCAAGTTTACTCTGGTCACCGCACTCTGAAATTTATTTGAAAGTACAGCAAGTTTATTTCTAAGCCTCTGCAGTTTCTGTCTTTTTTTTGTCTCCTCAGGCCGGTTTTACTCTTGGCATCCTCATCCTCATCGTTGTTGGCTTGTTGATGCTCTACTGCTGCTACATAGTCCTTAAATCACCCAAAGCCATCCGTAAGTCTCTCCTTTGGTAGAACAGAATTTTACTCAAATATCATTCTGTGTCAAACTAAGATTATTCTTTTTCATCCTGTGCAGACCTTTGAAGGTTTTTTTTGTGAAATAATTAAAATGGATGTTTTTTTTTTGAGTATATGTATATTTTCATAGTTGTAGATTTTTTTTTTTGAGTTAATTATCTTAAAAGTAGTTATCCTGGTCTAAACGTCATATTTTGTCACCTCATCGTATGTTGACAGTCAAAGTGGGAGTTTCTGGGTTAAATTTGTAGTCAAATGTTTAAAGTTTTTAATCCTTTAATTATAAATAAACATATTGTTTCCGCTGTAGCCTACTTGGACACATCGGAGTGGGAGTTCCCAGATGTCTGCAGGTATTATTTCGGGAAGTTCGGTCAGTGGTCCAGTCTGGTGTTCTCTATGGTGTCTCTGATTGGAGCCATGGTGGTTTACTGGGTCCTCATGTCGAACTTCCTCTACAATACGGGACAGTTCATCTACAGTAAGTCAACAACAGGGGCAGAGTATAAAGAGTATAATGAGTGTGTAAGGTTAATCCTGTGCCCCTGTCTCTGAGTCTGGTTGATATTTGATCTTTAAACCGGTAAAAAATGTGTTTATTTGTTTGTTTATATTTTCTATTGATTGTTGGTGTGTCTGTCATTCTCAGATTATGCACATGATGTGAACGTGACCGACTCAGAGTTTGGGACCAATGGCTCAGATCCAGGTAAACACCCTCAACTTCATAGTTTGTTTTTGCTGTTTATTTCAAATTACTCATTACTCACTTCATTTTTTTTGTTCTTGATATCTTAATTGATTGTTTGTTGTCGTTATGGTCAGTGATCTGTCCCTACCCGAACACGGACCCCGGGGGGAACCTGACCCAGAGCACTGTGTTTTTGGGGGGAGGAAATGGAACCACTGGAGACTCGTTTGAGCGTTGGTGGAGTAAGACCAACACCATCCCTCTCTACCTGATCATCCTGCTGCTGCCGCTGCTCTGCTTCCGCTCCGCCTCCTTTTTCGCCAGGTTCACCTTCCTAGGTCAGAGTCCACGCCACCTCACTTTGTCTTTGTGCTGTCACAGCGCTCCATCATTTCATCATTTAATCATCAACAGTTTTATCACATCATTCTATAATTTCAGTGTTTTATCACATAATCATTTTATATCATTCGGCTATTCTGTCATTCCCTCATTTGATCGTTTTTTCATTTTATTGTTTTTTTGTTGTTGTTGTGTTTTGTGTCGTGGTGTATGTCTTCCAGGTACAATCTCTGTGATCTACCTGATCACACTGGTCACCATCAAAGCGGCCCGTCTGGGGTTCCACCTGGAGTTCCACTGGTTCCAACCCTCACAGTTCTATGTTCCAGGTGTGTAAATTACCTGTAACGATGTGATAATTAATCAGCAGACTCTTTGTACTAACTGTAGACACCATTTGAGGCAGACTCACTGAGGCTGAGTGTCTTCTCTTTCTCCCTCCTCTGTTTCTTCTCCTCTTCCTCCTTCCTCTGTGGTTGTCTCAGAGTTCCGGCTGCTGTTCCCTCAGCTGACGGGTGTTCTGACTTTAGCTTTTTTCATCCACAACTGCATCATCACCCTGATGAAGAACAACAAACACCAGGAGAACAATGTAGGTGATCTGTCTTCATCACTACTGCCTCATCTTCATCACACTGACATCACCTTCATCACACTGACATCATCTTCATCACTCATACTCTTTATCACATCAATATTATCTCTGTTGTAATATTTTGACCTTTGACCTTTACTGTGTAGTGTTCCTTTTTTCATGTGTGTTTGTGGTTGTGTATGAGTGTGTGATTATAAGTGTTTGTGTGTATAGGTACAGTATGTGTTTTTGTTTTGTGTGTATGTGCTTGTTTCTCGTGTTTTTAAATGGTATTAATTTTATGTGTTGTGTTGTTTTGCATCTTTGTTTATGTTTATGGTGTGTGTATATGTTTTTGTGTGTCTAAAATGATTTGTGTAGTTGTACTGCTATAAAGTATGGTTATCTTGTCTGTGTGTTTATGTATATCTGTTTACCTGTATGTGTGTTTATGTTCATATGTAGCTATGTGTGTTAATGCTGTGTGAAGATCCGTATTGTGTGCTATGATTGTATTTGTTATATAATGTGTTATGTTGTTTTTGTAATGTGTTGTGCTCAGGTGCGGGACCTGTCTGTGGCGTACCTGTTAGTCGGTGCAACCTACCTGTATGTGGGGATTTTAATTTTTGCTGCATTCCCCTCCCCTCCTCTTACCAAAGACTGCATTGAAGCGGTGAGATTCATTTCCTCACACTGTATTCACTCCGTTATAGATTAACTATTTCTTATATAATTTGTTGATACATTTTATTCTCTTAAAATTTTAGTGTTTATTGTGTGAGTTATCTCTGTAGAAAGTTCAAAAGTTTTTAATAATATCATGTGTTTGATTTTAATATTATCATTATTTACTCTTTAGAAAATAAAACTACTTTCTGTGCCCCCCTCCCCCCACAGAACTTTCTGGATAACTTCCCCAGCAATGATGTGATGGTGTTTGTAGCTCGCAGCTTCCTGCTGTTCCAGATGATCACTGTGTATCCCCTGCTGGGCTACCTGGTCCGAGTCCAGATGATGGGCCAGCTCTTTGGAAACCACTACCCCAGGTACAATGAAAAAACAGTCACTGCAGGCTGAGAAGTACTGATAGATTGTGTCTGGTGGGTCTAAATATACTGTATGAATTGGAATCAATGATTCTTTAGGTGAAATATATATTAAGATGAAAATGATTCCAGCTGAAGATTTCTTTGCTCTCCTCTCTTTTTTTTCTGTAGTTTCTTTCACGTTCTGGCTCTGAACATTTTGATTGTCGGGTCGGGAGTCCTGATGGCAAAGTTTTATCCAAATATTGGATCCATCATCAGGTTTGTTTGAAGCGCTCCTTCTGACCTCTCTGTGTAAATAAAGATAATGTTATGATAGGAATGATAACAGCAGTGAATCTAGGGTCTCTGCTGTCTCTACCCACGGCATATAATTTATGATAATGTTATGATGTCAGTTCTTTTGATTTCTAACCGTTCTCTGTTTGAAAATCTATACTACATGGTATCAAATGTGTTTAATGCAGTTAAAAGCAGGGTCCTTTTTTGGCTTTGGGGGTCTTCACTCAAAGCTTTTTCAACGTGTGAAATAACTATTTAAAACATTTGAGTTCATTTGTGTTCGAAGCTTTTCTGTGATTGGTCAGATCTAAATATTAACTGAGTTTGAATGGTGTGAATAACAGCTGATTAATGACTGACATTAAGAGCTTAATTCACTTGACTTAACCAAAGATGAGCTGTGAGACCCACAGAGAAACACACTTCTCTGTTTTTCCACTTGTTTCTACAGCTCATTCTGATAACCCTCTGTCTTTTGCCTCATGTGTCAGCATGACATTCAACTTTGAAAAGTTTTAATCTACACCCAATTTTTCAATGTTCCTCCTTTTCTCTGAAGATTCTCCTGTGACCTGTGATGCTTTGGTCTGATGTTCTCTTTTTCATGTTCCTCTTTCTCTCTGCAGGTTTTCCGGGGCCACCTGTGGTCTGGCTCTGGTCTTTGTGTTTCCAGCTTTAGTGCACATGATCTCACAGAAAAGACAGGGGACGCTACGTTGGCCGTCGGCAGTGTTCCATAGTTTTCTGATGGTTCTGGGCGTGGCTAATCTGGTGGCTCAGTTCTTCATGTAGAGCTGTCAGAGTTTGTGCTTTAGGACACGTGTGTGGTGTTTAATCTGATGGAGTCAGACTGATGTGTGGGTGCGAATGCGCGAAAGTACGTGAGTGTATGTTCAAGACGATGTAGCAGTCCTCCTGAAGGTAAAGGGATTTCACACTCAGTGTTTCAGGGAGGATCAGGAGGCTAGTTTTAGATATTATTGAATATTGATATTTTATGATACTTCTTGGTTAGAGGTGCTTCTGATGTCAAAAACTGAGATACGATATCATTTATTATTTAATATGAATATGACATGTCATGATATCTCTCGGTTGGAGGTGTTTCTGAAGCTGCTCTTTAGGGTTAAATTGATGAAACATCAGGAGAAGTTTTAGAGAAACTTAGTCAAACATTAACTGCTCTTTGAATGAACTTTGACACCTTTTAAATTGTTTTTTATATTTACTGTGAATCACATGACAGAGTTTAAAACTTTTACTTGAAGTCTTTTTCTTCTTCACCATGAAGTTTGTTGCTGCTGCCCCCTGCTGGCAGTTTGTTTGTGTTACAGCTGATTTTAAGCTCAAAAAGGGAACAACGTTGTGATTCTTAAATCCGTTTCAATGACATTCAGACTTTTATCTTTTATGGGTGGTGTTTCGATGATGCCTGTTTCATGTATTTTACTAACCAAAGGATAAACAAAGGGAAGATATTTAGAGTGTAAATAAACTGTATGAGTCCATGAAATGTTTGCTTTTAATAAAAACTGTTTAATCAAAGAAAATTTAGACAGATCTGGTTATTTTTACAACCTTTAAAGAGCTGATTTTAACATTTTATAGTAAATCATAATAAACTGGATCATTTCTTTATGTTGCTTTGCCCCCCTCCTGTGGACAGAAGCAGTACTGCTGGTTCATGTTGAAGGGGTTTGTCTATTTCAATATCTGAAGAATCAGAAGCTGTTTTCTTCTTTGAGTTTATTCAGATTTGTTGTGAAGACATGATAAAACATTTTTTGGAAACAATATTGAAGTAAACTGTTATTATGTCAAACTATTTATAGGTATAATCAGTCATATATTGATAAATAGTCTGAGTCAGGATTAAAGTTTTGATGTCTCAGGCTCTGATTCAAATAGTTTTTTTTTTTAATTGAAGATGACTGGAGGTGATCTTTCACTCTGAATCTCATCTCACAACCTCACAGTAATTCATAACAAATTCACATGACCTGAGATGAAGCAGGGCCAGGATTTATGAGCTCACACCACCACTAAAACAGTCTGCAGAGTCTCCTCTCCAAGATCAAGAGGCCAACGGTGCGTTCACACCAAACATGAAAAAATTAGTCATGCAAGTGAATTACATGTATAGTCGATCCAAATAAGGCAGAGTGGATCATACGTGCGACTAGTCTGCTCAATTTGCATCTCATCCAACACTGTCTTCAGAGGCTTATTTGTGAGAGTAGATGAATCTGAACTCAAGTGAACGCTCGCACTGTGATAACCAATCAGCATTGAGATTCTCTGCTGATGTCTATCAATGACAGACCAGCAGAGATTCATTCATAAAAGATGGAGGATTAAGGTCTGATTATGTGGTTAATTGTTTAAACATGACAGATCATCACAGTGTGCTTAACCTCTGTCCTCTGCTGTGTTTGATATAAAAAGACTGACTCTTTCTCCTCTCTTGCGAACACAAACATGTTTGGACACCATTTGTGTTTGGTGTGAACACAACATAAAATCTCTGCTGGTCTCAGTTTAACAAGAAACCACAGACTCACTCTGAAACTTGACCAGCAGGACTCTAAGGGGTTCTCACTGGACTTTAACCCATCCACTGTACACACCCGAGTTCTCTCTCTGTTTCGGGCAAAACTACCTGGTTGTGACTCACCTGGTCCTGTCCTGGTGAGTCAGGTCTCTCCTTGGCTGTGAGGTAAATGAGCCTTAGCTGGACCTGAGTGCAGGACATTCAGCCCCAGAGGCTACTTGATTCATGTTGGTTTACCGGAAAGTTTGAGAGCAAGGCTGAACTTTGACCTCCTGCTCTTCAGAAGGCTCCAGGTCATTTCAGAGTCCGACAGACCAACACCTGGTAGGAGGTCAAAGTGCAGAAAATGAGTGCTGGACGACTCGGTGTGATTGATGGTGATGTCTGGTCTTGACTGTAGAAAACTGTTCAGCTGTTCCTGCAGCTCTGTAACTTCAGGGAATCATAAAACCTGTCTGGGTGTCTGTGCCTTTGGAGGATCATGAACCATCGATAAGAGACCCTGGTGGCCTGAAGTCCTGTAGAAGGGGTCTGAACCAAGCTAAAGATTAAGGAGCAATCCCATAATCTGAGTGAATTCAGTGACCAGCTGGTCAGTGACTTTAGCTGCCAAACAACCAACTTTCTTAGTCTTCTCCTTGAGCAGCACCATGAGGAGGGTAACACTAATCCAACTCTGAGACTGAACGAGTAACACCAGCTGGCCTGTACACCACCATCCCTCCAAAACAGCCAGTCAGGATTACCTCAGGGCAAGTTCAACCTTCTGCGATCCCTGCACCACAATTCAGACTGCTTTCCTCGTAAATATCAAGCAGTGTACGAACTCTACAATAAGTTAGGACACGAATCATTGCAGATGTTCTGCAAATCATTTATAAGAAGATCAACCAAACTGGTCAAAAGTTATGTAATGTAAAAACAGCTGGAGGAACATCTCCAACTGATGAGGTTAATTTCCAACTGGTTAGTAACATGACTGGGTATAAAAAGGACATTCAGAGAGGCTGAGTCTCTCAGAAAGAAAGATGGGAAGAGGTTCACCACTCTGTGAGAGACTGTGTGAGCTAATAGTTCAACAGTTTCAGAATAATGTTCCTGAGTGTCAAATGTGAAAGAATGAGTGGATTTCATCATCTACAGAACAAAATATCATTCAAAGATTCAGAGGATCTGGAGAAATCTTTGTAACTAAAGGGACAAGGACCAAAACTAAGACTGGATGCACCAGATACTTCTTTGGACCTGAGCCCATTTAAGGTGGACTGAGGAGAAGAAGAAAACTGTGCTGTGGTCTGATGAATCCACATTTGAGATTCCTTCAAGAAGTCATGGATACTTCACCCTTCTCTCTGAAGAGTACAGGGACCACTTAGCTTGTTATCAGCTCGCAGTTCAAAGTCAGCATCCCTGATGGTGTGGGGATCAACAGTGTCCATGAGTATCTTCCACATCTGTAAAGGCTCTATCAATGCTAAACAATATCTACAGGTTTAGGAGCAACATATGCTGCCATTGAGACAAAGACTTTTTCAGGGAGGACCTTCATATTTCAGCAAGACAATGAAAGACTTGTCTCTCATTGAAAACATTTGGAGCATAATGATACAAAAAAAAAACAAACAAACAAGACAAAGTAGACCCTGAACTGTTGCACAGCTGGTATCCTCTATAAAGCAAAATGGGACAACATTTCACTTTTAAACCCCAGAAACCGGTTTCTTAGGTTTACTAACATTTACAGAGGGTTGGGAAAAGAAGAGCTGATGAAACACGATCAGGAATATTGACCTGGAACTACTTTTTACTAACATGTTGCTTACAAACAATAAAATTCTGTTTTTAACAATATTGAACACAGACTCGAAACTCTGATGGAAGTGAGGTTGTATGTCTTTTAAGTATAAAAATGTATTATATATTTATTTAAAATATACTTTAACATTTACAACTGTCCAGATTTATTTCTGCCTGTTTCATGTTTTAATTTTACTAGTTTGTTTTGATTGTATTCCCCAGTTGATGTATGTTAATGTTATGCTGTATTTCATTTTCACACCTCTTTGTCTATTTCATTAAAATAAATGAATAAATCAAAATGTGCTTTTCTTTCTTTCTTCAGTTGACCCTGCTTGGCCTCCACATGAGTGGAGGAAGTAAGGAGTTAATCAATGACAAGGTCTCTAACCCCACCACACATAAACACAGACACGCACACACACACGCACACGCACACACCTCCATTAATGGTATTAATTCTGTCTGAAAGGGTCACAGCAGATCTGACCTTTAGGACCACGTTCATCTCCTTTAATCCTCCTCAGGAGGGTTAGAGTCCTCTGTGTGTGTGTGTCTGTCTGTGTGTCACGAGTCTTATTGACCGTCTGGGAGCTTTCTGTCACACTGACACTGAGAGTGAGTGTGAGTTTAGAGATCAATAGTTCCACTTGACATGATTTTAAACTGAACAGAGTCAATGTGATTAAAAATCAGAAACGTTTCACAAAAATAAAACCGTGTATTTATTTATTTATTTCAGATGCAGACCATTTCCATTCAACTAACTTATATTTATTTATATATTATAAAGAGAAAGCGTGTGAGTGTATATATTAAGATATATTATGTATAGTGTGTGTAGTCCTGTTTATATTTATGTATAGTATATAGTGTGTGTAGGTGTGTATATATCAATATATATTCATTAAAAAGTGTGTTGTTGTGTTGTATATGTATCATTATTAGAATGGATTATAAAGTTTGTTTGGTTGTGTGTGTATATAAATATATATATTCATTATTAAGAGTGTGGTTTTGTGTATAAATTAATATACTGTATATATTCATTGTAAAGTGTATGTGGTCGTGTGTATAGACCCAAAGTGATTGCTCTGTGGACGGATGGATGGACGGGTAGTTGGGTGTGATGGATGCAGAGTCTCCTCCCCCTACAGGATCAAATGTCGAACTCCCTCTGACAAAACACACACCCTGAGGTATCAGCATTATCAATGGGGGTGGGGGGCAGCAGTGGGCTGGCCTGTGATTGGCTCATGCGCGCTCTAATTGGATCAAGTAGGAACTTGCTTAGCTGGATGCTTTGTGCTGGGATCAGAGACAGGAAGAGGAAGAGAGGGAGGAGGCCACGCTCACTCTGCTATCACTGAGAGAGGAGGAGACAGAGGAGGAGACAGAGGAGGAAAGGGGAGTATCCCGCCCTCTGCTGCAGCCCCCTCCTCTCTGTAAGTCTTTCTCTCTTGTTCTCCTTACTCATCTGTTTCTGCTGCCGGAGAGGAAGGGCACCTGCCGCTCCCTGATGATTCAGCGTTCGCTGTGTTGGACGTGCAGCAGACAGCATGCATCTGCAGAGCTGGGCCATCCCGTCTTCATCTCTTCAACTGCTGCAGCTGCAGCCGTCCCATCACGTCCTCCCTGCCCGTCCTTCATCCCAGCTCAGGTGAGTTGGAGCTCGTCTTCACTTTGCACCGTCTCCAACCATTAGAGAGTCTCACCCTGGGTTTCTGTCCCGGTCTGCAGCGAATCTGAGGTTCTATTTTTAGACCGCTGCCTGTGTTTCCTGTGAGAGAGCATGAGTACAGAACTCCTCTTCCTCGTCTGCAGACTGACTTCGACCCTCAGAGAGTGTTAACCCCGTTTCATCTCCTGAAAGCTCACCATGGAAAACACTCAGGAGGGGAGCGGGCTTGGGCAGACGCTCTGTGATGCTCTCGGTTAGAACTCTTCCTCCTCCAGCAGGACAGGATGACTGAGGGCATGGACGACTTCTCCGCAGGGCCTCCTCCCCCTCCTGGATCAGCCTCCCCCACCGGCTCTGTGGACACCGGACGAGTCCCTGAGGAGAAAGCAGAGGAGAAACCAGAGGAGAAACCGGAGGAGAAACAGGAAGAGACAGAGGAGACGGAGGAAGAGGAGGCAGCGGGTCGCAGTGGGGAGGAGGCTGCAGAGGGAGGCGCAGAGGGAGGTGCTGATGATGGCGAGCACATGGGGGCCGTGGGCATCATGGCGTTCTCAGCGAGCTGCTGTGTGTGCGTAGAGATGGAGCAGATCAGAAACTGTGTGCACTCTGAGAAAATCTGCATCCTGCCCATCCTGGCCTGCCTGCTCAGCCTGGCGCTCTGCACCGCCGGACTCAAGTGGGTCTTTGTGGACAAGATCTTCGAGTATGAGCCGCCCACACACCTGGACCCCAAACGCATTGGACAGGACCCCATAACAGCCAACCCCACGCTGGGACACACGGTGACTGTCCCTCACTCATCACCCTCCCCCGCCTCCCTGACCACCGCCCCCCTCACCCCTACCTCCCTGACCACCACCTCCCTCACACCCTCCTTCACGCTGGGACATCCTGACGTTTTCCTGGAAGAGAAATCCACCCGAGGGCCGAACGGTCCACCCGATCCCTCTATGACCCTCAAGTACAACGCCGAACGACCCAGCACCACAAAGCAGACCCCCCACCCTCAGACCACACGGGAGATTAACGACATCCCCACAGTCTGTAAGTACACATGATGGGAGCACTGGGAATAGGTTACAGGCAGGATGTCCTTTGTTTCTTCATTGCATTAAAGGACAAAGTGACACGAGCTGCTCAGAGTGTCATCAACACAAAAGCAGAGTGATTTATAAAAATACGAAACACCTGAAGGTCAGAGTAAACGTCAGAGCAGATCTTAAAATAAAAAACTAACATCATTTAGAGCAATAAGTTCAACAAGTTCAAGTCGGATAAAAAGGTTAATATCCTAGACATGAATCAGTGAAATGTCACAACAGTAAAGGGAGATTAGAAAGCGAAAGTACAACGTATGAAGGTGAAAGAGGTAAAATCGAATCATTAAAGGAGTGTAAGAGTCAGATAATGAAAAGTTGTCTGTTACAGAGACAGATCCAGACCTTGAAGGTGAAAGATGACGTGTTAATAAAAGGGAATAAAGCAAATTACTAAAGGTGAATAAAGACTATAAGTCAAGGTGAATACAGACGTGTTAGTAAAGGTGAATACAGATGAGTCTGTGAAGGTGAATAAGGAGTTAATAAAGGTGAACAAAGACGTGTTCCTAAACGTGAATAAGGTGTGAGTAGAGATGAATAAGAAAGTGTTAGTTAAGGTGAATCAAGAGGCTTAGTTTATGCAAATATTGTCCAGGTAAAGGTGTGTGGACATTAAAACACAGAGTTTTTTAAACGCCAAGAGAGCTGAGCTCTGAGGGCTGAAACCTGAGGTGTGTTCGCAGGACTCTCTGAATGCAGACACGTCGAGGCTTGCAGAGTGCTGCAGAGAGGCAGTGACTAAGCCTCTGAAATATTACTACACTGAGAACAACAATCTGTTCAGACCTGAGGAACCTCCAGTCTGCCTCTTTAAGAATTCATGATCACATCGTGCTGCAGAGATTTTGGCACACTACAGCAAATGGAGGTTTTTTTATGGTGTTCTTCTGTATGTAGAAGGTGGAGGTCCCTAAAATGTGTGGGGGCACATTTCCAGTCATCTGAAACAGTGAAATCAATAAATGATGCAGGACACAGACTGAAACTCGAGGCTGTGGTACAGGGAGACTTCCTGTTTTCTGCCCGTGCTCCATTTCAAGGTCAGAGTCGCTGGAGGCTAATTGATGCCCCCTCCATCCGTCCACCGCAGAAAAATCATCCCACTAATACAGTCTGTCTGCCCGAGACACAGCGCCACTATGCCAAACCGGTCTGACGCATGCACGTCTGCAAGGGTAGGAACATTCGAAACATCTCTGAGGGTTAGAACAAGGAGTAACATTTACGGCCTTTTGTAACATTTACATATCTAAAGGATTACAACATAAAAGAGTTAGAATATGGAGTCAAATCTAAAGGTTTAAGAACATTAGCAAAGTCTCTGATGGACTAGAACATAGAGTCACTTTTTAGAGGGTTAAAACATGAGAACAACTCAGAGGGTCAGAACGAGGAGTCGAATCTTTAAGCTCAAGATTATTAGAAAGAAAAAAAAACTCTTGGTGGGGTTAAGGCGTTAAAAACATCTCTGATGGTAGAAACATGTACTCAGAGTAATAAACTTAAAACATAGAGGGAAATCTTTGGTGTAAGTAAAGAACATTAGTGAATGAACAGCTTCTCTGTAATGTCTTCCATTTGAAGAACAGTCAGAGGAGCAGCATTTAGGATCGATCCACATGGAAAGAGGGGTCACTGCAGCAACTACATTTTGTCTGCAATTACTGAACAACCAGAGGATCAGCTTCCTTGATTCATCTGCATTTAAAGGATCAGCCTCTATGATCATTACGCTTTTACTGAACATCTGACCGGCTTCTTTCAGAGGATCAGAAGTCATCAATCGTCCACATTGAAAGAGGGTTCCTTGCAGCTAGGCCTGTCACGATAACAAATTTTGCTGGACGATAATTGTGCTACAAATTATCACCGATAAACGATATTATTGACACCATTTTTTAAATTATAGATAATGATATTATATGGCATAATAATGCGAGTACACCATGTCAAAAGTGATAAACTTTAATTTCCACACGAGAACAACACTGGTTGTTTTCGTTGACTAAAATATTTCCCTTTTCTCCCACGACGAAGACGTAACGTTGACGAGCTAAACATAAGTCGGAGATGACTAAAATGTGACGAGACGAAAGTGCGTTTACGTTGATGGGACGAGACGAAAATGACGAACAGAGTTGCAAAACTCAGTCAGTTAAACGCTAAACATATAGGAGCAGCTTCAGTCCGCTCTGACAGCTCTCATCAGCCTGCTGTGCTCCTCCAACACACAGACACACACGCACGCGCGCGCGCGCACACACAAACGTGGAGTTTTGTGGTTGACGAAAACAAAACTGGTTTAAAGCCGAAATATTCCCACACTTGGGCTGTTGCGTTCGGTTTAGACACCAAAGCTGTCGTGTTCATTCTGTTAGCTTGCTTTTCACTCACGACGCTCACTTGCAGCACTGTATCCAAAAAGCCTGTGTCTGTGTGCGCCAGCCCCCTCCTGACAAAGACACTGAATGACTGACAGGAGGGTTCACTAACTCCGTTCATTCCGCTATAGAGCCAACGCCCCCAGGTGCCGAGAACAATGCGCAAAGTGAGACCTCTTCTCTCATCCAGCGTGTTTGGTAGCGAGAGAGGAGGAAAACAAACGCACGTCAATTATCGAGGCTGGCAAAGTTATCGACCTCGTTTTTATTTATCGAGCGATAAGGCGATTTATTGATTATCGCGACAGGCCTACCTTGCAGCAAATATGTTCTCCCAGTTTGAGGATCAGCTTCTTCTCTCTGTCTGCATCTGAAGAATGGTCAGAAGATGAGCTTCTATGATCTGTCCCCATTTTAAGGACAGTCAAAGTATCTAGTTTTCTAGCCAGTAGTTTCTTGGTCCTGACTATCCTTGAAAGCAGTCAGAGGATCAGTATGCACTTTTAGAAGATAAGGATGATCAGCTACTTTGCTCTTCCTTCAATCATGACTCAGAGGATAACATTCATGATGAATCTACATTCAGAGAGGAGTCATTGCTGCAATTATGTCTCTCTGCATTTATGAACCAGTATCCACTTTGTATTTCTGTCTGCATTAAAGGAACAGTCTGACAAACAGTTACTATGGAAGAGCCAGAGGATCTGCTTTTTTGTATTTTCTGTCAAAGAAAAGTTAAAAGGTGCTGCATTTATCGATCAATCTACAGTTAAAGAGGGGTAATTGCACCTTCTTTGTTACATCTGTATTAAGAAACAGTCAGGGGGTTAGCTTGTGTGCTGTGTCTTGAAAGAACATCAAAGAATCAGCTTCTGTTTCTTCTACACTTTGACATCAGCTTTGTACCTTCATAGACATTTCCTTTTCATCCAGTCCTTTTTTTTCCAGTCTAGATCTGGGGTTCCCAACCTCTTTTAAGTTAAAGTAGTGAAAATAAATGCAAGTCTCTTCCTTATTTGGACCTTAGTGGTTGCGAGGTGTAGGCAGGCCACAAAATGGTCATCGGTCATCGTGGATCTGTACTTGGGCTTGATGATTGTCATGAGAGAGAGCAGACCTGCATGAATCGGTTGATCCAAAAAGGGTTGTCAGATTCAAGGCCCATCTTCTGAGGTACAGATACTTTCTTTCCAGTTGAAGTTCCAGATCTTTCCTTTCATCCCTGGTGTTGCCATAAATTTGATCTCATTGTCATTCTGCTGTGTAAGAATCTCATTTTTAGCGGCTGAGCTATGCAGGTGGAACCACTTAGGACACAATGTCATCTACATTAATATTTGGGTTGCATAGATCTGGTAACACATTCAATTCATGCAAAGTCAGTAAAACGCTTCTCAAATCCTGATGAGACGCCCTGAACTTGCTCATAATGAAGTGCAATGTCAAGTTGTTTGACATCTTGAGCCTGACTTTGTAGCTCTGCCTGCATGTGCAGAAAGTTCTGCAGGTCACAGTGTTGCAGCCTACCTGACAGCAGTTTAAGCTTGCTTTTAAATGTGCTCACAGAAATGATCATGTCAACATCGCCCTTATCTTTAACCTGCAGTTCTAAAACTAGCTCACTGAGCAGACTTGTGAAATCTGAGGAATGGTGAATCTAAAAGCCACTGGGAGACTTCTAGCTTACCATTATTTTAGCAATAGCTCAGTAAATCTAGTCAAAAATGTACTTCTGCGCAGCCACCTTGCATCTATATGCAGCAGGAAGTCTGTGGTTTGAGTCCAGCTCCTTCAACTGAGCACAGAACAACCAACTTATGTTTGACAAGAACGTGACTACCACTTTAACACTTTACCCTTAGTGTGGGCCTCTTAAAAACAGACTGCTGCTCTGCCAACTGGCTCTTCACCCCCACACTTTCAGGCTGCTCTGAGCTGTTTTTGTTTGGAAACCAGTTTCCTTTGTACATTGTCTTGTGTCATTCAAAGGTGTCCTTCTTCAGCAAGTCTGTGCTTGCACTGCAGATACGAAAGATTTACTTTCAATTTGAGCAAACACAAAATAATCCTCCCAATCTTGGTGAAAATAATATTTTCATTCAGATAGCATTATTTTCAGAGAGCAAACTTAATGATTGAAAGGGATCAGCTACCACTCACACCCATGTCCTGACAGATTCATGCTCCGTCACTATGCTAATATCCCTGACTGCACAGACAGGGAAAGATTATAGGCATTGACCAATACAGGTTACAAAATAAATAGTTTTCTACCCCTCTAGGGATCTGCTGGGAATCAGTCCTGTCCATCAGGATCATCTGGTTGGGCCCCACTGGAATCTAGATCCAAGAGACAATCTAGGCTGTAGATTCCAGATCCAGATCTTAACCTGCTGTCCTGCTCAGTTATTCTTTAATGTCATTAAAACTTGCTCCTGATTCCTGAAGTCCTGTTTTCATCATAAAGTCATTCAGTAGAGGACGTCATGTCGGGTCGAGTGGTGTTAAAGGGACACTGACAAATGTGGGACAATTAAGTGTCAGTGCAGGATTGGCTTTGAATTCAAGCAGTAGTATCACAGAATTAAGCTCCTGTGAGGAACTCTCTGCCCATGTTGACTTTGGTGCCCCCTGTGGACAAAGAGGTAACCCTTAAATTGTAGCTAATTTCATCTTCTCTGTGTATAATTAATAATGACACAGCCTTGTATGACAGTATTCAACTTGACTATGATCAGTGTTGTCACAGAGACCCTTTCTCATAAAGTTCAATCACAGCAGGTCTGAAAATAGTACATCGTAACTTGGAACACCAGACGTTCTTCTGGCTGACTTTTATGCTTGTTTAACGGCACAGCAGACGTTGATGTCCGCTCGGTTCTGCTTTGGTTGTATTCTTGTCGTAGCTGTTCTTTGGCATGATGACTCTAGATTAAATTAGTTGTGCTGTATTCTGTTGCCTCTACTGTCATCTCAGGACACGAGCTTGGCACATATTGCAAGTCTTGTTGAATTTGCCCCTGTCACGCTCTAGCCCCTGCTAACATGACAGGTGCGACAGCAGCATACTGCTGCCCTGAGGAGCCTGCCTCTGATTGGCATGTTGCGCCGAGTAACTTGGCACTAATGGATCGAATCAGACAGTTTAAACTTTGTTTTCTGATTTCCAATCCAGTAATTTTAGTTGGTATTGGACCAATACTGATACTGAATATGGACAAGTGCATCTTTACCTGTAACACATCTTAACTTTAATTACCAGGTAGAAGAAGCATGCATGCTTTTCCTGCACTTGTTATAGGTAAAATAAGTGGAATTCAAATCTATAATGACAAGCAATGACAATGCTGTGAGTTCGGTAGCAGGTAGGTTTCAAAGGCGGAGTCTGCAGGATTTAAGAGCCTGTATGCTAATGTGTAAAAGATGAGTGACTGAATGTGCTGCTCCATTTTCATATTTTCATCAAGCCACTCAAGCTCACGCAGCCAGAGTGTTAAATTTACAATGACAAACTACCATCCATCCATCTATCCGTCCATCTTCTACCACTGATTCAGAGTCAGGGGACAGGGGAAGCAAGCTAAGCAGGGAACTCACACTGCACCCGTCTCCTTTGGCCTCTACTCTGGGTGGTGATCCCATGGAAAGGGGGTCCCACGTTGCCTCTTCAGGCTGTGCCCAGCCAGGCCCCACAGGGGGGTCAACCCATGTGCAGACGCGAGAAACCGAAAACCATTTGTTGTGTTTATCATAAAGGGTCTTTTTAGCTACACTTTATCTGAGGAGGGAAACCAGTATCACCATATTTTGCTTTTGCAGACATAGATCTTACACTTTAAGGTCAAAGACAAACAAGGGAGAAGTAAATTAGCAGAAAATTAGCGTGCATGACAACTAACAAATTATAAAATCACCTACTCATCAAAAATACACATGTCCAAGTGTGTTAAACAGACCCCTCTACTGAAACTTGTTTTAAAGCTGACATTACTTACCTTTAATCTGAGGATGTCAAAGGATTGAAAAGAGGGATTGACATCAGGAGCCTCATGACCACATGGAAATTTTTGCAAATGGCTCCCTCCACTGTTGTAAATGCGCATGTGCACGAAAATTATAGGAATCATGGTTAGACAATCTTAATTCTGTTTGTTGTAAGAAGCATGTTTAAAATAGCTTGATTGTATAGATGTAATACAACACACTTGTGTAAATTCAACAACCCCTAATGCAACTTTAATAATACTTGAATAATACTTTCGGTTAGATGGTTAAAAACACACTTGTAGAGTATTTTTAAAATGAAATTATTATATAATGATGTTTCTGAATTTGCACATTGTGAACATAAAGAAACAGCCTTCATAAATGTGATTCACCTTCAGAGACATGACTCTGTAAAAAACCACTGCAGCTCTGAGAGCAGCAGAGACGCTGGCTGGACTCCAGCAAACACCCTGATACTGCAATTTTATCCATCCTGACCCTACGGCTGGAAAAACTGCAGGAAACATACACTCAGTCCTTACCTCCTTTACTCTCTGCAAACATCTCCTCCATCTCCATGATGAGGATGAGGATTCATTGAAAATGTAAATCCCAGTGTGCCTGTTCGATTAGAAAGAGGTCCTTAGAAATATTTCCAGGACAGTAAATTGAGTAACGTGAGCTGTCTGTATCAGTCTGTAGCACTGGTAGGCTCGGTCATTGATGATCATGCTGAATGCTGCAGCTTCTGATTAAACTCTGTTCATTCATATTTATATTCCTGCAGCCTTTTCTCTGCTTCATCATCTTTGTCACATATCTGAAGAAACTGCTGACTGACTGTAGACCCTCCGTCTCCTGTTGCATGCTGGGATAGACCCCAGTGGTAGCTGCTTAGGTTATCTTTACTGTCTTTGTAGTTTTAGTTTTATTTAATGTTGGAGATCTTCAGCACCAACTACAACGACCTACACAGAGTATGCAGTTACTGTACACTCAGGGCGTTTTTCAAAGATTTAGAAGCTTATTTAACACACTGAATCCCCCCCTGGATTAGCAGGTAGTTTTAACTGAACACTAAAAGTCTGTAAACTCTAAAATTATTCACCAACTGTATAAACTCCCCCTTTTTTAACCTACTATATTAACTCTTACATTTTTTCTACCTGGAGTGTTTCCTCTGATGTTTCTTGCTGCTATAACAACCTTTTGTCCTCTGCAGCTGCCACCAGCACCACCACCAAAAGTAAGACCTCCAGTCACGTGACGCGCTGCAGCGACAGACAGAAGAACTACTGCGTTAATGGAGGAGAGTGCTTCACCCTTGAAATCATGCCAGGCAGCACAAAGTTTCTCTGCAGGTACGACACAGGCTGAAGGTCAAAATGGTGCCTTTGAATCAGACCTCATCTGACTGATGCTTTTACTGCTGTGTTTGCTCTTCTTTGCCAAGTTGACTGACTGAGTGTATCTGAGGTCCCTCTCGCCTTAGTCCGAACCTCTCACCGTCTCTGAGAAAGCCAATATTTTAAAATGTTGTGGGAAAAAAGGATTTATTGTGTGAGTCCAGCTGAAACTGGACTTTAAAGATCATGTAAACTCGTTGGTAGTGAGCTGGAAAGTGTTTTCATCAAACAAACTATTGGCCTTTTGCTAATGGCGATTGTTGATTATTTTGGTACATGACATGACAGGACAACCAGAGGATGGCCGAGTCTAAACAACGTGATAACCAAGTAACAGCAGAGGATAATATACTTTAGACAGTTTATCAATTGGAACTACACTGTGCGTGTAACGATACTGTGTGGGGAACTGAGAGATAGAAGGAAAGTGTAAGAGAAAAGGAAAAATTGGGAGGGAGAGAGAGGAAAACTGGGGAGAGAGTGTGGGAGACTGGTCAGGGAGGAAAACTGTGAGACTGGAGGAGAAAGAGGAAAAATGGGAGATTGGAGAATATGGCAGAGAGAGTGGGACACCGGGGGATAGAGAGGACAACTGGGGGAGAAGGAAGGAAACTGAAAGGGAGAGGTGGGGAATGGTTGATGATCCTGGGCTGCCCCTCATACCAAGATCATCTCAGAATCACCTTTAGCGAGGACATAGTTTTATCGTAAAGGCCCAAAATTCTGCTCTGGTCAGGATCAGGCAGGACACCTTCTCCTGGTCAGTACCCCCTTGTCCCAAAGGTGTTCTCACTCTTGGTAAACCTGAACAAGGACAGAGGCCAAACTGGTTTTCCCAAGCCTCGTCTTTTGTTCCTTGATTGTTGGTGTTTGTTTAAATTATACAAGTTAGTACCACTTCATCTCTGTATCATGGTTCCTGATTGGCCTTAGAGGTGAGGCCCCACATGAGAAGACCAAGTCTGTGATACTGCAGACCAGCACCCTGCAGTCCCTGCTCATACCTTCATTAGAGCCGGTCCATTAGCAATCCCTGACCTCTAACTCTGCTGCCCACCAGCTGAGGCTCGACATAGCTGACTAAGAAATGCAAGAGAAGCAAGATTCATAAAGATTCATGAGGGAGAAAGATTTTTCCAACACCGTCTCATTCAGAAAAAAAACCCCAAAAAACCCTCTCTTCATTTCGAGCCAGCTTCATGTTTTAGTGTCGGACTGCTGTCAGTGATTCTAACTTGATGTTGTTTTGCAGAGTCAACAGCAGGGGGCAGAAGAGTCCTGTGTCAGTGTTATGTTGTGCGTCTCACTACTGTCTCTGTTTGTTTGTCCATGTGTTCTCATGTGTATTCCCTGTCCGTCCTGTTTATGTGTCCTCCTCTCTGCCCATTTACCAGGTGCTCTGCAGGATTCACTGGGCACCGATGTGAACAGGCTGTGCTTAAGAAAGTCTCAGACCCAAAACGTATGTTTACACACCTGTACCTAATCCCACATGTCATTACTGGTGTTCCACCCTGTCACATTTCCTCATGTAGCTGTTGGAGGACTCCATGATTCCTTAACACGCAGATAAAACCTGCTGATTTGTAGAAATCTGATCGACTGTATCTGCAGTGGATCCTTGGAACGTCTCTAAAGCTGAAACCTGCATGTACCTCCACATCCCATCAAACACCATCCATACTGTTCATAGCTGTGGCCTGTTTGTAGGTGTAAAGCTCTCGTCCTCACCCCTTTACCCCGAAGGAACCAGAGGTGAACAGCTTCAGACCTTTTAGGTGTTATCCTGTGAAGCAGCAATGATTCCGATGTTTCAGAAACTGGTCCCATGAGCCTAATCTGAGGGGTCACTGGTTGGTCCGAGGGGTCACTGGTTGGACTGGTGCAGATCTAACTAGGAGCTCTCTAGGTGGTTTATTTCTGGGTCTGTATTGAATGTGGTTGGGGTGAGTGTTGATGTACATGCAGATCTCAGTCTGCAGCTGAGACAGTCATCAGAGAACTTAATGCAGAGTTGAGGTGACTCATAAAATCTCTACCAGTTGATGATTCAGAGCTTTTCCTGTGGGAGGATTCCACATTAAACCTGGCCTCTCTGGTCCTTCCTGCTAACACCAGTGATGATGATGTGGGTCTTAAATTTCTCTCTCATGTACTAACCCCTATCTCTTCTCCTCTGTCTCTTTCTGTCTGTCTCAGGTGTCCAAATGAATTTACTGGTGATCGCTGCCAAAACTATGTAATGGCCAGCTTTTACAGTATGTCTACTACTTCTTCTACCTGTCCTGTGATTGGAGCATGCTCACTGGCTGTTCTTGTCTTGTCTGTGTACCTGATCACCGCTACCTGTTCCTTTTTTTGGTGTGTCAGTCCTGCAGCCTGAAACCTCTGGCATGTCAAAGTCTGATTAAAAGTTTGAAGAGTGCGTGTTTCGGAGACACGTTTCAGTGTCATCACACACAACAAAACATTTACACATTAAAATTTTAATCTGAAAGGATGATCTTTATTCCTGTCAGGCTGTTAAAATCAGTTAAACCTGTCGGGACACAGAGACAACACTCATATTTGATTAATCTCAAACTGAACAGACTGTTTCAGACTGCTGTGGCTCAGGGTTACAGTGGGTTGTCTCTCAGTTGGGGGTTTGGTCCATTTAAAGAGCCCTCCAGCAAAAACCCTGAACCCCAAACTGACCCTGGAGGCGGTGTGTCCATCTGTGTGTAAATGTGTTTGTGAATGGGATTCATTAGAACGATGGTTAGCTTCCTCTGCACTCAGTTTGTATGAATGAATGGCTGAGTGAATGTGGGATGCATCGTTAAGAGCTGTGATTGATCAGGAGATTTAAAGTGGTCAACATAAGAGAAGTCTGTTTGATAATGACCCTGTCTATAAAATATGGTTGATGTTTTAACACTGACAGGCTGAGCAGAAGTTCAATCCTGTTTCCTCCTCAGTGGACTTGTTCATTTAATTATTTATTTACATTATTTAAATAAAAACACAAAAAGTGAAGCCAGAACCACTGAAACACTATCACTGATATACAGGAACGATGTTATAATCAGTTTAAATCCATAGAAGTAATGAAAAAATATGAAGTGAATCTAAAATCTTACAAGTCAAAGCCACAAAAACATATTTGAATAACTTTTAAACAATAATTACAATAATTAAAGATGAATTTATGAACAAAACTTTAGATTAGGGCTGGGCAATATGGCCTCAAATCAATATCACGGTATATTGAGCAGTTCACCTCGGTAACGATAAATGGACGATAACTTCTCCACAAGCTGCTCACCTCCTCCCACATAAACTTCTTCTTCAGCAGCCGCTACAGCCGCTCCAGCCGCTACAACTTTTAAACAGTCCTCCATCTCCTCACCTGTCTTTCCCTCTTTGTTACGGACTGAATGGAGTAGAGTCATGTCTCCGATGTAGGACTGCGGCTTAAAGGGACATGAGACCATAGCCTACCAACACACATCCAAAACCAACTTTTATTTATTTATTTTTTGACACCAAATATACTGACATGGGCAAAATGACGTCGCTTATTGTCATAAATTTCAGTATCGATAAATTTTCGGTTTATCATCCAGCCCTACTCTAGATGCCTTTATTTATAACCACTTAATCTATGTAGGACAAAATTTACAATGAATTATCAATATAAAAGCATCTATAGAAATAGATTTGATAAATGTGATAGCGTTAACCTGTTAGTACTGGTATTAGTACAAGTATTAGTACTGCTTTAGGGTTAGTTAGTGTTTATTACTGTCAGTGTGTTGTGTTTTAGTGTTAGTGTCTGGTTAGTTTTAGCGTTAGTCTATGTTAGGGTTAGCATTAGGTAATGTATTACAATAACTGTTGTGGGTTTGTTGGCTTTTGAATATTTGGACTCAGAGTCAAAACAGCTGATCTGTTTATTGTTTAAAGGAACAATCCACTGATTCAGAAAACAGGAAAAATGAATAGCTAAAATAGACCGCATGACATGACAGCGATTCGGTCTAACCGCACCTTGATGAATAAACTGTAGCTACCTTGATGTTGCCATAGTGATATCATTCAGTCAGGTGGTTATTAAGGAAAAGGCATGGATCCAGTGTTTTCATAGCCTGTCTTATATCAGTATTTGAAACTGTCAAATGTCTGCAGTTCCTCTTTAAAATCTCTTTTAAGTCTTTCAAGAATGCTATTTCAACTGTTTTTTTTGAATGTAAAATTCACAAACTGCTGTGATTGTTAACAGCTGTCCTCTCAATGTTTCTGCCATTAACTTTCTGAGTATTTGTGTGTGTTTCTGCATGTGTGAATGTATTTTTGCATGTGTTTCTTTGTTTTTGCACGTGTGTATGCATTTTTGCATGTGTTTGTGTTGTAGAGCTGAGGTTTTAAGATTGGCCTGTCCTCTCTTTCAGAAGCGGAGGAGCTGTATCAGAAACGTATTTTAACAATATCAGGGATCTGCTTTGCACTCCTAGTCGTTGGAATCATGTGTGTGGTTGCCTACTGCAAAACAAAGTAATTGAAATCACATTTTCTCGTTAATTTATAACTCCATCATTCATTTCATGATTTTATGTCAGCATCCAAATAAGTACTCTGAAATAAATGACAAGTCCAAATGATGAATTCAAAACAAGTCCCAAGCTAGTCCAAACAATGAGTCTAAAACAAATAAAATAGTCCCCTACAAGTCCATATGATGAGTCTAAAACAAATCTCTCAAACAAGTCGAAATCACAAGTCCTAAAAAGGTTTTACACGTGTTGGGAGGTTCGTCTTGGTGTCAGTCTGTGTGAGTGTTAGTTAACGTCAGTGTTAGTTAGTTTTGATTGTATTAGTTGTGTTAGTGTTGTTGTTTGGTGAAAGGGTTAGTTTAGGGTTAGTGTTATTTAAAGATGTTGGTCTAAGCAAACAATTACTTGAAGCTAAGGACGTGAACAGTTAAGTCAGTGTGGTCTCAGTTTCAGGTTTTCCTCTTCTCTGGTTAAAGTTGTCTTCGTCTGTGGTTAGAGCAGTCTCAGTTTTTGTCTTTGTCTTGGGTATATCTTGACCTAAGGTAGGAGTCAACTTGTCTATGGCTAGAGTCCTTCTGTCTTGTGTTAGGTAGACATCTTTTTAACGATTGGATTGGTCTTTGTCTCTCGACAGGCTCATCTTTGTCTCAGGTTAGAGTCATGCTATACTGACTCTCTGACATGGAGTTTTGAAGTTTGATGTTGGTTAGATAAATGATAATAAAACCCGGTGTTGAGTTTCTATCTGTTGATAAAAAGATTAAAAGTTTAACATTTTTCATGTTAAACATCGTTAACCCTATCAGAGAACACAACAAACTGAAACTCTGAGAGGAGGAAGAAGAATTTGGACACTGTAAAAGATGATGGAAGGAAATCAGAGCTGACATCCATCTATTTAAAGGAATGATAAGTTCCTTCATAGTAAAATCACATCACACAGGGTACATCTCTAACATACTGCATATTGACCTTTGGACCTCTGGGATGCTTCACAGCTGAGTTTTCTGTTCTCAAACAGGAAGCAGAGGAAGAAACTTCAGGACCGTCTGAGGGAGAGTATGAGGAAGAAGAAGAAGATGAAGAAGAAGAAGAGCAGCGATCCTAAAGTGGCAAGCTCAGCAAGAGGACTTCAGCATGCTAACATGCCTCTGCAGGATCTGCAGCCTGTTACTGTGAGCTTTTAGTCATCAGCATGAGAGTAACTGAGTGACCACTGCTGACTCCGCCCTCACATGTATCTGCTATATTACCCACAGTGCAACGGGACGACCTTGCAGCATGCAGCTGAGAAGGACTCTGAAACAACCTTCTCTACAAGCAAAAACGCCTTACCTGCTCCTGAACACACCACCTACACCAACGTCTCCAGCCAAAGGTGAGCACCTACACCTTACTGCGACATGACACATGTCCTACAGATAGGCGTCCTGTAAATGCCACACCTGATCCCAAATACACCACCTACACACAGCCAAAGGTGAGCACCAACACAATACCTGTATAAACACCACCTACTCACCTGTCTCCAGCCAAAGGTAGGCACAAAAACCTAACCCAACATCTAAAAACGTCATAGCCCACACCGGTGGGCGTTTGGTGTGTGTGTGTGTGTGTGTGTGTGTGTGTGTGTGTGTGTGTGTGTGTGTCATACAGCTGTAGCTCCAAAATCTAAAATCTGTTTTAACTGTTGCTTACCTGGACAAATCAATTGTCTTTCGGCAGTTTCAGACTGTACCTTAAGTAGGGGAGAAGTATCTTTTTTCAACAGTTTTTTTTTTTAATTAAGAGGATTTGAAAAAAAAATAGGCAGTGATAGTTATTTATAGAACAGAAACACAGTAAAGATGATGTTGATGATTATAATGGTGATGATGATGATGTTGGTGATGATGATGTAATGATAAAGATGATGAATGTGTGGCTGATGATGACTGTGATGCTGCAGCTTCTGTTGATGATGTTTGAGATGAGGTCGATATAATGATGATGTGATGATGATTGGGTCAGAGACAATAAGACTAAATTGATGATGATGATGATCATGATGATGATAATGGTAATGATGGTGATGATGCTGTTGGAGATTGTGTGGATGATAATGATGATAATGATGTTGTGGATGATAATGAAAATGATGAAGGTAATAATGATGATAACATTGATGATAATGATGGTTGTGACGCTGAAGATATTGGAAATGAAGATGATGATAAGGCTATTTATGATAATGATGACGGTAATAATGATTTTGATGATTTTATAGATGATGTTGATGATAATGATGACGGTGATGATAAAGTTGATAATGATGATGGTGATGATGAAGCTGATAATGATGACGGTGATGATGAAGCTGATTATGATGATGATGATGGAGATGATGCTGATGATGATGATAATGGTGATGATAATGTTGGCGATAATGATAAAAATAATTATGCTGATGATGATGATGATGATGCTGTGATGATCATAGTTAAGAAGCTCAAGATGGAGATGAAGACAATGATGATAATTGATGCTGGGATGAAGAAGATTGTGGAGATGGTGATGTTGATAATAGTGATGATGTTGATGTGATGATCAAAATGATGATATTCTCAATGAAGATATTAATGATAATAAAGGAGATCAGATTGGACCTGATGATGGTGGTGATTTAGATGATGATGGAGCCCAGGATGTAGATGATAATGTGACTCTGACAATGATTATGATAATAGACATAAAAAAGATTATAATGATGATTATGGAGAACAGACAGATAACAGAGATCAGGTTGGACAAAATTATGGTGATAATGATCATTAAATTATTGAATTTCCCTTTGGGGATAAATCATGTTCGGGGATTATGTTTATGTTTATGATAATGGGGCTCAGGATAAAGATAATAATAATAATGAAGATGATGATATCAGGATGAAGAAGATTATGATATAATGATGATGATAATGATGATGACAATGATGGTCAGGGTGAAAAAGTTGAAAATTTTATTTGTATTGGAAAAAGAATAAAAAATCGACACCAGGGCAAATTTTTATACAGAGGGAGCAGGCCGCTTCTCAGTGTGTTACAGCATAAATCAGAAGTAGATCGTAAACTCAATAAATACTTATGATAAAACAGCGACAAGTCCACATGATCAAACTAATTGCTTTGTTCATCAAAAACTTTAAAACTCCAAACAGATTTGTTTCTATGGAGTCATTGAGCAAACATCAGCTGATCAGATTAATTAGTGCCGTATCAGCTGATCAGAATTACTCACAGACTGACTAAAGAGCACACAGTGAGTAGCTCAGACACATAAACATTACATTTATGTCCAGAGACCTATCTGAACCCTGTCTCTGTGTGACGTCCCCCCTGTCTCTGCAGCTGGACTAATGACTGGACCAACAGTCTTCTGTCTGACACTGAGTCTGTCTCGGTGATGTCATTGCCGGAGAATAGCCAGCAGACGACGCAGGGTGGCCGGGGTCGTCTGAATGCCACTGCTGGCACCAGAAACTTTAGTGCTAATTCAGAGAAGAGTCGAGACAAACCCAGCGCCGACTGTCCTTAAAGGTAACTGATTACTTTGACCTTTAAAGACCTAAAACAGAAATACACAAAACACACAAACTGCCATCAGTACGACAAAGGCTTTCAGAAGACACACGGCTAACAAGATAACAGAAGACTGAAATATTCCTGATAAATATAATAAACTGTCAATCATGACAGATGAGCCACCCAACCCATAAAAATCAGTAGAACAACACAGGGCCTGATCATAGCTGACCGATCACCACCTCTGAAAATGTAAACATTAACTTCAGCATGTTTGATCATGAAATGTGAACATGTTACAGTGAAAAATAAAGCAGGTATTACTGTATAAAGATTCATAGGCTAATTATGACAGCTGAACTACAAGCTGAGCTTCATACAGTAGCAACCCACTAAAGTTACCAAGAAGTGATACATGCACATGCATCTAAACACAGGTTGTTAAAATAGCACCTTTTTGGACCCCCGCTGAACCATCCACTTTTTAGACTGTGGAGGAAATAAATCAATCTAAACATGTAACATTGTGATTTAGTTTAGGCTTTTGTATAAAGACATTTTAAAATTATTAAAACACAAGCAAAGATTTAGACAGAGTGAAACAACACAATTAACAGACACAAACTGATTCAGTCCTCTTGGACATGAAGATGAAACAGGTGCTTTACATCAGTTTGCACTTCTTTCTAAAGCTCACCTCACCTGCTTTCAGGGGCCAAAATGTGGAAATTAACAGAGTCATCACCCACAGAAATGGCTCCTTGATGTAAAGACAAGAATAGTCTGAGCGTCTGGCAGTCAAAGTCTAACAATCTGAGTCTAAAACAGTCCAAGTCTATAACAATGGGAATCTATAACAGTCTGAGTTTAAAACAGTCTGAGTCTGTAACAGGCGTCCTCAGAATCTATGTTCTCAAAGTCCCAATTCGGTAGAATCGGTACCATGAGTGAATTGGTCTTGATCTGACTGATTTTTCCGTTGTGTTGAGAACAAGTTGTCCCTTTAACATTTTTTATTTCTTCAAGCATGTTTCAGGAGGTAGCTGAAGGCTCTGTTTCAGTCATGGAAACACCGTGGTTCCTCACAGTGATGCTGTGCTGCAGGGCAGCTTTATTCAAAGTTTATGTTGCTCTTTGCTTCTGGACTTTAAACTCTGCATGTGTTTGAACCTGTATCATTGTGTAATTACTTCAAAGTAATGTTCAATAATACTCTGACTGCTGTGTTTTTGAAATGATTTTAAGAATACAAGTTTTACATTACCACCTTTGTGTTTTTGTTTTTCAGGTTTGTATCCGCCCTGACATCCCCAACTCTGCTGTCTCCAGGGTCACACACCTCTCTTCAGACCCCAGGGTCACCTCCATCAGAGATGTCTGCCCCCCTGTCCAGCCTGGCCATCTCTGTCCCCTCAGTGGCTCTCAGCCCATCTGGAGAGGAGGAGCGCCCCCTGCTGCTGCTGAACAGGCGACGAGCTCGGGATGAACAGAAAAGGACCTCTGCTCATTACAACCACGGCCACATGGCCCACAGTTTACCACCAAGCCCGCTGTTGCCTGGGCAGAAAGGTGACTACCAGATCATGTGTGGGCGTGATGACACAGCTGCCAGCTGTCAGGTCTTCTCACCTGATGATCTACCTGAGACAAACAGCAGCATGAGGAGAGGCAGGCACAGCATGGAGTCCAGCTGTGACAGCATCCTGGCAGACGAGTCTCAGGGGGAACAAACGCCCTTCATCGCCACAGGAAGCGCCTCAGCACGGCTGCTTGGTGCTCCAGACGGCAGCAGGACTAACCCAGCAGCGCCACTTGATGACCTACAGGATGAGTCAACGAGTCCCACCAACAAACTAGATTCAGAGTCTGCGTAAAGTCAAATACTTGAGAAGAAAAAAAGAATAGTCACTATTAAACCTTTATTTTCTATAAATGATTTGCTGTAAATGAAAATGAGACTTTTATTTTAGTGATGTAGGAAATACAGAGTTTTATAAAAAGTAAAAATGTGTTCGTGTCTTGTAGGTTAAGTGCCATACGCTGGTATGTAGCAACGGCTCGCAGTATATTTCAGTGCAGAACTAATATCAAAGGTGCCTTTCTGTTTGGTATGCTTAGCTGCAGCGTTGCATTCTGGGCCATATACTCGCCGTCTTATTCACCTACAACAATCAACAATAACCTGCTGGCTGCAGTCTGAAGAGCTCGCTGACACCACAGATGGATCCTCAATGTACGTCTGCCGGGAGCATGCTGCGTCCATAATGCCGTCACAGAAAAGAGAAGTTTATCTCCTGTGCTCGTCAAATATCTGACGTCTGCTGCACTTAGTCTGGGCTTTTAGTGTGAAATTCAACTCTGAACTCCAACACCTGGACTGATGTTAAAAATGAATCAGCTCTTACCTTCAAGGAAATGTTCATAATCATTATTTTTCAGACTTCAGCTGTGAAAATATATTTCAACTGTTAAACAAAGTGAGATCAGTTACACTTAACTAATCCTACTAACCTCTGACAATTCCCTTGAAATACCCTGATACACCTTTATTATACTGGTTATAGGTTAAGGTTTACTTTCATTACACCATCGACAGATAAGAGTAACCTAAAATACATCACAAAAAGCTTGTTACCTTTCATTACACCTTCAGCAGGTTAATATGACCTTTATTACACCTGTATAAGGTTGTTACAGTTATCACACCTTTAACAGGTTGTTACTGTTATTACACCGTAAACAGGTTGTCACCATAAATACACCTTAAACAGGTTAAGTCACCATTATAACACCTTTAACAGGTCAGAGTTACTGTTACTACACCATTAACAGGTTGTTACCGTTAAAACACCTTTAACAGGTTATGGTTACCTTTCATTACACCTTTTACAGGTTAAGTTACCTTAACAGCTTTGTTTTGATGGGCTGATTTCATGCTGGGAGTTGTTTGGTGGAATTCAGATTTACGTGTTTTTGTACGTGTTCTCGAGTTTAACAAACTCAGAGTAAAAAAAAAAAAACTTTAAATGTTTGCATTAAACAAAGAGAATGTAAAGCAGAGGCCTAATCATCCTGAATACGAGTATAAATATGCTGGATTTACAGTTTTCATCAATGCTTTAAAATGCCTTTACAGGGAAATGTTTGGATTTTTTGCTGGCGGGTTTTTAACGTGACTCAGTGAAAATAAATGTTAGCATGATAACCAGCAGCTTAATTCTTCCAAAGAGATCAAGTGTCCTCCATCATATGATGCTTTTGATTGCATCTTTGAATGTGCACTGAAAGGAAGAATGAATATTTGTCTAATTTTGTCCGTCCTGAAGACATGGCGTGTGTCTGAGCAATGCATTGTGGGGATTAAAGACACTATTTATTCTATAAATTATGCTAATCTGCTTGTTTTTGTTGTTTTTATTTTATTTTTCTGATATGTTCAGACTGTTTTGCACTTTTCTTTAAATCTTTCCAGCTCATGTTCACATGTGCAGTCTGTTTGTGTGAATTTAGAGATCAGCTGACCTGACCTAATTGTCCTCACTTCAAACTGTAAACGTTAAACAGAATAAAACCGATTTTATTTGAGGGTGTAATCAGCCTCTTCAGATGAACAGAGAGTAAAAATACAACATGCTGCCCTGAAATGAGTGTTTTTCAGCATAAAAAGCTCTGGTTTCTGTATTTTGATTTTGAATATGATTTAATTTCTATTTTGTAGTAATTTCTCATTAAACCATTAATTGCTTTTTGGTGGTTCATGTTTGAATAAATATAAATCAAACATGGGAAAGATTTAAAGACATATGTTTCTTGGTTGTTTAAAAGAAAATCTCAGTATTTTGTCTCTTGTATGTTAAAATATGTCACGATGTGTTGATTTTAAATCTCTAATGATGTAAATACACGATAGAAACCTTCACTGCTGATGTTTTTATTAAAGATTGAATCCATTTTGTGTTTTGTGCTTTAAATGTTAAAATAATTCTGTCTAAAAACTGAAACCTCTGCAGCTGGAATGGTTACAGCTTTCCATGTTTCACATTTGACCAAAGACTTCAACATTTCTGAACCAGAATCATGAATGAATCTATAACTTAAAAAACAAAACAAAACAAAACAAAAAAACTTAGCTTTAACCCTCAACCCACTTTTGTTTGCAGTCCTAATGTCACCTGACAGTTAAAAATAACTGAATGATGGAAAATTAAAGCGTCTCTCTGAGCTCAAAGAAGGATTTTAAAAGAAACACTAAAAATAACTCCTGTAACGTTTTATTTTAAAGATTTTAAAGGAAAGTGGAAGTCAATTATTTTCACTTCGGCAACCCCACCCAGCCCCCCACCTGCAGCTCTCAAACCAAACCCTCCTTCCCACCGTCCTCTTGACTCCCCCCAGTGCTCTGTGCCAGACACTCCACACTCTCTCGTACCCCCCTACAAACATCCGACCCCTCCTTTCTTCTCTTGTCAGATTTCCCCCATTCAGTCTTTCTTCCTCTCTGAGTCTCCCACTATGAAGCTTGGGTTAAATCTTTTTTATCTGATTTTTTGTTGCGTCAAGGTTTCTCTGTTTCTGGATTTCTGTCCGGCGTCGTGTCAGTGTGATCTCAATGTTTTGGGTGTTTCCTGTTTCAATTCTGAAGTTCTGCCGCTCTTTCCCTCCAGCACTGAGGAGGTGTAAGTTCATACAATTGAATCTGCCTTCGACCTCTTTCTGTTTACACTGTTTTTCTTTGTGTTTAAACTGACTAGATTTCCATTATTCTCTTGACTCTGTTTGAATTTATTGCATTTATGTTAACTAACCTTGGTTCAATCCAGATGAAAAGTCAAACATTAAATCCTGAATTAATACAGACTTAACATCTTAAATATCAGTTTTTTTTTAATTATCCAGACTAACAGTCTTGATAAGAGTTTGAATTTAATCCAGATTTGGAGTCTAAATTTCAATCCTAATTGGATCTAAATTTAAAGTCTAGGTTTTATCACTGATTTAGTACAGACAGTCCTAACAACAATCCAGATTTACAGCTTTAATTGAAATCCTGATTTAACCCAGACCTGAAATCTCAATTTCAATCTTGGTTTAATCCAGACTTTTAGTCATAACTGAATCTTGTGTATTACAGGATAATTGAAATCTTGATTTAATCCTGATGAATTATCTAAATTCAAATCCTGATATTATACAGATTTAGAGTTTCAATTTTAATTCTGATGTAATCCTGACTCATGGTTTTACACTTGAATCTGTGATGAATCTGGATTTAAAAACTAAGAGTCTAAATTAAAAATCTGATTTAATCTAGACAGTCAGTCTTCATTGAAACTTGGAGTGATGTGGTGATGAGTAAATTCTTAATTAATACCATGATTTGATTCGGTGCAATTGTCTAAATGTATATTTAGATTTAATCCAGACCTAAATTCTAAATTCTAACCCTAAATTAATCCAGACTCATCGTTTTTGATTTTAATCTGGATTTAATCCAGATTTATAGTCAGGGCTCTGTCTCTTTCTCAGGTGGCTTGTTGGAATGAAACTTTCTTCTATTCCTGAGAAAGCTTTCCATAACCTGACCAACATTTCTCACATGTAAGATATAATTTTTTATTGATTTCATTCATTTATTTTTTGAGCAGATTAAAAGCAAAGGGAACCTACTGTGTAGTTTATAATATAGAAAAGAGTTTAAGAATTTGATATGTATATTTTATATATATACATTATATTTAAACTTACAGGGGGAATCACCCAGAGAACATTAAGATTTTAATGTTAACATTAAACTGTAAGTGTTGTAAAGAAATAGGGTAAATATATATTTTTGTTCATGCTTCCTTTCTGTTTGTTTTCAGATATATCTCCGATGATGAGACTTTACAGTCCGTGGAAAGACACGCCTTCTTCAACCTGTCACGACTTACACACATGTAGGAAATACAAATGATTTTTTCTTTCTATAATGTGTAGTTAGTGTGTTTTGTGTGTGTATTATACACAAGACCAGGGGTTGGTGTTAGGGTTACGGCCTTATTCAGAGTGAGCATGTGCACCATTTTCATACTGAAGGTCAAGTTATATTTGCTGGGGTCAGAGAGAGGCTGTGAAGTGGACGTCCCAAAAAGACGACACCCCAGAGAAGACTGTTTCAGCACTCAGAAACTGTAGGCTGTCTTCAATGAATTTGCAGTCAAGGTCTCTCTGGACGTGGAGACGGCTCTCAGCCCAGACAATCCAGAGCAGACTGCAGACAGCCAATCCCCGGTCTCACAGGGTTGCCAGGAGGCCTGCTGGTGTCAGCAACTCATGCACTGGATCCTTAACATGTCAAGGAAAATTATATTCAGCAATGAGTCCAGATTCTGCCTGGAGTAGTTGGGTCACCAGGTCAAAGTGTGAAGTGGAGGCAGAGTGATGTTGTGGGGCAGTGTCTCTCAAATCGAGGCTTGTCATCATTGGAGGCAATCTTACTGCTGTGATGCTATTTGGATTGGCAGAGTGTATTATGTGTATTATATAAAGTTTTAGTGTGTGCTGTTTGTGTATTTTATGGGAGTGTGTATCAAATGCATGTGTGTTTTTGTGTGTGCTGCAGACAGCTGGCTGGGATAAAAACTTTGTCTCACATCGATAAAGAGGCGTTTAAGGACCTTCCACATTTAAAGTATCTGTGAGTAGTGTTTGTGTTAATCTATAACAGAAATACATTTTAAATTTAGCAGCATTAGAGATTATTGATACTGTGAGAGTATTATCTTTATATACAGATATGACTGTTTTAATGTATTTACAAACAGAGGGATCATGAACACGGGGCTGATGTCTTTTCCTGAGCTCCAGTTCATTCAGTCCAAACAGGAGGATTTTATTTTGTAAGTTTCATCAAAATAACTGTTTTTAAAGTCGCTTTGGTCCCTGAAATCGTTTTATTAATGAAATATTTTGTGTCTGTCTGTCAGGGAGATTGCGGAAAACGTCTTTATTGAGGTGATTCCTGCAAACGCTTTCACTGGAATATCAGACAAACCACTCATCCTGTAAGTTTTATTAAAATATTAAAATAATGACATTTTTTAAACCATACCTGTTATCCTGCATCTCATCTGCTCTTTATGTTTGTATTCATTTAACTTTTACTCCAGGGTTAATTTCTGCCAATATTAGGAGTTAAAAAGAAACATTTCAATGATTAAAAAAAACTATTAAATTCTCTTCTTTTACGACATATATATATATTTTTTACTTTAACCACATAATAAAGAGGTCATCCAATAAAGACAGATGATTTTTTAATGGAAACCTGTGAAATAAAATCAGATGTCTGTACAGGAGGTGAGGTTTACTAAGTGATACAGGAGTGAAAACAGAGACAGAGTTTTAACAGTTTGGGGATATAAACAATAAACCATTTTTTCTGTCTTTCAGTATGTTGAACAGCAATGGTGTGAAAGAGATCCAACAATATGCCTTCAATGGCAGCAGCCTGGAGGAAGTGTACGACTTTTCAAACAATATTAGTGTCACAAAGACCAAAACAAACAGAGACAAGTGCATGTATCGTTTAAAAATGCTAAACATCTGTGATTTTAAGACTGAACTGTTTTATACAAATGTGCTTATTGTTTTGGCCTCCTGAAAAACCTCAGTTTGCTTGTATGAAGTCATTTGGCTCAGGAGGATCTGTGTATCTCTCCTCAAACTCATCCTCTCGTTGATTTTTATCCCTCAGCTATCTTCACAGGAACTTGGATTTGACACAAATCCATGAATTTGCATTTCATGGCGTCATTCAGGGCCCAACTCACCTGTGAGTACCTAAAATAAAGCTGCTTCAAAGACGAAAAAAGGACAAGCTGCAGATTCCTGAAGTGAATGAATGTTTCCTCTAGTTTTTTATTCAGGGACCTTTCAGTGTCTAAAGTTATCTCTTTGTTCACTCTTGTATTTCAGGGACCTTTCAGAGACCAGCGTACATGCTCTGCCCTCAGTCGGTATGGAAACCATTGAGAAGCTTCGAGTTAAAAACACTTGGACCCTGAAAGCGCTGCCTCCTCTTAGAGTTTTCCTCCACTTACAGAGCGCTGAATTAACCTTCCCGAGCCACTGCTGCAGCCTCACAAAGCTCCGCAGATGGAGAGGGTGTGTCTGAAGCTTCAAGAGTTCCCCAAATATTTCCCTCTTAGTTCCTTTCATCTCAGTTTCAGACTCTACTCAGAGCATTAGAGTTAGTGGTAGAGGGCTAAATAAACAGGCTTTTCACTGTTATTAATGTAGTTTATCCAGTAGACAGTCTTTTTAGGGTCAACCTTAGATGTAGTTCATAAGCAGTGACCACACTCTCTGTTTTCACTCTTTTTAGTTCTTCAGAGAGTATCATTGTTTTACTCTGAACTCTAACTCTTTATTATCTGTGCTGCAGAGACTCAGAGGTTCTGATCTACAACCTGAGCTGGATGGATTTTGGAAATGAGCAGAAGTTTTCGTCTGTAATCTATCCGGAGAATCAGAAAGTTTATGAACACCAAACAGAGAGCTCCGGACTCCCCACAGCCTTCAGCACCAATCACAGCCATGAAAACAGTCGCATCTGTCTGGGTGGAGCGACTCATGGCGAGGATTTGTTTCTTGTGGACTCTCAGATGGATCATCTGGGCAAAAGCGTCGACCTGGCTCTTTGTAATAACCTCCTCTCAGACGGGCTCTCCTGCTCGCCGCTCCCTGATGCCTTGAACCCGTGTGAAGATGTGATGAGTCGAGGGTTTCTCAGGGTGCTGGTCTGGCTCGTCAGTTTGTCGGCCATCTTGGCCAACCTCTTGGTGATGGTCATCCTGCTGATCAGCCGACAGAAGGTGTCGGTGACACGCTTCCTCATGGGTCACTTAGCATTTGCAGACTTCTGTATGGGGATGTACTTGCTGTTGATTGCGTCTGTAGACCTCTACACACGATCCCATTATGACCAGTACGCCATTTCCTGGCAAACTGGGAGCGGCTGTAAGCTCGCAGGGACTCTGTCTGTGTTTGCCAGCGAGTTATCTGTTTACACGTTAACCTTAATCAGCCTTCAACGCTGGCACGCCATCTTCTATGCCATGAGGCCGGACAGGAAGCTCCGACTCCGGCATGTGGCTGTGCTGATGCTGATTGGCTGGTTGCTGTGTGCGGTCCTTGCTCTGCTACCTGTCGCAGGTGTGAGCAGTTACCAGAGAGTGAGCATCTGTTTACCCATGGACACAGAGAGCGCCGCCGCTCGGGTCTTCGTGGTCACTGTGCTCCTGGCCAACGTGATGGCGTTCATCGTTGTGTGTCTCTGTTACCTGCACATTTACTGCATGGTGCACAATCCTCAGCACCTGTCCAGCAGGTGTGACACCAGCATGGCCAAACGAATGGGCGTCCTCATCTTCACCAACTTCCTGTGTCTGGTTCCCATCTGCTTCTACGGTTTGTCTGCAGCGCTCCATCAGCCCCTGATCACCGTCACTGATTCCAAGGTTGGGCTGCTCTCTGATTCTTATCACTCTGAAAAATTGACACCTCAACTTATTAAAACTGTCCCAAACTGTTCATAGATTTAACATATCCACACGTTCTCCTCCACAGGTTCTGCTGGTGCTCTTCTATCCTCTTAACTCGTGTGCACACCCTTTTTTTTACGCCATCCTGACAAAGGCGTTTCATCGAGACATCCTGACGCTGCTGAACCGGGCGGGTCTGTGTCAGCAGAAAGCTTGCTGTGTTCGCAGACGGTGTTTCTCCCCACGTCCACAGAGAGACCAAACTCAGACCCCACATCCTGAACCCTCACAGGATGAGAAAAAAGTCCAAAATGCTCAGACTCAAACTATGACATAAGTCTCAGTGACTCTTTGAAATGATCGACCCTTCATTGTCAGAATCACTCTTGAGTGTTATTTATCCTCTGAAGATTTGTAGCCTGATTTTACTGTAAACTCTGATTTTAAAATAGTCTTACTCTTAAACTGACACCTTTTAATGACCTTTGATTAGTTATTTGTTTATTCCTAGTTGTAGTTCATGTGCTGCTTCTTCTCATTAAAGCCTCGATCTTGTTTTTTGTCTCTCATCCTGGTGTGTTTGTTCAGAGCTCTGCTGATAAAGTTTGGCAATTATGAAGAATTTATTGATCAGAAGGAGGTTAGTTTTCTTTACATTATTTTCATTATTCACCATTTCAAGCCTTCGTTGCACATTCTGAAGCATGATTTCAGTCGTTCAAAAGGTGAATACAAACAGAATACAGGGATTTTCAAAGCCTTTTCCATCTATATTTAATTGACAAGATATTTAATGCTCAAACTGATAAACTTGATTGTTTTTTGCAAATATTTACTCATTTTTAATTTGATGTTGCAACACGTTCCTTAGAAGTTAGGGAGCAATAAACATTGAAAAAACTCAGGGTTACTCCGAAACACCTTTTTGGATCATTCCAAAGGTGAACAGGTTCATTAGAAACAGGTGAAAGGAAGTGTAATAGTGCAGTTTACTAGATGTCAAACACGGTCTAATGGTGCCATCTGTTGGAATAAGGTAAAAATGGCAACTACTATGCCACTAAAGTGGAGGGATACCCAGGAGGAACACAATGCATGTTGTTATAATTTCACATCTCATACCTGACTCTGAGTGTCTCTGATATGTAACTGTCCCTAACCTGAATGACTATTTGTCCCCCTTAGCCGACTGGCTTGATAAAGTTAATCCAACAGGTTTAGGGTTTGGGTTACCCTGGAGAGGGGTAAAGAGGGATAGGAAAGGGGTAGAGGGTTGGGGTGAGGTCGAAGATTATGCCATTACAATGTATATGAACAAAAGACAATCCATTGTATGGACAATGTGACTCCGCCTCCTGTATTTGTTCAAATTTGAAGCCAAAGGCTTCCGGTATTTCTAGGAATTTTCTCCATTTTCTTGAAACTTTGCGGAGTTGTGTTTGGTGGGAGAACATTATAATGACTGTTCAAACAGTGTACCCCCCTGGATGATCTACGCAACCTTTATATGCCTACTGACTGTATCCAAGTAACAATCATGGAACAATAGAACAACAATAGAATAGACCTATACTGCAACCAGTCACCAGGGGGTGCTGTTCTCAAAGAGACTTCACCCAGCGAGGAACGAGTGACGTCTGTTCTATATACAATCTATGGTTTGAGTACAAATTCTAGTTCACTGTCAAATCCATTAGCAGCTGCTTGCTAACGATGATTCAAAACACGAGATTTTCACAGTGATATAATTCACTAACTAAACTAAAACACATCAGTGTGAAACCACATCTCATCAGAATGGATAAAAGTAACCACTTACTCAACTGAATTTACACAGCTTCAAATATTATGTAGTGCTGGTAAAAAGTAAGAGTTCTTTATTTACAGTACACACAACCTCATGTACAATGAACTGTGATCCACTGTGTGTTTTGGTGTTTTAATGTTAGAGGCTGCAGTAACTTTTGTCAGCAGTTCAAGCTCTGGCAGCTCTCCTGTTGGATCAGACCACAAAAATTCCAACGGTGAGAAATATGTTTTGGTGCTCAGCATTTATGAATCTGTTAAAAACATTTTCCTCTATGTGCTTACCAAAGTTTTGTCCATGGTCTCAAATGTTTTTCTCATTAAAACAGCCGTCTCCTTTCACATCCTTCAGGGATATACAACAGAATTACAGAACTCAAGATTTCTGCGAAGCAATGTTATTTTCTCTCTTTTGTACGACACTATTCATAAACTTTTTAGTATTCCTTGTTGCATTGACTTGTTTTCCCCTTTTCTGCTTTTGGAAACAGGAATGTACAAACCTTTTCAAGACAAGCAACAGTAGCAGAAGGTAAAAGTCTTAACACCACTTCATTTTTAAGGCACATAGTGTGTCAAAAAACATCATCCAGAGAATCTTCAATGCAGTTTTACTCTTTGTTCAACTATTTTCACATAGCTTGATTGTTACTTTAAACTGATTTTCTTTTCTTTGTAATCACAGTCAAGCCTAATGATTGAGTCTAGAGCTGTTTAGTTACAAGAAGCGCTGCGATTTCAGCAAACATCATACAGCTTGAGCTTTCTACTTCAGTGCTGTCTGTTTTCATATTTAATCGCATAACCAGAGAATAGCTAGTAGAAATGCCCAGGCTTATGCTGATGACGTTTCTAAGATCTTTGTGATGCATTTCTATGACCTACAACAAGACCATCAGCAACATGACTGACAGTTTCTAAATTGTACAGTACTCAGGTTGTTTGAGTGGCAGAGGTAAAAATTTAGAGGTTAACCTCCTGTATGTGATGGAGTATTAGTGCCCAGAAAGTTGTGATCTGTAAGGATCTGCCTCAGCAGCCTTTTGAAGATCATTTTGTAAACTCCTCAAGTTTCTGTCTCTCTGTGGCATTTTGTGATGACAAAGTTGCTGCACAACAGAATTGATTCTAGTTTGTCAAAGGTTACAATGGGCTGGTAAACTATTTAGTAACCTGGAGGTTACAGAACTAGTGTAGCTTTTCAAAACCTTAACCCTGGTACATACAACACAGAGTTCATTTTAGCATATTGAGGCACAAATAAGAGGAGCATATGGGGAAATTATGGATCATCTAACACTTAATTTTCTGATTTCTTGTGCATGTTTTTGCAACATTTAGTGGTGGGAATTCAATCATGTGGAAAAAACACAAATTATTGATAAATTAACAAAACATTGACGCTACTTTCGACACAATGCTTGAACTTTTTAAAAATTTGGTCTGTTATTTCTCTCTCAGTCATTGTAAAGCTGAGCTATAAGGCCTGGACCCACCCCCTTGCTCCAGTTTCAGACTATAGAAATAGGTTTGCATTCTGTTTTCACATTTGTAGTTCATCCAGGTAATTTCTGTAGTTTTATACAGTTTACATCAGTGTAAAAGCAGCTACTGACTGTAATCTATGACAGGATGATCCCATTTTCAAGCTCTGTATCCCAAGACCAAACAAATATCTATAGAATACTACTATATCTCATCTTGGTATGCAGCTGTTGCTCAGCTAGCTCAAATGGTCATATTGACAGGGACTGCTGCTTAATGTCAGATAGCCCAGCTGTCATTTTTTTATACTGGCCAAATGATATTCCTGGACCTGGCTTGTTTTATGAGGAAGAAAGCGGGTGGCAAATCGAGTGTCAGAGAAGGTTATCGTGCCGGTAAGAAATAAAAAAATATGTCCTATAACTCCACTTTCCAAATGTCATATAGCAGCATTTTCTTCTTCAGTTTTGATTGATTGTGGAGACATGGAAAGTGCATCTGTTGAAAGGTGCTTTGATGAAAGACTGCACCATGAGCTCAGGGGGTTTAGCTGTAAAACTGAGCTGTCAATGTAGAGGTTTGGAAATATAGTTACCCTAGTCTGTACTACTCAAATACCTCTGGTGTTAGCAGGATTTATTTGATTATTACCTAAAAGTCCAAGGGGCTAAGAGCCTACGTGAACAAAAACTCTTATGGTTAACATAAATGGTCACACAAGGTCATCACTTCCAGCACAGGCTCCTCTCAGGGCTGTCTTCTTTCTCTGCTGTTTTTCATCATGTACACAGACACCTGCAGGACTTCAGCAGAGGACAGAGATAACTCTATCTCTTTCTCTGCTGGAATTACACATAACTCAGACCACAGTCTGTTGTTAATGCCGGCAGGACATAAACACCTCACTTAGATATTAGGCCAGTTTCTATTAACTTGTTTTTGTAAAGTTATCATTATTATTTATGTTGAAGTTGTGTTGTTGGAATTCTTCTTATATTAAAGCTTCAGAAAATACACCCATAATACTGATACATTGTAATGCTGCTGTTGTAATAGTTTAATGGGTAGGCTTCAAAACTAAATTGTGCTTTAGGGATCATTAAAATTGAGACCGTTGTCATAGAATCAGCCTCATGGTGGCGCCATTTCAAAAGAAAGGCTGTTATCACGATCAACAGGTTTATCATCCTTGAAGCACTTCAGTCTGTACCAATTACTTCTGTGATATTAAGACATCTCATTGAATAATAACCACATCAACCACACCTTGAGTATCATCAGAGTTAATTTCTTTACCCCCCAAAAAAGAGCACTGATCTCTGTTCATTCCAATTCATTTGATAATTGTAGAGATATTTAAGTCACAGGCATTGTGTGCAAATCATTGATGCGAGTTGATACGCGTTTTGTAATATAATAATACAGTTTTTTTTTAAAGATTTTTTTTCATGGTGTGTCTTATCATAATAAAAAAAATACAACTCTACTCCTGAATTCAGTACCAGCTTATTCCTCTATTTACATGAGCAAATCCTACTCCTTTATAATCACACCCGCTGTGTTTCAAAGGATATAACCTTAAGGCATGTTGAGACCAGAGTTAATTGTCTTTTCTACTGATTGCAGAGAAACTTTTCTGAGAGCTCATTTATGAACTCAACACAGAGTTAACAAAGTGCACGAAATAGTACTGTGATCATCAAGAGATCCAGACTGAAATCGGCAAATTGAGTAAAAGGGGAATTTAGAGGAAAAAGCCTGATATAATAGCCATCATCTGAGCCATTACAAACAGAATGAAGATGCTGTGCTTTCTCCAAATGACATATCAGCTGTTTTTTTTCCTTCTTACTTTGGATCAGAAAGTAGAGACACATCTGCAACTGAGAAATTTATAACCAGTTTTACTGTAACGGAGCCAACAACAGTTCAACTAAGTCTGCATTACTCAGGAAAACCACAGGAAAGCTCGCCTCTTTGAATCTGTGGTTTTGCAAAGTTTCACAAACAGTATCAGTTTCTCTTCATCAGAAAAAAATCCAGACTTTCCTCTTTCTTTGGTAAACAGTCACTTGGCTTTAATAGAATAAAAAAGATATGATCAGAAGGATGAAAAGGCTTTAGGTTTATAGCGCACATATACGTGTGTAACCATCCATTAAAGTCCTGGTAGCACTTTGATAACACAAAAACCTACCGGGTCAGAAGAGTATTGCCTCCAGAGTTTACGCCAAAGTGTGGTTGCGACCATGGAAAATGTGACATGGCCAGCATTTTCCTATCTTTTATATTTGCAAGACGTCCTCTCCTCCTGCTGCTCCAACTGTCATAAAGAAAGACTCCTGAGACGTGCAGGATGCCTTCGTAGAAGAGCTGGCAGGACATTTTGTTCACTTCTACAGGTCCTTAACCTTCCAACAACTCCGCTCAGCCTTAAACGCTAAAGCTTTGTGTTGTTCAGAAGGAAGATTTAAAGATGAAAACAGGGATCCCACAGAAATTTAATAATCATAACTCATACCTTTTTAACAATCTTCCTGACGGTAAATTCAGACATAATCATGCCTCTTATACTGTTTTACAATCAGGCTTTTGCTGCGAGTTATGGTTCACACAGTCCTCTCTCGTAGGCTAATAAAACATATATACATAAGCAGACCATCATAGTCAGATTTCAGTAGCTGTACTCCTACTACTTTGTTTTTATTGTATGTCAATTTTCATTCCTCTTACTTTGATCCATGTTGATTACCTCCGCCAAGGAGGTTATGTTTTTGGTAGCGTTGGTTTGTTTGTTTGTTTGTCTGTGACTAACTTTACGGAGAAAGTTACAGACGGATTGACCTGAAATTTTCACCAGAGATGCGTCTCAGCCCCAGGAGGATCCCATTAAATTTTGGTGGTGATCCGGATCGCCTTCTGGATCCAGGAGTTTTTTGAAGGAATCTTTATCGTTGTGAGATAGGGCAAATTTTGGAATTTTTGCATTTAACTCTATAAAAATGACCAGAGTCTTTAGTAAAAAATTGCACACAAGGATCTCATTGAGTTTTATGAGGTGTCAAAGGTTGATCCTGATCCAGACAAAATTCCGGATACCGTGATCTAGAACACACAAAAATAAGGGTGTCGTTGGAATATTCAATGCTGAAAGATAATCAATGAAGATACAAGGAAGTGTACGCTTACAAATATTGCATAATAAATCATGCATTTATGTATCTAATATGAACTTTGTTGTATTAGGAACATTATGAACAGTGAACATACCAGTTTAAACACAAATAAAAGTTAATAAAAGACACGTAACAGTAAAAGTTTTGGTGTGAATCACAATATAAGGGGGGACATGAGCTGCTTTGCGGAGGTCTGCGCTCTCCGACTGCAAGAAATGTATATGCGATATGCAAGTCAAGTAAGTTATTCAGTCATGCTTCAGGGGTTTGACCAATTCGAGTCAAGTGTTTATCACCGCTGGGTGAAGAGTAAGGAAGCTCGAAAAAACAAAACAAAACAAAATTTACTACTAAACTTGTTACGAGTCCTTCAAAGTGAAAAGCATTTCAGTGAATAGTGTTTATCCAGAGCAGACCAAACCTCTTTGCACACAGATTGAAAGAACCAGTTACCTGTGTCGTTATTTATATAAATGTAGCAACCACAGTATTGGCAGCAAGTAGCTGATACAACCTTCCTAATGTTAGTCTAGCCAAGTTGCTGTCATTGAGTGCGTGCCACAGGCTGTTTTTCTGTTTCATTTCCATTAAAATTATTACCTTTTGGCTGTTGATATTTCCAGCCTGTTTTTGTTTGTCAATCTCAGCAGCTTTGTGAGTAGACTAAACAAAACCTCTCATTTAAATTCCATTTTCCCGTCTCTAAGTGTATTTCACGATTAATTTGACCCGTTTTATTTTCCCCTCAAACAGGTCCCCCCTGTCACAAGCTTCCTCAGCCATCTCTGCAGAGTCCTCCCCAGCAGAGGGAATTAAATTAGGATTGACATCATTCCTTAAAGGCCTCTACCTTGCTGTGTCCACAAAAGGAGGGTATACATTGTGTCAAGCATTTGATGGATGTAAGTGCACCTCCAGTCTCTTATTAAAAATGAACCAGGGTCTAAGAAAGCTGCACAGAGGGATGTGTGCCACTTTCCTTGCTCGGTTATCAGAGAGCTCAAGCCTCTGCTTCATATGTGACAGCAGGTCGGGGCAGTGAGCAGGTTGCTGGGCTTGCTGGGGGAAAAGATAATGCCTCCTGGAGCCATAGTAACAGGTGATGGATGTTTCCACTTTCAGGACTGTCTGTCATAAAATAAAGCCCTCTTATTGCAGTACTTTGGAGGAAAACTGCTCAGCTCAGTGCTGGATATTTTCAGTTTTGAATGTGTTACTTTTGGAGACTTTCGCTGTGTTGCAGTTTTATCTTCTTGGCCTCTAGATCTTATTCAAATACCTGAATGATTTATACAATTTGCATCTCTTTTTTAATGTTGTTTTTAATCATTACAGTTGGTGACTGTAGTACTTAAAAAGACGATCCCTTCAATAATGACATAGAAAATTTCTGCAGAGAAAATTAGCCCCCAATCAAATTACCAAGGAATTTTGGTCAAACTATCAGTAAATCAATTTATTTTGATTCCTGTCAGACTAAAGTGTTAACATCTGATGACATCTGATGAACATTTGAATCTATCTCTTCATCGACAGGACTTTGATCTGAGCATGTAAATCAGGCCCCAAATTGTCCTGATATCTTTAAGTATGTTCTGTGCTTTAGACTTACACATACAGCCTTCAGTCTGTGGAAAACGCATATTATTTATTTATCCACTAATAAGGCAGCAGTGGGTGAAAAACAGTAGCAAGGAAAAGGTACCTTTTATCCTTTTATCAGATGGAAACCTTGTACAAGACCCAGGAAAATAAGAAAATAAGACAGACAGGGAGAGAGGGAGAGAGAGAGAGAGAGAGAGAGCCCTTCTGCGCTAAACATGAAAAGAGAGATCAATTATAGTGCTACAGGTTTTCAGCTTATCCTCTCTCTGACATTATCAAAGCTACAGAAGTTACCGTGTTTGACCAGACTCAACATCTGATGTCAATCCACTGGCTTTAATTGCTTTCAGTACCACAGGAAAAGTCAGAGGAAGGCTGACCATGGATGTGAAAATAACCTTTTCTTTCTCGGTTATTTAAAATATGAACCCTTTGTAAGTCCTGCTCATTCAACTTTTGCTGTAACACACTCTGACATGATAAACAGTTCTGCGAGGGGTACTGCTCAGTTTGTTCATTATGCAAATTTGAAAGCTAACAGAGTGAGTAGGACGCTGATTTGACATAAACAAGTCGACAGGAAATGTTATTGATTTGAAAATGTTTATATACGGGTAAACAACAGTCCCCTAAGATACTTGCAGGATGAATTAACATCAGACTGAACCTTCCTTGGTAATGTTCAAACAACCAGTCAGACTCAAACATTGAACACAATTTCTGCCTGGAGGTTTATCTTTATCTGCTGTCAATGCTGAGCACTCTGTCTATGATGGATATCACGAACTGTGTCATATTTCTTTAGGGGAGCCGGTCAGTCAATGCTGTTTCATTCTTTTCTGTTGTCAATCAAACGCCCCCTTGTGTGTTAACGTCCGTCTATCAAGACAGCTAGTGTCTTCCCTCATCTCAGAATCTCAGCCTAGGATACCAAAGATATTATCTATCAGTTACCAAACTGGCCTTCCCAACTAAAAGTCTCCTCCTCTCTCTTTGTGAGGACAAAACAGCTCTGATGAATTGCTCCCTCATTTCTTTTGAAACACTGGACTCAAACAGCACTGCTTCAAAGAGCAGATGACTCTGTCCCGCATGCAGATGAAGGAGAACATTTAATTTGAGTGTGACTTAACTCATCTGCATCTTTGACACCATGAATCGTGTCATTCTAATTAAAAAGCTTTAAAGCTGGAATTCATTTGAATGATTGTAGTCCAAAGTCACTTCAATGTCGGCATTAACCACCCTGTCTTCCTCCATTACGCTCATGTGAGGTCCCTCAGGGGTCAATCTTTGGACCTATTTTATTTCCATTATGCTTCATTCCTTCTGGTCATATTTTAACTCCACTATATTTCAACTTCACATCCATTCAACCCTCATAACCTTACACCACTCATTACTTCCTGGTTTCTTTAAGAGTTTGAATGTCTCAACATATCTTTTATATCAACTCTTGACAACATTAATGTCCTTGAGATCGGTCAAGATGACTTCAGCAAAAATTCAGCTTCCAAATTTGTCCCCTAAAAAGACTCTTCGTAAACTTTCTTATGATCACTTGAACTTTGAACCTTGTTTACAAGCTTTTAGGTCAGTCTGTCAGTTTAAAAAAATCCAGTAAATTCTCTTAAACAAAAGTATAAAAGTACTTTGTGTATAAACCGAGCTCCAGAAAGTTGGAATGTTGTGATGAGTATGTATTTTGATGATTTATAAATCAATTCAACTCTATGTTTAATTGAGAGTTACTAAAAGATAACCCATCAAATATTGAAATTGAAAAATCTGTTGTACTTTCATAAGTGTACCATTTTAAACTTGACGTGGGCAGCACATTTCAGAAGTGTCTGGATTAGGGCATGTTCAGTGTGTTCAGGGTTTCCTATTGAGCCCAGAGGCTATGAGGCTCCCTCTGTTTGCATGGGGGTTATTGTTGGATTTTTAAATATTGTTTTATTCATTTGTTTCATTTATTGCTACTATTGTGGATGCACTTGAGCTCAAGACAAATTTCCCCCAGGGAACAATAAGTAGTATCACACTGTATTATAGGGTTGTCTGGCTGTGATATTAAATAGTTATCTGGATTGCTGCATATGTTGTTCCTAAACCTGTACATAATGTTCAGCATTGATAGTGCCTTCTGCAGGTGTATAGGCTGCCCATGTTCTGTGCACTTATGTACCCCCATACTATCACAGATGTTGGCTTTTGAATTGTGGGCTAATAAGCTGCTGTATTGTCTTCCTTCAGTTTTCACTTCTCCTAAATCCGTTTGAAATGGGCCGAAGCTCAGAAGGGCAATGTCACAGGAATTTCTGGATCACATCTGTGAGTGGTCTTTGCACGGTCCAGTTTCAGTTTGTGTTTCTTTTTTTTATGAAGTGCCCCCTGAGGCCCTGAAGATCGGGGCCATCCATTATTGGTTTTTGGGCCTTGTCCCTTCTGTGCTGAGATCTTTCAGGTTCTTTTTCTCTTTCATTTTAATGAGGGGTTTAAAGACATCTGCAAACCACAACATTGTTTTTATTTTTATTTATCTATCTATTTGTACTGAAAATGTTCTCATGAAAGAGAATAGATTTGGTTCCGCAGGAGTTTGGCATGAGTGGCCCTTGTCCCTTTACTCTAGTAATTTATTTCAAAGTACTCATATATAGCTGAACAGAAACAGTTAGAGGCCAGAGCAGCTCCTTTTGTAGGCCAGTACATATCTTCATGTAGTGGTTTGGCAATGAAGCACAATAATGAGCATAAAAATCCAGCTCGCTCTTCAGAACAGTTAGAGGTAAATGAGACAAAATAACATTAATCAACTGCAGGCGCTGCAGCAAAAACAAACAAACAAACAAAAAAAGCAATCAGAACAGTTTACCACAGCCTTGCACTCTATAATGGGGTTTTTGGTTCACTTCTTTCCAGGATAGTTTATCTCAGTAACTTACACTGCATGTCTCGCTTGCTCCGGAGCAGGTTATGTCTGAGAAGAGTCTTTGTGTTTGAACCCTTCGAGAAAAAGAATAAAAACTTTGATTTGAGACAATAGTCAGTATCTGCAGAGTCCTTATTAAACATCAATTTTTCTCCTCAGAAACACAGCTGCACACCGCACAGTCATGTCTACTCGATCTTCAAACACCAATACAGTCATATTCTGAACAGTGTAATAACTTTTCAATGCATGAAAAAACATCGGCATCCATAAGTTCCTCAATTTGATTTTATTTGCAGTAATAAATCATCCAATTTTACCGCTGGCTCAAAGGAGTTGCTTGTTGCTTTTAAAGAATCTTGCTTCAATGCTGTCTTTGCCTAAGTTACCTGAACGAGCAATTTTCCCTTGAGTAAAACTTTCATTTGATTTATTACAGCTAAGATTAAATTAGGATATTTTTTCTTGTTGGCTTTTAACACGGTGAGTGTTTTCATCAGCTTCTTAAAGCTGTTTGTTTCTCCTCCTCACTGGAACTTTGCCTCACCTGCGGTAAAACAAGCCTGATGGATGATAGCAAACAAACACACAAGACTTTTTCTCTGAGCTGATATAAAACACTACAAAACAAGCAATTTTGTCTTATTTTTTAGGCAGAAGTGTAATTAGACTTGATACGAGCCACATTCACCTGACAAATCCATAAAACATCTTATGTCAAGGTATAAGAAACCAGATAAGACCTTAATCGCTCGCAATGAGTAAGAAAAGTCTGACAATAGGGTGAGAAACATTTAGTAGACAAATGTGTTAAAATAAGACATAACGCTGAAGATAATGTCAGCAATAGAAGGGTACAGTTACAGGAAACTAGACTTGGTTTATTGTTTGCACAGATGAGCAGTGTGAACAGTTATATCAGGACTTTCTTTGCAGAGCAGCCACATGGACTGGTGGGATTGAGAAGGCCCACTTAAAGCCCATCAGATTAGGTCTAATCCATGTATTGTTGGGGTTGTGGCTCAATAGATTTTACCCATTTTTTTGGGGATTACCTTAAAATAAAGAGTTATTGAGAAACTGGAAACTGAGGAAATATTGAACTTGGATGGAGCGTTTGATCCACACCAGTTGATTCTTGGCAATGGAATCTCAGAGGTTTGGGGGGTAAAAGGATGTACTGTGTATGTTCAGAGCATCTGTTTTAGTAGTGTAACTATAGCTGTGTTTACATGGGCACAAGTAATCAGAATAAATGCCTGATTGGAATAAAAATGGAAAGAAAGATCGGAATTGGAGAGAAATTGTATTCCGGTCAAGAGGGGTGGTTTATGCTGATCATTATTCTGAAATGCATCCATGTAAACACTTATTCTAATTGTGACTCTCTCACCTGACCCGGTCCTTGCTCTTTAGCCTTTGGCCTATTTATTGTGGCCAGTACAGGAGGTCTCATTATTACCACACCGACATAAAACACAACCGCAGGAGCCGTGTCTGCTCCTCCGATAACAAAACAAGGCGTACATAATGATGTCACATCTGCATGCACAGTGCAACCTTTGACAGAACAGTAAAATAAGTACGCAAGGGTGCCATCTAGTGATAATATTTAACAGGGGGAACATCCTGAATTGGATGGAGTGAGTCACTACCTCGTTTGTTGGTTCGTTGACAGCACAGGCGTAAATACAACTCTACCTCTGCAGTTGTTTTTGTGAAATCAGACAACTCTGCACATGTTCAAATGCTTCTAATCTGAATAAAGCTTGATGCATGTATACGCACGTCATGATCAGATTACTTGATTTTGCACCCATATGAATGCTGGGTTTAAATATACACCAGGGCAGTGGAGTTAACGAGACACAGGTGAGACACATCAAGGTAATCAGGGGAGCAGGTTACACAAGGAGGAGGAAGTCAATTAACCTGAACAAGAGACAGGGGTGAGTATCAAAACAAAACATGACAAGAAACATGAGGGATGAAAGAAAAAAAAACAACTTATCAGGAGATGTGACAAGTAGAACATAAGGAATCACAATAAACCAGCTCAAACAATATCTGTCTTCTTTGGAAAACTAAAAAAAAAAGAGAAGCTACATGATCTGGTGTTGATTTCACAACATTTATACTGTATTCTGGGCTATCCGCTCTGTGGATGGGACGCATGAATAAGTTTGAACAGGATGACACTTTGCTGCACATAAATGTACATCTGTAAATCAGCTCACATGAAATAAAGGTTATGACTAGTGAAGCTGATAATGATAATGATAATGAAGTTTAGACATGCCTCCATCTATAACCTCTCTAATGATTGAACCAGCCTTGACAGAGAAGTTCCATTTCAGCTGATGGAGCATAAAATACACTAATTTAACCTCATTTTACAGACATTTAAATCTTGAAAGGGGAATTACCTACATAATGGACTTGCAGCAGGACATTTAAAGAGATATATTGACTCTGCATCATTTTAAAGCCTTTAAAGCTGCTATTTTTTCCTCTTTACTTTGGTTTTTTACTCACTGAGATCTCTACTTCACCTCTGCATTACTGCAGAGTTTTTGGGGGGTGGGGTGTGGGATGGTTGCATTTGGAGCTGAACCAGGACTGCTGCAGTGAGAACCAAACCCTAACACACAGGAAACACACTCTATTATAATAATACAAATTATTTTACACATAAAGTATGCTTCTATATTTTTATCCCATTAGAAACTATGTAAGTAAAGGGTTTCACATTTGCTGATTGAAGTGTAAATTGTTGCCTCCTCCAGACGTGATATGAGATCTTCCTTTAATTTCCCCTAACTGCAAAGTTGGAGGCAGCCAGTATTGCTTGGCATTGTGTCTGGGAGTTTGAGGAGTTGCGCCCACAGTTTCTGAATAGAGTGTTTTTGTTTTTTTTTCATTTTCTCATTGAATAATTATCCAGAATGCTGGTGTTCAGCCAGCCTCCTTCCAGCTCTCAGGCAGCAAATGGGATGAACAATTAGGTGCTCTAATCTCATGGGGGCATGCTTTTACTGCCCTATGAATAATTTAGCATTTAACCAACTCAAGCTGATAAAGACAAAATAGATCTTCTCCTGCCAAGCGGAGGTTGGAGCTGTGCATGTTTGCGTTTCTCTGGCAGAGGAAAGGAGGGAGGAGGGTTTACCCAAAATATAATCAGTTTATGTCAGGAGTCAGTGAGAGAACATCCGTTTGGGGATGTCCTGAGCAGTATGGTGCTGTGATGGCAGAATAAAAAGCCTGACCTTTAACAGGTAAAGAGTTTATTTATTTGGAAAAAGTAACAGGTGAGACGAGAACACTGCAGACAAGAAATAAGTAATACAAAAATTCCTGCCCAGTTTGATTTATGTATGAGATCAGATTCGGGGCAACAAAAATCTCTTGTCTGTACCTCTGCAGCTTTTCTTTTGCATAATGAAAATCTCAGTCTATTACTCACCTTAAAACACCTTCAATAATTATGAAAGTCCAGAAATGAGCAAGTGAGGAGAGTAATAAGTCGAAACATTCACCTTAAAGAAGTCTGACAAACACTTGGAGCGCTCAGGTTATTGTTAAAACTTTTAATAGAGGCTGACATTTCAGGAGCGGAACTTAAATTATAAGAAAGAACTCCTCATAGACAAAGACTTCGTGAAATAACTTGCCTCAAGCTTCTTGACATTTAAGCCTCCAAGGCCTTCACACAAAACAGCTTCACACATTATCAGGTCAGGTTGTTCTTTGTACACATACACTCACATTTCTCCATAGTAAATTAAGTTTTGTTATTCAGACATGTTAATCATATTAAAAGCCCTCTGGTTATTGGTTCACTCGATCTGTCAGTTATTAGATATTTTTTCACTGTAACCAGACGGGAACAGACAGCTGCACATCCATCACAGTTAGGGAGTCTATTAAAATCAACCAGGTCTCAATTTCTCCAAACTGACTTTAAATAACTTCCTTCTCCTGTTCACACCTTGAATCTGTCACCAGACTTTGACATATTTAACCACATAGATGCAGGACTTTGATTATGGTCCTCCAATATTGGCTCTCTACATTGGTTTTCCACTAAGTTAGGGTGAAGTTAAAATCTAAATGTTTGTGGTTGTGAGCTGTTTTGGAAAGTCTTTACAGATGGCACAGCCCCAGGCTTCCTTCACAGCTGGAATAAGTTAGAGTTAGGGTTAAAGTTAGGGTTATATGTCAGAAACTAGAGACAGTAGAAGGTGTCATTCTTATTTAAGGGGAAGTTTCAGGTGTGCTGCATCCAACAAAGGTAGTTGTTTGACTCCAGGGTTATGGGTCATTTCGCTATAGGACTCTGAATAGATTTCAGATTCTCATCTGTTTGACCTGTGACAGATCTCCAGAGTTATTTAGGTTAGGGGGTCAAGGTTAGTGTTCAGGTTAGGCATGCTGACATGTTAAAACCAAACACAAGGTCCTGCTGGTCATTAGTTTTTTAAAAAGTAAAGACAATCTAAGGGTTTATGACCGACAAGGGTCCTAAAAACTGTTCTGGATCCAATATGATAGTCCCTGACCTTGCTTGACTTTGGATTGATTTACATTTTTGGCACTAAAAAGGAGAAAAGTAAACCTTTTAAGGAAACTTGAAGGATATCCAACCAAGAGTGGCTTCAAATCTTCAACTGAAAGTCACGAACTTGTCCACATGGGAAAAATCCTGTATCCTTCCAAAATTAGGGGGTACATCATCTGTAACCAAGGAATGTCTGCACCAAAATCTGTGCCAATCTGTCTTGTCTTAGCTGAATGAGAAAAAATTAAAGTGACTGTGGTGCTAAATGAGGAATCGAAGGATTTCATAGTATTTAAAGGTCCTTTTGTGAACGTCTTTACCGGTTTTATCTGCATTTCTTTCAGCAGTTAATTCTTTGTAAATCAGACATTGCCATCCTTGGAACTGCACCAGGGACTCAGCTAAAAGACCCACAGCTGACGTCAACACATTCCTCCATTTGGTACACTGCAATATCTGAATGCAATTTTTAAGCCCCTGCAGAGCTCTTCTAGCGGAAAATAAAGTCCATCCTTTCACCCCATGCATTCAGGAAGAACTGAAGTGAGTATTAGATGGCTCTGTGCTCATGGAAAATAACTGCAAATACCAGGTGCATCTCCAAATATTCATATTATGTGCCCCCTCACGATCTGGGGCGATAGGACAGGTGCAGTATCCATGAGATGAATCTAAAAAGGCAATTTGCTGTCACTGCACCCAACGCAGGAATAAACATCAGTCCACTTACTGGAGCCAACACTATGAATAAATATTCAGATGTTAATGAGCTCGATATTGTGTTTTTAATCTATAGCAAACCCTTCTGCTCAGAAACAAAGCAAAAGATAGGCGAAAATGTGAGTTATTTCCACTTTAAGTTATGCAAAATTCATAGAATACAGCCCACTCACAACATAAAGGCAGAGAGGAAACAAAAGAGCAAGTTTTTGAACAATGTACTCTGAGGGCATCCCAAATGAACTCTGAAAGTTGCAATATTACTTCATAGACCAGAAAAATCCATACACAAGATCAATACACCCTGTGGCGGCAGACTTATGAGACAACTCTCTCTTCGAAAGATGAATGCATCACACTGGAATTTGAGACAGACGAGGGAAAAATGTGAAAGTAAACACCATAGCCAAGGCTTTAGGCTCCATCTCAGACACCTGTGGTCAGGTTGCAGAGCCTTGAATAAATAAGTCAACATGAAACAGTAGCCTGACAGAGTAAAAAGCTCATTTGTCATCAAGAAGGTAGTTGTGATGCACTGAGTCCTCTTTCCAAAATTGTTCAGGGTCTGCCCCGGTGCATGTGGTATCCTTCTCGAAAGTACAGACAGACATCATCACCCAGACTGCTTCCTGTGGGCGCAGGAGCAGCATGTATCTCTCATCTATTTGCTGCCTTCAATACCTCAAAGAAGTAAGCTTAAAACTTTGTGGCATCTGTTTGGAGAGGGCACTAGATAATGGGTTTAGAATAGTATGTTTGACACTTACATGTAGACAATGCTGTTCATCACACAGAATGACCACTTAGCACTTGGAAACCCCTCAGGCATACCGTGGCTTCTTACCAATGCCAGTACCCTGTCTGGATTTCTCTGTAGAGAACTTAATACTAAAGATTTACTGATACTGTTTATTTTATTAACAAAGGTGGAACATAAAAAAGTTGTAAATGACCCTTTAACCCATGACAAGTAATAATCTCTCTCATCAACACCAAGTGCACCGTAGGAACATTTGTCTTTGTCTCAAGCTTTTTCTCATTTTCATTCATAATCTTTCTTACTGCATATCCACATTTCCCTTCCCTTCTTTCCATTTCACCTAACAGTAATGCTTTGTCACGCTGATTGGCAAAAAGCAAATGAGGAGGAACATGATGGCGTCACATTTTGCAGAGTGCAGCCAGGACTCTACGACAACTGGCAAAGCACAGGCCACCAAGGTCAGGATGAACATTAGTCTGTGTTGCAGCAGTATGCAGTTGAGGAGTATTAGAAGAAATAACCCCACTGGGAAGTTAAAATAGCCTGTAAAGGCTGAAACATACAGGATCCATATTTAGCGTGTATCTGCAGCGTCCCGTATCACGCAGCAAATAGGTTGCCATTCTAATTAATGCAGCAAAGCATACAGGACGCATATCAGCTCCGTCACAGCATCGTAGCAAGAGCAGCACTGCTAAAGATACATAACAAATCTATTTTTGCTGCTCTACACTGTTGTTTTCTTTATACTAAGCCAAGCTGACCGGGCTGCACTACACTGCTGCCACGCTCCAAATACACATCCCGTATGCGATACCCAATGCTGCTCTACGTAGCAAATACGGGACGTGCTCAACACGGATCCTGTATGTTTTCAGCTTGGGTTTGATTGCAAAGATCTCCTTATATTGTTAAATTCCTTGGAGTTAGGTTTGTCTTCTGTGGGGCATAATTCTTTTGAAAATATTCTAACCCCCACTTCCAAATTTCATTATTCTGATGCAAATCAGTAATGAAGTTTTGTCACCATTTTAACAGGGTCAAAAACAATATTGCTCATCGCTAAAGGATGATGAAAGGATGCACTGAGTAATAGCATTGATGGAGGTCCAGCAGGTATTACCTTTATTTGGTAAAATCCTCTAAAATAACCAAAAACACTGAAAGACATGGCCTATATGAATATCTTCTGCTAAGTTTCCTCTGTGAAAAGTCTTCAGTTATCTTTAGACGATTGCAAATACTATGTTCAGGCTACAGGAAGGTTGTAGTCTCGGTTAAACACTTCAAGCTTCAACATTCACTGCAGCGGGGATGAGATATGAGCTGCCTTTGCTCCAGATCAACAGCTATCATTCTTTATGCCAGAGTAGGAACTTGTAAAAAACAACCAGTTATTTTATGTGTTTGAAATAACAACAAAGGGGGTAGTTCAGTTAAGGACACTGTCACCTTGTTGAGGGACACAGTGTTGCTCACTTGAAAAATAGTGGAGCAGGACAGGAGGACAATGGGCCAACAAAATCCAATTACTAATTCAATAACAGTAAGTGTGATGGACTAAAGATATACAGTGCCTCTGACTCCCCCTGTCCTGTTATTTACACCCTTGTCTGAGCCTTTACTGACAAACAGCTTTAAATACGTCACAAAGGTGTTGTCATCTTTATAAACAGATTCGAACAGATGAAATTTTCCAAATCTGCTGGGGAAGTTTTTTGGAAAACAACCAGGAGAAAATAGTGAGGGACTATTTTTAGGAGCAGATTAATGCATATGTTCCCTTAAGTATTTCAAGCATCAGGATGGAGTGTGGGTGATCCACTTAAATATAACCACAGAGTTATCTATCTGAAAGACAATGCCTCTGGTGCAGCAGAGTGACTCACTGATGTGTTTCAGGAGGTTTTTTTTTTGTGCAACAATAGCTCCATGGCTTTAAGAGTCTTTGGTTTAACAACACATAATAGTCGTGATGTAATCTCCAATGATTTGCTGCTGCTTTGAACAACTTCTTCATGCTTGTTGGATGAATATAAAAAAAACCAATGCTCAACATGTATGTTGTATGTCCTTGAGCTATTTTTGAATCTCAAGCTAAAGTTCAATGACTTAAATGTCCGGTGTGTTGAAATAGGAATACTTGGCCATATCTATAGTCTACATTGCTCACCTTCTTCTGCACTGGTGGCCTTTAAGGAAGCTCCTGTGATCTATGTAGGTACGATCCTCCATATATTTACCTCCGCCAAGGAGGTTATGTTTTCGGTAGCGTTTGTTTGTTTGTCTGTTAGCAACTTTACGGAGAAAGTTACAGACGGATTGACCTGAAATTTTCCCCAGAGGTGTGTCTCAGCCCCAGGGCAATCCCATTACATTTTGGTTGTGATCCGGATCGCCTTCTGGATCCAGGAGTTTTTTGAAGGATTCTTTATCATTGTGAGATAGGGCAAATTTTTGAATTTTTGCATTGAACTCTATAAAACTGTCCAGAGTCTTTAGTAAAAAATGACACAAAAGGATCTCAATGAGTTTTATGAGGTGTCAAAGGTTGATCCTGATCCAGACAAAATTACAGATACTGTGATCCAGAACACACAAAAATAAGGGTGTTGTTGGAATTTTCAGTGCTGAAAGATAACCAACGGGCGGCACAGTGGTGTAGATGGGCGACACAGTGGTGTAGTGGTTAGCACTGACGCCTCACAGCAAGAAGGTCCTGGGATTGAATCCGGGTCAGGGCATTTCTTGTTTTAGGAACATTATGAACAGTGAACATACCACTTTAAACACTAATAAAAGTTAATAAAAGACACATAACAGTTAAAGTTTTGGTGTGAATCACAATATAAGGGGGAACATGGGCTGCTTGGCGGAGGTCTGCGCTCTCCGAGTGCTTTTCTAGTTATATATGAAGTACCAAAATCACTGTACATACCTCTGTTTGGAAGTCATGTGTCTGTTAATTTGTGATATGGTAAGGGAGTCCCTCCAATGTCAGATGCCTCAGACAGGTGTACAACAGCAGCTTTTGTGTGATCATAAAGGGCTGGTATGACTTACTGTTCAAATACAGTGGGGAGGAAACTAAATATCCAGGCTGTGTCACCTTGAATATGTTTTAATCCTTTGCTCTCAACATCTTAATATGGTTGCAGATTCACTGCCAAAAAGACACCAAAAATGTGGGCTCAGAGTTACCAGGTAAAGGCTGTTTAAATGCCAGAGGCTTGGAACAATAGTCAGTACATTTACATGATCTTACAATATCAATTAATTGCAATTGTCTGAAACTGGCCTCATAATTCTGCTCATGCTCAAGTGTTAAAGAGGTACAGCAGTTGTCCAACGGCTGGAAGGTTGACGGTTTGATCCCCTCCTATCCCTAGTCTATCCAGTGTGTCCTCGGGCAACACATTAATCCTACCTTGCTCCCAGTGTGTGTCCTAAACTGGTGTATGATTTGTATGTTTGTCACTTTGGATAGAAGCGTCTGCTAAATGACAAGGTAATTTGTAAAACTGGGATGAGGACAGTCGTCCATTTGCCTAATTGAGCTAGAACCTAACTGCAAACATACTGAGTGCTTTTTTTCCTCCTGGCAGTCGTGTTTATGTCCTTGTGTTTCCACTTCAAATGTGTCAGCAACGAACCCAACAGCTGCTGAACAGTGTTGGCAAAATGCTTTCATCTTATCCACTTGTCTCTATTGATTGTAAACTATAGAAGCTGAGGAGACTGCGGTGTTCCCACATGGGACACCTTAACGACAGTACTAAAACAGCTCGGTACGAATACATATATCTTTACACTTCTACTTACCACTCACCAATCTTTTTTTTTTTTTCCCCCAGCAACAAAAACTCAATGACAGTGCAGTCTAAACACATATAGTCATCTTTGTTGAGGATCATTTCTTGCCTAAAAGGAGAAAAATAATAGCTTACATATAGGCGAGGTTATAGGTTAGGCTATATATACTGTAGGTTGATTTCAAAAATACTCCACTGAGTAATAGACGGCTATTAGATGTTCAACCGTCTCGATTCTGTATATTTTTAGACGGAGTTTAGACGTTGCACTTTAACCCATTATTCAATAACTATTTATTTCAAAAAGCAACTGTGAGTTGCATAACTGATCTCCACGTACTTAACCAAAAAAATTATGAGAGCCACCCTCTGAGCATTTTTTGGATTAAAGGAGGTCTAATACATATCCTAAATGTAGCCTAGATGACTGGTCTAAAACCAGGCTACCACAGGTCTAAGACGTCTAAAATTTAGACCAAGTTTGGACCAAGTCTTAATCTGGGCTATATCTTTACTACACTGCATTTTACTTTACAACTAACATTATTATTTTGTTTAAGTACTTGGAGATCAGTTATGCAACTCACAGTTGCTTTTTGAGATAAATAGTTATCAAATTATAGGTTAAAGTGCAACGTCTAAATTCCGTCTAAAAATATGCAGAGTCTAGACGGTTGAAATTAGGTCTAAAAAAAACTAGACATGTAATAGCCGTCTATTAATCAGTGGGCATTGAGCAATACACAGTGTAGTATAGATATAGCCCAGATTTAGACTTGGTCTAAATTTAAATGATTAAAATGCTTTCATTTTTAGACCTGTGGTAGTCTGATTTAGACCAGTCGTCTAGGCTACATTTAGACGTCTATTAGACCTCTTTTAGACCAAAAGACACTCAGTGGGACTGTAGCTGGAAGTTTGCATGTAGTCTGTTACATCTTATTTGGCGTTTTTGATCCTTGAGATAAATGTCAAATGTTTTGTGCTCTCGAGAAACACTCCTCTCTCTTATTTGAAGTAAAAACAAAGCTTTGTGCTCTTGTAAATGATTATTAATGAACAGTAGGGCTGTGATGACAGCGTGTCGTTGGTTCTCTCTCACTGGGTCACACAGCAGCGGCTTAAACAAACGGACAGGGCGTGTGAACACGCTCTAATTAAAGTTGTGAGCGGCTCGTGCTGGGGGCGGAGCGTGGGAGGATCAGGCCGGGTGGTCCACTGTGACTTTCTCTCTCACCGGAGGAGGCACGAGGACAGCAGCAGGGAGGGTGGAGAGCTCCGGCGCTGACCGTGGAGGACAGAAACACGCACGAGTGCCTTCAGAGAAAAAGAGCTCAATCTCTCCCCCTCTTTTTTAAGAAGAGCTGCGCGTACCCTGACGAAGGTAAGAGACTTTTTTTCTCTCCTCCTCCTCATCAGACAGCTAACCTGAAAGGCTGAGTGACTTCACATTTCCACGATGGATAATTATGATTGCTTTGGATTCATTTTCATCAAGTCGAGGATGTGGTGATTGGTTTTTTAATTGGCCTGATGAGAGCATTGTGGAAATTGCTCTTTTTTCCTATTAGCAGCAGAAATGCTAATAATTCATGCAGCCCTGCAGCAGTGTTTGATGCATACTTCAAAAGTGGCAACATGATAAAAGTGAAGAAAAAGGATTCGTATTTGTAGTGAACAAACTCAAATATAAAACATTTCCACTCAACAGGTTGAGCGTTTTGCTCTGATACATATTCTAAAAAGGTGTGAATGTTAGGGTTAAGATGATGGATGGTTCAAGTGTCAGGGGACTGCAAAGGCTCATGGTTTCAATGAAAGGAGAATTACTCTCTGCATCTGAAGGTTAACACAAACAATAACATTTGTCTCCATGGATGAGAGCACAAAACACTTCAATGTTCTTTCCAAAGGGCACAGTGCAGCTTTAGTGCTCAAGGTTGATAAAACATAAAGATTTACGTCACAGAGGTTTTGATTTAGGGACTTCCTGCACTGACTCTTCTCTAGAGAGAGCAGCGTTTTAGAAACGGACTACAACCGTGCAGTCATTCATCATGATCTACCGCACTGCTCAGGAGAGCTGACAGATAGTTTCACCACAGTGTTTGTGAAAACTGATGATAAGTGAACTGCTGTGGGACCTGAACTGGCAGCACATTAGAGTACAATGTTGAGAGGATCCAGGTGTGTGTTTTTTGAGAAGACCATCTACATTTGTGTGTTTAAAGATGAGGTTTGAAGGAAAAACATTCATTTTAAAAATAGGAGTTTTCGCTGAGGTGGTGAAGAGGAATACTTAATGATCTATTATCTATCTATTTCACAACACTGCAAATAATCCTTCAAGAAAACGAACAAAAAATGTAGGTTAGAGAGACTTGTTTTGGGCTCTGACACTCTTATCTGGCAGTGTAAGTGAACTTATTGTCAACAAAGACAAACTGATGCATTTAAGAATGTAATTTATTCATGATTTATTGATAGAAATGTTATCTCAGTTCATTTACTTAGCATTTAATTTCTAAATTAAATGCGTGTGCAGTGTTTGATGAATGGTTGGTGGCAAAACAAAGACTGTAAAAGAACAGGACCTTCTTTTCTGCAGCGTAGACAAAATGCTGTCATTATTACTACACACCCTTGAGACAGTAAAGCTGTCCTGTGGGTACAGGCTGCAGCTCTGAGTGAATATCAGCACGGTCAGGCTACATTAAGTCATTTAATAAACCAAATGATATTCTCTCTCCTAAAACAAAACCCTAGTTATTAGTCCAATCAGAGATTTTGTTTGGCTGACTTGTTTCACTTCTGTAATGGCCACTCAGGCTGGAGAGGCGAACGGCAAAGTTTCTTCAAGGGCAATATGCCATCTCTGCATAAGATCCCATAATGCAATAAAAACAGCAGTACCCTTGGATTTCAGATGTAAATGGGGATGTAATGGTATTTGCCGGTGGCTTTTAATCCAATAGGCTATTCTCTGTGAGATGCATGGAGGGTCATTGTATGTACGTAAGCTGGTCAGCTAAATCAAATGCTCCCAGGGATGCAACATGATTGGAAACGGGATCAGACCAGCACTCAGCTTTATTGGTTCGGTTTGTGTATCTACCCACTTAAGGAATTTTATTCTGGTTTGCATAGCTCATAGTCTGCAGAGTTAATAAACATACATGCAGCTTCAAACATGGACAGTAATAAGATTGATGCGATATCTAACAATCAACTGTTGAATGCAGGAGGAGCATGTACCCCAGATTTCTATACTTGATTTTGTTGCTCTTCAACAATCGTTCTTAGTTCTTAAAATCAGGAACAACCTTATCACATGCGTCATAATAAATTATTCGGTATTTCTTATTTTACCTCTTCCTGTTGACTCTGTGGCAAAAAATATCTGTTTCCATCTCAGATTTTGAGACTCTGAAACTAATGATAGTAGACACAGATGTGAGAGCAGATGGCCCCAACCATCTCTGTCACAGTGGGAAAAAATGAATCAAAACCTTGGTCTCTAATCCAGCAAACTGTAGCAGAGATGGTGTAGATGATCCCTGAACAGTAATGCAGATGACAAGTAGTGTTGAAAAGCAATGTTGGTAGCAGTAATGACATTTTACTTGTTTAAAGGTGTGTTAATTGCACAGCTGTGATTAATTGTTGAAGAGTTCCACTCTGTACTTTGGCAGCCACAGCCCTCTTCTCTTTATCTTTTTGGACTTAAGACAAACGAGTCATTAGTTAAAATACACATATGAGCAGGTAGACCTGTCGCAGTGGAGATGCAAATCTCAATAGTGCTGTTACTTGCCAACAGCAACCTTAGAGAGCAGTGAGTGCTAGATTACCTGATTACTGTGCGTTGATGCACTTTCATTGTAACATCAACATCAGAAGAAGGTGGTGCTCTCCAGTGAGAGTGCAGGCTACAGCTCTGCACTGACCAAGCTGCAGTCTCGCTGATGTCAGACACGAATCACTCCATTACGCTGCCTTTCTACCCAACACTGTGGCTGCAGTTGTTTTGGAGGGACTAAATCTCCATTATTTCAGCACTAACCTCATAATATGTGTGTACAAAAATCGGGACCCGCCTTCACGTGCAACATCTGCAGCCGAGTCTGCCTCTCATGCATTTGGCTTCTTAGTCAAAGAAGATGCGCCAAAACCCTAGCTCCTAGGCACAGGAAATCCATGGTCTTCTGAGACTGTGATGCCGATGATGCCAAAAATCAAAATGTTTAGACAGGTGATGACAGTTCTTCAAAATCCATCCAAGTGATCATTCTCTGTGTCGCATTTGCTTTGAGAAATAATCAAAATCCATGTAAAAGCAGACTGTAACACCAGTGATGGTATCATTTGAAATGAATAAAATCATCTTTTAATCAAGAGTTTATTCGAGTGTTTAGTTGGTAGTTGTATAAAGCAAAGTAATGTAGATGTTTTTTATTTATACAGCCCATTACAACAACCCTTTCAGTGAACCAAAGTGTCGCATAATTGTACATCTTACATGATCTAAGTCACATAAAAAGTGAGCTTGTTACTTCACTGTTAAGTCTAAACATTATCCTGCTTGTCTTTTATAAATCACAGTGTGTTGTTATTTGTGGTTGCCTCTTGTCCTGTTTTCTTCACTTTGATGGATGTCTCTTTCACTCTATTCTCCTGTGTTCTTACGCTGATTACTGGTCTGCCACTTATCACATTATCAGAAATATCCTCTTTTGTCTACTAATACTACTGGGCATTGATGTGATTGTCACGTTGTCAACAAACAGAGATGAAATCATGAACAGTACACTACATGCACTGTAAGTTCCTAATGTAGAGTCATCTGTTGAGTGTGAAATGTGTGATCATTCTCTGTGTCGCATTTGCTTTGAGAAATAATCACTGTTGATCAGAGGCTTCGACCAATCAGCCGCATGATTGGTGAGACAGCTGAGTAATGAGTGAGATGATGTATAGCGAAGAGTTGATTATGCCAATCTAAATAACTTGAGAACCTTGAGTCGTCTCACTGATAATGATCACACATCAGAGACCTAAGGGATCAAATGTTTGATACTTTTATTGAGAAGTGGCGTTGAAAATTAATCCATAATTTATTCTCCAGTAGGGTGGCATTTAGATGCTATGGGTCATGTAGGATACAGTCAACACATCAGTGACATTTCAGCCTCACAAGAATGTTCATGTCAGCGTACATGCAAGAAGCGTACCACTCTCTTGACTGCGTTTCTATTTGCCAGACTATATGCATTCTGACAGCATTTCCATTTGTTGCCTGCAATCATCCTTTCCTTTCAGAGGAACATTTATTATGATATGTGCATCTCATTGGACGAGCCAGAAAGGTTGTGAAGGCAGCCAGTAATGGAATAAATTAAGTCATTTAACATCCTATAGCCATTTATCATCTTGGCATAGCTCTGTCGTTGCCCTGATACCTCCGTTCATACACGTGAATGAATGAAACATGAGGCGCAGAGTTCTGTAAGGGGGTTTGTGGTAGAGGGTAAGCTTTATGTTTTCAGTATACTATCATTCAAAACTCATCAATAACCGCAGCTTGGTGAGCGGTCGAAAGCTTTAAAACACAGCATTACAGCAGGTATGACTCTGATGCCTGTTTGGAAATATCTTTACTGACAGATTCTGCATGCAAATATAAAACCTTCATAGAAAGTACCAGATTGGAGATGAAGAGATCTGGTTCTGAATGTGTGTGCATGCAACCCACATGCATTTCAACAAGCACTGCGAATGCTTTCGTGCAGACAAGCAGTCTGCAGAGAGGAAAAGAGTAGTATGAACTCTGAATGTAAAGCAATCTCAGAACCTACCAGCAGCCATGTAACCAAGATAAGGTTTTAATTAATGCGCAGGTATCTGCAGTTAGAAATCCACTCAAGGGTGTCATCTGTCAACACTTTCTACATTCTCAACATATAAAGCTGCTCATCAAGCTGTAAAATATTGCAGCCCTGAAAAAGAAAGTCTTCTCTGGAAGTCCTCCGCTGCTAAACTCTGGTTTCACTGGAAGTTCCCAAAGTGTTGGTCATTGTCATATCAGTTTGTTATGTAAGGGGCTCTATGGTCAAGACTGTCAAATCAAAGATAGTACCAGTAGTTATAAAGGCTAAGGTGTAGTGAGCAAAGATACTCAGTTCTCACTGAACTCAAGTTTGTTAAAAGAATTGAAAAAAATCAATTCAGACTTTTTTTTTTTTTACTGTAAACCAGAATCCAAGGATTTCCATGTTGAAGTCTTTATTCAGCCTGTGGGCCAACAAACTGAGCATTCTCACAAACCACTGACGTCAGTTTGTCCATGTGGTGAAACGTGGACAACACAAGGTAATTCATCTGCCAGTTGGCAGTAACTCTGGTTACTCGTGGTTAGATACCCCTGTAGCTGGATTATTCTTCGGTCTTCTGAGTCGCTAAGTCCTGTACATTCAGGGATTTTGCCATGTATTTCTTTACCATTGGGTTGTCTGGTAAACTGTGGCACATGCCTGTTTTTTATCCTAAAGCCAGCTGCAGCTGTACTGCTGCTTCGTGTTCCTGTCATACATCTTGATTCACATTATCATCTGATGACCACTTTGTCGGTAACTCTAAATATTGATTGTCTTAAAACTGCACTTGACTCCAAAGAAACTTCAAAGTAATGAGTCAGGAGGCATTTTTCAGAATCTACGGGTCACATACCCAACTCTTACTTCTTCAGACACAGGCACACATTAATGAAATGTGGCCAAGCAGCTGTGTGTCAAGTGTGTGCCAGCTGTCCTGCACACACAGATTTTCAACTTTAAGAAACAGTTGTTTCTTTATAAGTTTGTGCGGGGGTGTCAGAAATCAAATTATGTGTGGCCTCTCACAGGCTGCTGGATCACATTATTCATCTTTCCTGAATTGTTTTTCTCTGCACCGCCTCAGATCCTGTAAATATATTCCCTGTGTATCTCCATCCAGTGTAAGCTTCAAACACAGGTGGGATGAGGAAATAAACTTTTCATATGCAGCTCTTTGTGCAGATACTTCTCCACACAGAGGAATCTCATTATAAGAAGAAATGTATTTCAAATATCACCTCGCTTAGCTCTTCAGTGGAAACAATCCAAGATATCCACTCACCAGCTACTGATCTCAGCATCAAGTGTTTATTTGGAGGGAATTTCGTTCCGCCTGCTGGTGGGATGTGCAGTAAGCGAAAGCCTTTGATCCGATGCATGAACATGTGACAAGCATGACTGTGTCCTTTGAAGGCTTTATCGCAGCTGCTTTTTCATTTCTTACTCCTCGCTGCTGTTTATCTCGCTCAGTGACATCTAAGATCCCTAACACGTACACAGAGAGTGGCACTTAGTGGGTCTATCAGTGGCCAAAGCCTTTGCCTTCATAATAAAGTGCCCTCCTCGAGGTCCAATTCCTGGCCTGTCATCTGGAGGTTGAGTTAGAGCACAGCTCAAAGACACAAGACCTCCAAGGAAGCCATCACAGGCTTGAAAGTCTGGCCTTTATAAAGGTAATCTCTGCTCCCATTCATCTCTGTATCCCCAGCCTCTCCCCGCTTGTTTTCTCATAACACATAGATGATTTTGTCCACCCCCCCAGGATTAACATTGCAGCTGTGGTGTCCTTGTCTTTACCCCTGCCTTTGACTGAATCCTTTTTCCTTTTTTCCCAATGTCACCCTACTGTTTCAGAGCTCTGTGGCCTTCAGCGTGTCTTTAATGGTGCAGCTTGGTTAAATAAAGGTTTGTTTAAAATAAGTTATTAAGAGCCCCATTGAACATCAAGGGCAAAGCGCTTTAGCACGCAGCACAAATCTGAATTATGGTCAGTTATCGAGACTATAAAACATCATGATGTTTATGTTCAAGAAAAAAACAACACATTCAGTCAAATTGAGGAAATGCAAGACGAGAGCATAGCACAGATTATTACTTCATAAGCTTTATTAGTACATACAGTAACCTTACATGTCATCAACCATTTCTAATAATGCTCAAATTTCTGATTTAGTCCTGTGACTGACCCTTCTTTGGAGCAGACACTGATGAATAAACACTTTCCGTGCTTGTATTTTGGTGCTTTTTCTGTCTTGTAGTGTTGCTGCTGTATTTCCTGCACAGTCAAAGAATACTTTTATTTTGAAGTACTAAAAGAAAACAGTTACATGAATGGTGAGGAAGTACAAATGTTCGATGGATTAGTAACCAGAAGAGGTAGCAGCTTTAAAGTCATTGGTAAATCCTGTCTGATCCTGCTGGCTGATCTTGACTTTTGAATATTTGACAAAGTTGTGCTGCTCTTCATGCATTAATGTTCGTATCAGTTGCTTTGGAAAATCCCCAATTGTTTCTGCTGTACTGAAGAATTTCTTCAGTGGAATAACATCAGTCCATGCATCAATTTAACTTTGACAGTGACCTGTATGTGTGCGTTTCCAGCCTTAGAGTAGCACGATGTTAAATAAGCAAAGTTAAATGAAATGGCTTGATCCCAGTGTATTTAAACAGAATGGCTGAAATCTGCTGTGTAAGTAGCAACACCCCTGCCCACTTTGTTCCTAAGAAATTTACGGGCAGGAACACTCAGTACGTTCACGAGACACTTAAGAAAACTGAATTATTGCCTTACTCTGACTAAGACCGGACAACTGAAGTGCATTTTAACAGCTTAGTCCAACTATAATTTGAATTTGAGGACTCTGATTGGAGTTGGAGAACTCCGATTAAGACACTTAGATATTGCAATTGGATTTCTATTTCCTCTACCATGTAATCAGCGTAGTCGGAGTATGACTGGACAATGCATGTGCTCGTGCGCCATACGCAGACAAGGATAGAAGTCCCATTCGGCGAAAAGAAAAAACGAATTATGAGCTTAGTCCGATTAAGCTGTGATTGTAAACGCACTGACTGGTTTGGATCACGCCACGCCAAAAACTCACCTTTGAGTAATCAAGAGATTACCTCTTTACAGACCTTAAGTCACTCTAAAGCTTATATTTTGGACCATGTGTTTTAGATCTGCCCAAAATGTCAACGGCTAAAAAACCAAAAAAACAATTAGTCTGTTTTTTATTTCTTTTTTTTCCAGGATGTCAAGGAAATTGGGAACACCACTTATAAGTAGTTCAATCAAGCACTACTGTTACCAAACAGGATCAATTTGCAAATTGACACCGTCTCTGCTGAAACAGACAGATATTTTTACCCTTTTCTAATGACAGGGAGCTGTGTTATTATTCCCTAACCAATTTGCCTTCCTAATGGGTTTTTATTTGTTTATTTGATTTGTTCCTAGAGTGCTGAGGAAAGAACAGCACATAAGAAGAACCAGGTCTTTTTTGGGGTGTTGTCTATCAAAGCTTTTTGACTGTGTGGTGTTAATCATACTTTATCTCTTTCTTTGTTTTGACAGGTTCCCTTCAACAAAGCCTTTCAGCGTGTCTGAACATGAATGCTCCTTGAAAGATGAATACACTGGCTGTCAAGTTGTTCAGGAGTAAATATGACAAAGTTCCTCTTCCTCTTAATGTGACACCCTGCCGAGAGAACTTGACAAAGCTGATGTGACCTGTGAGGAATGGGCCAGATCTGCTGCAGCCATGAATGAACTGAAAGAGCAGGGGCAGGAAAGTGCTTCAACCTTTTAATGAGAAGCTACTAAAGGAAACGTTTGTGCATCAACTTCCTGCGCTCAATGCCTTGAAATGTTTCCCTCTGAGAACAGCAGTGTTTTGTCTCCAACAGATTCCTGTTTGAATTGCAGCTCCTCTACTTACCCACCAATGGATGTAGCCAAAGCGGTGTTGTTGGGGTTACTGCTGGTGGTCTTTGTCGTGTTTGGGGTCCTCGGCAACATCCTTGTCATCCTATCAGTGTTGATCCACCACCACTGGCGCTCTGTGACTCATTATTTCATTGCCAACCTGGCTGCTGCAGACCTGCTGCTCAGCTCCGCAGTCCTGCCCTTCTCCGCCACCTCGGAGGCTCTTGGCAGGTGGGTATTCGGCCGCTCCTTCTGCAGCGTCTGGGCTGCTCTGGATGTTCTCTGCTGCACTGCCTCCATCCTCAGTCTGTGCGTCATCTCGATAGACCGCTATCTAGCTGTCAGCTACCCTCTGAGATACCCTGCCATGGCTACAGGAAGGCGAGGCCTGACTGCAGTGGCTGCCCTGTGGGGGCTCTCAGCGGCGATATCCGTGGGTCCTCTTTTCGGGTGGAGGGAGCCCGAGCCGGAGGATGAAACAGTGTGCCGAATAACAGAGGAGCCTGGCTATGCTTTGTTCTCAGCTCTTGGATCTTTCTATATACCTCTGGCCATCATCTTGGCCATGTACTGCCGTGTATATACTGTGGCAAAGAGGGAGACAAAGACCCTCAGGAAGGGCAGCGAGGGAGGAGGAGTCGAGACAGAGGGGGTGACACTGAGGATACACAGAGGAAATGCTGCTAATGCAGAAAAACAGGACAGCGAAGAGGGCGAGAAGCCACATAAACGCACCACCTTTTCTCTGTCAAAGGTGCTGAAGTTCTCAAGAGAGGAGAAGGCAGCCAAAACTCTCAGCATTGTTGTCGGCTGCTTCATTCTGTGCTGGCTCCCTTTTTTCCTGGTTTTACCCATCGGTACGTACTTTTACACCTCTTTATTTTTGACTTGGCAGAAACCCAGCTTATGGCTTTTCATATATTAATATTTTATTTTAGTCTCAAAGGCAAGAGTCAGTGTCTCTGAAAGAGAAACCACTGGCAATTTTCTAAAGACCAGTCAGGTCATCTCTCAATGATCCTGTAGGACGTGTTTGTCCATCTGAATCCAAAATATCTGTCACCAGGGAAATTGAAACAACTTTTACCTCCTGTCCAGAATTTTAAAGCCGCTCTTGCTTTTGTTGCAAACATCCGGCAGGCTTTTTGATATTTTATGAGTGCCAGTCCAGTTTGACAACCCTGTTTGACAACACTTTTGCACTTATGTTTGTTTGGTAAGATTAAAGCAAAAATACAGAATTATGGGTCTTTAGACATTACTTTGGATTTCAATCTGGGCTTAAAGCAAGCATCAAAAATGACCAGAAATGGAACAAAAACATGCTGGTTGACCAACTTTAGCTGCTTTTTGCGCCCTTCTATTGTTTGATGCTGAGCAGGTAGACCACGGCGGAGGTTTATGACCTTGCCTCCTGCTGCAACAAAACAGATGCTAATGAAGCAGAGGATTTAAGAGACAGGTTAGACAGCTAAACAATGAGCTAGCTCACTGTGCAGTTTGGAGCTTTGCCACAAAAATCTGCAGCTTCATCAGAAATTATAGTTAACTCTTATTGTGTCTCTTGCCCATCGAAGTGTTGTAAATAACTTTATGTGAAATACCATAAGAGTAATGTTCCTTATTGTAAAACTATGAAGAATTTAGAGATTACACCATCTATAGTGCATAGTATAAAATATTCTCAGTATCTGGGGAAATCTCTGTAGAAAGGGTCTGGAAATCATTAGGTTTGCCATTACTTTTGGGTCCTCTGGTAAAGCAATACATTAAATATTGATGTGACTCAGTCGTGGAAATCATTGTTTGGGCTCTAAATCACCTCTGAAAACCCCTGCCTGGGAACAGTTTGTTGCTGCTGCCATAGATGCAGGGTTTAACTATACCATACAAAGAGGATTCATAAATGCTGGTGACTTCTCTGGGCCTGAGCTTGTTTATGATAGACCAATGCAAAGTGGAAAAGTGTGAAGACATGTTTTTGGAAATCATGGATGTTGTGTCCTTCACTCGTAAGTAAAGAAGGACCACTTGGCTTGTTATCAGCACAATGTTCAAAAGCCAGTATCTGTGATGGTGCGGGGATCCGAAGTGTCCACGCCATGGGTATCTTCCACATCTGGCACCTCCAATGCTGAACAATACCAACAGGTTTTGGAGCAATATATAGTGCCACCCAGGCAGTGACTTTTCAGCCTTGCACATTTCTGTAAGATGATGCCAAACCAAATTCTTTGTTTATTACAACAGCATGGCTTTGTAGTAGAAGAGTCCTGCTGCTAAAGTGGCCTCGCCCACTTTACCCATCCCTACTTCAGAGTGTGTCGTAACGTAACATCACCACTAGTTGTAGTAGTAGGGACAGCTAACTTGAATCTTTCAACCAGAGAAAGCAGATCAGATTAGCTGACAAGGCCATGCAAAGATAAAAATACTTGATAACAAAACATGTTTTCATGGTCAAGGCAGCACTGTGGGGTTTAGAAACTTGCTGGGTTTTCACGACTGTTCAATAACACAATAAGAGACACAAAGAAGGCCTAACCTTCAGTGAATGTCAAAAAAGGAATTAAAATGATTGATCTGCTGCACAAACTTTGAGAAAGTTATACTGTCATGACTGCTTGATCAAAAATGAATTATGAATTAATCATTGATTCACCTTATTATAAGGGCATGAAGGGTTTCCCGTGGAGGTTAACTCTATTCTAATACACAAAAAAAACCTTAATTGAATTTCCAGAAGAAGAAAAGCCGAATGTAAATTAAGTGATTAAGGATTATTTTACAGTTATAGTGATATTTTACAAAAGATATAGGCGTAAGTGAACATTATTAAGAGCAAATGTTCTTTAAGCCAGATATTATGAACTTAATAAAAAAAAAAAAAAAGGTTAGTCAGTCAAAAAAAGTGATGAGTGATGTTATCAAAGAGAGGCCAGAAACCCACCTTTAGTAACCTTATCTGCAATCTTAATAGCTTCTTAAATAACTCTTATAGCTTGACTGAGATAAGAGAAAGTCAGTGGGGACCAGTGGGTGTTTCAAGGATAGTGGTGTATCAGCAGTTTGCTCTCAGCACGCAGCGAGTGACATTATTGCTGAGACATGTATTTGGTTACACACGCTGTTTTCTGATTGAAGGAGGGGACAGTTTATTGTGGCAGATATAATGAAACACATTGACTGAACAAATAATGGGCTGTGTGTTATCTGTTATTTTCTTTTTTAGTGCCAGTGTACACTCATAGCCAGATTTATTTAAACTAAGTGTTTAATCCGGTTGCAAACAAAGGGAAATTGAATTAAAACTGGGACCTGCAGTCCAGCTTAAATTAACAGCTTTGTTAAGATTAGCCTTTAAAATAACACACTCACATAATTGGAGTTATAACAGTTTTTTAGATCAGTGAATACAAGCAGATGTTGAACTTTGCAGCTTTTCCTGAGTGTTTAGCTTTATGAAGTTTTGCTCAGTTGTCATGGGGACGGATGTATTCATTGTTCAATGTGTATCATTGCAATAATAATGTTAAATGCAAGTCTTTTATGTAGAATTGAACAAAAAAATAACACAAGTCCAGAGGTTAACAAAGGGATAAATTACTGTCATGGCCATGTTATTCTCTTTCTTCAGCTGATAATATGTTTATATAACTGCAATAACAACACAAGACCAATGAGTCATTTTGACAGACACAGGTGAAGGCGCTGTAACTTCTAACACAGATAAAAGAATCATAAACTGTCCGTCCGTGCAAGAATTATTGGCTAGTAACCAGAACAGAGCCGTGGAAATAAAGCTGCCATTTAAGGCTGACACACTGAATAAATCACACAAGAGTCCTTCGTCAGGTGTTGATGGCTGCATCAAAACATTTTCACACGTACATACATACATGCACTTAAACAACCAAGGAAAGAGGGATGTGTCACTTTTAACCCAAAATTCAAACATTTATTCAGATACTCAAATTTATAGGGCGCTCTAATTGTAATCTGGCCAATCCAGGTTACAGAGGGGGGCCAACTCGGCCATCACTAATTTATAAAGGCTCTGACCTAGGTGCTCATCTCGGTTCAAGTTTATGCTCTACCAAGACAATTTCCAGCACCTGGCCATTAAAAAGCCAACACAGAGATGTGCTCTTCAACATCAGTGTTAATTTTATCAATAAAAGTTATAATGATAAATGTTTGACAGTGACCCTTTTTTTCCATTACAAAGACAAGATGACGAGGGCGCAGATTCTATGACGACTTTTTTCTCATTTTTATGGGTTTGTGAGCTGTATGTTGCTAAAGATACAACCAGCCATTAGAAGTTGAATCGACTCCAGATGTTAAAACAGTGCTTTAAAAAATAAATTATGCCCACTTCTGAACATTTTTCCTGCAGTTACCATTGACAGTTTTTGGACAGTTTAATAATAATAATAATAATAATAATAAACTACATCAGCTGGGAGATATTGAGGTAGACCTGATCCAAAGTATCAATCAGATCTGAGTTTTGCCTCAATACTTTTACAATATGGAAGTCAGGTTAATATTTAATATTTGATAACAAACATCAGGGAATCATGAATGTCTTTATCCATTTTAATGACCATCCATTCCATAGTTCAGTGAATAAAAGTCAAGGTTAGAAATTCATAAGGACTGATCATCTTGGGACCGTTAGTGCATAGAGCAAATCATTTACCAGTCGAGTTTAAGTTTCCAAAATGGACATTTTAATTATCTGGCAGCAGCAGTTCAGGAAAGTTGGGGGATCACCAAGTTAATAAGATTTTCAAGTGCCAAAAATCTCTGCCAAGTATGAAGCCCAACTGTCTGACTTTTTACTTGGCACAAGTAAAATCCCCAACAAGAACCCGTAACTGACTCTGCTGTGCTGCTGAACATTGAACACAGAGATCTAACAGCAGCCGTCCTGTGGTGTGGCACACAAAAGCTGTTGAGGCCGTAATTATTGCTTGATGACTCTGTCCTTTTTTTTGCTCTCTGAACACAAAAACCATGAAGGACCTTCATCCCTCGCTGTGCTTCAACTCTGCTGCTCAGATCTCTCAGAGGGGACATCAAAAATTCAATTACAAGTAACCAAATAGACCAAAACACCACTGAGGCAGAATGAGCTTATGCTGTGATATGAAATGAAATAAACCAGACTATTGCACCATCCTAAGAAAGCTATTATAGATAACAAGCATGGGGCCTAATGGGCTGTAATACTAGGAGGCATCCTCAGTCACCCTGTAGCCTCCCGAGACAGCAAGTCATCAGTGAACAGTTCTGCATTTCAATTGAGTCGAACCTTCATGGCTCATAGCACAGCGATCATATTAGCTCTGAGGCGAAGACAGTCGAGATATCTGGAATGAGGGTTTCAACACCCCTCCCCTCCATTTTTTATGTTACATCTGCCTTGAGATTGAAGGCCTGTCGTGCCAAAGCACTTTGTTCCCATCCTTTCACGAAGACAGTACATTATCATAAGCAAGTGCATATAACGAAGTGAATACCACTCATCAACAGCACCATATAAATCTACCGTTAAGTAGTGCTTTTACAAAGACTGCTTTTGAGCACAGGAATCAGAGCTGTGACTTAAATTTAGCAGCTTTTATTTCTCCATCTAAGAGAGATGTTTCCTGTTTTTGCACTGTGGCTGGAGTGTGAACACAATCTTTGCATAGGGTTTTGCATGGAGCTGGGAGACATGAAGTTTAATTGCCTGGAAACAGTTGATTCAATTAGGCACTGCAGCAGATAGCTCCATTAAGTGGCCATTTATAAATCACGTAATTTAATCACATGATGGATAACTGTATTTGGTGACTTCTTAGGAATACTTTCGTTGCTTTGATCTTAATTTGTAATGGATAATGCATAATACCTGCCTCATAGACTGTATAGAATGAAACAAGACAACCTAATTAAGCAGGTAATTATTATGATAATTATCATTCAAGAAAACACAGAACTGTAATAGAAGAATGATTGAAAATGAAACGAGGAATGTATCAACAAATCAGATAAAATATAGAAAAATAAATATTGGAAAAAAATTGCAGATAACAAGATCTTTGGCGTTGACCTTGTTATTGAAGCTAATAGGCTTCCTGTCCTTCATACATTCAATGGTGTAGATAGAGCTCCTCTAACTCAAGGAGAGATTAATTCAGGCTTTATTGATTTTATGCAAAAAACAACTATCATTGCGGAAAGTTCAGCTAATATGTAACGGATATGTAACAGAAAAATCCTAAGTGGCCAGCTCCAGAACTCAGGGAGACCTCATGAACACCCACATGCCAAAATGTGGAAGGTAACATGTTTACAGGCTAATAATAAAGCAGGACATTAATGCTAAGAGTTTGACATAATTAGGAGCATGGCTGATTTGATTAACAGGCAGGTGCATTACCGGGGAGTCTTCAGGCCCACCTCAGCTCCACCACTTTGCCTTTGTGGAAAATAACCAACAGTACACCAACAGTAAAAGCACAACAGCCACAGAATAATATCCAAATTAGCAGGAAATCAACTAAAAGGCCAAGAAATCTGTAGTGACAATGTTTTTACTGAGCCTACGGCTACTACTGCCACTGCTATGCTGCTGCTACCGCAACGCAGCTGCTGCCGCAACGCTGCTGAACAATATCCGTATTTTGGGGCTTAAAAGTCACATCATGACAATTGTTTTTGTCCACAACAAGATTTAAGAAAAAACATCACATGGATACTGTCACACTGATCTAACTACAACGTCCCAAAGCTTTAAAGGTTTTATTTTTTTTTTCAAAGTTTCACTGTCAGCTGAGTTACCGACCATTTAGAGCACAAGAACCAGAGATTCAGATAAATATAAATTAAAATGTTTTCATCTGTTTTCACAGCTTTCAACAGTATTTGTTTCATGACCAGCTTAAAACTCTCCAGGGGAGCTTGAAACATTCTAAGATCATGGGCATTATTCAGAGTTGTAGAAGTCTCCTGAACCAGCCTTTGTATCTGCCTGTGTAGATTTGACCCATTTAAGCCACTTAAGAGAGAGAGACATCAGAAACTGAAGCATCATGGTTTTACTTAGCAAAGAAAAAAAGGGCCAAACCATTAAAAAGAGATGCAAACCAAAGGTTTGTGGAAAAAACGTCTGCAGGCAGTGGGTTAAGTGGATTGAGCTTTCAGTCAGTCTTGGGGTTTCAGGGGAATGGTGTTTATTTTCCATTTGTTTTCTGAGTTGTGTCTGTCTGTGTCTTCTCCAGGATCAATCTTTCCATCCTGTAAGCCCTCTGAAACCATCTTTAAGATCACCTTCTGGCTGGGTTACCTCAACAGCTGTATTAACCCCATTATCTACCCCTGCTTCAGCCAGGAGTTCAAGAAAGCTTTCCTCAACGTGCTGCTCGGTCGCTGTCTCAAGACTGGAGGACTCGCTGCCAAACCGCAGGGACATATCACCGCATATTCGTCCAGTCCGGGCCCTGCGTCCAACACCTCTATCCTCCCAGAACATAGGCGTGCATCTGTATCCTCATGGCGGTGTTGCAGGGCAGTTTCAACCTCTTCGACGTGTATAAGTGGTCCAGATCAGGCTCAAAGTGAACGAATCCAGAGGAAGAGTCTGCTAAAGGCTTGGTGTTTCTCAGCAAGTCAAACATCAGTACCACAGAACCCCTCCAGTCACAGATCAGCTAAGGTCTTGCGCCTTTCTTTAGGCGTTCCAGGAGAGGCTGTTTGATTGGCATCCAGTGGCAAAAGAGGAAATTCGAGTATCACCAGACTTTTACTTTGGCTACGCCGCAGGGAAACACATGCTCAACTGTTGCATGCATATTTATTTTCCTCTGGGGCAAAGTTAGCGCAGAGTGACTTGCCTCTGAGGACACAGGGGAAACTCTACTGCCCCAAGGCTTAATGCCAGGATAAATGTCTCAAATGTCAAATAAAGTGAAAAACATTCTGTCTGTCTGTGCTCAACAGCCCCACAGTGCTGCTTTGGAGCAGGGCTCTGCATATGTAAGTAGACGACTGCTGGGTTTGAACACACAGCACAGGACTTTTGGGAAATTTACAGCCTCTTTCTTTTAAAAGCGCAAAACGAAAATACATTGTGCTGGTATGGACATTATGTGAGTGTCCATGAGTGCTTGGCTAAAGGAATAAAAGAGATAATCACATCTTAGTGAGATGGCATTGCAACAGCACTCCAGAGACAGAATTTCCTGAAACATTGGCGGCACTTCTGCAGATTGCACAAAGACCTGAGGGAGAGAAATGTATAAATCCTGTCGTACTTAGCATTCAACAAGAGTTCTGAGACAGAGAGAACTGGTGGAGGTGTGTGTATGTGTGTGTATTACATGTGTGCACTCTGTTTAAAAGAGATGAGACCCTCACTGGCTTCGATTGTGAACTATATGTCAAACAGACCGTTTTTGCTGGTAAGGGGAATAAGAGCTGATTATTTGGTTTGGAACAAAGAGCAGAGAAAGCTTTTTTATTTTTATTCTAGCTCTTTGAGGCTTTGAATGTTTGTTTTTAAGACTGACAAGTTGGTATAAAATCAGAGGATGGCAACTTTGGAAGAAAAAAAAAAAAAAGCTAAAATTATGGGCTGGTTTTAAAAGTATTCAAACAAAACAATGACAGAATGATTCCCCCAAACCCACAAATGTGCTGCATGCGACTGGTATGGAAGTATTCCTTGGTGACTGTTGATGAGTCATGATTTACTGCTTCTAGTTTGCAAGAACAAAGTAAAGATTAAGATCTGAACAACAGAAATGCTTAAAAAATGAGAACCCAAGCACTGGGACATCCAGTTTTATCTTTGCTTTTCTCCAAGCGTCTCACAGCGCTGTCAATCTGCGAGAAGGTCAAAGAGGTTTTTGTCTCAGTTCATATCCGTATTTGCTGACATGTGGGTCAGGAACAGTTGTCATTGTAACAGTTGGCAGGTGCACAGACACAGTCACCGTCTTTTATTGAGGACAAGGACCCAAGATGGAAACTTCTGCTACTGGAAGATCCACTGAATCTGCTGTGACAGGCTTTTCAAACAAACTGGATGACAAATCTAAGTCTGATGGTGTATTAAGATCAAAAGACAGTTCAATCTATCATGCAACAAATATACATGTCACCAGTGGGAAAATAACCCTGAGACCCTGAGACAGTAAAGCCTATCAGTGATTAGATTTCCCTGGGTTAGCAGAGAAAATATTAAAACAACCTCCATTCAACATACAGAACAGTGTCATTCTCATCCTCCTGCAGTCCAACTTGTCAAAGCACAATTTTTCAACGCAAAACTGTTTTATTTTAATTTTAATTTATGGATTTGTTAATCCCATCAAATTAGAGGATATTCTATTAGTTTTTCAGGTTTGTACCACTGTAATGAACCTCAGTGCAGTGGTGCACGGTGCAGGTGAAGATCCACCAGAAATACATAAAACAGGTCAAATCTGGCAGGATGTGAGGATGCAATTCAGAATACATTTAACAAGTTAATAAAATTTGAATTTGATGATTTGCAAATCATTCAGACTCCACATTTATTTGAATATAATGCAAAGACAATTTTATACTTAACTATGAATTTTTGCTTTAAGAACTATGAACGCTTATTTCATTTTAGATGTTTGAAAAAATTGTTGGGATAGGAACAACGAAACACTGAAAAGTTGTGTGATGCTTCAAAAAAAAAAAAAAAAACTTACAGAGAAACATCCCACGACAAATTATGATTTTGCAACAGTTTGGTAACATGATTTAAAAAGGACACTGCGGTGAGGTTGAGTCCTTCAGAAATAATGACTGGCAGAGGTTTACCGCTATGTGAGGGACATGGGCAAGTAGTTTGAACAAGTTATTATTATATCTGTTTAGCCCAAAATTACAAAACTTTGCAGATTTTATCATCTTAAGTTGATACTATCCATTAAAAAACGCTGAGAATCTTAAAAAAAACACTGCATAAATGACACAAAGTCTGAATGTAATTCTTAATTACTCTGATCCTTGGGCATCTAAAAAAACAATCGTATGAAAACACTGTTTATTGCTGCCTTCACAAGAGCAGGTTCAAACTGAGCAATGCAAAAAATGATCTAGAAAGACAGGTGGTTGTGCCAAAATTTGACTCATGGATCCAGCAATCTTCTTAGTAGCTCACAGTCACACCATTTATGCTCAACATTATAAACAGGTTTTGAGCACCATATACTGAGTTGTTCAGAAAAGACCTTCATATTTCTGCAAGACAATGCCCAACCACATTCTGCACATAAAACAACAACCTGGCTCCACAGCAAGAGAGTCCAGGAGCTTAACTGGCCTGTCTGCAGCTCTGATCTGTAAACGATTGGTGGACTATAAATTGAAGTATACAAGAAAGAAGACCTTGAACTGTTGGGCAGCTGAAATCCCTTATCAAGCAAGAATTGGGTACCATATTTCTCCAGTTAAAGCTCCAGAAAGTGGAGCGCTGTTAAAAAAAAGAGGTGGTTCAGCACAATGATAAACATGATCCTGTTTCAGCCATATTTTTCTTTGTTTCAAGAAGTTTTCAGTTTCTGTTTTTGCTGAATGTAACTGGATCTGTGCTTAACTATTTATATTATTCTGAATTAAAGACACGGTGACTCGGGGAGCTTTAATTTCACTGGGATGTAATTGTTGATGTGTGCTTGATGGACATAACCATGGAGAGACCTTTGTGATGTACAAAAACAAAGTGTGGTGTTACAAAAAAACTATCAGATGATTTAAGGCATGAATAGAAATCATTGGTGAAACAGCAGCTATGAGATGATCAATATGACCTTTAGCAAGTGGCTGGCAGATTATCTTGACATATGCCAATACAGACGACCTTCATTAACATTAATGAATTGAAATCCCTCTTAACTGTCACAATGAGCACTGAAGGCTTGCGAAAGGGTGTCAGCTGCTTGTATTCAACTGTATTATTTCACATGTGTGTGCCAATCCTGTCTGTCTTTAATGAAATGAGGTGATCTGTGAATTGAGAAAATAAGCACAGACGTAAACATGATGTGTTTCAGTGTTGAGATACTGTTTGTGTTCCATATTATGAACATTGAGAATACAGCGGCTCATACAAACCTGTTTCTGACGGTCTTATCTGTCTCTTAGAAGTTGTTGCACTTTTCCTCTTCATTATTAATCCTCTGTGCGCTCCTGGTCCAAACAGGTTTGCTTTCCTCCGCCATGCATGGATTAAAGGTATTTCTTTCCCCCTGCAGACATCACAACAGAGATGAATACTGAGTGTTTATCTGAATAGAGCAGCACGCTGAAGAAACTCTTGAAGACACGTGATTTGTCATTTTACTGTCAGCTCAGGTTTTGGTGCATGAAGAAGAACAATGTCCACCATTCTGTATTACTGTTAGAGGTTTGTACCTAAATCGTCTCATTTAGTGACCGTTCAGGAGGATTATTTCTGTGTTTAAACTCTGTGAGGTGTTACTTCTCAGATGATGGCTCAAGTGTTTTAATAGCTAACCAACCAATTCACAGCCGGAGACTCAATAAGGCAACAAGTAGCTGTGGAAAATGTGTTTGCTTTATGTCTTCAGAGAGGCATGACTGAGTGGATTAATGTACAATGGTGGAATTTCATGCTTGGGCTTTCATTTTCATATGTTCCTTTAGGTCTTATTTCATAATGTCTTTAAAGATGAAACACCTTTCTTAGAAAAAAATGTGATGTCCGGTCACAAATATTTCTCCTTCCCGAGCCGTTTTCTCTTTTTGTTATTCATCGTCTTAATAAGAATAAGAGTATTTAAGGTTGAAACCATGACGATTTAATCACCGTTTTTGAGAAATCTCATTGTTAAAGGTTGAACAAGCAGAACTGAAAAGCCTTTCAATCAATGATGAGTTCAGATCTGTTTTGTTGGTTAGGGGTTTGAATTTCAGACTTCTCATCCCGCTCATGTCTTCACTGATGAAAACACAAAATGACCAAATAAAATTCAGAAACTTCTGTCTTTAGTTTTAATTCCTGTATCAGACAGATTTTGACATGATATGGAAGAGAAATGTATCAGCCTTATTTCGGTTTCTCATTGAGCCAGTTTTATTTGCAGTTACATAACATCTAATCTGAATTCCTGGTATAGGTTTGTCAGTGAATTCAGGCGACAATGTCTCAGTTTAAGTTGAGTACAGTATGCCAAAACATGCCAAATTTAGGCCTGTAAAAATTTGGGCCTTTTTTTTTATAGGGGGACCATACGTCCTCTTTTTGCGGGGCTATCCAGGCTTGTCCGGAGAAGTTTATAAAATCCTTCAAATGTCTGCAGTTTTGTACGCAAGATTTGAGTTTGTGTCACGTGGACTTACTGAGTTAGAAACACGTAAAAGGCACTCAATCTAACCCGAAAAACACTCAAAATTAACTTTGTGCGACTCAGTGACTCCACCCCGCATAGTCGTGTCCTCTTTTTGGGGATTCACAATATGGTCACCCTAGACTTTAATTTTTCAATAATGTCACAAACAACCTCACATTTAACAGGGTTGTATGAAGCACTTGTCAGTGGTAAAAGTAATGGCAACAGGGTCCCTGTTAGCCTAGTCCCTTAGTGGAAATATAAGGTAACCATAACCACACAGAAGCTAGGCTAACAACAGCTACTGAAAACTAACATCTGAGACAGTGTAGCATAATAATTACCAGCCATAATAACAAATTTGTGTTTTTGTTGCAGCATATTTGTAACAGTAAGATAATTAAGATAACGAAGTGTTAAAGACAAACCATAAGAGTACACCAGGGCAACAGCTAAAGCAACGTCAAGTCACTTGCATTTGGTGATTGGTAGGCGTCACTTCAGGACCTGCTTATGTCCAAGTTTGTGTTTGGGTTGGAGTTTCTTAATATGAGCTAAATTACATGAAAGCAATGCATCTGCTACTGCTAATGTATGCCATGTTTTTTGTTGTACTCAACAAAGAGGTCAAGCTGATCAGGATCTACTGAGGATAATACACTTACTATAAGTAGGGACAACCCCACCTTAAAAAAATCCAAACTATCCCTTTAAATATACCCGTTCTTCTTTTATAAATTAGTTTTTGGGATTTAACTTTTCCTGTGTGTCCACTTCTCATATTTGAAATTCAAACCAACAGATTAAATCTACCCTTGCACTTCCCTGAGTTGCCAAAATTCACAGCTTTGCAGAGCAGACGCTGCCATTTTTTTGGCCCCATAGAGAAAAGAAAAACAGAGCCCTGAAAACTAATGATTCACAACAAATGATCTGTGCCAGAGAGAGGGACACTGACAGAGGGAAAAATCATCACACCACAGCTTGCTTCCTGCTTGTGTGCACACCCATGCCAACATGATTACGAGTCCATCCTGTGTGTGTACACCTGTGTTTGTCTGAAGCAGCTTGGATTGGTTTTTGTGTATGAATGTGAGTGATTGTTTGTGTACTTGTAAAAGACAAACTGAGCAGTCCAGATGTGTTATGTCTGCACTCAACAGTTTAAGTATTATTTATGGAAACAGAAGCATCTGATTCCAATAAACATGCAGCTCTTGTTTCAAAAAGACACCTAAGATTAAGACGGCAAGCAGCAGCTGTCAAATGAAAGTAAAGGCTGTTGTGATAAATTGATCTAGGCGCCCATTACTGGAAAGACGAGTGAGTGCTGTTTAACCGAATCAGTTGACTTTGCAAAGTGAAATTTCATTCCAAACGGAGATCATGATTGATAATGATGTTGAGTAAAACAGATGGGGCGAATTGTGACTCTGACAGAAAGCCTAACGGGCTCCATTATTTGCAGAAGTTTGTGTTATGTGTCTAGCCAGAAAACATTTCTGAGTTGTCTTTGGAGAATCCTCTAATCTTGGGCTCTTATTGTCTGTGCATGACTTGATTCCTCAAAGCATTGTCTGTATTGATTCCTTGCATATGATACAAGGGGGAAAAGAGTGTGTAGAAACAAATCCACCCCCTACTTTAGTCGTTACTCAAACTCTCTCATATGTAAAGGGTTCTCTGGTAGCTGCAGCGAGGTTTATTCAAATGTGTTCAGATGAACCGGCAAATGCAGCCTCTGGCATGATTCTCAATGTAAATGTTTACCAGAGTCCCCACTGTCCCCAGAGTCCCCACTCTGTTATTTGCCGTAATGATTTTCTGTCTGGTTGAACATTTAGTTGATGTGTTGACACATGAGGACTTTTTGTTTGGCGACAGAAGTTTAAGAGGGTATAATCTTTTGTTATTTCATGGTGATTCAATCATACATTAAAATTATGACATATTCAGTGCAGGCTGAAATGTTTTGAACTGGGCTTTAAGCAGATTAACCTACTTTGTTGGACAGATTGGACTGGAGCAGGATTATAATTGGGGAACACTTTTTGTGTTGTTCTTCCTTTATTTGGTGGCACAGCTAAAGAGAGACAGGATATATTGGAATACAGAGTCACATGAAGCAGTGGGCCGAGGTTGGAGCTGAACTCAGGGCCGCTGTATCAACTCTGACCTCGGTAGATGGGGTACGTGCTTTAACTGCTAAGCTAAACCTGTGGCCTTGGGTGTTAAATTCATGAGCATGATTCCGCTGTTTCATTTGTTTTGCCGCAAGATCAGTCATAAATGATGGCTCTTATTACTGTGCTCGAATTGCTTCACGCCCGTCATGCTGCATGGGCTACAAAGACACAATGTATGGGCTGACTTCCACTACTTTGTGGAAGGATTACTAAAAGATCTATCATTTTGGACATCTTTAATATCCAAACCATCATCGAGTGATAGAGGAAGCCATGCAAGTAAGCACAAGGTGTTAAAACCAAGGGCGGATGAGATAGTACTTTCATTAGCTTTTGCTATAAGGCCTTCTCACTCCCCAACCACAGCCGAGATGCAAACAAGAAGTAGAATTCATTTCAAGCACTCAAAGGACCCCTTCTTCTTTTGAACCCTGGAAGGTCAGTTCCACATCTCCCCCCACTACGACGCCCTTACTAGGAAATGTATCGGTGCTCTCAACACAAGATCCATGCCTGGTAGGAATAGACTAGATGATCTAAATGAGCATGTAGGAGCTAAACCGATACTTTAAGCTACTGAGATCCTTGACGCAGAGTAACCTGGTTGACGCGTTGTGCTACTGAGTTCTACCGTGAGTCGTGATGATCAGTGAAAGTCCGTACGCTGTTCCTCAGATGCAGCAAACAAAAATTTATTGGGATTAACATAACCAAAATCCATTTTGCAATTGATATCCACTGGACAAACAAGAAAACGCCGGCATTTGGTGCCACAAAACCTTTTGCCCTTCCAGGTCAAACACCTGCCCACAACAGTGACATGGCTACTAGGGATGCACGATATTTATCGGACCGATAAAATATCGGCCGATTTGGGGGGAAATTACGTCATTTTTTATCGGTCCGATAGGTGCATTTTTCCGATAGAAAGATCCGATATATTAATGAAATTACGAGTAACGTTTGCAGGCGGAGTAGCCGCCCGTCCGAGACGCGCTGGTTATGTCATCTATCGCGCCTTACTCGCAGGTCCCAAGCCTGACCCCGTCACTACCTGACAGATAATAAAATGTCTTCACTAGCATGGTCGTTTCTCTCAGTGGCAGAAGATGACAACAGCATTGCTATATGCAAAACCTGTTCAGCGAGGATTCCGAGAGGAGGAAAGAAGACGTCAAGTTTTAACACAACGAATCTGATAGCTCATCTGAAAAGTCGCCATCGCGGCGAAGCGGTAGTAAAAGAATATGAGACAGCCGCCGAAGCTGCTAGCGGTACTAAAGCTAAGACAACAACACTACGGAGGATCGATGTCCCCATTCAGCAGGCGTTTAAAAACTGCAAAAGCTTCTCAAGAGACAGCGAAAAGGCTAAAGCCATTAACGACAAAGTGATGGAGTTCATAGCGGTCGACGACCAGCCTTTTTCCGTCGTTGAGAACCCGGGTTTTCGTAAGTTCATAGCACACTTGGAGCCACGTTACACTCTCCCAAGCCGCCGCTTCTTCTCGGATGTGTCTCTTCCTGCACTCTATGATATTGTCGCCACATACATTCACAACCTGATCGACAAGAACGGACTACACGTGAGTTTTACCACAGACATATGGACGTCAGATGTTAGTCCGGTCAGCATGCTAAACCTAGCGTCTCATAATAGCTCCTTTACAGTTAACAGTTCTGTTGAACAGTTCAGGGGATCAAATGAAGTTCTGCTTTTTGCTCTGTTACTGTTATTTATAGCAAATGACCACATTTGAAGAGCCAAAAACTTTTGTTTGTTGTTCAAGATAGGCCAGAGCAACAAAAACATCAGTTTTCAATCGCTGCATCCTGCACAAACTGCAGATTATATGAAGATTATAATAAATGTAAAAATATGAATTTATCGGTTATCGGTATCGGTATCGGCCATGAGAAGAAGAAAATTATCGGTTATCGGTATCGGTTGAAATTTTTCATATCGTGCATCACTAATGGCTACCTTTATTCCTGAGCCCCGGATAACAAGACAGCGACACCCATGGCACACAAAGTGAACTTCAACTCATAATATGGTATCACATCAACATATTTGGCTCCCACAGAGCATGTGTAAAAGAAAGATAGCATCAGATTTAGCAAAATTAGTTTAAATTTGCTCCATGATTATCATAAAATCCTCTTTATATTGTGACAAGCTTGTTACCAGGAAGATTTAGGAAATAAATGACTGCAAGTATCAACATTTCAAGGCTAATTTGGTCACACATGTGTTTCCTCTCATTTTCCCTCTTATGGTCAGAGCTTATACGCATCTTTATCCTGCTTGTTACTCGCTACGCCCAGAAAAGCAAAACCCCTTCAAGCGTGAACGTCAGCAGAGGTTTAATCAACAGGAATAGATCTTACACCTGTGTGGTTTAGCAGCACTTGAAGTAAATCCTGCAGCTGTTTCATTGATAGAAAAGCAGACACTATGTAAATCCGCAGGCTCAGGGCCAGAACCACTCAGAGGATGAACAGGCATACAAACAAGTATTTTGCATTTTGTTTTCTGAATATATTTAGGAGCTGGGATGAAATGAAATGATTTTTTAATGGCAGCAGAAAATGAAGCTTTTGCTTTGTTTGATTTCTGCAAATTGGGGAACAAACTAAAATTCCTGCTTAAATCATCGCAGAGAAGTGTTTGAATGACTTCAAACAGGCGCTCTATAAATAATTCAAGAAAGTCATCTCTTCCCACAGAGTTTACATTAGGAATTACTTCACCTGAGTGTGTTTTGACATTGAATTACTTTTCTGAAGGTTGACAGCCATGGATGCATATCAATGTGAAACAACTTACAGCCCCATACGCAGAACAGAGCAAAGTCCAATCATGATGAATTCAATAGTCATGCCAACGATGTGGTTACTTATTTTAAACACTGATTTTTGTCTCTTCTTTTTGCTCATTTGTGTCCTGGACACCACCTATTGAACCTCACTTATTCTCTCACTTCCAGGTGTAAAGCTTCTCTTATTTTTGCAGCTGTTCAAATAAAGCGAAATATTTTCTAAGTGGAGCTGTGGTCTTAAAGGTCTTGGGTTTCTCCAGCAGTGATGGTTTTATCAAAAAAGGAGGTAGAGATAATGGTTTGGTTTATGTTGTAGCTCTTGTTGGACTCCAGGCAGTAAACGACAACAAACCATGTTTGGATTCTTCTCCAATAGCCAGACTGAGCTAGAAAAGGTCAGCACACTTGTCCAAAGGTCAGTAACCACACGGAGTATAAAGGTGCCCACAGGATCAGGGCAGCTTAAGTCTTCCACTTCAATAAAAATGAGCCAAAAAGGCGATAGCCGGACTTTGAGAGTCTGACCTTGGCATTGTGTCAATATTATTAGCACCCTGTGCAGCTCTTCTTTGTTCAGAGACTCTGAAAAAAAAGAACAAAACAGTGCAACACCAGCCCTTAGGCACATTAAAGTATTTGGTTCAAACAAAATAGCGTCCAGCACCAACAAAATCTGCAAGACCAAGCTGCAGGGGTTGGATAAAAAATCCATCTGTTCTCAAGGCTGCAGGCATTTAAAAGCTTAACTGCAACACTCACTTAATAATTTATATTAAATCAGAAAAACCTGCAATTATTTAGCCGACAGTGTCTCCTTAAAGGCAGTTTTATTTGAGCACAAATCCATGTAGCCCTGATCTGGTTCTGAGTGTTGCTCCCCGGAACAATGAGCACAGGAGGTCAAATCCCTCTGTGGAGTTTCAGGGGTTTCGGAGTGGTTTGTAAAGGGTTGGCTGCGTCTGTGTGTCAGCTTTGTGATAGAACTGGAGTAACCTCGCCACCCACCAAAATGAATGTAAAGACAGGCTTCAGCTCCTTTGTGATCCCACACAGACTGAGTGTGAATAGAGAGAGGGTGTATAGACTCCAGATGAGGTTTAAATCATAGAAGAGGTCTTTGTAGAAAACAGCACACACTTGACCACAGGAGGGCTCTGTGTTTCGATTTTCTACAGTGAGACACAAATGCATCACTCATTCAAAAAAAAAGTTGTCTGGAGGTGATCTGCCTGTGTTGCTGCTGAGGGGTCACTGAAGCCCAGGTTGGTTTGATAGCTCCTTAAAGGGATATTCTGGCGTAAAATCAATTTAGGGTCAAACACACCGTAGTACCGAGTAAGACATGCCCTCGAGAGATGAATGTTGCCAACCGCTTGCTTCACTAGTTATACCAACTTTAGTAACGACCTCAACCAAAACGCCACGTTTGTTTATGGCTCCTAAGACAGCTGTGTATTGCTATCTGCGGTCATTGCTAAAGTTGGTATAACAAGAGAAGCAAGCGGTCAGCAACATTCATCTCTCGAGGGGGTGTCTAACTCGATGTTATAGTGTGTTTGACCCAAACTTTATTTTACGCTGGAATATCCCTTTAAATCTGGACCTTAAAAAAATGGAGAATCTTGAAATTTTTCTTACTTATTGAAATTTTGAGCTACTCTCAATAACTCTATAACAATACATAGCAAAGTGCACAGCATATCAAACTATCTATGTGTTGGACAAGCTCAGTGAGGAGTTTATTGCAGATACCTGTATGTATATCTATGTACATATAGATATATTTCATTCAGTTTATATTTGATCAGCAGGTTTTTCTTTCTTTCATATGGTTCAACCTGACCAAGATGTCTGTATATCTAAATCCTACACAGTCTGAATCAGTCTATCATATTTTTACTGTAACTGTTTTATGTATTTGTTAAAGAGCTGCACCATGGACCAAAATAATATGACTCCAACCATAAAAAACTCCATGGCAGTGGCAGAGGATGCATAAACTTGTAGGTGATCCATAAAGCAGCACTGCCGCCTAGTGGTGAAACATGTATGCATCTCCAAGGTAATGACCAGCTATATGCTGTGTGCAGTAAAAGTATAACTGCATGTTGTGGACCTAAGTGGTTAAAAAGTATGTGTAAAAACTGTGTTTATACCCTGGTGTGTCACAGGAATAACACTGACAAATACAATGACACTTGTAATCGCCTATTTCCAGGTCACCTAACCTTTACATCTTCATTAGTCAAAGGAAACACTTTGACACTGAAAAAACATTGAACTGCTCATAGAGGGTCTCAGTTGGCCTGGTTGAGCTCAAAGCAGGACTCTGACACCAGAGACCCACGCCAGGAGGAAATTAAAAAGACACTTTTTTCACTCAAAATGTTAAGATCAAAAATTCCCTCTTAAGTAATTTATGCAGGGGTTTTCTTCATTTCCGTCTTCACCATTTATAGAAATATGTCACAATCCCGTTCTTTCTGATGGTCTCATATAGGAAGTTCTCTGTTACCTGTTTAAGAGGACTTTTAAGTTAGTTATAACTCCTTTTCTTTTTCTTCCTTGCTTTTTAAAATTTATGTTGCACTTTTAACAAAGAAGATAAAAACAACATAACGACAACAAGAGAACACCTGGGGAACTATCATGTTACTGGCAATAAAGAAATAAAATAAAATAAAAATTGGTGGACAACATAAAAGCTTTGATAAATGTTACATGAGCTGAGATGTCATTAAAATGAAGACATTAAAACAAAGATATTACAAGAGCCTGTGATACTCAGCCAACACAGGAACCCAATCACAAGAACCTGAGACCAAGAAGGGGACTTTTATAAAACCATGAATAAGAAGAGTAAAAGGTTTTAAAGAAGACAAAATCACATAAAAGCAAGTCTATAAAAATGAGTTTTAAGACGTGTTTTAAAAGCAGTGACTGTTTCTGCACATCTGAGCTCCTCGGGAAGATCATTCCAAAGTGGAGGGGCCCTGATGGAAAAAATCCTGTCACCTTTAGTTACAAGTCTCGACTTTGGAACAACCAGGAGGCCCCCAACCAAGGATCTCAGGGTGCGGGCTGGCTCATAGGGGGTTAAAAGTTCTGGAGCCAGATCATTTACTGCCTTAAAGTAATGAGTAAAATCTTAAAATCAATTCTAAAACTAACTAGAAGCCAAAGTAAAGACGCTAAAATAGGGGAAATGTGATGTCGTCTGTTAAAAACAGTTAGAAGCCCATAGATTTCTGCGTAACACCGGTAAGAAGAGAGTTAAACTTTTAACCATACTACCGCAATTTTAACGTTTAGCGGATGTGACGGAGCGGCGTCCTCACTGACTGCGGACAGCGCGTGAAGCCAAACACACAAACATACCTATTTACGCGCCAAACATTTCCCTTCCCGCCAGCCTCGCTAATAACCGCCCAAACAGCGCTACTTTTCCTTCTCCCTTCTCTGTTGGATAGGGTAACCAAGGGTGCACACGTGGAGCTGTATCAGTAAACTTAAACATACATTCATGTAAATATTCATCCCTTCACTTACCTGCCGAGCGCCCATTCACGCCGTCATGCCGGCTCATGATTCCAAATGAGGAAACAGAGCGCATGATTTCCGGGTGTAAATAGGCGTGTATGGAGGGTCAAAGTGGTCACATGATGCAAAAAAAAAATTATAATTCCCTTGTTTCTTGACATTAATCCCTAAATACTAATTTTCCATTGATTTTGTGTAAAAACTTATCGAAAAAGGTCTGAAGGTTAAAAATGGTAAAAATTGACAAGAATTTAAAATTACATCACAACTGTTGCACAAACATCCTTAATGGTGGTAAAAGGCATGAGGAAGCACTGGTACAAACAGATCAACGAATGTTTGACATTTGCCAAAAACACAAAAGTTTTGGTCACATGCATGTTTTTTTTTTTTTACTTACTCACAAAAGTAAAAATGTTTAATAGAGTTCCTCATCGCCACTGTTAGCTTTTAGTTTATTTTGTTTTTCTTATTAGACTTACAGGATAAGGAGTATCTGTTCCTCTGTAAACATAATACTTATAAATTATTCTTAGCTAAAACAAACAGAAACATTTTGAAATTCAGATGATTATACTCTTGTCTAGACATACTTTCTTTATTATACTAAATTTCCATAAAGTCTGTCTTGCTAAATGCCCCTAGACACTACACGTTGCATACTTCAGTTACCTTTTTTGGCATTTTTTACAATGCACTGTCAATAACATTCGTGTTTCAAATATTTCAAGAATATGTTTGTGATCCAACAAAATATCTTTCATTTCATTTTATTTTTCACCAGATTTATCCCACAGCTTTCATCCTTTTGGAAATGTTTCTCTTCCAGGCAAAACTGAACCGTCATCTTAACAAGGAAGTTTATTTGTCACTTCACCAGCAAATCCTCTTACATATGAGGCTGTCATGTTTTTCTGTTTTGTCTCTTTGTTTTGCCTCCATATTTTATGACTTACCGACAGCTTTTTAGATGAAACATGAAAAAAAAAAAGACACGGATCTGCTCCCTTTTTTCTCTTTTTTTATTCTTGAAGTTCTTGTTGTTGTTTTTTTTACATCACCATCCATGGGATTTGACACTTTTTCCACAGTGAGCAAGCATCCCAGAAACCCCACAGCCACCAAGACAAATACCATCACACAGTTTCACTTTCACAAAGGAAGGGAGAGAGGCTTACAGAGTGGGGAGGACGAGGGGGTTCAGAGGGGTTTAGAAGGAGTTCAACATCAGCATCAGCAGCCTCAGAACAGAAGGAGACTCCTCTCAGTCTGCAGCACGTAGCGTACATACATATCACTCATATATCATTAGCATAATATGGCATAGAAAAGCATCCAAGCTGACAGAGCATTAAAGGAGTATACGTGTGTGTGTGTGAGTGTGAGTGTGTGTGATTAGGCATGGGACACAGCGAGGGGGGGGTGGAGGTTTTCACAACATCAAATTTCATCGACTGTTTTAAGAAACAGTCTTTTATCTTCAATGTAACAGGGCAGGAAGACTGAACGCTGTTTTGACAGGCTGCTGCTGAAGTACAGGTTATCTACACAATCGGGATCATTTTGGTTTCGCCAACTGTAAACAACACAAAGATAATATCGCATGTTTGAGTAAAATATTATATTCGCAACTGAATATAGCCTTTCTAACCTATTGGCATTCAAGCTGTGGCAAAATAAGATTATTATACAAATTATTCAGTCATCAAGGGTGTAAGGGCATTCAAGAACAGGTAATTTTTTGCCATTTTCAGCTGCTTTAGGCCATCTGCAAGCTAACATTAGAAAAGGTAAAATTTAGGTAGCTCATATGTACATTAATTAGTGATTTGACACAAGCTAGCATTACATCATCCGCAGACCTGTTCTTTAAACTATCAAACTGTGGCATCAGCTTCTAACCGCTTACAAAATCTACGGTTTGACACAGGCTTATGTTATATGACTGTCTTTGCATAAAGCTATTAAACTATGTATCAGCTTCCTGCTGCTTTAAATAACCAAAATTATGTTTTCCAGTATGTAACCTTCAAAAGTCAAACATGCTCTCAAAGAGTTTAGCTTTATCTTGTGTGCAGCTGTTTGCAGCTATCGAGTTTGTTTTTATAACTTGAAGTTGGTTGATGTCCTTTTGAATTTGTATCATTTGTTACCTAATAAAGAAAACATACATTTATACAACTACAACAAAAGAACAACATAAAAACAGCATCTGGGTTTTCCACCCTGAGCAAGAAAAAAAGGAAACTATGTGAGCATAGTCAGCTCTCAGGCTGTTTGGTGTGTGTGTGTGTAGGCTATTATGAAAGTGTCTATGTGAAAATGAGTGTGTGTATGTGTTCCTATTTCGGTCTGCAGTGTTCATAGATCCTCCTCCTGCAGCAGAGGACTGTGAATTTCAAGAAACTCTGCACAGGATTAAACAGGAAAGTTGCAGCACTGTCACAGAATAATTACAAAAATGTGTGTTTAGGCGCTAAGCTCTTCTAATAGCACCAGGTCAGGATGAGTTGCTAATGGCAACCTCCAAACTGACAAGCGTCGCCATGACAAACAAAAAGCAAAAAAAAACCCGCAAGAGTGGTGGGGTCTGTGTCCTTGGCAACTGACAGAAACAAGAAAAAAGCTGGAGGAGGGAGGGAATGAATGAAAATAAGACCGAGAGGGCAGAGGGAGGGAGAGACAGAGGGAAAGTGAAAGGAAGGAGTGACGCGGAAAATACAGAAATACAAGCGTGCTATTACTCTCATGAGGGCTCCGCTTGCTGCCAAACTGTATTAGTGTTAGAGAACCTAACCCTCTTACACTCCCGGCTAAGGTTATAGTAGTAGTGGTGTGTAATGTAGTGTAAATTATCTGTACAAGAAGAGAAGAAGAAAGTTCAAATCAGTGGAAGGATCGAACATTCATTCAGAAAGGGTTAGAGTCCCGGCTTCTGGTTTACAAAAAGCTTGTTGTGTGATGTGTCATTTGCCGTGGAGATCAAGTTTCGGTTTCTCATTCCTATTGTGTTACATCTTTGAATGCTTCAGAGGTTCAGTAACAGGCATTTATTATGTCCCCCTCCCCTTACTTTGGATTCCTCAAATACATGCACAATTTCAGACTTCACCTTAAAGGGGCTTCCAGTTAGATCCGAGCACTACATGGTGTGGAAAAGTTACACATCGACTTATATGTATGTGTGAGTCAGAAAGACGGCAGCTACATAAAAAGGGCGTTCAACTCTTCTTTTAAACTTCGAGCTCGAGTCTAATTTTGATCAAGACCTCTACTGGTATCATTAAACTCCACACCTTAGCCTTGGGACACTATCTTTAATGTGCTGCCATGGCAACAAGAAGATTTTTAACGCGTAACTAAAAGCTGGTGTGCTCATATGTATCCAGGAGCTATTTTTTTTTTTTATCATATAGGTCTGAGGAATGCAAGGCCAGTCTAAAATCTATCTAACGCTTCATGTACATTTATGTAACTGACCCCTGGATACGTGCATGTGTTAGCGTGAGCGTGTTGTGCCGTGTTGAGTCATGGGGAGAAAAAAGGGGGCTGCAGAAATATAGTGAATGGCGGCCAAGAAGATGTTGACATAAGAGCTAACAGAGGAAATCAGTTGCTTGGCTTAATGAAAACCAGATCATTTAAAAAAGGAACCAGAGCTCATGAGGTCTCAGCACGGCCTGGAGCGACATCTTATCCAAAACGGAAAGAAGTGCTGTACAGGAGCCGGGCCGTGTGTGTCCCATCCCTCACACATCAACACTGCACACTAGTCAGAAGTACATTAGCTCATGTCTACTTTCAAGCGTAAATCAATAGTGCTCGGCCCTTAGGCACCTAGTTACAGAATGACACTAAAAAGCAGTTTGACAACAAGTTAAAAACTCTAAAACATTAAAACATTTCAACATATCGAGCGTTTTTCGTCTTTACAGGGGCTCTACCTACAGAATAGGCCCTTTGAAAGCGCAAAATCTGGCACCTTTGAATCGGTTAATCCTGGCTATATTACATCTTTTATCTTACATCCTTCGCTTACCTCAAAAAGAAGAAAAATAAAACAAGAAAATCCAAACTATCAGTACAACTTCTGTGGGTTTCAGGCACATAAAGAGTAGAAAGGAAAAGAGGGCTTCAGATGAGTATAAAACAGTCACATTTAAAGGAGGAGAGACATTCGGAGTGTAAATGCACTGCTTGGTGATGGACGGTGATCAGATGCTTCAGCAGCTGTCAATCAAACACTTTGATTATCATGATTTTCAGGAATGCAAACAAGCTGGAAATGATGTAGATGAGCAGCAATGATTCCTACATCCCAAAAAGCTCTCTAAAAGGACGGCATTAAACGTGAACTATAAGGCAAGGAAACGTTAAAGTTTGAAATAACACCAAAAACTATTTTCTATTTCCTCCATCCATCGTTCATCCAAATCCCCCCACTTAACTACACCCTGATGTTGAGAAATGAGGCATTAAGCTCAATCTACGACCTGCCAAAGCTCCCTCTGCTCCAAACGACTCACAAGCTCTGAGGCAGCAGCCAAATATGCAAAAATGGAGGATGGGTTTTTACTTATGTACCTTTGGTTAGCCACAGGTGGGAAATCATCAACTGAGAGCCAGTGCAAAGAGAGTTTATAACACTAATAAAGTTTTTTTTCATATCTGAGGGCCGTCCTTTTCTTACGTAATCACTTGTTAATGGATTGTAACAGTGTGTGACAGATAACAAATGCACTGAATCAAAGCTTTTAAGAGTTATTTTGATAGATGAATAAGCTGTAAGACTGTTAAACGTCAAGCCACCTTTTGTTCAGCCAATTTAAAAAAAGCAAGAAAATCAGTTTTGTACCCACGCTCCTGTTAAATTACTCTCAAAGCAGAAAGGACAAAATGGAAAAAATAATGGACATCCTGAAAGAAAATGACCCACTATTCTCAACTTGAAGTGACTCAGCTCAGTCTCACTCATCCCCTGTACTAAAACAACAGTCAAACAAACACCAAAAGTGTACATGGCAGGGAAAACATACAGTATAAAAAAAACTATGTAAATAATGCGATCAAAAGTGCTCAAATAAGAAGTGTTTTCTTTTTTTTTTTCTCTTTTTCCATCATATGAGGCAGACCTTTTTTTTGTTTTTGTGTCTAACTGTGTCCACTAGAACCAGGTTTCAGGGTGGAGGAGAGTGGGTACGTGGAAAAGCTGCAAAGGAGGAGGTGAAAGTTCGAGGCTGACAGATGTCCAGGCCAGGCGCTCAGAAGGATTCGGCTCCAGGTCTCGATACGCGATTTCTCGACCTCTCAGCTCCTTGTGGACTTCCTCCCTCAAATCTTTGTTTCCTCCTCAGCGGCTGATGGTGGATCTCTAACCCAGGCTGGTGATGTTCGCCCTGCCACCTGGTGGAGCCACGATGCGCTGGGTGTTCCGGCGAGGGACGTTGTCATCGATCTGAGCACCTGTGGGATCAAATGGAGGTTAGCCGCTTCAGTTTCTATCATGAACACACAAGAAAACAAAATATGTAGCATTTTAAAATCACATCTCAAAACTTCCCCCGATGTGAACCCTGTCTGGATTTTACATAAGGATGCCTTAAAATAATCCATTTATTTCCAGGAAGTTTGTTCAAACGGATTTATCCGACAGAAAATTCAATCATGAATTCACTGCTGGTATGTATCCAATGTCCTGGAAAATGTCATGAGTGCTGCTCTTTATGCAGCAGCAGCGTGCAGAGTGAAGATAATGGTGACCTTAGCATACCTTAGCACAATTTATGGACGACGTGGAATCTAATAACAGTCCTGCTTGGAGGAGACATACACCATCTCCAATGCAGCAGGTTTCATGATGAATCATTTTAGTCTCCAGAGTAATTTTTGTCTCCAGAGTAATCATGCTCAAAACTTTATTCGACATTAGAAATAAAAATCGTAAAAACACAATGACATTGATAGCAAACCAACGACTGAACTGACCAGATAGGCTGAATCCAGACTGGTGCAGGTTGCGGACAGGCTGGCTGGGCTGCTTGGCAGGTGAAGTCTTGGCAGAGGACGCAGGAGTCATTGTTTTTGGGGTTACAGACACCTCGCAGACCGGACCATCATACAGTCCTCTGGGGACACCTCTCAGCTCAGCCAGCTGCATGTAAAGCAACAAGAAGCACCAGTCATATAATGATCAGTTAAATTCAATGTGCAGTTTGGATCATCAGGTCGCTATAAAGAAGTTGTACCCTGCTGCGAGCCTTTATCCTCTTGTACACATAGTCGGGGAAAGGTTTTCGGATCACATAGCGTCCTGTGCCCTCAGTGACATGGAGGGTCCCTTCCTCCAGGACGATCTTGCCCTGGCTGATCACCACCAGAGGTCCACCGCGCACCTCTGTGCCTTCGAAGATGTTGTACTCCACAGTCTGTAGAGGAGAGCAGAAATATTCAGATACAAATACATGTCAAAAAATCACAGCCAGTGTGTGAACATTAATACATTCACTGACCTTAAATACGATATTCTGAGCTGTAACTAAATGTTGTAACCAAGGTTTTTTTTTTTCTTCAAAGTTTTCCAATATGGCAAGCCTCTTTATGAACAACAGTATATAAATACACTCTGATTTACCACAAAGACTCACTAAGTTATAAATCAAATTGTAAAGAAATGGCCTTACTTTGATAGACAAGTAGTTTTGGCTTTTAAAACCCAAATAACCAATTGTGCTTTACTGCAACCTTTGATTATAGGCTGTCAAAGCCTCTTGAATGAATCTGATGAGCTCATGTTTCATTATAATGAAGCCAATAAAGGAAGAAAAAGATTGATTTTTTTCCCTTTCTCACCATCATTTCTGATTTACCCCTCACTCATTTCATTAGCTGGTTCCAAGGCTGCACAACACCAAACACACACACACAATTATGTTCTTTACAACGTTCAGAGTTTTGAGACCATATTCTGATATATCCATATTTGGGGCTGAGATACAAGCGAGCACCATTCAGACTTAATTTCTCTCCTGATTAATGTTATCATTACAGTGATATTATTGTTATCATAACTTTCTCTGGTTAATTACAGTTATCATGGAGTCCCAGTAGAGTTGCTGTAAAATCCATGGCTATAGACATAGACTGAGACTTTTAGTATGTAGATGTGAGGGATGTTATACTTCCTGTCTGATATTGAACCGTTTTCATGTCATATTTTACAACAGCTGCATGTATCACACGACATCAGTGCCAAGATGTGAAATCATCACAGAAAAAACCTTCAAAGTAGAGGTACAGTGGATAATCTCTTCAAGCTGTTTTTCCCATCCAAAGGATGATGTAACCCCCCAGCACCACGTGCTGTTCGCTGGTTTAGGTCACAGATTTATCAGTCATACTCTGTATTTCTCTGAAAGATTGCCAGAGTGATGTGGACAGACTTTTAGTTTGGGTTCACGCACGATGCCGCTGTGTAAAATTGCCAGAGCGCTCATGGATTAAAGTGAAAGGAGCTTCAAATGCTCTTTTTGGTTTCAAATACTGACTAGAAGTACATCTTTAGGGTTTTAAACCACTGCACACAAGTCAAGTTTTAGTTTGCATGCATTTCCCACGGGAAGAATCCTGTAATAATAACAGGATAACATCATTCCTGAGGGGAGCATGTGGTTGTCAGACGACCATCCTGTGACAGCACAACTATGAGTAAATGACAGGTAAAGAGAGAGGAGATTGTCAAACAACAAGCCACAGATGGCACCGAACATGAAGACCGATCCACAAATATAAAATAACCTGGACACGATTCAGTTCCCTGAGAGCATTTCCAAGATATCCAACGAAAGATCTGAATTGATATGAGGACACAGTGGTTAGAGGTGCATATTGGAGATAATGCATCCACAGATTCTCGGGTTAGAGAAACAAACACCATGAAAGTACTTTCCCCAGATAAAGCTGTACTGAGTTTAAATCGACCCCTGCTCTGTTGTCGCTTTTTAAATTTGTTCTATTACACTTGCTTGTGAAATTTTGTCACAACCAGAGGGAAACTTTAAAGTTGTAAACAAATACATTCCTGAGAGACCCTAAAGACTTTGACCTCTGACCCTTACAGCCTTGTGTCAACCTGAATGTTTGTGCCAAATTTGAAGAATTTCCTCCCAAGATATTGTTTCGCAAGAGGCCAGAGGAAGGAAAAGATAGAAAGATTGTGTTAGTGGTTTGAGTGTTTGTGTGTGTGTGTGTGTGTGTGAGTTGGTGTTTTGGATATGTGTGTGTGTGTGGACAGTGTGAGGCGGTTGCCATTTGACAAATTTGGAAGCTGGATGACTACCCTCTCCTAAGAGCTACTGGAGCTAAAGCTGAGGTCATGGCAATCTGGTGGACTCAAAATGCCTGAAATGAGATCACTAGTAGACTTCACAACACACACATACACACACACACACACACACCCAGACACATACACACAATCACACAACCGTCCATGCATATGCTCTCTAAATGAGCAGTTTCCCCCATGAACATAAATCCGTCATTTTCTGACTAAGCGGAATAAAAAGAAACCAAAGAACATGACGGCTTAAGTGAACACATGCCAAGAACTTACACACAGGCAGGAGTCTCTGTCTCACACACACACACTCACACACAAACACACACAGGGGTGCATGGTTATCAGCCTGTTAACAATCAGAAACTATGTGATCCAGCTCTCTGGCAGATTTTAAGGATGACATCACTCCCTCGACGCTGCTTGAGGCCCACACCCTGTTGAACAGTCAGACAGCCGTACCGCAAGAAGAAGCGAAGACTAGCACACCACATGCTCTCTTACCTCAAACGTTATCTTATTCATAATCATAACTATAAAGAGGGTTTTGTGTTGTTGCTGTTTTTTTTCATCTAAATTGAGTTTCATGTCGAATCACATGCTCGCTTGACTTTGAAATCTGTTTTGAAAAGCACTCTGAGCTCCACCCCTGCAAGAATGAAGTTTATTAAAACCCTCAAAGCCCCTCCATGTGAAATTCAAGAGGACTCTAAGGTTGGTGACAATCACGTGTACTATAAGTCATATTTCTTACAGAGTTGTGGCTCTTGGCAGAGATAATCTTTGTGACGTCAGGGTCCCACAGCACCAGGTCAGCGTCTGAGCCCACAGCGATACGACCTTTGCGGGGGTACAAGTTGAAGATCTTTGCGGCGTTGGTGCTGGTCACTGCCACAAACTGGTTTTCATCCATCTTTCCTGTCACCTTAAATGAGGCGTGAGACGAACACAGGGGTCACCACCTTTGTTTAGATGCAAAAAAATCATGAAACTGAACATCCAACGACTGATCTCTTATGATCCTGTTTCATAAAACCAGAAAGAGAACTGTATCTACGCTCGATCCACACAGGAGAAATCAAAGTAGGTCTATACGTACCACGCACTTGTCCCAGATGATAGACATCCTCTCCTCAGTGCCGTTGACTCCTTCAGGAATCAAGCTGAAGTCATCCTTACCTACGGCGCGCTGAGCCGTGTTAAAGGGACAGTGTGCACTTCCTGTCACCTGCAGGTCACCACTACACAGGGATTCAAAGTGTAGAAAGAGAAAAGGGTGGATGTTGTGCTCATTGTAAACTGCGGTGAAATGTATTTGTTAGTGACATTTATCAAGTCATTTATTTGTTAGTGAAAGTCGAGCATTCTCATCCGAACAGCTTCATGTACTTCTGGTCTGGATGTTCTCACCAGGAGAGCAGGGAGTTGAGATAGTCTGGCGTGGTTGGGTCCGGGCTCAGGGGAGGGGATGTGACGTATGCAGCTGCTTTGGCCCAGTTCTTGCTCCAATAGTGAGATCCATCTGTTCCCAAGCTTGCAGTGATTGGTTCTCCGTAGACCACAGTTCCTGAAAATTAAATTCAGTTATAACACCGCACACCCTGTTTCCTGGACATGTTTGTCATCAGTACAGCACATGTCCACAGGCTTTTTTTCTCTGTGAATTAGCCTGTTTGAAAGCCAGCATTAAAAGCAAGTAGCTTTTCGTGGTCCAAACCCTAAATGTAAGTGTGGAAAACCACAAATAAGGCAATGATGTCATTGTTAGTGGAGTAGTCTGGGCTTTCTTTAAAGTCTGGTGTCTGTGGTTTGTAGTTTGAGGAAAGAGACAGTAAATTTGTGGCAAATTGAGCGGAAAATGTGGATTTAATTAGAGATGGATTTGAAACCGTCAGTATTTGACTCTCACCTTTCTTCCTGGCCTGAGCGATGACATCCGCAGCACTCTTGCTCATCACCTTGGTGACGTAGAGCGGACAGTTGGTCTGATTGGCCACAGTCACAGAGCGGTTTACAGCCTCCGCCTCCACCTGGAGAGGATAGAAGATAAGATGTCACGACAATATTTACGACTTCTTTGTTTGAAAGGCTCTGCTTTATGTTTTCCAACCATGTCCATATTCTTCCAACCAAAATAAACTCCTCAGCTGACATGTGAGGCAAAGACTTAACACATGGATCAAGTTCAAGGAAGCCTGTGCAGGTTTTTGCTACCTTTTTGTTATCTTATGAGCTTGAGAAGTCAAATCAGAGACGCTTCATTTTCTTTGTTTTCCAGCCATGGAAACAAAAAATAAGGTTAACTGCTGACAAACTGTCTTTGGCAAATTATTTCAAAAAATGAGATAGAGGGGTTGTAATATTTTAATGACAATCACGAAAATAAAATCTTCCAAGAAGAGAGAACACTGTCATCTGTTTGGACAGAGCTACCTTTGTTTCTTTTCTTAGCGAGTCATATGAGGAAAACAGGAGTTTGTTACAAACAAAGCAGCTGTAAGTCATTCTCCTCAGATTTCATTCACTACTCCGTTGCCAGATCTGGATGTTGGTGAGTAAAAACAGTGATTTATCGGTGCTCTGTTCTTGTGTTTCCAAATGGAATATCCACATAAACAGATGAGGTGAGTCACCAACAGCTTCAGCGTTTCACTGTCAAACAACTCATCACTCACAGCTACTAAGGCTAGGAAGTTAGCAAGAAAATGACCATATTTGGCATTGCTCTTTTCCCCTCAAATTTTAAACAAACTTCAGCAACAACAAAACAGACTAAAAGGTCAGAGCGCACGGTGCAACAAGTCTTTCTTACCTCCTCAGGACGGCTCAACACATGTCCCTCAGGCCCGGTGATCCCCTGCTCCAGAATTCTGCGCTGCTCCTGATAACACACAGCAGACACAAACAAAATAAGGAACAGCTGAAATGGTCGAGTTATGCGCAGATGTTTCAGCAAGGTCAGTTTTTGCAGTGGGAAGTGTCGGCTAAAAAAAGCACCACTGCTCGAACTCAACTTAAGGTCAACATCCAGTAAAAGCTCTTGATATTGGGAGTAAAATGGCGTACCTCAGCGACAATGTCACCGTTCTCAGCGTGCACCTGGGCGATGGCTCCGAGATCACGGATCACACTGAACACCTCATACACCTGCAGCAAAGAGCAAAGAAGTATTAAAACCTTCAGAGGCATGCATAAAACTTTGACCCTGTGAGCTACAGACAGTTTCAGAGATGATTGTGCACGACTCCACCATCATCTGAGTTTGATGTAGTTACAGCTGCGTAAATTTATTCAACTGTTACTTTCTCAATTTTCTATCTCTCACAGTCATTTCCTGCTAAATTTACTTTTTCATCTGTGAACCACTGAGCTTACATAATCCAAAAGTCAGTCTTGATCCTTAAGTTTTATTATCTATTTCAGACTGAGTTCAACTTTCCAAATCACAATTTAAGTTAACGCCAAATTCAGCAAAGAAAATGAGCAAAAAACCGAGGAGGTTTTGCATTCTGGATAGAGTTTTCAGTCACAGTCACATCCTCCATACTTACACTGATATCCTAACTGTAAACCTTTACATCATAATAGTAATCAGATGATCATCGTCTCTGTTGTGGCTTGAGATGAAACACTGACCCTGATTTTCCAGGACATCTGAGTCTCCCATCCTCTGACTATTTCTCAAGCTGTAAGATAACCTCATACACACTCAGAAGGAAAACTGATGTGTTAAATGAGTCATCTCCTCCAAGCTGCCAAACAAGCAACAACAAAGAGCCATCAAAGTCTGACACAGGGGAAAACGAACTCTGAGCCACACTTGTCGACAAGCATTCCTCGCACAGGTGTGAAGACCGACACGGATCTGTTTAACACAGCTTTCATCTGGGATTAAATCACTTTAACCATGAGTCAGACGGAGGCTCGGATGGGGAGTTGACTCCATTATTCAGTCACTTTCCCAACAGAAACACAAAGACAATCAGTGTGGGACAAGATCTCGCCAAGACAAACAGACTCGGAGTGTAACTCTCACTGAAGGCAGGAGCCAAAATCACAGCTGTGATCTGACATCTCCCCTAATCAGACAAAGACAGTGAATTGAGGATATTTGTCATTTTGTATCATCGGTTGGCTCTCTTTTCTTCACATGCAATCAAAAAGTTTACAAATAATGTCTTCGATGTAAATCAGATATATTCATCTATCAGCTGAACACTAAACAGCTTCATCACTGTCTGCTGATGTCTTTGTTTGCTGTCATGTCTCATATCTCACTGATGATCATCAGACTAAATGCAATTAGTACAGATCTGAATTCATTCAAGGCAGCAAATGTTGTATTAAAGGATAATCTCAGATTAATTAGATTTAGTGAAGCAGCGGCTGAATCTCAATGAGGCCAAACTGGCTGTTTGCTTCTAGTGCAGAGACTTCCCTAAACTCTGGGGGGTGATTCCTGCATGCTGCGCTACGCTGCCTCCCACACTACCTGTTTCTAAATCCTGTCTTAAGACATTTTAATTCTTTGGATTTCATCTCAATACCAGAGAAACCTCACTTTTCCTTTTTGTCTGACTCATGTGAGATTTTCGTCTTTTTTTTTCGTTTGGTCACCTTTATTATTTCTTAAAACTGAAAGAATAAGAAACAAGAGAAGAACTCAAACCTGAGCGTCAGTGAGCTGGAAAACATCCTTATATGCCAGGTAGACCAGGAAAGAGTTTACACCTGCAAATACAAGAGGGGGAGAGTGTTAAAAGATATCAGGGGGCAGAGATGACTGAAACATTTTAAATGATTATTATTGTTATTTTTTTGTTGGTCGCACCATGATCTTTCACCAGCGCCTCCATCTCCTCCTGGATGCCTTTGTGCCACTCAGTGATGTCGACATGCAGAGAGTAGTCACAGCAGGACTTGCTGTCGGCCCATTCACGCCACTGCTCGAAGGACGAGATGAGGCTGACACCGGGCTCAGGGATGACATGGTCAACTGAAAACATGAAAACACACACGTCAGAAAATACAATGAAGACCATCATAACTCTGCAAAACACAAGGTGATGTTTTGTAAATGCACGCTGACTTATCTGCTGCTAAAACCTGAAGAAAATGTAAATGCAGACCACCATGATGACATGGCAACTATCAGAGAAATATGAAGATGGTTGATATGTGGTATCTTCATGCAAGTGCAGCTTACAAAATGTTATACTTCAAACATTTTCAGCTCAGGAGTCATGTCTGCTCGTGGCTGTGTTGTAAAAGCCAAGCAGAGGTCACACTCCCAGACTCCATGAAACACACCAGAACTGTTTACTCCACCGCCATTCAACAGAAAACCACTTTACAGTTGACCTCTTCTCCTCTTGGAGACAGGCCTGACACAGTTTGCGTTCCTACTTTTACACATCTCTATCACACTGTGTCTGTTTTGGCAAACTGAGGCCTGTACTGTGGAGGAATGATGAGAAACTTGGAGTCTTCTTCTACAGAAAGAAGAAGACAGTGGTTTTGTATATTTGCATCCTTTGCCTCCTCACATGGCGATGTCCGGTCATGATAAGCAAATGATTACAGGAGGATTCTTGAGCCAGTTTCAACTAATGAACCTATTAATTAATATTTTTTTCGATTGTATTTCTAAATGTTTTCTCTTGTAACAGGTGTCCTTGTGTTCTGACACGTGATTTCTGGCAGATTCCCTCTCAGATCCGTCTCATTAAACCTCAATCAATAACGAAATATCAAGTTTGAACCTGAATTTGCAAAGCAGAGTCTACACACATCCATCTGTGAAGTATTTCATTCGTCTGAGATCTCCAATCCCATTTCAAACGGTTTCTTAGCCACTTTCCTGTTTTGGTGAAAATGTGTCCAATAACATTCCAGTCACCAGCCTGCAACAGATTACATCAGGTTCCAGACGTGTCTGACTCTGCAGCAGTCAGCGTTATACTGGAGGTGACAACAACACATGAGTCTTCTGGGAGAGTTTGTTCTGCTGCAAGGGAGAGGAGAGTTCAGCTGCCAAGTCAGCAGAGGGAGGGCCACCATTAGAGAGGAGCGCCACTTACCTCTACGACCTTCCTACGTCTCCTCTCTTCTCAAGTAAACTAATTACATTTTCAGGGTGAGCATTGAGAGCTTGGAGATCTTTCATACCCTGAAACTAACTACTGCATGAAAAGTACAATGACACAGCAAAAGGTATATGAAGAGAGAGAAAGATACACAGAGAATGAGGGAGATATTAAAACCAGATGAGTTGTCTAGGTACTGCAGTGTTTGGAAGAGAGTTGCCAAAGCTAGGAAACCTGATTTTGGATGGTGACCTAAACAAAGCTTGCAAAGATAAGCGGATGAAGAAAACAAAAACAAAAGTATCTTATAGAGTATATGAGACATCATAAAAGAAGGACCAGAAGAGTGAGAAGCCTATTCACAGTGTTGAATAACAGAACTAAGTCAATTCTGCAGTATCTGTGTGCTCAAAGGGGAAGTTAATCAACTCTCTGGCTCAGTCTGAACACTGTGGCTCATAAGTCTTCACAGCAGATGGATGGTTTCATATTTTGGCTCGGTTATGAAGAAGTCTGGCACCCTGCCTGCTCATATTTAGAGATTTTCGATTAAAATGAATCAGTGAGTAAACATCAGCTGCAGGGACAGACACTGCAATATCAGAGAACTGTATCTGTATCTGCCGATGACTTACTGATCATGGTGGTCCCTCCAGACAGCGCCGCCTTGGTGCCCTGGTAGAAGTCATCCGCAGATATCATTCCTCGATCAGGCATCTGGAAACGTGTGTGCACATCGATGCCACCTGGCATCAACATGCGGCCATGGGCATCAATGGTTTTTACCCCGCCAGGAACGATGAGATTTTCCCCAATTTGTCTGAAAAAAAGAATAAAACAAATCAACAGAGGAAAGACATGAAAAAACAGCAATCTGGAATTAGCAAAATGTACACAGGTCCAAAAACTTTGTTTTATGCCTTTTTCTGGTCACCAGGGAAGTGTGTATATACATTTGACTTAGCATTTTCTGCTCCAGTGTACAATTGTAATTAATTGCTTACTTTGCTAAAGACCGATGCATTATGCAGTACCAGACCAGCTGCCTGGTGTTGTGCAAAATAACTCTCTAGAGTCTGGTGGCTTTTAGAGAGATATAAAGCTCACAGCTGTTTCTAACTGAATACAAATCTAACTTCAACAACTATCTTAGTCCAAACAGATGTACTTTGTTTTTTCTCTTTAATGTGTAATTAACCACAAAAGATAGACCAATACAAAGGCCATGCATGCTAATATATATGCAGTTAAATGCAGCTAACACAGGGCTAGACTGATGGTGAGGTGAAGTAAAAGCAGTAAACTGACTTGATGACTCCATCCTCCATATAGATGTCAGCACAGAAGGACTGGTCATCGTTCACAATCTTCCCGCCTTTGATCAGGAGACGGTCACTCTGGGAAAGAAGAGGAGGAGGATGAGGAGTTATTATTTTGACCACATTTAAACACATGAAATCATACATCAGGATAAAATGTGGGCGGCAGACACCAGAGCAGGTGGAGACCTGTCTGTAAAAGTAAGCTCAGGATGGGTGAGTATCTGATTTGGTTTTATCACAAGCAGAATTAAGTCAGTTTGATGAAAGTCTTTTTGGGAAGAGTCATAAAAAGAGTGGATTGGCATGTGCAACAACAAATAAAGTTTATAAAACAGTTTATCTGAGTTTACACTGCAGCAGCTGTTTTAGGATGCACTCTGATAAGAAACGCATAACTGAGTGACGTCTTTCAACTCATTCTGGTTTTCTTCATCTCCAAACACACCCACAGGGAGGTTGCGCCTTATCAAGGGCTATAAAGGGACATTACGTTTTTATATAAAACAAAAAGAGCACATGGAGACCTAAACCTTATTTCTGAGATGGAAACACTTTCATTTCAACCCTTGCTAAGTCAAAAAATCATTTAAATTAATTGATTTTATGTCATTTGGAAATTTTTAGATTGTCAAAAATGACCTTGATTCATAGATTAACCAAAATTTATATAATTTGATGTAATTCTAAGAGATTCGTTAAAGGTGCAGTCTGTCATTTGGACTTAGTAGAAATGAAGTATAACATTCGTAAGTATGATTAAATACTGTTTAATCACCTGAAATGAAAATCATTTTGTCTTTATTAGCTTAGAAAAAGCCTTTTTTTCATTTTGTATTTATTCATTTCAGGGGTAAATCCCCTTCATGGTGGCTGGTGGACAAACTAGGGCTGTCACAATATCAAATTTTCCCATCAAAGTTATTGTGGCCATTAAATATCACAATAGTGATATTATCAGAAAATCTTGAAAAAAAAAAAAAAACAGGGTAAAATCAGTCAAATGAAGGAAAGGTGAGCGAAAAAACAAGCATCACATTACTTTATAAACTTTAATGGTTAACCAGTTTAACTTACAAGCTGTTGTCGGTTTCCTGAGACTGTTAACTTTATGATTTATTAGCATCACCAGCCCTGGGACTGGTTTTGGACGTGGGTCTTTTTCCACCACAAACCCTTTTATTCTAGCTGGTTCTTAAGATATTACTTCTGTGACAAAAATCCTAATACAGTAGTTATGTATCCTCATCTACTGACAGCCCCACCTTTTCTTTCTTGGATACTCTTCAGCTGTTTTTTTACTCTTGTTTTGGTTCTGATTATCTCGTTTTTGTTTTTCCTGTTTTCCAATTTTAACGCTCTATAATCTAAAACTATAAATAAAAAAGGAAAGAAGACAGACTTTTGGCCTTTAAATGGCTTAACATTTGTTTATTTTGCCATTTATCTTTGAATCAAACAAAAAAGCTTGTTGTAATTCACAGCAGAAACAGCATCTAAACATCCATCTCTCCTCCTCCTCCTCCTCCTTCTGCTGCCTGATTCCACCACTAACCAAAAACATTCACAGTTGCAACAATGAAAACAGAAGGCCGCCTCCAGGCACACCCCTCTGTCCTCATGTGTTTGTGCTGTCACGGTAACGACATCAGAAAGGGCCAATAGGAGCCCAGGCAGTGTAATCAATCATCCACGCCTCCAGCAGGGACACTTGTCTCTGTGAAACAGAGAGGAGGGGGGTATCTGCCACCTCCACAGTCTCCCACCCTGAGGCCCTCACCCCCTGTCTCTCACCCCAGCGGCTTGGGCTCTCTGTCCAAAAAGGGAGTGGCAGTTCTGGTCACAAGGACTCCAGCATCCCCGGCTAACAAAGGCTGCTCTGTTTGAGCCGCTGCTGCTGGCTGCTGCCGGGCCAGCAGCTCTGGGCCTGAACACAACTGCTGCTCTGCAAACGCTCCCAGCCAGAACCCTGCCCTTGTCTGAACTACACAAGTCCCACTTTTCTCATATTTCTTGTTTTTATCCATTTCCCCTCAGGACTCCTCCTAGTCAGGGCAATCAGACCCAGATGCAAAATGAAGATAAGTGGACTACAATGTTAGCTGCATCACGCAAACACTACTGCCAATAAAAACATACACACAGTTCTGCAGACATTTGAACACTTTAAACATGTATGAGATATAATTTCTGTACATTTTGGTCAGATTTTTATGTTTGAGTTTGAATCTGTTGGTCAGAATTTAAACAATCTGAAGATATCAACATGTGGTCAGAGAAGATCTGATTGGTTTGATAGAGCAGATGCTATATTTCCACTTAATACGCGTAAGGAACAAGTAGTAACCTTCGGTCTTGAGAAATGAAGTCAATGTGAAAACGTTAAAAACTTAAGTTCCTCAAGCGTCCACTTGAGGCTGGCTCTAAAAGCCCAGAAGGCCAAGCGGTGACCATAGACTGTGTATATACTATGGACAACTTGGTTTCGCCTTTCACCAGTATACAGATTTGAAGCCAAAAAGCTCTTGGCAATTCTACGTTTTTTTCTTTATTTTCTGAAACCAACATTGCGCAGTAGCGTTGTATGCATTCGGTGGGAGAGCCGCTGTGATGACACTCTGCTCAAACAGCGTTTTCCCCGGGTGAACTACGCAATCTTCGTACGGTCATAGGCTGTATCAAGTGTCAATCATAGAAAACATGAATCCCCTAATAACTTTTAAAAATGGAGCTGTACAGAAAAAAGAGGACTTGAACACAAACCAGTCTTACAATAACTACATGTCAACATCGCAAGCAGGGTGGAGAAAAATGTATATTCTTTGTAATAAATTTTTAAAGTTTGTCCACAGCCCCATAAGCTTTGCTGGTGGAGGCAGGATTGATGACCTATACTGCAGCCCGTCAACAGAGGGTGCTGTTATGGGAGTGGCTTCACCCAGCGAGGAGGAGGACAGCGTCCATTCTTTATACAGTCTATGGCAGGAAGACTGTAGCTGGCTAAAGGTCCCCTTCACTCCACTTGTTTGCCTCTTGCAAACAAACACAAGAACACTTTCATACAGTTTATTAATGGTTGTGAACCATTGATTCAATTAATATGATGTGACTTTACTCAAAGGGACCCTCAAGACACCAAGCAAATTCAATAAGCTTAAATGTTCTTGGTTTTCAGGTTATGACAAGTGATAAATTGGGTATTTAATGGACCTGGTTATCGATCCCCATCCCTAACATTGAGTCAGACGATTAAAAGTTTAAATGTTTATTCCAGTTTTGGCTCTTATTTTATTTTTGTATTGTTCTTTTGTAGGACTTTGTGTGTGTGGTGCTGCAACAAAGTGCACCTGATCTCATCTTTTTGTTTTTCCTGCAGCTGTGCAGCAACCAGACAAACACACGGATGATGTTTCAGAGTCACATCCTCTCTGCTTTTGGAGGGAAAGAGCTCTAAAATTCAAAACATGCACTTGCGGTTTTTCAATGAGGGGAGGAAAATACACATAAACACACTCGCACACACGAACATGCACACACATTGACTTGAGGACTTCAGCTGACTGCAGCAGATCTGGGAAATGCATTGCAGTTGTCCTCTGAAGGTGTGGCAGCGCTCTGACAGCACTGATGGATCTAATAGAAATAGACGATGTGGTAATCTTCGATCTGTGTGCAGCAGACTGCTCTGGGAGCCGCTGGCCGCAGTCCAGCCCATCGCTGGCCCAATCTCAACCCAACAACTGCTGTGAAATATGTTGTTACATCATGTGCCTCATCATTACTGCCATTATCGCATTACTATCTGCAGTCCACCAAGAGACTCCAGTTCATAAGTCAACACTTTATACACACACTAAAACCTGTGTGAGCCAAGACTAGGAGGCTAAATTGCCTTCGCAGAGACACTCATTCATTTTTGATCATTTGAAGAAAAGCTGCATTCAGAGTTACTGTTGGAGATGATGCTTAAGACATTGTTTTGTCTTCACTGCTACAGAATTTCGAGGTCCCTAAGAGTCAGCTGTGGAAAATTAGCAGAGCGATTACTTCCCCCGACTCGCCTCATGCTGTAGTATAATCATCTAATTGTTTTGGAGTTTGCAGAGTTTGGAGAGAGTGCCTGGTTGTTTGGGATCACAGCCAAACATGACAGTGACCTTTCCTTCATGGGACTCTCTCTGGCCTCTGAAACAGGATGTGGACAAATCTCAGAGGGCTCAGTGTTGTTAAACTGCTCGGGCTAGAATAGCTGACTGTGCTAATGTAAATGTCACACCAGTAAAATGTAACACTGATAATGTCGAGTCAAAGAATTCAAGTATTGAAGACACATGCACGAGTTTATTGAAGGTTATAACTTTCTTTAGCTCTCTGTGCTCCTTTCTTTGAGTATAAAATGACTGATTTTGCTCAACCTGGAGAGGAGGTAACAATAACATTATGGAGGACAGTCTGTATTATTACAAAGTAGAGGTGGAATGAGTCCTTGGGGATCTGGTTGATGGTTTAACGACGAAATAAAGATGATTATGTTGAAGCTGATGCTGGCTCATTGAACATCTTACATTGAGTGAACATTTAAACACAGGATCCAGGATTCAGTTTAGAAGGTTTGTTTTCTTTTGTCTTCTGTGGATGATTTTTTCTGTCCAGACGAAGAAAGAAATAGAAACAAGATGTATCGACATAAACTATTTTAATAAAGGGGGACTTATAAAGTCAAATGAATTTGTAAATTTGTTAACTTAGCTTACGTCACATATGCATCCACTTCAGGGCTTTAAATCATCACTAAATTTGGGTTTAGTTTGACAGTAACCTAATGAAATAATATTTGACAATAAACCATATTAGAAATAATACAATCAGGAGAATCCAACAAAATTTAGTAAAGCTTTGTCCATTTTCAACTCACATTCAGACTCCCTTTGTTCTCTGCTGATCTTTGGTCAGGGTGCAAAAGGAAGTCAAGGCCTGAGGGCGGGCTTTTATGATGTTGGGGGTGTGGCTTGGCCTTGAGTGACAGGGGGAGTCAAGTATGGTGATGGTGAGTTAAGAACTTGGGATTTAACAATACGCCATAATGGATGGACAGATTCAGATAAACATAAACATAACTGGAGTCCTGTCAACAATGGTACCACTTGATAACAAGATAGCCACAGATTAACTGTATGTGCCTTGAACTGCATTAAGATAGTTTGCTCTTGATTGTGCATATTTTTAGCAATTATCATCTGTCGCAAAAAAAACAGTAGCTCGTCAGAGGAAAATTGGAACAAACTTTGGCAAACATCTGCTGGTTTTTTGAAATTCAGATTGATGTTACAGGTGATTACATTCAAAAGTGACCTATAGGGTATATACTGTATATGGTGAATAGAACGGCTAACACTTGCGTAATGACATATGCAGAAGACATGGACTATATCTAAGGCCTTATAATTTATATCTATGATACACAGACTTTGACTTGGACATTTTTCCTTTGATAAAGTCAGTATGTTGTCTCTATCTACCGATAAAGTTATTTGGTCTTTAAACCCTTTCAGTGTTTACATTTGAGGTTACAGCATACATTTTAAGTGTTAGGTGACCTGATGAATAAAACCAAATGTGAGGCCACTTTTTATGCGCCTTTTACTATGAACTACTTCTAGAAAAATGCATAAACTCCCACTGCTATGCTCTGTGTTCTTCATCATCTGGTCACATATGTACTTGCTGCCCATCATTCAGTGCTGAGGGATCATCCACTGTGCTGAGATACACTAAGAGAAGAAAAATCCACTAAAGTGAGCAGAAAAACTACAAACATGTAAAAAACTTCCTTTTTAAACAGAGAGAAACAACAAGTGAAGATAAAACGACGGCCTCCACAAGGCCATCGTTTTCAGCATCCCCCCTTTCGGTTCATGTGTAATCAGATGGAATTTGGTGAATTTAACAATATTGACCGTCGCAGCTTTCAATTATCATGTTTACAGAGTAAATTTATTCTAGTGCCGAAGCCTGCTGAGTTTGGAAAGAGAAATCACGATGACAGGGTGTGGGAATATTGATTGTTTCTCTGGTACAGATCGATCTTCTACATATCACATGACTGCACCAGCTCGTTTGACATTATTTAAACATGAAGCTGCAGCAGCTCAAAGGTGAAAACTTTAACTCTTACCAGGGGAAAGAGACGCCCTGTGATTGAAAAAACAGACATCGGGACAAACTTTGAGTGGGCGCAATGAAAACTTGAGATGTAACCCGGCAACGTCATGTTGTTGTTGTCAAAATGGAAAATATCCTGGGAAAATTCATGAAGTCAGGTGGAGAATACTGCCAGGTCAGACATTCACTCTGTGATTTATGTGTGTCTATGGTTATTAAAAAAACAGACTTCAACCAAAAATCACTTATGTTCATGTTCAGCTGGCACCTGTAACACCATGTTCACAATTTTTCACTATTAAAACAGAACACCTGCTGACTGACAAATGGAGGAATAAAACTTCTCCCCCCGGGATGTAAAAATAAAGTTTGAAACCTTGGCTTGGAAAATCTTTCAATTTTAACTTTGAATGGATTGGAAATCTTTGCTGTGTGTGTGTTTTGAGCAGACGGTGGAAAGAGAAAAGGCTCTGCTTTGTCGTATACCTAGTTGTGAATTTGCTATTCAACTAACTAAAAATCCCCATGGTGTAAGTTTTCCCATGTACACTTTAACTGTTTTTGACTGAATAGTACTCTCTTTAATTCAGGTCATTTTTTCTTAGATATCCTTTTACATATTGAAAAGTTTCCCTGAATCCTCTCTGGCTGCAAGACTTTTTTCTCTGCAAATAAAAAGTTCATGCGTAAAGCTTCTGAGAGGAGCGTTGAGCTGATTACGAAGTAGACTTAAGTAATGATACCTCCAAATAACTGACAAAAGCAAACCTGGAGCAACACTGACTGTTCTTTTATTGTAATTTTTAATGCTGTGAAGTGGTTGGTGTCAGACCACATGATTGGCAGCATGCTCAAAAAAAGAAAAAAAACAGCTTTTTACTGTTTTTCAATGGGAAATACTCACAGTGAAGGATATGTTTGATTGTTAAAGGAGGGCAGCAGATTTGTTTGTCACTTCTTACACATGTACAGGTCCAATGCAGAAAATAGACAAAGTACTTCATCCACTAGGGGGTGCCAAAATCAACACAAACTTGCAATTCCTCACAGGAGCTCGAAAGACGGTGTGTGCTTTGAGGTTACAGATTGAAAATAAAGATTCAGTCTCTTATTTCATGCCTTTTGGAGAATCTACAGTAGCCAAAGGTTGACCAAAAATGCCTGCTCCGGCGCCATGATTTGTCATGGACAGCCTGCACCATAATAAAACATTACAGGCCCAGCTCCTGCACTGCACATCATATGCTTTGCACCACCCCATGAAGTCATATTTTTCCACCCACTGCCCACACTGTGTGAAGAGCAGATGAACTTGCTACATTAGAGCCTGCGTTTTGATTATGAAATCAGGTGTGTGAGGTGCTGATCTCAGGATGCCAGAAAACAAGAGCTATTTCTTTACACACCTGCCTCACCTCAGCCAACAAAAGCCAAAAACCCAAACTGAGATCAACTCTGGGTTTCAAATATGAACAGACAAGCTCACACACAAGTAAGGGCTGCTTCTTTAACATCACTGCTAAGTGGTATTGACCAACACACCTGCAGATATCACTAGAGACTAAACAGATTCCTTTTTGCACATGACACCAGTAGATGAAACATTAATGCATGGATCAAGATAACTCAAACATTGACCTGTGAGTATTTTCTGCAGTTTTAGAGTCACAGAAGTTAAATGAGCCAATTTGAATCCAATGTATTTAAGTATAAAGGACCAAAGCCACCTAGTTAATCATAGCAGCACCTAACTCTGAAAGGGAATGAAAGCAAACACACTGATTGATCTGATTCATGTAATGCCCAAAATACACTTTTTAATAACCTTGTACTTCCCTTAGGGCCCTAAAAATTGAAATTGAAATAATTTAAAATGGAGTTAAAGGGGAGAAAAAGAAGAAAACATACACTGCTTATGAGACCGTACATCTCTGTGAATAAAATGAGTTGTGAATGCTCTGTTACAAATCTACACTAATGTCTTTTTTCAAGGAAATTTATGCCACCAATGGCATTTCAATTCTCTCTTTTAGGATGAATAAACCCTCATTGACCTCACTCTACGGCTGCTGCAGCTGGAGGCACGGCGGTCCTGTTACAGACTTTACTCCACACTGTCCTCCTTTGTTCAAGAGCTGATTGATAAAAAAGTTCACTCACTGTACACTCAAGGACAAGCGCACACATGGATTATTTGTTCTGAACGGAGCAATTTGGGAAGATATTGAGCGTGAAAAAATGAGGCAGGGCCGCTGGGTGGGTGACTTGGAGAGCAGCACGGTTGTGTTTGATGAGCGAACAGACATCGCCCCAGGGTGCTGTGCAGAGAGAGACGCGCAGCAGGAGCACACTGAGGAGTCTGTGACTGTGAGTGTAAACACACTGAGCGGCCCCGGGGAAAAACTACTGTACTACTGGTTTACTAGCACAGCGCCTACTGATCCCTCATCCTCTGGGGATTGTAGTCACAGAGTCTTAAATCCAGGACAGTCCTAATATAGCCACAATCTATTTTTACCTTCACGTAATACAGACTTCAAAGGTTCTTGCTTTTTACTTTTCTTTGAACAAGAATTTATTTATAATATTGACCCAATAATATCAATCAGTGTTCTCCAAAGAAACTGAAGATCAGAGTCTGAACTGATCTCTTCTCCTTCATCTATCACATGTGAAAACACTCATCAGACAAAAACCTGATCCTGTTGTTATTCAAGTGAGTATTCGCCGCTGATAAAGATGGATTAAGATGGATAAAGACTGTCCGTCATCTGGTCTGAAACCCGCCCACTTACAGCGGTTTTAGGCGATAGAAATTTTAACAGGAGACTATTAGACAAAAAAGACTCACTTTTGAAGGTCATAAAGAGACGTCAGTACCAGAGTCAGTCTGTTTCTCAACCAGGTTAAAACTCCTTATAGGGCCTTTAATCTCATTTAGAGCTGCAACTTGAGAGTTTTATAGCAGATATGGTTAAATGTTTATAAGTTTGATCAAATTGATGTATAAATATGGGTTGGTGCACAAACTGAATATAAAAATAGATACATTTTTGTTGCCTTAAAACAAGCATTTTATATCAACATAATGAGCAGGTCTCCTGCTGCTAGAAGCTGCTAGTGTGCACCGCCATGTTTCTACAGTCGCCCAGAACAAACTGGTAACAAACCCAAGAGAGATTGAGAAGGGGACCATTTTAATCCACATATATCTAGATATACACAATACCTTTAACGGTTTCCAGTGGTGCAGATGTTAAAATAAGTCTGAGAAAAATTATCATCAAAAGCTTCAAGTCTCAACTACCATCTTTTCTAGCTATAAAATATCTCTGACAAAACTATGACATAGATTTTGGAATCAGTGCTGTTTTTGTCCCTTCCTCTTTTTAAACTTTCATTCTTCTTTCTTTTGCAATTCAAAAAAATTTGGAGCACTAATAATGTGTTTCAGCCCAACTGGACTTAATATTAGCTTCTTGCGGCACACCTACTGTTTCTGCACTGGTGTCACTGTGTTTTTTGTGTGTGTGTGTGTGTCAGAAATGTTTTTAACAAAGTGATGAGTCACAGAAGCTTTAAACCAGATGGCGAACTTGTGTAAGTTCATTCATATTTGATAAGAGCTGCCATGAGTCCTTCCTGCCTGTGCAGCTGACCTGACTCCATCTGGCCCCGACAAACCACTCTGCCTCACCAGAACCCCACCCATCTTCATGAAGACGGATGGATGAAGCCTTTACGATCACAACTCTTGATTTGATTGCTTAATCAGAAAGGATGAGAACACAGAGACTTTCTTTGTCGCCGCTGCTGCTTTTCCAGCTCAGATTTGATTCGATTTAACCTCATTTCCTCTCCAGCCTCCGTTTGGCTTAATAAGCTTTTGTACTTTTCACACTAAAGACTCTAAAGTGAGAAAGTAGGACTAGGATGAAATCTACAGCATAGATGAGAAAGTCCCCTATTGAGTGGGTCTTACCCTGAAAAAAGGAAAAGTCTGCGACCCCTTTTAGTCCATGTCTGAAAATCGTCTGTTTAGGTCTTAACCTAATCACTGCAGCGACTCCAACCCTCCTCCTAATCCTCTGATCACTCCTGCACTCTCCAGAGAGCTGAAAGGACAGTGATTCACCTGAGAGGATTCCTGTTTTCACCAGACACCAATCATATCGCCACCACAGTCCAAAACACAGCAGCTATGAAATCATCCAAAAATGCACCAGAGATTTGGATAAAAGCTTTTGAAGCTGAGAGATGGGACTTTTCTCTTTCTGCTTCTTTTTTTTTCTTCTCTTGCCAAGCAGCAGAAACATCATCAGATAAATCTCAGTTCAGTTTTTGTTTCATGTCTGCTCTCAGAAGGATGCATTTATCATGTCTACTGTATCAGTTTGGCACACATTATTCTATTCATTAATATACAACTGGATTTAGACCTGAAATGTCACCAATTTGTTCACTATTTTCAAATTAAAAGTCCCAATCAATCAATCAATTAATCAATCAATCAATCAATCAATCAATCAATCAATCAGACTTAATTTGTACAACACTTTTTATACATTAAGATGTAGCAAAAAGGGCTTTACAGAAAATCATGTATAAAAAATATATTGACTGTTACTAAAGATGAACTCACAAGTCACCAAAAGTTCTCTAAAATAATTTCCACATGAATCAGTCAGTCCTGCGCTGACACATCCTCCATGTTGCACCTGCAATCAAACCCACATGTGTGTTGTTCTGAGTCATTTACATAAAAAAAAATTGTGAGAGTGTTTGATGTGAATGACTGCAGGACACATTGTTCAGATATGGGAGGTGTGGACACCGGCTCCTCTGAGAATGTCGGCCACCCACGGTTATGTACAACGCAAAGAGACACTCATATATATCTTTGAAGAATGAAAGAATCTGTGAGTCTTTGGACAATCTTAGTTTTCTTTCAAAGATGATCTGTTGGTGCACGGCATGCATCTGATGCAGGATGAAGCAGAGCAAAAATAGATTCATGCTTGTGAATTTGACTTTTTCAGCATTTTTAAGGACTTCACTCAATAGTGGGACTACCCAGGCCCTGATCCTCAAATCATTTCTCTAGACATGTGTCCTTTCACTCATAACTTTCTAAACAGCACACTCACTTCCATCTGGCTTTATTTGAGTCCATTTCAAACATTTCAACCTTCAAGTTTCATATAATAAATCAGACAGTGACCTCCTTCCTGATCCACTCTGCCTCTGTAACTACACGCATCCTCCCGTCATTACACAGCTGAGAGAGAAGCATGGAAGGAAATAGGACCCACTGTCCCCTCCCTTCCCCTGGCCCCCTCCCTTCCCCTCCCTATTCTCTACTTTCCATTGAACTACAACCACCAGCACCATCCCTGCAGCTTCGCTACGAATCCAGGGAAATAATCTGCCCCTTGGTCCCACTGACTGAGTAACTGTCCACTTAAACGTGTCTTTACCTCGTAAAACTAAATCTAAATCGAGGCCTGGTTTTTCTGTGAAAGTGAAATGAGCCTGTGAGAAAAGAAATCCAGCCGGGAAGTGAGCGTTAGAGCGGATGCAGGGGAGCATTTGCCCCAGCTGTCGTTGTGCGGTGATACCCGGCCACCAGACACACACCGCCGAACAAAGACCACCGGCGTGAAATCTCAGCTGTAATACCCACACCCCGAGACAAAGACCGGAGAGGACGGAGAGCGAGTCTGCAACAGAAAGGAGCAGTTTGAGGTCCACAGATAGCACCGTTTTACCCGGAGAGGAGCACTTGACGCAAAGATGATGCAAAAATCACATTTTATAGCTTCTGCAGCGTCCGTGATTTATCGATCCTGACGTGGGTTTGGTCACCAGGAAGTAGATTTCAAAATAAAAGCGAGTTGCTCCTCCAGAAATGCATCTAAAGAAGCAAAAAACACGAGCTTTTCACGCGCTTAGATAAGTGGAGCAGCGCAGCGGCGCATAAAACCATGCCGCCACGGTGACATCCTGCACCCACACCCGCAGGCCCACGCGACCAGACACCGGGCACCAAAGTGGGCACAATCTCCGCTACTTAAACAATAAACAGCATGCAAACACTCACTGTGATGCGAGGGATGTTCTTCTTGCCCTGATAGCCAGACATCTTCACCGGTGGGTCGTTTTACGCTGCGCCCTGGAACCGCAATCTGTGTAACGGGATGTGCGGATTACTGCCGCTTGCCGGGTCAGAACGAGGATGATGACAATGAAGAAGAGGAAGAAAAAGCCGGGAATGTCGCTGCTGATTCTTTAGGAGGCTACAAACGTGACGATTTACTCTCGGTCTCAGCTCCGGATCTCGTCCTGGCAGCCGCCCGGTCTCCACCGATGCACCAAAAGCTTTCCTTCCCAGACGGAGTCAGACAAGAGAGGGGAGGGAGGGAGGGACCACTTGCGAGCCTCTTCCCCATAAAAGAACCCCACGGAGCATGCGCAGAGCCTCGCCCAGCTCCATTGACAGGAGAGAGCCACTAATGCCATCAATTGCTCTCTCTGGATTAGTGGAGGCAGAGAGTGCAGCAAGTGAACAAACGAGGAGCAGTCAGCAGCCATCTTAACTCCTCTTACTCCTCCTGTTTGCTCCTCAGATCACTAAGTTTCATTTAAGAGAGTTGAGCATAAGGAACCAAACAGGGTGTGACCATGTTCAGCTCAGTCCCCAGCCTTAATGAACTTTTTCCTTTCAGTCACACAGATCTGCCAAAGTCTCAACACACTTTAATGATGGGACCAGAATCAAACAACAGACTTTTGGTGATGATGTGGGACATTAAAGAAGGTCATAGAGTTTTCTTTTCCATTCAACGAATATGATTTCCATTAAAATCTAAGGACTGTAGTGTTTAAAGCTCCTCTGAAGAGTTTTGACTGATTATAAAACAAATCAAAATGAGAGGAGATGACTTTCATGACCAACAAAAGAAAATGTGATCATGACTGACAACATTAGCAACCTGACTTTTGCAGTTTTTTTATGCCTGTAATGACTGCAAAGGAGGCCAGTGTCAGACAGGAGAATAGACTGAAAAGACAGCCTTTTTTCTTTCTCAGAGTGATACATTTGACAGCTAAAGGGCAGCAGGAGGAGACTTTTTCTGGCCAAAAACACTACTTAGGCTTGCAAAAAGGAGGATTGCCCTCCACAGCACAGATCTTAACGTTGGTGCTGGTGGTGTCAGGAAAAAAGGTTCCTAAAAAAGCATTGTTCTTTTAACCAATAAATAAGTTTACATTCTGACCATGTTGTGTGCGGTGGAACTCTTTTCCTTATTCACTACTTTAGCTTGATTTACTTCATACATCTGCAACAAATCTACACTGTACCTATACAGGAGCCCTCATGCATAGCCTACTGTGCATCTCTGAAAAAAACGTCCTCCTCCTCAAAACAAAACAAACTTCAAGTCCTGTGATTGGTTGGTTTAGAAGCATCTTATTTCCTCCATTCATGATCCACTGATTCAGCAGCCATGCATTTCATCTCTTCCAACATCTCATCTCTTTTCTTCTTGTAAAAACTGCAGTATGATCGACTGCTGCTCAACATTAATCAGCTCCAGCTCAAACACAATACACTCAGATTCAGCTGCCATGGTTTTCTGGCAGAAGATGAAGTGAAATTAGAAACTGGTGATATGAGTTGCTTCAAAATTGCACTGGTTCTCAGTCTACAGGTAGAGTACAGCAGAGTATGTGCATTCAGGATAGCATAGATTCAATGCGAGGTGTAAACCAGGGGAAAGAAAACTTGAAACATGCTGGAGCTTTAAAGCTACTTTTTCTTCTTGGCATGTTTCACAGAAGCAAGAGGTAGTTTATTCAAGTTTATTAAAAGACTTACTTACATATAAAGTCGGATTGAAAAGAGTTTTGAAAAGAGAAAAATGTCTTCATGTTTTCATGCCTTCCGGTGGAGTTAAGTGTCAAAAATACCAGTTTTTCTGTCTGTCTTGATTTCCCAACTTCTTTTTCTGACAGGTGAAGCTTTGTAGCCTGTGAGTGGTGCTAGAATAATGTTTATCTGGATAAATCAAAAATATTTGAGTGTGAGATGAATCTGACACAAGTTATAAACATGAATTTTACTAAAATGTTCTTGTACTTAGAGTAGAATACACTCAAAGTACTACAAGTGAAAGCACCAATTATTTAAAGCAGACCATGACAGAATCATCTCTGAGTTTTAACTGCTGATGCATTTATGTTTAAAGACAAATCAACCCTAATGGATACACCATGTCTACTATAACCACTGACAATACTTACTTGTGTATTAGACAATCTGAAAAGTCACTAGATGACCAAATACAAGTAATGGAGCAACCAAAGTATGATATTTGCCTCTGAAATTTGCTGAAATAGTTTCATGGGACAGAAAACATCATGGAAATACTCAACTCAGCACAGTGGTGCTTGAATACAACGACTCCTCACCACTGCAGTCCTCTTACATCACTCTTTAAAGCCTTGGCTAAGAAGTAAACTAGCTTTAAAACATCCCATCATGTAACTGCATCTCTTCTTAAATCATGTCAAATATGTCTGTAAAGAAGGGTGGAGTAAAATCCAAGAGATATAAGAGACAGAGAGAGTGAAGGGTGGGTTGGTGGCTAATGTTTCAGATCAATAATGTAACCTGATACTATGGATCAATATACATGGTGCTTTTATCCTGAGTGCTTAAATATTAAGTAAAGGAAGCACTGGTGCTGATGATGCCACAGTTTACCATGCACCGGCTGTAAAAACCAGATGGGCAGGAGTTCAAACCAGCAGTAGAAAAGTTCACTCCAAGAGATTTTCTTGCAAGTCATGCAAGTCAGAGCTGCTGTCACACAGGTCCACACCCTGAAATCTGCTGTTAGAGTCGAGATGCATGAGAACTATGATGCTGCAGCCACGCGCATGCATATGTGGGCCTCTTCTTTGCCAAAATAAGCTTTTTTATTGATTTTCTCCCCCTTTTTTTCAGACCTTGCATAGCACTGCAGGGACTCTTTAGCAATGGATGTAAACTGTACTGTGTTGAGCAAGAAGAGGTGATCAAATCAAACCAGCTAACAGGAGCCACTCCCTCTGGCAGCTCTGCATAGTGGGCCCTCTATCAACTCTGTTACATCACTGAGCTTTCTGGGAAATGTAGTCAGGGGAAGTTGTCTGGTCTCGTGTACGTTTGCAAAATAAACTCAGGCGAGTGGGTGGCAGAGGTTGTAATTACAATATTTTGAATCAAAAATGGCGCAGGTTTGTGCAGAAATCTATATGCCTCATGACAGAAACTAGAGTCATAAGACAGGGATTCAAAATATGAGATAAGATGTAAAAATGAGCAAATGAGCATGCTGAATATAGTGGAGGATTACCTTCTTATCGTCCAGATTCTGCAGGGCTTCTTTCCCCGTGCTGACTCGGATCTCCACCTTCTTGGGTTGGGAGATATCGGTCTGCCGGTCAATGACTCGGCTGTCACTCTTCCCCCTGCAAGCCGAGAGCGCATCAAAGTCCAGCGTCTTGCTGTCCGAGGAGCCTTCCACCGGGCAGAACATGCCACAGAACTGCTGCCTCGGCCTGGCGGGGCTGTCAGAGCCCATGTTCCTGAAAAAGGCTGGTACTTCCCCGGCAGTCGACATGCCTGGCTGGAGGCTTTTGGGGGGGAGAGGCTGAGGTTTCTCCGGGGAGTAGACGCACAGATGCTCAGACTCCGCTTCTTTTATTTATTTATTTTTTTGCTCCTGGACAGCCACCGCCTTTTTCTTTTTTGGTTTTACGCGCAGGTGGTCGCTCTGTGACAAAAGCGCAAAAAAAAAAAAATCTGTAAGGCTAATGGTGCATGAAAATACTCCCACTATTGATGAAATGCGTCGTAAATCTGCGTAATGATACCAGCTATGAGAAAATCCGCTGTTATGGTCCTCCTACAGATCTGCAAACAGTTTTGATTTGCTTACTCATGAGTCAACATAAGCCTCTAGCCTGCAGCCAATCCTGAGTTCAAAGTCAGCATATAAGGAGGAGACCCACAGAGGAGCTTTGTCACAAAAAAAGATCCAATAAGCTACAACAGAAGGAGGATGTCTCCCGATGAGGGATTACCTGTGTGAACCTGCGCAGGGACAGACTGGAGGTGGCACAAGCGTGTGATCGATCCGGAAATGATCGCTCCTGCCTTCTGCAAAACTACAGCCCGTGCATCAGGGTAGAAGTGAGCAGCCCGCCTGTGAGTCTGTAAGTTGTGTAATTTAAAAATAGGAGGATGTCATACAGCTGTGGGCTATGAGGGGGCGTGTCTGATCAAAGTTGGAGGTCAAGAGAGGATCAGCACCCTGGAGAGCTCCTTAAGAGTCACACCCAGTCCAACAATGAGGGGCGCTGTCCCTTCAGCACCACACCCTGCTCACACACTTACATACTGTAAATATTTGAACAGTCTCAGCTGTTTGACTCAGCTTTCATTTCACACACATGCACATCAGACCAGACCTGACCATGGGAACTTCAATCATGAGATGAAGTTTCTTTTTACACACCAATGATCTTATGAGTTAGACAGGATACTCTTCTTATTTTACTTTATCAAGCACTCTCTAACTGTGTCAGATGTTAACAGTTGGTACAAATTTGGTTATATGATAATGACAACATATTATTGTATCATGTTTCTTGAGTATGTATTTTAGCGCTCATTGTGCGTATGAGACTTGGTGCTTTTTGGAGTTTTATTCACTGCCACCTGTAAATCAAGTCATGGCTTTGGGATAATAAAGTCTACCTCAATAATATCCCTTATCTAAGTGTTTTTGTATTCATTTATCTTGACTTTATCAATAACTTCTACAGCTACAAATGTGAATAAATGTACTTTCAGTTTTGATCCAGAACCTTTTTTCCCTAGTTGAACAATCGTTTGACTGCAGTAAGTTTGTAAGGAGGATACAGAACCCCTGTTAGGAGTTTTTGTCTGGTTGTAAAACACATTAAAATGGGTACCTTTGCCTCTTTAAGACCTTCAAAAGCAAACTGAACCATCAACAAAACACTGTAGCTGTATTGTAGTATTTAATGCCTGAAACTGCTGCTGTGAGGTGGTATCTGTTTGACCAGACAATTGATAGCAGGCTGAAGATTCTGCCTCTCCTTACATTTTCAACATCACACAATCACAATAACTGACTCGTTTGATTTGCTAAAAATTCAGGGTTTTTTAGAAAACATTGCTCTGTCATGTGCAAAACAAGGTCAACAAAGATGCAAAATGTGGAGCTTTACCCACAGAGGATGTTACAGAAACTCATGAGAGATTTGCTCAAAGGATTCTTGGAGACCAAATGCTATTTGAAACAAGAACAAAGTAGATCAGACTCAGATAAAAGTGCAACCTTTTTGTGGAAGATGAATATCTTTGTACCACACAAACAATTCATGCAGTCAGATAATAGAAGCTATCATATTGCTCTATTGTAGGATATGATCTTACTTGATATTGATGACTGTATGAGCTGTTGCAGCAGTCACATACGGTAAAGTGTGATATGAAAACCGCTGGTTCTTAAACAAATGATGTGTAGCTTCAACAAATCAATATCATGGCTGGAGAAAACGAAACTCAAAAATGGCAGTGACCACTTGTCAATAAGGTATGGTGTCACAGAGTTACATAAAAACAGGGTATATAACAGTCTCTATTTGACGTTTATCATCATTTATGGGCTAACTGACACAGAAAAACCCAACCTTGACAGTTTAATTGAAATGTCATGTTGGAGCTTTAGAGATTGGAGATTAAAAAATAGTGAAGTCTGTGACAAGACACTGGGCCATGGAGATTGAAAGACACTTACTGCAATACAGGTGAGAGTTTTGTAAAACTTGCATAATAGGAAATGAAGGAACTGGTGTTTGAGGAGACTGACCTACACGGGGACAAATGAGCTGGTCCAGTTCAAGATTCATATCACTGTTTGTCGTGTGAAATACTAAAAACACTTAAACTCCAGAAGACACATAAGTTTAGCCAGAATGTCAAATGTAATAAGACATGAATGTGTAAATCTGCCAAAGCTAACGAATGGCTAAGTTTGGAACCAGAACACCCGATTATTTTAACCTCCTTAAATTTTCAGAGTTGGAGTGCTAAAGGAACAATCACAAGAATAAGCAGAGTGTATTTAATAATAAAATCTTCAAGTATCTTTAACTTTATCGCTGCCCCATTTTTGTTTTTGGTCTAGAGTTTTTTAAAAAGTGTCAAAATTAAACCAGATATTACAGAAGTTCAGTCCATAGCGTATAGTTTCCATGTTTTAAGTCCAATCTTATCCCCTTGGATTTGTCACATTGCAGCATTGGAATAATCTTCTTGAAGTAACACAGTTAAAGTAACGCAAGAACTTGTCAAGTAGAGTTGCAAAAAGATGTGAATTTGTGGTTTACCATTGTCAGCGGCAGTAAGATTTTATTAAAAGCTATCTGTGTCTAAGTATAGCATGTTTTACTCTCCACTTTTTCCACTTCCTGTGCTCAGAGCCGACAGAGAACAGCTGGCTGTAAGGTATAAATACATCAGTGCTGCATGCTGATCAATAGAGGGATGGAGCAGCTCACTTTAACACACGTTGTTAATTCCTGCCTCACATTTTACCAGACTAAACCTTCCTAAATGAGTGGCCATGGAAAACATTTTAACACTGAGTCCATGTCGGCCTAGTTTCCATAACAACGGTGGTGGGCAGTAAATGGCTTTGCTGCTTGTGTTTCCTCTCCCAGAGGGCTGATGTGTGTGTGTGTGTGTGTGTATGATTGGTGTGTGTGAGAATGTGTGGGTGGTCATCTCTGCAGGCGAGGGTTACAAAGTCTGATGTCTGAATGTCAGAGGTAAAAATGTCAGAGGTGACGCCACGCCTTGAGGCCCAGACACCGCACCCCCCCCCCCCCCCCCCCTCTAGCTAATCTGTCCCACAAAGCAAAACAAACGCCCCCCTGCTGAGGGCAGAGATGGAAGGGATGAGGGGGGGATAATGGGAGAGGAGAGTTGGCATCGTGCCCGGTAAACAGTTGCATGGAGGAGGGGGGGGGGCTCTGGTCTTGTTTCAGGAAGGGCACGGTCTTGGCATCCAGGAACAGATGTAGGACAAGAAGTGAGATCAGCAGAATGAGAGGACTCTAATGTGCCACTCCCACAGAAAATGGACCGGTCTAGAGCTTTTCTGGAGATTAGATGAATTTTATTCTCCCTGCAGTGAGTCTGTCTGATTAAAGTCTGTTGAGAATATCCTGGGTTATCAAAAGAAAGCAGATCTAACACTCAAATCAACTGAAATTTGAATTTGCCGATATTTGTAACAAGGTAACTGCTCAAGCCAAAATGTAAGACATGTCAAGATTGACGCGAAGTGAAAAACTATATCTACCAGTCTTTACCTCTCTCTCTCATCTTCCTCCCTGCACATGGCCACATTATAGCCCATCAAGCGGCCCTGTCCCAGGCCCCTCATGAATCCTCTCCAACTTTCAATCTTTTATCTTGGCCCAGCCTCCCCTTAAACACGGTTACTTACCCACATGGGAGCAGCAGCCTGGGTAAGTTGAAGTTCATTCAGAATGTAATTCCAGTTTTGGGAGTTTGGGGGATCGCCTGTTGTCTCAGGCCGCTACGCAGCTGCCAATTTTGCACGGTGGATAATCCAAATTTAGCTGTTTTGAGAGATAGTTGAGATTTTCTGCAGCAGCATTATTATTATTTAGCTCTCTTTTATCATGATAATCCTCACTTGCCTTGTTTAATTGAGTTTTTTTTTAATCTATACCAAATTTTTATACCAGACACTGAATTTTCCTTTGGGGATCGATAAAGTTCTTCCTTTTCTTCTTCTTCTTCAAACTGATGACATTCCTCTTAGCTTCAGCTGTATGCTAATCAGACAATGTTGGCATGCTAACACAATTTACCAAAAATCTTGAACATGGCACACACTACTGTCTAAACAGTAAACATTTGCAAGTTCACAGAGTTCAAGTTTCATGAAATTAGCTTTGAACTGCAGCTGAGGCTTTCAAAGAGTCTCCTGCACAGAGCAGCAAGTGCTGCTGTAGATCTTTCTTCTCCTGTATTTCATGTTCACTACTGTCTCCTGAAGTTTCTGTCAACTTTTGTGAAGGTCCAATGCTGGTGAACTGATAAGTGTGAAAACTGTAGTACCCCCGAGATCATGTGAATATGTCAAAATCACTGAGTGTGGATGCCTTAAGATATAATGTGTAGAAATGGGAATATTCACCTGGCAGTCAGATTCTACACTGAAACACTCCTCGCTCACCGCTGTCATTAACAAGAAGCCGCTGTTACACCTTATGAGTGTAATCGTCTAATTCTTGGTTAAAGATGCATGATTTTATAACTATTTGTACACTAATATAAACAAATAGGTATGTTCTGCTGAATGCCGCTAAATTTTGTACACCATAATGCTACAGAAACTTATTTTTTAAACAGCAAAGATGTCCTGTGGTTGACCAAAGTTAGGTTGGGTTAGCTTTCCAATATGTGTCCAACACTGATAGGTTTATAAACTCTGCCTTGGTAACCAGTGGGTGAGGTCTCAGAGACCATGTCCATGTTTTATGGTTGTCATGTCAGTTTGATAATGGTTATGGTCTTCCCATATTGAGCAGCACAGGAAACTAGAAGTTGTGTGACATACTGGTGGTTTACAACTAAGGGGCACATCAGTCTACCATGACACATGCCGCCGAACTACTGGCGTATGTTAGAGCACACGGTTACTTTTAGTCTTACTATCATTCACTTCAATCGATGTGATACAGTGGGAGAGAATAAAATGAGGTGAGCTGCCTTCTTTCTGATACATCTACTGTCAAAGGAGTCCTTACACGCCGTCAAAGTGTTCTAGTTACCTCTGCAACCAAACAAATATTTACATCACCTAACTGGCTAATTTTAAAATCTAAATTTCAAGTACTATTTCTAGTTTCTGTCCATGAATATGTTTGCATTTAAAGTGTGAACTACAGACATAAAGAGAAAAGATTGCATTGAGTGAGGTAAACAAATGGGACATGAGACAAGAGTAACAAACAAACATGCCTGACAACAACAACGTGTCAGACATTGTATGCCCCAAAGTTTGTTATCTAGATAAATATGAATTACCAAACCTATTTTGGTATTTTTCTGGCTTTGTGTGTCTGCCGCCTGTGTTAGCTGTTTGATCAGTCGTACACACACAATAAATAAAACATGAATCCAGCTGATGTTACACATTTAAACACACAACAGCTGCCTGTATTTGACTCCAGAGAAGCAAATCTGGCACGTGATCCCTTTGATACTCTGAGTTTTGACTAAATATTGATAAACTGTCACAGTTTCAAATTTCTTCCTCCTATTTCTCTACACTGTGTCTTTATCTGGGAGCAAAATCTGCTGCAGTGAATCCTGAGATGAGGATGAGGAGAGTCTCCTCACCAGAAGAATGGAGACTGAGCCGGCCACCACCCTGTAACCCATGGTAACGCCATCAGCTGCAGTGGGAGGAGCAATGTGTATCACTGTGTCTGGATTGGACAGGAACAGGTGTGCTGAGGTTCCATGTAAGGAGGATGGAGGAGGAGGACTGGTGGAGGCATTATTATTGGCAAAGGGGGGGGGGGGGGGCTCTCTCTCAGATCAGTTGTCATCAAACTGATTTTAAAAGTAGTGTACACAGAGACATGATATGTTACTGACATCATTTTAGCCTCTCATTGTTTTTCTCTCACGTCTAAATCTTAGTAACATCAACATGAGGTCTCTGTCATTTCTTATCCTTGCTGTATGAATCTAAAACAAACATGAAGGGGGGCTCACATTGTCTAAAATCATTGCACTTTCTCAATTAGTTTATGTTTTCCTTCCCAGATTCCTTTTGAACTGTGTCCTCATTATAACTGAATGAACTATTGTCAGTTAACACCCTATTATTTTGACTTTGTACTGATGTATCAGTTTGAATGGTAATAGACAACCTAAACTTCAAGAAATCATCTTTTCAGTGTCAGTCAATGTTTGTGAGGACAAATAAAATGCAATTTAGACACTTTTACTAAGATACAAGGCTGAGTGTTTGGATCACACAGGAGACTCTTTAGTTTCATCAAAGGGTCGGCTTGTTAGTACAGCAGGGCTTGAAACTTTTTTTGCTGATTACGAGCCCTCAGCATTTTTACCAGCCACAGTTTTGTTGCTGGAAACTTACATTTACATGAAAAATGTTAAGATTTACATCACATAGATTCACTACCCTTTTATATGTAAATGACTGTTGTACACACCCTAATCAAAACCACACCGGGTCATTTTGAGCAGTCATTTCTCTCTCTTCAATTCTTTTTCCTTTTTCAATTTATCACCTTTCTCCTGTTTTTTTCCTGCACTCCTGCACTTTTTTTTTTTGTAGTGTGTTGTTAAGCGCTTTGGGTATCTTGAAAGGCGCTATACAAATGTAAGATATTATTATTATTATTTATCATTATTCATCTTTTTTTTATGTGCTGCCAAATACCATCTAATGTTCACATTTACTCCATCTTGTTACCATCTAGTGATGCTCATGAAGACAGATGAAAATGTCATGCATTATCTAACCTTTGTAATGTTATGCTTTATGATGAAATGTACCTGATATTCAAAATTTTTAAGTTGACAGGCGTTGAATCTGTTGACTCCACTTGGGATTGCTGCTATTGTGTCATTTCTTTTGTACAGTCTATGGGAAAACTTAAATTAAAGGCATAGCAAGCAGGGGAATGTATTTCAGTCACTTACAGCAAAACATTTAAAGTGAAATCACTGATAATGTGGAAAATCAACAATCAGTAGAAGTCAGTTGCCTTCAGCACTACAGATAATCTACCACTGGGGTGCAGTGCTTCCCCAGTCAGGTTTTTACACCAGACTTACTGTTGTTTGAGGTGACAGAGGCCTCACCACCGTTGAGACTTTCAGGTCTATCTACTCTGGTTTCAAGTAGTTCACACATCCAGGTCGCTGTGGGTGAAAGGGGCTCCACACAGAGGAACTCGACACCTTTGAAATGTTAGATTTGACAGGAGGGCTATGAAAAACAACTCAACAAACAGGTTTGTTCCAGCAGGGCAACTGAGGACCTACAGTGTTTTGAGGGATGGTAAACAATCTCATCTGTACACATGCTGTCCTTTCCTGCACTTGGCTCTTTGTATGAGCTGTTGTAACCTTCTCGTTTATCCAATAGAGACACTTTATTAAAGATGGGTCCAGCTTCAAGTCACCTTAGCTGCCCTTTTTTTCCAGATCTCACTATAGTCATATTATATCTGCCAACTAGCGCTCAGTGAAATACTTCTCAGCTACATGTACTAATAAGGAGTACACAATGATGTTGAATTGAAACACGTCCAAAGAAGTATGATGTGATCTATGGCGACTACATAGGGACTGGGGGGAACCAGGAAGGAGAAAAAACACTGAAAAACCCTCCATCGGCTTCCTATATAAATATTACTGTGAAAATGCTCCGGTGGACTCTGAAACCTTCACCCTGGAATTTTAAAGGTTTCTGTCAACCTTAAGATTGAACACTTTTATCAGTTAGATGATGGTATGACCCAAAATCCAAAATATTGTGACACTGTGTCATCTGTTGATGAACACAAACTTTGAGGGACACCGTAGGCTGAGCAGTCAAAGTTAGCTCCATATAGGCAGACAGCCTGGGCTCAATTCCACCCCATGGTCCCCTTCCTGCATGTCACTCCACGCTCTCAACCACGTCTTCTGCTCTACGCACCGTACACTGTCAATTCAGAATGGCTGTGATCTATAGGTATTGCAGAAACAGATAACTCTGTGGTGGAAATCACTGCATGTGCTCAAAATCACCTCCAAAGAGCAATGTATATCAGCACACTTCATCACTGCATCCACAAATACAGGTTAAAACTGAACCATGCAAACAGGAAACCCAATAGAAGTACATTTAAGGACTCAAAGAGAATTGGCAAATAGTCATGTGGTCCAACCAACCAAAATTTGGCAAAATTTGACATCCTTTTTGAAAATCATGGATGCCATGTCCTTAATTCTACTGACAAGAGGGATCACAGAGAAGTATAAAATTTGGGATGCTGAATCATTTGGCATTATTGGATCTTAGTTACGTTTCTAAATGTGTCTAAAATCATGACAAAATACTTCTATTAGTTACTGCCTGGAGGTCAAAGATCAGAGTGATAGGTATTAACACTGTGATAATTGATTTTATAATGGTTCAACTTTAAAGGCCCACACAGTAAATCGCTTCATTCAGGTAATCTTTAATGACAAAATGTTCATCAACTTTTTCAATGAAGTGGGAAAAAGAAAAATCAAAGCAAATGTATAATTACAATATCTACTGTTGGACTGTCTCAGTCTGAGGGAAATCTGTCCACACCTTCCTTGTCTTATTCACATTAGGCCCTGCCATCAACAATAGGGGGGTTGTATTTTTAACACCATTTAACACCCTTGGCGTCAAACTCCACTCCTGCTCTGTGCGTTCACAATCTTTTTGCGACACGAGGAGGAAAAAAAGAACAAAAACACAACAAGACAACTTAGAACAAACAAGACAAGAAAGAAAACTGAAGATTAACGCTGTCAAACTGCATGTTCAAACGCAGGTAGAAACGTGTATGTGGCACAAAACGACAGAGCAGTATCTCTGTGGCTGCAGCTGAGACGACGACACCTCAGTCACTTCGTAATGCTAGTCAGCCTTTCCAGTGATGGCCTGAGCAGACACACTGGGTCAAACCATATCATCTGATTATTATACTATAATATTAACTGAATTTTGACTAATAAAGCTGTCATTGGCAGATTGGAGTTTTTTCAAACTGAATTTCACAATACTATAACCTCATAAAGCTCTTTACTTCTTTAAATTTCCAAATTACAATTCAGAAACAATAATTTGGCAAATTTTACAAGTTTGCAACAAATTCAGATCTTGTTTCTTCCTGGAAAACTTAACTGTTACAATTATTTGCTCTTGGTTGAGGTAAATTTGCCCTAAATGAAGGCGAAATAAAGATGAAAAACTTAAGGCTGATAAGATCTTTACGTCTTAGCCAATACGCCGAATAGAATTTGACCCAGAGCTCGCCACTCGAGCCCAAACCAAGCCGTCTAACCCCAGAGATACTGAATGAAGTTAATATCTTACAATAAGCTTTTCCATCAGCTATAGACTTCACTGAACATGAGCTATCCAAGTACCTGTGTTTACTTGTCAATTTGAACCCTTCCAGGTAAAAGCACACCTCCCATCAGTCGTACACAACTTGCTGCAAATCTGCAGTGTCATATGAGCAAAAGTGGCCTGCCTGCTCCAGATATCAGTTCCCTTCATCTGCAGCTCGATGAAGTTATTCCAGCTGTAACATTTGTGTAGGGAGTGTTAAAAGGCTGGGCTGGCTAAAACTGGACAAATTTCCATGAGGACAGTGACTTTTAAAACAATCCTCTCAAATAATACCCAGGAAGAAATATTCAAATCATGCTCTGAATTCAACGACCGATCCTCCTTCTTATAAACATCAAAAATAAAGTTCTTTTAAATTAAAATCTCTGCTCTCCTCAAGCTTTTTGGTAAAAGTTTTCTTTCAATTTACAAAAACTTTAATAATCAGTAGAAAAACCAGGTAATATCCAGCCCAATCTGGAGTTAGAGGAAGTAAGAACTGATGAGTCTTAATGATATGTTGCAGTCAAACCAGGAGGCTCACTCAAAAAATCAACATAGACACTGACTTTTGGACTGATGACTGAATCTTCTCGGACCGTACAGCACCATTACCCAAGACCAAACCACGAAATACTGTTAGTGTACACACTGAAATGGACACACTGCCTGTCTGCACAGCTCACACCTACACCCTAGTTTCCAGTTTCAGAATAGGTTTGAAATCAGAGTATTTTAGAGGGTGATAAAAGTTCCTATAACTCTCTCGTCTGGCAGATCCCCTTCAGTGTAACTCATGAGCGCTTGTGGTCTGGGATGGCCACTATGGTGACTTTTTCCATCATTACAACTTCTCAATAATCCACCCTTCAAAAATAAATTAAAAAAACAAAAATGTAAGCTACAGAGAATGAAAAAAAACGGGTATTTTCAAAAAAGGCATGATAACGTTTTCATTTAATGTAGCCAACTCTGAATTTAGCCGACCCCTGTTTGAGCTTTAGCGTTGGGCTACGAATGAAGGTGGCACAATCTGTGAACAGTTCTATAACTGGGCGGTCCCCCTTCTCGATGTCACATCATGAAAACTGGGAACTGGGACAGCATGTGTCGTAGAGAAGAAGAGTTTGGTTTGATGCTGTGACTTGCCTGAAAACCCACCCGTTATAAACGTTGAAACCCAATCTCTGAGGGAAGGATGACTATATTCATTCTTTGAAAAGCTTTTAAAAATGAGTGAAGGATACGGGGGAGGCGAGGGGGGGATATCTACAGACAGTCAGAGAACAGAGATCAAGAAGAAAAGGGTGGGCGAAGAGGGGGAGAGAGGGGGAGAAGGGGCGGTGCTGTTTTCCCCTGAGAACATGTCATATCTCAGGGAGGGAAAAGGGGGCAGGCGGGGCACAGGGAGGAGAGACGGGCGATCTTCTTGCAAGAGCAAAACTTTCTCCAACAATTCTTGGCCACTTTTCAGGCACTTCTTCAATTTCAGGTTCAGAAAGAGCTGGCGGGGGGTGTGGTCAACCTCTTTCCAATGTAGACTCTGTTGACAAGAAGGTAGACAGAGCAGAAGTTTAAATATCACCAACTATCGAGTGTGAACCAACAAATAAACCATCTGAAGACAGGATAGAGAAAATAAAATAGAGAAAATAGTACAATTGGAGTGGGGAGTGTGTTGGAAATTCTTTAAATAAAAGGGAAAATGTCCAAAAGTCTCTGTGTGGCTGAGCATCAGGACAGAGGACGACGACGGCCTGCAGAGAAGCTCAGCTCACTACAACAAAAACAAAAGGTTTCTGTACCGAGGAATCACAAAGGGAGGCGCGAGTCCCCCACAGAGGATTAATCTGTTCAGAAACAGAAGCCTGATAGAGGAAGCAAGATACATAAGGGTTCACATCAGGATCACCTTGTTATGAAAACTCATAACGGTTACATTTTCACTAGAATGGCACAAAATGTCTCAATAAAATATGTATCATGGAATGAAGCTGTTAAATGATGCAACAACAGATACAGCAAGTAATGAGAAATCATAAAGTGTATTTTTCCATTACAGGAGACCAAAGTGTGGCTCAGGCCTTATTGAGATGAAATGAAGCTAATTTCAGCTCTGATCTGATGAATACAGCTGTTGTTTTCAGACTTGTTTCCCCTCATGGGTCATTTTAAAGCATAAAACTGAAGTCCTCTCAAAGTGATCAGGCAATACCACACTGACAATCAAAGGAAACACCAAAGGTCTTCTCTCTTGCAAACAGGCTCTGTATTTCTGAGTATGCAGATATTTCTCATCAGTACCTGGACTTAGACCTGTTACAAAGTGAACCCTTTGACTGTTAGTCGTATGTCAGTGTCAGCCTGTCCCTGTCCATACAGACAGCAGAGGAGCAGGAGAGAGGGTGGGGATTCATTTAGGATCCTGCATTATTCTATTTTTCTATCTTTTCTATTTTGAAATAATTTTTTCATTCATTCTAATTTATAAAGTTACAAAAGAATACTGTTAGACATCTAATTGTACTTGTACACACCAATATCTGGATCTGACTCACCTGGAAAATAAAATCAACCAAAGCAATGTCATGACTTAGACCTGTGCTTTTAAAAGTGTTAACTGTCGTCATGTCAGTTATAAAAAAAAAGGAAAATAAAAGTTGAAACACAAACACAACCAAAAATGCCTTTTTAAAAAAAATGAAGCTTCTCATACACCACACTTTAGTTCAGTGATAACTTCACAAAAATGTATCATGTAACTGAGGGAACCTAAGGGAGGCCAACAGAGATGATGTGTTTGCTAAAGGTTTTTACTACGCTCACTGCAAACCACATGCAAAGGTGTTGGAGGAATCATCAGGGGGGACATTCGCTGATTGAGGAGCAGGGATTATGGAAACATGTGGTATCACAACACAAAAGTGCTCCTGGGAATGTCTGAGCTCGCTATGAGACAGCAGGTGTGCAGCCCCTCGGTGAGCAGCTGCTCTGCATGTTTGTCAGGCTGATAAGCAGGGTGAGAAAGAGCTGACTGTAGATATATGGCTACCCCTGCTGGTCGTTATAAGGCAAGGCTTCAGTAAACAGTAATGCAGTTCAGTAATGGAGTAAATCAAGACATATTTTCCGAGTGTCATTTTCATGATAAAAGCATTCATTTAAGTGCAAGCTTCAAATAATCAGTGCTGGTCATTCATTGTGTGGTGATGTGCATCTCTCTTACCCCAGCCCCAGGGCGAGGATGTGTGATAGTAGCAGCGAGGGGATGAAGACTTTGAGGAACTCAGCAGAGAAGATACCTCCTTTCTTCATCGCTCCAGTCTTCCTCATGCTGAGTGTTACAGAGCGCCGAGGGTGACGGAAATGAAACTCCCTGCACAAGCACAAGTCAAGTAAACACACAGCACAGCAGGTTGGCAACACTTCACCTGTCAGTTTTGGTAAGTCTGAACCTCACCATGAATTGTTTCAGTTGCTCACAAGGTAAAATCTTTCATTTTCAATATTATTAGATTTAATACTTTTGTGTTTATTGTAACTCTGGAACCACTTTCAAAGATGCCATCGAGACACTGATCAAAACATTCATTCAAGAGTCTCTGAGTTTAACTAGAGTTTAATTTGAGAGCATAATTCAGGGGTCATTACATGACCAGCTTGAATGGATGGAAGAGAGGGATGAGCTGAAAATGTTCAGAGCTCCAAAAACCCATCAAACCAATAATATCGCTGTTCGCCCCTTGACAAGCTGGTTAGAAAAGCTACATTTTCTTTGCTTGGAGAGGTTGGCTGTTTTATACCTTATTTTTTCCCACATATGCAACATAGACTCTACATTTACTTAAGTTATGAACAATGGCTGACTAAGCTTTTGACAGTGTATGGAGCATTGAAGTATATACAAAAAGTCCTGAAAATCAGAGATGGTCTACAAAACCAAAATGAAAGACTTGGTTAGTTCAGGTTTTTTTAAAACACTTAAAAAATGGTGAAAAATCAGGTGAAGCTCCGATGAGTCATTGTATCAGTTGATTACAGGTGCTCTTTGGACATTTCACGCTTTTTGTGTGAATTTCTTTTTGTAAAGCAGCAGTTGCAAAAAAAAACCCCACAAATCTGCAACTGTCCTTCATGAAACACCCAACAGCTCATTGTAGTACTTACGTTAACTCTTAAAAAAGAAGGGAGAGACCTAAAAAAAGTCCTGTCATTGTCTGCGCTTTTCGTCTCTCCATCTCTTGTTTCTTCCTCCTTTTTCTTGTATTGATTAAGTATCACTACTTTCTTTTCAGACAATGAGCCTGCACATTGAGGGAGAATAACCCTCCCATAAAACTAATAGGTAAAACCCCAGATGCGTGTGCAGTCCACTGCTGACATTGGCCCTGATGAAAACCTGAGTGGGTCGGCTGGTTTTACGATATTTGCGATGTAAAATTAAGACATCTGAATTTGACACCTGCCTTACAGCCTATTTAAAGGACAGTTACAGTTTTCATTTTTTGACCAAACCCCCTTTTTTACCCTCATAGCTGCCCTTGCACAAGAAGAAAGAAGCAATTGAAAAATGACATCGGCATCAACAGTTTTAGTCCGTTGTGGGCAGATGGCTTTATATTTGTCCTTCCTGGACCATCCTATTTTCCATAATGACTAACCATCAACTCAGGATAAACAAGCGGCTGTGAGAGTTTGGTTGCCATGGGGAAACAGAGCTTCTGTTTATCGAGTCGAGACTTACTTTGGGGGAATGTTTTCCGGTCGACTAGACCAGTCCGCAACCCAGTCTGCGTCCTTCATCAGGATGTCCATATCCCTCTCTTTGTCCAAGGCATCCTCTTCTGACTAGAGACACAAAAAAGAAAACACAAAAACTGAGCAAAACCATAATGACTATAACCCAAGACAATTAATGCTTGTCCTGAAAATTGTATGTTAGAGAGATTCTTTTTGTCGTCTGAAATCATTTTACAGTAAAAAATACCCCAAATTTTGTTTAAAGGACCTTCAGAGAGATGGTGTTTTGCCTTTCTTGCCTTTCCCTCCAAAAAAATACTTTCTGAATAAATACAGCTTAGAAGATACAAGTTGTCAAAATCTGAACAGATTGTCCTTCCACAGCAAAGTGGTTGTAAATACTGAAGACACAACGCTGGAGAAACTCAAAGCTGGAAAACTGATGGCAGTACATTGGAATGAGGTTAGTATAAAAAATACAAGATTTAAATTAATTCAATGTAAATAGTTAATGAAAATGTAAGTACTTCAACATATTTTAGCTAATTTTCTGGATGTTTGTATAAAATGTTTGAGTAAGAGTTACTCTTCCAGAGATTTAGTGTCTGTGTGATTGGAATATATCTACTGGATTTTATACAAACTTGGACAAAGACTGAACTTTTGAACTCTGGGTTTCTTTAATCCAATTGAGCGTCTGCTCTGTGTTTGAAAGGTATGAATACTTCATCACAGAGAATGTAAACTTGAAATAAAAAACAGGATGTACATATATATTTATATAAAAAGACATACAAAACACAAAGTTGAAGTAGCCTTCTGGTGGCAACATCTGTCATGCAAAAGGAAGAGATATCTGCTCTGGGAGTGGCAGTCATCTCCATAGAAACTAGAGACAGGAAGCGGTTGAACATCTCCTGTGGTTGAGTTGCCATGGAGATAGACTCATAGATATTAGCCCAGTAGACAGAGAGAGGGACTTGATCTCTTACTTGGCTGTCTCTCCTGCTTGCCACATCTACGTCAAAGATGATTTGTCCTTCATCCTGGGGGCTGTGGGGCCGTGGAGGGCTGTGGGAAAAGTCGAAAACAAGTTAGAGACCTTTTCATAAACTCATGACTCCTTACAAATCTCATATGATCCTGAAAATCTTATGGTTTTGACCAACTGAAACCCGTGGGAAACTTTACAGAGTTGTTTTTTTTTTTTTTTCAGATTGACAGATAGCTGTTCCCACTATCATGTGATGAAGCTCCTCATACATTTATCCAATAATTTTATTACCTACAGGAAACTTTTGCAACAACACTTTCTCATTATTGATACCCACTCACTTTACCAACAAACAGACGTGCAGAAGACAAAAATAAAAACCCACAGAACCTTTAAATGTTATTGAAAATAAAAGAAACTTACTTTTGTCTGACATCATGTTACAGCACATCAAGCAGTAAAGTCAGGGACACTTCCCTTTCTTTAACCAGCTGTTCTCTCTGATAAGTTAAGCACACACATTACCTCGGTGTAATAGGACACTATGACTGACCTAAAAGTGCAAAGACAGTCACACCGTGTTGATGTTTGTCTTCCTGCTTACATCAGAGCAGCTTGCTGACACTGTTTTATTTTCCTCTGTCTGAACACTTCTTAACATCCTCAGGTGACTCACTGGCAGCTGACTGGCTCACTGATAAGCTCCATTTTATCGCACTCTCTAACATTACACACAAACTCGTGATGTGGCCGGGCGCTGTGGGGTCAGGATTTTCTACTGTGCTGGATACAAAGGGGGGCAGGAGGATGTTATTCTTCTTTTAGAAGCTAACTCAGATCCTGGGCAGCAGCTGAGTCAATGTCCACAATGAGTCCATGCAACACAGTTATGAGAATCAACAAGGGGCAACGCCTGATGTATGGGGTGATTTTGGTTCACCAATGAAATATCAATGGCAGGGTTTTTAAGAGCTAACTGACTAACTTGAAACCCTCTCAAGTTAGTCAGACACAAAACCTCCTTTTGGGGTGTTTTTAGCAGATGACATTGAACCATTTACCATTTTGACTTCATGCTTTTACTTCAGATAAAATTAATAACACTGTTTTAGAATAGCAAGATCCGATCATGGGATTTTTCCTTGGACATGTCCCCTAATTCAGCATACAGCAATGAAGTGACTTTGGTCCTACAAAGGGTTAACTCTGAAGCAGACTGCCTCTTATCTGAGAACAAGTCAAGAGGAACAACAGGGAGGAACTCACTCCACTACCCCTCCTCAACCTTCCTCTAGTATGAACCCAAGAACTCATGACTTCAGCTGAGCTTTTCAACAGTTTAGGAAATTCCTGTGTGTTCATCTGCATGTCATGTTCAGCCTCTTCACTCAGCCTGTTATAGAGAGAGATAGGCTTGCTACACTTAGTTTACTGCATTGTTAGATAAGCCTGCCTAACTTTTGGTGGTTCAAATGCAGAGCAGCACCTCATTAGCTTCTGGAAAACTAATCGCCTGATTCTCATAAGGTTTTGTGCCTGCTGAACCTGTGCAAATGAGCCAGAAAGACATTGTCTGATTCACTAAGCAGCACACACAAAGGGTTAATACACCAAGCACTGCACTTCTGAGAGAGAAGTGTCTCTGTGTAGCGGTGGTTTTTGCATATATGTAAATACACTGCTGAGCAGTCATTCATTTTGAGCAAAACATGCTCCTTTCTATGCAAACAAACATCATTGCAAAAAACACCAAATTCACTTACTCTAGCATTTACAGCCACACAGAGTGAAGCAGTTTTTACACTTATGTATTTGTAATCATTGTCACGCTCAAACTTTTCAGAGTTGGAGAAACTATTCCATCTCTGAATGGCCTTGAAATTATGTGGTTGTACACGAGGTCTGTTAGTATTACTACTTAGTGAGCGTCTACATGCTTGAATATCTACAGTGCTATTTGCTTCATGAATTAACCCTAGAGATGGAGAAGACTGATTCTAAGTAAATTCACTCCTCAGTGTCTACAGATTTTTAGGGAGTACATTCTTGAATCAACATTGTTGGTGATAAAGAATTCCACTCTTGGATTCCTGACGGACAAGTATCAAGATAAGTACAGCAAAAACCAGTCATGTTTCCCATTTTGGATTCATGACATGTTATATGAACACCCATGTTGTATTTAGGCTGTTACATCACTCACAATGTAACCTGACCACTGACATATCGGTCAGAGATTCTGATGTGAGGGTTAACGTAGCCTCAAGCTGCAGGAATCAGAGATGTGCAGCCATCTTGAAAAGTCTGGTTAGCTGCCTTTTGACTTCATGCAGCTCCCCCTTGAGCAGCAGAATTAAAATCCTTTTCTCACCCTCTCCCCAAGACATTTAAACGGCTTTTATAATTTTCCCATTCACACTACCTGTCACAGGAGGAGTTGCTGCGGCTCGACTCGTGTTGGGCATCCAACAAGATCTTCTCCATGTCTCCATTGTGGATAGAGGACGAGGAAGGGACGTGCTCCAGACCCCCCACTATGGCCTCCTCTTCCTCCACCTGAGGAAGAGGCAGCAGGCCCGAGGCTGTGCTGTCTGTGGGGGGTGAATGGGCTGCACCACCTGCACCTCTGTTCATCTCCAACTCCACCCAGGACCCTGGGAGAAGAAACAAACACAGTTTTATTGTCAAAACTTAGTCAGAGCTGCAAATGTTATGTTACAATTTTTTTTACACAAAAAGCAAAAAGCTACATAAGAGTAGGTTTAATCATTTTATTTCAGACTACATGTCTTACACAGTCTACTTCCACATGATGGTAAAACATCACATCTTCTGTTACAACTAAAATTTGAGATGATTTAATTAAATTTTGTGTTGTCCTTCAAACTGTTTTATAATTCAAGCACACCCGGATTCACATTTCAGGATCTCTTGATAAGACAGAGCCAATGAAGTGTTGTGTCAATAAACTAATGAGCCAATATCCCACTCCCTACAGGATCTTATCTGCACCAAAGAGCAGGTATATGATTGTAGTGGCTAATAAAAACACAGGTAAAGGTGTTTCTTTTTATTGTGGTTCAGGATTACATTTCCTGTGTAATATTACCAGGAACAAACTTGAGTACACACAGCAAAGCTCTGCCAATCTACTCTCGTGTTTTAGTGCAGCCAGCTTACAAGTGAAATTCCTCTTTTGTTTAAATGCACACCAGAAGCTTGGTCTCAAAAATTACTGATTTGTTATAACTGAACAGTATCTAATGAACTTTGCGTAAAGACCCACTGACGGGTCATGGAAGAAAAAATCCAGGTGAGACTCACACCATAAAAAAATGCTGCTTTAAAGTGTCTGAGTACAGCAGGCGAGTGAGTACAAATGCATATTTACTGGACTCTGAAACTCTAACTTCCTCACTCATTTCTGCTATTAGGAATAAGTCAAAGTGGTTTATTTTCAGAGGATTCATCTCTGTTAGAAAAGTTACACAATCTTAAAAGCCACTGAATGATAAGGGTATGAAAGGATGTCATAATGATTACTTGATCTTAAGCTGGGATGGGACAAGGAGACAGACAGCCAGAGCGTTTAAGTCAAAGAGGTTCACCAGTAAAGCTCTATTTACTGCAGTGTGATGAAAGGGCTGTAAATGCCAGCCTGTGTGTGCTGTGGTTTCTTGCTAACCTTGACTGTGATATATGAGGCTGCCTCTGTTTGTACGTGAGCTCAGGCATGGACTGACAGCTGAGGAAGCACAACATGTCAGAGCCAGGTTCAAAAATAAAGAAGAGGGGGAAACCGCTTGGGCACCACTTTGGAAAAAGGGAGAGTGACATTTACCTTGTTGTGAAGCCTTGTAAAACACTCTCTGCCCTCATCAAAATAACGAAGAAAATGGCATGCCAAACAAGTCACATAACCCCATAACAGTGAGTAAACACCCTGTTCACATGAGCTTTCGGGGGACTGAATTTCACAGGCATCAGGCCAGTAATACCCTCCACCCAAAGCATGGTCCCTCCCCCTTCTAAACAGGCCTCGACTCAGCACTCACTCTCATCCTGCAGATTACATGGCAGTCTGTGGGCCAAGCCACTGTTGACAGACCATTGTCTTCGCTCCATGGACTAAAACCACTACAGCTCTGACGCTCCCGAACATTCTGGGCACAGAGCAGTTATCAGCTGTTGGATGGGTTTTAGAGGAAGCAGACATGATGTGACCTTTTGATCTTCTGATGCTGGGGTTCAGACAGAAGGGTGGAGAGTTCTGGGGATATGTAAAGCTGGAAGATCCGAGGTTATAGGAAAAAAAATTTTATGACAGTGTGTGGCAGCTTCAGGAAATGACAGAAATAACACAGTATCAGATAACAGACCACACTGCAAGCGTCTTCATCTGATATGTGCAAGGTCTTACTGTCCCTTAAGCTGTGTCTCAGCATGCTCTTCCAGAGTATAATGTATCCTGCACCAAGAAATGTTGAATTGTTATTCTTCATGAAGTTACTCTGGCTCTGGTCTACTCACAATCACTGACAGTATCAGGAATATGCAAACATGCTTTACGTTTCAAAGAATGGTGCCGAGTTACTGTTGTGGTAGCAGGGGATTATGGGGGCCCTGACATAATGAAATGACTGATCCTTCTGTAAGCTTTTCAAACATTGTTGTCCTCTTTAGGACAACAATGTGGAATGTTAAAAGATGTACATTCACCCTTAAGATTAGAGCAAAAGAAGACTAAAGACAGAGGCATCACTAGTTTTATTCAATCCTCATTTAAAGAGGTGCAAGACATCTCCTTACATTCATATAAACAAAAGATATAAGCCTTAGCCCAGTCAGGTGATAGTTTTTAAAGGTTATCATCTGCCACCAGTGGTCTAAAGCAACAAAGTAAATTCCCCTGCCCTAAATACATCTTTTGAGTATCTGTTTTTAACCCATTAGGCTACCTGCAAGCCACGCATCTTCATGGGCTGAATACTGAGCAGACGCAGTGCAAAGGTCACGTACCGGTTCATTTAGTGCTGAAAATGTTGGCTTTAGCAGAGAGGGTTGACAACTGCATCTTAAGTCCATGTTTCAGGTTCTTGAAATGAACACATTTTTTGTAATGTTTTGAATGTTTGCAAAATACAACACAGCTGACAAAAAATTGCCATCAAACCTGAGAAAGCATGTTAAGGTATGTGGTCAAACGTGTTTTTACATTGATAAAGTAATGAGGTTGTGTGCCATATCCACAGCTGCAAACAAAAGATAAACCTTCATAAAATCTACCAGGCAAGCGCTAAACTGGGTTAAACATGGGTTATTGAGCTTTTATCTTAATGGTAAAAGTTTTGATAACAACACTGCCTTTAAGGTTTCTATCTAACCCGGCTTGTTGGGTTTGTTTAAGTCAGCCTGCATGTATGTACTCTGCAATGAGCTGTAACACTTTCCCCTCTTTCCTCACGTCCAAAACGTCTGTCCCCTTATCACTGATGCCATAAATAGCATGCCAAGTCATGGCCTCATAGTGCGGTAACCATAGCGGCTTTACGAGCAGGCCCCTAAGTCAGTTAGTGAGGCAGTGTAATAAACATGCCTTTGTTTACGTCTCCAATAGCCAATGCAAGTCGGGAAATTTTATGAAGCCTATCCTCTTTCAACAACTGAAAATGTGACAAATTTTCCCTTCGGCTGCTTTTATGCAATGCAGGCACAGACAGAGTGTGCTATCAGCAGAATACGAGTGAAGTGTGAGATCTATGGATGAGTAGATCATTATTTTTAAAGATAGTTCCAAAGATTAATCATTAAATACTTAAAATGATCCAGGGTTAAGAATATACGCAGAATAACCACAAACGATAAAATATACAAAACACACGGTAACTTTAAAATGAGGTATGATAAGTTGTGTAGCTGTACTGCTTAGTATAAATTGTCAAAAAATTTCTGCTCCATTTTTGCTACTTCTGCTTCTTCCATCTCGCCTTGTTGACAAATCTTAAACCCGCCTCCACCTCGCGCCTGGATTGCCGGTTGGCTTAACCGTCTGTCAGTCAAAAAAGTCGAAACTCCATTGGTGCTACTACTGTCAATAAACACACGGAACATAGCGTTCTTACGTCTCCCCTTCAGTGGAGCTTCACGGCTGGGAAAATGTGAATTAACTGCTTTAATCATTAAAACCCTCAATAAACTTATCGTACACATAAAGCAGTTTACATTAACACACGATAATCTTGTAGCAAGCATCTCTATTTCACTAATTTAGCTCACCGTTTAGCCCAGAGTCTCCGTTGTTGTCTGTTGAAGTAGTGTTAGCAGCGTCGGACATGGTGGTGCCTTGTTGAGCAGGGCGGGTTGCATAAAAGGCTCAAGTCAGTGCAAAACGCGTACTGCCTTCTCACACATTCAGACGTGTGATAGTACCACTGACTCCGACGGCCCTCTGCCCCTGTTGAATTAGCGAGCGGCCAGCTCAGCTAAAGCGCCGTTGCCGTTTTTGTTTTCCGACCGTTAGCTTGTCTGGAAGCAGGAGCCGCGAGCCGCTCAGACCCCCCCTCCTTGCAGCTGGGTGCTGACGTCAGACCGTCCCGTTGATAACAAAAGAGGGAGAGGACGGAGAATTACATAACGAGGGTGAAAAAATGTAAAATAAAAATAAAATAATACACCAGTACAGGCTGCGACATGCATGGAAAGACTGTCTTCTGTTTTATTCTGAATTTTACATTTGGAGAGTAAAGCTTGTTACATGAGGTATGAGCAGATTCCCCATGTTGGAGAAGGCGTGCCTGCAACCACGTACACAGCACACGACAGTGCAGACACGAGGCAGATGTGTGCCAAAGTCTAGCTCACAGTCTCCACACAGCACACCAGCTGATTTCCATAAACGTTCAGCCGCAGCCATACCACAGTGGGGCTGGTTTTTAACATGCACATGAACAGGGATAGGTTTGCAGCCGGATTTTCTCATTGATGTCAGATGCATACAGTAGCTAATGAGTAGGGGAGACTGGGGTAAGATGAGCCATTTCTCATATTTGGGATCACTACATCAAGGCAATTATAGTTTTGTCTCTAACTAGTGTATCTGCATGTATTTCAAGATGTTGTGCATCCCTGCAAACCAACAGAATGAGTGTAACCATAACTGTCTTGATAATATCGCATGCAAATATAAATAAAAGGTCCCCTATGGTCAACTTACCCCATATATGGTGTATGGGGTAAGGGAGCGGGGTAAGATGAGCCGTATCCCTACCACCCCACCCACTCTCCACCCCAGCCCTCCCTCACCTTCTCTCTCCCTTAATAACAGTCACTTCTTCACATTCATGTGTATTTTTATCTATTATATGCTAGTCAACTGGTACAATAATTCTATTATTATTGCATATAACTGCTAAAAATCTGTTTTGTAAAAAGCCATTTTAACATGAGAATGCCTTTAAGTGACTCAGAACATTCACAGCTGTTTTTTTGAAAAGAAAAAGTAACACATTTCAACAATCTGAACTGAAACTCTGATCCTCTCATCAGACTCCTTTATTTTCTTAGTTGAACCACTGGCTCAATTTACCCCAGAATTACTATTATGACTTTATTAGTCCTCTAAGCTAAAATGGTGGACTTTTATGCTAGGTTATTGACCTAATGTTGTAGCTCATAAATACCACAATTGATGCGGTATCATTTGCAGTGTTATGTGGAGAACTGCACACAAGCCCTATGCCAGAGGTTATGGTAGAGTTATAAATAAAATCAACAGTAAGTCTCTGGTCATCATGTAATCAACTCTGTGTGATTCACATAGATCTAAAATATCTTATGACTAACTTAGCATCTAACTTGGAACTCTAAAGGCAGGGATATCTGATTTTTACTGCTAGGAGGTCATTGGATAACAGCTAGGGTTTTCTGACCGTAGGCTATTAAATATTTTGTCTGTAAACAATTAACGCTCATGCACTTGCTGCACAACACTGAAGGACATAATTATGATGAAATAAACTAGCTCCTTTCTCCCATCCAATTACAGTTAATTACTTGGTTCATTGCAAGAAGTAGTAGATTAAAAAAAATGCATTAAAGACATTTGAACAAATGCGTTGTAAGTTTTTCATCCTGTTCCCAATAGTTTGGTTTTTAAACACATTATTGTCCCTGCTCCATATTCACCATATTTTACTCTGACACTGAATCACCTTGCGTAAGTATTTAACACCAAAACTGTTTGCTTAAAAGATACCTATTATGGTTCTATTATATCTTTACTCTATGTGTATATATAGTATATTTGATTATTCTTCTTTATTTCTGTAAACATGCTGCTGGGATTTCAATTTCATCTGAGGAACCTTCCAAAAGGATAAACAAATTTTTATCTTATCTAATCTAACCTGAGGACCAATTTAGTTGAACAGACAAGGTTAAGTTAGTGTGAAAACATTGGACTATCATTACATTAGTGACATTAATCAAACTGTGGACAAAACTGACTGACATGTAGGCAGCCTACTGAGCACCAAAAATCACAGAGGAGCCATGTCTGGCCAGACAAGCCACATGTTAAATAGGTTTGTTCTATAAGGATAGACTGATACTGTTGCCTCAGAGGCATCAACCCAGATCATTTTGCATAGTACCAGTAAGACCCCATCAACAATCAGGCAATAACAAGGATGCAAAAAGTAGTTCCTTTATTATCTTCACTGTCATAGATTAAAATTGTAGTTATACATTACTAGAGGCATCAATAGAGTCTTAACGGACCACATTTTAAATACGGTGTGGGAACATCAACTGCTGCAATTCAGTTTTGCAGTTTATTGTACCATCACATACAGTAGCATTTATAATGTCTGCAGTAGTTTCAACAAACACTTTAAGTGATTAATGCCTCAAATAATGTTTTCTTTTAAGCTGCAGTCTTTCAACACATCCAAGTACTTTAGTTGGTGCAGTAAGAGAGTCCAGTGTCAAATCAAAAGGTTTTTCCCTGTTGTGAAGTGCTGCTTCAAAGATGTGGTACACCATGGGAAGACAATACTTTAGATGACACATAAAAAGTTATGTCCAAGGTCTAGCTTCATTTCACAAAATAGGACGGAACAAATCTGGTGACATTTCTCTTTTTTTAATATAAATATGACAATCATAATTATTCTCTTTGAATAGGCTATCTCTTATACCTGACTATTGTTGAACACAAAGAAAAGGAAAAAGAGGAACCGATGAACGGAAGATGTAAAGACAGAGCCAATCAAAAGTAAAAAATCCTGTATCAGGAGGACCTTTTTGAGCACCCGGAGCCTGAGGCACAGCGACAGTGAGTCAGAGAACTCCCCAATAGGCCAGGCTTTTAATCTGTAAAATAACGCTAATTCTCAAACTCCTGGAAGTAACAGCTGACGTGTGCCCGTCTAGTCTGAGCCACATATGTTTTCAGATAACTGTGTGAATGTATTTGTGACCGCTGAGTCGGCATGGTTTAATTAAAGAGAGGAGATGTGAGGCGACTCAAAGAATACCATGACAGTATGACAGATGTATTAATAAAAGGTGTACACACAAACAAATGTTTTTCTTAGAAAAATAAACACTAGAATGGCACAGGACAATAAGGGGAAAAACTAAATAAGTGTTGGTTTTTTATTTTCTATCACAGAGGGAAAAAAAGTTATAAAAATAAGTGTGTCTGTATTCAGAATCTTAAGGAAATCAAACTGCTTTACCCATGTTACCCTGGGGGAAGGAAAGGGCAGGTGGCCTTGCAATGCAAAATAAAACTAGGGCAAAATCGTTGGGGGGAAAAAATTGGCACGACATTACTTAAACAACAAGGCGGGTGTTTCTCTGCCACAGACAGGCCGATGATGGGCAAGAGCGAGGCTTTCTCTGTCCACATCTAGAACAAAGTGGCAAAGTCTGGTCACCCAGTAGCAACGTACAGGGATGCTGGTTGTCGTGGTTACCACAGATCACCCTGGATGAGCCTGAAAGGCTGCAGGTGGTACACATGAAGTCACCCACGCCAGATCTCACATAAGCTCACCCTGTACTTAGTTCACTTTATCCTGGAATATGTAGAGGTTGTTGGTCGTTGCCACCGCAATGATGTTGTCCTGGGGATGCCAGGCAGTGTGAAGGATCTTCTTGTTGAAGTCCAAACTATCCACGCTGATTTCATCCTTCTTGCGCTTGCCCCCTGCACACACTTTGCGGGGCTTTAGGACCTGCAAGGGCTTGCTGTTTTCACGGGATGCCTCCAGAGTCACATCCCGCCTCTGACCACGGTCAAACATCCGGAAGAAGTTGTTGTATGATCCTGTCATTACCACACTGAGGGGGAAATTAGGAGAGTGGTGAAGCTTTAGCTCAAATATGGTAGACACCAATGGAAAACACGCTGCTTTTAAGCCTCTTTATAAGTAGTTGTGACATCTGGTCTTTTAACTCACCTGTCATTGCCATTCCAGCAGCATTCAAACTTGTCAAAGATGCAGTCATTTTCATAGAGCGAGCACAGCTTGCTCCTCAGATACTCATGGACCTGTAATGATAAAAGGTTTGAAGGGCTTTTAAGACTCAAATCTTCCCTTTGACTGACCTTTGTCACAACTATGGATTTGGATTTATTGATAGTTACAAGCTAAGACTTACTCATCCAGCTACTATCATGCTCATCATGCAAAGAGCCACTGGACAGCAAGTCTTCTCTAGCTCAAATGAAAACTTTTTGGCGCCCCTTAGTGGCCAATATATGTAACTGCATGACTAAACAAAGGTGTGGCTGCTCGATCTGTCACAATCTTTCAGCTTTAACCACAATTAGATCAAAATGTAACCAAAAATAAAATATCTTTCATTGAATAACCCCAGATTATCTGCCCAAATGGATTCAAATTAAGAATAAAGAGCTCTGTCATGTTCAGTGTAAAAAGAAATGAAGCTGGTAAAAAAAAAGCTGGTAGAGCAGGCGCCCCATGAACAGCCTTATTTGACACATTTCAATTTCCTTTTTCTTTTCTTACTTTTTCTAATGCATTTGCAAAGTTTGTTGAGTTTTGAGGCAATTGAAAGGCACCAAATTTGCAATTAATTTGGACAATGAAAAGTAATTATAACAACGATAATTCCTCTCATTCCTAGAAGCTCCTTGCTCTGTATCTAAGACCTCAGGCCCTGATTAAAAGTCACGTCCCAATCCAGTTGGTATGTACTTCAATTATTAAGAAACTGCAGATAAAGACAAAGGAAAGGCTGCTGGACTTTTACTTTCATTGAAAGTGTTTTTTAGACTACACCTGCTGCTCTGCTCTTCGTGGATTCTGCGGCCACAGCTGCTCTTCTCACCTGATAAGTCTCCACTGGTCTATTCTCCATGTTTAGATCCCAAATCTTCACAGACAAGTAGTCTCTGGTCATCATGTAGCGTCCATTGTGGCTAAACTTGACATCTGAGATTGATGATATGATCTCGGAGAAGAAAGAGCGATTACTAGGATCTTCTGGCTCCTCAAACACTGGACAGGACAAAGGAAACAGTAAGAGTAAAACAGAGGTGAGCAAAAAGGAAACAAAGCTTCTACAAATAACTTCAGCCGAGAAGAAAAGAGAGCACAACGAAGCTGACAGGGAGGTCAACATGACAAGTTGTTTTAGTTCCATAGACTGCAAAAACACAAGTAGTTGTTGTAACATCCTCCTCTTAGTTTGATGAGAAGTAGTAGTGGTCGGATATTCTGTACAAACTATTTTCAGGGGGGAAAAGTGAAAAGGCAAGGAGACTGAATACTTTTAAGGAAAGAAAGGTGTGGTGCTTCCTTATCCTGGGTGGCTGTTGAGTAATACTTGAAGTCTTTATTGACACAGAATAGTGAGCAAAGCTTTGCCTGTTTACACTGCAGTTTAATAGGTGTTTCTGCAATAGTGAGGCCAGACTGGGATCACCTCTTTAACGTGCATTTATGCAAATATTTACTTCATAGGGTGGAAGATACGCAATGAGTTTAGAAAGATATACATGGCGACAGAGGGCAGTTGAATAAAAAGTGACGCTCGGAAAGGTGCCGATTTTGAGGTCTTGATTACAAACAGCCGCACCACATTTAAACAAGCTCTGTGAGGATTCTGACACAAACAACCCACTAGATTTATCTGCACAGCCACTGAAAATCAGGGCTGTGAAAGAGTGAAACTTTTCAGTGAGTGTCACGTCTCGTTAAAGGCAGAGGTCAAAACAGAGACCTGACTAGACTTGTTCCAGTTAAAATTAATAACTTCACCCGTCGGCTCAGTTACCACCACCTTTGGGATGCGGCAGAATACAGATTTACTTTGTGGATCTGAAGTTAACAGATAAGAAATGAAAAGAGATTGTGATACGATGGGTCCATATGTCCCAGAATCAAAACAACATCAAAAATATTCCTTCCTGCAGATAGATGCAAAGTCTGAGCAGACCAAGCTGATGCACCACGAGAACACTGACACAAAGGTCGACGATAAATGCTCAATTATGCCGGTGCCCAACACCTTTCAGCAGGGCTGTCTAATGTCACAGTCTCACAACTGGACTGTTAATGGGATCTGTGTCCTGCTGAGTGTTACTTAAAGTGTCTACACCACACACACAGTTAAGAGTCTGGTTCTCAGAGCCACCATTGAAGGCTGAATCTAGCAAAAAATAGACGTTTTATATAGAATTGAACAATGTGGTTCCTTTATATCTCAACTGCATCAAAATCTTCTGATATTCTTTATTTTTTACTGATGAAAGTTTGTAAAAAGAAAATCATGTGCATACTTGATTAGGTGAAACATTAAACTCCTCTCTACTGCAATGTACTGCGAGTGCTTAGTGAGATACATGGAAAAGTAGTCGATAATCAGGGGGTTAAGCTGAGTAGGTAAAGCACTTTAACCACCTGGTTAAGTAAAGGAACGGTGATACACGGCGACCAAAGTAGGTAGTACTTACATTTGGAGTGCTTATCACACAGCGCTGAGGCCCGCATGTCACAGAGACGGATGGTTCCTTTGCTGCTGCTGTACACAAACGTGTTACACTGATGAGGATGGAACTCTGCTGCTGTGATCACCTCTGTCAGCTCCTCCATGTTGGCCGGTTTAATGTCAACGATGTCTGGAGGACAAATAGTTCAGGGGAACTAACTCTTAATGATTGAGACACTTGCCTGAGTTGCTATCAGTTACGTTATAAATGCATTCCTTCAGCAAAACTTGATTCCACACGATACTCTAAAGAAAACACAGCTGTTGAATTTGGAAAGTACAGATGAAGGTAGACAGAGCATTACTTACAAAGGATGATATAAACCACATATCGTGTGAAGTCTCACATTAACACTGTTAACACATCTGGACTCACTATCCAAAGTTTGTAGCGACAAACTCATATTTAGATCCCAGCCTCTTTAATAATGTCGTTTCCATATAGGCTTGTGTATTTTTTAAAGGATACTGAAACTGCGGTCAGTGATCTCGAGGTGCCACAGGTTGATGCGGAGGTCGTCCGCAGACAGGTAGGTCTCATTGTCACTGTTGACTGAGATAGAGTTGATATGGTAGGTGTGAGCGTTGGCAAACACCCTCCGTGGACTGGCTTCCACCATGAGGTCCATGGGTATTAAAACTGGTACCTAAGGGAGGACAAAAAGGAAAAAAAGGAACGTGAAACTCAAAGAAGAAATGATGAACTGACGGCTGTCTGCATGCGTTTCAACAACTTATGTCAGTCTTATAAATAAAGACAAAAATCATTACAGCAGTCTTCACATGCAGAGCCAACATGAGCTTGGTCAAACTACCTTTTAATTACCTTCTCTTATTGGCACAAAACACAACCTTTAGAAAGTATGCTCCTTTTTGATGAATTATGAGTAATGAGCTCATTTTGATTCAGTTCATCTTGGTCACATTATGTTACAGATTCTAATTGAACTAGTCATGTGAGATGCCTGTTAGTTTGGTCAAACCATTACAAGATGAGATTTTGCCCCATGTATCTAACTTGTTCGAATATTTCAGTGATTCAGAACTGACCCGCAGTGACGTGATAGTGTTTGGGTCTTTGTAGCGTCCATCCTCCTCCTTGAGATTATAGCCCTCTGGTCTTTTGTCTCGTTCACTGATTTTCCACAACTTGATTGTCTTATCTGTTGAAATCAGAATTAAAATGTAAACAACATAAGCACATCATAAAAAGCTGACTATTTCATGCGTCATAAAATTAACCTTTAATACGATTATTGGGGAGAAAGAAGACACTATTAGTTTTCTGTGAATAGGACCAAACTGGATTTCAAATTAAAGCCACTAAAGCTTGTTGTTCACAAATATCTTGCTGATTAATATGACGGACTTACCGTTAGTTGACAACAGGAACTGGGCAGCATTTTTTTGAGGAAGCCAGCGAATTTTGTTGATCTTTTCCTCGATTTCCAAACTCTTCAAGTAGTCAAACTCGGGCTCATGGCTCTGGAAAGTGCTGTAAACATTGTATTCACTCCTGAACTGAGGCTGGCTCTTATTCTGCAGGGGAAAGTGGATCAAAGATAGAAACAGAGGATGTCAGACAAGAAAAGGCTAAAAGTGATTGGTTCTTGTTTGACAGTTGATGTACGCATTGATCTTTCAAAGAAGAATTGGCTGTTCTTATTAGTCAGAAAAGAAATGGTGGCATGACTGCTTTTAACTCCTTTATCATTACAAAACATCTATTTGGCAATATCATTGTCCTGACTAGTGTGATAAAATCATCGATAAACAAGCGTCATCGCTGACATTTGGAATTAAAACAAACAGATTCCCCTGCCAACTTCATTCACCTACTCTACTATTTAATGTTCTCTTTGAGTACTGCTGTTGACTTAAGAGAGAGTCACAAATGGAAGTTACCGGGTTGGAGAAGACGCTGGGGTCATGTTGTACAGTGGTTAAAAGAATGTAATTATTGACACCCTTTCATAACCCTTTGTCACATTGTGCACATCTTTACATTGCTGTTAAACACTTCACCGAACACCCCACAAAGAAAAAAACGTTTCTTAGAGCCAAATGGAGTGAAAATATGACTTCTGGGAGAGTGTTTTAGTTACTTCGTTTGGACATACTCCTGTTCTAGTTAAGATATTCCTTGTTACAACCACACTAGAGTTGACTGATACTGTTTTTCCAGGGTCGATATCTGTCATGATTTATAGTAGCTCAAGTAACTGGTAATCAATATTTGAACTGAGAAGTTTTCACAGTAAAGGTCCTTACAAACCGCGGCCGACTCGAATATAGAATGCGAAATTACGAAATATTCGGAGGAGAATTTTGACACGCCTGACTATACACATCAAGCCTGATGCGATTTTGCAACTTTCCAGGGGAAAAAATACGCACCCCGGGGAAGACTCTTGCAGGGGAAAGTCCCGCCTCCTTCGCCTCTGATTGGCTAGAAAAACTGGAAACGTCATCACACGCTCAAGCCAAACAGTCGGTACTTATAGCCAATCAGAGGCGATAAGATAAGCACATGAAACTATGGTAATGACCGTTAGCTTACGTTAGCACAGATGAAAGTTAAAACAAAGACGTTTAGCAAACTGTTAAAGCACATAAACTATCGTCATATGAGAGAGCCGACACTATGACTCTCAACAAGTTGTCCTTCAGGTCGTTATCTTTGTGATATTTGTGTCTTTTATCAAAAAGCACTTTGTTCTCCGACACGTAAACAATCAGCCGGTAGGCCATGTTGGATATACCGGTAAATCTGATGTCACAACAACACAAAATCTGATTGGTTAGAAGTGGACACACAGTATGCAAAACTTTAAAAAAATTGACCATGATTCGAAAAAATAAATGCCGCAATATCACAGAACGGGAAAACGATGCTGATGTGAACGCTTGTATTGACAGGATACAGGTTAGAAAAAAATATGGACTTCTGAAATAATCGCATATCAAAAACGGTCCCGGTGTGAAAGGACCTTAAGAATGAAAATCTCAGTAAAATTTATCCTGTGGACCTGCCATTCAAAAAACTTGGACACTCCATTAGTAATTACTACAAATAAATATGCACAACAGCAATAATGGTGAGATTGTGTCTCTGAAAACTGTACACTTGGTCAAGTTTGTGCATGTATAAACCAGTTGTACAAGAGCTCAGATTTGAGTACCAGCAGTTATTCGCAGTACAATAGGAAGGACAGGATTATAAGCTAAAAGAGACCCAAGAGGGACAGACACACCCACAGCTGAGACAAAGTAGTGCATTTTTAATTTATGAATTCTACCAGAATTTGGTAAAAGAAAACGCTTACATGGAAAATTGGCCAAATACCAAATATCAACCCCAATAGGCTAATAATCTGTCTACTCCTAAACCACACCATGAGAAAAAAAACTTGGTTTACAAACAACTACCTTGAGTGGATGTCTAGTGTGGACTCTACAGCCCAACTTTAGGCACAAGTCATGCAAAGCAGGAGTAACAATTCACTGTAATGACAATTACCCCCTGTAGCAGTTACAGGCATTAAGCAGAACAAGACAGACGTGGTTACATTTCTGGCTGATGGTCTTCTTGGAGTTTTTAAGCTATGAAAGGGTTAATAAAGGTCTCATCATCTCATTGGTAATACCAAAGCACACTGGTTCATAGCATTGACCCTGAACTTTGCCTCTTAAAAGGGGTGATTTGAATCCTTTGGTTACTCAAATATGGTGATGCATGATTGTGTGATTATCTTGCAAGCTATTGAGTGGTGCAGCATTGTTGTGGGTCATGTATAATGAATTATGTCGTATCGTGACTCACCCAGTGATTCCTAAATGATTGGTTCACAGGTGGTGATCTTTTCTCAAAAAGAAAACATGAAGGGAAAGACTCAAAGAAGGACAAACTTGCAGCTGTACCTCTATTTCCTGCTGGAAAATGACTACGCGCCCGCCCTTGTCTCCTGTGGCCAGCAGCTCCCCTGTGTGATTAAACTCAACAGTGGAAATGATGTCCGCTGCAAAAAGAAAACAACAACAACCCCACATTAGAGACATTCACAAACTTACATGCAAGATACAGTTACTTTCAGCCGGCAAACAAGAGATTCAAGTCTCTTCTCCTGTACATAAGACTAAACAGGACCACTCAGTCCACCCCATGTAACCCTGGAAATATCAACAGGAATCGGAGAGATCTGAAGGAATGAGTGAGCGTGTAGGCCGCAGAAGCAGAGAGATGTCAGAGCATGTAGAGCAGATGAAAAATGATCAGTAACCTAGTTTCTCCCTCCTCGCTTACTCAGCGACAGCATTGTAGTTTCAGCCAGCAGCAGTGTGTTGGTTTACAAACTGAATCTGTCCCTCACACACACATACACACTTACTTAACCCTTTGTTGGCCACTGGGGCAGAAGGAGAATGCTGCCAAAGGTTGTAGTAGGAGGTCTTTGTGTGCATCGTGCTGCCTGAGGCCCAGTGTAGGGGGATAATACAATGGTGGCACATGCATGGCTTCCTTAGAGGACACATTTAAACTGAGTCCCCTATAAGAGTAGTAACATGTTTGTCATTATTCATCAGTTATCTTGTACTTTTGTCCACCACTTCAAAATTTTAGCCCAGATAAAACAATGAGAAATACTCATTGTGTGTGTGAACACAGAACTCTCTGCTCTCTCCAAAAAGCAACAACTATTACAGGCTGATGGATGTCACTTATTCTTTGAATATATAATGCATAAATTTGTTACCTAATCAAGGATGATTACCAGGCTTTCAATTGAGCTAAATTACCATCATTATCACCTACAGAGCCCCAGGAGTGAAAAGGATTCTGTGCCTTTATTGGGGACCCAAATTAAAGAGCTTTAGTAACTTTCTGACTTGGCTGACACAATAAAACACAATGAGGAGAAACTCAATATTCTTAATATTCTCTCAAAGAGAGACGAAGCGTGACTCAGTGCTTCCCTTACAATGACAGTGTAACCATTACCCACACACACACACCTACACCACTGGCTTGTGACACACCTGCTTACTTGATTTTAATCTCCGACCAAGAATAAAACATCGAGCAAACAGCTTGTGGAGGAGGCTTTTTGATGACACAGAGAGTCAAAAAATTAACAGCCATCACTCTAACAAGCTTTAAGACTTTATGGTGTACTGAGGCTTTCCAGACAAAAGACAATGTGTTACTCCTCAAAAGGACAAAAAAGAAGATCTGTAATGTAATCCATATATTTGTTAAAATTTAAATGTCCATTCTACATCTCTGTTAAGTTTCACACCAAACAGACAAATGGGTGCTGGTGTATTCATTGGACACGTGTAATTGGATCTCTATTTGACAACTTCATGAGACAAGGCCTAAACCTGATGTCAGCTTTCTGCCAACCTGTTAAAACAATATTTAAGGATGCATCCACCCAGTATTTATTTCACCTGCAAAGTCCATTCACAACTTTCCTCTTCTAATTACTTTGTTGATTCAGTCTATCTTGAAAAGTTTGTATTGGGAGTTCTTTAGGTTATGAAGAAAAGCCACAGCTATTGTCTCTTTCCAAGAGAGCAGAGGTACGTTTCCTGTTTTCAGTACAACAGCCACCACAACATGGCTGTTTTTGCTCACCACTCCATTGATGACTCCTTCATTTAAAAAAAAAAAAAAAGGGAAGCACAAGTTGAATTTGTGTCTCGATAGTTACTGAAATGTTGGACCTTCCACAAAAGCTTGAAACCACAGACTGTAGGCAACATGATGACGACAGATGACGCAACGACTACAGTGGCACGAACATGAACCCTAATGTCTTGTCATGGATGTTTTCTGTAAACGCATCACTTTTAGGTTGTTTCATAACTACAAAGCTGTGTGAAAAGTAACACCTACAAGCTGTGTCTAACTTTATAACACTGGGAAAGCAGGCACATTGAAGCTTTCAGGCAGAGGCTGACTTAAACTCAAAATGAGCTTTTTCACAGACACCAGAACAAGATCAGAGTTTTTAAGCTGCAGATCATGCAAAGCTGCTCCATAGACGTCCCAAAATGACACAATGAAAGGAAAAAATGAGGAGATAGAGGTCTCCTCATTTGATACTAAGAAGCATCTCTCATTCTCTGCTTTCTTCAAAGTTTCTCAACAGAGCATCTGCAGACTGTGCTACAGTAAATTGTTACTTGAACCCATTTAACTAAGATTTTTTTTTAAAATCAGCTCCCAATGTATCAGCAGTGAAAGTTACGAATGTTCTGGTGTGGGGAAAACTCTATGGGGTGTTGATTTGTGATTGTGTACTAGAATGTAGTTTGTGGCGCTGATGGTGCAGCGGAGTTTACATCAATGAGAGAGAAATGCCTTCCCAGACCTTTGTGACCTTTGTGGGGGATTTACTGGAGGACAGTTGTATTACACTACATTTGTTTTAACTGGGTAAATCAATGCACTAACATTTGATTGTGATACAACTCAATACCACTCGGTTAAGTTCAGCACTAGCTGGACAAACAAATGTGCACATACAAATTAACGATGAAATACCTTATATTATGGGGCCAATGTTTACCTTTCACTAAACCAAGGGGGAAATAGATACTGCCCTCTTCATGACGCCTCAAATTCTTGACCCCCAAAAGCAAAAAACTACTGTGGAGTCTGGAAAAGCCTTCACTTTCAATGGCTATGCCTGTTATCCGGTTTCTGGCTTGATAAAGGCTCGACTGCGGACCTCCCTACAGTTCTGTCCTGTCTGTCCTGCACCACGATGCAAAAAGCACAGGTGGCGCCTGTCGTCTGCAGCTCTTCATCAATGCAGCACCCAGTGGCTGATAAAGTTTTAGACCCTCTTTTGCAGTTGGAGTAAATATTGATCTTTACAAGGGCTCAGTGGTCAGTAATGAACCTCAGTGTCAAATACATCCTGTAGCAATAAGAGCCTTTAAATGACAGTCCAGTAAAAAGATTTAAATGTGCAGCAGCAGCAGAAATGTTGTGCAAAAATAACACAAACACAAGTGCAACTGCAGACCCGGGAAAGGGAGTTATTTTACATAAGAGTGCTTCAATTCCTGTATGTTTAACAGGGTAAGCACTCTGCTTTCTCTTAAATCTTCTGCAGGATGATCAGAAAGTGAGACAGTCAATGGGCTGATGTAGTTAGCTTTAGGACTTATCATGTTGTCACAGTGTCACATCACTGCACAGCCAAATCATCTGGCAGGTGGAAATTGAACAAATGAAGGAGAGGTTGAGCTGCTATTTTATCACTCACTTCATGCACCAAATGTACCCCCACTGCTTTGGTATGTTTTTTTATGTGCCCGCCCATGCCTACAGGGATACCCAGGTTTTAGCAGAGATCATACCTTCAGCTACGTCGTCATCAATGGCTCCTTTCACCTGAGAGAAGCACCACTGCATGTCACCTCCAGGTCCTGCAAAAATTAAAACACACAACACTGAAGTTAAATTGTTCACACCTCAGAGCAGATCCAGAGCAGCACTTCTAAAAGGGTAGATTTTCTTTTAGCACATGCAGACTTGTGAAAAATTTGTGTGCACACGTCCCCGAAGAACGGCTGCAGATCATGTATATAAATACTGACTTCAGATTACAGGAGCAGTGAGAGAATTAGGGATCCAAACACCTTTTACTTTAAGTCCGAGCAGCTGTCAAACCCGCAGATGTTCTAGCACCAGACGCCAATGTTAAAAATACACCAACAAGAAATGACATGCCGCTTCGGTTGATTGTAAGCTCCATCACTGGTCTCAACAGGCTTCAATCATCATAACTCATTGCAAAATGCATCTAGATGAATTCCACAAATTTTTACACGTGACAATGAAAAACTGGTCTGATTTGTTGATCCAAATGTCCAACACCTAGTGGAACAGCTCTGCAGAATAATCAAGGACAGTTATGAGTCACCAATGCTTCATCAGACACACAAGATTCTTATGTGAATCATGATATTTTAAAACAAAAGAGGCCAGGACAGGTTTGGTTGAATCTAGCTAGATAAATATCTAACACTTTCATTGGCATTGTATGCATTTGTAACAGATGAAAATAAAGATGTATTTGACAAAAAGATCTCTGTTAAATGAGGACGATGTGCAGTACGCCTGCTAAAAGACCGATGTTACATCCCTACATACACTATATCTGCTTAAGTGATCCCATAAAAACAAACTCAGTCAGCCATAAAAGACCAGAGACGCATACTGTTTTGTGTGTAAGTATCAGCCGAAGAATGAAAGCTGAAATGCTACGTTAGGCTACACGATTCATTCACTCTCACAGGCTAATTTAAGGGGTGGGATGTTAAGACTGTAGAATGAATTCGACCCCAACAGTGACTCTTTTTACTTGAAGTCGGGATATGCAAGAAACGGTCTTTTTGACAGCTTGTTAAGTCTGCACCAGGCCTCCAACACTAGCCTGCATGTGGGCAATGTCAAAGTTTGAGCTAACGTTAGCTAGCCTGGCTTGACAAGCCAGTCATGGCATGTTGGAGAAATATGTGCACCGCCTGTTTTACGTCCTGACATTTACCTCCAGTTGACTGAGGATGAGATAAGACAAATAAGACACACAGGTCGTGCACAAGTCTGAGAAGAAGCTGTTACAAATACGATAAGTTAGCGTTGGGGTAGTGTAGCGGGTAGCTGTGTTTGGCTAACATGGTCCTGGGCCGGTGATAACAGTAAACAGCTTTCAATTGCTAGCCGCAGCTGGCTAGCTAGCTTTAGCCGGTGTTCCGTTAAATAGTGCTTCCTATCAAGATGGGGATACTTAACAGCTTTGCGCATGCGGACAACAGTAGTCCGAGGCGCTTGCCACAGCGGGAACATTATTTGATAGAAGATATAAGTCATTATATGTACGTTTCTTCTAAAATTTGTAATTAATTATGATTGAAAAGTGTTCCTTAACATACCCATATACTCTAACAGTGTAAAGGGAGTAAGTGAGATGTAATATATAGAAATCTTCACTGGAAACTACATTGCAAAGATAATATCCGTGTTTTCAAATACGCTTTGCAACAATTATCAAATGTGAGCTTTATACTGCGTATTAAATCTTGTACACAGTAATCTTTAACAACCTTTATGCTAAATGCGCGGATAAATACCCCGCTTGTGGTCAACGCTCCGGTAACACTTTTCGCCATAACACCGGCAAACAGGCCAGATGGGCGATGACACTTGAGTTTGCTCGCAGGCTAACGTTAGCATTAGCTAAGTTTTGTCAGCTAGCTGCCGTCAGCCAAACTGACACCCTGGGCTGATTCCACGCAAATCTGCAATCCTCGGAGCAGAGAGCCCCGCGGAGCATTCCCGCAGCAAAACACCGCTCTGTCGTGTTGTTAAAGTGTGTAATGGTTAAAATGAATTACCTGCCATGACGAGACAGACAGTGGGGCTTGCCTCAGTCAGTCACGATCCTGCTTCCCACTCCCACGCGCTGGTTCGTGGGATCTGAACTTTCCTTTCCGCTGAATCTCCGTCTGCGCAAAAAGCTGAACGTCAGGCGCAAATGTTCCCGTAACACCGGCTATTTTATCGTTCTCCTCCGTTTCTTTCCCGCTTCTCTCGCTGTTGTTTCACTCTGTGTATCACCCACTCTCCCCCTCTGTCTCTCCTGCCGCATCCCACAAGTCACTTCTTCCCCACCCCTCTCTTGTCTGTTCCCGCACGTGAACCAAACGGAACCATAGCCTTCTTTTTTCGTAACGTGGGCGCATAAAAAAATCACCCGTGGGCGGCCAACGCACTACCACGCGTGTGAACATACAGGTGCATCTCAGTATTTCAGTATTTAAAATGTAGTGTTCAACAGCCTACTTTTGTGTGTCTTTTAAGAAGGTGAAAATTTAATTTATTCTTGGCTAATTATATGTAAACTGAAATGTCACTCCCACACCCATTTTCAAATTCAATCGATCAAATTTTATTTATATTGCGCCAATTCACCACAGTCGTCACCCCAAGACACTTTCCAAAGAAAAAGAGCAACGCTCATTGTTTGGTGAATTATCAAGACCCAACCCAAGATGGGATTTGGCCCATCTCATCTAACATGAGTAACAGTCCCCCGCGCTTGCGATGTTGTCATACACTTGATACGGCCTATTGCGGTGCAAGGATTGCCTAGCTCACCCGGGGGATACGCTGTCTGAGCCGAGCATCATCACAGCGACTCTCAGCAACTCTCCCGCCGAATGCGTACAATGCTACTGCGCAATGTTGGTTTCAGGAAGTGGAGAATAGCCAAGGGCTTTTTGGCCTCAAATCTGTATACTGGTGGAAGGCGGAACCAAGTTGTCCATAGTATATGCAGTCTATGGTGTTGGTTTGGTCTACCATGTCATCTGCTGTTGTTGGTTCACCGAGTCTTATGTCAACAAAGCTGTCTACTTGGATATTTTGGAGCTATTATTTATTTTTCACCTGCTGACAGTTTCTATGTAGATTCAGATTCCTTTCTTTAGCAGGACCAAGCACCTGCCCCCAATGCCAAAACTACTATGGAATGGTTGGTTGCCAACTCAACAGACCTGAACCCCTAATAGAATCTGCAGGGTATTTGTTAAGAGGAAGATGAGAAACACATGCTCCATAAATACAGTCCAGCTAAAGGTCAAAGTTACCTGGGCTTTAACAACACCTTAGCTTAGCCAAAGGCCGTTTACCTCAATGCCATATCATGTTAATACTGTTAAAGGAAGTCTTAACACAACATTGGGAGGAAAAATTGGAATACTTTTCAGCAGCATGGATAGGTTTGAACAATTTGAGTCTGTGAGCTTGAGTAACATATTACAAGAGGAGAATCATGGATGGTCCTGAAAGGGCGTCTTTCAAGAAGGTCTTCTTTAAGTCCTGCTGCAAGGACTCTTATGGCATGAAGCATACATTGTAACTCTAACCTTGTTTCCTCGCTTAAAAATCAGAAGAAGCTACAGCCATGTCTTATATTGCCAAACAAGATATTTCTTTTCATACATGTTTTCATTTGTCATGTGACAAAACCACAGTCTGTCAGTGGACCCTGGAAGGGATTGAAGAGCTTGTAACATGTCCAGGAAAGCCATATACAGAGGGGACTGCACATGTATTAGTCATAGATTCTCTGCCCACACAGACACTTCAGATCCTTTATTTCTGTCAAAGAAAGTAAGCCCCCTGGAGAATGAATGACATAGATGCAACTTGCTGCAAAATGCAGAAATGGGAGGAATATCGTCAAAAGGAAAGCTAAGTCAAAAATAAACCCAAATCGAGCTTGTTCTGTTGGAGGAGTGCTATCAAAAGAACCAACTTCAGCCCCTTATCAGACTCAGTCAAGCTGCCAATCCATAACCAGATGCTGATCTCTGACCCACTTCATATGTCAATGGTTTCAAACCCTGTAATTGATGTTTCCAAAGACAAGTAACCCTCAATCTTTTTTTCAAGCACCTTCCTCTCATTCCACAGGCGGCAGCACCAAAGTGTTTCAGCCGAAATACAAGGAAAGCAGAGCAAAGTGATGGGCATCCCTCTCAAAAAGGCCCAGATTAAAGATGACCTGCTGGTGGGCACAGTTAAATGTAAACATTAAAGATACACAACAAATATAGGATTTGACTTTTTTCCACTTGTATTGTGGTATTTAGTTTTTCAAAGGACTCTATTTCACTCATGTTTCCACTTTTGAATTCAAAGCTTTATGTCTTCAATTGCAAATTTAACTCGGGGTGACGCTGTTTTGAGCAAATGTAAGAGCTCAAAACCTCACAACAACAGCTCTGTCATGATGCTGTGAGCAAGTATGCTAATGCTATTCAAATTTAAGATGGTGTAAGACAAGGCAGAACTTAAGTGATACTGAGGGAAATCCTGTTTCCTTTATCGCCTCCAAACTACTGTGCAAAGTATGAAGGACAAAAAAGAGCATCTAAACTATAAAATAAGACAAACTGACAACACAAAGTATTATTTACAAAAAGTTAAAGTCATACTTGTAATTACTTTCTGCTGATTGCTTCCAATAATTACTCATATTTACAGTCATACTCTATAGCAGGAAAGTCACCGTTTGATATGCAAAAATATGTCAAAGGAGAGACTGAACGTTAGAGCAGCGGAAATTCTTTCTGAATCTCTTGAGTGGTCAAGGGTTAAAAAAGCATCAGTTGTCAAAGAAATGTACTGCTGTAGTATAAAAACTGGTGACTCCCTCAAAGGCTGTCAGATTTGGTATAATTTTGACAAATAAGAAAACTGCTTAATAGGAAACTGTGATTTTGTGTTGTGGAAACTCAACTTTTAAGTGAAGCTTCTTTTTAAGTCTCAAGTGTAAAGCTTTGTCCACAGGGGTTTACTGGACTTCCTGTCAGCCTGGCTGCCCGGCTTTATGTGATACAAAAAAGTCTCTTATTATTACTGTTGTTATCATGTTTAATAGAAATAAACCATATAATGTTTGCGTAGATTGCAGTCTAAATAGTTTCTGTACCAAACAAACTGGTTCACATAGACATCAGTGGGAATGTCTGATCATACAGAGTCTGTTGAAGGCAACTTGAGATCCATATTTCCTTTATAAACATTTTTTCCCCAAGGAGTTTATAACATTTTCCTGCTGGCCTCATGCAACATGTTGTTACCATATTAAGAAAGTCGATAAAAATAAACACAATGACTAACCCCATTGCTTTCTGTACTGCTGCCTATAAACACAGCAAACATTTTGTAAACAAATAATAGAAACATAGACAACGAGTTAAAGGAAAAGTATAAGTAATTCATTCTGTAATTACTGTTCATATTTCAAATCACTACATCAAATGACCTTTCTCTCCAGCAACCAGTTTACATGCCACCTTGATACCGCTAATTCTGTTTGGTGAAAAGAGAAGAGAAACTGTAGTATGTACTCTACTTTGGACATCCACCATATCATTTATTGCCAATTGAACAGCATCTTAATTTGGTTAATATATATATTAACCAAGTGTGCTGCAAACAGTAGATAACAATGGTAGAGTACATTAAAAATAAAGTTTGTACTCCTTCAATCAAATCTAAAAGTAAAGCAGTTGAGAACAAAGGTTTTACTAGTCACAAGATGTGCCACTCAACCTTTCCAGTTAGTCATCCTTATATAAAATTACACTAATGAACACTATACACACAGTAAAACACAATCAACAAGCCATTTTTCCTCTTTTCAAGGTCAGCGACCCTCAAAGAGTTTAGCCTCTTGAGTGTAAATGCGTACATTTACATCATTAACTATTTTTTAAAACTTATTTTCTTATTGTTTCTGCTTCAATTTATGTATTTTCCTACATCACTCTTTGATTTATTTAATTGATTTGCCATTTTATTGACAATAAAATTGCCAGGGGGAGATGGGCAGTGACTGGCCACCACTGCTGACCCACCAGCTGGAGGGTGTTGTGGTTCAGGGTCGAATCACCCTGTGAAAGCTGGACGCCACTTGATGACATCAGACAGCATCGATGCAGATGTATATCATAGAACCTTATTGAACAGAAATTTTTGGAACAGCGCAGAACCATTAAAAAGGGACATTTGTCTCATCATTATTCATACAAACATAAAATGAGTCCTCTGTTAAGTCTCAAGTCAAATGCTGTCAGCGTCTCAAAAATCAAGACTACTGAGTGGTCAGCAGTACTTCAAAGAAACAGCGCCTCCTAGCAGAAAACTGTGGTACTGAAAGGAATTTACACCATGATGCATGTATAAATGAAAATGTTTTAAATATATATTATAAACTGGCTCACAAAGGCATGATTCTAAATTATGAAAAAATACGTTAATAAGATAAATTGAGTATCAATGACACACTACATCTAATTAATTCTGCACAAACAACACTCACATCAAATAAGCTATTCAGTACACTTTCAGATCTCACACCACCATGTTATTGCCATTCAAGTTCAACAATCAGTCCAATATAGATAAATAGATTTATTTATTTATAACACTGTAATTTAGCACCTTAGAGGTTTCCTGCAGAAATTCTTACAGCCATACATAAGTTAGTGTATAAAGGATAAACTGAACTGTTCTCTTGGTTGTTTTGTATCTAGGTACAGTTTTAAACAAGGTTAATATATTGCCTATGGTATTTTTAAACAGAATTGTATTTAATAGATCTCGAAATAGACTGAACCTACAGTATACATCCAACTTTTAACGCCCACACTTGTGCATTGTATGAATTAGTCTCCTGTTATTCAGGACTGGAAAACTATTTATATTCGCTCATGTTAGTTTAAACCATACTAACAATCTTCTCTGCAAAGTGTGCAAGGAGCACCATCTACAAAATGACTCCTGAATAGAGGTGCTGCAAAAACTTTACCTTGGGAAGGGGCAAGGTTATATTACTGCACAAATTAATGCTTTTGACTATATTTCAGTAATTCATCTGGGAAAATATGCCTTAAGATACTTTGAGGCTCATATCTTACTTGACCTCACCTCTACTGCCAAGGGTTAAAATGTTCCAAGTAAAGTCCCTTTTTCTTCAGTAGATTATGAACAGAACTGTGATTTTACCTCTACTTATGTAACTATTTTAGTAGGGGAGAGTGGGGTAAGATGAGACATTTTTCATATTTCAGATCACTACATCAAGGCAATCATAGTTTTGTCTCTAACTAGAGTATCTGCATATTTCAAGATGTTGTGCATCCCTGCAAACCAACAAAATGAGTGCAAACAGAACTGTCTTGATAATGTATCATGCCAAAAAAAAGTGGTCTCATATGGTCAACTTACCCCGTGTATGGGGTAGTGAAAAATGTTTTTCTTTTGTAAATAAATGTCTAACCCATTCACCCATGTGCTTCTAACCTTCACAGACTCCATGAATTGATGCCTAAATACTTGGTCACATGATCAATTTCTTTTACCATTTCCAAGTAACAGGGAGTGGCTCAACTTACCCTTTGGCTCAACTGACCCCAGTGTCCCCTACTCTCCACCCCTGTCATCAGGCCCTAAAGCAGTGCAGACAGTACATGCACCATGCAGATCTGCATTACTGCTTTCTACTGGTCGGCCTTGTAAGTATCTGGTGGTGCAGCAGATCCAGGCAGCGGCAGTGTTGTACAAGACGCACACTAGTGGAGAGAAGATGAGGTGGGGGCCGGAAGAGCAGACTGGCACAGCTTTAAGAGCTACTGCAAGAAAGAAAAATGGCCCGTGTATTCATTCATCATATGAACATGCAATACTTATTGATTATGATTACAGATACTTATGTTTACACCTTTGATTAATATGTTTTTTTAACAGATGTAGGGGCACATTGAAATGCAGTACATTAAAGTCAAAGTGCAGATAACAAACCCAGGCCTTACATTATAGTGTTAACTTTTATGACACCCTCAGTTATTCACAAATGTAGACTAGCAGTCTTTCTAGCTGAATAGAGGATTTCACGAGACCGATCAATCAAGAGATCCTCGTGCATGTGCGCGCCCATGTGTCTTGTCTGTACAGGCGGTGCAGCAGCCGGACCAGGGGTGTGTCATAACGGGGAGTGTCAGGGTCCACTAGCATAAACAGCGGCTCTCAGCTCCTCTGCCCCGCCGACTCGACGCCTCTCTGCCCCCGCTGCAGCAAGAAGCGCCCACCGCGGCTCACTCAGGTCCAAACCAGTCCGTCCTTTCGTCGGTTCCCGATCACAACCTTTCAGGTGAGTCAAAGAATACTTTGTTCTGATAAATCACAGATCACAGCTCGGTATTCTGATGTCATGATTAAAGCTGCAGGGGGAGTGTACCGTTACTTTCCACGCAGACAGGGACAAAGGCTTGATAGAGTAAGTTGAAACTGTGTGTACCAGAAAGTGTTGGTCTCTTTTCTGCACGAAAAAGTGTTTTTCTCGAACCCAGGTGCTCTCCTGAGTAGCTCAGTCAGAGAGGTGTAAACCATGCTTTTATTGTCAAAAGTGCACCACTGCTGCTTCCTTATATGGACAGACAGTGGAAACCCTTGATGATGACTAAAAATGCTGTTTGGCTCAGCTTAAACTGGGCACACTGTCCTTAACTACTTAGAGGGAGATCAGACTGCCAGGATAAACAGACAAATCCAGACTTTTTTTTTTTTCAAAAGAAGTTGCCAATAAAAATCAGAGCAAAGTTATCAAGCATCTCACCAATTAGACCTGTGAATTTCCTCAGCAGCTGTATGCTCTATTTAAAGACATCCGTGGTTGCCATAGCAACATACAACCAAATAGTGGGACTGTTCACTAAGGAAGTTAGTCACAGCACCCTGAGTGTGGTTGTTTGTTTCAGCAGATGTGGTTTGAGTGTGTCAGACACTGAAGTTTATGTGTGAGTCTGTGTGTATGTGTGTGTAAGGAAGAGATAAAGATGTTTACTAGCCAATCAGAAAGCACTTTGTCAGGGCTGCACTGTCAGCTGTCAGACAGACAGAGATGAGATTAAGGGATGCCAGTCCATGCCCCTGACTGTGCTAACCCCCTCTTCAGATTTAGACATGAGCTTCAAACAATTGTGTGGGCGTGCTTTCTGTTCATGTGTGCAAGAGGGGAGGACAGCTGTGTGCTGTGGATGGTAGTGTGTGAAATTAGACACCACTGAAGATGGCATGTAAACATTACTTTTCCTTGCTGGAAAAGATATATGTTTTGTTCAGCTTGTGTATTATTGGATCATTATCATAGTGCTCCTAAGGAGTCATCTTGAAGTCTAAAAGTAATGTCCTACTGAATTTATATCATACCAGCTGTAAGCTACAAAGTACTAGTCTGTTCTCGAGTTTAAAAAAATTACCAGTGGGTTGTTAACCTCCAAACTGTAAACATGTTTTTGTTTCCTTACAAGCTGCCTCCTGTGGTTTTGCTGTTATGTAACGACTGTGCCCATGTCTTCCTTTAGGTGCACAAGAAGTGGTGGTTTGCTACAAGAGTATGTCAGCATTAAGTGTTAGGAGGGATGTTTGGTGGTTGGCCCGTTATATGCTTACCAATTACAGTACATAATTATGGTATTTAAACTTATGTTCCACTAGCACTTGCACAATATGAGGAAATACACACTGTTCTATTATAATTGTTCTGCTTGACAATTTTACACAGTGCGAAGTATCAAAAAATCTGAAAAGCAGTGTTTCTTTGTCCATGTTTTATCAAATATGTATGCAGTATCTCCCTGGTAATTTGTTTTATTTATCCAAAAGACGTTGTATTTCACCATTAGATCAGCAATCTCAGGGTTACTGGTAGTTAGCTTTAGCTTGGTCTTGCTGCATCAAAATGGTGTGAAATATGGCCTGTATACCTAAACCTCCATCCAGTTCTTAATTTGGACGTATGCTGAGAGTATTGCTCGTTTTAATTGATTAAGACTTTTGCGCTGTTTATTTTGCAGATGCCAATATTGTCACCAAAAAGTAATACTGATATGATATGTAGGTCTGTATTGTTAAAGGTTCAGTGTGTAGTACAGCTGCATTTAGTGTGTTTGAATTTGTGCGTCATCGCCTGATTCTAACAATCACTTTGGCTATGCTAACTCAAAATGACCTTTTATTTCTACATAGGAGTGTGGCCCCCTTGATGCTGTAGTTCGCACTGCCATGTTTCTACCACAGTAGAAAATAAACAGTCTTGTAACTTAAGTGTTTTTGTATGGAGTCAGTTACTGCATAAAATTCCCCCATCAGAAGAGGAAATGGTTGTAGTTAGTTTTGGTAGAGGTTTTTGACGCTCACATCTTGATCATAATCAACACAGAAACATGAAATCATGTCAAGTAAAAGAGTTTTTGTGTTCCTGTAGCATTTTAGCCCCTTCAGTTCCAGCTTTATACAAGCAGACTACACAGTCATATTACAGTGTTATGACTTCATGCTTTCATCTGAAGTTGCCTACATCTGAGTGTAAGTATAGCTCAAGCAAAGATCTCAGAAAGAAACAAAATATGTTAGTGAAGTTTTGTACAATCTTACTGAGTTTAGTTTTATGTATCTATTTGATACAAAAAATACAAATTGACTGGGTGTGATTAACTGCCACAAATAATCAATTTTAAGACAGAAGCTGGGGGCAAATCAATTAGATTTTGGACCTGGGTTGGGTTCCAAAGGTCAGAGCTTTGACTTGCCTGGTGTTGAAGCTCTCTTACCTTCAAAAAATGGTAAGATGTCTTTAGGCCTGCACAGTCATAAAGTCACTGTTTGGTTTCTATATACACTGAAGCTCGTAACTGAAATTTCAACACCCCCTAACCGCCATTGTGGCAAATCAGAAAATGCTTACACAAGCAATTTTTAACTTGGGTGGGGCACTGGAAGAAGACCTCAAACCATCTCCTCATTTAGCTTTAATATGTTCTGCATGAGACCGTGACTCTAAATATTTTTCCACAATACTCATCCAAAGGTTTGAAGTTCGTAACTTAGTCCAGTAGTTGTTTTTGGAAAGATTTAAAAACTCTATTTCTGGAAAAGTTGAGGGGTTTTCCATTAGCTGTGATATAATCAGTGTTATTGCAGAGGTAGATTGTTCCTATAACAACCCTCCCATCCTACCCTTCAATAACCAGTCATAAACAGCCATTTGGATTGCTTTAGTGTAAACAGATGACAAGGGGGCAGAGTGCTTATTGAAAACCTGTCCAGTCTGTGTGCAGTGTTATCTGTCCAGAGTGAGCTGAGGGGCAGCTGGCTGGCCCTCAAGAGGCAAAAAGCCTTATTCACGGAGAGAATGAGTCATCAAGACTCCCTCCTCCTGGAGCAAGAACCAGAATTTAGCTCAGGATTTGAGATAACAAGATTTCACAGATTAAACTATTAAGGGTTTGTTTTGAAGTGGGACACCAGCAGACGAATCACAAGGCCAAACCATCATATGAATGCACTTTCTTATGTGCACATTGGATCAAGTTTTCACACATCCCCAAAGCAACAGCACACACACACACAAAAGAGAGACTTGAAAAATGTGGGGGGAGGGGATCAGATAGCTGAGGCTGGAATGACAGAGTCCCTCCATGTGTGTTTAGGGCAAAGAGGGTACAAAGGATCTGCAGTTAGTGCACTGTAACACAATGAATACCTCCGGTCTGCAGAGGTGTGGGATGGCCTGCAGACACCATCTGCTTTTTTCAGCACGCTCATGAAGAAGCGCAGACTGGTAATCATGTGACCTGTTCTATTTAAAATTAAAGCTATGAGTGTGTGAGTCTTCCCCTCCGTGAGTCACTTTAACCAAGTTTAAGCTTCCAGAAACAGTGAAGATTTATTTAAGTCAGCTGTTGCCCTCCATTCAAGAAAACTTTGCACAAAAATATTCCTATTTGTACAAAACTGAACCGCTAATTCCCCCCTCTCTCCCTATCACCACAGTTGACAACACATTTTATAATGTTAGCTTTGATTTTTCAAAGTGTAAGCAGGTTTCGATGCTGTGTCTCCCCTCCAACGTGTTTTCTTTTTCAAGTCACAGACAGTACAAGAAGCTAACAGAGGGATAAAACAGCTTTGATGTGCTCGTACAGACTGAAGTTTCCACTCCATCACAGGGAAAGATCACAGTCAAAGAGAGTCATATTTATTTAGTGCTGCAGAAACAAAGATCCACTGAATAAGAAGTAGCACTCAAGTGATATTTTCAATCGGAAGAAAGGTATTCAGCTGCTGGAGGATGAGAAGATTTCTTGAACAAGTCAACTTTTCAGGATTTGTTTTCCTTTTCAATAGAAGATCTATTTTCAGACAAACAGGGCTACATGCGCAGTACGTTTTTGAACATTTTACACCGGGTTTGAACTGCTTACATTTTACATTTTATTATGAAACCTATATTTGAAGCAAGACTGTCAAACTTTACTTCAAGTGAAGTAAAAAACTGAAGTAACAGCTTTTTCATTTCACTCTCAATGCCCTCACTATTAGTTTTAGCCGCTGTTTGCCATCTAAGGGGGAGTTTCACACCTTTGTTGTTTGATCCGGGCTTTTGGACTTTTCTGTTTGGTCCAAACCATAATGATAACTGCATCTTTGTCTGGACCAAACAGCTTGATTATGATTTTGAGAATGATGATTTCATTCAAATTGACAACATTAAAATGTCAGACACTGGCCGGCCAAATTACCAGTCGATGTAAACTACAGAGACATCCAAAGCACGTAGTTGATGATGATTATATCACGTGGGTTCGTAATGTACAGTCTGTTAGTTTGTATAATGACAGTCTGAAACCTAAACAGGACAAACCAAATGTAAACAATGTATGAAAAACACGGACCTATGTCCTGACTTTCAGGTTTGAAAACTCCCTCAAACTTCTTAGCTGTGAATCGCTCTCTGTGGTAATGAGGACTCCTGCGCTCAGCTCAGACTTCTGCAGGCAAGCTGCTGTTATATTGCTGGGTGTGTCAGTTTCAGTTAATGAATGGCTGTGTATCAACTCAAGCTGAAGTTACTGATTTATCATCTAGTTATTGTATTTGCTCACTGCAGTGGTTCCGGTTAGTTTCCTGGTATTCATAAATAAGAAATTGAAGATGGTTTGCTAATGTGGTATTGGGATGGTAACTTCTTTACTCTTATAGAAAATCGAAAATGTTTGTTAACATACTCAGTTTTTTTGGTTTTCTTTTCTATTAGAAGACCAGACCCACTCTGAAGGGGTAAGTTTAAGTGAGATGCTGGCTTTAAAGGCAAAGTGAAAGAGGGAAACTGCTCCCATGGCTCTGTCCAATGACAAACAGAATACTTACAAATCTAATGATAATTACGTGCTTTATTTGTTTTGTAGTTTATATAACACTTATACTCACACCATATTTGTACACTGATGGCATGGGCTGCTATGTAAAGCACCCATCAGTTTTGACTAATCCCATTCACACGCCTTTGGGCACAACCAGCAGGGGCTGGCGGAACCTGGGATTAAAGCCCTGACCCCCAGATTTAGAGCCTACCTCCAATCTCAACTCTACTCCAACAAATAGGGATGTGTGTTGGCTGGGTCTGGTTGAAGTGGCATACTATATATCCAGCTGCAATTTAGCACAAGAACATAGATGTTAGTTTGCAGGAGGACTGTGGCTGGGGTTGCCAACTCTGCCAACCTTAGGCACTATTGGCAATCACTCATGACATTGTTTACCAAGAGACTCAAGAGCAACGCAAAATAAACAGTGCTTAATTTGGACTTTTTAAGTTTCCATTGAAACAATCAGGAAATGAGTCGCTCCAAAACATCTGATGATGTTGTGTTTTGGTGATGAGGCATCTTTTTTTTTTTCACTTTAAGACTGATTGTTGTTATCTTGAACATACAATCCACTTTGTCTTATGAGCTACAAAAACTTTTTCCAAGTTCTTTGAAATCAATCTAGCTTTTTAGGAAAACATAAGACTTGATTTTAATCGAATCAGTGATGCTGTAATTTAATCTCCTGGAGCTTTATCATTGCTATCATAAAAGCAAGATAATCCACCGGAAAAACGGTCAGCCGTTGTTCGTATTAGATTAGACTTTCTTATGCATGTGACTCTATCTATCCTCCAGCACATGACAACTCTATGGCTAACTTATCAAAGTTTGCAAATGATGTCTTTTCATGACCCAAAATGTGTAAACTCTGTGTTCCTCTGTGAGTTAACCTTTTAACCACGTTCTGCCTCTGTCATTGTTTTCAGTGTTGACAGATGAAGAGGTCAACATCACTTATTCTTACCACATGTTTCAAAGTCGTAGTTATGTCTTCCCGTGTGGCCTCAGACGCTGCAGATTTGCTGTCTGACTTTATGGCATTCAGGCTTTTCTAGGCTGGAAACTCCACCAGAAACTTTAGAGCCACTGTAGGAAAATTAAAGCTTTCCACATCCTTCTTCATGTTTTAATGACCACTGTTGAATTGAGCTGCAGCCCCATTTTCTCCTGTTTCATACCCACACATGGAAGTTCATACGGTGCATGACCAGGAATGACCTCAGGGTATCCAGCTGTTTTGGAAGTGTTTTCACCCTTTTGGCTGCGCTCACTCCTTACAGTGAGCTTCCTGTGTAGTCTAAAGAAGTTGTAAACACATAAAGGTGTCTACAGTATCTATCTCTGTCAATTCAGACTCAGAGGATTCCAGTCTCATGTGCTAACAAACGTCCCATTCAAAGATCTGGGTAGTTGACTGAAAATGTCTTCTGCCAAAATTATCCCCCCTCTTTTCCGTGCCGAAACATTCCTTTGCAACATAATACTGCGCACTGAGTGAGTGTGTGTGTGTGTGTGTCTGTTACATAAGAAGAGAGCAGAAATGGGGAAAAAGGAACCCCACATTTGTTGGCTTGGTTACATGAACTCAGAACCACTTCCCTCTGTCAGGGTCAGGAGCAGATTCCTGCCATGTTTGTGGGCAGAGGGTTGCGTAGAAGAATGGATGAATCTCACTCCAGTGCAGACGGTTTGTTATGCAAATTGGAGGGCAGCTTGTTTGAGCAGCATTCTTGTGGAAAACTGGACTCTGTGATTATTTTGAACTGTATGACCTATAGTTTATAAATTATTGGTTTAACAGAGAGGAACTTGACCTTGTTAGGATCTCTTTAGGATTGAGGGTGCTGAGAGATCACAGGGTCAAACAATGTTGAGTTTTCTTGGTTGACTCCTGTACAGTTTATGAGTATTGCATGATATGGATAACTAATATTTGTCAAAATAAACTTTGGCAAAATTTAGAATTATAGTTTTCATAGAATCAGCTATAGAACAATCACTGTCGGGTAAAGTCTGGCCAAGATAGTCACAGTCTTAGCAGATGACTGTCTTACATGAGTCTGGTTCTGCTTGAGGTTTCTGCCTGTTAAAAGGATGTTTTTCCTCTCCACTGTAACTTGATAAATGCTGCAAAGCGTCACACTCATGGTAGTTTAAGGACAGAGCTAGCCTTCTTCACCAGTTTCTTCAGTCTGTTCCTACCTGCAGTCGTGATGCTCCAGCAGACCACTCCACAGAAGATGGCTGAGGCCACTACAGAGTCATAGAAGGACCTCAGGAGTGCTCCCTGCACACTGAAGAACCTCAGTTTCCTTACAGTGCTATCTATCTATCTATCTATCTATCTATCTATCTATCTATCTATCTATCTATCTATCTATCTATCTATCTATCTATCTATCTATCTATCTATCTATCTATCTACAGCTCTTCAGCATTGGTCATAGAATCAAATCCCAGTCTCACATGATTCAGAGTATAACTTTGCCCATTCTCTCCCTAAATTTCCTGTCTCACCTTCAAACTGTCCTAAAAATTTAAGTTTAAAGTCTAAAATCCCCCCCCACAATATCCAAAGCATAACTAATATTCATTGTCACTTTGCAGCAGTGTTTAATGACTGATGAATAAAAAATGTATTTCACAGACTTTGACAGTAAAAAGTCAGAAAAACTCATATAGGTGTGGCACAGGATCATGCAGCCCTGTTCACTTAATTTAACTTCACCATCAGAATTCAGAACGGATGCAACAACCTGCTCACTAATCGCCAACCTTTGACAAATCATTGAATAAAATTGGAAAAATAAAGAAATGCATCATGAAGGGTTCCTGTAGTCCTTTTCAGAGAGGTTAGGCTCTACTTTAGGAACACTGCCTCACTTCAGAGAGATGGTTTACCCTCTCTGCAGTGTTGGTGATGGAGAGGCTAATGGGTGCTGTGAGGTCAGAACTCAATAAACACATCTGTTCAGTAGGTCTTACAGTAAACAACGCTATGTTTATATTTAATACCCACTCTAAACCACTGTTATCGGACTTGGCAGGACTTCACCTGCGTGGTCACAAGCTACCAGCAAAGACAAACCTTTAACTCAAACTGTCATAAAGGTAGAAATAATATGACTGCTAATAGCTTTTATTCTCACATGGTAGATAAGGAAATATGTTGTGAGGGCGTTCATAGAGTTAGTATCCCATTGAGTAAGTTTCCACCAACACAAAGCTTGCTAACATTTAGTTTCTACTAGAGATGGGCCATTTACTAGGTTTGCTGCTTCAATTAATAATATTTTGACATAATCAGCGTCATATCAGCATCAGCTAAGATAACCATGCATTAAAGATTTGAATTTCAGTATTCTGACTTGTTGGGATTAATCCAGACGTTTACAGTATTTTTAATGCAAATAGCCAAACTCCTAGCCCTAGCCCAACTCCCATCTGTGCAATCTTAAACATCCACACATGCTGCTGAGAGGCCAGCTGGATGTAATGCACTGTAACACAGACACCCACTTGAGCCTTTTCACTGGGCGCCACATGTCTTCATGCTGGTAGATATGGCTAAAGGGTATGGTATGTGTTTGTCTGAATGTTTGGGTGAGTGTCTGTGAATTTTCCGAACTTGATCTTGTCCAGCTCCTTATGTGTCTGTTCAGTCTGAGACGGGCTTTGTGCTTTGAGCCCATGGAGATTTGGAAAATAGTGAGCATTCAGAAGTGGATTTCTGCGGCTCTCAGGATCATGATTATCTCTCCTGGGACTTGGGTTCAAATGCTCTGTTGAAAAGCTGTGTTACAGGCTGATCTGAGAGAAGATGCTGTCACATTGCATTATGGGAATGGTAGTCTAAATGATTATACAAGTCAGCCCTCAAGTTTGACTGACTCTGCAATTTTTTGATGATTTGGGTGATTAAAACCAGTCACTCTATTTTTACACCATTTTTTACAATATGTGCGACTGTACCCAGGGTTTTATTTTGCTATCATCTCTGGTAGTTATGGCAACGTCTGAGTCATGTCTGCCAGCACTTCCTTTTCCTGCTTTACAAGGGGAAACACCCCAAACACAGAGCATCATTGACTCACCCTGCTGGGCATAAATATCCAGCTTTAATTCTTAACTTTATCTCCGTATCCATGGAAATGACTCGGCCTCTAGCAAAGTGGCTTTTTTGTTTCCACCAGCAAACACCCACCAAAGATACAGAGTCCCAGTCATACTTTTAGAAGGTTATGAAAAAAGTTCCACTGCTCCGATATCTGCTGTGTTAGAACAGCTGTTTGTAAGGTCACAAAGAGCTAAACCTTGAGGTTTGATTTTCCCTGCAGGCAGGATGGCAGCCCACCACCCAGAGTTTGAGCGGGCTGGACAGAATCCAGGCCTCCAGATATGGAGGGTGGAGAACTTCAACCTGGTGCCCGTCCCAGAGCAACTCTACGGTGGGTTTTACACCGGAGACGCCTACCTCATCCTCAACACCATCAAGCAGCGCTCCGGGAACCTGCAGTATGACCTTCACTTCTGGCTTGGTGAGTACAGCAAGAGGAAAGAAGTACAGTTAAAGGAAATGTCCACTTCATAATAAATAAAGTGGACAGAAAGGAGTAGATAAAGGTCATTTTCCCTTCTTGTCATTTTATTCTTAAAAAAAGAGGAAATATTGCAACACCTTTTAAGCTTAAAGTAAAATGCCTAAAGAAACACATTGTCTTGCTCAACAGTTCTTGTGGGTGCAAATGTTCCCCAAAGTAATTAAAACTCACTGATAAAGCTTTCAAAGCTTTCAAGTACCGTGTATTCAGCTATAATAAAGCATCATTAAAATTAGTCAATCTGACAGGAAACTAAACTCTTAGAGTGCACTTTTTTCTTTAACTTTTTGTGTGTTTTTGATATTTGCATAGTCATGTTGCAAAGGTTAAAACTGTTAATTCCAGTTTTCTATTACATCTACCGCCCTGAAAATCCTCTCATGCATGAAAAATATGAATTGATTTATTCCAAAAAGTTAAATTACTCCTGTAGAATATGGCCTTTATAATCTGATGTGTGTTATTTAATGTAGATGCATCATAACGGTAGATCTGCTTAGAGGAAAAGGTTATTCAGACCTCTTTTTATGTGCAGCTGGACACATGGAAAATATGTTATAAGTGAGCTGGGGTACCACATAGAAACGATACAAATGTACCCTACTCTTTCATATAAATCTCCATTCTGCAAAGTAACATGAGCTTCAGCTAAACTTCAATATTCAGGTGATTCTGTAGCACTGAATCAAGCAGGTTTGTTTTTCGACTGGTTTTATATGAATTAGGTCAGCTGGATTGATTATGTATTTACCAGCCAGATCTGATGTAACCCTCCCACACACACACTGCTGAGCCACCCTGTAGGTCAGCGAGTTAAGTAATGGTGCATGTTTGAATGTGGGCTAGGTTTGGACCCCCTGCTGCATCTGCATATAGATCCACTGACCCAGAGCCCACAGTGTGGGAATCCCTCGCAACACGCAGCATCTCTGTGTAGATGTTACAGTTTGACTGCCACGTTAAAACAAAGACCAGGAGTAACATGGAGCGCGTCTGCGGCTCCTGTTTTCTAGGTGATTTTTGCAGCCAGGATGAGAGCGGCTCAGCGGCCATCTTTACGGTACAAATGGACGACTTCCTGGGAGGGAAACCCATCCAGTACCGAGAGGTGCAGGGACACGAGTCCAAAACCTTCCTTGGCTACTTTAAGTCTGGGATCAAGTACATGGTGAGATGTTATGTTTTTAACTTCATTTTTCTTGACAAGGATGACAAACACATCCTGTTTAAAGAGTTTGGAAATCTGTGAGCTTTTGGGGAGTTAATCTAATAACGATATGAAAAATACAGCTCATTTAGTTTTGGTTTTGCAAAATGATGAATCTAGTTATGTGTAATTTAAGTTTTGGTTTGTAAACCAATCATCTAAATGTCTAAGTTTCTGTTAAAAAGCTCTCATTTATTTCTGTTTCTGTTCATGTTTAGCTGAATAAAGATGTTCATATCATCATTGTCCTTCAGTATTAATTTATAACAGTTGGATTCATTGTTTGTGATTGAAGATACTGAACAAGTTCTTGAATTTGAATTTTTCCGTCTTTTGATGTAACTAACATGAAGGCTGGCATCCTTTTTTGAAACTCTATTTCCTGTCTTCCAGAAAGGAGGTGTTGCATCTGGATTCAAGCACGTTGTTACCAATGAGGTGGTTGTGCAGCGGGTGCTCCAGGTCAAAGGTCGGCGTGTTGTCAGGGCAACAGAGGTGGCTGTCAGCTGGGATAGCTTCAACCAGGGAGACTGTTTCATCCTGGACCTGGGAGATGTGAGTCAGACTGACAGGATGATGATGCTGCTCGAACCGTGGCAAACACAGACTCATTCAGTCAAACCACAAACATTATTCATTCTTTTTCAAGCTCCTTCTCTTCTTTCTGAACAGGAGATCTATCAGTGGTGTGGCTCTCAGAGTAACCGCTTCGAGAAGTTGAAGGCTACCCAGGTTGCTAAGGGTATCCGTGACAACGAGCGCAGCGGGAGGGCCCGAGTGTACGTCTGTGAGGAGGGGGTGGAGAGAGAGAAGATGTTGGAGGTGAGTTCAGTTATCAGCAGAACAACACGATGTCTACATCTGACTCGTTTGTTAACATACCTCCTTCTCTGTTCAAGGTTTTGGGTCCCAAACCAGATCTGCCTCCAGGTGCCTCTGATGACATCAAAGCTGACGCCTCCAACAGGAAGAGAGCCAAACTCTACAAAGTGAGAGTCCTGTTTAAGGGCCCGGGTTGGCCAAGTGGTTTAAGCATGAGGATATAGTCTTTTTGGGAGGGGTTGCTGGTTTGCCTCTTAGCCATGACCCTTTGATATATTTCCTGGCTGTCCTTAATGAAGACATAATGTCCCCCTCCCCCCAAAGAACAAACAGCAGTTCAGTTTAGTTTTTTTTTTTATAAAGTGGAATTTGCAGCTGACGAGTACAATTTTTTTTTGTTGGAATCTAATAAGAGTTTATTAACCGCAGGTGTCCAATGCCAGTGGGGGCATGACCATCGCCCTGGTGGCATCGGAGAACCCGTTTGCCCAGAGCGCCCTGGAGTCTGGAGACTGCTTCATCCTGGACCACGGCAGCGATGGCAGAATCTTTGTCTGGAAAGGTCAGTGCAGGTTTCCATGGTTGATCACCTGTTTGTATGTTTAGTTTGACGATGTGTACTCCTGCTGAACAGGAGCCGAGTGGTTCAAGACATAAAAATATGAGATCAGCCACAGAGATCTTTTTAAGGGATAAAGGAACCTCGAAGGTTTTTAATCTGAGTTAAGTCCATCCTATCCTGGATTTGGCTTCATATTGACCACACAAACATTTGAAAATATTTTATTTTGTCATCTAATTTTGCAAGACAGAGAACAAATTTCTCCAAGTTTCACTCAGGAATATTTTTATGTACATGATCAGTAAGAGAAGTGGGATACTGCCACTTTTTCAATTCTTACGTACAGTAAGTCACTTCCCCGGGAAACTGGTCCACATGTGGGAAAGCTCTTGCTATCATTTTTAAAATAGTTAGAAAGTCTCTTGTGTTTATTCAGGTTTATTTTTATTATGTTTCCTGCTCAAGTATCTGTTTTTCTTGCTAACAGGCAAAGATGCTAACATGGATGAGCGAAAGGCAGCAATGAAAGCTGCGGACGAGTTCATCAAGAAGATGGGTTACCCCAAACACACTCAGGTGCAGATCCTTCCAGAGATGGGCGAGACGCCGCTCTTCAAACAGTTCTTCAAAAACTGGCGCGACAAAGATCAGACCGTGGGTCTGGGCGTGGCCTACATCGCTAACAGCATCGCCAAGATAGAGAAGGTGCCGTTCGATGCCGCCAGCCTGCATGAGTCTGCTGCCATGGCCGCCCAGCACGGCATGGTGGACGACGGCAGTGGAGAGAAAGAGGTGAGAGGACGGAGACCTTTTGACCTTTTATACACTGTCGAGATGATTTGTGGTTTCTAGGTGTAATTTATAGAGAACAAAAGTCCCTCAATCTTCTCACTGAACTGTTTTTCTCTTTTTCATTGTTTTTTGACAGATTTGGCGTATTGAAGGGTCCGACAAGGTGCCAGTGGATCCTTCCACATATGGACAGTTTTATGGAGGAGACAGTTACATCATCCTTTACAACTACCGTCATGGAGGACGACAGGGACACATCATCTACATGTGGTAAGAGGACAGAAGGCTAACTGTCTGATGGCAGATAAAACTGAATCAGGGTTCTGGTTATTTAGGTTAAATAAGACACCACCTTAAAATCACAAGGTACAAAGGAAGCTGGGAAATAAAACCCAACTACAATTAAGGAGAGTAAGAGCGAGGAGGAGAAGAAGGAGGAGGAGGAGGAACTCGCTGTTACTCTGAAGCGGTTACACTTTACTTCTGTCTTTGAAGTCGGAAGTGTTGTTGAGTTTTCCAGGAAAAGAATATAAGTCTATTTTCTAATTTCTGTTTTCTTACTTTAACCCTGGCTTTAATGGGATTTCGAGTTGTTGTGGTTGCAGATAAAGACCCTTTGAGGTTCTGTCTTCTCCTAATCAAATCAATAAAAACATTCAATTGTTCCCAGGCAGGGAATGGACTCCAGTCAGGACGAGATCGGGGCCTCTGCCATCCTCGGCGCCCAGCTGGATGAGGAGCTCGGCGGTGGTCCTGTGCAGGTAAAACTCGTCACTCCTCTAGATGTGTTTTGTTTCTCTCATTCATTTCATGGAGCTGTTTTCATCCTGTCGTTCATTTTATTAAAGTCTTTACTGTCCCGTGGCTCACTGCGCTGTCACCTCCTTCCTGACCTTTAAAGCCTGTTACTCTATCTCCTCTCCCTGATTGTTTCCCTGCTGCTGCTCCTTCTGTCCTCTTCGGTTTCCTTCCCTTTTCCTTTGTCTTCAGGTTGTTGGTGCTCCTATAACCACTCAGGTATTTTCCCAGCCTGCCTTGCTTGTCATCCTCAAAATGACTCACAGGATTTTGTCAAGAGCCAGGAACAAAAGATTCAAAAACGGATGAATATTTTGTTTTTTAAAGTGCTGTTAAGACTTAATGAATGAGATCATTATGTAAATCATGAGCAGACACAAACAGGACATTCCAGTGTGGATGGTAGTGGGAGGAGGATCGCTCCCACTCTGTCGCCAGCTCTGTCGGCGCCACATGAACAAAATCCTTGTTTCCAAAATCTGCTCCGTCCAGGATTTAACTCAGCATTGATCACTAATAACTGCTTTAACCAGATCAGTCTGTGAAGTTTGAGTTGATAGATCAGTCCTGGCTCTGTGCTCATGTGAGTCTTTGCATGGAAGATACATTTGTTTGATCCGTTTTTGGATTGCGTTTTCACATCACGAGAGTTAGATACACTTCACCGAAGCACCTTTAAGTCGTCCCTAACAGAGTCTACTAACAGAGAATCAGTACAGCTGTAGTCCTCAGACTAACTAGAGCCACTTGAATTTATCTTTAAGGATTATCAGTGTCAAAGAGCTGCACATGTCACCTTTATTTGACTTGTCCTATCTCTTTTTTCAACTGGAGAGTGGCTGTCACACAAAAGTCTGTCTTATATTCACAGTCTTTGAATTCCACTCATGTTGTGTTTTTGTTTTTTTTGGTTATGCCTGCATTGACACAATATCTGAGTTTAGGAATTTTTGTTTTTACCTGCTTCTAGTAAGTGACAAAAGTAGGAAAATGTCTCAGTAGATGTGAGACCAAAAATTGGATTTAACGGATATTAAACTTAATCCTTCAACATCTTGTACTTGGCATTTCTATTTTTGTTATTTAATAGTAAAAAGGCAAACACCAAAGTGACTCATAGTGGGGTAGTCCACTTTTAAAGGCATATACAAAGCAGACAAACCAAAACAAACAAAAACAAAAGAGTGAAAACTTACAGAACTAGAACCAGCATGCATTATCCTTTAATATTATCCTTATTTTAAAGGTGCGACACGTAGAATATAGAAAAACAGACATGGATATAATAATCTGTATATGGTTTTCTCAGTACCAAAATAGAGTGGAAGGTTTTGAAATTCACATGAGAGAGGGGTCTTCTTCTACAGAGGCCACTATCTTTGAATTGAATTCCCCTTTTGGGATCAATGAAGTTCTTCTTATCTTATCTCCGTACCTCCATACTTCCACGGTGGCACAGAACAGACAAATTCGTAACCAACATGTTTTCAGATTTTGTAAGCAACATTGGAAGACGAACAAACAACCAGCAAGAGTGGTTGTTGTTGTTGGAATTAGTAGTGTTGGTGGTATAAGAAACTTGACAAATGGAGGATTGTAGGCATCTTGTAGTAGTCTCGTTGGAGTACTGATAAGAGGGCTGAGCGCGGGGGTGGGGTGTCTTTATCTAGAATTCCATCTCTCCATATTGCTGCATATTCCCGTTTCTACTCACTGTTCCTGTAAAACACATTTCCACCAGCACCATCAGAGTATTGAGTTTGGAAAGCCAGGATTGTCCACCAGTTCTTTCAAGAACCAGCTGACAATAAAAGTGTCTTAAGTGAATCACAGAGAGATGGTTTCTAACCAAACTAATGGAAGCACAAAGACCTTAAGAGTGCTGGGAAAGTTTGTATTGTTCAGGTGAATGAGTGTATACTCAACAGGGACTGATTTTAATGGCTCCATTCTGTCATGTAAACTCATAATTAGTATAATTCTCTATAATGAATGGTTTAGATAGTGGACTGCTCTCTCTAAATGTTTACAACTACAGCTGCAGACCAGAGACACTGATTATACTCTTTTAGACACCCTCTAGTATCCTTCATTTCACCAAACCTGCACATCTGCGTGGCTCATTCTCATGCTGCCATCTAGTGTCTGTAGTTTGTATTGCAGTAGAAATATTTCACATGTTTCCAGACACTGTTTGAACGGGCCTGTCTGATGTGATTTAGTTGCATGTCAGCATAAAACACACCATCATGTGTTTTGTTCTGGGAATTACTGTTACTATCGAACTATCATCCTATTTTTTAAGCTGTAATTTTACTGTTTCTTTTGCACCAGGTGAGGGTGGTGCAGGGTAAAGAGCCGGCTCACCTGATGAGTCTGTTCGGAGGACAGCCCATGGTGGTCTACAAGGGGGGAACGTCCAGAGAGGGAGGTCAGTCTGCTCCTGCAGAGACTAGACTATTCCAGGTGCGCTCCAACTCTGCAGGACACACCAGAGCTGTGGAGGTAAGAGGACACACACACACACGTACACACACTTATTCACTATCCAACTTCACCCCTGATGATTTCCCAGTAAAACCAACAATCATTTTATTTGTCAAAACTGACGGGTATTGTCTTTACCTCTAAAGATTTAGTCATCATGCTCTCTGTGCTAAAGAGCCCAGACCACAAAAATGAGACCTTTACAGTCTTTACAGTTTCTGAGTTGCTATCCAACTTGGAAACATGTTTTTTTTTTGTGGTGTGTCACAAGAATACAGGTTATAGTTGAAGACAGCAGGAACCTTTGAATATAAATGTTTCTTTTAAATCAGCTAAACTTGATCGCCGAAACCAAAGACAGACAGTAAAGCTTGCATGTTCACCTGCATCATCTCTGTTTTCTTCAGCTTGATGCTGTGGCCTCCAACCTGAACTCCAATGATGCCTTTGTTCTGGTGACCCCTGGAGACTCCTTCACATGGGTGGGAGTGGGCGCCAGTGACACCGAGAAGCAGGGAGCCCAGCAGCTTTGTGACATTCTGGGAGTGTCGACCTCTGAGCTTTCAGAGGGTGGAGAGACTGGTAAGGAAAAATGACGAACACAAAATGATCTGAAAATGTAAATTCTCGACTATTATTTACTGAAAAACTGATGGTAACGCTTTCTTTTACGGTACACTTATTGCCAGGTAATTAACAGGTAATTACCTAGTAACAACATGAAATTATCTGGTAATTACATGATAACTACTAAGTCAAAACTGTCTAGTTTTTTCTTTTTTTCTGTGCAGCTCCATTTTCAAACCTACCTGGTAGCTAGACAGTATTGACTTAGTAGTTATCATGTAATTACCAGATAATTTCATGTCGTTACTAGGTAATTACCTGTTAATTACCTGGTAATAAGTGTACCGTAAAAGAAAAGGTTATCAAACTGATTTTTTCTGTGTCCAATGCAAACGGTGGTCAAGCTGTTTAAACGGCACCTGCAGAGAAGTCTAATCGTTCTCTCTTTGTGTCTCAGCTAAAAGCAGTGCTTGTGTTCATCTATTTTAGAACAAAAGACGCACGATTGCGTCATTCTTAAGATGTTTTCAACAACTTGCAATTTGCTCGCAAAGCTCAAGAAGAAACTGGATTCTCTGCCAGCAGTTTCAAACACTAAACCTCTGGCAACACAGAAAAAAGTCTGATTGAATTTTTTATAAACACTGTGTTTTGAAGGGCTGGCCTCAGGCTGCCTGAGGACTAAAGAACAGAGCTTTATGTTTGTATTACTGTGAGCCTGAGCTCAGAGTTTATAACCTTCATTTTCAAAGTTCATAGACTTAACTGCAGAAAAGTGACAAGTTGGATCTGACACGGGAATAATATTCGAAAGGTTAGAAAGGCTTTCTCAGAATTCATAAATATTGAAGAACGATATGTTTTTGTCATATGACAGTAAGTTTCTTAAACATTTGATCAGAGGTGTGAGGAGACTCATTGCAGCTCTGTGTGCTCTTTTCACACTATATTTTTCTTTTGTACAGATATAAAGACAAAGTTAGTTACAAGTTTTTATAGTATTTATACCTTTAAACATCAAGCAGCTAGAGAGACAGATAGTTCCCTTCAGGAGCGAACAGACTCGAGTCAGTATGAGGTTTGGTGAGTTGAGGGTGCGTGTTGGAGACAGTTGTTCTCAGTTGTTCTCTTAAAAAGTAAGTCAAAAAGTGAGTCAGGTTTGACCCAGAAGCAAAAGTTGGAAGTTTGAGGGAATTCATTTGTTTGATGTGTTCCTCACAGACCAGTTTTGGGGGGCTCTTGGAGGAAAGGCAGAATATCGCACCTCTACCAGACTCAAGGACAAGATGGACGCTCATCCACCCAGACTCTTCGCCTGCTCCAATAAGACCGGGAACTTCATTGTGAGTCTCTACGGTGAAAGCCTCCTCTTAAGACATCAGAGTGTAACAGCTCATGTCCTCTTAAACCCTTCTGTTCTTCTCTCAGATTGAGGAGGTACCCGGGGAGATGACCCAGGATGACCTCGCCACTGATGATGTGATGATCCTGGACGCCTGGGAGCAGGTAAAGGGTCCAGAGCTTTGAAATAACAGGGCTCAGGCACAGTGATGAAAGAAAGTGTGATACTGAAAACTGTCATTTTTAGGTGTTTGTCTGGATCGGAAATGAAGCCCAAGAGGAGGAGAAGACTGAATCCATGGCATCTGGTGAGGGCAAACAAACGACTTTCTGTATCATCACATAAGACATCAGCGCTGAGTGATATCAGCACATATATCCAATATAGTGCTTCCCTTGGAACTGGTTGCCTTAGCGTTATTGATTTTTGCTCTTGACCTCTGTATGCAGCTTGTATTAAGAGAGCTTCTAATGCCTAAGACCAGATCACCAAAAGTGCTGATATTTAGTTCAACATTCCTTCATCCTGGGTGCTTAAATTTAAAGAACATCCAACGAAACTTTGTTTTGCTTTTGGATCGAAATTGCAGTAAACTGTATTATCCCCAGAACGACACACTTTTATTTTAGATTAAACTCGGTACAAAAAGCCGGACAAGCAGGAGAGGGAGATTCTGCTCAGTCTTTGTATTGAGGTGAAGAACATGAAGTAGAAGATTCCCTCTGGGAAATTTTGAAAGGGCCACGGGGGCTACTGCCGGGGTGTTTGCATTATGATGAGATTCTTCAGAGATTTTAAATAATTAAAATTAGTATTTGTGATATTATATACAAGGAGCACATCTGCAACAAACATGAATTTTTTAAGTATTCATTTGTTTAACAAAAAACAAAGCTGGAGCTGTAAACATTTGAAAAACTCCAATAATTGCTCTTTTATTTTTGGCTTGTCCCATTAACTTCAGTGCACATTTTTCACAACTTACATTGTGAAAAATTCATATACAATAAGTACACACTGATCCCGATCAAAACACGTGTTTTAATAGGCCTATATATAACTCCATAACTCTTCAAGCTGTAGGACTTGAAGCGAAACTGAATTTGTCCGGAAGAGGAAGAAGAAAAAATCCACAGTATAACGATGGTGCCTCAGTTTGTTTTCCCAGAGGCCCTAATAAATCTCCTGATATGTTCTGGATGATCCAGATTCTTAGAGTAGTTTTGTTTCTGTCGAGTGGTTTAGCTTTACTGCCTCTGGTAGAAATGGACATTTGCTTAACTCTGTTACAGTTGTATAATGGGTGGTGACATCTGGGCGAGCAGACACAACTTTTACGACATCGAATTCAGGGTTGGCTCGTATTTTTCTTGATCTAATTTGGAGAACAGCTGTGATGAGATTTGCTAAATGTCCCCTGGCTCAAGCGTGACATTTAGTGAGCAGACATGACAGCAGAGAATGGCATCAATTGTAACATCTAACCTTTGGGGGTAAACAGCTAATGAGCATATTTCTCTGAGTGTCAGAGTAATTCCTGCATCTGTTCCTGAAGGGCCAGATGATTCCTGGTTTTAAGACGTCAACATTTCTTAGGACTCAGTTTTGCTTTTTTTAATTACAGGCTGATTTTTTCTGTGTTGTTGGCAGAATTTACTGGAACGTATCTTTTAGCATTTGTTGGTGCTTATTCCTGATCAGTGTGCGCATCTTGATATTTTAAAACAATGGTTTTTAATTCTTTTCAGGCTGTCACCATGAAGTAAATCAGCATCATCCTGTTGTGCTTTTTTATTTTATAAAACTTAAGACTCTTCTGGTCTTTCACAGCCGTCCGTTACATCGAGACAGACCCGGCTAACAGAGACCGCAGGACGCCCATCGTCAAAATCAAGCAGGGCTTCGAGCCGCCAACCTTCACCGGCTGGTTCCTTGGCTGGGACCACGACTACTGGACCAGCGACCCTCTGGAGCGCGCAATGGCTGAGCTCGCCATGTGAAATCTCAACTGCCTCCCTCTCGCTCCCTTCCAGCTCTGACCTTTGCTCTACTACAAGCACTGAGCTCTATAAGACTTTTTTTTAGCTGCAATCCACCCTGAAAATGAGAGATTTTTTTTATTTTACTTTGAGGGGTACAGGTGGATGAAGCAGAGTTTGAACCGGCTATATGTTTGCTTTTATACCGTTACTCAAACAGCTGATAGAAACAGAGTTTTAGCAGACACAGGCTTCCTGTAGAGTTTTTGCACTAAAAGAATCTGCCTGTTTGACTTTTTATCAGACATTTTTTCTTATTTGTTTCGTACTTTGACAATAAAACCTGTTAACTAGTGAAACGAAGTAGCAAAAAACACATGGAGAGACAGTTTAAAGCCTCGGGGTCCTGAAAGGGTGAAGACTCACTGCCAGGAAAACTCAGCTTTTAAAAGAAACACAACCAATGCCTTAATCATCTTTACTTTCGCTCAAAGCAGCCTTGCTTTTCTAAGAGGTACTCTTCCAGTTTTAGCTCAGTAGGAAAGTTGTTTGCACCTTTTGGTTAAAATACCTTTTATGATATTTATTTTTTAAAACACAGATTCATGCCTGGGAAGCCTGTGTGACGCTGTAATAGCCAACATGATTGGGGAAACTGACGCTTTGCTGCTTTTCAAACAAAACCTTCTCAAACCAGTCGAGTCTTCTGTGACAGTTTCTAGAGCTTTCCCTGATGCCTTGTTATCATTTCAATAAAACCAATCAAACATGTGAAGTGATGGTCGTCTTTGATTGTGAAAATGCTGACACTCAAAAACAACCAGAGACAGAAAAATACCTTTGACAGCCTTTATTTGTATTCTCTGGGTGTTACTTTAAAATAAATGCATATTGAAAATATACAAAAAATATTCATAAACCAAAAATATTAAACTAATTTAACAAACTCAGAATACAATTAAAAAGAACATAAAAAGCATGTAACATGTTCTGCAGCAGGATTTAGGTAATTATTGGATTAAATGAACTGCCTGCGTCATTGTAGCCAAAGAAGTACAACCAGAGACTGTATATAGGATGGACAACGTGACTCCGCCTCCTGTCATTGTACGAATTTGAAGCCAAAAAGTTCCTGGTGTTTGCCGGATTTTTCTCCATTTTCTGAAACCTTCAGATACCTTCTGTATCTAATTGTCAATCATAGAAAATATGTTTTTATAGCCCCTAATAACCAATTCTAAAGAACATGGATCATCCACTTCACAACACCTTGATGGACCAAAGAGCAAATGATGGTGGACGGCTCCTCTCACTTCGCTGCAGGAGAGAAGGATTTAGAAGATCTTCTGTACCCACAGCCATCAGACTGTTTCATTCTTCTCATTCATAACTCGAAAGCCAATTTATAATTCGAGACCTGAGACTACAGACAATTGTCTTTGTCGTTGTTTTCTTCCACTTCATCCGGGTCCGGGGCAGCAGCTTCAGGAGGGAAGCCCAGACGGCCCTCACCCCAACCACTTCCACCAGCTCCTCCGGGGGGATTCCCAGGCGCTTCCAGGCTAGGCGAGAAATATAATCCCTCCACCTGGTCCTAGGGTGGCCACAAGGTCTCCTCCCGGTGGGACATGTCTGGAACACCTCTAACGGGGGGCGTGCAGAAGGCATCCTAACCAGACGCCCAAGCCACCTCAGCTGACTCCTCTCGACGTGGAGGAGCAGCGGTTCTACTCTGAGCGCCTCCCGAGTGTCCGAGCTCCTTACCCTATCTCTAAGGCTGAGCCCGGACACCCTGCGAAGGAAACCCATTTCGGCCGCTTGTATCCGTGATCTTGTTCTTTCGGTCATTACCCAAAGTTCATGACCATAGGTGAGGATCGGCACGTAGATCGACCGGTAAATCTAGAGTCTCGCCTTACGGCTCAGCTCTTTCTTCACTACGACTGATCGGTTAAGCGTCTGCATCACTGCTGACGCCACTCCGATCCACCTGTCAATCTCCTGTTCCATCCTATCCTCACTCATGAACAACATCCCGAGATACTTGAACTCCTCCATTTGAGGCAGGACCACCCCTCCGACCTGGAGAAGGCAATCTACCTTTTTCCGACTGAGGACCATGGCCTCGGACTTGGAGGTGCTGATTTGCATCCAAGCTGCTTCACATTCGGCCGCGAACCGCCCCAGCAAGAGCTGAAGGTCACTGCTCGACGAAGCCAGAAGCAATTTCCCTAAACTAAGTTTTATCTTAGGAGGCGGAGTTTATGACCTGCAACCAGTCACAAGGGGGTGCTGTTCTCGCAGAGGCCAACGACATCCGTTCTATATTCAGTCCACGGGGTACAACACCCAGGGCGCAGTTCTTGTTTTTAAGAGAATGGACAAGATGCAGCTTCCAGAAACAAAAGGTGACCCGGTAACAGATTGGTCAAATCCTGTAACAGACTCTGGAAAAGGTCACACTGGACTTGAAGCCCATTTTTGACCAAACAGATGCAGCTCCCAAGCAGGACTTCATGGTTCAACAACAAAAACAAGAACATAAACTGACGTAACTAATGCAGCATCTGCAGAATCACAGATCAAATAAAGGAAAAACAGAATCAAACTACAGTAAATATGATTTACCCTTACATGACTACAGTTATACATCCTGTATCTATCTAGATATATTGTATAAATGGGCTCAAAACACACATTTGAGAGTAGTACTTCAACAAACAATGGACAGTGTAACATACATTGGTTAACACTCCTGTCTGATACAAGAAGGACTAACAAAACATTATGTCCATTATAAGATGGATAGAAAGAGGTTGAAATATTTGGTTTGTTTGCTTACATGTGATAAAATTCTGTCTTGAAAAAAAAAGATTCTTCATTAAGTTCATTTCAGAGTGCATAGACAGGTGTTAGTAAGTGATTAAATGACTCTATGGCAGTAGGTTAAGGCTTTTGGCTAAAGGTTTGCAACACTGCAAAAACTCAAATCTTACCATGTTTTTGTCATACGTCCAGTAAATGAAGGTCTGGGCTGAAGTTAAACCTGACAAGTCTAGAAAAATCGCTTCTTTTAAGCTATTATGTCCCAAAAATAAGACCCTGGTGATGGGTAAGAATAAATTTGCCGATGTAAGAGGAAAAATGATCACTTCCTTGAAATAAGAAACTTAAAACAAGGAATTTTCAAGCAAACGCAGCTTAAATGAAGCCTAATAAGACTTCTTACCAGATATGAGAAAACACTAAGATTTGAGTTTCTTGCAGTGAAAACATTTCATTCCAACAGTCCCTGTTTTTCAGCAGTGAAGGCGAACGAGGGACAGAATAACAGGAACAACTCCAGAATACACACAGCGCCGCCCTACCAGCTGATCCTGTTGGTGTTTGGATTGTTTAGTAGGAGTTCAGCTCTGTGGTAATCTGCAGTGATCCTTGTAATTTGTCCACCCGTCCAAATATAGCATAGTTTATGAATAGAGAGGATACTGTAAACATCTACAAGTGACATCCTGCCTATCAGCCTGACTGTCGAGCTTGTAGTCGAGTTTTGTGTTCTGACATAGTGGTGTTAACGGAAAGTGTGTGTGTGTGTGTATGTATCTGCATGATTGTAAAAAATCATCATTGCAGCTTTACATGAGATGATCTCATAGCACAAACATTTCAGCAGTTGAGTCTATTCATGCGTATTATCAACGCCTCAAACCAGCATGTTTCCCTCGTCATCTCTTCAGTCTCACACCAACTTTAAGTTCAGTATGACAAATACTGTACGTCCTGTTCTAATCTGTATTTGAATTTTTGAGGTTATGATACCAGTTCCTTGTGTTGGAATGAACTTTCTCCATAAACCACTAAAAAAAAGCAAAAAAAAGCATACAAGGGTAGAGCTGGGATGGTTATTGTACACTTTGGGAAAGGAGGAAATTCAGCAAGTCCGCAAGTGTTGGGTCACTCCCAACATCTTTAGTTGTTAAAAGACTGCAGCATAAGATTATAATAATGACGACTTGGCAGTGGTTGTAGTAGTGGGTCACTAGAAATACGAGTGCAAATAAGTGTATGTTTGTGTAAGTGTGTGTTTGTGTGTACAGGGTAAGGCTTCAAACCCAGCAGGCACTTTGCAGAAAAGCTTGTAATACTGGCAACGAGATCGTTTCTTTTTCTACTTTCACACACGGACAAACACGGAACTAAACTGCAGGATGAACGCTGTAACATCTTCTGCACCGCGGCCAGAAGATACTCTCAAGTTTCAGTTAAAGGGATGCTGACCCTCCCACCTCTGCCGCCATTCAGCTGTGTGCATCTGTCTGGCTTTGAGGTTGATAGTGCAATGTAACCACGCACTCACTTAATCTTCTATTACAGCTTAAAAACGCAGATCAGGCTCCCTGAAACAAATACACAAGCAGGCTGACACTTAAAGTTTTGGTGTGCGTAAAAATGCAATAAAGCTTTTCTAAAACTTCGTCTACAGACACAGAAACATGAAATGTGTGTGTGCGTGTGTGTGTGTGTGTGTGTGTATCAGTGTAGGTGATTGTTTTGAGATGCCCCTCACTATTTCACGAAGGCCTGCATCATCTCCAGAGGCAGGGGGAAGATGATGGTGGAGTTTTTCTCAGCAGCGATGGTGTTGAGGGTCTGAAGGTAACGCAGCTGCAGGGCGGAGGGGGACTCGGCGATCACCAGAGAGGCCTCCTTCAGCGCTCGGGAAGCGTTCATCTCTCCCTCGGCTGCGATCACCTGTAGAGGACAACAGGAAGGAGGAGAGGAGAGGTGATGATGGAGGCTGAGGCTGTGATACGGACATTGTCCTAAGATTTAAGTGGATCTGTACACCCTTACCTTGGCTCTGGCCTCACGGCTGGCCTCAGCCTCAGCAGCCATGGCTCTCTGGAGCTGAAGAGGCAGCTTGACGTCTTTGATCTCCACCCGCTCCACCTTAATCCCCCAGTCATCAGTAGCATCATCAAGAGAGGACTGAGGAGACAAAGAAGAGTGAGTTCAACTTTTTTTTTTAAGAAGTGCTTGAACATCTAGAAAAGAAATCTCCAAAGGTGCTCCACTGAACTATCTCACTGTTTTAAACTTTTTAAAAAGGATTTGAATGCTATCAAACTATCTTGCAATTGTCAAAGCTGTCCAGCAGGTGGAGCTCAACAGCATGTTTTTATTTTGTGGAAGGAAATTTCATTGAAGGCACAGCTGAGCACACACCCATAATAAAAAACAAAAAAACTAAAATATTATAAATGCAGCCATTTCCACAGCCACAGGTTTTGTTAGTTTACAGCAGCAAATAAAATACATTAACTACAAAGTGAATGACAGACAAGAAGCAATTTCTTTATCACTGTTATCTGAGAAAGCAGGGGTCTGTGTTTTTGTCCAGTTGAGGTAGTTTTCAACCTCTACTGTCAAAAGTGAAATAACATCAACAGATACAGCTGTGCCTTCAATCGCTCAATTTTTGGAATAATATTGGAAGTCATGTGAAGAAAAACCTCTGAATTTAGAATTAAAGGAAACTTAACTTGGTTTACAGAAACTGTAATATCACTACATGTAAATGCAAAAATATCTAAACAGCACAATCCAAGAGAAGTCACAAGAGTTTGAGAGTTGTTGGTGTTCTTGGTTCCAAATCTCAAAAGTGCAAAATACAGCTTTTCAGTCATGTGTGTAAATAATGTGTTTCCTAGGCACGCCTTCGCAGCAGTCAGGTAGAAAAACAAATAATAACAATAATAACAATACCAATAATATCAATAACAAAAATAATAACAACAATAATGATAATAATAATAGCAATAATAATAAAATTAAGTAATATAAAACAATAAAATAATGACAATAGTATATAATGCTACTACTACTACAACTACTACTAATAATAATAATAATTACTATTATCATAATTATTATTATTATCATTATTTATAATGGTTGTAATAATTATGTTAATAATAATGATATTACTAATAACAAATACATATTTTTAAAAAAGTGCTAAAATCACTTTCATGCAGTTTTAAACTCATCCACACCACCACTCTTCATCTTTTACATTATCTTAATAACTTCTTTCTGAACAGTGTGCAGGTTTTAGTTCGACCTCTCTCCACGCCAGATGATGGCAGTGATCGACGATTTGCCCCTCTGAAACTCCTCTCCCGTCACAAAATGTGAAAAGAGTTTCCCTCGGTTGTTTTCCGGCGGGAATGCTGGACTTTTTAAAATTAAACTGTAACGCTGTTTCAGATAGACTTGAGTATCATGATTCCAAACACATGCAGTCTATTTGACACTAATTAAATACTGATTGATCGCTAGCAAGCCTTTAAAATGTGTGCAACAGAAATTAATATTTCATCATTTACAGAGGCTCAGCATAAACTGGGAGTAAAAGTTTAATGATTAGATAAATAATTGAACTCAAATGCCATCTAACAGCTGGGCTCTACATCCAACACAGGATTACCTTAGGTTTTCTAAATATACAGATTGTACACATTTAAACGACAGTTTGTTAGTTTCACTCGGAGTTCAGGCAAACCTGGCTCTAAGCAGGCAAGGTGGCATTATAATCCTCCATTCTGTTTCCTCTTCCAGCCAGTCTGTGTTACTGGAGCTTCTTATTATTGCCCACATTTATTTTGACTGACTGCAGTATACTGTCTCTGCATAAAGTTTTAGAGTGCAGTGAGGAGGTCCAGCTTTTTACTTTCACTTTATAGCATTTCCTTTGATATATTCACAGACACTCTGGTATACAACATTGTTTCATACTGGCAACTAGCTATAGGAGAACTCGCCTGTAAGAGACAAAGTGTAGTATAAAAGAGTATATTCATTTCTGATTGCTGTTTAAAGATCCCTTAAACAGAAGAGACCATCTATGTTATATTTGACTATAGGGGATGTTCACATAACTAGCTGCGTTTCCATTACCCATAGATTTGCGAAAACCTAAATATCACAATAGAAAACTGGTAATGGAAACACCTAAATTTCGAAAAACCTCTCAAATATCGCTAAAAAGTTTCTACGCTCTCATGAGGTGGTTTTTCAGACGTGTCGATATAGAAGTGTATCGCAAAAGTGTAATGGAAACACTATTCTCGCAATTCTACGTCACCGGACGTGACGTAGCAGGTCATGTGACCAGTTCATTTCAAGCAAAGATGGTGCAGTATGTGTGGACGGAGGAGGAGACGGACACGTATCCCGGGTCATCCTGAAGTTTTGAATCCACAATTCGTCTGTGAATTCCTCATTAACGATCCTCTCCCAGAAATGCCTCATCCGTGTCCGCTCCCATAAATACGGGCTTTGCCTTTGAATTCCTCTTCTGATGACACTGCTCGTGAGAGGCAGACGGCTCGATTATGCATTGAGCACCATTCAATGGAAACACCCGCAAATCGCAATTGTACTTTGTCGAAATTTGATAAACATCGCTTTTATTTTGCGAAAAAATGTAATGGAAACGCAGCTACTGAGAGCCAAAGAACTGAACACATCATCCACCCTTTCAGCCCACTCATTACATACAAACTGGGTCCTTCACAAGCTGAACATAGTAAGCCTGCTGTGTGTTTGTGAGATGAGGTTAAGTATTTATGATCTCTTGTGGAGGAACACTTTCAAAATGTGATTGTACCTGCATGCTGTGTGCGATTTCCTCGCGGTCAGACAGGATCTCTGCCAGGTTCTTAGTGCCCAGCACGTTCCTCAGGGTGGTCTGGGCCAGGAGCCGGGTGGCGGCATCTGCATTGGTGATGTTGGCAACAGCCAGGGTAGCATTCTGGACCCGGTAGTACACCACGCCATCAACACTGACAGTCACGGAGTCTTTGGTCAAAACCTGAATGCAGGATAAATTGAGCAGGAAATGAAAGCGCAGAATTTGTCAAGTGACATAGGAAGGAAAATGCATCAAAGCATGCGTTAGTGATGGGCTGTATCAAGAATCTACACGATTATTTTGACGGTCTTTGAATTCCCGTGAATGTGACAAAGTATTTGTCTAATCTAATTGGAAGTGTACGTGTCATACCTCTTGTGGTGGGATGTCGAAGGTGATGGTGCGCAAGTCCACATTAATAAAGCTGTCAGTGCACGGCACGATGAAGAACAGCCCTGCGGAATCACAAGAATGCAAATAGTTTAACAAAGACTAAAGCTGCTGTAAACACAATAATGAGGAAGCTTCTACACAAATGTTTGAAAACACCGGGATGAATGAAAGTCGGGCACGGGGCCAAGTCAAGCTCTCTTTATAAGTCTGCAGCTGTGCTGACAGCGAGGCAAAGCTGCGGATATTTGCAGCTTTCATAAGCCTGTTTCAAGTCACAATGATTAGTGCATTAAACAATACCAGGCATGTGCCTGAGTGAAACAGACATGTGCTAGGTGTGCAATCATTTAGCAAACATTAATGCTGCCACACCAGTTAAGAGACGAGTGGGCTGCATTTCCTGTCAGGATATTGTGTATTTAAACGGTGAGATCACGGCCATCTGTTCAGGAGGGGAAATCAAGACAACAGCAGTCTCCACATGCCGTTTCCACCATGACATTTCCAGGAACAATCATATTTCCTGTTAGACAAGAAGAGGGGCCGTGGTTGCTCTCACAGAAGCTGTAAACCATCATATGGTGCAGTGGAAAATTCCACTCCTGAAAAAATAAAGCTTTGTTCATCAATAAAACTCTCTGTTGATGGCAGAAGACAAGTGTTTACAGATGGAAAATGTTCCACAAACACAATCATTTTATAATAATCTATCCCCAAAAGCCTTTTTCTGACTAAATATACAAAGAAATGTTCTCAGGCACTATTATATAACAGCTGTTAGAGATGGAGATGGAGCCAGACTATGAGTGTGAGGGTAAGGGGCATTATGGGAAACCAAATGCTGAATTCAACTTTGGCATTGGCTCCTCCCGCTTCTCGTGAATGTGAAGTTTGCTGGCAGAGAGCTATTATTACCCCGCTCTGTCATGAACAGGGGTCCCCTGGCACTCCGAGGAGTCACATTTCAGCATTTTGAGAGGACACCGCCTGGTTTTTAGATCCCGTTAAACAAGAAATCAAAGACAGAGAGAGACAGTGAGTTATGAGAGGTATGCAAATTATTGCTCATGGGAGCCAGTATTTTTTTTACTTAAACAAATACACTGCCTTTCAAAACAGAGGACACATCACTGAGAAGAGAATGATGAAGGTACTCAGTTGTAAAAAAGATGGATGTGCAGAAGCACCACTAGATGTACGGCACCACGGACCTTAATAAATAAGGCCTCAGAGAACAGAAATGCAGTGGTTAATCTATGTTGAACTTTAAGGCGGGGCCTTTTCTTCTTGTTACTCTTGGGTCTGGATATTTTTACATTTTTAGTTCACTTTTTAACTAATGAATCAGTATCATAAACCTGGTTTAGGGGTTTACACGTCCAGTTTCAATAGGAATACTCCTGGTAGCATATTCAGAGTTCTCATATAATAAGGATAAAGACATAGTCAGGTTTCCACTCACAGGAATTATTTTTAACATCCATAATGTATGACAGTCAGGCAGTTATTTGAAAAACAGACGACTATATGTACAATTATCCAGGCTATATCTGAGTATAGACGCATTAAAAGCGGTGTCCCACAAGGCTCAGTTTTGGGGCCTAAAAGGATGAAAAGTTTCTCTGTTTGTTGTGGAACTATTGAAGTGTATCTGAATTTCAATTTTTAGGTGTAATCATGGATGATTAATTATCATTGACAGCTGATACAGCACCAGAAACCACCACCCCCCAAAAAAAAAACAAAAAACTCAGGTGTCTGTGAAGATCTCAGTTTCAAACAAAGCAAAGTCTGTGTTAAATGATTATGTCATGAGGATTTTACCATGATAACCTTCTGTGTTTAAGTTTGGAGCAACATGAACACCAGCAACATGAAACTATAATTAATATTACAGAAAAGAGCAGTGAGAAACAATTCATGGAAAGGATTTCAGGGAACAATCCAACAGACTGTTTATTGAAGCAGGATTAGTGAAACTCAAAGATTTAGTTGAATTGTAGACACTCATGGTTCTGTTCAGGGGAAAAAATAGTGTTACCTGAAACTCTGCAGGAGTTTTAGTTTTTTTTTTTTTCTTTTGTTCAGAGGATGAGTAACACAAGACGTTTCATTTTAAGTATCAGTTTGCATTGAAGACTTGAATACAGGGGATTTTCTGTGGTTTGGAGTCAAACTGCAGGAGTCTCTATAGAGTGATCTGAATGCCTGTATGAATATATTGCAGTTACAAAAATGTATATAGAAAGAATTAATAGTTTTTCTAGGAGTGACAGGTCGTGTGTTTTCAGATTTTATATTAAAGTGTCTCAAAAAGAACTTGTTTTTTGTTTACGTAATATTAGTTGTAAAAAATAGTTGTCAGGCGATCGTTTTTGACGGACCATCTGTTTCTTATGTTGTCCATTCCTTCCGACTCCATACAGTGACATGACGGTAACAAATTAAAAACCAAGTGAAATATCACTGCAAAGCTGTAAAAATGATTTAACTACTCAATTAAAAACCATCTTGCTGTAAATAAACGATCAAAATGATGGCTGACTTGGGTTAGAGGAGTTGTTCTGAAAGGTTCACACTTTTCAACTTCACAAATGGGCTCTGGATGCACCTTGCTACCTCCTTAAACCCTTTAATGCCTTTTTGTATACATGAATACAGTCCGATAAATAATAAAAATGTCCTCTTGTAGTTTATCAGTTTCCAAAAACATCTAATGCACCAAACAAGATAAATAAATGTATTTGTTAAATTTTAGGGACATTTTGATTTTGGGGGGTTTTCAGTAGTAAGTGAAATAAACATTTCCGCTCCAAAAAGATTTGAATTTTCTGGCAATAATTTGTGGTGTAAGGCATTAAAGGGCTACGTCAGCGATGAAGACATTAGTCAGTTTACCTCCATATGACTTAATCACAAAGACTCCAAAACACAAACTAATGATGAGCTTTCAAGACATTCAAGAAACTCTAAAAACCCAAACATGAACTGAAAGAAAAAAAAAAAAAAGAACTTTTCCACTGCTGTCTCTTCCATTACAATGCCTTTTTTTCTGAGTGACTCTGAGGCCAAACATCTTTGTAACTCTTCAGTTTTTAACTCTGGCTTGATTTCATCCTCAGCATATTGTAAACACTCAAATGTATCTGCCATTCCCTCTGTTACTCCAGTACTACAGAAACCTGTACTCATGAACAAATATGAAGGCAACTAACATGTTTCAGCAAAGTGATGGAGATGACAGTAAGACACCAGGGCCATGTTTTAAGTACTATTTTAAAAAAAAAATCTTTGGATGAGGATGGAAGAACAAATTGCACGGCAGAATATAAAACATTTTCTCACCTGGGCCTTTGGCTCCACCTCGCACAATGCGCCCCAGACGGAAGATAATGGCTCTCTCATACTCCTTCACAATCTGTGTACAGGACAAGCAACATACGGCAGGTATAAGACTCACTCTTTATATTATAAAATAGGTTGTTAAAATTGTGTCTAACAAGCAACTGACCTTAATGCACATCCATATAGAGATGGGCAACGTGACCAGAACAAGGAGAAGAGAAAGCGCCATCAAGAACCAACCGCAACAGCCAATTTCAGCCTCTGCACTTTCCAAAGCTGTGAAGAAAAGAGGAAAACATGGACTCAGACCAGTTCATCAGAAACACGAGTGGAAAAACACACTGAAAACCAAATTGGATGACTTTTGCGAGAAATTATGACAGGCATGTCCCTCTCAGATGCAGCCTAATCTGCTTTAACTAAAGACCTCAAATTCAAACTCTTTCAAACATCCAAACAGCTGTAAGCATCAGTGGAAAATATCGCGTTTGTCAGTCTTAAGTTCCCTTTTAGCCTGCATCTACTGTACGTTCACAAACACAAACACAAGCTGCTCATTGGCAATTGTTTTACAGCCACATCACCTCCCTGCAGGAAGCATTTGATTCAGTCAAAATCCGACAAATGGCATGCAGCTATTCAATGAATGACATCGTACCTTCAGTATCTTGACTGCTTGAACCTACAGACAGAGTCAAATGTCAAAAAGCCATTGAACTCCATTGAACTGCTTGTAGCAAAGTTGCAGTAACTGAATACAAGTGTATAAACTCTGAAAACGACCGAGTGGCTGGTGAACTAAAAATCAAATTAAAGTTGCAATAACAGCAAACAACTGGAGAATTGTAACACAATCTCCTGTAGTTACCATGACAGCTGCTTTGCACTATTTTTGTCAAGACATACCCTTCACAGGTATGCTTGTGAAACGCATCAGTAAGAACTACAGAATAGTGCTACTGTCAGAACATGTTTGGGGAAGTGGCTGTAAAGTTGTTTTTTTAATGTACAAGCTGAGGGAACAAATATCCCCACCCCTTAAACTCTGCTCTCAGAATAACCAACCCCTCGAACTCATTTGATATCTCTTGGACCGAGTTGATACCTGACTACTTAAGCATGGGTGTGCAGAGGTTTTAATGGCAGCAAACCAGCTTCCCACTTCCTTTAACACGTCACCGAGAGCTTTCCACCACATCTCTGTTCAATAGTGGTCTAGCCATCAGGAAATCAACAAGGCTCTTTTACTACTTAAACTTTTATTACTGCCATTGTTATTGTTGTTTTTGTACTCAAGAGTTGTAGGGTCATATCATTTGTCTTACAATGTCCTATTGTAATTATAATAGCATGAATCATACTTTTATTGTGAGCTGCTATAACTCAGGATGCATGGTACTGATAAAAACTGACACTGCAATGTTTTACTTTTGCCATTTTGTATTCTTATATGAGTCCATTAAATTCCTTTTTAGCTTATTAGATTACAGCGCAAATGATGCTGCTCTAAATCTAACTAGAGGGAGAAACTCATGTATGAAATATCAGACAGTCATGGTTGAAATGAATGGTTATGTACTGAGAACTAACTCAGAAACAAAGTGAAATTAACAGACTAATACACTTGCTTTAAAGTAAGAATGTACCTTATCTGGGTGCTGTAAACGAAATACTCTGACCAGATAAACTTGAAGTCCTCTCAGTTTAAGATACTTTTTTATGTACACTGTAATCGGCATGAGTTGGTCATAACTCACAATTTAAAGGGATATTCCGGCGCCTAACTTCATCAACAGTACATATAGGGTCCTAGCCATAGCACCAGCCACCTAACGTCTTTTTAGCTTTGCCTGATTTCTTCAGCAAAGAGACTAAACGCAACTCACCTACTTTCTTCCAGCAGCCGCTTGTTTGTAGGGAGAGCTCGGACGAGTCCATCACCAACTGCAGCGGGGTGACGCAGCTCAAGGAAGAACATGTATGATCATTTCAATCAGCCCGAGACGCTAAGGCAGAAGAACTGCCGCGTCTGCAGTGCAAAATGGTTAATATGGTGATCACTACTTCAAGGAAATTATAAAGAAATGATCATAAATGTTCTTCCTTGAGCTGCGTCACCCCGCTGCAGTTGGTGATGGACTTGTCCGAGCTCTCCCTACAAGCAAGCGGCTGCTGGAAGAAAGTAGGTGAGTTGTGTTTAGTCTCTTTGCTAAAGAAATCAGGCAAAGCTAAAAAGATGTTGGTGGCTAGTGCTATGGCTGGGACCATATATGTCTGTACTGGACACTGTGTTTACTGCTGCCTGGAGCTTCATTTAACTGTATCCAGATGATGTGAAAGCCATAACACCCAGGCCCTCATTTAACAAGTAAAATGTACAACAACGCTGATTATACACGTTCAAGATTTGTGATTTAGTTTTGAAAGATGTTTTAATGTAATTAATCATCCTGTGATTATTTCTACATCCCTATCTAAATGCAACCAAGAACTGTTTGTAACAAATGACCCCTCCCTTTAGGGAATCAATAAATATATCGTATCTCAATTTATCCCAGGTTGCTGGTTGTTACAAGGCCTGAAAAACTGATGCCCACCAAAGTCTGGGTGATACCGAATACAGTAAATATTAGCATTAGTCTTGTGTAAACTGGTGAAAACATCGATTACTATAATCCCAGAAACTCGGAGTGGAGAAGCCCGTTAGCCTGAGAGGCTAGCATTCATGTTGACTTCTTTTAGGTTTGTTTTTCTTGTTGTTTACTTTAAGAATCAGGAGTATCTACTACTTCATGTTACCAAACACTCAAGGCGCTCGTGAACGTGCCATGCTAGTGCACGTTAGCTTCAGGGTGGGTTAGCTAATTACACGAGCTAACGCTACACTTAAACATTTACTTGCTAATTCCAGACTCCTGCTAACGCACGGTGCTAAATGATATATTGTTGATAAAACACTTAAACACAACTTTGCATTAGTAGTATTCACCCTCGACGCACAGCTGCAAGTAATTAACGTTAAATTTACCGAGTATGAATTCTTGAGACCCTCGTTTTTACCTGCTTGACGTTCACGCCTTTTGGCTTCTTTCATAGCAACCTCTTCGGAATCGTTACGCATTGTTAAAGCAGGATAAAATATCACTTAATGCAGAAAGAAATGGTTTCCCAGTGTTTACTGGGATCGTTGTGTCCCTCAAAGCTGCAACAACTCAGAATGTGGTTAACCCTCAGTCTTGACTCGTAGGTTTTGTGGCGCAGAGGCATATTCAGTCAGGCATGCAGACGGGCGTGGTACAGCCTTCAACATAAAGGAACTCGAATGTCCTTTTACGACCTTTTTGTTGTTTTGAAGAGCAGCAAAGTGGTGCTTTACTCTAGTACCTGCTAGTCTGAGCATTTTAATATGTTTTTGTATATTTTACACTATGTAGACACCACATTTACAAGACATCGAAGCAATAGTCCTCAAAATGTGCTCTGATCTTTGCAGTTGTAAGTCTAGTTAAAGTTTGCACACCGAACCTTACACTGTAATACACATTGGCAGTGGTGTACTTAAGGGGTATGATGGGCAGTGTGGTATCTGGAGTACAGCACCAACATGCAATGAGGTATTGCCTTGAGGTATTTCCCAGTGATAGCCTGAGATAACCAAATTGTGGAATGTGGGCGGTGCGTCTCTTTTATGGTGCCTGGTCCAGACATCCTGGCTGTTTGGGGTTTTCAGGTCACAGGTCAGTGAGGTGTAAAGCAAATGGTAAAGAAAATAACTTAGAGACAAAGACAGGATGTAGCCTAACCCTATATAACAGGATCACAAACTCAGGTTTGGGAGAGATGGACATCATTGGCAGTCCTCTCTCAGCAAATGCAGTGCTGTTCTGTTACTGGTGTTGTCTTTGTAATGAATTCCTATTATGCAAACAAGCCAGTTTCACAAAGCCTCCTTCTGCGTCTACACATCAAGGACAGACCAGACACAACAGCAGAGGCAAAAAAAAAGGAAAAAGTCAAAGGCACCTGTTGAGTGCCATTAACAGACCCATGAAGTCTGCTTATCTGCTTATACAGATAGATAGATAGATAGATAGATAGATAGATAGATAGATAGATAGATAGATAGATAGATAGATACCTCTTATGACAACCACAGATAAGCCTATAAAATTCCTTGAAATTGCCAATAGGTCACAATCTTTTTTTTATATCAGCTAAAATAAAAGGCATCCAGAAGGTGCTTGGTTTACATTTTATCCACTATAAGAGCATTCAAAAAAGTCTTTATGTTTATCAACTGGAAGAGCCTCCAAAGAGCAACAGAGATGGAATAAAACCAGTTTGGTAACTCTAATCCTGCTGCAGACTGAATGCCCTGCATGTTCTGGACTGAGGTCAGGGCTCAGAAGATTCTTTAGGGTCTCCCAGATTCCAACAGTGCAAAACTTATTTCTCTGTGTCAGCTGGCCTGGCAACTTAACAAGCCATCTTAAACCAATTTTAGCTGGCTATCTATAGTTCATAATGCAAGACAAGTTAACAGCCTTTCTGCTCTTTCACCCCTTTGAGACATGTCTTCAATCACACTGAATATAGCGCAGTATTTCGGCCATCCATTACTTAATCAAAACAATAGGCAGATGAATTCCGGGGGTAGTGGCAGAGTATTTTTACACATGTGTTGCGATGGTTAAATTTGAAACAGTTTAAATTGTTCTGTTGTTAATCTTATGTCTGCAGTTGTTGTAACACATACACGCACACACAGATTCAGCATATCAGATCATTTACATATACTGACAGATAATCAAAACACAGTCATAAGTAAAAAAAAAATGACAAGGCTCAGAAGCATTTAAATGGAATCTATCCATGGTGACAATTATTTGAGTGGTATTTATTTGGCAGCCTAGAAGGTGGGGTCACATAGCTGCCTGCAAGTCATGACACTGAGCAAAGTGTTACCCTTGAATAAAGGGTACTCCTTTCTCATGTGAGGGGTATCACGCACAGGGTTCAGTCTTGCTTTTAACAAGTTAATCCTCCAGCTCTGGGATTAGATAACTTCACATTATGTGGCAGAAAGAAAGAGTTAGAAACAGATTTATTCACTGGTGGGAGGAAACAGAGTTTGCTTACAGAGTGCATTTCAGGTTGAGGAGGACAAGTTTCAACAGCCAAACAGTATTCAGACAGTTTTCTTTCACCAACCGAATTGTTTTCACACTGGTTCTCATTCCAACAGATTACAGAACATTAGTTGTATATTTGCTCGCAGACCCATCCATGATATTCCAAAGTACACTAGTGGTAGATCTCATGCTGGAGTTCAGGTGGTGTCCTGCACAGAAAATCCAGGCCTTTCCAGAAAGTGTGATTATCCTGCGAAAGCAAAGGGACAGTGCCTATGCATGTTGGAGTGTCCCAGAGCTCCATCTCATCTAATCCTCTTTTAATTAGGGTGAAAGAAGATGCGAGACTCCTCCTGGATTAGTCACAGCAAATTGACAAAGCACCAAGCTGGGACCAGTGCACAGGACTGGGGGCCAGTTAGGTGCAGGGAGGACCCTCTCAAGCATAGAGAAACGCTCTCTTATCTCCCTGCAGCTACCTGAAGTTTGGTCTTTCTGCCTTCATGCACCAAAGTGTCTTTGGTCTCTGGAGAACCAGGAAGATAAGTTACAGCCTATGATTCGCTCATTTCCAATCCTTTGCCCATTTTTCACTCTCACTTGAAGGGTTACTGTTTCTGCGGTCACACTCGCTCCCTATTATCCACCCTTTTTGCTAATCCTACAGGGTACTTTGCCATCCTCGTTATCTCAGCCCATCCCTAACTATCTCTCTCCATGCTCTGTCTGTCTTTCCAGTGTTTCATCCCTGTCTCTTTTCTTGGCCACTAATGGAGGTTGAGCCTCATGCTGATGGGAACCGAGGTGAACAAAAGAATCAATCAGGAGCCAAATAGTCTGAGCTTCACACTTAGATCTTTGAACATGTTCAGATAAAGCATAGACCGATTTCTTCAGCTTATTCAATGAAAAGTTTGTGGATTGATAATACCACCAGACAACAGTCAACATATCAGAATCAGAAGGGGTTTGATTGCCATTGTCAATGAACAGGATTCACAGACTAGGAATTTTTTACGGCGTGATGGTGCAACATTAAACGGAGAATAATATATAAAATACTAGAATAGAAAAAGAGCATGCAGAACATATATAAAGTATAAAAGGCTATGTACAGAACATGAATTATATTATGTATATATGAATTCCTAGCGTCCAAGTCTACATGAAAAAGTACATCACCATCGCATAATCATTGTTTACGTGCTGGATTAAGATTCAGGTTTACTTATTTGGAATATCAGGTCAGTCCTGATGGAGATTTTGAGACTTTTACAACAATAACTCTGACTTTTAATCATAACTTTTTGAGGGAAAAGGTGATTGTTCATTACTGCAACTCTAGTTAGACAATCTGTGCCGTCCCAGGAATGCATCATGGACTTGAACTCGGCAATAACATTTTGACAACTCAGAGTTTGTGGGTGATGTTTTGAAAATATGACACATCAGATAAATCAGAGTACATGTAAAAAGGCTCAAATCAAGCAGTGACACACACTGTACAGTTTATCATGATATAATCTGAGGAGTCTGAGCTGTCAGGAAGCTGCACCTGAGCCTTTCAGGCTTCACAGAGGACACTTGGCACCCATGACACACTCTAATCTCTAAAGGTCTCATGGTGATGGGCGACATGTTTACCTGTCGGAGGTGGCAGATGTTTTTACTTTCTGTTGACTACGTCTATGAACAGGTGATTTTTGTAATTTAGGGGTCGGAGTTGTACTTTTAAACACCACACTTCTTCTCTGTCAGCAAACTGGGCAGACTTTATATTTCAAAAACTTGTACACAAAGAAATATTGATGTGAGTCGACAAATTTTACATGAGAACGTTTAGCTTTGTGTCCAGTGAAACACAGAAGAGTTTCTAACTGTGAATTAGGAGGGGCAGTTTCTTTGGTTGTATGTTAAGACTCGTGTCAAAACACAAATGAGGCTACACAATTGCTTTTAACCCTTACACTCGTGGTTTAAGTCACTTTGTAGTGATCAGCCACTTAGACATACACTCACTAGCTCTGCTATCATTGCCTGGATTAGAGGTCAGGATGTTGCTCCACTTTTTCCCATCAGAGATTGTTGGGGTCCAATCGCTCCTGGAGCTGCACTCACATCAGCGCCGCTAACTGTCATTATTTCCCAGCTCGCCTCAGGTAAAGGTGAGAAAGTACCAGTACTCTTTTCCACAGATTTGTCCCTGGTGACACTTCTGCTGTTGAGAATTAATGACCATTGTAATAAGGGTTTGACCAATTACAATGAAGTATTGAACACAGTTGTGTAATGAGGGCAAATAAGTAGCCTGTTATTTAGTTGACTGGTTGCAGACAGAAAACAAAATGAAAAATATCAAAAAGAAAATAAAAAGCAAGAAAGTCATGCCTTTGGGTGGTTTTATTAAAAACAAAGATAACTAAGTCATAAAAAACACTATCATCCTTGGATTAATATGATCCTGACTTACAACAACAACATGTCAGAATAGTTAAACACTTATCAGTGGTAGTGTGTGAACAAGGTGATTAAAAAACACCTACAGCTCTGTAAGGAAAGGGCACATACGTACTTTTAGATGAATATTACAACTGACTTTACCTTTCACTGTAGCTGTATCACCAGTGGTAAACAAATCACAGCATCTATCTATCTGTTTGTTTGTTTTGTGCTCTGGATGGGTAGGATCCTTACTGCTATAAAAGAGTGGCCAGAATCAGATATGAAGAACCTAATAAATGTTCAGATGGACGTGGTACACAATTCCATCTCTGAAGTCAAAGTACAGATATTCCTCATCGAGTATCACTCTGATACAAGCAGAAGTTGCCCAGTCACTTTTTCCCCAAATTCAAGGACTGAAAGACTTGTTTTTAAAAATACTTAAAGCTCCAGTGGGGAGCTTTTGGATTGTGCCAGTTTCAGTGCCCCCCTCGTGTTCTCTATATGCTTAAACAGTGTCTCCTGACAAAACATCTCATCCTGCTGAGATCTGACTGTCAAATGTTTCATTTGTTAGGAACGTTTTAAGTGGAAATTGTCAAAACAGGGCTGTTTCTTTAGCTGACACCTACCCCCTTTCACCTCTTTTAGATTTTACAAGTTATAATATAAAAATGATCAGTCTTGTCACTATTGTTCTTGTTAGCTTTAGTAAAGCCCTTAAAAGCATCAATATGCATTTTAATCTTT